TTACTTCAGACCTTGTCCTTGATTTCAAACCCGAGCAGTTCCGAGGGTTAAAATCTGATCAGTTGTTAGTATTCTTCTAAATCTTTGAACTTCTCCATATATCTCTCGTTGCATGCCAAAAGTTTCCTCGGTGGGACAAATATTGAACAAATACAATACATCATGGAAAAAACACCTCTTATACCTATACTGTTAACTGGTCGTCATCGAAAGCCGCTGGGTATGCATACCCATCCCGAACAATCCAGCCTATGCATAGTTCAGGTCTTAATCTCAAGTGATATTTTAAGCTCCAGTACTATCTAAAAGGTTTTGGGAAACAATTTACCAAACTGAAGACTCACTGGTTGCATGTTCTCGACTCATACGGACTCCGTTCAGCTTCAAATCAGCTGACACCCGTGTATAATTTTTCTTACCTAATGATGATATGCATTCAGTGCAATCCGGTCAGTGGATTTCATAGCTCTGCTAGTCTGTTATAAAACATGGAATCATCCATGCATTGTACCGGAATCTATTGGACTTGAATTACAAAGCGGCTGCTGACGACTTGTGGGTAATTTTGAGCTGGTCAAGCCCCTGACGGCAGCTGTCATGTAACTGTAAGATCTAGCAGCCCTACTCCATGTCTCGGAGATCAGGTGGCCCTGAGTAGTTTTGTAGTCGTACCATACAATATACATCTCAAAAAAAGGTCGGCCGATGTAACACCAATATCTGATATCTATTGATGTAAAAGAGTACGTTTGTTGAACCTACCTACGCCTGATCAGCTCTTGACAAGAGAAACAAATAAAAGAATAATTTACGAGAACATAATATGTATACATAACACTTACTCAAATGTACTCTTAAATATACGTTGCACATGCGTGGATATATCGATCGCCGCACAGCCAATATATAACACATCTATAAACACATACACACACATGAGATTGCCATTCTTCGCTTTGATCTGTGCTGCAGTCGTACTTAAATATCGCAAAACTGTACTTATAATGAATAACCAAATCTGTCACCTGCATCCGGTCAGTTCTTCGTATAGGGGATATAGGTGGAGATATGGCGAGAATTGCAACTAAATCGTCACATGTTTATGACATTTTACGTGTGATCGTTCAGCTATAGCTTCAATGAGTAGAAATTGTTTTCTTTTCTTTATTGTTGAGCAAAGATGCCCTAGTGAAGTCTGAATCTATGCATCGCACGGGTTTTACTATTCACAAGCTCTACCTCTTTGTCATTTGACTTGAAAACTAAGACTGATCAATGTAACAGCCTACTATCGTCCTTCTCTCGAGCGCGACCACACCGATCTCGTTTAGGAACCGTTGATGACGCATATCATGTATACTGATTGGATTGCCTGTAGTGCCCCCGCCCCAAATCTACCAAAATCTACCAAAAGCATAAGAAGAAAAGGTTATAGCTTTGATGCGAAATCTCATGAGTTATGAGTATCATTCTATACACACGAAAGTTGCAGGGTATAACAGAGATAGAAGAGAAAGGAGCCAAACCAGTCGTTACACAATTAAGACTCTGTGTTGAGTCATAACGCCGCTATGCAATCGTCGTTGACACATTAACATGACAAATGAACGCACAATTAAATGATGAAAATTTCGTAGCAATTGCAATCGTGATTGTGATTATACTAGCCAAAGCCAATTAGAAAGTAGAGAATCATTCCGTCTTCAGCCTTCATTGTCCCACATTTTTTTCAGCTCGGCAACTCTACTTATTGAGGAGTGTTTTCTACGAGATGCAGTCATCCATGCATATACCTCTGCTAGCACAGCAAATGAAGCTTTCAAGAAGCCAAACTAAGCACCAAATTCTTATTATGTTTATGTATATGTTTGTATACTATGTACAGGATCAACTACGCTGCTTTCTGCAACTATTGGTTTTTGGTAGTGTCCCAAATAACGTTGCCAGAGCCATCCTTGACCTGGATCCAAGGAGCCTGGTTAAGGACTACCAGGGATTTTCCAGAGCCTGAAGTGTTGGTGCTCCACTGCTGGACGCCGTTGAAGAAAGATGCAAAGTTACCGTCGGAGCCAAACTTCAGTTGGCATCCGGACGGGCTACCGCAGTTTCCACCGTTAGGCAAAGTGTGGCCTGATGCCCAAACAGGGCTGCCTGCCTGAAGAACCACCAAGTTGTTGTCGCCCTGGTACTGAGCAATGACATTGTGAAGAGTAGCGAATGGGCCAGAGTCGGAAACAACAGTCAGCTGTCCGGGCTGGAACGTGACCGAGTTTGGCAGCGGCAAGCTCGAGCACAAGAAGTTGGTCGCGTTACCAGGAGTGGCAACGAAACCAGACTGGAGGTTCTGAGATCCAGAGATTCCAGCAGGGTAGTAGATGAGGTTTGCGTTGGAGTTGAAAACGCTCTGAATAGCTTGGCTGCATTGAGAGGCATCAGCAAAGCTGGACTTGGGAGATGTCACGCCCGACACAGTGTTTCCCGTGACCTAAAGACATGTCAGTGGTGGTCGTAGATAGATATTGCACGTAAATCACATACCGTAATGCCGTTGGTCCATCCGTTGACGGCAATGGGGAAGCTGACTTGTCCGCTGATGGTGTTGCCGGTGATGGTGACTGGTCCAGACAGCGCTGATGGGTCGTTGAAAGACCAGACGTTCGCGCCAACGCCAATACCGATGTTGAACAACTTATCGCCTATGATGTTATTGTTGGTAACAGTAACGCCGGCGTAGCTACCATCGTATTCATCATCGACAAGGTTGATGGCACCAAATCCTAGGTACTGTGAAGATGATTTGACAGTGTTGCCGGTGACGGTGCTGCCAGGAGAACCAAAGACGACAATACCACCGTCTGTGCTGCCCGTGATCTAGCGTCGATATGTTAGAGGCTCCTATTCTCACAAATTCTTTAAAAGGTTCTGAGTATGGTCACTTACAGTGTTTCCCTGCACTAGAGAGGCAGTGCAGTCCAGGGAGATGCCATCGGCCCATAAGCCGTCACCACTGGCCGGATCGGTACCAGATTGACCGCAAGGGCCAATGTCATTGTTGGTCAGGGTAACGTTTCTGCAAGGGTTGTTGTCCTGTCCAGAGCCAATGACATGGAGACAGCTCCAGCTGCGGGGGTTTCGCGATGCTACGTTCGAGATGACCTGGCCGCCGGAAGTGACACCACCAACGATGATGTTGGCATCGCCGCCTGAAAGGAAGCCGGCGTTCTGTCGGTTACCTTCCAGCTGGATGTTCTTGATGCGAATGTTGTTGAGATCTCTGGCAGAAATCAGAGTGCTAGCACCACTGCCGACAGCGACCTGGATGGTGGCTCTGGAGCTGTCGGTAGGGTAGCCCTGTGTGGAGAGTTCCTGGCCATCGGCGGTGAACTTGACGATATCGGTGATCTGAATCAAGGCATTGGGGCAAAGCTGAACAACGGCATTCTGGCCTCCAGACTGGAAAGCGCTGTTGATTGTGTTCTGGTCTCCCGAGGAGATACAAGCTGCGGATGCCAGAGCCGGCAACAGTAGGCCGCCTGTGAAAACGTTCTTCATCTTGGCTTGCTAGTGCGATCTGATAACCCTGTAATAAGAAAGCAGCGGTTTATAGGCAGCGAATAAAGAAGCTGGAGGGCCTGTCAAAGCAACGAGGATCTCGAGGAACAGGACAATTCTTAGCGCTTCTCTACACTTTTTATCTATTCAGATCGGCTCTCCTATTCTTTCAGCATGGCCTATATCCTCATGTTCCGTACTATCCGCTTACTTGCTTTAATTCCGAGAGACGGCAAGTTTACGTGTTTCAGGAACTATGCCACATTGAATTGCACGGAGCAAGTATGCGAAGGTAAGCCCACCATCATCCGATGCTAAAATCGATAGGCCCGGGTCTGATGCTGTCCTAGTTGTCAGAAATAGGGCATATCCTAGCTGTGTCTTACAGCTAGGAACCGACTAGGCCCGATCAAGAAGCTCCACGCTTGCCCCTTTACTTTCAAGCTTTCAACTGACAGCCAGGGAAAGATTCTGTGAATGGCGGATTAATGGTGGACTGCTCAGGGAATAGTAAACACGATAGCCACCTACCACAAAGGTGTCCGGCGCTCACTCGCTTCGGCAGTAATCTCGGTCGTTCCCTGTAAACGCATCACAAGAAGACGCATGGTTCCCACCCTCACAAAGCATCAGACACCTACAAATATGACAACGTTGCGTAACGACAACCAGAGCAAAATCTCAGATGGAGGTAGGAACCAGGGAAACGGCCTAGCTTTAAGGCGGAATGCCGGATTGGCACCGCATGCAGGAATTATTGGGTACCCGGGGCCGGGACATTTTCAACTCGTCTGCCACTAATATCACGCTGTGCTGGCGTTGCGGCTTTAGGCTAAATGGTCACCAGATCTAGCCGGAAAATTAACATTGGAAGCCTAACTATAATCCATTAATTCAAGCTGCAACCTTCGCTCTATTCTAGAGGCACTGCCGTCCAGAGACTGCTCCAACCAACATGGAGGGGTGACAGCTGAGGCTGCGGGGAAAAGCCTTGGCCACGGCAGTCGACGAACGAGCCGCCGGGAATCTAAACTTTAGGAGACGGGAAAATCTGGGGAAGACGATAGACGTAACGATTTAGTCGTTCGATACTGCCTTGGTGGAAGATGGCGTAATGGAGATGTGAGTGAGTTTTCCGCAGAGGGCGAGGATCGGCAACATCGAGAAAAAGAGAGGGAGGCGTTCGGAAACCGGAGATGGTCACACCCGTCGGGTCATAAGCCTTGCTCGATTAAGAAAGCGGATTTGGACTATGAAGCCATTTCTGTATGTGGCCAGAGAGCTGCGGGCGATAGTAAGCAGGCAGCATATGCAGCCGGCAGGTGTATATAACAAGTGGGAATTTGTGTTCACGAAAATACGGAATACGATTCATCGCTATAAACCAGGCGCGCAGATTGATATTCTGAGGCTCTAGGGTGCCGGGTGCATCGCTTTCAAAGTCAGCCATGGCGCGTCTACAGCTGTTACCATGGATGTTCTCCATGGCCCTTTTCCATGTTGCCCAATCTCGAACATGTTTGCCAGTGTATGAAGCGACGACAACGTACGTGGGATGCTACCACGATCCCAACTCGCCTCGTGATCTCGCGGGCCCGTTCTTGACGGTTGGAAACCTCAACTCGCCGCAGTACTGCGCCAACGTGTGCGGTGCGGCTGGTTACCAGTTTGCTGGAGTCGAGTTTGCCATGTGAGTTACTTTGAAGATTTGAAACTCGCGCCTCTTGAGCGTTTAGCCTGTGAACATTCTGAGACTGACTATTTTACTGTTGAAAGCCAATGCTTCTGTGGTCATAGCATTGAGAGCACAGCCGTAAAGGCTGATGATAGTCAATGCAGCACACCATGCCCTGCGGACTCCAGCAAGACATGCGGTGGTGGAAATATGTATGTCATGATTCCATAACCTTGAAACAGCTTGAAGTGTCAGGGAATGTTCCATTCTAACACAACTTTGCAGGATTAACATCTACTCCGTCACCAACCCCTCGGCAAACCCCCCCTTGACGCCTTCATTCCCCGACTGTACCCGTGATCCCCTGTGCAGCAATGCCATCTGTGACACCACTCTGAGCATGGCTGAGAGAGCCGCCGCCATTGTGAAGCCTATGACTCTTGATGAGAAAGTTGCCAACGTTGGCAGTTCTGCTTCCGGCAGTGCGAGACTCGGCTTGCCCGCATACCAATGGCAGAATGAAGCACTCCACGGAGTTGCTGGCAGTACCGGCGTCCAGTTCCAGTCGCCTCTTGGTGCCAACTTCAGCGCTGCAACCAGTTTCCCTATGCCTATTCTCCTCTCTGCTGCCTTTGACGATGCTCTGGTCCAAAACGTCGCCACCGCCATCAGCACAGAGGCACGTGCCTTTGCAAACTACGGATTTGCTGGACTTGACTTTTGGACGCCGAATATCAACCCATTCCGAGACCCGCGATGGGGTCGAGGCATGGAGACTCCAGGAGAAGATGCCTTCCGCATCCAAGGCTATGTCCTGGCCCTGATTAGCGGGCTTCAGGGAGGAATCAACCCTGACTTCTTCAGGATTATTGCAACCTGCAAACATTTTGCTGCCTACGACATTGAAAATGGCCGCACAGGCAACAATCTTAACCCCACTCAGCAAGATATGGCAGACTACTATCTGCCAATGTTTGAGACTTGCGTTCGTGACGCAAAGGTTGGGTCTGTCATGTGCGCGTATAACGCTGTCGATGGCATTCCGGCCTGCGCAAGCGAATATCTCCTGCAGGACGTTCTGCGAGATGGCTTTGGCTTTACCGAAGACTTCAACTACGTCGTCTCCGACTGTGATGCTGTTGATAACGTCTTTGATCCTCACCACTACGCCAGCAACCTGACTGAAGCTGCTGCCTTGAGTCTTAATGCTGGTACTGATCTCGACTGCGGTTCCTCCTACAACGTCTTGAACGCCTCTGTAGAGGCCGCCTTGACATCAGAAGCTGCGCTCAACCAATCTTTGGTCCGTTTGTATTCGGCGCTTATCAAAGTCGGATATTTCGATCAGCCATCTGAATACAAGTCGCTGAGCTGGGCAAATGTCAACACCACTCAGAACCAAGCACTTGCTCACGATGCTGCTACTGGAGGAATGACATTGTTGAAGAACGACGGGACTCTTCCCCTTTCTCGCACCCTCTCCAACGTCGCTATCATTGGTCCATGGGTTAACGCCACTACCCAGATGCAGGGCAACTATGCCGGCACGGCACCATTCCTGGTAAACCCTTTGGATGTCTTCCAACAGAAATGGGGCAACGTCAAGTATGCTCAAGGAACTGCCATCAACTCTCAAGACACCAGCGGCTTCAGTGCTGCTCTCTCAGCCGCAAGCTCTTCCGATGTCATCGTATACCTTGGTGGAATTGACATCACCGTAGAGAACGAAGGCTTTGACCGTGGCTCAATCGTCTGGCCTGGAAACCAGCTCGATCTGATCTCTCAATTGGCAAACCTGGGCAAGCCTCTGGTCATTGTCCAATTTGGAGGTGGCCAGATTGATGACAGTTCTCTGTTGAGCAACCCCAACGTCAGATCGATCCTGTGGGCCGGGTATCCCGGTCAAGATGGCGGCAATGCCGTCTTTGATGTTCTCACCGGCGCCAACCCGCCAGCTGGAAGACTTCCTATCACCCAGTACCCCGCCAGCTATATCAACAACAACAACATCCAAGACATGAACCTGCGCCCAAGCAATGGCATTCCCGGACGTACCTATGCCTGGTACACTGGCACACCAGTTCTTCCATTCGGCTACGGTCTGCACTACACCAACTTCTCCGTGTCCTTCCAGTCTATCAACACTGCTGGCACAGACGTTGCAACTATTGTCAACAACGCAGGCGCGGTCATAGATACGTCAGTATTTGCAACACTCGTCGTCAGCGTACACAACACCGGCGGCAAGGCAAATCTTGCATCCGACTATGTTGGCCTTGTGTTCCTCTCATCCACAAACGCAGGCCCGTCACCCTACCCCAATAAGCAATTGGCTGCATACGGGCGTGCCAAGAGCGTTGGTGTCGGAGCGACCCAGCAATTGACCCTGAAAATAAACCTCGGATCACTTGCTCGTGCAGATACCAATGGTGATAGATGGATTTACCCCGGCGATTACAAACTTACTCTCGATGTCAATGGACCGCAGACGTTTAATTTTACTTTGAGTGGCCAGGCTACAAAGATTAGCACTTTGCCAAGGCAGTCTTAGAGTAGAAAGATAGGATGAACTGTATATAGTATCAATTGACGACTGGTGTGATATGAAATGATCCTTGTGCGTTGTGTACCCCCGTCGCAGTTGTAGCTATTTTGGCAATTTTCGCCAGTGCTCTTATCAATCGTAAAGATGCGTAGTCCAAGTCCAGTATAAACCTGTAGCCAACAGCGGGAGTAACAGCGGCTATAGGGTTACAGCCATAACCGGCAAGTCTTTAACTAATTTGTATACAATAAAGTCAATATGCCTGGTAAGAAGGCTAAGTAGAAAACAGGAACTTGTAGAGTATTGAAAATATTGAATTGAATAGCTAAAATAACAAATCCATTGACTAGAATAACCTTTGCATTCGCACGAAGGCATGGGAAAACCATGTAGGAAAAAACCACACCAAGGTAAGCAGCCACATCCACTTAAGATCAAAAGACACCCATATCTTCACTCGCTTCCAAAAGTATCAATCCATCCCCTCAAATTCAGCTTCCATTCAGCTTAGATAAGGCCACCCTCTCCCGGCTGGACAATTCCGTTGGTGGTGGCCGCGGCATGAGCCCTAGCAACCATGCCATAAACAGGGAAATACTTGTCGAGATAAGGAAACACTTCCGCCGCGCCAGGGACATTTCGCCAGTCCCTCATCAGATCGCAAACGATGGAGAAAAGACTGACAACTTGCACACCTGCATGTCGCATCCTATCGTTGGAAATGTCGCGGACGAATGTAGAAGAGCTACCCGATGCCTCGGCATTGGCCCAAACAGAGTATCCTTCAGAACGGAGGGACAAGGCCAGATGGGCTGTACAAACATCTGTCACAATGCCAGCCATGATAATCTGAGTCCTGTTTGTAGCTTTGACGGCATTGCGGAAATCTTCGTTGTCCCAGGCATCAACTTCGCCCTGACGCTTGATAAAGGTTGCGTTTGGATACATGTCCGTAATCTCTTTCGGCAATGGCCCATTGGGTCCTATAGATATTTTTAAGTCTTGGATCTCGTATGCAGGAAGGTTATCTTACCTTGTTCTGCCGAAGTCGTCAAGATAACTGGCAGGTCAAACAGTTGTCCAATGGCGGCGTGTCCAATGATGCTCTCTTTGTACGTGACCGGATCAAAGTCTCTAACAGCATTGTAAAGGCCGACTTGCAAATCAACGACAAGAAGAACCTTTGAATGTGTTAGCTTGAAAGATCACCATGAATAGAGGTTTCGAAAAACTTAACATACAGCCTTGTCTTTGTCAAGCCTCTCATAAGGAACCGCTATAATTCCAAGTCAATAGATGCCAGTATCAAACCAAATTTGACGTTCAAGTACGACTTACAGTTTCCCATGGCGGTTGCAGACATCGATGCGATTGCTACCGTGACGATAGAGAAGAGCTTCATTGATGAACCGGGTTGGCGATTTCCGAGCTGGTCTACAAGTAATTCAGGAAGTGAATTGTATAGTTGAGAATGGTTGTGGGTGAAGGAAGGATATATTTTGCTTGAATTCTTCTTGATATATATACTACAACCCCCTTGGCATTGAACTTGGTTCTCTACAGTCAACCAAAGAAGACTGCTCTCGAAATTTCTCGTCTAACATCTCTTCATCATTACGGAGCAATTTGTCAAACCACCATTTACCACTCCCTCGAATGAAAAATCTTGATTTGCATATCCTTGAGTTCTTTTGCCGCAGTAAGCAAATCCATCGAGTCTATCCAAGTGGCGTTACTAATGAAAGTTGCGACGTATTACCAGGGTCAGCTCGCTGGGCGTATAGAGTTGACAGGGGGGTCCAACCTTTGTAATTTTACAGTCAGCTCTGCGCTATGGCTTGCCCAGCGCCCTATAAGGCCGTGCTGCACTCTGTAAGAAATTTTCCACCCGTTCCACCAAGAATGAAACGCTCCCCACACTTATGCTATGTTGACAAGTAGCTGACAGTGAAGAAGCACTGCCTTGATGAATGATGCGAGCCATTGATAGGCTGTAGATGATTCGCATATGCGCTTCATTATAAAGAACAATGTCATAGCCATCTCCACATACAGTTCCATTACTTCAGGCTACAAGAGGGTGGTATATGCCACTCGCAGACTTTCCACTTGAAAGGCTTATGCAAAGAGAAATTTTCAACGCTAACTTATCTCACTGTTTGTATTGTCAAGGAAATATCACATCGCACATAACAGATTGAAAAGCGAATGGACTGAAGAGACATTTGATTCTAATTGCACATATGAAGTCATCTTGTCTCGCATCCAGTATGCCATCAAAACTCATATCACATGATTGATACCGCACAATTTTGCAAACTAGAGGAATTGTACGCCTTTCAATCATTCTCAGATCCTTTTTAATCATATTTGTTGAACGAGATGAAGGATCGCACTACTGAGACTAACGTACGGCCTAGCCGACGCAGAGAAAGCGACAAGGCGTAATATACGATGATCATGGTATTCCATTGTGAGATTGCTGTGAAACTTCGATGCCGTGACAACTCAACCATATTGTTTAAGCTTACACATTATAGGTAGATTAGGTTGCTTAATCTTTCGTCAAGGCGGCTGTGGCTTTTACTTATACCGCATTAGTGGCGGCTCGGCATTCATTAGCTACATGTAGTAACTACAAGTAGACAGGTAGGGCGAATTTGCCAACAGACATGTACCTTACATTTAGGAATCGTAATTATTGCGATTACTGACGGGATAAGGATAAACCTTCAGCTGACCGACCTCTTGTCCTTGGCACTAATTATCAGATACTACCTAGTATGATGCCAAGATTGAACTCCAATTCCACGCATTATTCCCGTATCAGATGTAAACAAGGAGTAGAATTACCCTTCTGCCCTCTGGGGACCATTTTCGAGTGCACGAGGCTGTAGGAATGAGGAAGAAGGAATGGGCATTGATGTACATACGAATTCTTGCTTGTATCGTGAAGACGCCATCGGGCTAGCTAGGCTACATCAAGATCCGCAGGGATTGGTAACCGAGAGTGTTGGTGATGAACAATGTGATGATATTCAGCCCGGTTACGATTCCACTTGGCGCATCTGCAGATATTTCGTCACACCCCTTTACGATACAGCTATTATCGGTACTCATTTGAGTATACTCGCAACCGAGGCTCCAATAGGTCCACATATGTGGGCAGCAAGGATTACCAAGGATTATGTAAATGGCGAGCCAACAACCAAAGGTCTCTCCAGCCATTGGTCCGCATTATGCCGAATGAAGGAATGGTCCCACGCAATCTATATGCGAGGTTACATCCATTCATATGCGTTCGGTGTATAAGTGGCAATCGCGGGCAATGCGGATTAACAGTTCTTCGAGTTTCACACATGTGCCTCGCAATTGAGGATTCGTAAAGGCAGAGCCAACTGATACAAGGCAAGCTAATGTATGCCTTGTGCCTCCTATTACAAGGTTCCACAGCCTGGGCTCCAATGAGTCTCGCGAGAGTTGCTGGTAACGCGTGAGACGTGACGCGCTGTATAAATACACGAGCCGAGTCTCTGTAGAAATATTGTAACACACACACTTAAATATCATCATTCATTCGTAAAAGCTGCAGCTTCTGTGTCCGCCATGCGCCGTTTTCAATTGCTTTTGGGAGCTCTTGGGCTCTCAAATGTTGTCGACGCAGCTTCAACGTTGCTCTCAGGCGGCACAATCATTGCTTGGGACGACAATGAGAACTATTTACGCATAATCCAAAACGGTTCTGTGTTGGTCACGAACGATCGCATCGCCGCTGTGAATTCAAAACCGTTGCCATCAAACCTGCCATCTGGAACAACAGTCGTGGACATATCGAATCAGATCCTAAGTCCTGGATTCATTGACACCCATCGCCATGGGTGGCAAACTGTCTTCAAAACAATTGCATCAAATACATCACTTACCGAATACTTTAATCGCTACGGAGAGTACTTTTCGGCAGACAAGTTCACAGCGGACGATGTGTACATTAGCCAGCTTGCCGGCATCTACGAAGCCGTGAATGGCGGAGTGACTACAATTCTTGATCACGCCTCACACACCTGGTCAGCGAGTACATCGTACGCCGGACTCAATGCATCGGTCGATAGCGGAGCCAGAGTCTTCTGGGCATTTACTTTCCACAACATCACATCACTGAACTATACCGCCGAGGATCAGTTCCCACTCTTTCGGGAGATGGCCGAAAACAAAAAGGCGCTGCTGGGAAATTCCGCTGCTGAGATTGGCATTGCATACGACTACTGGGGATCAAATCCAGATATCAACGAAGCCCAGACTGTCGCAGATCTTGCCAAGGAGTTCAATGTCTCGGTTGTGACGACGCATTCTCTCGCTGGGCCGTGGGCATTCAGCAATCTTCCATCCCAAGTTCAGCGATTTGACCTTTTGGATGGGTCTATCCCAGTCGTCTTTTCGCACTCGAGTTTCATAACCGCAGATGATTTACAGCTTCTTCGTTCTACCAACCAGTATATCTCTATCACAGCCGAGTCGGAGATGCAGTACGGCCACGGCCATCCCCACTCATACTATGCGCAGGACCAAGCAGCACTGGGAATCGATACCCATTTTACCTATTCCTCAGATATCTTGACACAAGCCCGCATGTGGCTTCAGTCCGCACGGCACTACTTCTATAACCAAGTGTTGGAGAACTGGAATGTGCCGACATACAACCCTATGAGCGTCAACCAGGCGTTTTTGCTGGCCACACGGTCTGGAGGATTGGCTCTCCGACGCCCAGATCTTGGTGTTATCAAAGTCGGCGCCAAAGCTGACTTAGTAGTCTGGGATGCAGAGAATTCACCTTCAATGCTCGGATGGGAGGATCCTGTTGCAGCAATTATTTTGCACGCGAACATTGGAGACATTTTGCACGTACTGATTGATGGCAAGTTTGTCAAAAAGGATAAAAAGGTGGTAAATAGCGACTATCCTACTATTCGAAAGAACTTTTTGCAAGCAGCAAAGAAGATTCAGAAAATTTGGAAAGAAATTCCATATCCCACGTACGAGGGAATATTTGCAAGTGGCTATTCTTATGGCACACCACAAGCCGTCGATGTGCAAAGAGGGTCAGGCACAGGATTCGGCACTCAATTCTTATAATGCGCAAAATCGTGGAAGGAAAATGTAAAGAGCCCTGAAATGCGAATGAATGAGGCAAAAATATAATATCAGAACTAATATAAATACAACCCTGTGTTGTAAAAAATGACAATAATAACTATATGTATTTGAGAATTGGTCTGTGGAAGTGAGGTAATACGGATAAGTGACATGAGCACGCTATATGCTTTTTTCACAAACAGCATAAGGAAATAATTTGCGATAGGTAAAGCAGCCAGCAATTGAGCTATTATTTCATATAGCCGTCACGAACTAGACAACAACTGCAGTATTCGCGGTATGCGTATATTACCCGCCTCGGTGAGTGTGCGACTACAAACCATTAAGCCAACTGCAAAGCAATTAAATGTAAGACGCCTCCACGATGAACCCGACTGTAAACTTGGCATGTCGCAGAATAGCTGGCCACTGGATCTTCTCAAGAGACTATCTATATGTGAGCCAAAGCCAAACAGACTCCATTTGTGAAACTTACATCTGCAGCAGAATGAATGTTTTGGTTGGTCTTTTCGAATACGTCTTCATTAACGAAAGCAGATGCTATCGACCATAGTAAGTAAGGTCTCTGTCTTTCAAAGGAAGCAGAGGTAACTGACGGAACCCGTTGGATCGGGCGCTGGCATGATCGGAGCAGCCATAGCCACATCTAGTGGTCAGAGGAGCAGCACCGGTGTATTGAGTAGCAATTACTTTGACGTACTGAGTGAGGGGCGCGTCAACGTTGTCAGTATATACAGCCAGCTGGTTACTCGGCGAATACCCAGTCATGTCTTGATTAAGCATGGCAAGCACATTCTTTTGAGTGGATTTGTAGTTTGAAAAGATGGCCTGAGAGCCAAGGAGACCTCCCTCCTCGCCACTGTACCAGTGAAACTCAACAGTGTTCTTCGGGGTAAAATCCGAATGGGCAATGACACGTAGGGCCTCCAAGATAGTAACAGATCCTGAGCCGTTGTCATCTGCTCCAGGACTGCGGGCTGTAGCAGAGCCAGCAGTAGAGTCCATATGGGCTCCCACAATAACTCGAAGCGCGTCAGCGCATCATGCACCAAATTTTCTGGAGGGAGCGTACTTACTTAAGTTGGAGCTTTGGCCTGGTAGGCGAGCAATAATAGAGGGCTGGTTCCATGTGTGATTGAATCTCTGCACAGTGATTTCCGGCCTCGCAGATGCAATGCTGGAGACCTGATCGAAAAGCCAGGCTGAGGCTTGTGTGCCAGTAGTCGAACGGTAGTGTCGCGTAGTAAATCTAGTCAACAATCGTTATCATCATGCAACTACGGGCCAACCTCGTACAATACTCACTGCGTGAACGTGGTTAACCAGCTTTGTGGGCCATTGATGGACACGTCGGCGATGAGTGACTGTGCCTCGTCTACGTGCTCAACCTTGGTCGGATAGTTAACCGCACGGGCAGAGATGGAGGCTTCTGAAGATGGGGTGGATAGAATAGATAGCACTTCATCGTCCTATAATCTAACGTTAATAAAGGAATTGGTCGCGGCCTGCTCAATCGATAGTTTGAGATACTCGCCTTGATATCGGTAATGTCGATGAATCCTATATTCTTTGAGATGAATCTGTCGAATTTGTCTTGTTCAGTCACCCATTGGCCGATATCAGCTTCAGAGGTCTTGATGAGGCGGAGCCCTGAGCCACTGCCAGCCAGAGGCGCGGAGAGGGCAAGCGGGCAAGCCACCAAAAATAAGGATATGGCGATTTTGGTAGACATGTTCTCGAAAATTTGCTCAAGTTGATATTGAAGTCTGATAAATATTCGCAGTGCAAGACGTCTAGTATGAACGGGCCAACAACCCATTTTATGCTTCTACGGCAAGTAGCGGCGCAAAGATACGCGCAAGAAAGATCGGACAGACAATTAACGTTTTCCAGGCGTAGAGTAACTGCCATTTGTGATATAAAAAGCCATAGCAACCAATCATTTCATGCCTATCGGTACATGACGACTTACTTTGGAGCTTATGGAGCTTCCTGATCCGGTAACTAATGCCTCGCTGTCATGGCATCTTCCTTGTTAAGTGAGGTGACATTCGGGCCAAGAGCAGCAGATCAAGCTGGGCGGGACGGAAGATAGACATATAAGCTTAATTTATTGGCTAATCTTATTTTTGTTAGCCACCCTCATAGGTCCTTGGCAGTCGGGGTCGACTGCGAGAGGAAAGCACGGAGTAAAATAGAGGGGAACAATTGTGCCATTTGCGAAAGTTCCATCCCAAATAGCAGGTGAACTTGCTTTCTGTTATCTCCGCGCCGATATGCAGCAAAGTTGTGAGCTTGGCAGCCATAGCATCTAGGAATGGAGATAGGTGCATATATTTGACGGGACAGCCGTGCTAAGAACCTAGAGAGTGTAATGACTACGTGAGCGATTAATTCTATGCCAACAGTAGTGGTAGATTTATGGAACGCTGAGTTTCTTCAAGATTGTCGTGAAGATGGATGGTGGGAATGACGGCCTCAACTTGTGAATGGGCCTGATGTGCAAGCTGTAAATTCCCAAGTGGGAGAAAGAGTCTGCGGAGCCGTACGACTTAGATGAAGGAGAGGCGGGCAATAGGTATGTTTGCTCTGCTTTATTGTTTATTGCCTCTATCGACGGAACGAGGTGTCGATGTATATTTGAAGCGCATCATCGCCCGTTCGAGGACATCATGTGCCAAACCAGTCGCCTCACTCCCATATTTTGCACAATGAGAGGTTTTCCTTTTCTTTTTCAGGAACGGCCTAGGTAAAAACGAGCAAAAAGACAACGTAACATACACGCAAATAGATCATTATAAAATGCACGGACTATATCGTGGTGTTTGTCCTTGTGGCTGCATGCCCACCAAGTGAGTCGCACCGGCGCATCTCTTGGGTGTTCAGTAGAGATTAAAAATGCTGTGGAGAGCCATGCGTGCATGCATTAGCGAATTTTTCTGCAGATATACTAATTGTATTGTCTCGAGAGGTTTTAAAAATGCTGTGAAGTAGGAGAGAAAAGAGGAAGCGAGGAAAAATCAGCAACTAACACGCAGTAGAAGAGAAGCCTGAGAATTCCAGATTCGATACATGTAAACAAGCGAGATCTGGCTGCTTCAAATTGCTATTCATCCCCATGCGAATAGCAAACTATCATAATGCAATAATTTGCCCAGCGTAGCATCACCAAGTGCTAGCTATTATGGTCCAACGGTTAAGACATCAGTTTGTGGTATTACTGCAAACCACTGAAGACCGAGGTTCGACTCCTCGTAATGGCACATTTTTTGTCTTTTTGCTGCAATTCCTTTTTCTTCCTTTTTTAGAAGGCCAGCGCTAATAGCGTTAGTGAGCAGTTCGCAGCAGTAGCGTACGGCAATACATAAGGCAGCTAAACAGTAGTTTTCATCACCAAAAGAGGGAGATCTGCAGCTTTACTGGCAAAATAGCTACCAAGGTAGCAATTCGGCTCGCCTTTCTACCTACAAGTACCTAGTACCTGATATGTGCAGCAAAGTGAGACAGGCACGCGCATTCATGCCAGAAATTAAAAACCACCAGCTGTCATCTACCCATCTAAGCGTCTTATCAGTGTTTCCAGCGGTCACAGGTTGTACCGAAGCATAAACATTTGTAACTATCTCAAAGAGTGGCCCTCAGGTAATCGTGATTTATAATAAATACATCACCTGATACTAATCTCGACCGTCTTGTTTGGGAAGATGATTGCTAATCCAGACAGCTAAGCCTCTTCTTCATGGCAATGGGGCTTATACTGTATGTAAATGTTGAACGCAGAAGAGAAAGTAGGCAGAGAAAATCCAAGGTAGATGCTTCCGAGAGAAGTGATACATTTGCTGCAAATACCGATTCTTCTGGCAATCCTCACATATCCATGTTTCTCTAGATGTTATTGTCCTCTTTCAATGCCGTAATTGGAAGCTCAACAGCGCTCCCAAAAAGGGCAGTGAGGCTGGTTGAACATGTCTTCAGCCCACCATCTCGTAAGCCCAAATCATAATTCCGCACTCCACCAGCCGCGGTACAAGCCGCATCCTCGGAGAGCTCTCGGCATATAAATATTCCTCCAACAGACAACCCAGCCTCAACACCATCAGTCAACTCACAGATTCATTTTGGACCAACCATTCAATCTCAATCAAAGTACGAACCGGTCCAACAAGAGCATACTACGAGACCCAAGCTAAACACCTCCTGCACAGCAAAGACACAATGCCTTCCAACGTGACAGTTTTCTACGGGCAGCCCAAGGAGGGCGAGTTCTTCGACATGGACTACTACATCAACAAACACATGCCCATCGCCAACGAGCATTGGACGCCTCTGGGCCTCCAGAACTGGCAGGTCCTGCGGTTCGGCCCTGACGCCCCCTACCATGTGGTCGCCATCTTGAACTGGGAGAACGAAGGCGACGCCGACAGGGCCCTCAAGCACGAAGCAGCAAAGATTGTTGTTGGCGACGTGCCCAACTTCACAAACATGAAGCCTATCCTGACGCCCGGCGAGATCACTGGCACCTGGGAGCGAAAGTAAGGAGGGGTTGCAAAGAAGGGCGGGGTTGATGGATCGGAGTGGATTAGCGACGCCACTTGATATACCTACCACAGCTAATTTATCGCATAGCTAGCAAATCACGCACAATTTATCATGATCAGCTTATCAGCGCGAGGATGTGATACCGTGTCCATTATATTACGGAGTATCTAGTATCTATACAAAAGGTGTCCAGAGTGTGCGAAAAAGAGGCTACATTTACGTGGGGCGTAATGACATGAAACCATCATCACCCAACCGCCATGGCCACAATCGCCAGATGCCCTGTTCATCTTCCATCTTGATATCGTCAAGAAATCTCGATACACACCTTTCCTTTGTGCTGTCCCGACCACTGATACTCACATGCTTCCTTGAGTTGATCTAGACGAAACACCTTGGCATCAATGACCGGTCGGAGCCTCTCCGGATTAGCCTCGACTGCGCGGCACAAATCTTCCAACATGACTCTTGATCCTACAGAAATAGGCCGCACTATACACCTATACGTGAAACTGTCCGAGAAGCCGGGCTCGTTGCCCTCGGAACCTCCCAGATAGCCAACAATATTGATGACTGCATCTACCCTGATAGCCTTCAAACTCTGCGCCATGGACAGCGGACCAGAAACCTCAACAACTTGGTCAACGCCAACGCCCCCAGTTAGCGCTTTGGCCGTAACGCCCCATTCGGAGTCTTCTTTGTAGTTGATAACGTGATCAGCTCCGAGATCCTTTAAGAATTGTACCTTGTTGCTGGAGCCCGTAGTAGCAATGACTCTTGCGCCGACTGCTTTGGCAAGCTGCAGTGCAAAAACGCTGACTCCTCCGGTGCCTTGGGTCAGCACCCATTGGCCAGCGTTTAGTTTGTAATCAGAAAGCCCAAAGAGAGCACTCCAAGCAGTCAATCCAGCATATCCCAGCGTTGAGGCCTCCAGAAAGCTCAAATTTGATGGGATTCGTACCAAACCCTGCTCGTTGAAAGCTCCGTAATTGCGAAGCGTGCCATCCAGAGTGCCTCCAAGCATGGAAGCGGCCATAGCAGCCTCGAAACGCCCGCCAACGAAGTCTTGGAAGAAAGCTGTGGCAACTCTATCGCCTGGTGTGAAGCGGCGGACATGCTTGCCAACTGCGACGACTGTCCCAGCCCCATCAGACCCTGGGATGACGTTCGGGATAAGCATGTGTGGGGCATTTCCTTTTACTATCATAAGATCGCGGTACTATGATATAAATGCTCTGGTCAGTGGTAGGGGACATGATGCCAGTGTGCATTGACTCACGTTGAGAGATGCCGCTTCTACTGTATCAATTGGTTAGAATCTGACATGTAAATACGCGGGATCTCTATAATTAAGCTTACATTTCACTAATACTTGGCTATCCCCTAATTGAGGAAGAGGCTGTTCTGAGTGCTTCAAGGATTCAAATCCTCCTCCCTCGGTGAGGTTCCACTGGTATCCGGCTTTAGGGATTTCGAATGCCATCTTGTATGTCCTTGATATGAGCTGCAGTCAATGAATATGCGGATTGCCAAGTTGAGGCTTAGATAGAGTTTTCGATGCAGCTTTTGATAGATTGTCAGACTTTATTGTCCTGATGTACAGTGCAAACCTTCTTTATATAAAGCTCGCCCGCTGGCAATAATCTCATGGCACTCAACAATCACATTAATAATTCATTATAGGAGTCAATGATGCTCCGGACCCTTGATGCTGACCATCACCAATATAGTCTCAAATGATATTCTAATTTATAATACTCCTTTGATATCAAACGCGACCAGACATACAATAGTTGTTAATTACTGTCTTGAGAATTGTCTTTTCAGACAAATACAAATTGTCAGGTGATATTTAGCGGGGCGGTTCTGGATGCCTGTCTCGGAGTTAACGAGTGGAGTTGACACTACAGTTTTAAATTCTCATCAGATGGGAGTCTTTATTTGAACGAGAAGACTATTGATAAGCAGTCTGGCCTACCGGTTGACATATAGAAAATATCTGCAAAGTGAAATAGTCCAAAGAAGCCGTCCTCCTTTAGAGATGTCAACCATTGACGTCTTAGCGGCGGCACGCTATTAAACGTAGCTCACCTCAGAACAGCTATAATTACCAGTTTAGGCCTGCTGCCGAGTGAAATTTTACAACTACGGGCGCTAATAATTCAGCGTAGTGTAATCTATAAGATTTGATCTGGGAGCTTTCTATGATCAAGTACGGGCATAAAGAGAGCTTTTACTATCTAGATTCTCAATAATAACTCTCAATCTTACATGACATTGAAAGATTGACGTCTACGTCTACGTCTACAATATTATCCATACTTGACGGCAACAGCTCCGCAGAAGCTTTAGTTCATCTGTCGCTTCTATTAATTAGGTAGTAATGTACAGTCAGTTATACACATTGCCCACGATCTTTTGCCTAAATTTTGGAAGCAACGATAAATGCCGTCAGAAAAGTCAATGAGTCTTACAAGTACATCATTTACAACGCAGCCTCGAACTTGCCGCAAATGGCACATTTTCTCTTCCATGAAGCAAAAAACTCCATCAATATATCCTCCCAAAGCGTCTTTCCCCTCGTAAACATAATTGTGGCTCCAGGTACTCTAGAGTAGTTTCATAGGCGGAAAAACAGTTCATCTCATCATATCAAGTATCGATCAAACGGACTCTATTCTACCGAGAAATGGCGCAAATGCTTGCTATTGCCGCCCAGGACCCGAATTTTGCCCCATCCCCTGTTTTCATCGTGCTAATATTGATGGCATCATTCTAAATGCGGGGTTGAGCAGTTCCTATTTACCCCACCATCTATTATAGAAGACTTTGCGACTTGGCGGTTATGCTGTTGGTGACACATTTCACTGTTTAAAGGTATACACAGATTATATCGCTTCATTGAAAGGAAAACTAGGACCAAGAAAAGTAACAAGGATGGGTTCAAATTCCAACTCAGCACTAAAGATAGTCTTTGGGGCTATGACCCTTGGAGAGAAAGGTTTGTAAATCCAGCCTATGAGAGCATTATGGATGCTAATTGCAGCCTCCAAGGTGCTGATCAAGCTCGAATTCATACTCTGGAAGAATGCGCAGAGATTCTCGATGTATTTCAGGAATTTGGCCATTCAGAGGTCGACACAGCTCGAGTGTACGGTGGAGGCAGCTCTGAAGAGTACCTCAGGCAGCTGGACTGGCAAAAGAGAGGCATTGTTATGGACACCAAATTATCGCCTGCTAGCGGCAAGTATAACCACACGGCTGCGGGTATTCGACAAGGCCTCTTGGAGAGCATGAAGGCTCTTGGAACTGAAAAAGTAAGTTGAAAGGAGACACGCATATGAGATGCATGTTTGTCAGGTGGAGAATTGCCAACTAAATGTTGATTAGGTTGACATGTGGTACCTGCATGCGCCTGATCACAATACACCATATGAGGATACTCTTCGCGAAGTCAACAAGTTGTACGAAGAAGGCTACTTCAAACGCTTCGGAATTAGCAACTACTCAGCCTGGGAAACGGCTCAGCTAAGCGAGCTCTGCATTCGCAACGGGTGGAAGAAGCCTGATGTCTACCAAGGCGTATACAACGCCCTCCATCGAGGCGTGGAACCCGAGCTATTCCCTTGCCTGAGATACTACGGCATCGCATTCTACCAGTTTAACCCCTTGGCTGGAGGAATGCTCACTGACAAGTATAAGCTGGACTATCAAGAACACGAGCAAGGCAGTCGGTTTGATCCCTCGCATGAGCAGGGTGCGAATTACCGACAAAGATACTGGAACGAGACGTATTTCAAGGCCCTGGATATTGTGAGGCCAGTGGCTGCCAAGCTGGGTATCAGCACCGTTGAGGCAGCCCTTAGATGGTCTCTTCACCACAGCTTAATGCAGAACCAATATGGCGACGCCGTGATCATTGGGGCCAGCAGTGTCCAGCAGCTGAAGGAGAACTTGACAAGTTTGCAAAAGGGGCCACTTCCAGATGAGCTGATTGCAGCTTTTGACAAGGGATGGGAAGTGGCCAAGCCGGTCTGCAAGCCATACTTTCGTTAAGAGAGAGCCAGAATGTGCTACGGCTGTGCACGATACATTGAATAATGGCCAACGCGCCCAAGACAGGGTTCAAGAATAGGGTAGTGTGATTCAATGCAAGCTACTGCTCTTCAAAGGCAAATATACCATGCTCCACAGTGTAATACTATGCTCATATCGGCTCACTGATGCCGATTTCCTCTGCCTTCCGGCGGCTCGCTTTACTAGCTACATACCTTTTACCCGTGATTTCTTGATTACTTATACAATTCCTCTTGGATTTCCGAAGCGATCATCTGCGGGGTAAGTCCTCGTATACATGATATATTGATCAGGGTCATGGGAGCGGGAAAGGAAATATCATTATACACGTTTGGAGTAGCTGTTAAATATCGAGCCAATTACATTTACTTATTGACTAAATAGCAAAGTTGTTTTACAACTATTGAAGAGAGAAATTGACACTGACGGGCGCTGTACAAGGGCTAGGATCGGTACTTCACTTTGACACCTCAGATCTCTCTCCTCCGATCCGTCGGGATGTAACCTCGCCGTGATCCGTCGTGGGGATTCATTTGAAACAGGAATTTACAACTTGCTTCAACTGATGCGTATTTTTAGGCTAATTCCTGGATTTTTCGTCAATGGCAAGATATGGAATCAAAAATGACGTCGATCGAATCCTCTTCTCAAGAGCAACGTACCATATACCCAACAACCCGCGAATGCTAATAGTAATCCAGCAGTGTGGTGAGAGTATAGAACAATATAAAGCGAGCCTCAATTATGTTCAATGTAGATACATACCCATTTGGTTATCTAAACATTTGCAAAATGGTTCGGGCTTCAGTAGTCTCGTCAATTGCGACTCTCGTCGCTCTCGCTGCGAGCGAAACGGTCCGCTTGAACGTCGCCAGATCGGCTCCAGCATCGTCAAGTCCGCCAATCTCACTTGATTTCCAGTCGTTTTCCATCGAATTTGCATTCCTCGTCGATTTCAATGGTAAGTTACAGTCTGTTAATGTCCAAGGAATAACATTCACCGTTCCCCTCAGGAAATAAGTCTCATCCGAATAAATTCACCAATAATCTCTTGACAAATTTAAGAGCCTTTAATGGAGATGTTCCTCAGATTCTTCGTATCGGCGGGAATACTCAGTAAGTATTCATCTCAATTCCCAGCAGCTTGTTGCTGATAAGTGCACACAGGGATCATGTCACCTATTTTCCCGACCAGAAAGAGCAAATCATCAATTTCTGGGATCCGTCGTACAATTCGGATCAGCCTCGTAATACTTCGATTGGCCCGACCTTTTGGGAGGCCTTTACCGCCATTGAAGGGACAAGGTACATTTTTGGGCTAAACTTTTACAAAAACGATTCCACATATCTTGATAACCTTCGAGGAGAGGTAGAACAGTCTTTGCTGCAGATTCCGCCCGAGCGACTGCACCTATTCGAAATAGGCAACGAGAATGATTACGGCGCCCTGTCTGGATTCCGACCTCCAACATGGACCCAGCAGGATTGGGTTGACGAGTGGGTATACCGTTCGCGACACATCCAAACGCCGGCCAATCCATTGCGTTTCTTTGCTCCTTCAACCTGCTGCTATAACATCACGACGCCTTACTCGTTCTTCTCCCCCTGGACAATCTGGAATAGTACGTTCGATTACGATCGAGATGGGTGGATCTCGGAGGTATCCCAGCACGGGTAGGTCTCAGCCGAAGATGGCTCAGAGGCGATTTAGTCACTGAATTGGGGACAGATATGTATCCGGAACGTCTCAGAACCCATCTCTACAAGGTTGGTTAATCGATTACTCTATGGGTTAAAATATTAACACGAAAGCAGGCACTCTCATGAACCACACAAGCGTAGTGATAAATGGGACTATCCATCAATCCCTTTGCAACTTGAACCACCACGCTGGCCGTATATACACTCTTGGCGAGACCAACAGCGTCTCTGGTCAAGGAGCATTTGGAGTCTCCAATGTATTTGGATCTGCCCTCTTCGTTCTTGACTATGAGCTCTATTATGCATCTTTCGTAAGTCATCTTGTCCCTCTTTTCTACACCTATAGTCTTGACGGAACCTGGCAGGGAGTGAACCGCATGCACATGCACCAGGGAACTGCTTACCGCTACGGGGCGTGGATGCCCATTTCTCAGAACGGCACCGGTCCATCGACCAACCCTCCCTACTATGGACATGTCATGGTTTCCAAATTCATCGGAAGCAACCCCAGCACGAGAATCAACAACATTGATCTAAACAGTGAGTTTTACTCTGCATACGCAGCATACGAAGATGGACGCCTAGCGCGAGTTGTGCTGCTGAATCTTCACGAATGGAACCCGAGCAGTAGCCAAGCCGAAGCCGAAGCCGAAGCAGCACCGAGCACGACGTTTACTCTTGGCACTGGCCGAGATGGCATTCAGTATGCTACTGTAGAAGCAATGACTGCTCCAGGTGCACTGTCGGAAACAAATATCACGGTCGCTGGGATTAGTTACGATTATGACCTGGCTGAGGGAAAACCCGTGAGGGTGGCGAAACAGTACGAGAGCGTGCTCCGCCCTGATGACAAGGGAGAGATTTCTGTTCCAGTACGGGATTCACAGGCAGTACTTTTGACATTTCACTAACAGGTAAACGTGAATGTCTTGCAATATATGTTGGGGATATCTTGGAGACGTACGAAGGAGCAAACACGGTCATAAAGTAAGCCCACCACCATGTATGACAGACAGTGTATAGTATGTTGAAAGGCACATGGCGACTCCATCTTTCGAGAGAACTCGTCTTCTTGAATCTGACGTCCTGCCATTGCAATAAAACATGGTAAAAACACACAGCAAATACCACTTTATCTGACTAAGAGCAATCCTACCGGTTCGTCAAAGACCTGCATATGCATTGGTAATCGCTGGAAACCACTCCCCGCTGCTCCAGGCCCGCAATCTGCCGAAAACGCTGCCCTTCCAAGCGCTCGGCTTTCCGACTCGGCGGGACTCGCGCAATCAACAGCCTTCATTCGCCATTTGCGATATCAGCGATCCACCAACAGGCCGGCTGCAGTTCGCTGAGCGAAACGGGACAAGGAGGCGATTCCGAGCCCGTGGCTTCACTTCGTTCTACGCGCACGCGACAAAGCAGAGAGTAGAAACCAAAAGCGCAAAAGGTGCTGCGGGCTCAGAATGGCAACAGATGAAGCGACGCCACTGCTCCCGGGCCGTAAAGCCTCGACTTTGGCCGGTCAGAAAGGCTTTGGGGCGTCGGTCAGAGGCATCTTCACCAATGTCGAGAACCGCATCCTGGCGGCCGGGTTTCTGATATGCGTCGCCTTTAGTTACACGCAAGTTCCGTGAGTCGCAATGCCGATACTTGTGCCGTAAAACAGTCAAAACTCACATCGCTCGAATAGGCTCATGTATGTGTTCCATCTCATGGTATGCGACGAGTATTACGACCATCATCCGCCCTTTGAAGGCCCCGGTCAGCGATGCAGTCGTGACGAAATCGCTGCTGGGACCGCGGCGCAGTTTAGTATTCTAGGAATGAGCACAACACTATGCGGTGAGTTATCCTGACTGTTGGCCAAGATTATACTGCCCAGTTATATGTAATATTGACAATAGCCGCGTGTGTGACGGACGCTCAGGAACTCTCAATCTATTTCTCGCGGGATGGACAGTCAAGAAGATTGGCCCTCGCGCTGCTCTCATGATTCAGACCTTTGTGCCTGCGATTCGAGTCCTTGCACAGATCCTGGGAGTCGTCGCGGGCAAACGCACCGGCATGCTGATTATCCAAAGCACTCAGCTCTTCACCATCGTTGGCGGGCCCGCGGGATACATTCTCGTCACCAACATCATCGCCAGCGAGCTCGTTGAGCCATCTCGGCGTACAGTTGTCTTTGGCAAACTGCAGGGAAGCATCATGCTTGGGCAAAGCATCGGATACCTGGGTGTGTACATCATCTGTGTTTAGGAGCTTATCCAGCCGGCTAACAGGTTGAATGCGCAGCTGGTGGAATGATTGGAGATGCAATCGATATTCGCGCCCCCTTCGATTTTGCCTGCATCACGTTTCTCATTGCCTGCGTGTACGTCCGCTTCGGCCTCCCGTACATCTCTCCCGAGTCTATGAGCAACAAGAAACCGGGCCGGCAAGGCATTGCAGGCTTCTTCGCGCCGCTCAAGATTCTCGTGCCGCAGCGCATGCGCTCAGCCAACGGCAGTATCAAGAAGCACTACGGCGTTGTGATTCTCTGTGCCGGTATATTCCTTGGAGTTGTACGTAGCAAGGCCTTTCATTTCATTTTGTATCCTGTGTCTTCAGAACTGACTAGATCTACCCAGCTTGCGACGGATTATGCACCTCTGTTGATCCAGATGTACGCCACCGCAGCCTTTGACTTTGACCAGGCCGACAACGGCTGGCTCATGTCTGAATTTGCCTTTATGAGAAGCATTTTTCTCATACTGCTCTTCCCGCGCATCATCAACTTCGGCCGCCACCTGATGAAGCGTACTTCAAGCCCGGCACCAGAAGACTCTGACGATTCGTCCATATCCACGGCTGATACCCAAATACCCACCGAGCCTGGCGACTTCGATGCAGCTACTGGCGAGCAGACCGACGTTGAGCCAAGTAAACCACTATCCTCGACGCATCACCGCGAAGTTGGACGGTTTGATCTCATTTTCCTTCGATGGAGTCTCGTAGTTGACGGGGCACTCACTACCGTGGCCGCATTTGCTACAAAGAGGTGGCACATCTATCTCGGTAGGTTCATCGCCATCGACTCAGCTTCATCTCACGGCACCCAGTACTAATTCATCTCTTTGCAGCTGCATTCCTCCTACCTTTTGGATCCGGCTCTGCGCCAGCCGCCAAAGGCGTCATCACAGACATGTGTTCAGAGTCGCAGCGCGCGGATGCCCTAAACGCCGTGACCCTTGTAGAGAACATTGCCCGATTGTCCACACAGGGGCTATTTGGGTTTGTATTTTCGAGTCTTGCAGGCGTGGGCAAGGCATATATAACGTTTTTCTGCAACGCGGTAAGTTCTGCCACATGTCAGCCGAGCTGGACAATGTTAATGAGAGGCTAACGTGGATGGAAATTGTAGGCAATCGCAGTAATTGGAATGGCAGTCTTGCTGTTCTCCCGTTTCCCACCTACAGGCAGTACACTAGTTGACGATGACGCTGAAGAAATAGGAGAAGATCAAGATTAACGTGAAAATTCACTTTGCTCATCAACAGTTCATGCATCTAATGGCGGCTCTATAGGATGGAGCTTTTGCTCACAGATCAGCCGTGAGCGTCCAAGCCAGTTTCCGCCTTGGACATAGGCCGAGCATACTTTTGCTCGCAAGAATGACACCCCCAAAAGTTATAGAATATATAGAATCTATAGAATCTATAGAATCTATATATATACTCCTTACGCTTCCACTGTAAAGACATGCTTTCCTCCAGCAGCATCAACACTCGCCCAGCCAGTTGTTGGGTCAGGCGACACATTTACAGGTGCTCCATCCATACTTATCGTCGGGTTATCCAGCCCCAAGGTCGGAACGCAGACCACCCCCGACGAGCCATCTAATGTTTCAATATTCAGAGTAAATACCACTCCAGTTTGTGCATCCTCTCTCTCCCATGAGACTTCAATCTTGCCTTGCGGCGTTGGCACTTGTCCTTTGGCCCATGTAAGTCCGCCACCATCCACCACAGGGCAAATGCTCCACGTCTTGAATCCAGGAGACTGGGGCTTCACTCCAAGCACATAGCCAGTCAGCAGCGGAACTACTCCCGTTGACCAGCCATGCGCCATGGATGTAAATGCACCCTCGTACGGAGCGCCACCTGGTCCAATGCCCTCCCACATGGTGATCTGGGGATCATGGCTCGCCATCCATCCATACAGCCTTCGGAGTTCGTCAAAGGCGGAAGAGGCTTGCCCAGGAGTGGCAAACCGGGCCGCAATCTCAAAGTAGGAGATGAAAGCGTAGACTCGGCTATTGAATTGATCGCCGGGGCTCAAGATGCTGCTGTCATAGAATGCGTTTCCATATCCCTGAGAGGTCGCATTTTGCCAATAGTCCAGTATCTGAGCCGAGGTGGTGTCATTTGTCACTCCTGCGAGAATAGCAATAGAGTTGCCATCTTGCGAGTGAACATTGCAGTATGTGCCAGCTGCGGCTCCGGGGCAAGGGCCGCCATCATAGAACGCACCAACGCTCTGGTCAAAATTGTGGCTTAGAAGCGCTTTTCCAACAGATGAAGCCCTAGAAGACCATCTTTCTGCGTCATCATCGAGGCCAAGACTCGTAGCCAGCTGCGAGGCATACGATAGCGCATGAACGTACAAGGCGTTGTAGTACGTTACGGGCCCTGACCGGGGCAGAAACGCATAATCGCCATAGCCAGTGTCATTTTTATACAGGAGCCCAGTTGCGCTGTCTGTATTTGCAGCGTAATAACCGTCAAGGGCGTTTTTCAGTGTGTTCCAGTAAGTATTCGCATAAGAGGTATTGCCGGTGTACATCACAAGGTCGACACTACAGACAACCCACCAAAGGGGATAGTCAAACAGCGGAAGACCGTAATTGTTTCTATTTTCCCAACTGTTAGCCTACACTTTCTTTACCGCTAGTCATATTCGCGACCTTTGAGAGACTTACATGCTCGCTGGAGGAATCCAGCCATCAGAACGCTGATGCTGCGCCAAGTCTTCCAACACATTTCTTGATGGTTCGGCAAAATCATGAGACAGATATGAAGTAAGTGATGATACGGCAAGATCTCCAACATATGGGTCTCTATCACGCTTAGCTCCATCAAAGAGTACTTGTTTGCCCTCCAAGGTCGGACTCGAAGCGCTTCTAGGCTCTGTCTCGTTGGCAAGAAACACGTCTGTTCCCATATCCACGGTATACACTCCATCATACCACCATTGCGTGAGACTTTCGTCTGAGCATTCAAACGATCCGGTGAAAGTATCCGGCGTCCCAAGATACGCCGACCATTCAAGGCTCACGCCTGAGATGGAAACCGAACCTAGAGAAGAAGTGTATGGCGCATCCGATGCCAAAGCTTCTAGCCAGATTTTCACATAACGGAAGCCGTGAAGCCCATCTGAGCAGACTTGAGTGCCGTTTTCGCATCCATGAAGATCGCTCCAAGTGTAATTACTGTTCTTAACAGCCACCTATGAAGAAATGATCTAAATATCAGCGTCCAGATCGCTTGACAAAATGACGACTTCAAGTCTTCATTTTCTTACCTGATCCGTTCCATTGGTCAATTTCTCATTCTATGTCGGCATTTTCGTTAGCAGTCCGTCTGATCAAAGGAAGAGGACAAGGGGCATGTGGCTTCTCAAGACTCACTCCGCTAGCATTATCAGATCGTGTAAAATCACTCCGATCGGTGAGATATTCCGTCGTCTCGGAAAAGGCCAATCTCAAGCCCGGCAGCCCAGTAGACAAGCTCTGTGATCCGCTGAATTGCAGGCTCAAAACTCCAACAACATTCTGCCCAAAGTCCACCACTATTGTCGGCAACTGGTCGCTTTCAGTATTACGGCTCAGCACTGTTGGCTCTTGGCCATCGACCAAACCGTTTGGATTCGACACATTGCCAACTGTGCTGTCCGAAACAACTGCAACTGGCTTCACTGTATTGGAAGCAGGCGATCTGACATATTTCTGCCAGCTTGGAGCTGTATCAGCCGCACCAAACTGAACACCATTCGACAACACAAGGCCAGTATAAAGCGCAATCAAGCTGTTAGAAACCATGGCTGCGCCTCATCAATCAGCTCTTGGCTACCGTTCAATTATAGTTTCAAGGCCCAATGGTTCAACTCACTTACAGCGCACAACGTAGTATCACCCAGAGGCTTTAATAGCATGGCTTCTCTAGGCATCCATAGTCGAGTTTTCAAATCCTATCGGCGATTTCGCGTTATTACGCACCGAGTGTAACCCTGTCCTGAATCTACTTGCGGGGTCAGATCCGCGATCTGTTCCCCCGCGATGGGCTACGAAGCGCCGACACAAAGCAGGATATCAGGTCGCCGACTTTGAGAATGCGGGTGTTGTATCTAGTAATTGAGGTGATAGATCATCCTACGCTAAGATGCCTTGAAAGAGCGGGGATGCATGGAGTTTCATGGTCTATGAGTAGCCTGGAGGAAGATTCATGAGATGCTAGCCGGCTTAATTCATGAATTAGCTGCCGAGTAAGAGGGACGGCTAGGTATTAGACTACGCGCCTCAACTACCCAGCGGCTCAGAAACCATCGTGGCGCGCGTTAATGAGATCCGAAATCCAAATTCCAATCAAGCTAATACGGATCATGTTTTCCAGACCCCGAGAGTAGAGTGCAAGTCCGTCGAGAGGTTGGTATGCTCGAGGCAAGACGGCAGTATATTAGAATATTCCTTTTGACGTTGTAACAGGCTACGTGGAACTAACATGACACTCGTAAAACGCGATTCACGACTCAAGATAGTTACAAGTGTCGAGTATGTATGTATACTTGATTCTGACTGGGACAGAAAATTGATAACAAAGGATACAAGAGCAAGACAAGATAATAGCAGCCCACGTAATCCAGCAATGTATTCGCGAAGTGGTGGAAAATGATAACCCCAGACACCGTGCATCAATGCCCCAAGTCAAATATAAAAGCTACCATCTAACGACATGGGATTACGCTTTGCCTTTTTCGTCCTTCTTTTTCTTCTCATCCTTCTTCTCGCCCTTCTTCTCATCCTTCTTCTCGACCTTCTTCTCATCCTTCTTCTCGACCTTCTTCTCATTCTTCTTCTCGACCTTCTTCTCATCCTTCTTCTCGACCTTCTTCTCATCCTTCTTCACTTCCTCCTTCTTCTCCAGCATAGTTGTCGCTTCCCAGACATGCCCATCCACATCCTCAAAGCTCCTGGTGTATATTCCCACGGATTTCCCATACCCTTCCATTTTGAATGGATCTTTTTTGCCGCCCCCCCTCTCGGCCTTTTCTAATAGCCCATCCACATCGTCTCTGCTGGCCACGCCTAGAGTGTATATCGCACCCGTGAACTTCTTCGCATTTATAATCTCTGAGCCCTGACGGACAAATTCTCCGAACCGCCTTGTAGAGTGTAGCATAAGACAAATATTGGAGTTGGATCTGTAGGGAAAACGAAAGGCAGAAGTGTTGGCGTCGGAGAAATCAGGAAGAGGAGTGAATGAGAGAGATTTATAGAAATCGGTAGCGGAGTTGAGAGACGCGACGGGGAGTGAAATAAAAAACGATGGCGGATTTACAGTCGGCATGGTAGCAGAAGAGATATCGTTGACAATGTATATACTATGAGAAACTCGGCATATATGTGCAAAACGTAGTTATATCGTTTATGATTGAGAAGTTGCCCTAGTGGGCTCCATCGCGTCTTATAAGGCTGAAGTATATGGCTTCATAATGACATAAAAAGCTCATCATCGGACACAAGCATCAATCTATCCGGCGCTAGACACAGCTCAATCGGAGTCAAATGGACGAAAATTGAAACCTTGTTTCTTCCAGCCGTCACGCTAAGACTGCTTTTTGCCCTTCTGAGGAAAAGGGCCAAGGAGGTGTAAGCAGCCCTGCAGCAGAGCTACGGCAGCTCCAAGTCTAGAATTACTTGGCGTAGCATTTAAAGCGTTCCTGGAACGCCATGCAGCTCGCTGAATCACAGGGCCTATATTCAGTATAAGTATTGGTGATAAATCATTAGTATGCATATGCACTATTAATATTCGTCCAATGACTCTCTTTCTCGCTCCCTCCCAATGTGCTGTTTGCCCTATTGCAGCCACCACTGCTACGCTATTGATTGAAGGCTTGCATTTATATGTAGGGAGGAATTGTTTTGCACACCGCTTCGGCTGCAAGTATGTGGCCCAAACCAAACTTGGTGCCGGGCTGGCTACTCCAAATTACTACATGTAACTTACAAGGTGCTCAGTAATCACCTGCAGCATATAAGGTTCGAAGACGCCCTGAAATCCCATCTACAGATAGTTTCTCTTTGCAGGCAAAAAAAAATGAGCTCACATATCACCAAAATTCATATGAAGTGTCAGATATAGCAAGGTCAATATGCTGAGAAATAGGAGGTGGTACGAGAATCCTCATGGCAAAAGCAACGAAATGGTAATCCTTGCATCTATAAGCCGACGGCAAAGTATTGGAAAGGCAGCAATACATGTACGTACATATAACCTGCAGCTCTTTGACCAATTAAAGACTTGCGTCTTTGTTGGCCAGAGCAGGCGACTCAACCCTTTGCATGGCTGTGATGCCATGATTAAATCACAACTTGGTCCAGTGAATTGCGAACGTACCACCACGAGTTTTGCTATGCATGATCCCAGGAGCATTCTCATCTGCATATACACCATATCGTACTAAATATTAAGCATCCCAAACCCTCAAATGTGATGATGAGCAGCGACGTTGCATGAAACATCCCGCGCCGATTGGACACGCCTTACTTTAGCCTCTGCCGTTCGGGCCGTTTCCACATTCTGTGCCTGAAAGAGCAGCCGTCACCATCGATCCACAAGCAAATCGCATCTCGGCTGAGCCAGCAGTCGATTGGCTGGGTATGTTACGATGTGTTTCTTGGCCCATTCTGATGGCACTACTCGGAATTTAAGCCCAAGAGCCTACGGATAATAGACCGTCAAGACGGCTTCAAAGTCACAATCGGAGTTTGTCGCCATGTTTCTGCACGTATAGACGGCTGGCAGAGCAAATAGGACAAGATCGGCATGTACGAGTTGCCTATTTTATGCCAACGCGCAGCGCGAGAGCCGCGGTGGGACTAGAACGAGAGGCGATAGTAATCACAGCCCAGTTTAACACCTTGCGACCTGAATTTGGGTCTCATAGGGGCCACGATGGGTATTATATATAGATGGAGCACATGCAACTCTATAGCTTTACACTATAGTAAGCAACGGGGTATGCGTCGAGATTCACTTTGAAATACCATCTCTTCACAAGCCGTGACCGCTACATCATGAAATCCACTCTATCATGGCTGCTCTATGCCACTGCGGTATCAGCCGCGTCGCATAATCAACACACTCACCCTACCAGAGCCGCGGCCATCGATGCCTCCACCATCCAAGGCAAGTGGCTCTTTGGCTACCAAGGCTGGTTCCGCAAGCCAGGCGCTGGCGTAAACAACCACTGGTCCGCTGATGGCAACACGCCAGGACCCAATAACAGTAGGAAACATGTCTTTCCAATTCGCATAAACCCAAAAGCTGAGGCCTTGTATGACTGACTCTTTGATAGTTGAGATTGACTTCATCCCAGACGTCAGCCAATATCCGGCCAACTGCCTCTTCAACACGCAGCTCACGCTGCCAAATGGCCAACCAGCCCAGCTCTATGACAGCTCTTGCGCGGGTGTTGTCGACCTGCACTTCAAGTGGATGCAGCAGTACGGCCTTGACGGCGTGATTGTGCAAAGGTTCCTAGGGTCTGTCGGCGACCAGTCCTTTACCACGGTGAGCATATGCCGTCTTGGATGCAAATCGCAGAGCCCAGCATCTGACCACCAGCCTAGGTCCTGAATCAAGTCCAAGCAGCAGCTGAAAAGTATGGCCTCGGCTTCATCGTCGAATACGACGTCTCCGGCGCCGATTCGTCTCAAGGCAGCGTCGCTACCGCAGTGCTAAACGACTACAACGCCAACATCAAGAAATACACCACATCGTCAGCCTACATCCACCAAAACGGCAAGCCCGTCACCATGGTCTTTGGAATCGGCTTCTCTGGATTCAAAGTCACTGCCGCCGACAGCATCAACATTGCCTCTCAGCTCCAATCTGCCGGCCTGTACGTCGGCTTCGGCGTGCCTGAGCAGTGGTCTGGCGATGTCACCGGCAACACGGGCTTCGTCCAGGCTTATAAGCAGGCAGACTTTATCAGCCCTTGGACTGTGGGAGGCTACAGCGATGCCGGCTACGCAGGCTTCCACACCTCTACCCAGGTTCCAGACGCGCAGTACGTGATATAGCCAACTGCCATGCTCTTTTCTGCAGATTTGAACTTTGCAAGCTAACAATTGTTTTGTTATTAGGCTGTTGAAGTCGCTCGGCAAGCAATACGCACCTGTTATTTTCCCCGGCACCTCTGCCTTGCATCTCAACGGCGGCAACAACCCATCAGCATTCGACTACTTCCCTCGATACAACGGCTCTTTCTACTCTGCACAGGCAGATGCTCTTACCACCATGGCCAACAAGCCTTTGTTCATCTTTAGTGCCATGTTTGACGAAGTCAACGAAGGTGGGTTCATAAACTCGGCTGCTTTTTCCTTTTTCTGCGTCCCGTCAGCTAACCGGTTATACCTCTAGGCACTCAAATCATGCCATCTCTCAAGACCAATCAGCTGCCCACCAACCAGAAGTTTGTGGGCTACGACAACAACTTTGACGACACAAGCTTCTACCTGGAGCTGGCTGGGAAGAAGGCCGCTGCCTTCCACGCTGCGTAGCAAGGATTACACGGCATCAGGGTAAAAAACAACGTATGATACCTTTTATCTCGAGTACATATCAATAAAGTGAAATGAGTAATGAAAAAGTGTCCAAGCTCAGCCTGCCTGTAATTAAACTACCAAGATGAAATAAAGAAAGCAACAGATTGCGAGATCCGATACAACGATGCCGACTACGTGATTCAACCACGAATGTAAAACTGCCGTACCATCGACTTGCTACATGTAGCAAACTACTAACATGACCCCAGCTTCTCCGTGTTTTCCCTTTCGCCTCGATCCCCTCTACATACCTAGGCGTTGCTTTTCATTCTTCCGCCGCATTTTCTTCTCAATCACAGCTACACAACTTCTCCCTCTCATAACCGAGGCTTCCCGGCAGATCAAGCTTAAAATCCCAACGTCATCACCCCAAACCAGCATCAACAAACACCATCATAATTGACTACTCCAACAATAAGGTAGCCAAGCATCAACTACCGCTGTCCCCACCCCTCCCTATATGCAGCTCAGAAAGTCAAAAAAGTCAACCCCCCAAGCTAAGCAGCCAATCCACGCGCATTCCGCTTCACCACCGGCGAGCTCGGAAAAGCCAATCCAAGAAAAGGCATGACAACAACATTACTTGCAGCCCTCCATCCAATAACATCATTAACCGCACACGGGAAGGCTACAGCAAAAAAAAGGTTACCTCGGGTTTGCTCAATGCAACTTTGCTTCTTTTCCCAAACGCCATAAGCACGTAATGACAGCTTTTTCCTTGCAATTCTTCTTTTAAACCAACGGGCGTTTTTTGCACCAACTGGCTTTCATGCACCTCTAGCTCGCGCGGAGGCGGCATCCTTCCCGAGCAGAATACGTTACCAAGGAATGTCAATTCAACTTTTTTTTGTTAATCAACTCTTTTCTTTTACTTAATGCTCAACCACCCAATCACTGAAATGGTGGGGAGTCCGTGATCTTAGCTCGCCCTTCAGATTTTGATACATCTACACCGAGACAACTTTCTTGTTGACAATGGCCTAGTTATGATATGTCAACCAACATACATGAGCCAAATACGCCCACCTATGCTCAAACACGCCGTTTTCGTTCGTCTGCATGTTTGTCGATCCGTTTACCTATTTGTTTCGTAATACAAAACACAGAAACAAAAAAGCATCGCCGTAAAATGAGAAACTAAAAGACCCTTAAAATCCACATAGGGAGACAAACCCCAGAGTAAAGATTTTGACACCAAAAAACCACACACCGAATAGCAATTCGCGCATACTTACTTCCCTCTAGCCCAGTTTCACCTTTACACACAACGTGAAAAAAACCACGCTCTCCATGTTTTCCCCCTCCCAAGGTGAAAAGATGAAAAAAGCGGAGTTTGGAGCAGAGAGCAGGTCATTAAGGCTTGACACTAACATCCTTAGCCAGCATACTAGAGCCGAGATTCCGAAACTCTCTGCACGATCTAGTGGGCTCGCGACCTCCGGTGGCGTAGGCCCGTAGTTTCAAACATGGAGAAAAAAATTGAAGGAAAAAAAAAATTTACTTAGCTTGCGCCATTTATTTCCCTGGCGCTTGGAGAAAGAATTGGGAGAAAAGCCTGGTGCCCAGACTCATGGTAGTGTTGGCGTAGGATAAGCTTGTTTGGTGAAGGCAAAAAACTCTCCCGAAGTCGGCTTGGGAGAGTAAAAAAAGAGAAAAGAAAAAGAAAAAGAGAAAACACCAATTTAAAACATCACGAAAAGCAATTGGCACAAGAAGCAGTAAAAGTATTTTTGAACATAACACATTAGCAAGATATGAAAAGTCTATAGTAACTAGATATAGGTTTATACTAAGTTTTAAATTAAGTTAGCGACTGGGGGAATCAAAAGGTTAACAATGCATCCACCGGCTGGAGAACTCTTCTCTATGCAAGTTCATTTCTCCGTCCATCTTTGACTTTGGTAGCAAAAACGTGAATTCGGTTCTTTGCAGAGGCGATTGACCAAAACAAATAATAAAAACCACATGTTAACTTGCTCCCGCTCTCCCTCAATTGTAAAAAAAAGAAAACTTTGGTCCTCCTAGACCAACCTTTCTCTTCCCCAGTTCACCATATATAGATTAAGCTCTTTTTGTAGGCGAGTAGTAGCAAGTTTCTTTGTGACCATATTAAAAAGATTATTGCGGTTGGGTATACACAAAAAAAGAACAAGACAACTCTCTTTCCTAAATTAGGCCTTGAACATCCACGACATTAAAACTCCATTTACTCTTCCTCGTTATCAATAGCCTTGTCGGCAAGGAGGTAACGGTCAACACCCGTCGTCTCGTCTCTCTCATGCTCAATGGCGAGCTTCTGGAGGGCGGTGAGGACGTTCTCGACAATGGTGTCCTTGCGCTTGCGGTCCTTGCGGCCGAGGTCGTTGAGCCAGGGGATCTGGTTGAGGATGAAGTAGATGATGGCAATGAAGATGGTGACACCGAAAGAGTACAGCCAGACAATGACAACGGTGACAATGTCGGTCCAACCATCGTGACGCTGCTTGGCAAGGTCGACGGGGTTGTCGAGCTCGGGAGCACCAGACAACCAACCGAAGAGGGCAAAGAGAGTAGCCATGATGTCGACACCGAGAATGGCGCCGACGAGCTGCCAAGAGGGCCAGGTGCGGCCACCACGGGTAACAAAGATCAGCCAGTTCTCAGTAAGAGCGACCTCGAGGAAGAGAATCTCCTGGACAGAGCCAAAGTTCTGGATGATACCGCCGTTGGGCAGGTACATGGTTCCACGGAGGACCCAGGTACCGAGGGCAAGCAATATTCCGAGGACGACGGAGATGACCCAGATCTTGGGCAGCTGCCACTCGACGGGACGGGGCTCGTAGTGGGCATTGTCGTAGGCGACGGCGACGGTGGCCAAATCAGCAAACAGGGCCAGGAAGACAATCAGGTCGACACGGATGGTCTCGTTGATGATGATCATGGACAGGGTCAGGTAGATCTCAAGGTGGAGACAGAGAGCAATACGGTACTGGACGTAGGCCTTCATGCGCTGGAAGATCTGGCGAGAGGTCTTGATGGCAAGGACAATGGTGGACAGACCGGGGGCAAGGAAGACGATATCGGCGGCAGCCTGGGCAGCCTCGGTGGAACCCTCGACGGCGATACCACAGTCGGCCTTCTTCAGAGAGGGAGCGTCGTTGACACCGTCACCAGTCATGGCAGTAAGATGGCCACGCTGCTGGAGCATCTCGACGACACGGTACTTGTGCTCGGGGAAGACTTCGGCGAAACCGTCAGCACGCTCGACGAAGTCGTGGGCGACAGCGCCACCGAGACCACCGTGGATGAGCTTCTCAGAGTTGTAGACCTTGGTTCCGAGGGCAAGCATCTTGCAAGTCTCCTTGGCAATGGCAATGGCATCACCAGTCAACATCTTGACGGGAACACCGAGCTGGGCAGCCTCGAGAATGGTCTGGGCGGTATCCTCACGGGGGGGGTCGAACATGGACAGGAGACCAAGGAGAACCCAGTCCTCGTCGTTCTTCTTGTAGCAGACACCGAGAGATCGGAAACCACGGCGGGCAAACTCACGATCCTTCTCGCGGTAGAGAGAGGCAAGGGGCTCGGCGGGGTTGGCAAGCTTGAGGATGGCCTTGGGGGCACCCTTGGCGCAGATGAACTTGTCCTTGCCGAGACGGCACTCAGCAGTGATACGCTTGGAGACGGGGTCGAAGGGGGTGAACTTGTCGGTGATCCAGCCCTGCTGAAGGACCTCACGGGCCTTGGGGTAGCGCTTGAGGGTCAGGATGGTGACCTTGTCAATGGGGTCGAGGGTCTTGAGGTTGTGGGAAGAAGCGAGAGCGGCAACGGCCATCATCCAGTTGACATCCTGGCCCTCAACGACGTAGGGGTCACGGATGGACAGCTTGTTGGCAGTGAGAGTACCGGTCTTGTCAGAGCACAGAATGTCGACACCAGCAAGGGACTCGATGGCAGTGAGCTTCTGGACAATGGCCTTTTGCTTGGCGAGGTAGGCGGCGCCGACAGCCAGGGTGGTGGTGGTGACGACGGGCAGACCGACGGGGACACCAACAATGAGGAGCACAAGGGCGTAGTGAAGCAGGTTCTGGGAGCCGGGCTCGGCAATCTTGAGGTGGTGGAAGAAACCGCCAATCCAGGCAGCGAGAATCCAGAACATGACGAGGACGAGCAGCGAGGTACCAATGTTGTTCATGACAGCCTTGAAGTGACCCTGGTCCTTGGCGCCCTGCACGAGATCGGCAGTCTTACCGACGAAAGAGTCGTGGGCAGTGGCAGTGACAATGGCATATGCCTTTCCGCGCTTGCAGCCGGTGGTGTAGTAGGCAACGTCACCGAGGTACTTGTCGACGGCGAGGGACTCACCAGTGATGGCGGACTGATCGACGGCAACAAGGGGAGTGGCGCGGTGGGAGACCAGAGCGCTCTCCTCCTGTTCCTTTTCGTCTTCCTCAGCCTCGTCGTCACTGCTGCCGAGCTTGCCTTCAGCGCGGAGCTGCTTGAAAACCTCGAAATCCTCAGTACGAGTGTAGTCGCAAATCAGGAGAACATCAGCGGCAACGGTGTCACCCTCTTGGATGATGAGCTGGAAAGGATTGGATTAGCTAAAGTGACAGTAGAGCGATAGAATGTAGTAGACTTACAATATCACCGGGGACGATTTCACGGGCGAGAATGTTCTGCTCCTGGCCGTCACGGACAACAGTGCATCGCATGGCAATGTCACCCTTAAGAGAGGCGACGACATCGGCAGCAGACTTTTCCTGGTAGAAGGCGACGAAAGCGTTGAGCAGCAAGATACCACAGATGACACCGAAATCGATCCAGTCACCCAGACCGACGGCCAACAGGGCGGCAACCTCCATGACTAGCATCAATTGTTAGCTTACATGACATTTTTTTGGATTTCCCAGCCATTGGAATTGACCAATTGGTTGAAGAGAGAGAGAGAAGAGCTTACCATATAGAATAGGACCAGTAAAGAAACCAAGAAACTTGACAAACATATTCTCCTTCTCGGCGCTCAGCTCGTTCCAGCCAGACCACTTTCTCCTCTCGTCGACCTCGTTGATACGAATACCAGTGCGAATGTCCGTGTCCAACCAGGCCTCGGGCACAACCCTCTTGGCCGGCTCGGCATCCTCGACCAGATCGGCGTCGGTCGACCGCCAGAACTGCCACCACTTGACATTGCGGCGCTTCTTCTGGTTGTCGTCGCCGCTGCGGGAGCCCTCACGGTAGGTGGAGATGTATCGCTCCAGGGCAGCGTACTCGGGCAGGTTGTTGTCGGGCTGTTGGGGCGGAGCGACGGTGCTGCCAGAGTGGTCCTCACGACCACCGGCCTCAACGTCGCCCTCGGCCTCACCCTTGCGTCGATGGAAGACTGACATTGTTGGAAGAGATTGCGCTCTCGAAGCCGCCGCGAAACTGGCAATTGAAAGGACGCAACAAGTCGCAACTGGGCAGGAAGGAGGAAAGAAAATTCATCCACCACGGCGGCTTGCCAGAGATATTTATTCCAGCGTCCGGACCCCCCCAGTCCACCCATTGCCGTGGTTCCTTTTTTTTTTCTCTCTCTTTGGTCTCTCGCGCTGTCTATCCGTCCATACTACCTGCACTACACTAACCCATCCTTCGATGAGACGCCAGAAAAAGTCGCGAGTCCCCATCCATCCATCCCATCCCAATTCCAGCTTTGCCCACACTCCCACGCCTGCTAGTCCTAGTAGGTCCAACTAGTCCCAGTCCCAGCCAAGCACACACGCCCCCCATCGGCCAGCGAAGACCGACGGCAGATTGTCGTCCACCATGAGGGCTAGACCGCTTCCAGAGCACGGTCAGGCCTCAGGCGCAAGTAGCGGCGTGCCGCGCAGTACCTCCAAGGGCCGCCTGGCGTGTACCTCCAAGGGCCGAGTGATCCTGGCCTCTGCAAAAGAGCGGCGCCGAAAGGGCTCTGGCGGCGGTGGATACGACTGGTCAGGTCCCGGCGCAACCGAACCTGTCGACCGATGCCGATATCCGACTTAACCCCCAAGCATCATAGCCAGACGCCTCTAGACTGCTTCGAGGCAAGGAAAAGCCTGTGCGCCCGGAGTAGCTGGGAATCCATTATTCGCTCTGGGGGCCCAGAGCTCGTTTTTTTTTTCTCTCGTCTGTGTCTCGTCTCTCTGTCTCTCAGGCGGCGGGTCCCCCAGAATCAGCACGTCGAATCCCGGGACAGCCGGTTCGAGGAGAGGCAGAAACTTGTACGTAGGAAATCCCGCATCAAAATCATGGGTAATCTTTTTTACTGGGCTCCCAATTTCCTTGCCCATTGCGCGCTTACCCGCATCGACAGAGGGAACAGCGCATCATAATACCTGCTGCAGCTACAAGCAGTCTAGCTATGTACATACAATACGATAACGCGCAATGATACCTGCGCACTCTCACTGACCGGATTGATGCTCGTCCATGCCGGCAGCTGTGTCTGTGTCAGTGGTCGTTTCTTGGGGTCCCTTTTTTTTACAAGTAATTCCCTCTTTTTGATGGTGTTGGTTTTAACCAAGAGGCTGTTTCAAACGGTCTACTCCGTAGTGCTAGCATATTCCCACCCAGTAGACTACTCGACTACCTAGATACATGTAATCAAAGCGCGTATTGAATGACACGGAGAGCACAGAATAAGAAAGAAAAAAAGCTTCGCGAAACGCACTTTGTACGTCCCAGCGACGTCGGAGGCTGAATTTAGCTGTGTTTTAGTGAACGGCAGCATACCTAAATCATACGTATGATGGGCAAGACAGCCAATAACGAAGCTGCCGTTGACTCTGCTCGGATGGCTTGGCCCGTCTACGTCTCGCTGATTGATTCTCTGTTCTTGATCTGCCGTAATGCAGCAATGCCGTGCCTCATTCCTCATGGAGCATGTACAAGTAATCATGCTACCCGGCAGTAGTTTCTTGTACAGTCTACGGCAAGGCATCACAGACCCCCAAATCGCGCATACCTCTTCTACATCCTCTAACCTCGGAGATGCAGTCTCCAGGTCCTGCTCCTGGCCCCCTATCATTTCCCTTGTTTGCCTCCCCCTTCTTCGTCTTCTCCTCGGTGAATGGCTGTCCAAGTTGAACGGCTTGCTGGAGCCGATGGTCAGCCAGCATCAGCTTCGGCATCCAGCTCGTGCTTCGCTCTTCCATACATCCATACAGCCATACAGCCTGTATCGCCTTCCTCTCGATCCAATTCGCCGGCCCCCTCCTCGGTGCGTCCCGGGATCGCCTTTTGGGTCCCCCTCCCCAGCCCAGGCAATGCCGGTAGATGTAAACGCTTAATCCGGGCGCGGGCTTGCCCTCTTGCTGTGCCAAAACTCTCTTGCGATAGGACAAACGGGTTTGACCTCGTTTGTTTCCTGATGTAGCCTACGCCCGCGACGGCGACCTAGTCAGCTCTACAAGTATACTTGAAGGTAGTCGAGCTATGTCATTCTGCATTTCAGCCGCTCCTTGCCATGCTGCCGCTCTTTGCCATGCTGCTATTTTTGCGCCTTTTTCGCCCTCTCCCTTGCATTGCCTTACTTGCCGTTTTTCCTTTCGCCATCTGGATCATTCCTTCCCCCAGAGCTGAGCTGGAGCTGAGCTTGCCTCGTGCCTGCCTGCCTGCCGACTTAACCAGCGCGTGCTGACCACACGCGCCTGCCTCCTTCGCTGCGAGTTTTGCGCGGATATGCCTCGCCTGGGCTCCACACCGACGTCATTGGCCATGTGCAGGCCCGCCCCATTTCCGGCCTAGCTCCGTTGCCCCGCAAACTTGGCTGCTTCGCTGCATTTTTCTAGCGCTTCCATCCGATCACAAAGGGCCGCTTGGCGATTTGGGCGATTTGGCTGCCTTGGCTTGGCTTGCCTGCAGGGCAAGGAGCGAGAGGCAAGACGTGCAATTGACGATCGCCAAGGGCGCGGAGGCGTGAAAGGGGCACACGAGGCAGACCAGGTAGCCCGTGGGGACCCGTCTCCAGGCGGCGATGGGTTTTTAGACCGCATTTTCGCCCGCAATCGCGATGCCACAGGCGCTGCGTCCTGGGCTCACGCGACGGGCTGGAGAAGGGAAAAAAAAAAAAATCAAAAGAAGGACAACGGGGGGACCCAGAATTCTAGGTAGCAGTACGTACCGCCCATAGCTCCAAGGTTGGGTCCAGTTAGTACGGAGTCGAGGCCCCACCAATTTCCAGGGACATTTTCCCTCGAGGTACGAGCATGCAAGTACCGGCGAGCGCTGCGGTACTTGCAGAACTTGTGAGCTGTTCGGCACTAGCAGGATTCTAGGTTAGGAGTTATCCTCGGTACGTACCCTGATCGGGCCGGTCGCAATTTTGCTCCGGTAGCCGCCTTGGCCGCTTGGATTCCGTCATAGCCGTGAGCCTGTAGGAGGCAGCACAGAGTTGCCTGAGTGGCGCTGGAATGGCCCTCAAACGGCGCGCCCGACGTGTAAGTGACGGGAATCTCGTGTAGCTGCTCAATGCCGGCATATCTGCGCCGGTGCGGCAAAAAAAAAAAAATTGGAAAAAAAAAAAAGTGGTAGACTCGATATGCGTGTAAATCGCGGCTGGATGGAGCCGTGCTACTGCTCTACTAGGAAAGTCCCTGTATACGCTACGAGTCGCAGCGCAAGAGCTTCCACAAGCTCCGATAGCAGCTCCGGCGAAGCAACCGCATCGCAATTGAATCGATTCCACCATGCGGCTGCGAGAACACGCTCCTCCGCCATATGAAGAGGTGTCCAGCCATGGCCCGCGAGTCCAGTTGCCCATTGGCGAGCTGCTGTCTCTGGCGCTCGACGGCCGCTCCGTCTTCTCGGCCACCAACCCGGCGCTCGTCTACTACGAGCTGAGCGCGGCGCCGTTGCAGGCGACGTCTCTGACTTACATTGTCAAAAAGGTGAAATACCGGCTGGCGGGCAATGGCCGGGGCGACGATGCCAACGGCCGGCTGCGCACCCGCCACGACGAGATTTACCTCTTCCGCGATGCCTACGTCAACTTTTATGCGCCGCGGCGCATCGTCATCGACGGCAAGGCCAAGGACGGCCGCAGCTACAAGAGCGTCAAGCTCTCGCCGGGCCTCTTGGGCTGGTCGACGTGCTCGGCGGCGGGCCACTTCAGGGCCAAGGTGGGATTTGGTGATCGCTGGCGGAACCGCCATCAGGTCATCTGGAAGGACGACAGCGGCCGCATCGTGGCCATGGAGGACGCATACACTGCTTACACTGCTACCAACAGCAATACCGGGAGTAGCAGTAGGCCAGATGGTGTGAGCAGTCCAGACGGCATCAGCAGTCCAGACGACAGCAACAGCAACAACACCAGCAGCAGCAATATCCCGACTCGCAATGCGCCGGAACACACATCGACTGTGCCCTGCTTGAAGCTCCTGCGCCTGCTCGACGACAAAGACCTGGATCTGCTGGTGACGTGCTGGACAGCACGGCTCTGGAAGCAGTCGCAGAAATCACACCGCAGCTCGCCTCCATCGTCCATGGGCCGGTCCAGAGGTATAACTTTTTTTTTTATCCGTTATCCTTCATATTCACTTACACCCTCCACCGTTCATGCACGTCATTGAGACTGTGAAAGCGCTAACATTCACCAGTCAAGCGATTTGCAGCACGACACCTCAGCCTGCGGTACATGACCAGCCTAGTTTCGTCCAATCCAACCCCGACCCGGCGCCTCGAAGCGTAGCGACCCTCCAACTGTTTCACGCAATGCTCTGGACATAGATCAACGAGGCTCTCATAATGTTTATTTCTACATCTAATAATTTTTACGCCTCTTTTTTTTTTTTTTTTTTTTACTCTCTACCGCTTATTGTAGTGCTGTATTTACAGGCGTTGCCCAGAGGCCGGATCACATACATAATCGTACTTGAACAGGCTCGTCTTAGGCGGCGCAGATCCCTTGCCTTGAATTTCAGATAGCCGAGGGTGGACGTGGAAGGGGGCCCCCATTGCACACAGGCATCAGGAGGACGAAGCCGGCACAGCGAGAAGAACATGAAGCCATTATGATGGATTGATTACCTGGACGAACTGATGGACGCCGGAGAGACACGCAAGAGGCTCTCGAGCTGTTAGAGCTACCTTGGCACCGCTGATTGATTTGCGCGCTTCCACCTCTCAGCTTATTCGAATGACACTGGAAGCCGGGGTTGCTACATCATAGATACTCGTACTACCTACCACTTACCACACTTATTCCTACGCGCACCGCACACACACATACACACACACACACACACATAATGCCATCGCCACCACTAGGCCCATCCCATGCGAGGATTCGGCGTCACGATCCTCGGACGAACCGATTGATTGACTTCTCCTCGATTCAACACGAGCCCTGGGGCCGATGACGGGACACCTCCAGAAACGCAACGCCTGTCATGTCCTGCTTACAGTAATGGAGTCCCATCAACCCCCCGTGCTCGGCACAATCACGACTTCTCCTTGCCAGTTCGATAAGCGTCGTGCAAGCGAAGCGGCACAACTGATACAGACAGGTATTCCCCAGAAACAGCAAGCCCAAAAGACCGCGGAGATTCACCAGGCGAGGCGATAATAACCACGGAGAACAATACCCCAGCGCCTATACTACTAGAACTAAGTACCTACCCAGTAGGGATCGTAGGAAAGTCGAGCTGACCAGGGGGGGTGTCTCTTGGACTTTTTTTTTACAACAACAGTTAGCATCAAGACGCTAGACAAGGGCCAGCGCGTATCCACAAGAACACTCAGATCGGCCGGTTCAATCTAGTTCCGACCGCGGCTTTTTTTGACGCGCAGGGGGTGGTGGCCAAAAGGCAAAGCAGGCAGAATCAGGAAAAATCACAAGTAGACAGAACTGGTGAAGAAGAAGGGGTGGCTGGGTCTTTGGGGGTCCCCCCCCTGGCGTATCCGGGGAGACATGCGCGAATTGATGGAACTCGAGCCAACGAACGGGAACGGGACAGGCATCTTTTTTTCTCGTTCAAGCCATTGGACTGACTGACTAGTATTACTCGTAAGTATGGAGCTTGGGATGGCGTGTGTTGTTCAGTGCGCTCTTCAAGAGTCCCTTACATTGTAATCAAATCCCGAGCAAAGCCGCGGCATAACGAACAAAAGCAGACGGAGGCTCCAGTAAAAAAAGCAACAGCAATAAGACGAAAGATCGGTGAATACGGAAGACGGCTTCTACAGAGCATAGCACCATCCTATCTTCAATCAAGTGAACAAACTACACACGCAGTAAAAAGGAGGTGACAGCAAAGTCGCCCACTAAATGGGCCTTTGCCCCTTGACAGCTATCAATGCCGCCTTTTCGCTCTCCCAAGCGTTGCAGAAGACTGCCCGTACAAACTGGTCTACCCAAAGTTGCTCCCGTCACGGACAAGTTTTCCATGGACAATGGACAAAGGCACCAAAAAAGCACAGAGACAAGACACGGAACAGGATCCCCACTGGCCCGTCAGAGCCGCGCTAATACGCCCTGGCCCGGACCAGGTCTCTTCTATCCGCATGTACATTCACGAACGCAGATACAACGGCCTTGTCGCAGGTATAGGCAGATAGGCAGGTATCGGTAGGCATTAATTACTGATCCCAAACTACCTACACTATTGCCTTGAGGCTAGAGCTGATATCGACCACGTCCGCCGGCATGCCGGATTCGGGGGAGTGGAGCTTTGTGTTGCCTTATCCTATCCTATCCTCGGAGCACCCCAGCGCTGATTCTGTTTGGCTGCTGATTTGCTATTCTTGTAAATTACACTGAGTATTACAGGTACTCTCTGCGTACTCGAAACTACGGCGAGAAGAAGACGTCGAAAACGATGGAGAGAAGAGAGATTGAAAAGAGCGGTAATGAATAATGTAGCAGCATGACGCCAAAGCGAAAACAGGTGAGCGCCGCGGAGAAGGGCCGTGGGACGGTAATTGGAGCTGAAATAACGACGTGTAGAGAGATTCAGCTGCGATGATGCTATATTCATACCAGTACTTGTAGTTTCTTGTAGTCGCAGCAGCAGCGGTACTTTCTTGCCAGTAGAGCAGCAGTACCTACTCTTGCTCTATTCAGCATACATCCACCCCCCCTTTATCACCGGGTACACCACCAGTTTCGCCTTACGTATACATTCACACTCTCCGGAGTAGATACGAGGCCAGATACGCAACAGCCATAACAAGGCGGGCAACGGCAACGGCACAGGCTATTTTGGCAAGGCGGTCTGTCCTGGCACTGGATTGGACGTCTGCTGCGCTGGGCCAATTGACTTTCCGGCAATACGTCGCAGCAATTGGCGGCTGCAGCGGGCTGGGCCAATTTTTTTGGGGGGGTGATTGACGGCAATAGAGTTTTTCTTGGGTGGGAAAAAATTACAAGTAGGGGGCCATGATCAACATTTTGTATGGGGGAGAGGCAAAAAGACGAGAGAGAGAAAATGTTTTTTTGTGTCGTCGGCTTTTGATTTTCTCGGCGTCTACAACTGTCACCACAATAGAAAAAAAAAGTTGTTTTTCTTAAGAGGTCGACTTACTCAGTAACCAGCCACTTCATCCCCAATTGGGAAGAGGACTCAATACTGGCCACCGTGGCTGATACTCCTGACCGTAGTTGATTGATTGAATGAATCTTTGCATTGAATTGCCCAAAGCCTTATCTTCAATGCCCCAATAGATACACGGAGTAGTGTCCCTTCTTAGCCTCGAGGCACCCACTCTCCAGCGATTCTCCGTACTATAAACTACGGACATTTTCCTGCCATGGGGCCTGTCCCGCAGACCAGACCCAGGCCCGGCCAGGCCCAGAAGCAATCCAGCCGCCCGGACGTGTTTGACCAATTCAGCCGGCTAGAAAGCGAAGCTGAACAATAAATATCGCACATCAATCAAATCAAATCAATAAATCAATCAATATACAGGGCGGCTATCTATCCTGTGTAACCAAACTATCTGATAGCTTCAAACTCTAGCAGCATTTCCCACCTGAAGCATCATCTTCCATCAGTCTATCGTAGCAATCTGCTGCTGCACTTGCACTAACACATTTAGTCCCATATGCGCAATTCTCCATTCTCCAGAATAAATGAAATAAAAAGGGGAGACGGTCCTTATTGCAGGGTAGACGGCATTCCCACTCCAGCTCCTAATGTAAGGGACCTGCTAGTCGTATGGAGTCGCGAGTCCCAATCCCCATCTTGCTAGAGCCGGAATAGCTTCAAGTGCAGACGCAAGACGCAGATAGCTACAACTAGGCACTGCACATCTCAATTCCTGCGGCGACCGTTAGCAGAGTACGGGGTACATTAGCAAAAGTAGCTCGCCCATAACAGATACAAGTACTATTACGGAGCACCCCTTTCGCACCACCCAATATCTGGCACAGAGTCAAAGTCGCATGTGTAATCCGTGAGCACGGAGTAGTTCCGTCCCTCTATTTTTGAAAAGGATACCAGATACGACCGATATGCGCTCCAGTAGGTGCTACTGCCGGGAGCCTGACATCATCTCACGCCCATGCCATTGATCCCGCAATAGCCTCTCCCCGAGAGCTCCATTTCCAGGTTTCCAGCCACGCTTCGTCCGATCATCTCCTGGGCCCTGTCGCTTGAAGCGAGCGGCTTTACTCCGATGGTCACACGTAGTGCCCAGTACCTACGGCACACAGACAGACAAGTACCTACACTGCTTGAGCATTACGAAGTGGAAGAGCTGGACTACCGTATTGAAATTCATCCTTCTCCGGAAGAGTAGGGACAACAATGCCGCGCCCATTCACATAAACCGGGCCCTCTCATCAAGCGAGGCAGTCCAACAAGGGAAAAGCAAAGATGCGGTCTCTCTGTCACAGCAAATTCTCTGCCTCTGATTTGCTGCCTAGTCTCCGTCTCCGTCTCTCAATCAATGCCTTGGCTGGGCGTCCTGCGTGTCCACCGCACCGGACGCTACAGGGCATTTTGCATACAGACTAGACACGCTGTTCGGCTCGGCAAAACGAGCCCAAAGTCACAGCGCAGGCTATTGGACAAGGCTCCTGGAATCGTTCCGGACCGGGCAGTGATTTGCATTGACAAACAGAGAGACACAGAAGAGAGACGGCGGAAACGGCTCAACCCCGGGGCAAGCGAGTGCGAAGGACTCATCACGAATGAATGTACAGTAAGCAGGACGGAAATGAAGTTATCTAGGCGCCAAAATAAGAAGAGCAGCACTACCTCGAATCCGGCAGTCTGCTGTGACCAGTCTCTACCTCCAGCTTTGACTGGCCCAACCACCCATTTGATTGAATTCTCTCACTGACTCTCGTCGCGTGCCCCCCCATAAGCCAGAAACGGCCCCCCAGACCAAACCAGCCCCCTTGCCTTCTCACCATCACCAGCATAAAGAGCAAAGCCTGTTGCTCCGTTTATAGCTGCGCTGGGCTGGACTGCCAAGGCGGGCCCAGGCTGGCCCTGGCTCTGGCTGCCCTGCTGGCTCCTCCATAGCCGAAAAAAGGGCGATCACATCAGTCCAATCTTCAGCGTCAGTGCGTTCTTTTTGCCATTTAATGGCGCTTTTTAGTGACCCGGCCTGTGCGGCTCGTAGGGCGCAACAGACGCAAGACAGTCTTTCTTTGTGCCCCCCTAACATCGCCAAGTCCTCTCGCCTCTGCAAAGCACGGCCATGCGATCGCCTTGGCGGACGCCGTTTGCTGGGCAGAATCTCGACAGTTTAATTGGGGACAGGAAAAGAAGAAAAGAGGGCTGAAGGGGAAACAACGGCCATCTACAAGTGCAAGCATCTGCTATAAGTCGTTTAGCTGTAAGACGCCGCCATCGTTTCTCGTATAACCGTAAAGCCAACGGTGAGAAAAGGGACGCCCTGACCGGTCCCACGCAACAGCAACAGTAGCACCAGAATAAAAGGTCAAGGCACCGCTTTACGCGCTCAAAAGAATAAGTGGATATTTCTGCCCATGATCGAAGCACAGCAACCCATTCTCACCGTCGACGCCGCTTTCCATTCCGGGCAGGACGAACAAACGCCGCAGAAAAAAGAAGCCAGAATAGAAGGCCACAGAATGCGCCAATTAATGGTCTCACTAGGGGCTGGTCTCTCTGACTGTCTCTTTTTGTCAGCCCCCGAGCCGCCAGGAAAAACAAAAACCGACTTACTCGAGTCACTGACCGAAAGAAGAACCAACTGAAAAAAGTGGCCAGGGGTCTCTCTCTCGCCTCGATGTTCCCGACCCATGTGGAGACTCCAATGCCTTGGACTTTTTTTTTTTTTTTTTTTTTTTTTTTTTCCCTTATTTCCCTCGCGTGCTCGTCGCGTTTCCATCTCCAGCTAGCCAGTCTAGGAACTTTTCCTTTGCTCTCGCGATTCGCGTTGGCAGAAATACGACTTCCGGTCTAGCGTTGCTTCGCTGACGGCGGTTGGAGCCACCGACTCCGTGCGCAGAATCACATCATCACATCACTCGTGGGCTCTTGTTTTATCGCCGGCGGTAAGGGAAATTGATCCAGGGCTCACGTCGAGGCAGGTCGAGTGACTCCGTTGCGCTGCGGGTACAGGGTTGGGCGTTGCGTGTAATACTGCGCAGAATGTACCTCCACGAACGAAGCGAGCAGTTTCAGCTGCCGTGAGTGAGTTATTTGCCACTTGGTGGCCTGATGTCCGAGATACTTCCTGCGGTGAGATTGGTGACGACGATGCCGGGTTAGCAGCGTGCAAGTGCTGGATCTGAAATGAGAAGAGCAACACTGCATACTCGCTGTATAATCAGTTTATATGCATGTTTATCGAGTGCAGTCTAGTACCTGGCGTAGTGTTGCAACTTGTGTTTGCATGCCATCCACCATCTTACCCGGGACCTGAAATTCAATTCATCGATTTCATACTCTTGTCTCATAAATCTGTAGCAGCTTTACTCTCAACTACATGGTCAACTCCTGTCTCACACAACACATGTCCTCCACGCCATATCCAAGACACAAACCTGTCTCTCCACAAGACATTTCACAATAAAACACTCCATACTGTAGCACTACGCAACTCTGCAACCACCCGGAATTAAGCATAATACAACACCCCAACTATACACGTAACACGTAAACTCAAACCCGCCACAATTCTTCTAGAATGCATACATTGTAAAAAAAAAGATTCCACAAAGAACCACTTTCCAGCTCCATCCCCAAAACACCTTGTCAGACCAAAAGCGAAAATCACTTCACTTATACGCGGCTATACTGAATATACTCTCGTATTTGCCTCTCTTTACCTCCGGCCCGTTCCGGCCTGGCCGGACTTCAACTTGACCCCAAACCCACAATGGCCGATCGCATCGCCAACACAAACGGCATCACAGCCCGCAAACGCAAGACTCATCGCAAGTCTCGCCTTGGCTGCGGCAACTGCAAGATTCGCAGCGTCAAAGTACAATCTCATGCTCTCCTTGTCTCCCTCTCATTCGTTCCCCCGCCGTGTCTTCCGTTTCCCGTGGAATATACCGTAGCACACACATGACACCAGTTCGATATACCACATCAGGCACTCATGACTTACACGCAAATAGTGCGACGAATCAAAGCCTACATGCCGCCGCTGTCAAGCATCAGGCTTCACATGCAACTACTCCAGCACCGGCCCAACTCTGCAGCTCTCTCGCTCCAGCGTCTTTAGACTCAGCCTCGCTCCCACCCAAGCCAGGCCTGCATCTGCATCTACATCTGTCGATGGCCTCTTTCGAGAAGCGTACCTCCAGCCTGGCCTGCGGATCCCCATCGTCCTGCCTCTGCAGGGCAGACTGGGCGAATATGCTCTGCGGCCAGAGGACCACGCCGCCCTGAGCCGGTTCTACGACAGGACGGCGTGTACACTGGGGACTCCCACCACGCGGAAGGGATATCTCAAAGTGCTGTATAGCCTTGTAGACGAAGTATGTCTCTCACCCCCCTATCCCTTCTTTTACTCACATGTATCGTCATCTTCATCATCATGTATATCAAACTAACTTCATCTCCAGCACGCATTCCTCATCCACGTCCTCCTCGCCATCACCCTCCTCCACGACACCCACCTCTCCTCAGCCCCCCTCCCCCCCTCCCACGACCTCTCCCTCGCCTTCCACTGGTATCACGGCACCGCCATCCTCAAGCACTTCCTCGCCCTCCCCTCGCCAGCCACAACCCTCTCCTCCACCCACCGCGACGCCCTCTGGGTCTGCGCCTCCATCCTCGGCGCCACGTCCTTTGCCTCCGTCCGCACCCAGGACCCCCTCGCCGCCTGGCCGCTGGCCGACCCGAACCCGGCCGTCGACCTGGACTGGCTCAAGATGGGCTACGGCAAAAAGGTCGTCTGGGACATTGCCGACCCGTCGCGCCCGGAGAGCGTCTTCCACAAGACGCTCTACAACACGCCCATGCAGCAGACGTTTGACATGGAGGCCCCCGTCAGCGAGGGCATATTGCCGCCGCTGCTCTACTCCTTTTTCAACCTCTCGCCCTCGACCGCGGCGTCGACTGTCTCGGAGGATGCAAAGTCTTACCATTCTGCGTGCGTCATCTTGTCCATCCTGTGGGTCAACAAGATCAACGAGCACAACGCCATCCTCTTCCTCACATTCATCACGCACATTGACCCAAACTATAGGTCTCTCATCGAAAACAAGGACCACCGGGCACTGCTCCTCCTCTTGTATTGGCACTGCCTCGTGGTGCCCCTCGAGAGTTGGTGGATGCGTCGACGATGCGTCGTGGAAGCCAAAGCGATTTGCATGTATCTCGACGACAAGTGTGCGGATGACGAAGCTTTTATAGAGCTGTTGGAATTGCCAAAGCAAGTCCTGGCAAATGCGCATTGAACAAGTGTGACTCGGTAAACAAAACATAATTATATAGAAATAATCAAACACGAGGCGGCTAGAGCCCTTCGTGCATCGCTATAACTTGAAATGAAAAATATATATCTCTATCGCTCATCATGGATAAGGGGAAGAAACAATAAACAAAGACAAGGAAAAAAGAATCAAGTGTCATAATCAACAAGGCAGCCGCTGGTGTACCATATCCAGCCATGCCAATCGCTCACAACCTACGTCCCGCTTGCTACATCATTCGCTTCTCCAACCACAGATTGCTGCTCGACGTCCTCGGCTTGCCCAATCACATCTTCTGGAGCGCTCATCAGCGGCTGCTTGGGATCGTACCCTACAGACTTGACAATGCCGAGACCTCTAGTGCGGCCCTCTCTGAACAAAAGCCGGTCTCCAGGGGCAATGTATTCTGGACGCTGGACAAAGCGAAAGGCAACGTTGGCGCGATCGCCCGTGCGAATCAGCTCGCGGTCAATGTCGATGATAGCGCATGTCTGCGAGACGGCACCGACATGTAGCATGGCCTGATAGCGCTTCTTGATGGTGGTTGCGTGCGACAGAATAAGAACTGTCATGTTGGTCATGTTGGTTAGCTGGCTGTCCATAGAGTGTATATACTAAAATTAGGGGACATGTGAAGCCCTGACTCACCTTCTGCGACGAATTCTTGAAACACCCTGGGCCCAGTCTGTCCCTCTTCTTTATGAAGCATCACCATGCCCTTGCGGACATCTCGCCGCTTCATCTTCTTGAGCGCAAACGAGGCAGATTGCCCTGCCTCGGCCACATGCACCCGTATTCTCTTGCGCTCAATGGAACGCACTGCCGTGGGCGTGAAATGCCCTAGAGAATCCGGCCCAATCAGAACATTGTCGCCTTCGTGAACCATGCCAGACTTGACAATGCCAGAGACAACCGTACCAGTGAACGGCACCGAGAATGTGTCATTAACTTGAAACTCGAATGGCGCGTCAGAGTGATAGTGCCCGTGGTGAGGCAGCATGTTCAGGAAGAGCCGCACGAGATCGAGGTTCTCGCCGGTGACGTTGGACACCTGGAAGACGGGACATATCCTCTTGCTGACAAACTGGGTCGCCGTGTTGATGCACTCTTCGCGGTTTGTGATAAAGGTTGGCATCTTTCGGGCACCGGGACTCTTCATGATCTTGTTGACCTGGCTGATGGTCTCCTTGAGAATGTTGGGAGGGCAAATGTCAATCTTGGTGATGATGACCATGACGGGGACGTTGAGCGCCAGCGCAATGCCCAGGTGCTCCTTGCTCATTCCAACCAGTCCATTGTTGGCCGCGACCATAAGAAGGCAAAAGTCGGGACTGCTGGAGAGCAAGCCGAACACAGTCGTGCGCAGGTACTTTTCGTGCCCAGCCAGATCGCTGAAAGTGATGACCTTGGCACTGCGCTTCCCAATGTCTTCCCACGACAGCTTTCCTATGCGCAGTTTCAGCAGACTGTTAACGGTAGCTGATCATTGGCATTACTTACGGCCTGGGGTATCCGAAGTGACGACTTGGCCGAGACTGTCGAACCCCATGATTTCCATGCCCACAGAGCTTGTTCGTCCCGTCTCCATTTCGTGCTTGTGACGGAAGAGATTCACTCGCGCTCGTCCTCGCCCGTCGTCCAGGTCGTTCTTGACTAGCACGCCGAGCAGCGAACTCTTTCCAGCATCGACTGTTTGTGTTCAATGGCAGATTAGTGCTGTCCAGTATAAAGGATAAGTGGTGTTAAGCTCACCATTGCCCACGACTGCTATCCTCGTCTCAATGACATCCTCAATCTTGCCCGGTATCCTTCGAATGAGAATCTTTCCGCTGCAGCTCTTGTCCTTGGTCGGGCTCGTCGCCGTGCTTTCCGCCTCTTCCTTGCCACCCACATTGGTCGTTAGGAGCAGCTGGCAGTCTGCGCCCACCCGCTTCGCAGCCTCGACGAGTCTTGTATACGCCTGATGCCACTCTTGCGGAGTCAGTTGCATGGATTCGCCGCTGTTCTCAAACCCGAGATCGAAGACCGTCTCGCCGGCGCCTTCTTCTATTCGCTCGACAATGACGTCTCCGAGCTTCTTCAGGGTGTCGTCGTCCGATCTGAGCACGAGGTCCTTGAGCTTCACTCGCGGCGCAGAGTCGACCAGATTTAGGCTGTCGAGCAGCTCATCAAGCTCCACATCGTGTTCCACTGAGTCGGCGGGCTTCTTCGCAGAGGCTGGATACCGTAGATTCTGCTGTTGTTCTACATATTCGGCAAAGTCGCTGAGAGCCTGCGCAGCCCGCGTTAGAATAGATACGGTGCAGATTGAGGCTCTGAAAGAGATATATAGAAACCACCTACCGATTCGCCCTTGCGCTTTTCATGCTCGAGGCCCTTGGCCGTCTTGGTCTTGGTCGCCATCATGCCGTGGAACCATGCAGCTGCCGCACTCGTATTACGGGAGAATGAGTCGCGAGAGAAGCACAGAGAGCAATGGCGGCGGGAAGCATCATTTACATGAATATATAGCAAAAACACCGAAAATAGCAACTATGACTCTTCGGCCAGCCCAGTTAAGCTTCAGCCACCGTCAAAGGAGTCACTGTTTGAATCGAGGCTCAGCAGCTTGTAGTGAGTAACCGGGGAGCAGGTTATCGATAAGGCGAGCTGGTATCGGAACTGTGGGTCGATGACACGACTCCCGTATTAGGCATTAAAGCATACCACCACTAGATACATAAATGTGCTCGTCCAGATTCACGAACCTCCCAAAGGCTGTGTCTGTCCACGTTGAGCTCGGCAAGCCGCAGTGTATGCGCATTGAGCGCATTGAATGCATCTCTGCACAGAGCAGATGCCTTGTCCATGGCACCACCGGCTCCAAAAAGTAAAGCGCCGCATCTTGATCCCCCCGTCCTCATCCATTGATCGCCCTCGACACAAGTCTTTGTCGCGACCTGTAGCGAATTCCATGCTGATAGCCAGAACTTCTGGCAATGAAGTCTAAACATGCTGGAGCAGCCCTATTCACCTCGACCATTATGTCACCGCCTCCTCCAACTTATATGCGCCTCGTCGCATCGCGTGGTTCGGTGGAACATTATCTCAGTTTCATTATCGGTATCATTGCTGCCATTGCTGCCATTGCTGCCATTGCTGTCTATATCTAGAAAGGAACTTGAGGAGAGATTAAAACGACGCTATCGCCTGTCAAGCTGTTAGCCAAACACACCATCGCCTCTGTGGATAATGGGGAGACCCGACCTCTTACAAACAACATTTCTGATTTCCTGCTAATGGTCTTGGAAAGCGTTAGAGCCATATATAAGTGGTAGACCAGACAATGCTTCATCGCATACCTTGACCTCGTCGCTCTCCTCCTCGTCATCGTCGACGGCGTAGATGGTCTCTTCCACCTCGCCCAGCACCAGGTTGCAGTGACTATCGTAGGCCTGTCAAAGCATCAGCATCAAGTCCAGTGTCACTCAATACTATGAAGTTGGCCATACGTGAAGCTTGCCCTTGAGCTCTCTGTCACCGCGCAGCTTGACGAAAACCACCTCGTTCAGCAGCAGCCTCACCAGGTCGAGCGGCTCGGCCACATGGCTGGTCTCCTCTCCAACATCGGCCATGGCTGCGTCGTAATTCTTCGTCGAATGTATGTGTCGTCGGGCAATGAAAACGGACTGCTCGGTTCGAATTCGTGGCTCTGCAAGGGCGACTCTGCTGCTCGACTTTGGGTAGCTTTGGCGATGGCCTGGTCAAAAAAGCTAGCCTTGCCCCTCCATTGCCGTGGAAAATCCTCGGCAGACGCAACACCTCTGCAAGGGCATCGAGTTTTCCGCGATATGCAGCTATCGGGGTGCCGCCCCATATGGCTTCAAAGCTTCTTCACCAAGACCCGCGGCCCCAGCTCGAAGCCACTTTTACCCCAGATTCTAGAGCATCGAGCCACTGCTAGGCCAGAGGGCTGCTCAATCTCAGGCCCCTCATTCCGATTCACCAGCCAGATGATAGAACAGGCCAAACCATGACGCTCAGACGACTCGTCTGGCCCAGAGGCCGTCTTAGTGGACTTGGCCTGGCACTCAAAAACCAGCATCATGAGCCTTTGCCATTGAGATGTGGGCGGCGAGCTTCAGACCGGCGCCATCTGGCGTCTCATAGCACAGTCTCCAACGGCCAGCGTCATTTACTACCAGATCTGATGCCACCATCTGTTTGCCCGGAACTTGGAAACCTCCTAGAGTCTATTCAGAAGCTGGACACATCCCAAATCAGCTGGGACTTTACTGCCTGGACCGACATCCTGAGCAATGAGAATTCACCCGCCCACGAAGCAGCAGTTCGAGAAGCCAGAGAGCTCCCCGCGTCAACCTTTTCAGAGATTCTGCGCAGCATCGATCCTCTGGTCTCGACAGAAGTTGACATTGCCCACGGCCTCAACCTCACCCAGGGCCATGCCCAGTTCAGCTTTCCCGGCAAACTGCTGAACCAGTTCGGCGTTCGCAAAGTCCACCATGGCATCCTCCAGGGCGTCCAAACCCTCATCACCATCCGCAGCGAAGCATCACCGCCCAACAGCTTAACAATAGCCGACTACGAAGTGGCCATGCGATGCGCCGGAGCAGCAGTCGACTACCAGCAAGTCAAAGTCTTCTGGGCCGCCATGGCAGCTCAGGGCCTCTCAGACTCGCGCACATCCAAGTCATGGGCCGACTTCCTCAAAGCCCGCTTCATGACCGAGCCGGAGTACTACCAGTTCGACCGCTCCAGAGTGGCCTTTCTCGCGCGCGACCTGTACAGCAACCGCAACCCCTTACCCATGGCGGTCCTCAAGCACCTGGACAACATCAGATTCAGCGTCAACGCCCTCAAAATGGAGCCCTGGAACCGAAGACCCGACGAGCTCGACGAGGACATGCGGCGCCTGCTGCGTCGCCGTCTGGGCTACAAGAGCTTCAAAAGCCACTGGATCCGCGGCCTCTACTACGGGCACGAGATGGACGAAGATTTGCTGTGCACCTCCATGGTTGCCTTTGCCAGGTCCAGCTCCCTCAACTCGATCAAAAAGATGATTTTAGAAAACTACTACGGCATCATCATCACCCAAAACGACACAACAGACATTCAAATCTCCGGCGGCCGCGAGATCCCACCAAACTCCCCCCTGACGCCCACGCCTCGCCTCCTCCACGCCATCGTCGAGGCCTTTGGCTCCATGTCCCACATCCTCCTCGGCACAAAGCTGCTCGACTTCGTCTCCCGCCGCTACAACATCGCCATCCCCCACGAAACCTGGTCCGCCCTCCTCAATTGGACCTACATCTCCGCCTCCAAGCCCTTCAAGCCCCTCCGCGACATCCAGACCGGCGAGCTGTCCACCTCCAGCTCCGCCGCCGACGTCCGCCACATCTGGGCCGCCATGACCTCCGAACCATACAGCATCGTCCCAACCCTGGCCGACCTCGACATCTACGTCAAGACCCTCATCAACCAGCGCTCCTTTGGCCAAGCCATCGCCACCATCCGCGCCCACGCAATCCCCCACTACGCCTCCCTCCTTTCAACCTATCACACCGCCCTCGCCGACGAGATCCTCCAGCTCGACGCCCTGGCAACCCTCTCCAAGGCCCTCTCCTCATCGCTCACCTCTCGCGCAACCTCCCGCCGCCGCCGCGCCCAGCTCCTCAAGGACCACACCCACCACCTCATATCCTCCTGGCTCACCCGCCTCCTCAAGTCCGCCTCCGCCACCCGATCCGCCCGCGGGGGCTCCTTTGCGCACACCCGCATCCCCGACCTGCTCCTCGAGTTTTCCGACTTCTTCCACCCGCAGGTGCGCTACCGCACCGCCCAGGGCCACGTCGTCCTGCAGCGGCCCGACGCCGACGTCGCCAAGCGCTTCGACTGGGACAATGCCACCTGGCGGCGGACGCTGCCGCAGAAGAAGTCGGGCATCTACGCGCGGGACTTTGAAGGCTCCGACGACCCGGAGTTTCCCTGGCCGAGGGTGAAGGAGATGAAGGTGCTGGAGTGGAAGAGAGTGCCGACAAGGAGATCCGACGTGATGCTTCGGCCGCCAAGGGAGTGGGCGAAAGAGGCGAGAGCGCAGGAGTGGTGGGATGCGCTGGAAGAGGAGTTGATGCTGTAGATTTGCTCAAAATGTGCTACAGTGTATATATACATGTATGGACATGAGTAGGTGTGTGGATGGATATAGATGGATATATTACGTGCTCATTTAGAACGACATTATCTATATAGAGTTTCAAGGCACATGTGCATATTACTAGTATATAACAATTTCATCTAAATAATCACAAACACATCAATAAACGGCTCTCTACGCCAAACGAATAAAAATAGAACCAAGAATACAACAGTTATGCAAGTCATTATTCGTGATTCATTCGATCCATCTATCCATGCCATAATAATAGTCAATATGTACAAAAGATGAAGCTAGCCCAGGGTATCTACCAGTCGTCCTTCCTCCTCCCAGCCAGTGAAAAAAAATAACCAGTCATAAAGTCGTGTTATCCAAAAAGCTTGCCAAAAACCTAATAATAAGAAAAAAGTCCATTTGTCGTTGCAGCAATCGACTAGCACCCGAATGATTATACAAAGAAGAATATATACAAAGGATTGTTTCCAAAGATTTGGAGAAGGAGCGAAGATTTTCAAAAACCTTTTGCAGAAAAACTCTGGGTCATGTCATGGGATGGTAGAAGCATCTTGATGGAATGTCGCTTCATCAATTTCCTATCGCAGCTTCAGCCAAAACTCCCAGCAAGCTGGCAGCAGCGCCGCCAATGCCCACCGCACCAAGCGCCTCGGCCCAAGGCGTCTTGCCGGCTGTCTTGTCTCTCCTGCGGTCATCGCGGCGATCACGGTAGCTGTCGTCTCGGTCTCGGTCTCGATCTCGGTCTCGGTCTCTGTCCCGGTCTCGTCGGTCACGATCACGATCTCTATCCCTGCGATGTTTGTCGCCATGTGATGGATCACTGTCTCGACGTCTCCGTTCTCTGTCATCTCGGCGCTTAAAATGGTCATCCCTGTCTCTTTCATCGCGATCTCGAGATTTCTTTGAAGAGCTGGAGTCTCGGTGCTCACGACTTTCCTTTTCTGCTCGGGGATTCACCTCATAAGGATTAGGGCCGAACCGCACATGGTTCGTGTTCTTGTTCTTCAAGATTGACTTGGGCATGGTGGAACCAGTTGGAGAAGTCTTGTCCTTTTCTGGCGGGCTCACAATGACGGGATAATTCTTATTCTTCTTTTCACCCGAGTCTTTATCATCATCGTCAGAAATGTCGCTCGAGTCTTTGTCGTCCTCGGAATTCTCATCTCGACTACTCTCTGAGCCCGTTTGCTCATGCTTCTTGGCATGGTGAGAACGCTGTTTGCCTGACGTCTTATTGTTCCGAGCAGCATCATGCCGAGCAGCACGACGTTCGGCGCTTAGGCGGGCGTAGTAGGTCACTTGATCGAGAGACAGGCGGCCAAGGACGGCAACATAGCCTGGGCGAGCTTCGTATCGTACCCTAGCCAGATGAAGGGCTTCGGGGCTAACGACAGAGCGGTCGATCTTGGTCCACTCCGCGCCCATGGGGATATCCCGGCCGTAGCTATCAGGAGCCAGGCGAAGCATCGGCGCACCCCCATATGCTGGCGGAGCACTAGAGCCGTATACCTGAGGCGTTCCCTCTACATGAAGCTTGTTCTTTTGAGGAATCGGCTGAGGGGCCGTAGCCCCAGATATCTTGATCTCAGGCAGCGGCATGGCGCCAGACATCATGGGCTGGAAGGACGGAATATCGGCCTGTGTCGGAGAGCTGCTCAGGTTGAGGCCAGCCATTCCAGTACTGAAAGAGTCCAGCATGATTAATTCCTGGGTCGAGATGAAGGTGAAGGAGCCAGCAACGTTGCCACCACCCTCAGCTGGCGCCCAAGAACGGGAGTCATAAGAGAGCTCTGGCGCCAGCGAAGGGAACGGAGGTTGATCGGGCATCAATCTTTCAGTCTTCATGCTGGCAGGAGCTTTTTGGTAATCAGCGAGCGGAAAGGTCATATGGCGCCCATACTTGTGCGCAGACGCAGGGACAGAATTGCCGTCAAGTTCGAGGAGGCCTTGGACAGTAGGAGGAGCGCCGTCTTTGGCAGACAGCATGGTCTCGATCTCGTGAATGTAGGCGCGCAGAACATCCTGAGAGTGTCAGCTTCAGTACATGTTTCACCACCAGATGCCAAGACTGTACGCTACTTACCTCATGCTCGTCCAGCACCTTGGACGAGAACCCCTCCTTGACAAGCTCGCCCTGGAACCTTTTCCATAGCTTGTCGTCGCCACTTGCAGCAGACTTGCTGGTGCTATCACGACGAAAAAGCTTGCGCCCGATGGTGTCGACCTTTTCTTTGATGTAATCGAGGCTGGGCCCGCGACGGCCACTGCTTGGCGGAGCGCTGCTGGATTGCACCAGCTCCAAAAAGGCGTCAATCACAGTCTGTTGGTGGACCAGCTTGGTCTGCACAGCAGCGATGCCCTCGGCAGCACCATCGGCATACGGCCCTCCCCCTCTGCTGTTCAGATCCAGCACGAGCTCGAGCTGCTTCAGCGTCGTCTGGGAGTCCTTGATGATGGAGTTTAGCTGGTTCAAGTAGGACGACGAGTCTGCGGCGTTTAGGCGTGAGTCCGGGTCGGCAGCCTCGACGCGGAGATGGCGCAGGGCATTGTGCAGGTTGCGAACGGCCTGAGAGGCATCTGTTGAGAGCGACGGCACGGTTGACTGGGTGGTGCGCACGTGAAGGGTCCTGGCAAAGGCGTCGACGGCATCGATGTGTTGGACGACGGAGGTACCGCTCATAGCTATGGGGAATGGCACGATGCTTGCTCTATAGATGGTGCGATGCGATGCTGCTGGCTTGAGAAAAGAGATATATAGGTATATCTGTATCGGCTGTGGCAAGTCAAAGTCCAAGTCGCCAAGTCTGTGGTTCAGGCAAACTTGGCGGAGGATATTTTTGTCTTGGGAAAAAAGAAAATCACGTTGGGCCGCAGTTTTGAGACAGACGGTCGTCTGCGCTCGCGTGTGTCCGTCCTCGTGATAGGCAGGGCAGCTGTGGTTGTGACTGGCCGCTGGTTGGTCAGCAGCGGTCGATGAGTGAGCTGAGATGGCGCAGCAGAGCCTGGGCTTCGGAAGTTGTGGAGGCTCGTATAATCGAAGTACTATCTCCGGGATGGGGGTTTGGAAGCTGGACCGACGGTGGAGGAGATTTCGATCGAGATTTCGATTGAGATGAGAGGGGGAAAGTGAAGGAAAAGGGAAGAGGCAGAAGCAAGGCTCGCGGTTTTCAACGGCCAGTACCTGAGGCAGAGGCCATCACACCCAGATGGTGAACAACAGCGCTTGTACCGCTACCTGGCAAGAACCTTGCCTCTATCAAGGCTCAACTAAAACATTACATGTAAACCATCCATCCATGCTTTACTCCAATTACTCCAGCCCCTCCTTTGGTACTTGTCGGCCATCTCAGCCAAGCCCCAAGTCTCAGTCTCTTTACTGTAAAGCACCCCTACATTAGAACATGCACGGGATGGGCTGCCGATCCAAGCAACCCATAGACTCTGTCGACCCGGACACGAGCCAAATTCAGGGAAAACACAAAAGAGACGGCACGAACATGTGACTTCACCACGGGCTGTGACGTCGTTGCACCAGCCCCGCCAGAAACCTGGTGTGGGGGAAATCTGTTAGTGCCACAGAGCGACGGTGGTACAGCATTAACAGAGCACGAGAGAGAGTCACAGCGTGAACTGGACGGGTGGCCACAGACCAGGGGGCGCTGTTCTGGAGCCTGGAGGCGCTGGAGGCCAATCCCGACCCCTGCGGCGGCGACCCAGCCCAGCAGGATTTCCAGCAATGCACATCATAGCTCGATTGAAGCAGCCATAATCTGGTTGATGCTGAGACAGGCACGGGTACAGGTACCGTGTCGCTACCAGACTCTGCCTCCTCGCAGCAACTGCCACTGCGCTAAAGCATCAGTGCTATGGAGCGCTAGTACCTGGGAACAGAACAGCCCCAGAAACAGCCCTAGAAGGCGTCGGTATTCCTCCCAGTTAGCGGCAGCGCCAGTGCCTGGAGCTTCCATCAACCACTGACGCCAAAAGCTACATGTCCACGGAGCCACGGGCGTCTTAGTGCAGTACAGCGCGACTATCAGTTGGCCTTGGGGAAAGCCTGACGCAACAGCCGGCCCCGTTGGTTCCGATCTGCCCTTTTAGCATCTCCATGTAGTCATTTGGTGACGGGCTTGGAGCTACGTCAAGATTGCATCTGCCTGACGGTACCTGCCGGTATCGACACATTGGCAGCAGCAGTCATCACTTGTCAAACCTCCATGTCTCGTCTCTCGTCTCTTCACAAGTAATATAAAAATTTCTCTTCGTGTTTTGCCATTTGCCACCCCTCGTATCCATCTCGCTATAAGCCGGCCTTCTCGAAGCGTCCAGAACACGAACCCTCTGAACCCTGCATTTTTGACTTTTTTAAGGTTAATCGACCGCGGCCAACGTACATATGCACGGCACGGCGCATGTCTCGTCTCGTTCTCAGCGAGGCTGTGCCGCTGCGAACAAACTCCACTGCATCCAACGTTTCTACTACTACTAATCTGGTACTAACTCGATCGCTGAAACCGAAACCTGCATGTACTGCCACTCGCCTTCATGTGTAGTGGCAAACGCCTAGGGCTAGGGGTGAGATAAAGCGCAAGGCAAATGCGGAGATGGAGAGATTGAGATTGACGCCGCGGATTGCATGTCTAGATACCAGCACATGTATTTCCTGTTTATTGAAAAGATGCATGCGCGTTACATTGCAGGTTCAGCTCGTCGTCTGTCGCTTGCCGCCTCCTATAAAATTCATGGACTGTGCAACTCTGCACAGAGTCTCTTCCGCCTACGATCGACATGAGCTCGAGCTTCACCACCAGCGTAATATCCCCTCTACTCACAATCCTCTGACAGCCCTGCATTTCTTTGCTCTCTCATTCGTCCGAGTCTGCTGTCCAGCTAACTGCATCCTCCTAGCAAGTTCTAGCTACACTACATGCAAGACCCTCAGCTCACCACCAAAGCCCCAGCTCAGCTCGCAAAAGGGGCTTTTGCTTACTACCATCATGTAATAGAATCTGCTGCAGAGCCTCACAGAACGATTCCTCCACTAATCACATGCTCATCCATCTATCCCGCACAACCACATCTCAGGTATGGATACACTGGTTGACTGGCTGGATGTCATACATGCTTGCTCGGCCTACTTTTGACTCCAATCATTCACCCTTGTCAGCAGCAGCATGTGGTCATTGCCATCATCTTCTTTTTCTTTGTCAATTAGCCCGCAGGCATGGATTGCTATGTGCCTCTTTTTCCAAAAACTAACTCAATACAAACACCCTCGGCATCATCATATTTGTTATGTACAAAACCGGCAATCACCACCTATCAATCGTCCCGTATATAGCCGCCAAGTTTCTTCGTTGCCAACAATGGTATTATCCAGCTCGCCAAATTATTTGAAACTGCCAACCAATCCATTCGGCCTCCTTCACCGAAGCTCGCTCTTCACCCCCACAAGATTATGCCATGCATGTGAAAGCCTTACTTTTTTCTTTTCTCCGACTACTAGTTGCCCGAGTGAAATACCGACTCCGTCTGAGCCGCACTAGTCAAAGATCCTACCATCCATCGCGCTGTTCTCTCCCCGACGCTCCGTTTCTGAGAGCCCCCTCTCATCGAAAAATAAGCCTAATACAATTGAACTGACCCATTGTATGAGCCTCTGCCTGTTCAAAGGAGCACACCTGCGGCTCAGATTGAGAGCTTCTCCAAAGAGTATGCCTCCACCTTTTGACTGATCAGGTGTCCCATCTCTCGAACGCTTCTCTGCATCACTTCACCTCCCGACACCACCTTCTCTCTCGTAGGCAGCGACTTTGTCTTCAGGCCAAGCGGCAGCAGTTTGGATTCCCGGTTCTCTACCTGGAAAAGCATCGACTTGTTCTGGGATGCTCTGGCTACACCGCCCTTTTGGGCTGCGTTTCCGAACCGCACAGTTTCGCCTAGGATGCCATTCAAGAAGACGGCTTCTTCAATGCCTTCCAGAGCGGCTGTCACTTCGAGTCGAAGGGCTGTCAGGAAGTCGCTGGCTTCGGCCTTGTCAGCCCACGAGATGGCATCGTTAAATAGCCATCCACCAGCCCCAACTGCGTCCAGGCATCGACCCAAAAGGTCTGCAATCAGGGCAATGACGCCATCCGGGGGAGGCTCGTTGCCCTCCGAATCAAAGCTGGTAGGATCAATGTATAGCGAGGTCCATGCTCCGCGGAGTAATTCCACACGTAGCAGGTAGATGAGTGACATGATATCCTCTGTTGATACTGTTGTTCGGAGAGCCTTGACCGTAGAGACTGCAGGCAGCCGCCATAGCTTAGTAAATGCCAGAGTCAATCCACGCGAGCGGCTGCTAGAGTCATCGCCCAGATAATGCTCTGTGACGGCAATCTTTCGCTCCAAGTCATCCAGGTCCATCTCAATATCGTCATCCTTGCCGCTGTTGTCGGCGTGGGGCTCGCTTGTCAAGAGTTTGGTGGCATCCATTTTACCCTCGGGAATCAAGTCCATGCTGAGCATTAGGGATCGAATGGCGAGTAAAAGCTCCACCTCGCCTAGCTTGGTTGCTTGCAGGTAGTTCAGCAACAGGGTCAGTGAGAGATCAGCATCCGCAAGGCTCCGGATCAAGTCTCCCGCAACGGCGCGGTTGTCCGATGCCTCGGGTGCGAGTTCATCTCGGAAAGCCGTTCTCAGATTGGATAGAGTGAGATGGCCTGCGACCACAAGGTAGGTTGTCACATTGCTCTCGGGCAAGACGAGGCGCAGCTCTGGCCGTGTAGATTCACCAACCTCCTTAATGTCAACTGAGAATACTTGAGTGATGGCGTAAATGATCCATCTGCGATCTACCGCAGGGTAGGACGATCTAGACAGCCACTCCCATTCTGGCAGCTCTTGCGCATCGGAGCCTTCCAGAGTCTTTGAATTGTCGCCGTTCGGTAGCTCTGTGGTCTTCTTGGGCACGTTAAACTTGCGGCGCAAGACGTCTTCCCACTTGTTTAATTCGTTGTTTGCGAGTAACCTATCGGCCGCTTCTGTTTCGGCTTGGAACTGGACGAGATAGTCACTTGTAAGCGTTCCTGGGACCAGCCTAGTAAATTCAGATGATACTTCGCATCTCATCTTCTTGGATGGTACTTCAAGACCAGTGCCTCGCCCAATTGAGTCAATCAGGAGACCTTCCTTTCGTCGTTTGCCAGGGTTCTTTGGCGGCTCGACTTGAATGGTCACAAGAATGTTGTCTACTAGGGCAACGACTGTATCTTGGCTTCGCAGGTAGCTGATTAGCTGGCAAGATCGAGGTGTCTCGCCATCAGTTGGAATTTCAGACCAGTCCAGGGAAGCCTTGGAGTGGATGGATCGATACTGGTAATTGTAAAGACCAATGGAGTTTAGTGAAGAGGCGAGAATGAAGGGCTTGAAAAGCCGGACAAAGGTTTGCGCATTCTCTGCCTCAATCGACGACTTGAGCTTGGGCACGGCACCCGTCAAGTCGTAGACACCAATAGCTCCTTGCTGGAGCTGGAGCAAAAGGCCTGACTGTACATCAACCTGGTAGATTGGAGATTCGTCATTGTCCTGGTTGGCGATTGAAGTGATTGGCACAATGTCGAGGGGAACGAGATGCTGTACGTCGGCCGATGCTGAGCTTCCAGACACGGCTGCCAGCACAATCAAATGCCGGTTCTCAACGTTTTGGCTCAAACTCTTCGAGATTAGAACAACAAGTTCCACTTGAGAATCGGTGGCCTTTGGCAGAGCGCTGAAGACTTCGGGCCGATTCTTGAACAGCCCTTCGTTGAACTCGGCAGTGCTTCCCGAAAGTGCGTATTCGATGTGGAACTCGGAAATGGCTGTAGCCACTGAATCTTGAAGCATTGACTTGGAAGAGGAGGACCATTGTATAGCCAGGGATTCCCCAGACAAGCACACAACCTCTCCGTCTTCACAGACAGCTATTATATCCCCAATGTTTGCGGATTGACTCGAGGGTGAAGAGCAAGTGATGTACTGGACAGCAGAGGTCTGCAAGACTTGCGAGATGCTGTTCGACGTCGTTTTCCCGTCACGATGGGCTACGTCCTTGAAGAGAGTAATTTTGTGAGCCCCGTTGTCGGCGGTTGCTATGAATGTGTATCGCAAGGCATCGGTGGTGTTGTTTCGACGGACTCTGACAGAGTATGGGGGGCAGGTAAACGATTCTTGCGGCGGGATTGGATAAGATGTGACGAGTCTTGAGGCAGGGACCTGTAATTATTCACATGTCAGCAAACTGCCACTATCAAATAGCCCAGTTATTTTGTTCCATACATCGTATATGCTTGTTGTCTCTCCGTCAACGCCAACAACAAGCTCGGTTCGCTTTCTCTTCTTCTGGCCGTCGCGCTGGCCGTACACTTCTCGGGCCACGATATTGCCCTTGGTATGGTCCAGAGGCTTTGGCAAGTGCGCCAGAATGTATGGCTTGTGTATTCTGTATTCGGAAGCCATGGCGATGCTTGTTGCTGTCCGGAAGCCGTGCAGTCCAATAGCTGATGTTTTGCGACTTCGAGCGATTGCAGCTATCGCTGATAAAAAAAAAAAAAGTTGGCGACGGCGTTGCAAAATTCCGTTAGTGGGGTGGCTTAGGTAATGCATGTGGCGGGGCTCCAGGTGATAGCGCGAATCCGCTGTAATCCCTGCGACTCTACAGTGCACGCGTTAATGGGAGCTGGACGCGTCGAATTGCTCTTGAAGTCGACAACGCGGGCTGTTTCGGGACTTTGCACCAAATGAGGACTCGACAATAGGGCGGGGATATTGGCGAGGCCTGGAGGATTCTTGATTTACTGCATCTTGAGCATATTCATATGGAAAAAAGCAGCTCCATCTCCTATCTCGGTCTCATTCTTCCCCGATATCGACGTTGTTCACCAAACAGCGAATTCATGCCGAACTAAGGTGGGAAAGACATAGAAGCGCTGGGAATCGCTGGGAATCTCGAAACACAGAAGCGTACTAATGCAGTTTCCCGTCTTTTCAGTCTCGCTTGGATCAATGGGACCGGTCCTGGTCGCTACGATGGTGCAGGGCGAAAATGGTGACCCGTCGTCCAAGAAGCTTCATCCGTTCTTCACCAAGAGCGATCCCGACCAACTCGCGGCCCAGCCTGCGGCGTCTCCGCTAGAATCGACTGAATATACACCCGAAGAGTCCCTTCCGACCTCTGCTGAAGGCCCCAAGCGAAAGCGGCAGAGGACAGATGCTTCCACAGCTCAAGATGACCCCGAAGCCAAGAAGTCTCGACGAGGAAGGAAGCCCGCAAAACAAACACTCAACGGGGCCATCTTGAGCCATCTCAACAGGCCAGACAAGGATGGAGCACATGGGGACGATATTCCCGTCACACAGCTGGCCCAGAGCCTTGCTTTATCGACAGTCAACGAAATGCAGGTACCGAAACAGCAGCCGGAGACGACTGGCCAGACTGCGAACAACTTCACATGCTCGAATTCCTCTCTTGACCCTCTGCAACAACAAACACCCGTCCCTGCGCAACAGAAAAGGGTGCTCAAGTTCAATCCAAAAACCGGAACTTTGGGTTCACCGCCGAAGCCCAAAGCCATAAACAAGCCGAGTCGAGTAGTTACAATCAAATATGGACGGGATGATGAGCATCGAAAGGCCCTAGGCGAAAGGATTGTTGCAGTTCTCGAAGGAAGGCTACATTTATCACCTGTGCCGAGCAAAAAACAAGGCACAAAGCCAAAGTCGCAACAGAAAGACGGAGCAGCCGACAAGTCAAAAAACACACATCCGTTCTTTACAGGCAAAACGAAGCCGCAGCCTGGTACTATTACTGCTCCAAACGATTCAGCCAATAAATCCTCAAGTCATGGCCGCGTCTTCATGTCTACTCCAGTCTCGCCAAAGAAACTCAAGATGCCATTTTCTACACCCAAGGCTATTCAGTTTGGGATAAAATCAGGAGGCACAAAAATTCCTGGTGCCATGTACCCATTGTGGCCGGCGCACGGGATGACACATGTGCGTGATTGCGAGTTCCCATACGCAAGGGCAACTATTCGAGAATCTGGTACAAGGCACAGGAGGTCAAAAAGGACGGCCGTCTCTATTGGACCGCGCGAGTCTGTGATGCGACACCTTCTACATGGCTTGGACATGGCAGGAATACAGAAAAGTCTCCCTAAAGACGACAACAGCTTTTTACCAGCGCCCGCCGAACTACGACTGCCCCAGAGGCATTTTGAGAGTGGTCGAAAACTCCAGAGACGAATTCGGTCTCAGCTCCAAAGCAATTTGGCCAACCATCACCTTGATGAAGCTGATCTTGATGTCGATGAGCTTGCCGGTCGAAAGTCTCCTAAAATCCATCCTGCCATTAGCCGTCTCTACAACTCACTCTACACGCAACTCTCGGCTTTCGATAAATCACAGTGCGAAAGTAGCAGCTGGATCCAAAAGTACGCACCCATAACGGTCGCGCAGGTATTACAGCCAGGAAGAGAAGCGCTCCTTCTTAGCGACTGGCTTCAGGCTCTCAGAGTAGAGTCTGTGGAATCTGGGACTTCTGAGGGAGACAAGGGGAAAAGTAAGCCGAAGAAGAAGAGGAAGAAGAACAAACTCGACGGCTTCGTCATCGAAAGCGAATCGGAGGAGGCTGAGATGGACGAGATTTCCGATAACGAAGGAGACTGGGCCGTCTTATCCGGCTCGACACTGGTTAAGAAGTCTGTGATGCGCTCAATCAATTCGACAAGCAGAGGCAGTAACCGTCTCAAAAATGCCATCATTCTGAGTGGTCCCCACGGTAGCGGCAAGACGGCTGCGGTCTATGCGGCTGCAAAGGAGCTAGACTTTGAGATTTTTGAAATCAATTCGGGGAATCGAAGGAGTGGAAAGGACATTTTGGAAAAAGTTGGCGATATGACACGGAATCACTTGGTGCAACACAACCGAGCTGAAGCCACCGCGATTGATCTAGAAGAGGTGGCCAACGATATCAGCTCAGGGAAGCAAGGCATGATGACGTCGTTTTTCAAACCAAAGGCGAATACGCAGCCTGCGAAGCCCGGCACAAAGCAGCCCAAGCAGGAGGCTGAAAAAGAGACGAAAGCTCCGTCTAAAAGCCAGAAGCAGTCTCTTATTCTCCTCGAAGAGGTTGACATTCTGTTTGAAGAAGACAAGCAGTTTTGGACCACCCTGACAAGTCTCATTGCACAGTCCAAACGACCGTTTATCATGACATGCAACAACGAAAGCTTAGTTCCTATAGACACTTTGGATCTACATGGAATCTTCCGCTTCTCACCAGCTCCTCTAGGTCCAGCTGTGGACCTGTGCCTCCTCATCGCTGCCAACGAAGGTCATGCTCTCCAGAGATCGGCTGTGGAAGCATTGTATAGTTCTCGCAATAACGATCTGAGGGCAACAATAACGGAGCTAAACTATTGGTGTCAAATCGGAGTTGGCGACCGTAAGGGAGGGTTTGACTGGTTCTATCTACGCTGGCCCAAAGGCTCCGATCTTGACGAGAATGGCGACGTGGTTCGAGTCATCAGCCAAGACACCTACCAAAAGGGCATGGGCTGGGTCAACCGCGACCCCATTGTCGCTAGTAGTGGACTTGCTGCTGAGGAAGAGGCCATAGACCAAGCCTGGGACTTTTGGGGCTTCGACATGGGAGACTGGTGCAACAGTACCAACATGAATTCTTGGAGCACAGCTACTACGACGCCGGAGAGAAATCTGACAGCGCTAGAAATGCTAGAAGCGTATGACGATTTCTGCAGCGCTATGAGCTGTGCGGATCTCTGTTCTGCAGGCGCCTACGGCATCAAATTACAGGAGACGCTGGATCCAACGCTGCCCGACCTTCCAAGCCACGTCAAGGACGATTATACTATAGGACATGCTCTACTGGAAGCCCACCCGGTGGTGCATTATGCTGCGCCAAACAAGGCCATGTCAACATCCATCATGTCCCTGGCTCGCGCAGCTTTGCGTGAATCGACCACAGAGAAGTCGGATAAGGCCTCACTACAGGCCCCAGTCCTAAAACCAGTTGACGAGGAACAGGCAATCTGCATCATCGATTCGTCTTTCCGATACTCCCCTCCACAAATAACCAGGATGGACATTGCCATTGCATTCGATCCCATCGCTATCGCTCCCAAGGTCGTCCCGACAACATACCTCGATCCCTCCGTCTTCGATCGGACAATGCAACTAATCGTCCTCGACGTCGCCCCCTGGATCCGCGGCATCGTGGCATACGAACATCAACTCATGCAGAGACGTTTAAAGCTGAGCAACCTCCTCAGCGAGGGCGGCAAGCGCAAGCGAATGCGCACGACGAGGAGCGCATACTCGGCACTGGAAGGCGGGGAGCGGCGGACGACTCGCAGAGAGAGGCACTTTGGCGATTGTCTGTCCACACTGCACGTTATGCGCACTGGTGGTGAGAGGTGGATGGATCTGGTAGTGGAAGAGGTCGCAAGGTCTGAGGCGGGAGACAGCACTGCGGCGAGTAGTCCTGCATCTGATGATTTGGGGCTACAACAATGATATACATGTTTATGGGATGTATGCAAGCGGGAAGATGGATGTTTAACGTTGGATTGGAGCATGGGAGCATACGCTGGGTTGTTTGCCGGCGTTTTTCGTAGCGTTGAAGAAAATATCGAACATCTAGATGGGGGCTATGAGCTATTATAAATTCAAAGTATGTGAGACAGTTATACCTCCTGGCATGAAGTTGCGAATCTCAGTATTATGACTATTACTCCTCGTCCTCTCCTTTGCAAGCTCCAGGCAGATACTGCTACCTAGGTACTTTTATTTACAAGCCAGCCAACATCAAATATACAATCTGCAGAAACAGACAAGCTATATCATCATCACGACTCTATATCAAACAACGAATAAAAAAGGGTCTTATAAACTTACACTCACGACACACAATCCTTACTCACCACTTCCGTTACTCTACACATGTCTCTCTTTCTCAAGCCTCAAAAAACAGCAAAAGAACACTCAGATTCCAAGCAACGGAACTTCCCACCCTTGTTACGCTTAAAAGCTCCCATCACCAACTCTCAGCGCACTAGAAAAACGAAGCTAGCACAGGTGATAACTAATAGCCCAGAAGCTAACGTTCGGCACAATACTACTAACAAGGATAAAGAAATTTGACAGTAGTTGAGTTTGTATTCTCTGCATCATGTACTTTACGTTGGCGGTAGGCATGAATTCAGCCGAGATTCGAGTGTCTCACTCTCCAACGGACTACCTGATTTAGGTGCATGATGCTACAATCACAGTGAAAGCCCCAACGCAAAAGCTCCAAAACTTGCACACCCCATGGAGCATTTCATTATCGTCAGGGGCATATTATATCACTCGCACCCAATCTCAAGCTACATGATTGGTGATTCCACGCAAGAATTCATCCGTGCCCAGCGCTCATACACATCACGGAACTTACAACGTCAATGCTGCAATCTAGAAGCAGTACATAGCACAATAGTACTACAAGTAGGTAGCAACAAACTATCCACGTCCCAACCCCCCTACCCTGTCAGCGGGCAAACATCTTCCCCTCATCCTCCGGTGTGATTCCCACCACCAACCCCAAAGACGAAAAGCTACAACCAGCCAAAGCAGCTACCAAGACACGGAGCACAAGTGGTCCCGTTGATCAGTTATTCAGGCCCCTAGCACTTTACATAGTAACCGTGTATAAGTGTGTCTCAGTTGCGAATTCGCACCAACATGTCACCGGCCTAGGCCACCTACATACAAGCCGTCGTTGAGAAGAAAGCCCGTTCAGCCAGATCAGCATACAAAAACAACCCCAACTCCCAACTCCGCAAGGCAAAAAGACGAAGCGAGTTTAGAGCTTTCCATAACGATGACACTTGCCATTCATTATTCGCAGAGGACATACGCAGGAGATCCTTGCTGGTCTCGCCGCCCACCGGATGCCACTTGATACCGGGCCCACCATGACGGGACCTGGCAACAATGTCCGTCTTACGGAGTGATAACCACAGCAAATACGGGTAAGACCGTGCTGGCAATCGGCTGCTTAACTCCTAGGAGCTAATTATAGCTTCGCTTTCGCGTAGCGGCGGCCAAGCGACTTTGATATGGAAGATCAATAGTTATTTCGGCGTGGTCTCTTATTGCCCCGTCAGCAGAGGGCTTTGAGGCGACTTGGGATGTTGGGAAGCTCTCAAAGCACAAATATTCACAAGAAAGGAGTTTTCAAAGGTTACAAACGACATGAGCAAAAGTGTTGTAGAAGTATTTTCTTCTTAGATTCAAGTGTAACACCCCCTTGCCATGTTTCGTCCGGATCGTGAATCTCGGCGGGGAGTTCCTCGCTCTATCTCGCAATGGACGCTCCGTAGCAAAGAGTGCCCTTGCTCATCAAAGGTCAAAACACAGCTTGAGTTTGATGCCTTTCTCAGGCAAGAGTCCGCAGGTTTCAATAGCGACCAAATCAATCAAGTAGCCTCGCAAAACCGACACCGTCAAAAATTGGCAATAGGAGCGCCTCCAATCGTTCATGGTTTGCTAAGGCCTTGTTGAATTCGCGGAGAGCAATAAGATCCTCTTCTGCGTGCAGGACATGCCGTTGTAGTTGCCAGTTCGGATTATCCTCGCTCCCATCGGCAACCAGTCCTCGTCGAAGGACATTGTCAGCAACGATGAAGCCGCCAGGACGAAGGAGCCGATTAGTTGAACCAGGCCGAGATCCAGCCAGGATGTCCCTGAGATAGCTTGGATAGCCTGATTTCTGGGCATCAATAAAGATCAAATCATACGGTTCCTCGGGCTGCAGAGTTGATAACCTTGAATACTTTGTTAGCTGCCATGAAGAACAAGGGATCATTATGGCAAACCGGTGATTTACGTTTGGAGCGCATCCCCTACGATGATTTCCACATTCTTCACCCCATGCTTCTCAAACGTGCCATTGGCAATCTTTGCATATTCCTCTGAGAACTCAAGGCCGGTCACTTTGCCATCTTCGCCAACGGCATGCGCCCACACGAGCGCAGAGTAGCCAACGTATGAGCCAATTTCGAGAATTCGCTTAGCACCAAAGGCTCTTGCAAAGAAGATGAGACTCTGAGCCTGCAAGTTCGAGATCATGTAAGCCGCATCCTGCGGACGGTTCTCATCTACCCAAGCGTGATAGTCCACGAGGTGTTTTGGCAATGCAGTTGAACTCGACGCTGAATATGTCGTCACTTCAGCGGCCACCTTGGCATTGGGAAACAGAGCTGCAGACGTCGTCTTTTTGGACATGGTTGATCAGGGCCAAGAGTGGACGAAAAAAATGTAATGTTCTCTTTCAAGACAAGTTGTGGCAAGGCACCTTTGGGAAGCTTTTACTCAGTTATCTCTTTCGCGGAAGAAGAATTGCCCATGACTTTCTCAGTTCATTGTCTTGATCATTAAGCTACCTCTCGGTCTCCGAGGCTTGATGCGGAGAGGATGCAGGAGTAGTGATGCTGGACAAATGGACGATCATCACAGAACAGGAGTCGATTGCGTTATGAAGCTATTCCTTTCCCCTCATCGGTCTCCGAGGCCGACAGCCCGATAGCCGAAATGGCACTCGAGGAACGCATCTGATAAACCATTATTAGGCACCATAATACGGAGTCATAGTCCATGAACTCAAACCAAAGCAGAACAGAGCGGGCAGCGACTACGCGGCCTATGACAAGCCCAAATCACTGATAGTCATATGGTCAGGCAAAATGGATTAGTTCGTGACACAATTCCCCATGTCGGAAGGGTTGGCTCAAAGGCCGTGTCCTGCACGACAGCGATCTGCTTCGGCGGCGTTCGTCATGGAGGACCCGGCATGGTGCGACTATCAAACCCGGCTGGGAGCCCACTGGGTCCTGCTAAACTTGCAACGAAATCCCGCTGATGTAACCGGCTTGTGCTGTGCCGAGCTTCTCTCCAATTATCCTGTATGAGGGCAGCGGCAAAAATAGCTAAGCAGACAGCCAGACATGAAAAGCCATTACCGGGCTAACTTGCGTTTCGAAGGGAGTTGCTCCGTATTACTCCCCGTATCAACGACGCAAGCGCCAACAGATTGTGCTTGGCGTGAAAACCTGATGGCGGAGAAGCAAAGAGACTTGACGCCTCCCAGGGATATCTACTAGCGAAGTGGATCTTGGCTCAAAGCAGACGAGGGTTGACGTTTGCTGAAACTCGCCGAGCAAAGGATTCATGAAAGCCGTGCTATTGTATGGCGGCTTTGGAGTTTACTCGAGGACGAAAACCCACCCGGGTAAAGGAGGTTGCCTTTAGCGCAGACGTACTCTGTACATTGTACATAGCCTGGAATCCGGTGGCACTGTTACTTGTAAACTGGATTTGCCCGTCATAAGGGCGGCCTAAGCCCAAGTGAGCAGGAACTGCCACCCGGCGCTCCGCCGTGTAACCGGAACGTGTCTATAGCGACCGGGGCCATGGCGAGAGACGCGGCTCCCCATCTAGCCTCAGCTGCGTCCGATCCAGCCGCGAATGTCGCTGAGCTCCGTTTCAGGGAGCGTGCCAAGTATAGCAGCTTGGGGGGATCATCGTCGTCGCCATAGATGGGAGTCGGTAATATGGATGCGGTGAGAAATGGCCGTGGCACCTGAAATGACGAGAAACACGACTAATCTCCCTGCGGACCGGGCGCAGCGATGCTCGACCCAAGCCAACGGGCGCTGCTTTTCGATGCCGCTTTCACAGTTCACAGCTGATGTTACCCCCGGGGAAGAAAAGAGTGAAGGATGCGAGCAAATGAGAAAACAAACAGAGGTGGCAGACAACGGAAAAGACATGGCGCCCGAGCTAAGACGGCGTCTGGACCACACAAGATGAGTCGCCAAGAGTGGACTGCATGCCGATATTGCATGCCTATCTCACAGCTCTGAAGAGGTACTCCGTGCAAGTTCTGGATAGTGAGAACTGCAAAGCATGAGGACTCGTGCCCCATACAGCAACCGATTCCAATGACACATGAGGGATTACCTATCCGCATGTTGCCCGTCCCCTGGGAGTAACATGCAGCAACGTGTGTTTATTTGGTATGCCATTGTATACCACACCATACTGGCAACTCTCGGCGGCAGCTCAGGAGCTGATACATAGCACCACTTTGGCAAAGATGATCGCCCAGTCATACCTGAGAGACAGTACCATGACTGTATTTGCAGAGGCGTTGGCGCGTGGTGTGCAGAGGCACAGGCATGGGGCGGCTCTAGCCCTGTACGCGCTGCGACCGACCATTTACATGCAGGCAGTCAGTGTCTGTGGCGTCGTCCAGGATGTGCCACAGATCGCTAAGAAGCGCAGCTGGGCCAGGGAGTGGGTTCCAGGTTGTCGTCTTTGGATGGCGCATTCGTGCACGCAAATAGCACATCAACGTTGGATCAGAGGAGCCGGTGTGGTGGGATGAGGACAAGGCGTCGCATGATGCTGACGGTCAGTGCACAGGCAGGAAGCTGGAAGACTGCAAACGAATTAGCAATACGAACATAACATTCTGGCCTGGCGTCGGGGCAACAGTTGATGTCAGCCACCGCAAACGCCAACGAGTGTCTACAAGTACAACCGCGACAGCAGTGCTATGCTGCTGGTACTGTACCGTCTGTACTCGACTTCCACAGCCCTGGTAGGCCCTATTAGAGCCTGCAATGAATGCCTTGACCCTTTGGTCGTACGAGGGCGGTGCTCCATCCAGCGACTCTAGCTTGACGCCAGGAGGATCGAGGCTGATTTGACGATGGGGTCTGGCCCGCTTTGGGACTCGCGTGCACCACTGACGCCAGGACGAAGTGCGCGCATAGTGAATGAGTGCATGGGCTGGTGTTGGAGGTTGGACGCTGGCGAGGAGATATTTTGGTCGTTTGTTGGTGTTTGCCCGGATTTACTTGGTTGCCCGGATTTACTTGGCTGCCTGGGTGCTGCCTGGATGCTCAGGCTACGAAGAGCAAGTACCTCGCTGCATGTACCTACGTGCACTGAGCGGGTGGACGGGTACATGCAGTACACAGCGACTCTGATAAGATATGGTGGTGATGGACTCTTCTCTCTACCAGCATCAAACTTGGAAGAGACAGCCATGGTCCAATCACACGACTGCAGAGTAACCGCTACTGCTCGTACGGCATCGCCAGACTCTCAGGTGGGCCGGCGCCATCGTGCAGGGCATTGCATGCACTAACGTGAGGACGGATATGGAGCCTTTGCTCTTTGATACAGGTACTGTAGCACTTCCACTGCTCCCGTGATTGTGGAACTTGGAGATGCCAACGATGGCAGGGGACGCAGGCGTTGGCGTCTTGCTGGTCTCCTGCTGGTCTCCTGCTGGCATGTCCATCACAAGCAACCGAATCATCTTGGCGCTGCCGAACGTCACAGCCGAGGAGCCCGAAAACTCTTGTCTGGCCGGGCATGAATTGATTGTTGCACAAGCAGTCGCTGTTGGGCCACTATGAGACAGAAAACAGAGCAAATGGCACAGACGATGAGACAAGCCAAAGCCAGCCTGAACCTTGGAACTGGCCACCAGGCCGAATCTGGCTATAAGACAAGAGCATCTACAGGCAATATACTGTGCTGTGGCCGTCACAAGATTCACCACCACATGCAGCCTCTTTAGACGCGGGCGAGTCTAGTCCGGCCAGCCCACCGGCCAGCAGGGAGGGACCCGTCCGGACGTTGGTTTGCCATGGACAAGCACGAGTTGCAAGTACAGTACAAGACTGCCCGTGGCACTCGAGTCTTTTCGCTCTCCAGTGTGTGGACCTGGACTATCGCCATCATGGATCCCATCGCCGAGAGCCACTGTTTAATAGACCCGAGTGCTACATTAGGCTTTGCAATATTGGCCTCGCCCCGCGTGTTGCGCAAGGCAAAAGGCAAACAAAAATTGTCTCTAGCGTCCAACAGCAGGGTCCATCTAGAGAGCAAGACTGAATCCAATACACTCCTCTTCTGATGCCGAAAGCGTCAACATTCGCCCAGTCCCAGAACAATGCGACTTGAAGACGAAAAGGTCGGTCCACACAGTGTCTGATGACACGCCATGTAGGTGAGCAGTCCGGCACGCTATTGCTTATTATCCTGAATCTTCTTCCTGTCAAGTATGTAAAAGTACGGAGCATTATTAGTGGACCAGCTCTGGTCAACCTCTCTGATTCGATCATCCGGACCACCTGAGCAGCCATCTCTCGGCTACCCGTCCATTGGCTGGCTGGAATTGGATGGCTGTCGCCGAGCCACCAAACTTCTCTTGCCTTTGCCGAATCTTGACCTTTGCATATTACTCTCTTTCCCCTCTCTTGGTGGATGCCATGCCATGAGACATCGATGCAGGCCGCCACCAAATGATTCACGCAATCGGAGCCGCCTCATCAGCAGGATAAGGGGACTAGAAACGCCTCACGATGATGGTTCCAGCACGAGTCGTCGCACAGAGCCGAGCCCTGAACATCATTCGCCCTCGCCTAGACCATCAGTGCCTTGCTGCGCCAAACGAAACGGCTCCAAGGGATCCAACCACCTGAGCCAGCCTTGGGTTTGCTGGACCAGTGGGCCGGATCATCTAGTGCAAGCCGTGGTGCTTTTGAAACTAATGAAGCTGGAAAGAAAAAGCGGCATCAGGGCGTCACACAGTTGCCACACCTTGCCGGACCCGCGCACCCATTTCCATGCTCTGATGGCAATGCACATGCCTTCTCAAGCATCGTTGGCATCATTCAACAGCCCTCGGCCGGGGCTCTGCGGACGCTGATGCTCCCGATTCCACATCATGGCCGAGATGGCTGACGTTGAGCCTTTGCTGCTCGTTCTTGATCTGGTTGGCACACCCTCGTGAAAGTCAGCCGTCTTCAAATAACGGTCCTACACGCCCCCCCTTTCAATAAGCCATGGGCTGTGATTGGTCCATTGGAGGCGGCATGCTAGATTGACTCTGCAAACGAGTATCAAACGAAATCGGTGTTGATACTAAAGTCGTGGACATCATTTTTTTTTTAGCAACCGAACATGCCAATCTTGTGCATCTCGCTTGAGTACTAATATCATTAGGCTGACTCGTTATGCTCGTCTTGGAGACTGGTGTGCAGATTTCGTACGGGCCCTGATAGTGGCCTTCTATAGACGCTTGATGCTGCTTGATATCGCTTGGACGAACGCCAAACGAGTATTCACGCATTAAACAGGCTTGACCAGGGGTACTTTAGAGGTGCGAGCATTCGAGACCACGCCTTGGTACCAGCACTATTGTCTTCATTCCTCGCATCCGTGCTCCGTGCATCTGCAAATGAATATCCAAAGCATATTAGCCCTGCTGTTGCCTTGCTAAGGTATCGCAGGCAACCTTGACTCCCACGATGCCTCTAGCATTTTTTAGCTTTGTATATCCCAACGGGCCGAGACACGGCATCCGTGTTCCATTTTCATTTACATACGAAACACGCCACTTTGATACTATTTGCTTCCCTTTTCTTTTTTTTTTTCTTCTTCTCTTTGCTACGGCAACAGCCAGAAGGCGGCTGAATGACCAACGAAATTACTCGTCATGAGTAATATCATGAGAGACGCAAACGCATTACAACGGAATGAAACCGCCCTGCTTGCCACGGTCCACCTAACATAACATAAAGCGGGTACAAATAACAGTATAACGCATCACCATCAAATTCGAGGCCTCGCCCCCAAAAACCAGTACAGTATTAGAGGGTATTGCCCCTCCCCCCTGGTCATCCTAGGGACCATTTGCGGGAACCTGCCTGGATCAGTCCCTGGCAGCCAATAAAGGACCCCTGCTAGGACTTCAAAGGGGAGTTGTGTCAATGGGGCCTTTTCTTCGTGTCTGAAAGGTACGAGCGTTTACGAGAAGCACTACCTCACTTTGTAAATGATCAAGGCAGGTCGAATCTTGTCGCCGTGTTCCTTGGCGTACGTCCTTTGACAGCGAGAAACGCGGCATGTTGAAATTTCAATGCCTCCAAGCGGAATCAAACTTGCAAGCATACTTGTACCGAGCCAGCTGACGGACGCCACGGGAATGAGAGATTCGCATACCTACAAAGTACCATCCACCGTGCATCTTGCAGCCACCGTCTCTTAGTATCATTCGGGATAGTAGCTCCGCAGGTTGAAGGAAGCAAGAAGGGGGAACACTGGGAAAAGCCAACAACGAAAAGAAAACAAGGCCGTCTCTAAACCCTTTTCACTCTCCCCTGCTTCCAACCCCACGCTTGCGCATCTCAGCTACATACTCGTAACAGGTAATCTGCCGTGTACATGCTGCAAACGAGCGTGGCTTATAAATATCACATCTTACATGCGACACAGCACTTCTCTCGACTCTCTCTGCGGGAATCCACACCGTCAAGAAGGCAGTTGGGTAGTAGGTAGTGCCGCCTACTCCAAGAACAATCACTTATAGACTACATGTACCAACCAGGCCCTGTTCACGGACAGGGAGTAAACGCTCCAGTCCTTTGTCCGCGCCTCATCCTCCTTGCTTGCTCCCTCTCCCCTCTTTTACCAAGCAGCGCTGCCGATTGCTGCAGCCGCTAGAGACAAAAACGGTCCTTCAACAAAAGCAAAGAGAAAAGAAATGTCTTACGCAAGACGCCATGCATCCTTGGGTACTCCTTGTTACTAGCACTGTCGCAGCCAAGGTGGCGCTGATAGCGGTACTTACTGCCACTATACAAGTTGCAGAAAATGATTATGGCATGTACTCCATACGGAGTGTGATGCATCCATCATTCAACCCATATCAAGTACAAGGACCAGACGGGATCAAAAGCGAGTCCCAGTCACGAGAAGGTACAGCAGGTGGGCTTCCTTTTCTCACGAGTCAAGGGAGCGAGAAAGGAAGCCCACTTTTGACGTAGTCCATTTTCCTTTGGTTGATACAAGTATCACATGTAGTCAGAGTCGGTTGCGAATCTAGGCTAGTATTTGGATCTTCTCCTGCGTCTGTGCAGATCAAACAAAGTTTCTTGCTTGCAGTGACGATGATGCGAGAAAAAAAAAAGAGAGGCTCCGAAATGAAATGAAAATGTACCTACCTAGGTGGGACATTACCAAGCTTTGTAGCCACAGCAGGATTTGGCTCTGATACGGCCGCGGGCGGATTGGGTGGGCCTGGACCATGCCAGTTGCATTGATATTGGCGGTGATGAATGGATATTCAAGTCTATACCAGTTTATATGCGCTCGACTTTTGCTAGCAGCACCCGGTTTATCATTAAACCATGGATGCTTTTCTACCCTCACTTATTGCAGGACATGGCATGGCATTACATACATTACATGGCTTTATCTTGGCGGATTGGGCTTTGATCGCTTCGAGATGGGTGCATGCCGTCTGGGTCTAGGTCTAACTACATGCACATATGATTGCCACCAGGCCAGAACATCGGCAGGGGAACGCACGCGCGCGCAAAAAAAAAAAAAAGGACGTTGTCAACATTCGCCTTAGCATCTGATACGGATACGATGTTTCGGTAACATGATCCATATGGCAGGTAGACACCCAGGGCTCTCATGTAAGCCCGCCCTGTTTTATAGATGCCTTTTACCTGTTACCGCTGAGCTCGTCCATGTAATTAAATATGCGTAGCACAGCAGATTTAATTTTTCTCTTTTGCTCCATGTTGTGTAAAATTGTTTCATCTGCAACTAGACGAAAACAAGACCAATGAATGAAGCAACATGGATATAAATAAGACATTTTTTTTTTTTGAATCTTCAATGCAACGAGGTAGGTATGCTATAAGTGGCTTTTGGACATTGTACCCACAGCTCATCCCGGAGTACGCCGAGACGTACGTGTTAGTCGAGGGCGCAGCATCCTTTCAATGTACTTGATACGGCTCGCCTTGTGCTACATCATCAAAATAGCTACAATCTACTACGGATTATACACAAGGCAGCATTCCCCATAATCGTCATGTTCATCAACTCCCCCTCAACAAGTTTTTCTTTTCCCCCCTGGTCATCCTTTGATGTTTCCCCCCTTGGGCCTAGGCCATAGGACGCTGGGGCTCTCTCTCCCTCTTTTCTAGGCGAAAGGCGGGAAAAGAAGCAGCTGAAGGGGGCCGCGTACCGCGGATATCATTGGATGCTTCCCCCAGCCACGGGAGGGTGAAAAAAAAAAAAAAAAAGGCAAGGGGAGTGGGGAAGCGAAAAAAAGGGAAAACATGGCAGCAGGAGAAAAAAGGGTGTGGGCCCGCGCAGGTTTTCTGGTGAGCGAAAATGCTGCCGCTGATCACAAAAGAGAAAAAAAAGACGGGGGCGGTTGATTGAAAGAAAGAAGAGCAGCATCAAGACTGTTTCAACGGGAGAAGCTGGGGCTAGGCTGTGCCCGGCTTAGCAAGCAGCAAGAGGTCTTGTCTATGTTGCCCTGGGACAAGTACTTATAGGTATACCTACAAGTAGTACTGTATATTCTGTAGCTGAATCATTCTGTTTGGATTAGCATCATGTCCAGCTGCCTACTTGTACATCCATACGGGCTGGCCGCGCCCCTGTAGTTTTGTACAAGTGTCGAGCTAGGCCGGAGTTGCATGCGAGCACTTAATCGAGATATGTACATACAGTAGGATGTGGCATCACCTCAAGCAATAGCATCATCAGTATGCCAACTCAAGCGTCATCTCCAACATTTGTCTTTGACAAGTATCTAGTCATCCTTTGATTGGCACTCTTTTTTGTGGTCCCGGTGCTCCCCCGCGCAAGAAAAAAGGCATCATCGCCTGGCGAGAGATATCAGACAGGCCAGGCCTAAAAGCAATGCCATGCAAGGCTACAATTATACGGGCAAAATGTATACGTATCCATCAGCAATAAGCCCTGGCGCTATGCTTTTGTATCCGCCCTCCACGCAGGGGCTGGCTGACGCGGATCGGGGGATCGAATTTGTGTGTCGGTGGATCATGGATATAACGCAAAGCAAAGCAGAGCAAAGCACAGTACGCACGGTTGGGATATTTAGAGCCCGTTTTGCTTGTATAAGTGATGGTCCACGGAGTTGCATCAGCGAATGTTGAATCTTGCTTGCAAAGGGGCCAAAAGAGAAATCAAAATGAAAATTCAGTCTTCATCTTTTTTTTTAGCCGTCATACCAGATCAGCATCAGCACCCGGCATCATCTAGTCTCGTCATCAAGCCTGCGCAACACGACTCCGTTTGCTTTGAAGGGGGCAAGCGAGGCCATTCCAAGTGGAGCAGCCGGACGCCGGGTACGAGACGAGATATGCTCCGTTGAGATTTTGTCTTGCTGCCATTGCGGTGTTTGCCGGGCCAACAGCAAAGCTATTACAGTATATGTACTCTGTGCAACGTTGAAGCGGGATATACTGTAGCTTGATGCTGGTTAAAACATGGATAGTGTTTTAACCGTGGCTTCTCCAAGACTCGTATAAATGCCACTTACTGAGCACAGTGCCACTAACGGGTACCGTCTGCTCGTAGTAAACGCAAAGTGGCAGATCAGATCCCTACCCTCACAAGCACATGGACCCTTTGCCGTACTACTGCTAGCACTACCCAGTAAAATACCACTTCGTACTTGAATGGGGACGAAAACGGGGAACACGGCCAGGAAGCAAGCAAGCAAAAAAAAAAAGGCGGCAGCAGAATTCATTAGCTTACGCCTGGCTACTTGAAAAAGAACGAAATGGCTCCCAAGGCGTTAGTCTAAAAAGCGAAAATGCTACATGCATGTACCTCTACAACTGCTACAGTACTAGTAGTACTTGCCCAGGCATTGATGTCTTACTACGATCTGTGCATGTCTGTAGCAAATCTTATGTGTCACCGGGGCTGACTCTATGCGGAGGCACGAAGCGAGCAAGAGACGCCGTCATCTCGTCCTGCTCCTATTTTCGGCATCAAGAATAAGCCGTGTTGCAGGTTGGCGATGTGATTGATGAAGCAGGAGGAATGTTGAGAGTTTCTAGATGCATATACCGTTGTATATGCCCTGGTCGCTCTATGCCATTTAAAGCCTCAACCCTGCAACATTCAGGTAGAACTAGCAGCAGTAGTCAATGTAGGCTACAAGGTGTAATTGATAAAGGCTTTTGGCGGCACGGTACAGTATGGATGGGCGTTGATGCAGGGGTGCAACTAGAGGGAGCCAGAGAGACGTGGACCGCCTGCCTGTGTCCTTTGCAGAGTAAAGGTAAGAGGTGAACAAGGAATTAATCACACTACAATAATTTGGAGCGCCATCAGGCGGAAACCAAAGAAAAAAAGGCCGGCTGCGGGTGTTCCGGGCAAGGGAACGAAGAGAAATGGCAGCGTCACAAAGTCACGACCGTTTCCAGGCGTGTCAGTGCAGTCAGTCAGCTGGGCTCGCCAAGCATCACCCACTCCAACCGCTAAAATGCCCAGGCAGGCTCAACTGCCTGTTGGTGCTGAATCTTGTCCACGGCCATCCATGCGCGCACTGCAGGGGGCTTTGCGGGTTGCCGCCACAGTCGGGTCGGCGTGATGCAGTTGATGTGAGCATTTGATTGAGAGGGACTAGCGGTCCGTTAGCAGTCATGGCTTTACAGTAGCTGGAGAAGCTTTGCTGCAAAATGCGCTGCAGGCGGTCATTCAGGACCCCGCAGAACCGTCTCAAGTACTTTCAGTGGACGTGCTTGTACTGGCTGTCTTATTGGGGGCAGTCGGCGTGTATCCAGTATCCATCAAGGCCGACGCGACAGGGGCCGCAGACGCGCAGTGCAAGTAAATTGGATGGATGGATGGATGGATGATGGATGGAGATGCCCGTTGCGTCGGAGGACTTGCTGCTTGGGCATAGGCCTGCAGACGGTACCGGTACAGAGTTGGATGGTGTGGCAGTGGGCAAAGGCATTACATACAAGGGGGGCAGCCTCACATCCAGATTGATCAATACGATTTGATGCCTGGGCATATCCACATCAACGCCTGCTCGTCGGAAAGCCGGGCACAAAAAAGGCGTCGTGTCCGTTTCTGATGATCAAGTACATGGGGGATGATGGAGAATGATGGAGAACGGACCTTTGCTGGAGCGTGGCGTAGTCAGTTGGCATTGCGAGAATTAGCATTCAGATGGAGAAATCAGAAGATGGAAAATAAATTTCACCACAGGCCAGACCCAAAAGACGCCCCTCGCTCCAGGCTCTTTCGGTGACCCTCCTCGGGCTGGCGTAGCGCAATTACGCTCGCTACTAGCAGTAGCTGCTCCGTTTTCTGGGTACGAGCAGCGCTTTGGAGCTCGTCGACGCTGGGGGCTTCGCCTTGCCTCCCATTGGGCAGGATTGGCGTGGCGCCGCCGCGTACTCTCGTCCAGAGGTACCTGGAGCTGCGCTGTGAGGCCTGCGTGGCGAGGGTACCGCCCGGCGCAGGTACCGCGTGAGAGCAGCCCCATGCCCAGCGCCAGTGCCTCCGCCAGCTTCTCCATCGCCAAAGTCCAGCCCAGCCCAGCCCATCCTCATCCGCCATCACGACATGCATCCGCGCACAGTATCTGTAGCGGTACCGGTACCAGTACCAGCACCAGTACCAGTGCCAGAACGACCAAGTCAAGTTGCTCTGCTCTGCTCTAGTCGCATCCTCCACTCGCAGTCAATGCCTCCTCCGACGCCGACGACTCCCCCCGTGGCCGCCGAGCCGCCGTGGCCGTGGTCGTGGCCAAACCCATCGCCATCGCCAGAAGCGCGAAACCTCAGCAGCGACGCCGAAACAGAAACGAGCCGCACCCATGCCATGGCAGCCGACGCAGCCAACCAGCCCGCCTGAAGTCGTCAGCCCTTCTCGTCGTGCTTCTCGTCACCCCCCTCCTTCAGCGTCCCTTTTTCTGGGTCCGGGGGGGGTTCCCTTCCCCTTCTGCTGCTGTTCTTGTGCACCTCTCCTGGAACCCATAACCGATTGCCCCCCCTTCTCATTTTAGCATCTGGTTCATGTCTTCCATGCTGCGCTCTTGTGCTGCTCGCCAGTTGTGCCGCCGGCTTCTGGCCTGGTTCCGCGCTTTGATGCTAGGGATGCATGTCAGCAAAGCGTTCCTTGCCTGGTCCGGCGGCGTTTTAGCACCGCTGGCTGGGCTCTTTTGGACGCCATCCATACCTCGCCGGTACGTACCACTTTGGCCAGAGGACGGACTAGCGGTGCGAGCTAGCGGTGCTACTGCCATGAATTAGCGGTGCTGCTACCTCACGGGCCCGGGCTGCCAGTGTTGATACAGCACCTGGTGCGCTACTCTACTCTGCTCTGCTCTGCTTTCTCAGGTAGCCTACACCAACCACGAACCAAGAGACTCAAGTCTGATTCTCTCTGCATCGGCCCTGTCAAAGAAGCCCAAAGAAAAAGAAAAAGAAAAAGAAGAAAAAAAAAAAAAAAAAAAAAAGCCAAGCAGAGCAAGACGAAAAGGGCAATAAAGAAACGAGGGTTAAACAAGGACAAAACGAGCGACTCAAGACTCAAGAGCCACTCACTGTGCCGCTACTGGCAGCCCCGAAAAAAAGATACAGGCGCTTGTACCCTCACATCCCTGGCACCTCCGCCGCACAGAAATAAACCTGGGGTCTGTGGCTCTTGCTGGCGCTGCGCGTGTCTGCATGTACCGGTACCTGGCTGCTCCTGCACCTGCTCCCGTACCTGTACCTGTACCTGTAGCCGTGCTGCAACGCGCAGATATTGTACCCACCTCACTTACACAGATCCAAACTCTGGTCGACGACTTTCCTCTGCTTCTCATCTCGGCCTCACCTCACTTCCCAAACCCACAATCCTTCATCTCAAAGTCTCCAGCGTCTCTCTTTTCTCTTTTCTCTTCTTTCCCCCTCCGCAACCCACCGCGACTTTGCAACTCCGTGCGGCGCTGCATCACTGCGAGCCTCGCTCCTCCATAAAACAGCCAACCATCCACATCCGCGCTGCTCGTCGTGCTTCACTCTCATCATCGGCTCCCCATGTCGGTTACAGCTGCGCCCTCGAATCCGCATCTTCTTCACCTGCCGCTGTCGCCGTCATTCTCCGGCTCCCGACGACTCGTGCTGCCTCCCCTCGGCATTCTGCACAAGCCCTCGACGCTCGCCCGCGACATCGACCATCATCACCAGCATCTGGCAAACGGCCTGCGGACGCCTCCAGTCGACGACATGAGCACCACCTACCAGCAGGTGCCGGCCGCCTACGACAGCCATGCCCTGCGATCATACACGTCGGCAATTGTCCACCCCAGCAGGCCAAAGACCGTGGCCGTGCCTGGCCTCAACGATGCTCGCCAGTATGGCCGATATCCTGCAGTCCAGCAAAACCAGCACCAGCACCAGCACCAATACCAGCACCAGATTCCCGTCTCGCAGGCTCTGCACGCACCGCTGCACAGCACTCCCTCTGATCGATCCGCGAAATCAACGCCAGCCTCGGTGGTTTCTGCCAAGGATGCTGCCTCGTCACGGAGGAGCTCCGAGGCGCTCATCTACCACAGTCTCCAGATCCCGAGATGCATCAGCCCCAGCGGCGGCAGCTTGGCGGATTTTGCAGCTCAGGTTAGTCGAATCCTTTCCAAACAACCATACGCGCACATGTTCCGATTTCTTGTACAATTCTTCTCACCCTACGAGTTTCGTACCCTTGTCTTGTTTTTCACTGCTCGCCTTGTTCCCTCTATCCAGTTGCCCAGTTAGCTGACTCTATGCGTTTTCCTGTCTAGATGACGTGCCTCTTTTGGTTCGAACCTCATGACCATCTCAGAAAGGCCGAGAGCATGAAATCACGGCCAAATGTACTTCCCTCTCGTCTGGTGGATCTGGCCAAGCCAAGCTCGCAGTTTCGAAAATGGGTCTACAACGTCTTGTCCACCACCCAGGTGACACAAAACGTAATCCTGCTAGCTCTGCTCTTCATCTATCGACTCAAGTGTTCGACACCACAGATCAAGGGGCGAGGAGGCAGCGAGTACCGATTGCTGACTGTCTCTCTCATGCTTGGCAATAAATGTAAGCACTCTTCATGGAAGAATCGTGGGGCGGCAGAAGAAAGGCTAACACCAGTGTCTAGTCCTCGACGACAACACTTACACAAACAAGACGTGGGCTGAAGTGTCCTGCTTCACCGTCAACGAGATCCACGTCATGGAAGTCGAGTTTCTGAGCAACATGCGATACAACCTCCTTGCCTCCAAGGACGAGTGGGAGGAGTGGTTGACCAAGCTGGCCTGCTTCCACGACTACTACGAACAGGCCCTCCATATCCCGGCATCGCCGCTGCACGCCGTGTCTCCGTCTTCCAGGAGCTTCCACTCTCCCATCCCCTCGCCGACCACGACGACGCTGGCAGCCCCTGCCGATATGGCCTTTATGCCCAGCAGCATCGCACCAAACTTCTCGCCTACGACCTCGAGACACGCTCAGAACTGGGCCATGTACCACGCCAACCCCGTGTCGCCGCTGGCTGCAAGGCCGACCATGGTCCTGCCCATCAACCGAAAGCGCAGCCCCGACGTGGACCCGATTGAGCACCCTGCCAAGCGACACATGCGTCAAGCCCAAAGACCCAACATGGCGGTGCCACCGGTGATGAATGCCCGGCCCAAGGACTCGGCCAGGCTTCCTGTCCCGCATCTCACTCTCGTCACGACGCAGGTCCCCCCCATCCAGCCACCCGTCTTCCCGGCCTCGGCAACATCAGCGGCAATGACCATGACGCCCATGACGACGGGATACGCTCCTCAGTCACCCTATGCCGCTGCCAGCCAGAACATGGTTTCACTGCCGCCTATCCAGCCCGGCGCACGCGCCATGTCCGCCGTCTATCAGCCTGCTTCCGCCGCGACGGTACCAGCCTCGACCGGTTTCCCCAACTCGGCGCTCCCCGGCCAGCCATCGATGGCCTATACCACGCCCACCAAGCACCTCACCTCTGCCTACACCTCCTCGCCCATGGCTGAGAATCTGTTTGGAACCGCCTCGGGAATGCACACGCCGATTGCCCTCACACCAATCTCCCACTCTCCCAGCGTCTACTTGCAGCAGCGGGCCAGCCCCTACCGACCTATTCGCCACGTCAACCGGCTACTCTACCCACCGCCGTCGGCATCGCTGGATCAATATCACTTGGCGGTCCCCGTCCAGCCTACGCAGATGCACTACCAGCCTCTTGGTCGACGAAACGATTTACGCACCGGTGTGGTGCCCGAGTTTGTCGTGTACAACAGAGGCCAGCAATCCCTTCCGCAGAATGGAGTGCAAGGAGCGTATGCACCCTAGGGGTGGCTGCATTGTTCCTTTTGCAACCGTTGGCTGGTGGATGGGAAGCACGTCTGCACCCCATACTATCGACAGTAGATGTTGCGAGATGAAAAGTCTCCATTCGACAGCGTGTCTCAACATCCTTGTACTTTTACTCATGTTTTTTTTTTTTTGTTTCTTGACTATTTTTGGAGTCGCGGGGTGTTATTCCCCCTACCTTGTGTTATTAGTTGCTATCTGCTCTTTTTTTTTAATGTTTTCTTTTCGGGCTTATGCTAGTTTATCAAGGCGGAGCACATCGATTTGCATGGTTTGGGCGTTGGTTAAGGGAAATTGGCTGGTACATGGGGATATGCGGCTTTGATCGGGTTTTCGGGTATGTCCATGACGACGGTACAGCACACGACGGAAATGGGAAACCTGGTCGAGCGAGTCTAAAGGGGGTGCCAAAGGGAAATGCTTGATACACTTATACTCCTCCAGAAGCATTTATTTGGAGTTGATTTCTTTTTTTGTGGTTACGCGGTTAATGCCTTTATTTCCCCTTTTTCTGTTCTATTTTATCGCGTTTATCTTTTAAGACTCTATTTTTTATGTCCATTATAATATCAATGGATGATGCAAAGACCAGTGGTTTGGGTTGTTTACCGGGCAAATGGGGCCAAGTGAAAAGGGAGGGCGACACGATATAACTGGCTGGAATGAGAGAAACAGAACAGCCTTTTTTCTCTCCTCTCAGACTTGTGAATTGGGCCTCTTGTTATTACACTTTTTTTTCTTATCTGCTTTTTCTGTCTAAGATACCACCATTACGATTTAGGCTTTTGGGGAAATGGGAATTGAATTGAACGGGCATTATGATGTCGCCCTTGTTCTTTATGCATTTTTTGTCTCTCATGCGTGAATTCATTTATTAGCAGTTATGTGCAACGTACGGACTGGTGTCGAGGGAGAGAAAGCGAGGAGAAGAGGGATGTTGTATGGACTCCTTTGTAGGGAGGGCTGACGATGTTTTGCTTGGACGTCGTTGTATGAAGTAAGAAAGGAAGGAGTGTATGAATCAGTTTTGTTTTACTACAGCAACGTGGTGCTCTTGTGGGGTTGAAAGCCCGATTATTGATGTTGCTGCAGGATATCTACAGACGAGCGGTATCGTGGATATTATGTAATCTCGCGCTAGTGGTGTTGGAGTTTGTTTGTTTACTCTGGATAGTCCCCGTATCTATGCTTGGAGTATAAGGCTACCTGTCATGATGAAGCGTGAATTCTCAACTTGAGATACTTGATATAATCTCCAAGGTATCATCTCTTTTTGTAAACTTGGCTGGTACGGGCGTATGTTGAGCCCAGGGTCACCAAGACAACGGCTCCACGTATTAGTGCTTAAATGGAGACGGACGGAGCTGCATCTGTGGCTGCAAAACATGGCTGGACCTGCATCATGCTTAAAGTGGCGAATGCAGTTACTTTAATTCTATGTCGCCTTTCAAGACAAGCTGCTTCTCTGCTCTTTTTAATCGTCGCCATCTTGTATCTCACCTGCTGTCTTGGTACGTGCATGTACCGATACTTTGTAGAGACGCCCGTCTTCTCGTATTTCCAGCAGTAGCCAAAAGTCACCTTCCCTCCCTGTGGCCCCACCGCCCGGAATCCCACCCCCAACTTTTCCTCTTCCCTTTTTCTCCTCTCCTCCCCAGGTTCTCCCTTTGGAAATCTCGTATCCACCAGCAATTCTTGCCTCGTATCGAAACACCATCGACGACTGCATCTCGAATCCAAGAAGCGGGAAAAAAAGATTCCTTTTTGAGAGGGCGAATAGAAGAAGAGAAGCATCTTTTTTCTTTTCTTTTTCTCTTCCTTTCTGTTCAATCGTTTCCCCCGACACTCGTTTATTATTGTGGGGAGGAGGAGAGACTGTGGCGTCTTGTTTATTTGGATCTGGCAGCTGTCGCATCAAAGGGCAAGGCGAGTCTGAGGAAGAAAAAGGAGGATAAGGATACAAAGGGAAAAGGAGGACAGATGAAAGGACGCTGTTGATCGATACCGATACGACATCCTCGCTCGTTACGATTTCTTTGCGCGCTTGCGACACCAACACCACCGACGACAAACCGATCCGACCTCTCCCTAAACACCAAGGAATTCCACAATAGCCCATCATGTCGGGCTTTGGCGACTTCACCTCCATCTGCGAGCACACGCCGCTGCCGCTGTGCGCCTCGGTCGGCCCCGTCCTCTCGTCGTCGGGCCGCGTCGGCATCGAGCCCAACTGCTACGCGCGCAACATTGAAGTCGCAAACACAATCATCTTCGAGGGCGCCGCGTCCTTTGCCCACATTGGCGCGCTGGTCATGACCGTCATCATGGTCCTGCACGTGCGCAGCAAGTTCACCGCCGTCGGCCGCAAGGAGATTCTCAGCTTCTTCTACCTGTACATGCTCCTGACGTTTATTTCGCTCGTGGTGGATGCCGGCGTGGTGCCTGCGGGCAGTGGGCCGTTCCCGTACTTTGCGAGCGTGCAGAACGGCCTGACGAGCGCCGTCGTGACGTGCCTGCTTGTGAATGGCTTTGTGGGCTTCCAGCTGTACGAGGATGGCACGCCGCTGTCGGTGTGGATGCTGTGGCTCTGCTCGCTTGTGGCCTTTGCCATTTCCTTTTTGGTGTCGTTGGCGACGTTCAAGGGCTGGGCTGGGCTGGGGCCGACGAACACGATTGGCCTGTTTGTCGTCTTGTACCTGCTCAATGCGATTGAGCTGTTTGTGTATGTGGGCATGCAGATTCTACTAGTGGTCCGGACGCTGCAGGATCGGTGGCCGCTGGGCGACATTGCGTTTGGCATCTTCTTTTTCGTGGCGGGACAGGTGATTCTGTATGCGTTTAGCTCCAAGATTTGCGTGGCTGTGAGCCATTATCTGGATGGGCTGTTTTTTGCGACGATTTGCAATTTGTTGGCTGTCATGATGGTTTACAAGGTGAGTGACATTGAAGGAGATGGGGACGAGGTGGAAAAGGACAAGAAGAGGAAAAAAAAGGAGAGTTGTTTGTCGAGACTTGCTAACGTGTTGCTTCTAGTACTGGGACTCCATCACCAAAGAAGATCTCGAGTTCTCTGTCGGCACCCGCATGAACAACTGGGAGGTTAAGGAACTCCTCGGAGATGATGAGCGCCGCGGCACCGTCTATGCAGATGATCCTTATGCTCAGTCGAGCGGCTACGACATGCCCTACTCTCCGACCACGAACCGCTACTCATCCCGACACTAAGTCTGTTCACCACGGCCTTTGAGTTGGCGTGATTCTTTAATTGTTTTTGCGCAAAATTTTATTATCATATTTTTACGGGCACTTAATGTTGGCGAATCTAGGATGGACAGCTCCTAGTTTCACCATGTCGCTACTATTCCCCCCGTCAGACGGGATTTTACGCTTTTACGTTTTTGTGAGGTTCTTTGCAGCATGGATATTGAAATGGCACGGCGTTTGACGAGAGAGTGATACCTGATGAGTTGTTGAGAGTATCCGCGTTTCTTACTGTCAATTTTGAATAGATGAGCAGACAAGAGGTGGTATATAGAAGCACAGATAGTACATGAATTAACACGTGAATGCTGTAGCACGCTCGGCGACTTTGTCTAATTATAGATTGTGTCTTGTCAGCAGAAACTTCCCTTTTCGTGTCTATGTCGATGGCGATTACTAAAGAGGGGAAACCGACTCAGATCCATCCGTTTATCAATGCTATGTATGGTAACTGAGCACATTCTCGCTATCCTTGTCCGCATGACGGGGCAGATGACTTGAAGGAACGATTAACTCGTGGTGGATTACGATTCACGGTTGTTACAGGTCTGTTGTCTATCTGTTGCTGATGACTGATAATTACCGAGTTTAGTAAACGCCAGAAGCGTACTTTTGCACGGAAGCTGGTGTTGCTGCAACGTATAAGCGCTTGTCAGTGGAAGGGGTCCTCTTCGGGTGCTTACGACTTGGTTGAAAGACAAAACAAGTCTACTTGCTGGGCTGGGTTGCATAACTGACGCGAGTCCTTGAGTCCAGTCAGCCTCATCGTTGATCTGACTTTAAACTCATGGGGTCTTTGCGAGACTTGCTGACTTGTATATATTAGTTGCGGACAATAGCCCCAGATTACAATTTGTTTACTATTCAGAAAATAAAAAAGACTCGAGTGACTAGTTCAGTTGAGCAAGCTGAGATTTAATTATCCCACCAGTCCCAGAAGCCTGTCAGATTTTCTTTTTTTATGCATTTGACCCCCCCAAAGGTTTTGCAAGATTACACAAACCTGAATAGGTAATGAATTTTTATGCCCTCTTCTGGGCAACCGACTACTGTTCTTGGTCTTTCGCTTCTTAACCTGCCCTGTGAAACTGAATCCTTCGACTCAAGGGAAGCTCAGGCCACGTAACTCAACAACCAGGGTAAGGCGTATTTTCCTGTCGTATCATCATAGTGTAACAAGGGTTTTTTTTTTCTCCAATAATGTCCACCCCCTCGGCATGAATAAACTGGCCGGCCGAGTTTATGGGCTCGATCGCGGAGGGCTGTGTTTTGAATACTATCTTTCTTTGGTGGTTCCACTGAATGATCATGGTGGGGGGAGGTCCTTTTGCAACAAACAAGTTACAGTCCATATATAATTTGTCTCTGTTTGTTACTGAAAGCGGGTTTACGAACCTCGGTATCGAGCTGGTGTAGGCGAAGTGTGAAAGTAGGCGAAGTGTAAAGGAAAAAAAAAAACGAGTTTAAGCCTCAAGGAGAAGTTGTTACATTGCTACTTTGTATCCAAGGCAGCAGCGAAAAAAAAAAAAAAAACCAAACCCCCCTCCCCTTTATTCTGATTCCTTCGTGTTCCTCCAACTCGGAGTTAATAGTAGAATAAGGAATACGCATCAACTAGCGATATTCGCAACTCACAGCGAAAAGAGGGCTTTAAAGTGTCGGGAGCATGGAGCACAGCCCAACGCCAAGGAACATTCTAACTCGCCTGAGGAAAGGGTTTGCGAAAGAAAAAAAAAAAAACGGCCATGCTGAATCCTTCCTTCATGCTTCCATTCCCCCCGCCCCTCCCGGTTTTTTTTTTTCTTTGATGCGATCCTTTTTTTCTTCTTCTTTTGTCGGCGGCGGAAATACTGCCACACACTTGTAAAAGTCGCAAGTCCGAGCAGTATCGGGTTTCTGCAAGAGTTGCGGATTTCTTGTTTTCTTACAAAACTAGTATATTGCAAGGGAGGGAGGGTGTGAAACTTAAAAAAAGTCTGTTTATACTAATCCATCTGCATCAACTTGTGCGCTATCAGCTGTCAAAACTTAAAGAACGCTTGTATTCGCCTCTTGGCTTTTTTTTTATACGCTTTTGCCAAGGAAGCCAAGCAAGTCAAGGGCCAGGCGATGAAGCGAGCAGCCAACAGCACAGGCGAAAGTAGAGCAAATTATGCTGCTACTGCTGCTATAGGTAGTAGCAAGGTATAGAGAGAGGTGTACTGGATGACTCGTTGACGAAGTAATGCCCAAGTAGGGTTAAACTCACGCCGGATAAGAAGGAAGTGATGAAGAGAGAAGGGCAGTAGTTGGCAATACACTACTCGGAGTCGTCTGCATATTACATTCTACACACACCACCTTGCTCATGCGCTTTCTTCATCGTATACATCGTATATTGACTTGACTCCTACTTGGCCTTTTGTGATTAGTTGCACTAACTGTTTGGGTGCTTTGTAATAACCTCCGTTGGGCATGACTACAGCTGCTATACTTGTACACGAACTACCAGGGGTTATATAGCCTTTGTCTTGATGGCCTGCTCGATTGCATTGAACAAGCTTGGCAGTTTGGGGTAAAGCCTCGTTTGTCGTATATACTTGTGGTACGACGCGTGCTTTTGTCGTTGCTTTTCGTCAGCAGCCGCCGATCTACCGCTTCAGGACAAAGCTGAGCAGCGGGTTGTCCGCTCGTGCAGGATTCGAGACGCAGTGCTAGCACCACACTACTGTGAGTAGTCGTGGTATAGGTTAGATGCGGGCTAGGAGGAATAGGCAATAGATGGCGAGCGTGATGGATGACGATTGGGCCGCGCAGAGTTTAACAAGGGGCTGGCTTCTAATTCCGTGAAATAGTAATGGCACATGTAATACTAGTAATACGAACCACTTTCATGTTCTAGTGCCCCCCCCTCGGTAGGGCTTTTGAGGATTCGGGACCACTAGGATCCTCGACTTACATCCGAGAGAAGCCCGGCATTACAACAACTTGGAATCAAACAGATACCAGAGCAACAGCCTGCCGGAGATGGACATGGACCGTGGGCTGGATTGCCGAAAACTGGAGACTTTGGAGCTGAACGGGGGGGCGTCTTTGTCTAGACACGGGCTTTTTATTTCCCATCCAAAGGGGGCGTCTGTTTCTTGGCCTTTTGGGCAGTCCGAGGTAGATCCGGGGGGTAGGGATCGGATTATTGGCCAATCGGCGTCGAGGGGCAGGTATTCTGTATAAGTGATGTGTTATAATTGCTGCGCCCATCTCTCTCTCTTTTCACGCTGATGACATATCACGAGGAAAGAAGAGAACTTTAACGAGATGAAGTTGATCTGCTCGTGGAAATGTGCGAGAGGGGAGTCTGTCATGCTTGCTAGTTTCAGGTTGTGCTGCTCGTTGGACTTGCCATCCATGAGCATTGTTCGAGTACGGTATGAGCAAGATACCTTAGAATGGTGTATACAAGATGAACCGTTTGAAAGCAAGCCAAAATCTGACACTGGCCCAAATCGACCGTAAAACTCACTACATACTTGTACAGTAAATGCACCCTCCCCCAAAAAACACCGTATAGGCCGGACAAGGATTTATTTTCTCGTACGAGTAGGCACGGATCGGAGCACGGAGCAGAACCAAAGAGCAATTCACAGCGACTGGCACTCCACATCACGCCGAGGACCAAAGTTCAGGCTGCTGCTTTTTTTGCCTGGTTCGTCTTTGTCTATTGCGATGTGGGATATTTCCGGACCGGAGTTGCAGCAGCCAAGGATTTTCACGGTGGGGAACAGGAGCGTATGAGAGTACGATGAAAGGGTTCTTTAATGCCTAGGTAGGTATAACAAGACTTGTTAGTGGTTACCTGTATATCACCATCAGCGAACCTTGCCTTGGAGTGAAATAGGACGCTGTTTCGAGGGGAGGGGTGTGCGTGAAGACATGTGGCAAGGGTCCCCTGGTAATTTCCTATCTCGTCCATTCATTACCGGTAAAGACAAAACAAAAAGGTTCCAGCGCCGGTTTTCCATTGCTGCTTGTACAACCTAGCATCTGCCTAGTCTGCGTGCGTGCAGGATTTTGACAAGTCGGGTAAGCATTCAATCTTGGACGGCCGCAGCATTGCGAGCTCACATCGAATCAGACTGGCCAGGGGGGAGAGAGTGGAGGACAGTCTAGAATGTCTTGTTTTTTCTTCCTTTTTGTCTTTTTTCCTCTCTGAGTTGCGCCGTCACGGAAGATGCCGCCGACGCAGAAGCGATAGCCGCTGCTATGTTACGGCTATTATGCCGAAGCCGAGCTCAGCTGCTCTTTAAATTGCCGTTCTATTGAAAAAAGAAAGACACGTTCGTTCTAGAGCCCAAAAAAGTAGTGGCACCCCGAACGGCATATTGTGGGACCTAGGGGGTCTGGAGAAGGATAGGAAAATAGTGAAGCCATTTTTTTTTTTTTTTTTTTTTGCTGCTAGTACAATACGGCTGAGGGCCGTCTTTCCATTTTTACGTGATTGAGGCTCTGTTGTAATAAGTAATACAGGCTACTGGATTACAAAATGTGCGGCCGCTGCTTATGAGACGTGGTCCAGGGCCGAGTTGCATATTAGGTTGATCATCGGACGCTCTTGTGACAGGGTACGGAGGATATAGACGGATACCTGGTAGATGCTATATACAGTAACCGCGTGCTGAGCCTGTCGGTAGGGATGTAATACATAGCGTGCCGTAGAAATAGGTACAGGACGGTAAGATTGCAGACCCTGTCTTTTTTTACGTGGGGGAACTTGGACATACGGCAATACAAAAGCCCGGCGAGTGAGAGAGAAGAGGATGTTTTTTTCGAGTGGAGACGCATTCTGATGAAGCGGAAGATGGAGTCTTTTTAGCTTATGGAAGAAGTCGATGATTGATAATACTATTGCCCTTTTAGGCAGTTTCAGTCTATCATAGGCAACAAGGGTGCGAAGAAGGGTTCTTAAACAATCAGCACACATTTCTCAACATTACACACTATAATAACAAAACATGTAAAGTATTAATGCTTTTACTGCTTTTACTACTGCTATTATTACTACTGTTACTACGCTATATCCAATATGCATTATTAAATATTAGTTTTAGGGACTAGATGACCTTTTCTTTTATAAAATAGTGCCCATGTTTCAAACCTGTGTGTGCATTTTTATTTTGCCGTCCCTATTCTTCGCACCCTTGGTGAGTCAGTTTAGCCTTTGGCGTAGCTTGCTGATCAGAGCTGAAGGTGGAATGTTTCTGTGGACTAGAACAGCTTAGCAAGGTAAGCGAAATACGCGAAAGGGGGGAGAGCTAGTGCATGTATACAGTAGTGGCAGTGTTAGTAGAAGCATTGGCAGCTGAATGATGCTCGTTGCTTTGGCTTTGCAACGCCCTTGTCTATGCGGGCAAGTTTCCCTCGTTTGAGCACCCATCGTGTGATTGCGGATACTGCTGGAGAATGAATCACAGACTATACGGGCACTATAGCACGGCTAGGTATATTCCGCGGATGATGGCCGGTTTCTGCTGACGCAGCATACGAATGCCCTGAAGCAGTTAGGCTTGCGAGATACAACCAAGCATGAAGCAGCTCCTGGGCAACAAGAGAAGAGAGTAGTATACTGGGCATATTGAGCCATGGCATGATGCTTGGTTTTGGAACAAGCGCTCATGTTGGTAGCAACATGAACCAATAAGCTTCGGATGACGGCATTTCGATTATTAACGCCAAAGCCATGGTTCGCATCGGGTTGAGTAATCTCATTTCCCCATCGCTATAGCCTATCCATGCCTATTTGTTCTAGGAGTTGTTAGCGCCGCAGTAAAAAAGGGAATATAGAGTCGAGAACACGAGTAATGCTCAGCCGGGCAAGGCTCAGGCTTGAATCGAAAGGATATACTTGAGAAAAAAAACCGAGGAGAGCGAAAATGACAAGACAAATTAAGCTAGCATTGACTAATGATGACAATACCAACAAGAAACAAAAAAAGGGCCATGTGATGGATCTTTTTCCCCGGAAATAAGGGCCAGGCCAGTCGGCGAGTTTGTCTGATGCGGAAAAGAATCCTGCAAAACTCAATTTCTGTTGACCCTTGGTGCAACTTTAGGGCGCGGCCGCTCAGGCGGTTCACAAATAATTAGTAATGGCTTCGTGGGTAGGATCCGCGGCAGAATCAGGAAAGACATCTACGAGCAGAGCAGAGCAAATGATAGAGAGGCTCGGAAAGATGCTTTGAGTGAAAGAATGTACTTCTAGTATCCGCAAGTTGCCGCATCGGGCGCATCTGGGCCGTGAGTTGGATATGATGGGCCATGAGACATGTTTATCATGAATTAAGTCCGAGGCTTGGATGTGAACAGGGGGTGCAGGGAAGCGTCTTGACACGCACCCGAGGAGGAATACGCCTTGATACTACGGCGAAGAAAAAGGTTTGATGTGATGCAACGGCACGACTCCTTCTCTTCGATTTCTCATTTTACTTTGTCCTGTGCTTTCGAATCCTTCCAACGGCCGATAGTACGAAGGAGTTACTAACCTGGGACTAGAAACAGTCTAACGCCTTTGCTATACGCAATCATTCTCCACACGGCCAGATACGCAGCGCATATACGCCCCCCCGTCTGCTCCGAAGAACTCGCTCGCTACCCGCTGTGCTGTATCTCGGAAAATATGACTGGGCAGACGAAAAGTAAACCCCATTAGAAGGGCGCATTACGAAACATGATTAAAAAAAGATGATGCCTCAACAAGGCCACAACCCGCTTAATCCGCAAGACCCGCGCGATCCATCGGATATAGTAAGTCAAGCCCAAGTTTAGGGGAGCCCAGCCCAGCCAACGAACGAACGGGGCGATAGCCGTTGGCTGAAAGAGGAAAAAAGCTGCCGAATAAGAAAGATGAGAAAACAAGTAGAAAAAAAAGGATGCTAAAAACCAGCCGGGTCTGGGCAGTCGTATATTCTGGCCAACCAGAGATGACAAGCTGCAGTGCTCTGAGTCGTGGTGCAGACACTACAAAAACACGATGACTTGTAAAAGAAGGAGGAAGGTACTGTAGAAATTGGGCATAAAAAAACAAAAATCGTCAAAATGTAGAAACAAGCTTTTGGAGTCAAGTTCTAGATCTCGGGTTGATATCACAAGCTGGGCTGTGTGATGTTACACTCTGATGCAGAATACGGAGCCCTGTTTTGAAGCTTTCATTGGATGACAACGTTTCTGGCGAGATGATCACCACACCTACATGAGAGGAAGACACAAGCGGCCAAATTAGAACTGCCGCCGCACATCCAGGATTCAAGGGAAGTGGGATGGAGTTACGACAGGAATATGCGGTTGATAGTTGCAAAAGCCGCGCCCCGGTTATTTGTTCCTCCTCGTCGTCTTTTCTGGCTTTTAAGGATTTTTACTTGGATCGGCTCGCCGAGAGCGCACCCCCCCATGCTAGAACTTTGACGGCACATGTCATGCCATGCCATGAATCAAGGGGTGAAGAGGGAAAGACTATGCGATTCTTTTTTTTCTGGATTTCTTCCAAGTTGCCGGGATGTACAAGATGGGATGCGATGGATGAGGCGAAGGATCCGCTTGTCTGAACGGGCTATACGAAATATATGCTGGTGGGCAATTTTTGTAACATTGGACAGCCGCACTAGCGGTCCGCATTTGCCTGGATTGCGTGGGAAAATTGATAGGCTATTCCATGTTACTTGGCTGTGTATGCCGAGAGTGTGCGTGTAAGAGACGAGTGTAAGTTGATCCGATAGCCGGTTTTCCCACGCGGAGGAGCAACACCGCATATTGTGTACCCATAATGACGCTAGTTTTGACTGGTTGGATAGTCTTGAAGGAAAGAAAGCGTGTGTCTTGGCCCTTTCTGCGTCCCTTTTTTTGTGGTGGAGAGAATGGCGGATAGCGGATAGCCGGACGGATACAGACACGCCAGGAGAGCCAAGGACGCGAAGGATTGGGGATGCAAGGAAGAAGAGAGTGAAACGAAGAGAAGGATAAAAAAATGGAGCAGAATAGTATTTCTCTCTCTCTCTCTCTTTTCTGCTTAATGGTCTTTATTTCCTTGATTGGAAAATGGAGTCTTTCCGTGAATGACTCTGAATGACTCGGCAAGGCGATGGCAGTTGGACAGCAACAATGGCATACATTTGGGGATAGCTCGCTTGGAGTCGCCCGCAGAGGTATCAAGAGCTTTGCTTGAGTCGTTACACAAGCACTATAGTCGGGCTATCCGAGGGCTGATAGGGTACCGCACTCGTATAGTAGCCAGCATATATCCCCGATTGGGCAGAAACGAGGCAACAAGATAGGCTCGCTGCCCGGGCTTCTGGAGTCAGTCTTTTGGGGGCTGTGTTGGCATGTACTTGCTCGGATGATGCACGCAGTATTCCAGACTAGAACAAAGCAAGGGAGTAGATTACTTTTTTTTCTTTTCGGAAACTCGCTCTGCGTGGGGGATCGATGCAGGCAAGATCATCACAGTATCCGCCGGCATGACACAGTACTAAGCACCTAATCATCAAAGCAATGCTAGAATGGCTTGTGGAAGAAGCAGTTTAAGCATTGAATCTCATCTGGCCGGCACTTGCATCAGGACTTTACAGCTTTGCCAAGTTTTGGCGCATGCCCTACAAGTTCGTTTGTTTTCGAACTGCCGTTGATACAACACCGAAAGCCACATGTTAGTCTATCGGCCAAGCAACGGTGCCACCTCCACACAAAATTGGGCAAAAAACATGGATGTTATGGAATCATTGCAATTACGCCTTTTTTCTTGCCCGCTTTACTAGTTTAACTACTTGTTCAATGTATTATTAAAAAAAAAAGCCCGAAACGCGACAAGTACTATTGTTAAAATAGTTCCTATTTCGCGTGTTCTGGCTGGGCTTTCTAGTGCTAAACTTTGGGCTAGTGGGGGGGGGGGGGGGGGGGGGGGGGCTAATAAGTTCGGGCTTTAAGCTTGCAATCGGCAAAAAGAAGCTGAAAACGAAAGAAACCAAGTGTTAGCAACTTGTTCCGCGATTTTTTTTTTTTTTTACTTTTCGTTTTTTTTGTTCGTAAACGTCAAGATTGTGCAAACAATGAATAGGGGTGGCACTTGATAGCTTGACTACTCTGTTGGGCTGTCCTTTGTTTGCTTAGATTGCAATAGAGATGTGACGCACTGGCGCATGCATCCCGACTCTTTTTGCTTTCAGAAATGGACAGCATTGCCTGATTCGGAAGCAGGATGGAACCTTCAATCGCCTCCCCAACGCCTTTTCTGCTGGTTTGCTATTGACGGCAATAATTGCATCACATCTCGCAGATAGAGACTATGGCAGCGCTAGAAGAGCACGGTCCGCCAAGCTATCGCGGCCGGACTGAGGGATGGGCATTTGCCCCTTTGGTCGATTCTGGTCGGGGCGCCGGATCGGTAAAGTGGCATATACCAGAAGCAGGCAATGGTGGCAGAGGAGCAGGTACCCGGCATGTCGTCTTGATGCTGCCACAGTAACGGCATTTTCATGCTGGCTGCAGCCGGCGCTTCTCGTCTTGCGCCGGCCAATTCAAGCCATTCTTACGCGAGAGTATAGTCGCTAGAATCGTGTCACAAATACGCCAGATCAATAATCACCAGATTAGCTAACCACGCCGTAATATCTGGCTGCCAGCTGCAGCGCCGTCTAATTATAGCCCCCGAGACGCTCGAAGACGAGCAGTACCTTGCGGCTACTTGCCTGTGCGCCTATCGCGATGGCTCGTTGTTTGTACCCGCCTCGTCTCGCGTGTCTCGTTTGCTGCTCTCTGTTTCCGTTCACTCCTCTTCGCTGTCCTCTTTTATGTTTTATCCCCTCCTTCATTCTTTATTCTCTCATATTCATTTGCCAATCCGGGTACATTTCCATCCTCCTCCTCCTCTTCCATCGCATTTTCCTTCTTCATCTTCTTCCTCTCTTCCTCCTCTACATATCCCACGCCCCCTCCCCTTGTCCAAACAAATCTCACCCCTCCCCCCCCTAAGAAAAACAATTCTTCTTATCTGATGCTTCCATCCTGCACACCCTCCCCTGCTCTCACATTCTTATTTTATTATATTTATTATTTTATATTTCTCTTCTCTTCTCCGGTTCGCCTGAATCTCCCCTTGCAGCCTCAAGACCCATCCCTTTATACGACGCTTACGTATCCTGTCTCCCAGATCGACCACCCACCGAAGATAGAGAATAGGCTGCGGATAGACGTAGACCCAGATTGATGAGAGGACCAGACGATATATACTGTACAGTAAGTCGTTCCCAGACGGCCTTTTTCCCCATTGTGGAGTCTTGCCTTTCTAACGCCTTTTATTCACCGGCCAGAGTTACAAACACTCAGCTGTGATCAGTAATACCCATTGTAATCCGGATCGAAAGAAAGGTCTTGTCAACCAGGTTAGTCAATGCTCGCTCTTTTTGTCAATCTGCCATGGGGGTTTCTCTTCTCGATGCGGCTGCTATCGTCGAGCAGAGCCGCACCTAGGATTTTGCTCGCTTTTTGTTTCCCGTTTCTCTCTTTCTCGATCCTTTGATCTGTATATATATACATGCCCCCTTGGGATTGGAAAGGAATACGCAAAAGAAGAAGAAGAAAGACCCTGCCTGACATGGTTACAACAATCCTGCCAAACTCTTGTCTGTCTCGGTGTTCTACAAGTATATTGACTGGATTGGGACGCTGCAATAGGTACCGCAGCAGCCGCAGCCAGGCAGCCGGCGTATTATTCCTTGTCCGTTCCTTGTCGGCGTCGCAAGACAAATTCTAGCCTTGGCACCACCATCTCGCTTTTGCCTAGTGCCTGGGCGTGTAGATACCACGCCGGCTTACCTGACTGTGTCTCTCTCTCTCCACAAGTATGGAGAAGCCTGGGCGTGGGCTATATACTGGCTCGTCCCTTTTTTGAGATTCATATAGACGCCACCATCTGCTTCTAGTTCTAATCTGCTTCTTGCTCTACATGCTCTTCTCCTTGTGTCCCTTTATTGTCTGGTTGACTAACCGTGAATATTTGGCCGTGGCTCCTGGAAACCAGGCCTCGCTGTCTTTGCCCATCTCGACCAGACCAACAACCTATACAAGCTCATACGACGACGGACAAACAGCATCGTCTTCCGCCTTGGCTGCACATCACCCGCAATTGGACTGCAGCCATCGATGACTGTTGTATATAACCGTCTTTATTAATCAATGGTTTGAAAACATCTTGGAACAAGGACAAGACAAGGGAACAACTCTGGCAACTACGATACCGCCACCGCCGTTCCCGACACTTGCATGGGACTATGGTTGAGTCTCGTGTATATCATTGGGGGACTAAGACTACAAAAACAGGATATCTATAACAGAAAAAACAAGGAAAAACAAATTGAAATATTTATTTGCTCTTTTTTGGGCTGTAGCATCACACAATTGGCGCTGGCACTTACTCTCAATAGTGCTCACACACAACTCATTCAAAGCAACCACCTCGACAAGATAAAAAAACAATTCATCGAGACAGCAAGACGAAAACAAAGCAAACAGAGAATGGAAGAGGCGGCCACATGGGAGGACCTCCCCCCCCACGAACACCAGTTCGTCTGGGACGAGGCCGAGGGCAAGTTCTGGAGAGACTTCAACGCCAAGCAGGAGAGCCAGCACGCCGACGCCGAGAGAAAGTACCAGCTGGCCCTGACCGAGGCAAAGGTCGAGCTGGGCACGCTGGACGGGAGGCGCAACCAGCTCAGCAAGCTGCGCGAGAGGCTGGCGCTGGAGCTGAGCCAGCTCGACAGGGAGCTGGCCCAGGTCGTCAGCGAGTGCGACGGCAAGACGGACAGGATCCTGGCCATTGAGCGCAACTACCGGCACGATGAACAAGACTGGCTGCAGCAGCGGGAGAAGGTGACGGAGACCATGATCCGCTGGTTCCAGGAGAAGCGCGAGGTGGCGGCCAAGGCCCAGGCCGCGGGCAACGGCACGGCGGGCCACCTCATCGGCAAAAAGGCCATTGACGCCTCGCGAGGCCTGGCCGATGGCGAGGCCACCGAGATGGAGGGCGTCGAGTACTGGGCCGAGCAGGGCGCGCAGCAGACGCCCCTGACGCTGCCGGCCATTGTCACCAGGCAAGTGGCGGCCAAGACGGCCATCACGCCCCTGACGCCGTCGCTGGCCTCGTTCAAGGGCATCCTGCAGGAGCCCATCGAGCCCATCGTGGACCTCGTCGACGCCGACGGCCGCATCATCGGGCCCATCAACAAGACGGAGCCGTGGAACCAGTGGGTCAAGGCCATCCTCGGCCTGCCCGTCAAGCGCGCCGTCAAGATCCGCCGCGGCCGCAAGTTCACCGCCGACCACCTCGCCGGCATCTACGAGCACACCGAGGCCAAGGGCGTCAAGTGGCTGTCGTGCATGATCCAGGCCATTGGCGACGTGCAGCAGCAGCGGTGCATCTCGTGCGACAAGAACCAGGGCGCCTTTGACGACTGCATCATCATCGGCGGGCCGCTCTTCCAGAAATGCGGCAACTGCGAGTGGAATCGCCAGGGCTGCCACGGCGCCGCGCTGCGCAAGGACGGCTCGGGCTCGGGCGATTCCCCGGCTGCGGACCGGGAGGTTTCGCCTCGGAGCATGCCTCGGGAGGACGTCTCGATGGAAACAACGCCCGGCGGAGAGGGGCTTGGCATCAGAGAGGCCGTCGAGGCAAACGGCGTTTCGCAGAGCTCCCCGCGGAATGCGCACATCATCCTCTCGCCATCACCCACGGAGCCAAAGGTCGAGGTTGCCGCAGAGACGTTGCGACGGATCCCTTTGGCGGAAGAAGCAATCAAGGAGGCCGAGGACAGCAAGGAGCCGATCCGGGACCGGCGCGATGAGAGACGCGAGCAGGAGATGGTGGCGCAGCAGACTCTGCAGAATCTCCAGGTTCGAAAGGAACAGGCTGCCCAGGAGGCACTCGCTGCTGCGGCCGGATTCGCCCAGCACGCCATACAGTCGACTGAAACGGCCAGTTCCAAGCCGTTTCAGCAGCCTGAAGAGCACAAGCCCGTCATCTCAGAGCGGCGCGTACTGCCGTCGAGTCGACCAGCTACTTACCAGCCCGAGCATCAAACTCAGCATCATCAGCACCAGCACCAGCACCAGCACCAGCACCAGCTGCAGGCGCCCAGAGAGCACCGCCAGGAGCCAGCTCGAGCATACGCCTTCAGCTCGGGCTTCACTCCCGCCAACATCCCCAGCCGCCCTTCGTCTCAGGACCTCAGCAGTCCCACGCCGCGCTCCATCGAATTCTCGCCCCAGCCCTCAGACTCGGCCGACCACGCCGACCTCCCCAAAATCACCCGCGAGACGCTCGTCCTCCGGCACAACGGCCGGGAATACACGTACCCCGAAATCATCGAGGGCGTGCCCCTGGAAAAGATTGACCCGAGCCACCCCTACTGGGACCCCAAGTGGCCCGACATCAAGAGCCTGATCGAGCCGCCCCTGAGCCAGTGGCGCGAGAAGCACCAGCAGGCCGTGCAGTCCAAGGACAAGGGCGCGGACAAGGCCTCGACGCGGTTCCAGCTGGGCCGGCAGGTGAACCGCGGGCTCAAGATCCTCGAGTTCCTGGACGAGGGCGACATCAGCCCCTACCAGCTGCTGAGCAAGAAGTACACCACGTCGGGCAAGGGCAGCATCACGTCGTACGACACGCTCTTCCGCCTGTGCGAGACGCTGAGCGAGCTGGCCAAGTACGGGCTCGACATCCACCCGCTCGAGTGGATGCGCCAGCGCCTGCACGAGCTGTGGCTGGAGCAGGGCGCCGCCTTCAACGTGTCGCGCATCATCCACAACTTCTACAACGACCCCAAGCTGGCCCTGCTGCGCGCAAAGTCGGGCTTCAAGAACATTGGCCGGCCCTCGGGCGTCAAGGCCAGCCGCCGCAGCCAGGGCGCGCCGTCCAGCGCCCACGAATCGCTGTCGGGCAAGCGCAAGAGCACCTACTCCTTCAACGGCACGCCCGCCGACCACGACGCATCCTCGACCGACCTGGCCTCTGACGGCGGCAACGAGAACCCCCTGACGGCGTCCGAGTCGCCCGTCTCCGGCGGCGGCCCCATCAGCAAGCGTGCCCGGACGCTCTCGCCGTCCATCCGGCCGTACCGCATCCTCGTCGACGACACGGCCGACTTCACCGACACGGACCTCTGGAGCGGCGCCGCGCTGACCAAGGACGACTTCGGCATCGACCAGATCAAGTCGCGCCTGCACACCAGCTCGTCGCGCGTCACGCAGTACCTGCACTGGACGGAGCAGGGCCGCTGCCTGGCGCACCAGGTCCTGAAGGAGGGCCATCCGGCGCGATGGGGCGTGCTCAAGGCGCCGGTCAGCTTTGACGTGCGCATCGACGACTTGATGGACGTTGTGTGGAACCGGCGCGTCATGAAGGCGCATTTCATGATGGCGGAGCGAAGCAGCAGCAGCAGCGGCGGTGCTTCTACAGCACGGCTTGCGTCGAGGGATGGACGGCCGAGGGGGGATGTGATTGTGTCGTTTAAGCGGGAGAGGACGCTGAGGCGGTTGATTCGGGTGCTTGAGGGCATGGGCGTGAGGACGATTGAGGGGTCTCAGTGAGTCATTTCTTTTCCCTTTACTTGTCTTGTAACGAAGCATTGTGCTAACATGCTGTTCTAGGGAGGAACTGGAGCATCGCTGGGCAAGGATGCAGTCGGAGCTGCTCTCTGACAGAGACGATGAGATTTCGGGCGAGGAGGCCAAGAGGCCGGCTTCTGCGTCCAAGCTGCCTGTTGCTTATTAGCCTGTTGTGTGGCAGTCTAGCATATTTCTTTTGCTCTCATTTTTGTGCATTCTGGGTGGTGGAAATTGTTTGCGGCGTTTTTTGGCGAAGCACTGATGCATTCTTTTTTTTTTTTTTTTCTTTTGTTTGTTGGAATGATAGATACCCAGTCGGAAAAATTCGGTCGCTGCCTGTTTTCTTTTTCTCCTTTTTCCATCTCGAAAAAGAGAATGGTTTTTTTTGGCCTGGTTTGGCAGAGATATTGTATATAGCAGGATGTGTGGCTGCTGTTGAGGGCAAAGTAGGGAAATTTAACATGCATGACTATTCGTGCAGCTTTTAAAACCAGACTTGTTCGTTCATGAAAGAGGATGTAGAGGGTATAACTTTGTTCTCAAGAAAAAGACGGCTCTGAAAAATCATGTTTGTGATTCTCCTAGATGGGGACACATGCATGTGGGTTATAAGAGGCAGAAGTGGAAAGGTAAGATTTGGACGTTATTTGAGCGATAACTAGGAGGAATTTTTTTTTTTTTGCAGAGATTAAGGGTCTACAGTCTCGTATTATATAGGTCGAGTGATTGGGGCATGATATCATGTGGCGTTGATGATACCGGTATGAAGCTATACATGACGATGCAGTTTACAACTTCATTTGTTCATTTATCAAATATACGATTCATGTGGCCTTGATGATATGAGTATGATACTATACATGGTTATTATTCATATCTTCATTTATTTCTTGAATTTATATCTCATTCATTATCCATTCCCAATAAATTGTAAGGCATCATTACACCGTCATTACATCGCCCAGCATACAACGCGCAAATACTCCCCAAACCTTGCATTCACACCCTCACTTCCTCCTAGCAGAAGACCTCGTCCGCCCAAGCACCTCCGTCGCTCCCTCGGCAGCGCCCGTCATCCGACTCATCAGCATGGCCTTTGTCTCCATCGCCTCCGGATCGCGATACTCGAGCTGCGTCGCCGGCGGAGACTGTCTCTGCTCGTGCTCTTCGTCGTCGTCGTGCAATGCGGCGGCGGCGACTCGAGGGACGACGGCGTCGATGCTGGTGGCGCTGCTCGCGTTGGAGGCGTTGCTTATGGCGCGGCCGAGGATCTTTTGGCGACGGCGGCGGATGGTGCGAGAGTCGGATTGGTTGTGGTTGCTGTCGCTCAGGGAAGTGGACTTTGGGGGCAGGGGGATCAGGTCGGAGAGGGCGGATGTGAGGCCTTGGCGGAGTTCGGCGGCGGCGAGCTGGCGTTGCTTTTCGGCTTCTTCTTCTTCTGTTTGCTTTGTTGTTTTTGTTGTTGTTGAATCAGGCACAGGATTCGGTATTGATGGTTTTAGAGGTTCAGGGGCTGATGGCGGAGGAGGAGGTGGAGGGTCGAGTGCTGGAGGAATCGATTCTTCTTTTCTACTGCCATCTGGCATCTTGGCCGGCGCAGATATGGTGCGAGGGACGTTGACTTTGGCAGCTGGCAGCTTTGGTGACACGTTGAGCGCGGCGTCAGATAGCTCGGATAGAGGAGGAGGAGTATCCGCTGCTTGCACGCTTTCAACAAGATGAGTGGGTGCCGTCATAAAGTCTGCGGATGTAATCGACTCGAGTGTATGCTGCCTGACGCGGCTTTTCTCAGGAGCATCCTTGTCAAAAGCCGTAGTGTCGACGCCAGCGCCGATGGTAGGCTTGGGAGGCCGAGCTGTGGGCTTTGCTTCTGAGTCTGTAGGTGTAGCCTTTTCTTTTCGCGGTTGAGGGGCCTCTTTTGCTGGGACCGGCTCGTCTTCTTCGTTGACAAAAGGATCTCGTCGTTTTGCGCGACGCTTCTTAATCTCGGGGTATATAAAGTCTTCAATGGGGACTAGACCGGCGCTGGATATGCATTCCCAAAGCCAGTCTGCCGAGACAACGGGCACACCCCAGTCCAGCGCGCATTTCAGCTTCTCTCTGCGCATTGACATGAGGGACTTGCAGACCAGCACGTTTGTAGACCGTCGAAACTCCTCTTCATACTTGCCTCCTAGCTGGGTCACGCTTCTTGCGACTTGGTTGAGCTCTATTCCGGTGAATGCAGCGCTACATACCACCATACTTGAAAAGCCAGGGATGGGGAAAAGGGGGAATGGTCGTCCGAGCACCTGCTCGTTGGGGCTAAAGAATCGCCTGTTATGCAGGCAGTTTTCAATGTAAAACTCGGTAATGACGTGGATGTGTTCGTCTGGTACGGTGGGATGGGTATCGGGCTGTGAGGTTTGGGGGACAATGAGGAATCGGTAATGTTCGGGGTCTGTGGGCTCAGACAGCATGGCAGGAGACTGTAGCGACGCCGCAACGTTGCCGCCGAGCGTGGTAATTGTCTGTTCCAGTATAGATGCTCTTTGCGGCGGGAATCCATGGATGAAAAAGGTGCAGTTGGCAAAGACGCCTTGGTCCTCCTGGAGAGAGTAGCTTGGCTGCGTGGGAACTTCAGAGGTTGGCGTTGGCGCAGGTCGTGCCTGTGCCTGTGCCTGTGCCTGTGCCTCCTCCTTGAGCGGGTTCTCGTGAGCGAATGAGTACTCTCTCGATGCAGATCTACCCAGAATGTCGCCCCAGAGGTCGTTTCTCTGCGAGCTCAGCTTCATGCTGGCAGTCTTGCGCAGCTTCCTTGCACCCTCGTCAGGCCCGCCGTTCAAGATTGCTGACCTTGCCCTCTTCCCCAGGGACGTCCTTCTTGGGTCTGTCTTTACCCAAGCGCCGGAGCCTTGCTCTTCTACAGGCAGCAGCGGATCAAACTTGGCTTCTTCTAGAATCATGCCGCGCTCGACGCTCTGGTTGAGCCACTCCAAGGTGACCGTATGGACGCCCCAGGACTTGGCCGCTGTAAATTTCTTGCCCTCGGGCTTGTTGACAATTAGGTGAGTGCATCTCCTGGTCAGGTCTCCGGTGAAACGGCCCCCGTTCTGCTTGACCGTCTCTGCAATCTTGTCTCTCTGCTCGCCAAAGCCCGTCAGGCATACCAGCAGAGACCCTCTGGCGGCTGGCGATTCTTCTTCCTCCGACCAGGGCTCGGCGCCGCTCGTCTCCAGTGGCTTCAATTGGTAGCGCTTTTCCAGCGCGGCAAGGTCAATCTCCTCGTCCTTTTTCCACAACTCGCTGACGGCAATGATCCAGCCGGCGTCCATGGCCTTGATGTCGACTCGCTCGCGCGCAACATGGCGATACTTGGGGGTGTCGTAGCCACCGACGACGAGATGCGTAACGTCTGGTGTGAGATCGTATTTGTGGACGCCACCGAGCTCGGCAACCTTTTGAGCAATGTCTGTCTGTTTGAGGAAGAGTCGAGATCTGTTAGCACTTGTGACGATGTATATTAGAGCATAGAGCTTGGAGAGTCGAAACGAACCCGTTGATCAGTCGGGATGTCGGTGCAGCAGACAATGACGCCCTTGAACGGCACGGAGGGGTCTACTCCGTAGTTTTCATCCTCTGAGGAATGAGGAGAGGCCATTGTCTAAAGCATGAAGCTGCTGCTGCTTCTTTAGACATAAAGAAGTTGGAGTGCGCATGCGCTGGTAAAGTATGCAGCCACTATAATGCAGGTGCCTGTAAAATCAATGTTTGGATGCCGTCAACTGATAAACGATAAGAGACGCGTCTCAGTGCTTGGACACCGACTGCTAAAGCGCGTTGATTGATGACATCCATGGCCTATTCCTTAGCGGCGAGATGCACTGAAGGGATGGGCCGTTATAGTGGGATGCAGCCGTTTAGTGGGATTAGCTCCAGTGTTTGATATTGACGTGTGTCAGTGTAGAGGCAAGACAGTAGCCAAGCCAGAAGATTATGGAAATTGTATAACAAGTAGAAGTGGGAGAAGAAGAGAATTGGCAAAAATAGGTACGATCCATGTAATGACGCTCTACGAGTTGAGAGACTCAGTGTAATAACAACGGCAACAACTTGTGCCCCCTGTAGCTTAATAGCAGTAGTTGGAAATTTCCAGTATCCGCAGAACGCGGTGCTCAACTATGGATTGACAGCAAATTCCACTTTGTGCTTGCTGATCAATTCCGTGGCCTGTCAAGGTTTGAGTTCAAAACTGCAAACAATCAATATCCAATCCTCACAACGCGGCGTATTATTGACCGCCGACAGCGCTGTCGCCACTGCAAGCCTCGCTCGCCACTACAGCTGCAGCGGTTCCCTATGCGGCAGCGACTGCTTCTAGCATAAGCCCAGCCCGCAGCAACCCACATCCACATCATCCATACCTACCCAACCCCACCATCGCAGCCTTGCGTGAGTCCATCTTCTGCTCCGCCAGACACAAAGCAAAGCCTCTCCTCCCAGCCACGCCGAGTGTTCCACGACCTGCCCTTTGCTGGACGCATCTCGCATCCTATCTCATACAGACGACAGACTGACGACAGACGAGACGCATCCATAGCAAGCACCGCCGTCTTCGAACCGTCGTGTGCGTGCACCACCGCCCGTCCGCCGTTTCGATTCAAGCCGCAGCTCCTCGACTCGACGTCGTAGAAGCGAAACGCCAGCGCATCGCTGACTCGTCCGAAAACGATCGACGCTCTGCTCTGCTACAGTCCAGCGGCAGCTCTCTCGTCTGCTGCACCGGGCAGAGGCCGCATACAAACTTTCGGGGGGCTTCTCGGTGCTTTATCCAGCAAGCTACGGCGACGCATCCTCATCTCCGCGCGGAGACGCTCGTGTGACTCGGCTCATATCCCAAGGCTGCCGACCTTCCTCTTCTCGCAACGATGCCTCCTCCCTCGCTGGCGCAACAGAAGATCCTCCTCGCACAGTTCGTTTCCCTGACTGGGGTCTCGGAACGTCAGGCGACTCGGGTACGTTGAGATAACGTTGCTTCTCCCTTCTATCCTTCGCCGTTGCCGGCCGGAAGCCCAACGGGCATTTCCTCAGGCCCTGGCCTTGTTGGTCCATGCATCACGACATGGCACGCAGACGGGGCAGAAAATTGGGTCGGCGCCGTGAGGCTGGCATGAGGCTGACCGTTTCGGCTTGCACCGCAGCTGCTGGAGACGTGAGGCTGCGGCCGCGGCAGGCAATCGTGCATCCCGATGGAGCGGCTCTGGTCCCGTGAGTTTGGCTAACGTGCTGGTGGTGTGCAGTATCTCAAGTCAACCGGCTACAAGCTTAATGAGGCCGTTGATGCGTAAGTCGCCCTCTATCAAGTCTCCAACCCCCTTACGAGCCTCAAATCTCCGCCTGGAATTTTCCCCGATATGCCCCCCTCCCACCTCCCGTCCAGCCCGTCGGATATTCCTCGAATCAGACTCCTCACGGCGCTTCTCGGACAATTTCGCTGTGAGATGATGCATCGCCAGGCTTCCAGTGTTGTTATCGGTGTGGGTTTGACTGTGGGGGTCCCACTAAGGCGAAGCCCGCCCGTCTTGTCGGACACTCACCAGAGTATGGCCGAGCGCCGCCGATGCTACTGAAACAGAGACGCCAGAAAGCTACGGCATGCCAAGATGCTACCTTGCCAGATCGTATAGCATTGTCGTCTCCCGGATGCGTCAAACATCCATTTTCGAGCACGCCTCTTTGCCTATCTTGCCGGCTCCCTGGCAAACCTAGATCCTGGGGGGCTTCTCCAGACGATCCGAGCGCTCTTGATTGCGTTACTTTGCATCCTGCGTCTTGTCAAACCATTCCATCTCTTGTGATACTACTGTCTCCGTCCATCTGGCTCCTGCTATAATCTTTCTCCTTGTCTGTTCGTTTTGCGCATATCGCCTATAGATTTGGTTCCTGGCTGCCGGTGCTCCACCCTAGACGACGACAACGACGACGACGACGAGAGCAGACAACCAAGACCCAGCAGTTCAGGGACGCATGCATCCCGTGCATCGGGCCTAGAATGACGCTGGGTTGGAAAGGCGTCAAACAACATCTGCCGTCCAAAGTCGCAAAGGCAGTTCCTCTCCTGCTATCCAAGAAGAAGCGGGAGAAGCATGGCGCAGATGGCTCTGCCAAGGAGGACCCTGGACGGTATATTCTACTCTGGATGACTGGGGGAACGGGAACGAGCATCAAGACGGCAATTTGACGTTGATTGAATACACTGTTGCAAACGACTATCAAGTGACGCCGCTGCATCATTCCTTCCATCTCTCTCGTCTTTCACAAGATTGCACAAGCTACACGGTTTGCACCGCAGCAGTGGCTAACGGATTGATTTTAGATTTTATATGAACTCGGCCAATGAAGCAAAAGGCCCATCTCCCTTGGATTCAAAGTTGGATGCTCTGTTCGATTCACTAAGAGGTTGAGTTCTATTGCTCCTGTATATAAAGTTTGTCCCGTAAGCTTACCATTCTGATAGATGACGAAAATGATGAAAAGGACAAGCTGGAGCTGGAGTCTACCATGGGCTACCTAAGCGAGAAACTTAATGTCAGCTTGGAAAACGCTGAACTTTTCGTCGTCTTGGAGCTTGTGCAAGCCCCTAGTGTGGGCGAAATCACCAGAACCGGATTCATCGACGGTTGGAAGGCAAGCGGGTAAGTCTTTTTGCTTCTTTGAATTTCAAAGTCTGGAACAGCGAAATACTCATGGTTGGTAGGGCTGGGGCGTCGCACCAAGAGCACGCTTCTCATGTACGGAAGCTTATATCCGATCTGTCATCAGATAGCGCTTTGTTCAAAAAAGTCTACAGGTACGCCTTTGTCGCTGGCCGCGAAAAGGACCAAAAGTCCTTGGCCCTGGAAAATGCTCTCATCTACTGGAGCATGCTGTTCTCGGCCCCGGGCATGGCATGGAAAGGCAAACACGACTGGCTGGAGCTGTGGAAGGCGTTTTTGGGCGAGAAGTGGACCAGATCCGTTAACAGGGATATGTGGAACATGATCTTGGAGTTTGCCCTGAAGACCATCAAGGACGAGTCGCTATCATTCTGGAGCGAGGACGGCGCATGGCCAAGCGTCATTGACGACTTTGTCGAGTGGTGCAAGCAGAAGGGCATTGGGAAGTCTGAGACTATGGATGTCGACGACCAGTGAAGCTGAGGATCTGGAAAGCCATTTTACACAACACGCTTATTCGGGATGGAGATTATCGATACGTTTCTTGACGGCATGGGGGTTTCATCCTTACTATATTATGAGTTGAAGCGAGACCCGCTTTTTCGTCTGGAAGGAAAAAGGGCTGGCTATGATCTTTAGAGATGCTAGATGAGGCTGGCAGCGCAGACTTTCAGCTCTTCTGGCATACAATTTTTGTGACGATATAGACTTTAAGCGCCAATTAAACAAAAATCACATGTATGTTTAGACAGGATGGCGTAGTGTGATGTTGTATATATGCTACATGTATACGCTTTAGTATGTATCATGTGTCAGACTCTTATACATTCCCTCCATTGACACCACCATCTCATGTCTCATGATGTGGCAATGCCGTTGCCAGTAAACACCAAAAACTTGTACAGCGCAGTTTGGAAGCGTCAGCTTCTGTTCCCCTGTTGCATATTGATGCCAAGCATTGATAGTTCCTCTAGCCCCTTGTCGACACCTCTCTTTCGGTTTTCTGGTACATCATCATAATCTTACACGACGTTAATCCCATTTTCGGATCCCAGCTAGCGCATGTACTCCCGTTCCCATGATTTTTGTAAGTCGTTTTGCATCCAAAAGGTGCTTCCATGCGGTGTATAAAGCAAAAAAAGAAAAAAAAGAAAAAGAAAAGAAAAAAAGAAGAGCTGAAACATAAACCCCCCTCAAAGCAAAATCATTCCTTTTCTTTTTATCTCCCACACATCTTCTTCTACGCCTCACTGCCCTGCGTCCTCCACTTGGGCGGCCCAAACCTCGACACCGTCTCGAGCTTGCCGTCACCGAGCTTGACGTGCGCGGCGCGAATCATGCGCGGCTCGAGACGCAGCGTGGATCGCACGTCCTGGTGGACTTTGGTGGACGAGTCGTAGCGCATGACGAAGTAGTGGCCGTGGGTGTGCTTCATCTGGTGGATGGAGATTGGCTTGGGGAGGGAGAAGACGCCCCAGTTGGAGAGGCCGCGGATGACGCCGCCGTTTTTGAGGACGAGGGAGCCAACGGTTTGGGCGATTCTGTTTGTAAGTTGTAAGCTTGAGGAGCAATCGAGAGAGAGGGGCCAGAGAGAGTAGAGAGCGTGTGAATGCGCCTGTTGGTTGGTGGGATGTTGAAGTGAAGACGTACTCTTTTACCTCGGTGAGGCTGCCCGGCCGGACCTGTGAGGGGAAAAAAAAAAAAAGACAGATTAGTGGATTGAAGATGTGGAATGGGCGACATGTCGCTGCTTACAATGGCAATGAGTTCGTAGAGCATCTTTGCGACAGCATCTACGGTCTGAATTGATGTGGTTATTTTTTCTGTATGGTTGCGATTGCGGGATGGGTTGAAATCTGAGCATAGCTGTTGCGCCGAGGTTTTGCCGTGGTGAGGGATGACGGCGTATCTGACTCCGAGGCGTGTTAGGTAATCACATTGTATGAAGCATGGTAGGTTCCCATAATGGATATTTCAACACAGAGCGTTTCACGCAGGTCTCTACACTGGTAATTGATGTTATAGCTGGTTTCTTTGAAATTGTATTCGTATTGTACACTGTATTGTATAGGTATTTTCTATATCCTCTCCTTGGACAGAGCTTGCCATATCCCCCACGGCAGCCTCCACCCGCTGCTCTTCACGGCAAACGGGTCAAAGTTGGCCTTTTCCAGGCTCAGCAGCCATTGTGCTGCGGGTACAGCTTCTAGCAATGCCCCGAAACCGCGCCGTATGTCCCGCGCCGTGTCGTTGTCTCCCTCCTCAAAATATTGGTGCTCGCCCTCACCCTGGTGCTCAAACTCGTGGCCTGGATCCTGCCCCGCTTTTAACCTCTTGAGCATCTCTCGCGCCGTGATCAGATGGTCATTGGCGCGGGTGGCGACCTTGAAGATTGCGTCTTGCAGCCCGGGGGCGTTGGGGCCTTGCCGGAAGACCTCCTCCTCCTTGACACCCTCCTCGGCCATGATGTCCAGCGGCAGCAGGATGGCCTGGGTGCGGCTCGGGGTGTCGAGGCCAGAAGGGCTCCTGACGGGCTGCGCGGGGGCGGCGAGGATGGGAATGCCCCGAAGCACAGCGACGATGCCGCACGCCTTGCCGATATGGCTGGCCAGGTGATCCACGTGCATTGACCGCAGCGGCATGGATGCCAAAGTCGCATACATGATCGTGGAGTACGTGTGCTCGGCGTAGCCTTCCAGGCTGGCCAGGGTGGCGAAGGGCCGATTGTCCATGTGCCTCTCGCGCGTGCGGATCAGGCGCGAGACCCAGAATTTGATGGACTTTGCCGTCGACGAGCTGCCGGCCCGTAGCTCGAGCTGCTGCAGTCCGCGGTGGAGCAGGATGCAGATTGGCTCGCGGGGAGGCTGCCCGGCGAACGTCTTGTCGATGGACTCTTGCCAGAACTTCATGCGCATGACGCCAATGGTGGGATTGGACACCAACTCGGGCAGGCGGACGAGCTCCAGGTTCAGTGCGCGGAGGGCGGCGTAGGTGTCCTGGACGGGCGGCGGGATGAAGCGGTGGATGAGGTGGGCATCGTAGTCGCTGGTCCTGTGATTCGAGGCAGAAGTCGTTAGAAGCTGTAGCAGAAAGCAACAAGGCTGCAAGGTTGCCTTATCATGCCAAAGGAGATAGGGCAGGGGAGTGGATTGACGCCATACTGAAGCTGCTTCAAACAGTATCGCCGCGCTGATTCGACGTCAGCGTCCGTCACCGTTGCGAAGCTGCGACGGCTCCGGGGCGCGCTGGCGAGCCTTTTCAGGCCATTGCCTAGAATGCCGGGACGATGCATGCAGCGTGGGATGAAGCTTATCGCGGCTCAATTGGCGCAGCCGTCATGGTGATGGGCTCGGGCGAGAAAAGAGTCGCATTGCATTGCGGGCACTTTTGCGACTGAAAAAAAAAAGGCAGCGAGTGGCAGCTCTTCAAGCTGTCTGATATAAACAGACCGTGATTGGCTGGTCTATTACTCCGTCGGACAAATGGGGCAACTGCTGGGTTAGCGTAGATGGATGACGCGGTCATGTGACCTCTCTACACGGTTCGCGTTTGGCAGGCTCTAAGGCGCGTCTCCCAGCGGGTTTAGCGGGAAACGCTGCAAAAAGTCACGGCTTCTGGGTTTTGCTTGCATGTTCCAGATGAGAGTCCCGGCGCAAATATGGAGCTGGGATCCTCGCAAGAGCCTCCAGTGAAGAGGCGGAGATTCTTCAAGGACCCGGACGAGGCATCATCGGATCCGGTGGCTTTCAGCAGTCCCAAGCACGAGTATAGCTCGAGTCAAGAGCCAAGGCTGTTCTTCAAGACGGAGGACGACGATGACCGCGAGGAGGAAATAGAGAATAAAGCGAAAGGTGATTCTTCTGGAGAATGGGTGGCACAGGAGAGAGAGCTGGAGAGGCAAAGAGGCATCAAGACCGAACAAGCAGATCGAAATGCCTTCACCCAGCTTCGTGAAAATGGAGCTGCCTCTAGGCAAGCTTCTCGCGAAGAACCCACGCCCCAGCACGAGTCCTCATCGTTGACCTTTGACCAAGAGACGTTTGAAAGCTTTGTTGGATGTAAAGTTGCTGCCGATATCCTGAGGACCATTCAGCAACACTGCGGGAACAACCTGGAACGAGCTGTCAACATGTACTTCGACGGCACCTACAAGAAACTCATCAAGTCAAAGTCAACATCTCATCCAACGGCATCTTCTGCCACGCCGGGCTCCAGCCGAACAGCATTGACCGACGCCCCGGCCCAGTCCCCGCCGATTCCCATCCGACGAACCATGTCGAGCTCACGATACATTGGCGCATTCGGCGTCGAGGGATGGGCTACAAGAAGTGGAGCAAACTTGCTGAAGCACGGCGAAATCGTCAAGATTGAACGGCAAAAGATACAGCCTCCTCTACCCCCAAAGACGAAACCCCGGCTCGGCGCCCCTCCCACTCCCGTCAAGATGAACACCGCCGCCTCGAGACGAGTCGACGTTATCGTACGATTTACCACCCACAGCGGCCAAGAGATCGGACGGCTGGCTAAGGATACTGCGAACTGGGTGTCGACGCTGATAGATCAAAAGGTTTGCGGGTTTGAAGGTATATGCGTGTACTGCCCTGAGCGTGTGCGAACAAACGATACCATCTTTCTCCAGCTGAGATGCTTTCTGCTCAACTCGGCCTTCTTCGACCGAAGCTTCAAGCCGGGAAACGATTCTTCAGCCACATGGTTCGAACAGCAGATTGAGACGGCGCAAGAGAAGGAACTCCGACTTCGACAAGTTGCTTTGGTTAGGCTTTTCCAGGAAATTAATCTGCAACCGGTTGCCGCAAATGCTGCAGCAAAGGGTGGGCGAAAGGGCCTCCTTCAGGCTGCCGAGATGGATGAGCAGAAGCAAAAGGACTCGAAAAAGGCAACAGCGAACAGCAACAAGGAATCTGGAAACTCATCACCGTCGGAAGAAGCTGAAGAAGGAGAGGAGCTTGAACAAGATCAGCTTGATTCGCTGTATAAGAAGGCTCAGACATTCGACTTTAATATGCCGGAAGCTGAGCCCGCGAGCACTTTTGCCATGTCGCTGCGGCCATATCAAAAGCAGTCTCTGCATTGGATGCTGGCCAAAGAGAAAGATGAGCGGAGCCATAGAGAGCCCTCGATGCATCCATTGTGGGAGGAGTATCTATGGCCAATCAAGGATGTTGACGACAAGGATTTACCCACAGTAGAAGGCCAATCCAAGTTTTATGTCAACCCTTACTCTGGCGAACTTACGCTAGACTTTCCTGTTCAGGAACAGCACTGTCTCGGCGGCATTCTCGCTGATGAAATGGGTCTTGGAAAGACCATTCAGATGCTCAGTCTGATACACTCGCACCGATCCGAGGCTTCGCACAACGCCAGGTCAACTTCTAAAGACGGATTGAATCAACTTCAGCGGCTGGGTAAGAACTCGTCAAACGTCGTGGATGCGCCCTGCACTACTCTTGTGGTTGCTCCGATGTCTCTACTATCGCAGTGGCACAGCGAAGCCGAGAAGGCCTCAAAAGCAGGCACTATGAAGGTTCAGCTCTACTATGGCACTGAGAAGGCGTTGAATCTGCAGTCGCTGTGCAGTGGCTCCAACGCGCCGGATCTTGTCATCACCAGTTACGGCGTCGTCTTATCAGAGTTTGGCAGTGTTGTCCCAAAGAACGGCGAAAGGGCATTCCATACTGGCATTTTCTCGCTCAAATTCTTCCGAGTGATTCTAGATGAAGCCCACTATATTAAAAACCGAGCTTCCAAAACTGCGCGCGCGTGTTATGAGATTGCGGCAGATCATCGATGGGCCCTGACCGGTACGCCGATTGTCAACAGGCTAGAAGACCTCTTTAGCTTGGTGCGCTTCCTGGGAGTTGAGCCGTGGAACAACTTTTCCTTTTGGAAGACGTTCATCACGGTACCATTCGAATCAGGCGACTTTGTGCGCGCATTGGACGTTGTGCAGACGGTTCTAGAACCATTGGTCACGCGAAGAACAAAAGATATGAAGACACCAGATGGCCAGCCCTTGGTACAGCTTCCCCCGAAACAGATTGACCTGGTGGAGGTGGAGCTCTCCAAAACGGAACGAGACATTTACGACCACATCTTTAACAAAGTAAAGAACACATTTGCCAAGAACGTAGAGGCTGGCACTGTACTCAAGGCATTCACAACTATCTTTGCTCAGATTATGCGTCTCCGTCAATCGTGCTGTCATCCTGTTCTTGTCCGCAACAAGGATATTGTCGCCGATGAGGAAGAGGCTGGAGCCGCAGCAGATGCAGCTACTGGGTTGGGAGATGACATGGACCTCGAATCGCTGATTACACAGTTCACTGCCATCACAGATGAAGCGACCAGCGATAGGCAGACATACGGAGCACATGCGCTGGACGAGATTCGGAATGAAGCAGAAAAGGAATGCCCCTTGTGCTTTGACGAGCCAATGAATGAGCAGATTGTGACTGGATGCTGGCACTCTGCGTGTAAAAAGTGCTTGATGGACTTTATCAAACATGAGACGGACCATGGCAAAGTGCCGAGGTGCTTCAACTGCCGGGCACCGATCAACCAGCGTGATCTATTCGAGGTCGTGCGGCATGACGAAGGCGATGCATTTGCCTCGAAACCGCGCATCAGCCTGCAGCGATTGGGCGTCAATTCATCGTCAGCCAAAGTTACAGCGTTGATGACAGAGCTTCGATCGTTACGCCGTGAACGGCCTCACATGAAGTCTATCATCTTTTCACAGTTTACGTCTTTCTTGTCGCTCATCGAGGCCGCGCTCAATCGCGCCAACATCAAGTTCCTTCGACTCGACGGAAGCATGACGCAAAAGGCGCGTGCAGCGGTGCTGCAGGAATTCTCAGACAGCAAAGGCTTTGTGGTGATGCTGATGAGCCTGCGCGCGGGCGGCGTGGGACTGAATCTGACGAGCGCGGGGCGCGTGTTTATGATGGACCCCTGGTGGAGCTACGCCGTGGAGTTGCAGGCGATTGATCGGGTGCACAGACTGGGGCAGCAGGACGAGGTGGTTGTGAAGCGGTTCATCGTGAAGGGGAGTGTGGAGGAGAGGATGTTGAAGATTCAGGAGAGGAAGAAGTTTATGTAAGTGATGTTTCCCTTGTTTGGTCTAGGGGTTTCACGGTGCTAATTTGACTGATTGCAGAGCGACGTCGTTGGGCATGATGAACGACGAAGAGAAGAAGCTCCAAAGGATAGAGGATATCAAGGAGCTTCTTAGCTAGATGACGGAACGAGCAATCAAATGTCACGACATGGCTGATGAATATGGGGCGGATCTTGGAACTGTTACGACTGTACTTTGTTTTCATGTGGCTGGCTTTTCTCATTGACTGGCGTAGGGGATACTGCAAAACTGGCATGGCACAATACGGAATTGCATTGCATTGCATTTGGTTCCTGCATTGAACAAGGTGTATATATATGAATGGCTGGCTGGCGGTGTGACATATAATTTTACTCGTACCGGTAGCGGTGCAACATGGAAAGGGTATTAGACGACATGTCAAATGGATCATGACAGACGGTTGCATCACTGGTCCGAAGCGATGGCACGTTTGGAAGAGGAGTATCTCAGCGTGCCATCGTATGGGTGGCATATCAATCACAGCTCAATGCGGGCGTCCCCACAGAATTCCCCAGTGAGGCTTTTGGGCAATCTAACTTAATCTGCTAGGGTGGTTTCAGGGTCCTCGATGGGAACTGCGCGAATGCAAGTATGGACACGCCATGATGCCTCTAATGCACCTATTGCTACTAAGTAGTGGTATTGGATAAATGCTAAAGACACAAGATTGCGTCAAGACAAAGAATCGCCACCTAGACCGTCGATACAGCGCAGAGCAGGCATTTCCATACGCAGCAACAAGCCAGAGCTGCTGACCGAAGCTATTCAGGGGCACCCTGTCAAAAAGGGGCGGGGCCGCCCAAAGGCGCAAGCCACATTGGGACAGCCGAAATTACCGGCCAGGGGGAAGCCCCAGCAGCTTATCCAAAGTGCGATGCCTTGGTCTGTTCATCAAAAGAATACGAGGCGGATTGTCGGTATGCCGTATGTTTTTTGCTTGCTTCGGCCTGAACTAGTTTGGCCTCCTTTTTAAACACGAGGATTGATGAGAGGCTAGTGGGTGGCTTGACGGGGAATGAGAGTTGATAAATATGCTGATCCCCCGGATTTGTACGCGCTTGAAAAGGGTCTCTTTTTTTGTTACTTTTGTCAATCTCCAGTCCAGTCGCTCTTTTCAAGCAGTCAATTGTGATTTCTTCGCCGTTCCTTAACAACACGACGTCCTTTGTGTAATAATACAAAAACCGGTCATTACCGACGACATACATTTTCATCACATACCACCGCAAACATGAAGTTCACCGGCCTTACCGTTGTTGTCGCCGCCCTTGCTGGCCTCGCCGCCGCCTCTCCCGCTCCTCTCGTGAACGGAAAGCTGGTCTGCGGAACGATGAAGGACAGCATCGTGACTTGCCCCTTTGGACAGATTTGCTTGCTTGCTCCGGGCGCTGATGAGAAGTCTGCTACGGGAGTCTGCCAGACTCGCTAAGAGGGTGAGTGTCTTTTTTTTTCCCCATGTGCTTTGCTTTGCGAAGATGAAGACGAAGAAGTGGGACGTGTTGCTAATGGCTGGTGGTTCTTAGGTCATTGATTGGAATTGAAGCCGATGTGAAGGGAAGGTGGACGTAATGGGTTTTGATGGAGATGAGAACATTGAATTAAAGCGATTAAGTGCTACGACTATTAAATCTAATAAGTCTTGTCTAGCCTGGGCAAGCTCTCACTGTGAATAAAGTGCCGAAAGTACATACATATCATCGCGCTACTGTGACTCTTTCTCTTTACTCTCTGTAGTGCCATTGTGAATGATGAAAGGTTGACCTGCCAAGACAAAAAAAAGATGTCCAAAGCTATCCAATCCCGGCTGGTTAGATCGATCGACGCGTCTTCAAGTTCAGAGTTCTGACACTTCCCGAGGTGGACTTTGCTGCTTTAGGCATGTGCGTTGAGAGTGTCAGAAGCATTGTCTCGAATATCGTTGCCCAATCTGAATATATCTTGTTACTGTAAATGTATGTACTATGTAGATGCGTTGAAAAAGTGGGTTTCAGTGAGTTTGTTGTTCTGATACTGTGGATTGGCTGAACAAGCATCTCGATTTTGCCCCATGTTGAGAATCTACCTAGTTGCATATAATGTGGACTTGTAGCTGATGATCTTGGGGTTATTTCCTATTTGGGTAATCGGCAGAATGTGCGATACCATTTCCACATCCGCTGCATCTACTGCTGCTGGTAGTACATCTGCTACGTCCGCTACATCTGCTACATCTGCTACATCTGCTACATCTGCTACATCTGCTATAGCGTCTTATCGAATGTGACGAGAGGAATAAGCATAGTTTACATAATGTAAGCGCTGCTGCTCTATAGCACGCACAGTATTCTAAGCTACAGCAATCTTATATGCAAACCCAATCTTTTATCTATCAAGGGCAAAGGCAAAATACCTCAGCGCTTTAAAGTTACGCGCCTCTATACTCTATAATCTGGAACTCAACCCTTATGTGCAGCTGCAAAGACTTTTTGGACGAGATATAGTCGAGTAAAATACTTGTATAGACAGCGAATAGAACGCCATCAGTGGAAGGTAGTATAGGGCAATGCAAATCTAGAAGTCTCAATAAGTAATTTTCTCAACCACTTTTTTTCACGCTGGCAATCATCAACGCTCTCTGGTTAGGTCGATTGCCTTGTAATAAGTGGCAGGGTCTTGAAAGAGTTTGTTGTTGTGGCTGTAGCTGTTGCTAGGTTAGATGATAAGTGTATGATAACAAAAGAAGCAAAGGCCACTCAAGGTTTTTGATGGACTGCCGCGTACTCTAGATACGCTATTTGTGGCGGGGCAAATAAGATTATACCACCAAAGTATATACTTCAAAGGGTCATTATTGCCAATGTGCCGATAGCACGATCCCTTGAGTCTACATAGTGACGAGCGTACGTCGTGGGATGAGCTATGGTCCCTCGTCTGACTTTTTCGTCACAAGAAAGTCCTCTCTAGAGCTGGGATATGAGAGGTACTGAAAATTCTCGGCACAATTGAGAGTTCTCCATCCTCCCGGGGATTGTGCAGGCATCCCCCAAAAGAGTCAAGGACACAAAGCCAAAATAGGGTTTGCCTTGAAAAGTAAACATAACATAACCTAAATAAGAAGTCTACGTAGGTAGGTAGGCATTGCATGCGAAGATGGAAAGTTAATTTTTTTGGGGCAGCCTGGAAAAACTATTTATACTCCTTGCTGTCCCCAGCCTGCTCTCTTTTTTCTCTTTTCATTTCATTCCATGGACTTTTCCTTTGGCTACTTTCATTTTCTCCTTTGGCTTTTCTTCTTCTTTACCTTTAGTTTCTTCATTCTCACATGCTTTTTTTTACACTATGTCTACTGTCGCTACATGGTATAGTGCCAGTGTAGGCACCACATGGGCGTTTTTAAATTAGTAGGTAGGTGGAGGAGGGGGGAGCCCCTTTGGGGGGAGGATGTTGGGGTGAGGAATTTGAGGAGGGATGTGGAGGGTATGAAGGGGAGGGTGGATGGGTTAGAGAGGAGGGAAAGGGAGCGATGGCAGCAAGAGAGGGGGGGATGGGAGAGGGAGAGGGGCGAGCTGCACGGGCAGCTGCAGGCCGCGAGGAGCCTCTCTTCGCAGAGGACGAAATGAAGAAGCTGGAGAAGAAGATAGATAGGCTGTGGGTAACCTTTGTTCGGAGAGGGCGAGGATAAGATGAGGATTTGGGTGTTGGAGGAGACAGTGGACGGAGTGGGAGATGCGGGAAGAGGGGATAAGGTGGGAGGAGAAGTGGGAGAGGCGTGAGGAGGAGTGGGCGAGAGAGAGGAGAGGGCTAGAGGAGCAGATGAAAGCCCTGAGCAAGCAGATTTCTTTCTCCCTCTCAAATAGTAGTGTAGCATTGCTTTTTTCTTGTTGCCAGCGTGTTTATAAGAAGAGGGGAAAGTCATCAAGCACCTCGGTTCTATTGCTAGTGCACTGACTGTAGCTCATCGGGTTGATAAAACACAGTGCTTGATCACTGTACATTAATACTTGAGAACAAAAGTAGTAGTAGATGTAGTAGATGTAGTAGATGTAGTAGATGTAGTAGATGTAGTAGATGTAGTAGATGTAGTAGATGTAGTAGACGTAACAGCTAATGAATTTGGGCAGGCAAGGCGTTTCGTATCCTTGCTTTATTTACATTAAACTAAACACTTACATGCGTATGACATCGCTCGGTCGTTGCTCTCGCCCCCTTCCGCCGAGAATCTTCGTTATTGGCACCGCCCTTGGTTCATCGCCATTGTCACCAGCTTTCTCTCTACTGACCTCGCGTCTTGCAGGTTTGCTGGTTCAATCCGACGATGACTGGACGGTTACGCAGAAAGTGACGAATCAACCAAGTTCTAGCGAAGAGCTGGCCGATATGATCTTTGAGCTAAAAGACGGCAGTGATGAAGCTGGGCATCAAGCTGTAGAGACTTTAAAGGGGCTGATGCAGTTAAATTAAAAATATAAGCCCTACTTTATTTGGCCTAGCAAATAGAAGAGCTCGGTATTGTTATAGAGCGCAAAGTTGAGAGCTATTTGCCGATCGTGTATGGATTCCCCAAACGTCTCCTCATCGCTTGGCTGAATGCAGCCGCCGGATGTATCCTAAACTCATATCTTCCCCTTTCCGTACCCAAATTCACAGCTATTCCCCTAGTACTTAGTCTAGAGATTCTATTCGTTGAAATATTTATACATGATTTCACTTACTGCTATTGCTTCTGACATTTCGCGCCCAAAGGCTGCCAACTTTTGACGCTGCAGATCTTCAGTGAAGAGAAGCGATAGTACGAGCGGGAGAAGCATGCTAGATAGTCATGAGACCTTGTGGCGCCCAGTGAAATGTGACCTATGACGTTTGTCCTTATGCGGCTGTGGTGCTTCCCTCTCGATCTCTCTAGTTGACTGCCACGTTCTTTTGTGCGATTAGTTTTGCGTTCTACTCTCTCTACCTCTTTTGGACAAGCTGAAGGCAGAATTCAACGATTTGCATGTGTCCATCGTCGCGTAAAAGGCAGTGCAGCTGAAGCGTGGGATCAAGTGGCCTGATGGCTATCAACTAGGCCGTCGACCAGAGCCGCCTCTTTGACGCTTGTCGATTTTGATTCGAGATCCAGATTGTCTCCCCCAGCTTCGTCAATATAACAGCGACAACGACGACAGCAGATCATAGCTCAACTTTGATAGTGACAATTAAGACTGTGGCAAAGCAAATGGCAACACCGCAACAGAATGAATTTAATCGCACGACAAGGATTGGCGAGTAGCAGGATATAGAAGGATATAATACAGCCTCCATTGGAACCAACTTCGCTGTCAATAGAACATGTCAAAAACACGGTAGGAATAGAAGGCGCCTAATGAAAGAATATCTTGTAAATTTATTGAGAGTAATAATCATGCTTACAATACCAAATAATCTTCGTTGTTCTCAAGCTGGTCATATAGTTTCCGAGCGTTTCCAGGCTGGTGACTGACTCTTGTGAGATCGCAAAACATCGACTCCCATTCTGGATCAAATACTGTTCCCTCTGGCCCCAAGTCTTGCCATGTGCATATAATCACAAGCTCCGGCGAAGCTTGTATAGAGAAATCTGTTCCACAAGAACTACAGGAAAAGAAAAGTTGAGAGTCTTTTGCTGAGAATGCCATGTCGAAAGCCATTGTGAGATTCGTCTTATAATCACGTATATGATGGCATATACGTTCCCGTCTTAGAAACTGTCGTGATATCGTATTTTGAGCCCCAAGGTAAGTCTGGACAGATAAATGTACATATCTTCCATCTATGACCTTGGGATAAAACGAGGATTGTTCTAAGATGCCTTCTTCTTTGTGGTTATAAAACCTCTCTTTATCCGGGAAGTAATGTGGTTCGAGAAGCCTCTGAAGACGTCTCCGTTGTCTCCATTTGATTGTCCTCAATCGAGTATATTTAAGGGTGAGTTGGACGTGCCTATGCGCTGGCATATTGAGGGCGAACGAATTACGAATCTGAATGTCTTCTGGATCGCGCCACAAATCGGAGCCGTATTCGCACTCCGGGTTATATAGGTGGGTTGCTGGCACATCACGCCAGACAATTTTATGAAGTTTGCAGCATCTGGCGCAAACCCAATAATCAGGGAGAGATCTGGCGAGGCAGGTTAGATAGCGTAGTTTATCTTCGAGCGTAGCCAGTATCTCCCCCCTCCCAGAAAGAAAGTACTGATGAGTAATAGCGCGTAGCGGTCGACAGGTTTGGTAGATGACTAGCAGGCAGTGTGGAGGGAGGAGATTGAGTATTTCGAGCAATATTTCGACTGGCAGTCGAAGAAGGTAACTGCGAGTATGAGGCCGGAGCCGTTGGAAGCTGGAGAGGAGTTTAATGATGTTCATGGTGAAATATTCCTGCGTTTCTCCTTATTCTTGTTTAGGTAGGTGTATATCTCTGGGGAAGAATTAGGATATGATCGGTAGCATGGACAAGGTAATATATTTGTTATTCGTCAGCTTAGCCCCATTGCAGAACCTGGACAGTAAACCTTTCTGGAGGTCAGAGGAAGTTTATTGGTAGAGGTTTGTCTATGCATTGCCGAAATCTTCTATAACATTCTAGTTCATTATTAAACGCAAATCTAGAGACACAAAGTTTAAATACACAGCTAAATGCTGGAGTGGCTTCCTAGATATACCCACAATATTGGAGAGAGAGGAGACACAGGCATTGATAAGCTTTCACCAAGTACCGTCGGGCCGTAACCGCACCAGCCACTTACACTGCAACAAGCATCTATTAAGATGTGGCTAGTTATTGGAGCTGGAAGAGACTCAGTCAGATGTTTCGAGAGGCGATGTTGACTTCGAACTCAGGCGAGGTGGCTTCCTGACGGAATCCTCCGGTGGCCCAAGCAGGGATGGCCGCTGTCGGGATCGAGTCAAGCATCTTGTATACTCCCGGATTTGATACAAATATGCTGAAGGGGCACAGAGCTAAAGGCACGAGCGGCTACGTGGGTTCATACCTGCTGAGCTTATCGGCGGAAGCGCCCCAGAAGCCGGCCCGGTGCCTGAAGCCACTTTAACTCTGTGGATAGTCCAGGCCTAGCGTTAAGCTATACTGATACAGACGATACCGATGGTGGGAGGTGAACGAGACGTCCTCGGCTCACCGTTACTCTCTGTATGGGCGTGCATTTTATCCCTATAGACGCCATTGGATGATACATTGAAAAATAGTACTTTCATACACACAACGGTTATCCAGCCATGTATCATGAAGCTATTCAGCGAAAAATCAAATCAACCGCCAGTTTCCAAGCCAATCAATATCATAGACAGCAGGCATACGTATGCATATGATGCAGCAACCTGTAAATAACCTCTGCAAGGCCCAAAGGGGCAGACAACCCTAAGATAATGACTCATTATAGAGTTTGAGCGTCATTTGGAGGACAAGTATTATCAGAGGCGTAAACTTGACTTGATATTCTTCCCCAAATAGTCTTGGTATGAGCGAAATTGTTCGCTTTACGTTTCCCAACATAACCTTTGAAAAGGTTTTTTATTATGGCTATAACTATGACAGAGTGAGATATCGAATGCGTACAAAGTGTATATATATTGCTTGCTGCCCCTAACCTGCCTTGGCCTTTTTCTTCTTCTTTTTTCTTTTTCCAGGCATAGCATCCGTTCGTTCTGAAAAAAAAAAAAACTATATATTAATATACGTTTTTTTTATCTTATTTTTTTTTCCACTATGTCTGCCATTGCAACATGGTATGGTGCCGGCGTTGGCACATTAAGTGTTTTAAACGCCATAGGCGTTTTTAAATTGGTAGGTAGGTGGTGGAGGGGGGAGCCCCTTTGGGGGGAGGATATTGCGGTTAGGGGTTTGAGGAGTGGTTTGGAGAGGTTAACGGGGAGGGTGGGTGGATTGGAGAGGAGGGAGAGGGAGCGTTGGCAGCAGGAGAGGAGGGAACGGGAGAGGGAGAGGCAGGAATGGGAGAGGGAGAGGAGCGAGCTGCACGGGCAGCTGCAGGACGTATTGATCCAGCAGATTAAGAGTCTGCTGGGTCCGACCAGCAGCCCCGGGACAGCATAGTTCCTGCTCCGCCCGTCCTCCCCAAGCGCCAGCAGCGTTGTTTTTTTTGTTTTTGTCATTCTTTTCAGCGTGGTTTTGTCATTCGTTTTCAGCGTTGGCATGTCACTCTTTTCAGTATTTGGCGTGTCATTCTTTTTCAGCGTTGGCGTGTCACTCTTTTCAGTATTTGGAGTGTCATTCTTTTTCAGCGTTGGCGTGTCACTCTTTTCAGTATTTGGAGTGTCATTCTTTTTCAGCGTTGGCGTGTTATTCTTTGAGATCGAGTTCCTCGAGGTCAAGGCCGAGAGTGTCTTTGAGAGACGCGTCTTTGCACAAGACTTCCCCAAGAGTTGGTGTGTTATTTTTTGACACTGTTGTTTTGTTATTCTTTTTCAGCGTTAGTGTGTTATTCTTTGAGATCGAGTTCCTTGAGGTCAAGGCCGAGAGTGTCTTTGGGAGACGCGTCTTTACACAAGACTTCCCCAAGAGTTGGTGTGTTATTCTTTGACAGTGTTGGTGTGTTATTTTTTTTTTTTTTGATAGTGTGGTTTTATTAATTATTCTTTGACAGCATTAGTGTGTTATTCTTTGACAACGTTGGTTGATTCAACATTCCTTTTACCAACAGCTTGTTGCTCCCTCCAGCGGCGGTTTGTTATCCTTGACAGCAGTGGTTGGTTATGGCCTTTTCCAGCGGTGGGTTGTCATTCTCGACAACAGCATTTGACTAACTATTCTTTGCAGTGACGGTTCAATGTTCCTTTCAGCGGTGGTTTGTCATTCCCAATAGCGGTAGTGATTATGGACTCTTCTCTCTCCTCAGCGGCGGTCTGTCATTCTTGATAACAGTGGTTTTCATTTCATTTATTCTTGGGCAAACGCGTCATTAAAATCACCAGCAAAGCCGTTTTGGGCCTGTGAATGTCACAAGCATTGAAGCTCCCGCGGCTCTTGGAAGATGGCTTCTCGATTGGAAAGTTGATGGAGTTGGGTAAGCAAGTTCTCTCATATCCTTGATTCGGGTACCTAGATCAAGCTAGCCAGGTATATGACAGCACTCTCTCATTGCTCTCGCCCCCCTACCTCGAGGATGTTGACCTCGATCAAACCGGTTGGCCTCGATCAAGCTAGGCGGCTCAGATCAAACTAGGCGGCTCGGATCACTTTCACGACTATGAGCCCGACATCCAGCACGAGTCGCAATAGATTGATCTATTGGGGAACATAGATATCAACGGCTTTGTCCTAGCTCTTATATCTTCTCCAAGTCCCCGTCTAGGAGAAAGTATCTTCCCCCCTTGTTTTTCTTTACACTTTCGTTACGTCTTCTTCCATTGCAACATGGTGTAGTGCTAGTGTTAGCACTATCAATACCCTCTGGAACCTTGGTGATTTTTACGTCCTTGGGCGCTGGCCTTTAGGGGGCGGGCGTATGGGAGGGCAGAATGGAGGCCCTGGAGGACAAGGCCAAGTTGATCCAGGGGAGGAAGGAGAAGATGACGAAGGAATAGGAGGAGGAGAGGGAGGAACTCCGGCAGGGTAGAGAGCGCTGTGGGGAAGAAAAGAAAGGAGATGAAGGCGTTGCGGCAGACTATAATAAGAATCTGGTGCTACTGCTAATATTGCTACTATTGCTAGGTGTATATAATAGATAGATAGTTAGACAATGGATATTGTATATACCCGGATACATCAACTGCTTTATTGAGCTTTATGTGAGTACTGTAATAGAGCTGGGGTGCTAGATAACTTTTCCCTTATTTGACTGTGTATCATGCAGCTATCCACCAAGATGTACATCAGTCATCAGTCTCCAGGCTAATCAATATTAAAGATGACAGGCAGACACATGCACATGGCGAAGTCAGTGGGTAAATAACACGGAGCCAATGACTCATTACAAAATTTTTTATTGTCAATGCTTTTACCGAGGTTCCAATAATTGGTTTGCGCACAGACAGTTGAGCAGGAAGGCTTAGGCGTTCCGGTCCGCGTAAGCAGAGTACCAGCACAGCAAATTATTAGAATATAGAATTATAAGCCTGGTGATAGTCAAGATGTTCAATAAAACGGCATCTCCTTTATTAGGTGTGATGTTTTGCCTGTCATCACACGGCTGAAAGCGCAGATTCCTTGCTATTGCGGGCTACTCGCTGCTAGAAGCATTTGTTTGCTCATGCCGAGAGCCAACGCATGGATAGCCGCCGCACGGACTATATGAATACGCAGATTCTAGATTTTCTTCTTCTTCTCTCTCTAGCTATTTATCTGCTTTCTTTCTTTCTGCTGCACGTGAGAGCTCCCATGATCTGATGCAGCAAGCCTGTCCGTGTGCAACACCACGGCACTATTTATTTCGACTCTCTCTTTAGATAGATCATCGTCATCAATATCATCATCTATTTCCCCTTGATACCTTTCATCGCCTTCTTTTACTCGCCTTCCAAGAACAATTTCTACCACGCTCATATCCCCGCTATGGAGCTCACGAACTTACCCACGGAGCTTTTGAATGCGATCCCTCTCTATTTGACGAGCAAAGACATCAAAAACTTGAGACTCGTGTCCAAGTTGTTTTCCGACATACCTTTACAGCTCTCTAGGGTGTTTATAAGCGCGAACCCGATAGACATTGAGGTGTTTCGCTCTATCGCGGATCATGAGGCCTACAGACATAGTGTAAAAGAAATTATTTGGGATGAGGCCCGATTCGGCAATCCTCGTTCTGGATGTGACGGGCATGAAATGGAGCTTCGCGAGGCACCTCGTGAATATATGAATGCTTGCAAAGAGAACTTGGCCGACATTTTGGGAAGGCGATCCATGTACGCTGTCCATTTTCCCTCTGAAAAGGCTATAGACGAGCAAGTAAAGGCCCAGATGCCTATATTCGAATCATGGCTGCTCTATTGCGAGTATGCAGACCGGCAAAACAAAGTTTTGAAAGACGGTGGCGATATTAAAGCGTTTGAATACGGCCTCGAACGCTTTCCGGCTCTCGAGAGAATCACGTTGACGCCAGCAGCCCATGGGACAATCTTCAATCCACTGTATAGAACACCGATGCTTCGATCGCTTCCATATGGCTTCAACTACACCATTCCGCGCGGTTGGCCGGGCACTTATTTTCATTTGAGCAGCGAGCCGTGGGAAACCGAGGCTGATAAAGAGCAATGGCGAGGCTTTCGAGAAGCCATTCGTTGCCTCGCGGATAACAAAGCACCGTCGGTGAAAGAGCTTGTTCTCGACGTTCATCAGTTGCCAACAGGCTTGACCTGCCATTTTTTCGACAGTCCCTGCCGAGAATACGACCAGCTCATTGATGTTCTTCGCAGGCCTGGTTTCCGCCGCTTTGATCTCGCCCTCACCGCCGGCGGCCAGCCCACTGTCGACTGGATGTCATTCCGGAACAGGCGCATACGACGTGCCCTGGCAGAGGCGTCGAAAGACTTGGAGCATATCCATTTGAGGACGGATTGGGGTGAAGAACCAGATTATCGTACTGGGCTGGACAGCAGCGGCCTCCCTTATCACTTCACCCCACTGCTTGACATCTTTCCCATGGAGCAATGGCCGAGACTCCGGCACTTTGGGCTATCAAAGTTCCTTGTGCGGCAAAATGATGTCATGTCTCTTCTGAAAGCATTGCCAGTCACGATTCGGACCATTGAGCTCAGCTTTTTGTGCTTCTTAAACGACGTGGGCAGTTACGAAGCCCTGCTTTACGAGATGCGTGATACTCTAGATTGGCGCAATAGAGAAGCCGCAGCTCGCCCCAAAGTCAAGATTGGCTTGGAAATCTCCCCCGAAGAGACGCTATATGGCCGAGCAATCTGGTTCGAAAGAGAAGTGGATTCGTTTTTGTACAAAGGGGGGCCTTGTCCGTTTCCATGCGATCCAGATGATGGCGAGTCCAGAGATGGTGGTATGATACGGGACGAATTTCAGCCTGAGATTGACGGCCCATGGGTTGATTGTCCTGTTTGGAACCGCAAGGATTGGGAATCATATTCGCGAGCCTACGATGAAAAGGGGGGGAATCCTGACGTACAGGCAGCTTATGATGCTTTGGAGGCCATGGATTACGAAGACTAACCCGCCATGGGTTCGAGCCTTTGTCTTCTTACTTGTAGGGTTGTTGATCTCGAACGTTTATATAAAGCTAGTATTTCAGTCATGAGTTTCGATTTTATGGAAATAGTTTAATAGAAGGAGAGAAAGCTACAATCAATACTACCCCGTCTATTTAAACGTCATCAGAGGCTAACCCATGGAGCTCTCGACAGTGCCAAATACTTGTCACCCAGCTTCATCCTGAAGAAAGCTTTACAGGGGCTTACCACACCAGCTTGGCCTCGCAACTGGCGTTGTGATACCTTTAGGGCACCGTCACTGTCATCTTGGGCCCAGCCGCTGTCGTCAACTTGGAGGTCATTGCAGATCGCGCGATTTCAGGCCATGTGCGCTCAACGCAAACGTATACCTCGGCTTGAAGTCCAGAACAGTCAGCTTTGACGGCTGGATTCCATTTATAAAAGTCTCCGAGGTCGATTTTCGCATGAGCGGCAATACCGGAGCATCCGTCTCCTTTCTTCACCTTGTAAAACCCGCTGCATTGGTCGACCATGCCGCTTTGTCTTGGAGTGGGCGTATGCAAGCCAGTGTATGTTGCAGTGGCATGTGTGTACGTCTGTGAAGCACTCTTGGTCACCGCGGGATCAGTCATTGTTGTGTGCTTGTCATTGTCATTGTCGTCGTCGTCGTCGTCGTCGTCTTCGGTGTAAGGCTGATTTCCGCCGGGGTATGTCGAAATACAATAATATGTGCCTTTAGATAGTCCTTTGCAATCTTTACCAACGGAAGGGTTCATTAAGCAAAAATCTTTCATATTCAAGTTGTTAAGGCCCATGATTGTGTCGCATGTGGTTTCGGGCCCTATGAGAAACCAGTCGGTGCAGTTCGCAGTCTCTCCAACCGCTCGAGGACTTGGTGGACTTTGAACAGGATCGGGAGCTACAATATATGAGCCACAGTTCAATTCCAATTTCACGCAAATGTTTCATGAAGGAGTAGAGATTCTCTGTCAAGAAAAAAAAAACAAGTCTTACTTGGAGAAGGGGTGGTCAGCAGGAGGCAGTATGAGCTGCTTGCAGAGAGCGTACATGGCTGCGGATCGTTACTGCCACTAGATGTAATTTTCTGTTTGTCCTCCCTCAAGGATGGATTCCATAACATGAACTCCTACCACAACCAAGTCAGTATTCCACACAGCGTGAGAAAGTGGTAGGATTGTACACACCTCGAGTGAAGTGTCTGCCTGGTAAGCCCATCCCAAACAATCGGTATCATCATTTTCGAGCCAAAAGTACCTTAGAGCAAAATAAATTAAAAATCTGTCCCTTGCCCTTGGCAAAGTGCACTTACAAACTACAATCTCGGCGTGTGCCGTTTGCCATCGGAATTTTAGGCTTGCTGGTCCTATACGAGGCCATAATGTCCCTCCTCGGTACTGACTTCATAGGCAGCTCAACCCAGATGTCGTTATCAGTTTGATCTCCGCCATATCCTGAGTAAGTAGATATGTTTCCTACTGGCCTGACACAGTAATAATAGTACAGCAGAAGGTGAGTGCAATTACTGTGGACCTCTGGGTTTAAAAATATGCTTCATCATCTGTCAGTATCATCGCGCGATATACAGCAAGGTGATTTGGCGACTTACAAATCTTTCAGCGATGTGCCAAACTCAGCTTCAATAGTCGAACAATCATCCCCTTTGGCTACTTTGTAGAACTGCCCGCAACGCTCATTGGTCGCTTTAAGTACCAGCGTTGGCTTTGGTCTATGCGAATCTTGTAAGTTTCCTTGAGACGATCAATTGCATGGCATGGAAGAAGCTTACGCCGGGGTTGAGATGGTAGTCGTGGCTCCGCGCGAGTTATTGGGGATAGAAAATTTGCCTGAAGGATTGCTGATACAAATATTCTTGCCCAAGAAATCATTCATGTTTCTTTCATACAATTAGCTCTCCTTGACTGCAGAGTCAATCTACCCATCCGTGGCCTCAACTTACGTGCAGGCAGGTCTGAGATTGTCGTTCCAAGCGAGAATTTGTGCATAGGTGATGTTATTCTCCCTGGTGATCCTACTACAGGTGTCGCCATCGTGAACAGTGTGCTTTTTGCATTCGATAGCAGCAGCAGATCCGTTGGTCAAAACAGGAGCGGGAAATGCGAATGCATGAGCCCGGAGAGCAAGAAGGAAAAGAGAAAAGAAAAGCCTATAAAGGTCCATTGTTGCACTCAAGAAAAGTAGCACTTGCAAAAATGCAGCAAAAGGTGTTTTTTGGCTATAGACTTAATGTAGAGATGCAGAATAAATGCTGAAGAAGAGACTCTTTCTCATGAAGCAACGAGTTTTTCCTCACGACCGCACGGACCGCTCCCAAGGCACATTGTGTGCGATTTTCAAGACAAATCCTGTCTTCTGCACTTCAAAGACGACCGATTAGCACAAGTATGGATTGAAGGCTGTGATTGATACGATGCATAATGCAAACATGAAGGTCATTGAGAAGGATGCTGCCCGATAGCAAACATCGACATGACTACATTTTCAAGGGTGCCGTGTATTGGAACCAGTCCTCTTTCCACATTAAGCATGACTTGCGTCAATTATTTTCTGCTAAAAACTTGACAATACGCATATACTTGGCTTTTTCAATTTCCCTATACCATCAATATTCAACGATGATGCATTTTTAGGGCTGTACCAACAAGAGGCATAAGAAGAGGCCTGAGTCGCTAAAGTCGGCTCAACGCAGCGACCCGGCATGGGTCTTCCCGTGCTCTTGGCTTTGCAAAAGTTCCCGCCCAAGGTCCGCGTAGAAAAAAAGGGGATTCAAAACAATCAACAAACATTTCTCAATCTCACACATCACAATAACGCTAGTATCTACATTGCCATTGATCATAGGAACAGAAGTTATCCAGCACTTTAGCTATAGCATGGACTACCATGTACTAATAAGTACTTGAACTACAGCTACTACGGCTACTGCTGTTTTAAAGAGGCATAGCTATACTGATATAATAATTGAATACTCTTACATATAGGCTAACGATGTATAGTTTATCAAGCTATAGCTAAGGTATTAAACAATACAACTAAAGTGCTGGGTGAGTTTTCCTCTAATAAACTAGCGTTTATGTTTTGAACTTGTTTCAGGCCCTGCCGCCAAGATCCACATCAGCTTTTGCGGCCAAGACGTGGCAAACCACTTGATTATAAAAGTGCGCTGGCTTTATTCGCATATTTGTCTTCGTCGTGTCGTGCTCAAAGAATAATACGCGGGTAGGCGATTCATGAAACCCCCGGAGCAGGGATGACATGGGTTTTTATCACCATACTTGCTCTAGCATGGCGGCTGATCAAAGCGGGTAAACAAACAAACCACATATTTCTTCCCTGAAACAACGGAATTGAGCATTAGAGAGATCTTCCCCTTGTCGGCCAAGACCGAGAGTAAAAATAGCTAGAATACATGCTAGAGCTTTGTGGTATGTACTTATTTATACAAATTTATATAATCTGCAATGGCGAGCCACGAATAACACATTCAAATTTTAAGTATTCTAATGGTGGCATCATTACATTTAGCATTAATGAAAGCAATATAGGTGGTTTCTTGCTCCGATTTCGTTCTCTGAAGCCATAGTTTATGAGAGTTGTCACTCAATTTCAGGTATTTGGGAACATATATATAAAGCAGGAGAGCTGGCACCCTTGTAGATAGAAGAAGATTTACTGACCAAAAGGGGGACAAGGTCTGTGTGGGAAACAACCATTTTTGGAACATCCGAGCTTAGCAATAATGGCGCAGACCTAACACTCCTTGCCATATTAGGGAATGAGAATGACAAACAGCTGCCTGGCGGTGAGTCTGTCCTCTTCCCGTCGGTGTTTCAAAATGGAAACTATCAAATTATCACTATCCAGCTGCTCCAGGGTCCAACAAGCCTCATTTCGCACTCTATCAAATGACCAAGTTCTTGGGCTCGGGAGGCCGTGCTGCTTGATTGCTCATGACTCTCTGCGATGACAACCTGTACATTGCATACCCAAGTATATATGAATAGAGTGAGAGATAGAAGTAAATGTAGTTTGAACCTTTTCGTATCAAGAAAGAATTGCAACACAGAGAGTCGGATATAATCATTTTGATACTACAGAGGATCGACTGGCATCAGTCCTCGTGATGCTATGGAGATGCGTCGATTCTCATTCTTTTACCCGTCCATCTTCTTGCTCATATCAGCACTGCTTTCATTTCACTACATTTCCTCCTGCGTTTACGGTCTCCGGCACACTCAATCACATCACGAATGGCGCGAGACTGGCATCGTCGAAGCTAGGCTGGCTCAACCAAGGCAAAGCGGCTACACCTGCTCTAAGAAAGAGCCATGTCCTAACGGTGCTTGTTGCGGTGTTAGTGGTTGGTGTGGTTATGGCCCAACGTATTGTGGAAAAGGTTGTCAGTCCAACTGTAATGCCAAAGCAGAATGCGGCAAGTTCGCTCCCAAAGCCGAACAATCTTGCCCCCTTAATGTCTGCTGCTCAGAATTTGGTTTCTGCGGTACAACAAGCGAGTTCTGTGGCAAAGGTTGTCAATCCAACTGTCATCAGCCGAAGCCGTCCGGCCCTCCGTCAAATGTTCAGAAACGAGTGGTCGGATACTGGGAAGCGTGGAATACTCAGCATCTATGTGGTACTATGGAGGCTGGAGAGATTCCTGCCAATTATCTGACTCACTTGAATGTTGCATTTGGATACATCACTTCGGACTTTCGAATTACTAACATGGATGGCCTGTCAACCAATGTTTATGAAAGTGTTGGTGACATAAAGGCTCGGAATCCGAACTTGAAGCTACTCATTGCCCTCGGTGGTTGGAAATTCAGCGATCCAGGTCCGTGGCAAAGCGTGTTTCCAGCTATGGTGTCTACAGCGGCGAATCGAGCAGTGTTTATAAAAAATGCCTTGAAATTCTTAGAGAACTATGGGTATGATGGATTGGGTAAGTTCTTTGTCTTTGCAATTGATCTGACTGTTCGCTAATTGCTCTTGTTATCCCTCGATAGATTTTGGTAAGTGTATCACCCCAACACCATCGACGACCCATAGCAATCTCATCTCGACATACTACGGATCGCACACAAACAAGCCGAATGTATAATCCAAAAAAAAAAAAATTTTTAGCTTACAATGAAGCAGATTGGGAGTACCCTGGAGCCGACGATCGCGGCGGCACTGAGAAGGATGGCGAAAACTATGCTGTGCTGTTAAAGGAACTGCGAGCCGCAATCAAAGCCAGTGGCCGCGACTATCTCGTCACATTTACGGCTCCAACCTCTTACTGGTATCTTCGCCATTTCGACTTGGAGAACATGGTTCCTCATGTTGACTGGGTGAATTTAATGTCATATGACCTTCATGGAGTGTGGGACGGCAACAATACAATCGGTAAACAGGTCTTGGCCCATAGCAACTTGACAGAGATTGATTTTTCACTTGATCTAGTGAGTCAAAGGGTACAAAGCATGGGCTTTTGGAAGGCTACTGACCCTTTTTGGCAAATAGTTTTGGAGAGTCGGAGTTGAACCATCAAAAATCGTTCTAGGTCTCGGATTTTACGGTAGATCGTTCCGTTTAAAAGACCCTCGCTGTTGGAAGCCCGGATGTGCCTTTAGCGGCCCAGGGGATGCAGGCCCATGTTTTGGCACTGCAGGCATATTATCTTTCAGAGGTGATAACTTTCCATTCATATACTCATGATTGTCCTTGGCGTGAAAGGTGCTGATAGAGCTGGCGTATAAAGAGATTACAGATGTACTTCGTCGAACTGGCGCAACAGCTTACTGGGATAAAAAGGCAGCCGTCAAATATATGCCTTATGGAAAGAACTCGTGGATCTCGTAAGTAACTTGACATCCTATTTTCTCATCAGATGGTCATAAGCTAACGACGCTCAAGTTTTGACGATGTCCAAACGATACAGACCAAGATCGATTACGCGAATAAACTAGGGCTTTCGGGCTTGATGATATGGGCCATCGACCTTGATAATGGACAGCTAGATGCGCTTAGAGCAACCTCTGATCCGTCTGTCATTGGCAACGACGACACCCCATTTGATCTAGTGGATATCAAGAATATTTTCCCGACTGAATACCTTCCTCCTAACGGATACACTCCAAGGTATGGACTGGTTAACTTTGGGGGCTCTCTAGGCTCAGCCAATATGGATCCAGGTAACGGCGGATTTGGCTTCTTCCTCATATCAGGCGATTCTCACGTCGCTTCGCCACTGACTAAACGGGACAATGAGCCGGGTCCATTCAAATTCTTGGATTGCCATGGCACGAAAGTCGCATTGCAGTCGGGCATTTCCAAAGCCAGAGTTGCTTGCTTTAGTGATGATGTGGAAGGCTGCTTCCGAGTCATGGAACAAGGTATCGAGGGTACTCTGGTGGAGCTACCGGACCATGTGAGTGATCATTTCTCCAACTTCCGATGAAACGACCAGCTCTCTAATTTGTACGGATTGCTTAGTGTTTTTCACAACAATATGCAAGAGCTGTTTCTATTTAGGTTTCACCAGGTAAGTCCCTTATTTTACAAACGTTGCAACATGTAGCTCACCAGCCAGATCAATACATCCCCACAATGTTTGACGGCAGACAGCCAACCTCACAGGTCTTTGACTTTTACTTTGATTTCAATATGGGTCTTGCCCGCCGAGATACCAACAACACCAGCATCCGTATTGACTACTCAAATGTCAAGGGCTACTGGGACTCTGTTGTCAACTCGCCTGGCATCCAAACTCGGCATCTTACACGCAGATTCTTCGCCCCATCATCTGTAGAATGGCAGAAAAAATATTCCAGCGACGGTTATTCGGCATTTGAAGATTCCAAGTCTTTTGACATTAGTGAAGATGTACAAGCCCCACTACTGTGGCAGACTGCTCAAGATTGTCCAGTTGATGGCTCGACATTCAATGAAGGCATTGGTGCTTACATAAAAGGAAAGCTCAATGCTCACTTTCTCTATGGTTTCTCCATGGTGGTAAGTGGACTCTTAATTTTTTTTTCCGTGCCTATCACAGTACCATTGACCAGCTTGTCTTGGTAGGCATCCCTTAACCGAGGAGCATTTCAGATTCAAGAGTCCAGTGGGTTCTTGCACGTATCTGGAAACACAAATTTTACATATGCCGTTGGGGGAGTCGGATCTCTCGATATATCGGAAGCTGGCAAGGGAAATCCGGCCATAAGTGACGACATTCCGGTGACGCTAGGTGGGCATGCTATCAGTGCCGGCAACTCTGCTGATATGGCTACCTTTGAACCCTTTTACCAAATTCAGTACGAGATGGCCACTATGAATGGGACTGACATAAGAAGTTTCGGAGACGACAGTATTCCATTCAATGGGCGGCTACAAACCAGAATTTTGTCCGACTTGGGTGACTCAACAGTATATTTTCCGATTTCCAATACAGAGTTAGATGCGACCCCCAAGAAGCGCAATGGAAACAGAATCGTGGTACCGGCAACTAACGTATTGTATAATGGACTGGGATACGGTGGGAGAATAGCTCTGAGCAGCATTGTTACGTTTGGTCTGAAGAGTAAACTGCTTTTGGGGGGCCAACATCTTCCCCTACCGATTGATCTGCCCAATGTGAGCGATTGGCAAATGCTATGTGATTGATCATCAGCTAACCTTTCTCACAGATGTCTGTCACTTACAATACAATGACCGAATTTGTCTTCTCTTCAGAAAAAGGAAACAATCAAGAAATGTCATGCGCGGATTATTCGGTAACGTCAGTAAATTTCACGTTCACTACAGGAGGCAGGTTGAAATACTAATACACAATGGACGAATAGAACTTTAGCCTACCAATCGCAGAATGACACGTAAGTTTCCCTATACGCTCCATCTTCTACAAATTGATGGGATTCGGATGCTTATGGCTGGCGAGAACAGTGACTTTGCTCGATGGAATGGCGACCAGCTAGCCGAGTTTGCGTATGAGTCTGTAAGTGGCCGTTAAATATTATGCATCGGAGACGAAATTAACCAGCTTAACGCTTGTAATACAGCAAGCCCTAGAAGGTGAAAAGCATTGCTACAATGAGACCAACCACACTTTACTTGGCGGCCGAGGGAAATTATTTGGCTGGGGCTACAGTGCTGGAAAGTCGGTTGACGTCTCAGATTTCCTAAAGGACGAAGCTATCCTTAGCATGTTTGACACCACCCAACCAAAATTTGACTGCGATGACTGTGTTGGTTGCGAAGAAGAGCAGAAAAAACGCAAAGAGGATTTTTGTTGCGGATGTGTGAGTATGCAATATCTCTACGGCTATACTGACTTCAATCCCACAATAGATCCTCCCGAAGAGGGAGAATGGATCCCAGGCCACCAACCGAGGAGCGAGCTGGATGAAGAAGATGGGAAAGACCATTCACTAGAGACACGGGCTAATGGCAAAGCCACATTGTCTCCCAAGATAATAAAGGTCTGTGGTCCTGCTAAAATTAGACCGCGAAGTGCATTCTACTATCCCGCCTTCCCAGCAGATGCAACATATGCATGGGAGCATATCGATCAAGGACGCTGGGAGCCCATATCTAGGTACTGGGGCAATATTTCTTCCTCTTGCACGAATTGGGCTGCTGGCCAGCTGACTGCTGCCGATGTCGAGTATACTCCAGCGGGCATATACCGGGCCAAGTATCAAAGTACATACGCCCCCTCCCCCCCAAAATTTTTCTTTCTTTCTTTCTTTTTTCTGTATATATATATATATATATATATATTTGGCTAACGAAATTACTGTTTTAGCGGAGCATGTTTTTGAAGGCCAGCTGATATCAATCTTCTTCACTCAGTGGCTTGATAAAGGGTTTTTCAAGCGCCAGAACCCTATGCCTAGCAATCCTCGGCCCAAGGTGCCCTGCAGCTTCACTGAGATCTATATAAAGAAGATAGTCTCTCTGAACTCATGGGTGCTGAAGAATAAAAAGCAGCCTTTTATTCAAGTTCTTCTAGCAGAGCTGGGCAACATGGAAACCCTTGATCGCTTGACCATTTTTAAGGCTAGACCAAACCTGAAGAAAGGAAATGTAAGTATTCTCCGGCTCTCTTCTCACTTTTTATTTTTTATTCCTCAGTTCTTCTTTGGTTCACAAGATTTTCTAATGCAACAATAGCTGTTTGAAAATATAAACAGTGTTGCTGTAACAAGCTATGGTCTCATGACTGTCGCCGAGCAGCTTCAAAGTGTGAAAGAGCTAGGTAGGTGTGCAGCGACGAGACGTGAAATTTGATCTCTTGAGGACCATCTTGGTCTTCAATTTTTTTGCTAATTCAGTATTTGTTTTGCACAGGTCTAATATTCTCATACATGAACAACCAAATGATTTGGGACAAGTTTTGCGACACGTACGAAGCCTTGTATGATCGATTCGGAGATTTTGACTCGTGGTACGCTCGGAATGGAGGCGCTTTAGCAATTCCTTCTCTACAAAATGAATGGCGAGCATTTATTCGGGCGATGCTGGATAGTATCGTCATGAATTCAAGGACAGAATTCGATAAACTTTACACGCTCAGACGGTACGTTGTTGTATTGATTAGAATGTGAATCGTGACGCCAATCATGATTTTTAGTATTCCCCTCGCAAACCAAGCACGTGCTACGTCTGAAGCTTTCTGGGCAGTTAATAACCTACAAAATAGGAGACTCATTAAGCTAGACAAGACATGTCAACATCTGCCTTGAGAATTGTGAGAATTGTAGGCGGAACCAGACCAGAGCGGAGAAATACACATGTATTCTTTAGAATTGAAGATGGTAGAGGTCCGAGGGGTATTGGAGAGTTGTGGCTTGCACTGGGACGCTGGATACATGTAACCTCTTCATATAGGTAGGTCGCAATTACACGTACCTACGCAGTTGTCAAAAAGTACATGTAAGTTATATAAGAACACAGCTCAATCTCGCACAATGAAAGCTTAACTACGGGTTAACGGAGCAGCTTGGAAGATGGAGACATTGAAAGTCGCCTCTACACGTGGAAAATAAGTGAGCCCAGCCAATATATTACGTGATCTAGAGCTTGACTGGTAGTCTATCAGCTCCCCGACACTTGGAATGCGTAGGCTACGATGTTTTTTTTTTTTTTTTTTTTTTTTTTTTTTTTTTTGACGCAGGTTAATGAAAGTCTATTTGTTGTATATAACTTTTCTTCATTCTATCCGGCTCCAAGGCCATACATGTGCAGGGGTATTCATCTCACGCTACGTATAAAATCCTTTTCTCCTCAAATTTACAGCTTGACAATGGCCTTGTTGGCAGCGGGCTGCTCGTCCTCAGTGTTGAACAGGTTGATGTTCCATCTGGGCTTGTCTATTGCGAAGGAAAAAAAGAGTTTGTTAGCACTGTCTGAAACGAAGCAGTTTGACAAAATCAAGGAAAAAAACTCACAGTTGAAGGGAATGTTGAAGCGCTTAGGAGTCTCGCCCAGCTTGGCCAGGGCAGCGACAGCCTCGTCGTCCAGGTCGACCTCCTGGAAGTTCTCGGCAATGCGAGCCTTGGTGACGGACTTGGGGATGACGGTGTGGCCGCCAATCTGGGACCAGGCGAGGATGACCTGGGCGGGGGTGACAGTCTTGCCCTGCTTCTTGGAGAGGCTCTCAGCAACGGCCTGGACCTCGGGGGTGTTGACGAGCAGGGGGATGCCGCTGGAGTTGTTGCCAAAGGCAGAGTAGGCGGTGATGATGATGCCCTTCTTCTGGCAGTACTCGATCAGGGGGTAGTCGGGGAGACGGGGGTGGCGCTCGACCTGGTTGGCGGCGGGGACGACGCCTGTGGCCTCGATGATGGCCTCGAGCTGTGTGAGTTGTCAAGTTAGCTGTTTGAACTTTGGAACACAGAGTCTTGGGGAGACACGTACGTTCTCAATGGTGAAGTTGGAGACACCGACGGAGCGGGCCTTGGACTTGGGCAGCTCAGTGACGGCTTTCCAGGTCTGGACGATGGACACGTTCTTGTTGAGGAGCGTCTCAGTGCCTTCGGCGTTCTTGGGGAAGAGACCGTGGCCGGGGGCAAAGGCAACAGGCCAGTGGATGAGGTAGAGCTGCAGTGAACATGTTAGCGAACCAAGGCGTTTCTTGCTTCAGTCAGGCCAGCATACGTCAAGGTAGTCGAGGCCAAGCTCCTCGAGGGTGTCGTCCAGAGCGGGCGCAACGTCCTCGGGGGCGTGGGAGCTGTTCCACAGCTTGGAGGTGATGAAGATGTCCTCGCGCTTCAGGCCGGGCACCTCAGCCAGAGCCTTCTTGATGCCCTCGCCGACCTCCTTCTGGTTGGCGTAGACCTTGGCCAGGTCGAGGTGGCGGTAGCCGATCTTGAGGGCCTCGTAGACACCGGCGCCAACCTCGCCAGGGCCGGCCTGCCAGGTGCCGTAGCCGATCTGGGGGATCTTGTGGCCGGTGTTGAGGGTGACGGTTCGTCCGGAAGACATTTTTGCGGTGGTGCTGAATGTTCGGGGGAGGAAGGTGTTGGTAAGTGGAAATGCGCGGTGGCTGAGACGAGTCGACGAGGAGAGGAATGAAGAGATGGGGAGGAGGGACGGGAGAGACAAGCGACGCAGGGCTGCCATTATTATACGTCGATATCGTCACTATCAGTAGCCACAAAAGCAAGCCATGGCGCGTCACTATGGGGGGGGAGCTTGGATCATATTTCCCCATCCAGGGCCTCCCATCTCCATATCTATGTATCCAGCTCTATCCATTGCCTTCTGTGGGGAACATCGGCGTTTACGCACCTTCGAACGCGTGCTTTTTTTCTGTTATTCAGCAGTCTCCATCATAGGTACCTTGTCTGATTCATTCACCGCAAAGAATGATGCATTCTATTGTTTGAAATGGTGTAATTGCCTCATGCTTTTGAGCAATTTGCCCGTCTGTTTGTCTCATTCTGCCTCCTCTATCTGACGGTCAAAGCGTACACAGGCAAGACAACGACGAGGTTCCTAGAATTGCCCCGCGGCCCAAAGAGGAAATCTTAGACGCTCGAATTTTTTAGGTGATGAGGGGCTTAAATTACGTACATGGCAGAAGCTGTGCTAGAACAAGGCACGGAGACGCCACCATGACTAGCAAGAGTCGTGGCTTGTGGGGGTCCGGATTCGACGATGGAATATGAGGCAAGTATTGCCCGTGGGCTGGGGCGGATTTAACAGCTTGTTTGTCCAGGCGTTCGAAAACAGCAATAGAGTGTCATCGTCAGTTTGTCTCTTCTGTAGCACCTGGATGGCAGGAAACCAGCGGGACGAATCAGACGAGCTTCCTGATGCTCAGCCCATGCAAGCAGCGAAAGTGCGAGATAGTCTCTGTGCCAATCAACGAGTCCTTCCTATGTTGAAGGCTGCTCCAATCTCAGCATCTCCTGCCAATCACACCGATTTGCCCTGCATGTCACCATTCCATGTGCGCGACGCCGAAATACTTCATTCACCCAGCATTCCCCTCTACCCCACGCAAGTTACAGCGAGGTACCCCCGTCTCCAAACGCCACCTAAATAGATAGCGGGACGGAGAGACTTGCCTGAGTCTCGCGGTGGAGAAACGAACCGCTCCAATGGCGAATCCAAACTTGGCTTGAGCGGCTGATAGATTGTCCGCTGGGCACTCTCTCCATGTGGCGATTTGCTCGCCGGGTGACAAAGCCGCATCTCGGATCACGGATAGACGGACAAATATCCGACCATCGACGGCTTATCTCCTAGACACTGGGTAGAGTGGGCGGCCTTTGAACGGTTTTCTCGTGTGGAACCAGCCAAAGCCGCTGGCTGCGTCACAAGGGAAACCCATCCCGCGGAAACCCATCCCGCAAAGCTTATTAACTTTATTAGCAGTTGAATTGGCCGATGACAAACTAAATCGCCTTGGGAGAGGGGGAAAATAGTTTTGAGGCAAGTTAAGCCGCCTTCTAGAAGCCTTCTTCACGAGCTCCACGTGTTTGTACTCCACGTCAAACTTTCTTCGTCACAGCAGCACCAACGTCGCTTGTCCATCTCAGGCTCGTCTCTCCCGTCGAAACACGTTGATCTCCTTTTACAAACTGTTCGGCTGCCATGCCACATGTTCAACAGAAGTCGTCAAAAATGCTTCGCATCATGTCACGAAGCTCCTGTTTGTCGGTCTTGAACCTCCTGAATCACCAAACTATCGCTACCTGTAGAAATCTATTTGCGTGAAAGAAATCACTCAGCCGGGCTCTTTCTTTTATTCATTTTCAATGGCTATAGGAAGAGCAAACTGTCAATGTCCAAAAAACGGTGAGGATAGCTGCTTTGGCTTGTCAAACTAGATCAAGTCGCATCAATGAATCTGTACTTGGAGCAGCAATAACACCGTAGACGCCTTCTTGCAGGAGGTGTATAAGATGAACATATTGTCGTCGTAAAATAGCCATCTTTTAATTTTCAATAGCATTAAATTCGATTCAATTAACAACTTTAGCAAATCCTGACATTCCTTTCAGGCCCCATCATGGTCTTCCCATTGTTCACTATGCCCTGCCTCCATGACCACCACCATCAGCCCCCTATCCTTCATTCTCGCGACTCCTATGATGGACAAATATCATCCTCAGCGGCTGTTGGCCTCACCGTTGGAATCACCCTCATTGTAGTCATCATCGCCGCCATCACCTACCTTTGGTGCTGGCGCCAAAGTCACCGCCACCGGCGAGCTCGGCGACGACGACGCTCTGAGTCGCGCCATCGCCGCGACAACCAGCAAGAGCAAGCAAATGCTGCTGCATGTGGAAACAATGAGAGGCCAAATGAGGTCGATCAGGTGCCTCAGGGACAGAATGCCGCTGCCCAGAATGAAGAGGGACCTCCACCACCTGCTATACCCCTGACGGTTCATCACCACCAGCATGAGGACAAGCATTTCCACGGTCACTGCCATGACCATCATGACCAACAAGATGATCATGAGGATGGCCAAGGCTCTCCCACGGATTCTGATTTTGACCATCGTCACGTAAACTACCATCGCCATCGCCGTTTCAACCGCGCCCAGCGGATCTTTCACCCACAAGACCCCATTGCGGAGGCTGAAGATCCAATCCAGCCACAGATTCGACTAGCGGACTTGGAGGCTATTTTCAATGGACTAGATGTACCCCTGACGAATGATCATGTTCATGTCGCTGCGAAAGAAGAGAAGAATGGGGACCGTGAGAAGAAGCACAGAGAGAAACGTCGTAAGCGACACCATCGCCATCACCATCACTGCCACCATCGGCATAGGCGAGTGATGATTCGCTAAGGGGAAGAATGGAACGTCTTGGAGGGTTTGATAAGTGATTTGATAGGTTCATAATTTGAGAGCACGTAGGTAGATGAGAGGTATGAATACAATGTTAATCGTTCTGTTATCCGAATTTATCCTAGTTATACGATGAGCAATCTGTCCAATCCATCAACGAATTGTTAGAAGTAGCTGACAAAGAAGTTGTCAAATGCCATTAAGAGAAAATCACGCAACATCTCATTCGAAAATGCCCCAGCACCGCACACCAACAAGGTTTCAACGCATCAAGCCTCCCCTCCTTCACCTTCAGCCGCGCCCTCGGGACGCTCGACCTCTTTCGAATGCTTCGAATGACGTGATCCCCTACTGCTACTAGACCGTCTTCTATGTCGTTGCTTCTTTTTATAGACCTTGATGGAATCTCCATAACAGCAGAGGAAAATGCAAACGCCGACAATGAATGCGGCGAGGACGAAGCCGACGACAAGGCCAATTATGAGGTTGGTGTTGGTTCCAGAGTTTGAGCGTCGCTGTATTGACGAAAGTACTTTTTTCGTAATGGTTGAGATGGCGATAAGAGAATGATTTGCATTGTCGGTATACTCTTCTGTTGCTTGTACATGGCGCTGAAGCGCCTCAGATTGATCTGGATTTATCGGAATATACATGCGGGCTATTGTTTGGGTTTGTGCGGTAGATGAACAAATCTGACACAAATGATTCAAGTGCAACGGAAACTCAAGGTGAAGTTTGGATAATGGTATGCGACTACAAGTTGAGCCTTTACTAACACACTGCACTATATACATGGTCCTTGGACCCATCGCGGCGAGACAAGCTACAAAGATTGGCCGGCATCGCACACCCAACAGGCCATGAATGACCGAGTTTGGTCAAATGTAGCAGACGTTGCATATGCAGCCTTTACACGAAATCGTCATTGCTCTTCCTGCGAGCATGCCGGAGCGAGTAGAAGGACAAGAAAAGACGGGTGTGTAAGTGCATGCAGCTGCATGTGGGTGCGCCATGAAGAGTAAAAGCAGCGAGGGGCGAACTTGTCTCTCACACAGAAGACTAATCAGTTACTAGACCAGAGTTGCTTGAAGTATATGATAGGATAAATTCTAGAGGTGGTGACTGGTGGAGGACACGATGCACGCTGCGGAGGCAAGGAGAAGAAAGACTGGGACTTGCAGTCTCTCGGCGCATATCTGCATGTGCGTGATTGGCAGGTTGAGGGGAAATGCCCAATGGAAATAAATTTCCGTGACACATGGACTGCGGCGGTATTGCGCACAAAGATAAGTACAATAGTCAATAATATCGCAAACTTGAGTAATGGGCCCTACGAGAAGAAATGCGGCATCAAAGAAACAACGAGCAATACTCAAGCTACTGCTGCATTATCAACAAGGCCAGCGCATCGCAAACATGCCATTGCACACTTCTACTTCATCGAAGCTAGTACATTACAAGAAGGATGATGTGGACTTGGCAGGGTCGCAGCGGACACTCCAGCTCCTCAAAGCGGCAAAGGCGAGGCAGAAGCATCTTCTCATGGGACACACGATGCTGCGGGGGACTCTTTGATGCAGGACAACGCATCGCTTTGGGCGTCTGCTCTAGCACTAATTTGATAATTCAACAGGGCATCTATTTAGCTTGATGAAATGGCTATTCTTTTGGTCCGACCATGTTCAAGTGTGGTGTGCTGGATCCAGCAACTATCAGAGAATATGAGCCTTTTTTCCTTGTTTCGTTTCTTTGCAGATGGTAATCAAGACGATATGTGTGCACATGTGGTAATTGGGTACGACTTGGGCCTATTTTGCCCACTACTTCAATGTACTGATAAAGTTACATTGGCTGAATTGAGACGACGCCTGCACAATCCCGCAAACGTGGGCGCCAGAGTCCAAGCGTGTAATAAACAACACCCCCAAAGCTCAAGCATCTGCACGACTCCTTTCATCTAATCTGTCAGAGTATTCGGGCGCTTAATCAGACTCGCTCCTCCACGCGCTATTTGCAGTAACAAATTACTCCCAACACCACAGAGCCAAAAATGCATCAAAATGTCACTCATACAGCCAGACCCAAAGCCATCCAGTAACACACCCAAGTATGGGGCAGCGACTGAACGCCTAGCACAGTATTAAGCGCCCTGGCTAAGTAAAAAAAAAAAAAAGAACTGGACCCGGCAGATGGCCCTTCCGGTGGCAGATAAGCTACAAACTAAACACCGGGGGGCCGTTAAGGATCAACCAAAAGCTCGTCCCAACACCGGGGATTGGGCTGCTTGCCTCTTGTTCATTTCGCGAAAAAATAACGGCCCCAAAGCCAAGAACAAAGCATAAAATTCGCAATAGCTTGGCGGGGGAGCGTTTACTGTCAAAGGTTCAAAAAGTTTTAGTTCCAATGGCTGTCTCCTTTGATTATTCAGGGGCGCTGGGCGTTTTCTTGGCCTGTCCCCACGCTGACATGCTGTGCCGCTTTCTCGTTTATTTCACTCAACTTTCAGCTCGAGTCAAGAAGAGGCAAATTCTCTCTACAATCAAACATGTACATGTTTATTAAGAGTCAATGTGAACGTAAAAACTCAAGATGCTATCAAGCTGGGGCACAGCACGACACTAATTCCCAAAACGTAGCTCAGCCTCCAGATGCAGCAACATCAACTATCCAAAACAATAAATCCCTTCAACCCCTAACGATACTCGCTTATTTCATCTTTTCAAGCCACGCGTTAATCCTCTCTCTCTCTCTCTCTTTCTCGGCTCCGTGTTTGACAATCCGCTGGTCCCGAGCTTCGCGTTTCACCATTTCAGCCTCCCCCTGTCCATTTCAAACTCCACAGGCCTCCTAGCACAAAAGCCAAGCCCAGCAAAAAAAAGCAAAGCAAAGCAAAATATGACAGCTCTACAGGCCGCATAGAAGAGTGAAATAATCTCATTTGCTAGCTCCAATCTCCATCTTCCTCTCTTCACTTGGCAGCTCCATAGCTTCGGGTAGTTTTGTGCCACTAATAATAACCTCTCCATGCACCTTGTCTTTTTCCGCCCCTCGTATTATTTTCACGACAAGCCTCTAACCCCCGGGGCTTCGTCATCAACCTAGATAGCAGTCTTTTTCTCTTGGCTTCGCGTTTCGTTTATTTTTCATCTAATCTTCTAGCGAGTAATGTCTTTACCGTCTTTTTAGAAAGCTTCTCTTTCTTTCTTTACCTCGTCTCTGCTTTTGCCGATAATTTCTTTTCTTTCAACCGCTTTTCTTTGTACATCTTCTATCGTCGGGAACTGGCTTCTCTCTCTCTTTTATTCGAATAATTACAGACGGCCTTGACGGCTGCTTGTTGATTGCGATTGTCCTTCATTATTGAGCGTCGCCGTTCCCTCTAATAATCATATCCGATAATATCCTCATCTATTTATCTCATTTATAACGCATATATATATATATACCTCTATATAAAATCAGCGTCTCATTGAGCGAAAGAGCAATAATCAGCCACAAACACATCATGGCCATCCGGTCCTTTCTCACCCTCTCTCTAGCCCTGCTCGCGCACGCACGGCCAAGACACGTATTCGACCCGGAAGACGTGGGCACCAAAATCACCCTGCCGGTCATCTCGGCGCCTCGAGCAGTGGAAGCAGTAGCAGGACGAAGTGCAGGTGACGACGAAGACAAGCCATTTCACATCTTGCCGTTCCCGTACACGGGCAATGGCAAGCGGGCGATTTTGGAGGATGATGACGGAGCAGCCGGCGCGGTGACTCTGCCAGTGCCTCGACCGGCGTCCAGGAGAAGTGCCGGAGATGAGAATGAAGATGAAGAGGACAAGCCTTTCCACATCCTCCCCTTCAACGAGAAGCGGAAACTCCCCGTCGAAGAGGGCCCTATAGGAACCATCACGCTGCCAGTCATTCACGCCGCGCGCCCCGTATTGGACAAGCGAGCCGTGGAAGTGCAGGTCGAGAACCGCTCCGACGTCTCATACTACGCTCAACGTAAGTATCCAATGCCCATCTATATATGAATGATACTGACACATGGACAGTCAACATCGGAACTCCCCCCCAGACCGTCTACGCCCAAATCGACACGGGCTCCTTCGAGCTCTGGGTCAACCCCGACTGCTCCAACGTCGCCTCCTCGGACCGCCGCTTCTGCCAGGCCATTGGCTCCTACAACCCGCGCTCCTCCTCCTCGGCCGCCACCACCGACGAGTCCGCCATGCTCCGCTACGGCATCGGCTCCGCCAACGTCTCGTACTTCAAGGACACCATCGCGCTGTCCGGCGCCCCGGCCATGAAGCAGGTGCAGTTCGGCGTCGCCTCGGCCAGCGTCGACGAGTTCTCCGGCATCCTCGGCATCGGCGCCGGCGAGGGCGTCAACACCGACTACCCCAACTTCATTGACGCGCTGGCCGCCCAGGGGGTCACCAAGACAAAGGCCTTTAGCCTCGCGCTGGGCAGCAAGGCCGAGGAAGAGGGCGTCATCATCTTTGGCGGCGTCGACACGGCCAAGTTCCAGGGCAAGCTCGCAACGCTGCCCATTGTGCCGGCAAAGGAGTCGCCCGACGGCGTGGCGCGCTACTGGGTCAGGATGAACTCGATTGCGCTGTCGCCGCCGCAGGGCAAGGCCACGACCTTTAGCCAGACGGACATGACCGTCTTCTTGGACAGCGGCTCGACGCTGACGCTGCTGCCGGAGCAGGTGGTGGAGGAGATTGCAACGGGGCTGGGGTCGAGCGGCATGGACTCGACGGGCTACTATGCCATCAACTGCAACCTGGCGAGCCAAAAGGGAACAATCGACTTTGCCTTTGACGGCGTGACGATTTCTGTGCCGTACAGCGAGGTGATTCGCCAGGTCAGCTCGTCGCCGCCGCAGTGCTACCTGGGCATGATGGGCAGCACCGAGTTTGCTCTCCTGGGCGATACCTTTTTGCGATCCGCCTATGGTAAGTCTCTATTGAATTCTCCGATACCAAGCCGTTACTGACTCCAAACGCAGCCGTCTTCGACCTCACCGGCAACAGCATCCACCTCGCCCAATACGCCAACTGCGGCACCAAAGTCCTGACCATCACCCCCGACTCTGCTCTCCAGGGCCTCTCCAGCAGCTGCGGCGGAGGCAGCGAGTCTCCTGCAAACCCTCCCGCCTCTTCTTCCTCGTCAGCTGCCCCAGCGGCGCCCTCAAAGTCTGCTGCGTCCAAGCCCAGCGCCCCTGCTTCAAGCAGCGTCCAGCCGGTTCACAGCCCAACGCCAGCAGCATCCAAACCCGCTGATCAGACACCTCCCGCTACGACTACGGCCGCGAGCACGCCAAAGAGCACTCCTTCGAGTGTGTCTGATGCTGCTGGCAAGAGCAGTGCCGGTAGAGTCAATGTCCAGGCTGTGGGATGGAGCATGGTGTCTGCAGCAATGGGTCTGCTATTGTTGTAGGAGAAAAGATGTGAATCAGGGGAGAAAAGAGAAGGAAAAGAAAATGGAACCTACTTTTTAGCATAATATCGTATAGACTGCCATGTTGGACAAAACTATAACGCTTATACATAGATGACTTATATCGGATACTTTTTATTACCATCAATCATATTCTTACACAACCTCCAGCACAAACATGGGTCCTCTCTCATCTCCCCCCGGCTTCACAAGCTCATGCATCCTAATCCCCGCCACGGGCTCCTCTTCCAACGTCCCATCATCTCGCCTCTTCAAAACCACAACTGCCCACTCGCCCTCCTGATTACCCACAAACAGCTCACCTCCGTCTCTACTCACACTAAACATGCGCGGATGTTTCCCTCCCGTCGACGTCTCCCCCACAAGCTCCAACGATGGCCCTTGTTCACCTTCAAGGACCCGAAAGTGAGCAATCGTCTCCGTCGGAGAGTTCAACAGCCGATTCGACGTATAAACATGCCTCCCATCCCTCGAAAGAGCAATCTCCCCCGCCGCAGCACCCGCCGTCCTCTCAGACTCGGCATCACCCTCCATAAACGTCGAATAGCTCCCCAATGGCGTAAACCCAATACCCTCATCCGCATACTCCAAAGCAAACACAATAACACGATTGCTCTTCTCGCAAAGAAGCATATAGTGCGTTGCCGGTGCATCATCACCTCCCCCAGAAGAATAAAACACTCCATGCCGAGGCCCTGATCCATCCGGCACCCGGACCCGGTTCACAATCGGCACACCGGCCGCCGCCGAGTCCAACACCAGGAGAGAGTCCGTGCCAAGATCATTGACGACAAACCAGCGGCCCGTGGGATCAAGCACGGCCTGATGAGCACGCGCCACTCTTCCAGCGTCGAGCACGGCATCTTTCGACGGCATCGTCTTGACAAACTCCAAAGAGCCGTTGCTCGTGTTCCAAATGTCCATCGTGCCAGAGGCCCAGGAGCTGCCAACCATGATGGCGCCGTCTTTGCCGAGGCCCAGATGGCAGACGCCCTCGCTGCCGTCATTTCGCTCAGCCACCTTTGTGAGAGAGTTTGCCGCAAGGTCAAGTTTATAGAGCAACGTTGTTGCTGTATTTTCGTCAAAGGTGTATAACAGACTTGGATCTGCAGGCGAGACGGCGAACCAGGAGGGATTGCCAGCGACGGGGAGGTCGAGATCGATGGTGAGGCTGGGAGAAGCGGAGTTGTAAGTTGCGAGATAGATGTGGCCTGGCCGGGCAATAAGCAGGCGGCGAGACATGGTTATTCTTTTGGGTCTTGTAAATTGTGTATATCAATCTGTGTTTAAGAATACTGGCTGTTCCGTCAGAGGTGGGGTTAAATAATGAATGAGGTAAGATTTTGGAGCAGTACCGTAACAAACACTTTCTATGAAAGAATAATCTTTGCAAAATAGATCAATCCAGATTACATTTCAAGAGAGAAAAGAAAGATGCAAAGTTTAAATCCAGCTGTCTCATAATTACATCTTGACAGGCGGGGGGCGTTGACAAGTGCAAGATTGACGCATGGATTTGTGTGGGGGTCATTCAAGATGGGCTTGGCTCTATTGTTACATGCACTCCAGGCGCAAATCATCCATCTCGACGACTTCACTCAGTAATCGATATAGGCCTACAGGCTACAAAGCTTTGTTGATAAAACATGGCAGCCGTCATATACACGTTTATAGCGTCATGGTAAGCATCTTAGAACAGCCACTCTCACATCGACATTCTGCGACTTCGTGCTGACAAGCAGTGACAAGACCGCACATCCTCACCAATCAAGCACAAGCACATTCATAAAATAGGCTCAGACAGTCCCGTAAATACAACGGTATTCTCCTAAATACAACATAGCCTCTCACCCCATATTAAAGGCCTGCCGCCCGCTCATAACCCTCTCATCCTCCTCGTTCTCATTATCATTCGCACATGTTCGAAACCATGCATAAAATACGTCAAAAAGCACCAACGAATGAGGTGTGTATCTTGGAAAAATAAAAATTATGAACCCTGCAAAAAGAAAAAGAAAATTGCAACAAACAATCCAGAGCCATTCAGACTGCTTTAAATTAGTACCGTATTTCCCAACTTAGAACAAAAACAGCGCAGCACCGGCCAGGACCATGGCCAGGGAGCTCACGCCAGTTTGAGAACCAGCATTCTTGCCGCTCTTGGTATTGCTGCTGCTGTCACTGCAGTCTTGGTTAAAGCTGGAGGACGAGCAGCTGGAAGTGTCAGCAGGGGTAGAGCCGCCAGAACCGCTGCCGGAATCAGAGCCGCTGCCGGAACCGCTGCCGGAACCGCTGCCGCTGTTGCTTCCGCTGTTGCTACCACTGTCGCTGCCGCTGGATCCATTGTCACCACCGGGAACCGTGCCAGAGGAACCGTTACTTCCACCTGGGATCTGGGCCTGGGTGTTCTTGGGGGTGCTGCTGGACTTGGTGGCGGAACCCTTGGCAGACGAGGCAGCCGAGGAGGTGTCAGGCTTGCCGGCGTCCATGTCGGTACCGGTGCCCTCCAGAGAAGCCAGGTTGGTGCGCTTGTTGCCGTCGATGACGGTGTTGTTGGTGCCGGCAATGTTGCTGTAGGTGTAGCTGGTTCCGGAGCTGGATCCAAGCCCCGAGGTGGCGTTGTAGCAGTCGACGGTGACGGACTCAAAGGTGGCGTAGAAGTAGCCGGCCTTTTGGATATCTTGGGCGTTCCAGTCAATCTCACCACCGGCCCAAGCAATGGTTCCGGGGGCGTTGCTGGCGAGACCTCCGGGCCAGATGGAGATTTGGACACGGGAGGGAGTCTGGGGGAAGGACCACTGGTTGGAGGTGGCGTTCCAGTGGTCCTTGCGGTTGACGGTGCGGCCGACCTTGCCATCGACGAGCCACTGGATGGTGTCGGGGGTCCACCTGATTTCGTAGTCGTGGAAGTTGTTGAAGGTGTCTGAGAGGGAGGTGATGTTGCCCGAGTTGTCGTCTGTTGTCATTAGCATTTTCATTTACACGGCCACGGATCCATTGAGAGGCTTACAGTCGGGAATGCCCTGAAAGTACCAGTTGGTCTGCGCGGTGCCCAGGTCGACGCCCACAAACTCGTAGTCAATCTCGTCCTTGACGTCGGAGAGCAGGATAAAGGCCGTGACGACGCCCTTGCCGCGGCTCGTCTTGAAGCGCGCCTTGACGTTTCCGTACCACATGTACTCGGTGGTGGCCATGACGGTGCCGACGCTGTTCTTGGGCATGGTCAGCAGCACGTTGCCGTCAAAGTAGGCGGGCTCGCCCTGGGCCACCCAGTCGGCGGTGGACGGGTCGCCGAGGTAGTTGCTGATGTCGGCGATGCTGGACAGCTTGGAGTCGAACGTCAGCGTCTTGGACTTGCACACGGGCTCGGGCGTGCACGAGTCGATGGAGAAGGACATTCGGGGGTCGCAGCCGCCGAGGCAGTAGGCGCCAACGCCGCATTCGCCATATTCTGCGTCATTGTCAGCTGCCGGACGATGGAAACAAGAGACGAGACAACTCACGCGAGCAGCAGGGACTCTCCTTGGGGCACTTGTTGGTGAGCGAGCACGTCGTGCTGGTGCTACCCAAGACAGCCCCAGCGCCCAGCAGCGCAGCCAGCGCAGCAGACCGCAGCATTGTTTCGAGCCGGATTTGATTGGATTCGATTCGATTCGATTAAACGTCGTCTTCTTGCTGTCCGAGAGCGAGCGATATCGGATGATTCTGTTATATTGCGTGTGTAACACCGAGGAGCGATTGGAAGGAGGATGGATTGGGTGCAATTAATCTGCGAGCGCGTAGCTCTTTTTTTTCTCTCCTCGCACAAAAAACGATTGGATTGAAAGGAAGCGAGTTCCACGACGGACGAGATGCGATGAACGAGTGACGCACCCGTGGAGGCGACAAACAAATACACGAAACAAAAAAACACACGCAACAAGCGAGAGTCTTTTTTCTGTTTTGTTTGCCGTGGGCAGAAAGGAAGCGGGCTGGAATGCAATGCGGCGGAGGATTGCCGTTATAAGAGGTCGGACTGGAGTCGCTGTCTTGCGCTATGGCCAGGCCAGGGGCTTGGACCGGGCTGGCCTGGACTGGGCTGGACTGGGGAGATTCTTACAGTTCTTACAGCACTGTCAAGTCCCTGGATCGGGCAGGTCAGATGCTGCGTCGCGGGCTGATTTGTGTGTGATGAACTGCTGGTTTGAGCATTGTTTGCTAGCATATGCTGTTGAGTACATGACATGCTATTGAGTACATCACATCAATCACTGTTTGCCGTGCTTGTGTTCGCCGATCCCAGCAAACTGCTTCCCTTCAGCTTGTGCTTCTAGTCAGTACCCCGGACCTGCACAACAGCGCCACCACGCCACCCATCAGGGGAAAAAAATCAGCAAAAAGAGCGAACCCGCCTAACCGCAAGGGAAATCCCGCTGCGCCCTCAGCGCTAGAAGCAAAAAAAGACACGCTCTCCTTTGACTCAAAGCATTCTTCTATAAGAACGAACAGAAAAATGTTTTTTTATTCTCCTCTTCTCAACTCCAACATCTTCAAAAACTCATCTCGTATCAATTGCTCCATGCCCCGATCCCCTCCTCACCAACAAACAAAAAGCCCCATCCCCCATTTCTGTCTTCTTCTCTTCCAGACACGAGGTGCGAGTGGAACCCCCTTTTTTAGCTTCCAATGCCTTGTCTTGTCCCATTTCAGCCGACCATCCGGACGGTTCCCTCCAGCTCTGCTAATGGCCGATACGAGCTGGCGCTGCAGTCGCACTAACACGCTGCAAGTCACATACAAAATGGGTATTTCGTGTGCTCGAATCTTTGTACACATGCAGCCAGCACATCTACAGCCAGGTATCCAAAGCCATCAGAATCTAGCTCAAGCCTCCCCCTCTACAAAGAAACAGCCACATGGAAGCCCAGCGCTTAAAAGGACCTGACAAAGAGCAACAGCCCACTGTAAACGGAGAAATCGGCGCTCCCGGAAAAGCGGCAAGCATCTCATGCACCAAATACGTGTAATCAGTGGTCGTGTTGATTGTGTGGTAGCATCATAAAGCTCGACTGCATGCTGCTCGAAAAAAAATATCAGAAATTTTCTTCTTTTTTTTTTCCCAGGATCCATTCCGAGCATCCATTCACATGTAAGACTCCGTCTCACCGATCATCGCGATCGACACGAGCCCCCCCAATCCGGGGTAAAAACATGGCTCGGGCTTCGCTTAACGCGCTGCTGCCATTGTTTCGTTTTTTTTTTTTTTTATTACTGCGGAGTTGTACTGGCGATTGTGGATTTGCGCACTGCGATATCATAACTTCCAGTACTGTTAGCCAAGCTAATAGTGGATATAATGACAAGCCCAATTATAGCAACAGTTTCATCAAAGTTGCTGCCATTGCACATTCGCAAAGACGAATCAACGGGTCTAGATTCAAATTGAACATACCTCTTAGCAGAAGTAGCAGTACCAAGTACCCAGTATTAGTAGTAGCAGTAGTACCCCATACTATAGCCGGAGTACTGGATAACAGAATCGGTGTGCTGGATAGCTTTTCTCTAAATTAACATGAATTGGAGCTTGCATGAGCTTCTGTCATATCAGTATAGTATGCCCACCTAGCATCTATATGGCCCAAGCATCATTCGTTTTAACCAACATGATAGTAGACCATCTACAAGTAGAGTGCCCAAGTCTCATTCCAAAATGGCCCAAGACTTCCTTGTATCACGTACATCAGAATCAACACTTCTCAATTATTAAGAATCACTCATTCTGCCATAGTCCGTATAACATGCACATTTAAGATCTATACACCCACGGAAATACTGTCTACTACCTACGTACTATCGTCTTAGCTAACATATTAGAACAGCATCCACAAGTGGAACACTTTGACTTTCCTATAAACATGCCCAGGACTGCCTTAATCACGTCCAACAGAATCTACACAGCTCAATCATTAGCCATCACTCCATATACACCAATCAACACATCCAGCCTCAAAGACATGACTCCATCCATCCATTCACTTCATCACCCCATAACCAGAAATCATAAAATCACAAAGCAATATATATATGTATTATATGTAAAAAACGCATTATATACGCAGCCACAGCCGCATCGCTCCAACATCACACCCAGCACAAAAACCGTATGTCAAAGTTTGCACGCTCAATCCTTCACTCTTCTTCACTTCGTCTTCCGTCTCGCCTTAAATGTCTTCAAAGGATCGCCCTTTCGCGCACCCACTTTCCGCTTGCCACCACCTTTCCTCTTCGTTCCCGCGCGTCTATCATGCTTCTTCAGCGGCACGAAGCCAATATCCCCCGCCGCGATGCCCTGTCGGCCCTCCTTGGGCAAAAGGTAGTCCGGCACGTGCTTCAGATGGGCCTGCTGTCTGGCCGTTCTTAACTCGCCGTCGTGGCGGAGGTGGTTCATCTCTGTGGGGTTCTCTTCAAAGTATCTATCCAGAAAAAGAGCCATTAGTCTTACGGTCAGCTATTGTAGCCAAGTCATCAAACTCACCTCTTCAGCTTCTCACTCTTCAACAGCTCCTGACGCAGCTCCCTTGTCCGCGCCTCTCGAATAGCCACCTTTGTCACCGCACGCAGCGCATCGTTCATTCGGTATCTGAAAGCATCCACCTGGTCCTTGTTAAAGTCGTATGGGTTCAGCTCTTTGCCCTTCTTCGCCTGCTGCTTTGTAATTCTTGCCAGAATCTTCTCGTCATTCTCCGCGCTGGGAATGGACGTGTAAATGTGCTTTTTGTAGAGATCCTTGGGAACGACAAAGGACAGCGCCATGCCTGTCCGGCCAGCTCGCGCTGTGCGGCCTATTCTGTGTGTATACGATGAGGCAGATGTGGGAAGGTCAAAGTTGATGACGGCTGCGACGTTCTTGAAGTCAATGCCTAAAAGCAAGCAGTCAGTAAGAAGAAATCCAGGCGCATGTATCGCAGGTATACATACCTCGAGAAACACCATATTCCACATCTCCCTTGGCAGCCTTCCGCTTCTTCTTGGGCCGAGACTCCTCCTTGGACTCGCCCTCGTTTTCTTCGTCCTCTTGCTCTTCCTCTGCCTTTTCCTCGTTTCCAAGAACTTCCTTCTCGTCAGAGGCAATGATGATGTCGTAAACATTGCGGTTAAACTCCTCCACAACGTGAATTCTCGAGTTCACCGGTAGCTCCGAATTCAAAATACAGCTTCGGATGCCGAATTGCTCAAAGTAGAGCTTCAGGCGGTAGCATCGGTCGATGTCGGCGACGAAAATGATGCACTTGCCCTTGACCAGCTGGAGCTTGAAGATGACATAAATCAGCAGAAACTTTTCGTCCTCGCCACACCTATAGCCAACGTTAGTATCGCATCATAACCAGCCAGCTAGAAGACACAAGTAAAAGAAGAAAGAACAAACTCACTTGGTCACCAACTGCGTAACCCCCTCGCCCTCTGCATCCGGCTCCTCCAAATCCAACAACTCAGGCTGCTGCTCGCGATAGAAAATCTTCTTGAGCGAATCCACCTCCGTCGTCAACGTCGCACTCATCATCGTCGTCTGGATGCCCTTGGGAATAGACCACGACAGGCTCTCCAGATCCTCGCTATATCCATACGACAAGAGCAGGTCCGCCTCGTCCAGCACCAGATACGCCAGCTTGTCCAGCGCCAGGGCCGACGAGTTGCCATTGACATTGTGCCAGGCGCGCGCGGGCGTCGAGATGACAATGTCGGGACAAGTCGATAGCAGAGACCGCTGCACGGCGTCGGTGAGCTTGTCCGTCAGCTTCACGGCGCGGACGTCCTTGGCGCAAAAGGCGGAGAAGAGCTCAATCGCCTTGAAGACTTGGTCGGCGAGTTCTCGCGTAGGCACCAGTATCAGAGCCGTCGTGGCAGCCGTAGAATCGACCTATCGCAACCAGGAATTAGCAACCCTCTTACGCATTCAAACGACTCCAATCCACATACACTCTTCTTCTTCAAAATGCCAGCCAGCACAGGCAGCACATAGGCCGCCGTCTTGCCCGACCCCGTCTTCGCCTTGCACAGCACATCCTTGCCATCCAGCGCCAGCGGAATCGCCCTGCGCTGCACCAGCGTGGGCTTCAGGAAGCCCTGCTCCGCCACAGCCTGCACCAGCCGGGCATCGAGTCCAAGGTCTGCAAACGTCGCTTCTTCATCCGCCGCCGTCGTCGTCGCCGTCGCTGTCTCGGCCTTGGATGCAGCAGCAGCAGCAGCAGCAGCAGCCGAGGTTGGCACGTCGTTTTCGTTGAGCTTGCGCTTCATGTTTGCCGTCTGTAATGACAATCCTTCAATTGTCTGAATGGCAAGACTTGAAAAGTTGAAGGCCTTGGTTGGCAGTAGGTATGTAAACACCACCTCTGCTTTATCGCCTTATCACTACCAAAGACGAAGAAGGAAGAAAAAAAAAATTCCCACGCCTTATCTTATCGCCCAAGCTCCAGTAAAAATCCCAATACGCCCCCCTACAAAAGGTACCTAGCAGAAAACCATGCGCTTGAACGTTAGCGCGTGGAGGGGTTCTTCACGCCAAACCAAACCAGCAACAAACACTTGCAACATTGCTTTTTGTTCCTCCAGGTACAGTCGCTGCCAGAAGTACTGATGCCCGCTAGCGCTTACCTGGTAGCGTCGCACCCCCTAAGTCGTACACGATACCTCTTCCCTCCACCACAGTCTTCCAAGTCCAAGTACCTCTCCATTTCCCATCACAAGCGTTCCCGTCCGATGCAATCCATACAAGGACAAGGGCTCGTTACGTACCTTGCCTTTTAGCCTTTTTGTTCCCCCTTCATTGCCGCTTGGATCTTGTAGGGCTGAAGCAGACATGGGGCAAGATGGTCATCTTTGAGATCGGAAACACCCTTTGACAGTTAGTATAGAGCAATCCTGTAGTCTGTTTTACCTTTATACTTCAAGCTCCAGAGTCGCAGTCTTTATACACGGCACACGTGGTGGTACAGCTACCTGCACCACAGTTCCCATCCAGCACATGCACGCTGGCAGATGAAACGAGACTCCGCGGCAATAAAGACTTCCAATGATACTGCTGTATCACAAAGATGATTCATATTCCAATATATATGCCCCTTATCTTGCGTAACCAGCTCTCCCAGATCAACACTCGTAGATGCTACTGCTACTGCTGCTAGTAGTATTTACTAAAAGATACCTGCCTAACCTGTAAGCAGGCCATGTGCTCCAGCCCCATCTCCGAATAAACCGGAGCAGGGCCCCGGCATCTAGTGTCAACCACGCGCGCGTGGCGCTGCACTACCAGGTACGCAGCGACGGGGTATGCATACCAGCGACCCTTTCTCTGCCTCTACGAGTCGCCAATGTATCGCCAAACAGGGGTAAGTGAAGCAAGTGAGGCCGCTAACGGCTGTACATCCAGTGGGCGTATCTTGCATTGTACCCTCTATACAGGCCGCTCATGTACACATCACAAGCGCCATCTGATATACACACCGCCTACTTGATACAGTATTTCATCTACAAAGGCTTCTTACAAGTATACACGGAGCACCGCAGAAACTATGCCGTCGTCTGCCTCTCCAATTCACTGTTTTGAACGCAACAAATGCAAAATAAACTTGATATTATAAAGGTAAAAATCGAATCAAGGGAAAACGAAAAAAAGAAAAAACATCTGCTCCGGGTATAGCTATCCCCTTCTTATAAGCGACAGTCTTCCGCATCCCCAACCATCCAGGCAAAGGCTGCTTTGCTTCACGTTCTCCGGCATCCCCATCCCGGGAATTTCACCATTGTTAGACCCTTGGCCTCGCCGTATACCTTCTTCTCCATCATCTCACCCCGTACAACACCACCGCTGTCATCCACCCGGTAGGTGTCGTGGTAGAAGAAAAAGTGAAAACGGGGTGAAAAGAGAATAGGATACAGTAACAGCCAAGAGGCCATGGGCCACGTAGCCATATTTTCTCAGAGCGAGCACGAGCAGAGAGAAAAGACGACAGTATCCCGTCAACAACGCCAGCCAAGACCCATCCAGTGCTTTATTTCCCGCCCATGAAACGCAGAAAGAAATGCGCACACAAAATCTCTAAGCCCGGCGATAATGATGGAAGAAAAAAGACGAGAAAAGACAACAAAAGGTTGTAAAACTAAAGAAGATATAGAGAAAAGAGTTGGGAGGCAAAAAGAAAAAAAAAAGTGAAGGGGGAGAAAAAGAATAAATAAAGTAAAAACAATGACAAATGCCATGTTTTGCCCATTAACGAAGTAGCGGAAAACCCGGCCGTACTCCTTACTGTTCCTTGCTTTTCTTCAGAAACCTGCATCTGGAGTTGATAACTGGAAGCCCTTGCAACATATAAAAGCCCGAATAAGAATAATAAACAAAGATGAACTGATTTCCTCCTTCTGCGTGGTGTTGATTTTTTTGGTTGTTGGAACTTTTTTTCTTTTTTTTTTCCTCATTGCTCTCCGGAGCCCGTGTCCTACACAGACCAAAACAAAAGGAAAAGACGACTTCTGGGTAGAAAAATTACAATCGTCGGACAGCCCGGCCGGGAGCGTTGGTCAGGTTAGGGCGCTGGTGAGCGGTCACGTCGAGTTCATCTCACCTTGGGGTTGCCAAAGAGATCTGTATCAAAGTTAGCGGGACCTCGATCGTTGCAAATTAACCCCTACCGGCCGTTGGCTGGAAGCATACCTGGAAAATGCTCCTTGGCATACTGCTCGCAGGCCTGTGCAAAGTTAGTACCCGAGCCTTTGTGCCATGTGTGAAAGCTGAACAGGAAGGGGAGGGGGGAGAGGCGTACCTTTGCTGGTTTTCCGACTTTTTGCCCTATCACTTTCCATTTGTTGTTTTCGTACTCTTTTATAGCATTCAACAGCGCCTGGCTCTGAACAGACTGATCAATCAATGAGGCATCAAGCTTGGGACCAGGACAATACTTACTTCGTCTTCGGCAAACTCAGCATAGTGCATATCCTTGTACCAGTGCTTCTTAACGGAGCCTTCTGTTCTGGTAGGGAAAGTCTGTGCGTAGAGAGGACAGTTGGTTAGCTGGCTTTTGCCCATTGATTCAGGTCCTCGTCTCTCATCAGACATACCTTGGCAATCTCAGCCCAGCTGTTTCCGGCATCTCGCATCTGCTTCAATCGCAGCTCTTCCTGGGGGGTCCAGGGCGTGTTGGTCCGGCTCTTCTTGGCAGGAGGAGGCACGGCCGCGGCAGCAGAATTGGCGTCCTCGGCCGCGGCGGGCGGTGGCTGCGAAGGAGGCGCGGCCTGAGGAGCGGGCGGCGTGGGCGCCGGAGGCTGACCCTGGACCGGAGGCACGGGAGGTGGAGCGGCGGCCGTGGCGGGCGAAGGGGCAGCGTTTTGAGCCGGTCGCTTCCTGGGACGGGCATTGGGCGGCTGGACGGCGGGCTGCTGAGTCGGCGTCTGCTGCTGGGACGGCGGGCCGTTTGGCGGCTGCTGCGATACGCTCATGGGCGGCTGGACTGGCGTTGGGTGGTGTTGCTGCTGCGCAGCCATGTTGGGCTGGGCGCCGTAGGGAAACTCCATGCGCTGCTGCTCGTTGCGACGCATATCGGCCGGGTAAGGATGGTTACTGTTCGAGGCACCCCGGTTAGCAGACTCGCTGGCGGGGGAGGGGAGTCATCATGGCCTGGCATGCAACTATGCATGGTATGGTATAGGAAAAGGCGCCCTCGAGACGGGGGCCGGGGGGGGTGGGAAGCGGGGAGAGGGAGAAGAGGGCCGTCGTTGCGCCAGGCACAGCACAGCGGGCCAAGTTATAGCAGGTATCAACAGGAGGCAGACGGTGATACAGCATTTCGTTTGTCTGCCGGCCGGTGATGCCACGCCTGGACTGGGGGAGAGGTGTAAAAATAACAAGACAACAGCAGGAATTGGGTACCAGGCCGGGGCGATCGTCGATGGCGGCGGCGGGACAGAGGCGGCGACCCGGGCATTGAGGCCACGACGGCCATGTACCAGGAACAAGGAGATCGAGTACTTACTGCATGTCGTTGGACGGGTGGGGGGAGTTGGAGTAGACGTAGTCCGGCACGGGGCCGACTTGCCACTGCTGCATGATCTGAGGATAGCGCACGCGAACAAGGTCAGTAACGATCTCGTGTCTCTTTTTAAGCTTTTGGCCGAATTAAAGAGGATTTCGGGATGTAGCAAAGAAGAAGAAAAGGGCCCGCGCGGTGTTTTCTCTGCTCTCGGGACAGAGAGGGCCGTCGCACGCGGCGCGTCCAGGGATCGACAAGGCTGTCGACGGGAGAAGAATAAAAAGGAAAAAAAAAACAAAAAAACAGGAAGAAAAAAAAAAAAAAAAAAAAAAAAAGAGGAAAATACAGAGAGGGGTTGTGTCTGTCTGTCTGTCTTTTCTGCTGCTCAAGCACGGCTTACGCGCAGAGCACGCGTAGGTAGGATCAGGGTCAAGCTCCCACTGATGCCGTCTCAGGAACTGCAACGGCACGACGCGATGCAGGCCAAGAAGCAGCAATCCGGCAGCAGCAATGGGAACACACAGAGCATCCCCGTCGACGCTGGACGGACGGTTGCGAGGGCACAAGGTGAAGAAGCCGGCGACGAGGGAGCAAGGGGGGAGAGGAGAGAGGAAGTCCTTACGGGCGAGGCAATCAATGTAGGTCAATGTTGCCTAAAGCATCCGACCTGGGCAAGTCTGGCTCGGCTTCTTTTTCCTTGGTCGACAGAGGGCAAAAGCTGGGGGCCGAAAGGGTCAGGTTGCACAGCTCGCCAAAGTAGTGCAAGGCCACTTGGACTTGGATCAACAGAGTACCTGTAGCCGTGTGGTACCGAAAGGAGCGAATGGGAGAAGAGCAGAAAAACAATATATTATTTATAATGGAAAACAAAGGCTTGGGCGGGACGCGAGGTGGACTGATGGTCTGGGGAGGATGGAGCTCGCAAAGTACAAAGACGAGCAAGCTTTGCAGAGTGAGCACAGAGGCAGTAAAGTTGCGGCTTGGTGGTGGGGGGCAGCCAGCCAGAGGCGTTGGCTAGGGGCAGATCCGAAGCCGAGGCGGCTTGGGTTTGGGTTCCTGCTGTGACGGGTGCGGAACGGCGAATTGGCCAGCCAAGAGGGATTAATTGGGCTCAAGCAAGGCGAGTTGGGGGGGCCGATGAGTTGAGTCTGCGAGGAGACTCGGCGAGGATGGATGCATGTGCTGACAAGGCTCAGCTTGGCTCTGGGCCAATGCCCGCTGCTGGCTGGGCTTTGGCGCTGGCCTGACTTGGCCTGGCGCTGGCTGGCCTTGACTCGACGCAACTCGCTGATTGAGTGCAGAAACGTTGCTGGGTGGGAGTGACAAGAGAGAGGAAAAGAGAGGGTGGCTAGAGATGGCTGAGGACGATGGATGGGAAGTACAGACGGGCCACACAGACAGCTGGACAGGTAGACACGCAGCTGGACAGACAGACACGCAGACAGTAGACAGACAGATGGTGGATGGCAGACATGAAGAGCAGCAAAGAAAAAATGGACAAGAAAAATCAAAGAGAAAACAAGCAAACAAGAAAAAAGAAGGCATCAACGTACGACGGCTGGTGGTTGGCGCGGCGCTGAGGGCAGGGCGAATGATGCAGTGGTACTGCCCGGTACTCCGGCGAGAGAGCTGCGAAGACGCGGATCGGCCAGGGTTGGACGTCGAGCGGATAAGTGCAAGATGGTTCGTTGTTGGAGTAGGTGGTGGTGGCCGCAGTATCAGAGGCCAAGGTGGACGGCAAGTTGGAATGCTACTGGACGAGCAGCAGATGCGTGGGATCCGAAAAAGCTGTGCGGTGCGACTGGAGCAGGCCGGCGGTAGCGTGGCGGCAGGTCAGTCAGAGTCAGCCTGCAAATGGCGTGTAGCCGGTACAGTACGTAAGTCGCCCCGGCGTGTTTTTTTTTTCCCTCTCGGAACACGCAACGCACGCACGCACTGGTTACGCACGCGATATGCCTCCTGCTCGTGGCGGCACTCTGCAGCTCAGGTCGCAGCAAACAGGACCGGACGGCGGTTGCGAGCAGCTGGTGCAGTTGCAGGCGGTGGATCCGCGGGCCAGACGTGCAGCGCAAGCTCGAGATGGCCAGGTCTGGTCAAGTATCGGGCTTCAGCTTCAGCTTCTCGCAGCGTCCCAGGCTTGGGGGTGGAAGGTCGCGCAGTACTTGGAGCCCAAGTAACTCGGTTGGGTTTTTTTCTTTTTTCGCTCCTGGGGGGGAGAAGTAGATGTTTTGGAGCGACTGGGACTGGGTCTGTTTTGGGGAGGGAGAAGGGAGAAGGGCGGCCGGAGCGCAAAAGAGACTGGAAGAAAAGCTTGGCCTTGTGGGTGGGAGGGTCCACTGACGAGGTGCAAGTACCTCGATTGAGCATGTTGCGGTACTTGGCGCTGCAGCTGTCCGCGTGGAGGCCAGGCGGCAAGTCGAGGGGCGTGCAAGTACCGGTACCGCGCCGCTGGTGTCGTCAAGGCCGGGGCGCAGGGAGGGGCGTGACAGTGCATCACCCACATCGCAGGCCCCGGATCCGCACGGTCCTCGTCAGGCATCGCGTTGCACCGCATACAGTGCCCGGCCTCGGACAGCAACGGTGGGCTGCCTTGTCGCAGCTCGCACGGGAGTCCGCAGCAGGTTGCGGCGCAGCACAGGCCCCCAGAGCCTGCTTCCCTTGGCTCCTGCTCGGCAACGCACGGTACGGGCTACAGGCGGGCTACGAGAGTACGGCCGGAGTAGTAGACGGTACACTGCACCCGATACTGCGAGTACATTGTACTTGTAGCCATTCATGCAGCTCTAGAGTAGAGCTCCATCACTAGCACCAAGCAGCTCTACATTGCAGGGAACCGCTCACCTTGAAGCGACAGTTGAGAGAGCCCAGCTCCGACCAGCAGCAGCTCGTACCGGTTCTTCCCTCTCGTCCCCGTCCCTTCCGGTACTTGCACGTACCTGTACTAGCGGCGCTGCTGCTGGTCTCGCACAGTCACGGTTACAGTCAGAAGTGCGCAGCACCTGCATACGGTGAGGAGCCCAGCTTCCGATAAAAGAAATTGCAACGAGAGCGCAGCAGCTGTTGGGAACTGCTGGGGACTGCTGGGGCATGCGGCGCCGGCCAATCAGCGGCGGCGAACGCCTACGCGTCCTGCTGCAAATTGGGCGGCGCACCGTCCGCTCCAGCCACTCATTTCGCCGCGCAGCCAATGGGCGGGGCGGGGGTCGCAGATTGGGGTGCGTTCATGTGCAACGCAGCGACGAGGACAGGAGAGGCGGGCGGGTGCAGGGGCCACGGCTGGGCTGGGTATGCGGTACTTTGCGCGCGAGTACTTGGAGTTGCAGCCAGGCGGGTACAAGGTACGAGGGAGCCTGGAGGAGTGTATTCAACCCGATCTACTACCACTTGTACAATGGAAGCTGGCCAATAGTGGCAGCATTAGCGGTTGTTGGACATGCGCAGTGAGAATTTGGCAATGGTGACACGATGTGGTATGGCGGTCGTAATCAATAGATTGCTGCAAATTAATTGCACAAGGCAGCAACCCAAAACTGCAAATTGCCAACATTTGAGATTATGGCGTCGAGGTTGTCGTGTTCGGCGCCTCTATTAGTACCGGATACTTTGCGCTACCCGCTTTAGGAGGAAAGTGCCTGGAAACAAGATTCGCAGCAGCTTCTTTCAGCCTTCCATCTATTTTTGTTTTCCACAAATTCGAGAAAAAGCTACACAATCCCAGCCTCAAACCCTCTTACAACTCTCGAATTTCACCGAAATGCTGCTTCATTACCCTCGGCCATTCGCTTAGGCGTCCAAGGCCTTCCCTGTCTCTGGAAAAAGGGCTCGAGCAAAAAGCGGAGCCTGCGGCGATTGCGTGGAATTGGTTGGCCGCACTCGTCTGGCCAGGCCTGCCTTGCTACAGTATGGCATGCATCAACAAGCGCAAAAGCAACGCTCCGGTGATGTGATACGCGATGGCCTCGTCTCTGGGGAACCTGGGAGCAGGCAGCGACGAGAACCGGCGGCCAGCCTTGCTCCTGCTCACGCTCCTTTGCGAGCAGCCTTGCGTGCAATCGGCCCTTGTGCGAGCTGCCAGCAGCCTCGACGTGCTCCGGCACCGCAGGATCCACGACAGTTTGCGATGGACAGTAAACAACAAACAACAGTCGTCTACAGTAATCGATGCCGAGCCGGGACGCTCCTTGTGCTGCACAGCTTCCAGAATGCGCCCATCCCGCCCCCCTGCAGCGCCGCTCGCGCGAACTGCAAATCGCCAGGCCGTACCTCGCCGCCTTGTACTCGATACCTTTGGGGCTGGAGAGGCTAGGGCCGCATCGCTGGCCAGCTCCACCTTGTCCATGCCTTGTCCAGATCGAGGTGTCGAGACCTCATCAGGAGCTTGGGGTGACTTGTGGCGATTGTACAAGTACTTGTGCCTCGCCCTTGGTGGAGGACGCGAGTGCTTTGGCAGTTAATGTGGCTACGATGGCATGGGAATAAAATCCGATTCGTTCTAGGGGAGATCAAGGCGCTTCGATTCACTCCATGGGTTCGTCGTGCTGAGCGGCCATGCCACGGGCAAGACGACGCCCCAGTGATACCTTGCAAGTTGCACAGGTTTGCTATACTGTAGATGCCTGGATTTCGGTACTAGCAACACATACGGGCTTTTACGCACCCCGTCTGCTCCGTAGGGCCATCCAGCCAAGGTACAGACCGAGCGAGCGAGCAGATGAATCTCCCAATCTCCACACTGGCAATGTACGTCCACGGGAGAACCATGTGTGCATCCATCTTTAATTACGGCAGGCCTCTGGGGATGGACTTGGCTGTTGGACACTGCTCTCTGGGGAAAGGGATTTGTTTACCCGGAGACCTGCTCCAGCTGCTGTTCTGAGCAGCATAGAGTACAAAACTAAACGAGCTTGGGGCGGATGCTCCCCTGGCCAATGCCAATGCAATACGGAGATGCAGGTGCAGATCCAAATGCAGCATCTAGGCACTCAATCAATATTGGCCTTTGCCGTATCCCCGTCTGGTGAATGCTCAGCCAACATGCAGCAGATTGTAGGGTAAGCTACTGCACATGGCAGCGTTTTAGGCAAAGCACAGATCGAGCGGCCTTATCAATTGGAGCATCGCCAAGAGGGTGCTATGCCAAATACTCAACATGCCACAGGCGATATCGCTTACTCTCAACCGTTGCCGGCCAATCGAAGACGCTGGGCGGAACATTGGAAAAGACATGCAGATGCTCCAATAACTCAGACATGAGGAGATGGACCTTTCCTCTTGCGTTATTGGACGAAGCCCAGCAGATGCTGGGGGGGCGGCTGGAGTGATTCATCATATTGAGCGTCGCTGAGCGGCGGATTCCAGCGCACGCCGCGCCGAGCCGCTCTGCCTGATTCATGAGCTGCTGAGTCTTGCTCCCATCGGCCTGTTTGGCTGCCTGTCTTGATATCTGCCCGTCTATTCGCATCCTCCTAGGCTGTGCAGTGCAGTCCTATCCATTAAAGGGGAGCCATGCTTGGCAAAGATCTACAAGTAACATGTCCAAAGGGTGCATTATCCGCTGGAAGAACATGACAGCCGGGCAAGTTAGCCGAGATGCAATGCACTCTTCCAAATGGGTTCATTTCGTTAATTTTTATTTCCCTGTGACAGTACATGCATTTATTTCTCTTGCAGATATTGCATAAAGTTTCACAAGATGGAATTGTACCAGTACAGTTACTCGCTTCGAGTTGGCAGGGAGGAAATGAGAAAAGGACAAGAGAACAGATCTTTTTTCACGGTGAAGTGGAAATCGAAGAGATTGGAACCAGAAAAAGCAGCCGATAGAACGTGCGTGTCATACGATTCCGGGTGGCTTTTGGCGTTTACTCATTAGCCACACGCGGCCAACCGGAGAATCCCTTGCCAGCTTCCTCAGGGAAACTCGAGATTGGTTGCGATGCAGCAACCCATGGAAATGAAGCCCGCCCGCTTTTCTCCAGATTAATCTGGGCACGGCAGGCGATGATGCTGCGGTGGCCCGTGATGAGAGAACCGGCGGGACAAGACGGCATTTGGTATGAATGCGTGGATACGTGTATACGTGTATATACGCTGTCTCTGTCTCGAAACAGCAGCCCTACTCCAGGATAGCGGTGGCTGGGCTCATGTTTCGAACAGATGGTGCTGTCGATATCAAATCAAGGATGAGCAAGCAAAGTTGACAAGCAGCATGGCCATGGACTTTTCCGGGACAAGCGTCGAGTTTGACGTCAAGACGTTTGAATCGTTTCTCTGCTCGGGAGAGGAGCAATCCGTACGGCCAATGCTACGCTGATCCACCCGGCAGTTTCTCTTTTGTTTCCTCGTCCTCTGTCTTGTCTTGTCTTGTCTCTTGTCCTCTTCATGCATCTCTCGACCTGATAAAACAAACTGCCACAACAACCGAACATTTGCAAGCGCTGGCGTGAAACGAGACAAACGGACCAGGGCGCTAAACAACTTGCCAAAAGGGCTGATACTCGTATGAGGAGCGCCAGGCGGTGTTAGCGCGTTTCGAGCATGGGTTGAAACGCGGCTGCACCAAGGCCCGGCGGCCAAGTTTGAGGCATGGCGGCTACCAGGATGAGAAGCGAAACGAAAATGATGGCTGACAAGTTGCTGTTTTGTGGTGTATTTCAGTGTATTTGGTGGGAGAGTCCTGTTGAGGTTTGCTTGTGATGCGTACTAACATGAAGTGGCAGATGAGACCACTTATACGCAGTAATTGAGCATAGCTTCGTCCCTAGTACTTGTACGTTAAAATCTTTATCCTCGTTCAAGACGAGAATCCACTCAGTTGCGTCAGCTCTTGCTCCATTCATCATTGTTTACCTTTTTCTTCTTGTACATCATTTATCATTCGCTCAGACGGGCATAGCATAGCCGAGCAAGGGGTCCAAACCGGTCCTCGAGAAACGGGCCTCCCTGTTTCGACAAGAGAAACAGCCTTCAAACAGCGACGTCTGCCTCCTTGCATGATGGATCTGCTACGATGGCGGAGACGATCGTTACGGGTCGAGGTCGGGTCCGAGCTCTTCCTTTACGCATAGGAGAAAACACGAGGGGTCAATGCTCTAGATGCCATTCTTTCTGTGGCTTGCTGATGCTAGCTGAAGTTTGGAGTACAGTCCCAATTGGTTCTCTCTTCTTGTCGTTTACTGCTGGATAGACAACATCACTGCTCATCTACGCAACATAACAAGGCTCCTACCAAGCAAACAATCTTCAAACAACCTGCACTGCCCCGCACATCACTCTATCGGAATCCAAACACGCCGTTTGCTCAAAAGACTTGCATGAATGTTTGAAATGCGTTTCCTAGTGCCGTCCCGAGACCCTGACCTGGACCTGGGACCGGGGGCCGCATAAGAAACAAACGCCCCTTCCACCGGGGCCAGAACGTTATGCTTATGTTGAAAATCTGTTACAGGACCTCTCCAAACGTGTCACAGGCTAATACTTCAGATCTCACAGAGACCCGGACCAGGGGGGGACCCCTGCTCCAGAGAGCCGCCCTGTTTCGTGGGGACCACAGAAAGAAGAGGCTAATGGGAACGCTTTTGTTGTACCATGGTTTAGTGGTATATGCGCGCAGGTTAAGCTCACGGCATGAGATGTGAGCAGGTTTTAATACTTGCTCACTTCCCCCTCGCCTGGTGAGTTTTCCCCTTCTCTTCTTTTTTCCTGTTGTTGAGTTGATATAATTTATTTTATTACTATTTTTTTATTTGGTTGCATCCCTCGGCGTTCGGGCCAACTTCTTTTTTCTTCTTTCGCTTCTTTTTAGCCTCCTATATTATAATATTTTTTGTTCTTTTGTGGCTGGTTCACTAAAGTTCATTTCACTCTTTTTTTTCAGTTTTTGGCTTCAAACTAGCTTGGCACTGGGCGCCATTGGTTCGAGATACCCGCATACTCTTATTATTCTGAGACGGAATTTTGATCTTGGATTCTAAGAAGAAAGATTCATTTACGATTTTTATTTTATTTTCAAAAATAAAAAGGCTTGCATCGAGTTCACTTGGTTATATATTGCCACGACTCCTGTGGGGACCGTTACGTGGCAAAGCTTGTTTGGTATAAGACGGGTTGCAGTAACCTTGTATCGTGGACGCAACTATATCTGGGAGGAAACGATATTCCATCACAAACAATGGCATCGACACTGCCTTCTGGGCCTTCTGGAAGCCAAAGAATGACTCGTGGAGGACGCGCATGGAGTGAACAGGAGGTAAGTTGAACGCAATCACCATCATACGGAATAGGAAGCAGCATGAAACTGACTCGATACTGCAGGATGCTTTCCTCATGCAGACTCGTGAGAACAAGATGCCGTACAAGCAGATTGCCCATCAGCTCAAGAAGACTGAGCTGGCTTGTCGGCTGCATTTCCACCAGCTAGTCCGCAACAGTGCCCGTGGCCGTCGAAACCGAGGATCAGTGTCGTCCATGTCAGACCTCTCGCCTGAAATGGATGCCGCGGCCTCTGCGTCGACTTTCCGCAGAAGACGGGCACCGCACAAAAGGACGGACAGTGACAGCTCCATGTCGACCACGTCCAGCCGTGAATACTACCTTCCGAGGATCACAGAGTCCAGCGGCGACTCTGCCAGGCAGCACATCATCCTGCCGAGACCCGCGGCCATGCCTGATGACTCTGCGTACACCGGCCGAGCATCTTGGCGGCCTCGCAGCGTGGCCGAGGAGTTTGCACCCCTTCATGACCAGCATTACCAGCATTACCACCACAGAACGCCGTCTCTGCCACCGCAAAGAGAGATGATGCCCCTCCCTCTGCCGTCGACTGCGGCCGACATGCCGGCGCACGTCGATCTCCCGCGTCTGCATGCCATCTACGACGCTCACCGCGGCGCCTTTTGGAACCACATTGCGAGCGAGTACGGCTACAACACGCCGCCGGAGATGTTGGAGGATGCGTGGAGGGCAGGTGTGTATGGCGGCGTGCAGCAGTATCCCTGTCCTTTGTTTAATCGTCCCATGACGCCTGTGAGTAGCCCCGAGGCCGAGAGGAGGCATCATGGCGTAGACAGGACGAGGATTTCGTCGATAATATCTGGGGATGATGATGCTTGTGGTGATAGGCGGTAAAAGGGGAAGAAGTACAAAAGAAAAAAAAAAAAAAAGAAATTATTTTTTAAAAAAAAAAAAGTAATAATAGGAACGGGGTCTTATTTTTCTTTAGGAAGCGATGTTTTACTATTTATTAATTCTTTTCACTTGATGCGATTTCCTTTCCTGGCGCGACTTTATTGATACTTTTAATTTTCGTTGTTACTTGGCTCGATTTGGGGGTATGTTACTAGTGGAACGCAATACCCTGATTACCCTTTTTTACTAGGTTTCTACGCCTCTTTTTTCCCTTTTTTTCTTTGTGTATCGCTATATGCAATTTCTACAATGGAGTTGGAGTTTGTATGGCCTGCGGTGGAAAACGAGCAGCTCTGGACAGTATGGAAGAGATTGTGAAAATAGAAGATTGAAGTAATGAGGTATGATGGGGTTGTTTCTTTTTTCTTTGCTTATAGAAAGTTTTTAAAAATGAAAGTATCTCTCTCTATAACCTTCTTTTCCTATTTGCAAGTGAATTTTTTGATTATCTGATTGTGAATGGCTTTGGTAGTATATGAGATTGGAGGAGTAGTAGCAATAGTACCGGGATATGCGTATTTCCCGCTTGTATCATTTCAAAAATAACATTTTGCTTCTTTTTCTTCTTTACTCCATGGATTTTTTTTTTTTTTTTTAGTTTATTTTTGACAGGAATTATCTAATCGCCAACATGTTACTGCGAGGTGCAATTTGCAGTTTTGAACACTGAATGAATATGTCTGCTTAGGGTAGGCTACCAGCAACGGTTACACTTTTATCCAATAAAGTTGTAAAAACTGATTCTTTCCCTCCGAGGTTGCGGAGACAAACACGATGAGCATCCTTTTAATGTCTTTTAATTTGAAGATCAAAGCATTCCTATATGGAGCCTTGGTCTTTTCAATAATTCCCACCCTCTTGGCGCAAGCTCCTAGTTTTCAAGCCCCAAAATGGAACCATGAGTAAAACCAGCGCTACGATTCGGGGACGCTCCGAACGTCCCCGCAAAAAAAGTCCCGAGTCCCCTCGCACTACCGCTATTAGGCTGAGTTGGGTGTAGAAACGAACGATGACGGAGGGGGTTGCGGAGGGGTGGAGCTCAAGGAAGCTGGAGAAGAAGTGAGGGGGGACAGGAAGACAAAGTCCGTGAAGCTGGTTTTCTTTTTTTTGCATCTTTATTGATTATTCATTGAGGGAGAATAGAAAGATATCTCGCTGAGAGTTTCAATCCCATTGGTGAGTAACTGGTCTCCCATCTCTTGTTCGTTTCCTCAATCCCGCGTATAAGTTCTGTCTGCCGATCACAGCATCATCTCCCCTTTCCCTTCATTTGCCGGCTCCCCAAGCTTCAATTGCCGCTACCCTCCGGCATCCCTCCGGAACCGCTCTGCTAGTCTTGATCATTTTCTCTTTTCATTCTCAAAGAAGCCGGGTGATTTGATGATAGTCGTACCGCGGGGGGGACGTTGCCAAGCATTGGAGCTTTCCTCGACAATGTGGGGTAAAGAAAGATGACAAGCTTGTTTTGTTTATAAATTGGCTCTCTCCTGTTGGCTGCTCTGCTTTTCTGAATGATGCTAGGCACATTTCATAGCTGATATCACACAAGGTGAAAGTAATTCAACACGGACAATGGCATCGCAGACATCTGGCAGTGCCGAGCCGGCACACGACCCCAAGTCGTCGAGCGACTACATCCAGTTCCCGTGTCTTCCTCCCGGCGGAGCGCTGAATCGCTGGTCGGCGCGCCTTACCAAGGACCATGACTTTCCCGGAGCACAGGTGCGTTGTACACTTATTGAAGCAATTATGCGTCTATATCAGTTGAGCTGACGTGGTTGGCAAAAGGCCATGCTCTACGGAGCTGGCGTCCCGGATCGAGAGACGATGAAGAATGCGCCGCAAGTGGGCATTGCGAGCGTGTGGTGGGAGGGCAATCCGTGCAAGTATGAAGACTTCTCAATTGATACAAGACTTGAGTAATTTGAAAGGCTAACTGAACATCACAGCACACATTGTGAGTGCTAGACTCGACTACTTGACAAAAAGAAACCGGCCAACTAACACGCAACGCGACAGTGCTCGAGTTTGGCCAAATCGTCAAACGCTCCGTCGAGAAACAAGGCATGCTCGGCTGGCAATTCAACACGGTCGGCGTCTCAGACGCAATCACCATGGGCGGCGACGGCATGCGCTTCTCGCTCCAGACGCGCGAAATCATTGCCGACTCCATCGAGTCCGTCACCTGCGCCCAGCACCACGACGCAAACATCTCCATCCCCGGCTGCGACAAGAACATGCCCGGCGTCGTCATGGCCGCCGCGCGCCACAACCGGCCCTTCATCATGATCTACGGCGGCACCATCCGAAAGGGCCACTCGAGCCTGCTGGAGCGCCAGATCAACATCTCCACCTGCTACGAGGCGTCGGGCGCCTACGCCTACGGCTCGCTCAAGGCAAAGAGCGACGCCGATGCGCCGGGCCGCTCCAGCTCCGACGTCATGGACGACATTGAGCGCCATGCGTGTCCCGGCGCCGGTGCCTGCGGCGGCATGTACACGGCAAACACCATGGCCACGGCCATTGAAGCCATGGGCCTCACCCTGCCCGGCTCGTCGTCGTACCCGGCCGTCTCGCCGGAAAAGGCCCGCGAGTGCGAGCGCGTCGCCGACGTCATCAAGGTCACCATGCAAAAGGACATTCGCCCCCGCGACATCATGACCCGCGCCGCCTTTGAAAACGCCCTCGTCCTGACCATGATCCTCGGCGGCTCGACAAACGGCGTGCTGCACTTCCTCGCCATGGCCAACACCGCCGGCGTCCCCCTGACTCTGGACGACATTCAGCGCACGAGCGACCGCACGCCCTTCCTGGCGGATCTCGCCCCCAGCGGAAAGTATCTCATGGAGGACCTGTACCAGGTCGGCGGGACGCCGTCGGTGCTCAAGATGCTCATCGCAAAGGGCCTCATTGACGGGTCCATCCTCACCGTCACTGGCAAGACGCTCGCCGACAACGTCGCCGACTGGCCTTCCCTCGACCCGGGCCAGCAAATCATCCGCCCGCTCGAAGACCCCATCAAGTCCAGCGGCCACATCCGCATCCTCAAGGGCAACTTTGCGCCCGGCGGCGCAGTGGCCAAAATCACCGGCAAGGAGGGCCTCTCCTTCACCGGCAAGGCCCGCGTGTTCAACAAGGAGCACGAGCTCAACACTGCCCTGACAAAGGGCCAGATCAAGCGCGACGACGGCAACCTCGTGCTGATTGTGCGGTACGAGGGACCCAAGGGCGGCCCAGGCATGCCGGAGCAGCTGCGAGCGTCGGCAATCATCATGGGCGCGGGATTGAGCAACGTTGCGCTCGTGACGGACGGTCGGTACAGCGGTGCCTCTCACGGCTTCATCGTGGGCCACGTAACGCCCGAGGCAGTGGTAGGAGGGCCGATTGCGTTGGTCCAGGACGGAGATGAAATCACCATCGACGCTGAGTCGAATAGAATCGACGTTGCCATATCAGACGAGGAGATGGAAGAGCGAAGGAAGAAGTGGACGCCGCCAGAACCAAAGATCAAGAGAGGCGTGCTGGCCAAGTATGCGCGGTTGGTAGGCGACGCGAGCCACGGAGCTGTAACAGACGGATGGTAAGCGTCTTCACTCAGTTTGCGTTGAACAACTTGTATCAAGGGAAATATAATGAAAGATGGAATGCTCAAGACAGTTCGCTTTATGATAGCATGACAAAAGATGGGAATTATCAAGACCCTTCACCCGCTCAACGTAGGAAAAAAAGGGGGCAAGAAAGGGAATTCGTTTTCAAGCTTCATACAGGTACGTAAAGCAAAAACAAATGAGAACAAGTAAAAGTAAAAAAAGAAATCGAAGGGTATCGTCCTCGACTGCCGCCTTCTCTAAAACCAATCAATCAAACCAGTCTCATAAAACTTTGCACATCTGCTCTCCCTCGCTATCCTATATCAATGCATGGACACGTATATACATATAGACATGTAGTTCGTCCCCCCCTCATATTCAGCGCGTTTAATCGCCCAGAGGCATGCCCTCCAGAGCATCTAATAGGCGGCGCCAGTTATCCGCCAGCATCTCCGCATATTTGACGCGCTCGCCAGCCCAGTCTTGGTTCCATTTGCTGACGTGGTACTGGGTTGACTGGAAAGTGATGAGCTCGTCTCGGAGACACTCCTTGACGAAGATGGAACGGCTGTGCTGTTGCACAATAGACTCCTTGTCCTGTTTCCCGCATTGTCAGCTCCAAAATACACAAAATCATCGAGTACAGGGGTAATCAAACGTACCTTGATGATGGCCTCTGCCACCTTTTCAATCTCCCCCGGCTTGACGAGACCCTCTGACTTGGATCGCAAGTTGTCCAGCTTGGCCTCATTGGCCTGTATTCTTTTTTCCAGATATGGGATGTTGTCCTTGTCCAACCGCTCTCTTCGCTCAAACAGCTCGCGGAGGCTGACCAGAGCATCTCGCTGTCGCTTCAGATCCTCAAGCACGCCTTCTTCCCATCCCCGGCTTTCGTCTTCGAGTAGAGTCTGGCAATTACTCAAATGCCTGCTCATTGCTGTCAAACCGTCGTTGAGCAGCGCAACCTCGCTCGTATCAGTGGCGTAGGTATCGGCAGAAGCTTCGGTGAGCGAAATGAGCGACATGGCAACCCGCGCATGATCCGCTGCGACACCCTCTGTTCTTTTGACGAGACGATCCATGATGTTGCAGGAAGTAATGTACAGCTCGGAAGAACGACGAACTCCATTGCTTGTTCGGGTGAAGAGATCCTCCAGAGTTGGCGGAAGTGAATCTTCCAGATGGGGGGGCAGTACTCGATCGGAGAATTCGTCTTGGACAGAAAGGTTTGCTTGCTTTCGCCATACGGCAAGTTCCTGCATTTAGTTAGCAATTTATTTGACCCCCTTCATCTCCTATTGTTTGGTATTATAAAAACTGGAAAGCTCACTGTAGGAACAGTCAAGAACATGACGACCAGCTGCTCTTGGCTCAGAACTGGATGGCGTACGAGAGCGTTTAGGAATCTAGCCAGCCCTCGTCGTCGTTTTTCAATAAAGGCGCCGTCGTTGGACAGATGATTGCCATTGACAGCCACACGCTTGGGAGGCAGCAGCGGCAGCATCCTAAACGGATATCTCTTGTGCAAGCAGTCCAACAGCCAGACAAAGTCGCTGTACCGGCGAACGACTTTGCTCCCTCGTCGATGGCTCGTAACCTCGTAGTTGTGGTGCTGAAACATGAAGATACCCTCCTTTCCTGGCATGAGCGTTACGACGACGTTTTCCTCTGCGTTGTTACCTACGCGGCCGCCCAGGCTTCGGGGTAGTGCCATGGTAGGCGGCGCTCCAGGCCCTGAATCAGCGCCATCTGTTCCAAATAGGTTCTGCATAGTGGGCATCGGTGGGTTTTGACCCTGAGGCGGCATATCGTTGAAGCCACCACCAGGTGAGCTGCCATAGAAACCAGCTCCCCAGCCGCCTTGGCCAGTCAAAGAGCTGCTCGAGGCTTGCCTTGGGCGGTTGGATGGGCGGGCGTTCTCGGGCGGAGCACTGTAGTTGTTGGTTGTGAGACGTGGATCGTACGATGGAGGCGCATGCTGGCTGAAATCGTGGTCGTGTCCAGTGACCGCAGGGGTGTGATTCTCCGAACCGTTTGAACGGGAATGGGAATGGCCCTTGTGCAGGTCTGGCGCGTTCCACGGATCGTCTTCGGGGTCAACCAAGGTTGATCTGGTAAGGACGCTTGAAGGAGGCGGCGGAAGCTCAGGCTCGGGCTGTGGTTCCGCGGGAAGCTGCGGCTGCGGCTGTGGCTGGGGTTGAGGCTCAGGCTTGTACGGCTCGGATTCTGGCCCATGTTTGGAAGGGACCTGTGGTGGTTTCGCCGCAAGTTCACTGATGGGAGGCATGATGGGTTCGGCGGTAAGTCCTGGTAGGTTGGGCTGAGGTATGTCTAACCACGAGGACGAAACGTTAGCTGGCTGCCCAGTGAAGAGAGATTGCGTGAATGAAGTCTAGTTGCTGCAGGACACGCCAGGTCAGATGGCGACTAGGTATCAATCGGTCTCTGATCGTTTTTGACGTGAGTGCGACTGAATCGCAGCTGACGATGTAGGTCGGGAGTTGAGCTAAATTGAGTGACATAGAGAAGACTCCGTGATGTAATGCTCCCGTACAGAGGGTGACGTATGTTGGCAGCCAATATGCAGCAGAAAAAAGCAAACAAGGGCTGTAGATATGGGCGTTGCACTCACTTCGTCGGCGCTCATCCACTCCGTCGAGGCTGATGATGTCGCCCTCTTGCGCCAGGCCAATCAGCGCGAGCACCACGTTGAACTCGTTGCGCGACAGCAAGACGTCGGACCCTTGGCCAGGAGCCACCAGCGCCATGATGCGCGCCTGGGCATCGGCATCCAGCCTCGCCACGGCAAACAGCTTGGCGATGCCGGCGGCCGTGACCTGGCCGTCTCGGCCGTCCTCGCCCACGACGGCGTCAAAGGCCCCGGCGTAGCTCTCGGGCACGTCCTCGGCCGGCAGCAGGCTGCGGATCATCTCGGAGCGGCTGCGCTGCTTGCGCGGCGTGGGCATGTCCCAGGGCGACGAGGCGCCGCTGTTGTCGTCGAAGAGGCTGGACGAGTTGCGGCCCGACGCAGGTTCGTCGTCGAAAAGGCCGCCTCGAGGGCCCGGCGGCGAGCCCGTGGTTGGGCCACTGTCGCTGGGCTCGTCTCCAAAGAGCGACATGCTGCGATGGCCGGCCGGTGGTGGATGTCGAAGCTCGCGTGTGTCTCTTCCGAGGATGGAGAGGGCAAAAAGAAGACGGACGAGAAGCCAGACAGCAAGAGGCGAGAGAGTCGGTTGCTCGCGGGGCTGCGCAGTCGGAAAGAGGCGAGGTTGGCCGTCGCAGTATGAATGATGAAGCAAGGATGGCTAGCCCGGCCTTAGTGGTGCGTTGCGTCTTTCTTTAGCTCGGCGTGCGTAATGGCGCCGCTATAGCGCCCGGCTGGCTGGCTGGAGGACGACGATATGGGGCAAGGGAGGAATTACAGCTGACGTAGCAATTAATAATGACAGTACAGAGTGTATGGAATTGGAGAATTAGAGAAATTATTATTATAAGAGCTGTGATCAAAAGGGAGAAGAAAGAAGCCGTGAGTCTGCAGACATACGGTGTGAGACGCCGAGTGTAGTATAGACGTTGGAGAAGCTAGACTGCTGGGAGTCGTGGCCCCGTCATATCTGCAGGGCAGATAGGCGATGGAAGAGCTGACTACCTGGGTATATCTACGAATAAAATACAATTCGAATGCTATGCCCTTTATGATTTAGTTTTCAGTAGACTAGCTACTGGTTGCATGCTCAACGACTTACAGCGCCATACTCTGTGACAGCACTTTGGCTACAGTACCCAATGACAATGACGCGGCTGATGCATGCACAAAATCCATGCCCGAGTTTACATATACATATATATTATACATTTCGCCTTGTTGTGCATCGTCCTCCATCATTGAAACAGGTAGCTTTTCCCCCCTCTCAATCCTCGCTCGATCTATGCGCAGCAACATCACAATACAGCCATCATTCATAACGTAATACACCCACCCTACCACCCTACCACAACGTCTCCTCCGCCTTCTTCTTGTCCTTCTTCACCTCGCTCTTCACCTTGTGCACACCAGGCACCCTAAAGTACAGACTGGGTGACTGGCCTGGAGCAACCTGCTGGCTTAGGTATCCCCTGTGCGCAGGGTCTCGGTAGTACTCGATGTCGGCACGGCTCGTAGGGTCCGGTAATCTGTATCGGAATGGGCCCTTTCTCGCCTCCGCCAAGATTGACTCCACATGCTCGGGGCCAACTGGTAGGGGCCGGTCGGTGTTGACAGACTCGCCGGTAAGCAGTCGCTGAATGGCCAGTCTCGTGTAGTATCTGGTGAGAACCTTGCCTCCTGCGGCTTCAATGGCAGCAATTGCGCCTGCTGAGACTCTTGACACCATGACGTTGATGGGTTGTCTGAGAATCTCGTCGCCGCGAGAGAGAATCTTGACGCCGTCTTTGACGCTGCCAATCAGCTTGCTTTCGATCAGCTCCTTTGGCGTGATTTGCTTGGAGGGGTCGAGTCGGCCTTGGTCGATCCAGTTCTGGATCTGGTCCAGGTTCACCTCGGAGATCTTGGGCGCTCGGCTATATAAGGTCAGTATCACGCTGTTTCTTGAAAAGTTGGCGGGGCGCAAAAGGTTGTTGCCCCGCCTCCAGAGGCGCTCACAAGTTGTCGAAACCCTTCCGGCCGTGCTTCACAATCAAAGGTGTCTGGCCACCCTGGAACCAGGGCTTGACCTTTCCATGCTGTTTTTGACCCTTGTGGCCTCGTCCGGAAGTCTTGCCGTGGCCCGAGGAGGGACCGCGACCGACTCGTTTTCTGTTCTTGATGGCGCCGGCATTGTTGGCCAGGCTGCCTAGGATCGAAGCATTACGGGTTTGGGTCTGCTGGAGGGTGAGTCTGGCGAGACAGGCTGTCAATGAAGCGGCGGGAGTGTTGACGGCGACTCGGCAGCACGACGCTGTGCTGAGAAACGGTATTCGGGGAGGCATCGTGGTATAGCTGGGTCTTTTATCGCAGCGCAGGCAGTTTTGCTTCTCTGCATCTTGAAAGATTTTGGACTGGTACGATCTGGGGTGGTGCCTGAGGCCTAAACCGGGACTAGCTTGGCGGAACGTACCTGCTCCAATAAAGGGCCATTATCATGGCCATGAAACTTTACCATGCACATTGATGGCTTCGAAATGATTCAAACGGTGATATTTTTATTAAATTAATTGAATCAAGTAACGCATCAATACTATTCATTCGATTTTATGGAACTGCATCCATGATTTATGGTCTCATTAGCTGCCACAAGACATGCGACAAAGTAATAAGAGTTGCTCGTTCCTGGCTTGAAGAACTGCAGATTTGCTATAGGACGAAGAATATATTTCACAATCCTTGTTAGCAAGTCGTTTTGGATAGAGACTCCTTGGATTTTTCAACATCATCATATACATGATAGAGGCATAAAATTTCCCTTAAAAATGTATACCACCTACCCCACATCGCAGCTTTTACTTGACGGTGGGAGCAAAACTTAGAGGGCGTACAAAGTAGCTATTAATTCTGCCCGCATATATTTCATGGATCAACATCGGCGATACTTGGCCCTTTGCCGCATCAAGTGCAGAAAACTACCATCTTTTTGTGTCTAATCAGCTAAAATGAACTGAGCTGAGATCAAGCTATTTACAAAACTATTGGAAAACAGCCTTGGGGGCTACCCAATTGGGCGGCATGCCGTCTCAGCTCCTATCCTCTTGTGAAGCTAGGCCAATTATAGTTCAAAGAATAAATAGTTGTCAATGGATTTCAGCGGCAAAATTCTGGGCTTGGCTTTGGATTGGTAGCATGTATGATCCAAGTTGAATATTATTTGCCTGATCACATGTAGCCGCAATAAGTACTACGAGGCAGATCTATTTGATACCTTTCACTATGCCGCCGCGTTCTTATATAACGGATGGCCCTCCAGGATTTGGCAGAGATACTCCTGAATTATTATAGATAATCTCTCGACCAGTTTAAGAGCTCCACTACCCATGGATAAAGCCAAAGACATAATTCAGTTCTTCAAAGATGAAGAAATACCAGTGTACGCAGTTGGCGAATTGCCGTATGAACGATCGGTAGCAACAGCCAACTTCCTCTACCGATTCGCAAGACCCGACTGTGTTGTGCAGCCTAAGCGAACTTCACAGGTCCAGACAATTGTTAGAGAAGCCAAAGAAAGGGGCATACCCATTACGATTAAGAATGGCGGCCATTCTTATGCGGGCGCATCCACCGCTGAAAAGGGCATCTCGTTGGACTTGTCCCGAATGAACAATGTTAAGCTCGATACCGACTCGAAGATTATGACGCTGCAAGGAGGTGCGTTATGGGGACACGCGTATAAAGAGTTTGTCAACAAGAAGCTCAACCAATATGTCATCAACGGTGGACGATGTCCAACGGTGGGCGTAAGCGGCTTCATTTTGGGAGGTGGCCTCAGCCCGTTTACGAGAAGTTTCGGCATGGGCTGCGACACTCTCAAAGAGATTACAATAGTTACCGCGGATGGAGCAAAAGTCACCGTGAAGGAGCGCGGCAATGATGACCTCAAGAAAGACATGCTCTTCTGGGCGCTCTGCGGAGCGGGTGGCGGCAACTTTGGAGTCGTGGTGGAAATGAAGTTGCAAGTCCAAAAGCTACGATGCGACAAAGTCGTGGCTGGCAGATATACTTGGTGGCCACAGGACGATCCGGGCAAGATGAAGAACTTTATGGAGACGATGCGGAGCTTTTACGCAACTGCTTGGCCAAATCAGCTCACCATTGATAGCTCTTGGCTGTGCGATCTTTCACAGAGCAACATTGGTGTCAGGTTTCTCGTCTACCATAATGGCGATAAAGCCGAATTCGAAAAGCTTATTAAAGAAAACATTTCTGATGAGGATTTATCGAAACCACTCATAAAACGATCCCTGGAAGAGCCGTCTTCTCTATTCCTTCATGAGACGCTAGTTGCTCAGTGGTCAGAAGAGACTGAGAAATCTTTCCCCCAGAATCCATCTTACATGATTTATTCATCATTTGTATTTAAGAATGATGCGGATGATATTAAGGCCATTACAAACATCATCAGAGAAAACATGACTGCTTTCAGGGCAAAGTTTCCAGGAGAACGTGGCCTGCTACAGGTAACCTGGATACATGCGGGCGGCGAAGCAGCTTCCAAAGACTCATCAGCTACAGCATACCACTGGCGCGATTGTGTTTACCACACATATATCATGGTGCAATGGTATGAAAAGTTCTTGGAGCAAGATATGTGGGACTTCCTCAACCGTCTCAAGGGAGAGTTGAGGCCGTACTCTATTAATGGGCAAGCGGCGTTTATCAATTTTCCGGATGCAAGATTGGCATCGGACGTTCATGAGCAAGCATATTATGGAGAAAATCGCCATGCATTGCAGCAAGTCAAGAATATGTGGGATAAGGATGATTTCTTCCATTGGGACCAAGGCGTGCGCCGTCCAGCTGAAGAGCTGAAAACCGAGACCAATGCAACATTGCGATTGGGACTGGAAGATTCCCTATTTATAGAATCACTGGAGAGCAATATCGTCGATGAAAAGGACTTTTATACCTCCAGGATATCATCGTTCAATATGGCCATGTCGAACCTTGAAGATGTTCCAGATAACGGGTACAGCTGGGATAAGCCTCTGGCAAATCAGTTGTTATCAAGGCAGTGGGAGACTGTGACACTTCCTTCGGAGAAGATATTTGATAGAGGCATCTACAACTTGAACGATTTGGGATTCTGACGTCCTAGGAGCATTTGCGAGAAAGGGAGAGAGCCAAGAGACTTTTATAGGCATCAAAGGAAGAGAACAAGCAAGGTAGTATATTAGCATGTAATACAACTTCCCTACTACTGCCACTGCATTTACTGTTACCACGTCTACAGGTAAACTGGCCCTGTCGCGCATTCATTGTAACAATCGTATGGCTTTGTGTGAGGTTAAAAATGCTGTGAAACCAAAGGGACGCTGCCCCACGCCGCTCCAAATATGCATTATGCATAATTGTAAGGCGTCGCGTGAGGTTAAAAATGCTGTGAAGTCCTGATTCAGGAGAAAAGAGTACTAACTTATCTGAGCTACAGTGGAAGATTAATTCTGACGATGAGGAAACTTGGGATATCGAGTTATAATATCGAGGTTAGGTAGATTGGGAGCTTTATTACATGTAGCTATTGGATGCATGAAAAGCTAATGAAGACTGCCTAGGCACTATAGCCACCTTCGAATCTGATGTGATTATACAAAATTATTTTGAGACAGAAGCTGTTATAGTCGACCGCAATCGGTTGACTATAACAGCTTCTGTCTCAAAACACAGTGCGCAAGAGCTTGGCTACCAGCCTTCTGATTCTTGATGGTGTGAATACACATATGTAGGACTTTGATTAGATCTGTATCAAAATAATTTGGTTGAAATTGATTCATAATGTCCATCTCTATTGTTGAACTAAAGATGGTAAGCTGTCGTACAGACTAAGGGTTTGCTAATAACTCCAGTCTACAGCGCCATGTTAGAGTCTCTTGTGAGCTAGGTTTTGGCGACCAATTAAGCGTGTCATTCATCCAACCTTAAAAAGAGAGCTACTTATAAGGTACTGTAGCTGCGGGAGACAAAGTCTTCCATACCAGACACTGATCAACTGAGGTTCAAGGCCCTGTTCCACAGAGACAAGCCTTTAGCTTCCGGGGTATTGCTTCATGTTCTTGCGTAGGAATCATGATTGCTTGCTCTTGTAATCAATCCACCAGCACTACACCAGCAGCCGAAACACGGCCCGCATTAGTCATCCATTCCCGAGCTTCGAATGGCCGGAACCTGCATCTTGCAAGTAAGCTTCGGAGTTCGCTAGAAACATGCTTATACGGGCGCCTCCGACTGGATACCCTCTTATACAGCCTTGCAACTCTTCACCGACTTTGCACTCATTGATGCCAGGCTACGCCGTTTTTGTGCCTGGAAAATGCGCACAACCCTGCGCAGGTCCTGCAACGCATGCGCAAAGGCGAAGCTTGGCTGTGATCTCCGAGTTCCGCAGTGCTCTCGATGCCTCAAGCGCAAGTCCAAGTGCGTTTATGCCAACTCGCCTCTGAATACGCCCCTGGACGCAACGGGGCCATTAGCAGAGACGACGGGGCACAGCTCGTTACATGTAGCTGCTAAGAATGAGGGCGAGGCGTTGTCTGTGGTGTCGCAGGAGAGGGAGATGGTATCGCGACCCTCGGAAAACCCGGGATTGTTGATAAATCCGGCGACAGCGTCCTTTGATCCCTTTGACTCATACCCGTCGACAAGACTCCCTCGACTGCATGTGCAACGCCTCATCCACCGGTGTAAGTCTTTCTCTCTAATGAAGGCATGTTTTGGCACATTCACACACTGACATTTCCAGTTCTTTCCAGCATTGCGTTCCAATATTATCCCTTGGATCTCAATATAGAGTCAAATCCATTCATTGTTTCCTGGTGGCCGCTTGCCCTCGCAGATCAAGCGTTATTCCATGTTTCATTACAGACAGCCTCTCTTTATGAGGAGCTGCAGGCGCAAAAGGGATTTCCAATATCCGACCTCCTCATGGTGGACTCGATTGCGTTAGTCAGAAGAAGGATCGAAAACTCGTCATTGGCGTTTCAAGACGAGACCATTGACTCTGTGGTGACCTTGGCGGCCATTGAGGTAAAGTGCCACTGTATAGCGAATGAATGAACATTGCTTACTAACACGGGAGATGGACAGCATGGCAAGGGAAACATCGAAGCCAGCAAAACGCATATCGATGGAGTCAAGAGGATGGTCATCTTCAGAGGTGGAATCAATGAAGTAAAGCGTAAAAGTCCGCTGACGGCGCGTATGGTGTCATGGTGAGCGTTGCAGATACTGATGACGAAATGGCTGCTAACAAGTGTCGCGCAGGGTATCTATGCTGGTAATGGGAGCTCCTCAATTCCCAGCCAAGGATGACTTTGGCGACGGAGATGGTATCAGTCCAATACCGCAGTGGCAACTTGCTTCAACCGACGCAGAAACGACGGGAGGGATCTTTGACGATTTAAATATAAACCCGGCCCTGGGCAGCATTTTATCACGTCTAAAACCCATCTTTCAGGACCCACGGCATTCGAATCTCACAAATACAGCACTGCATGATCTGACGTGTTATGTCATACACAGGCTGCTGTTGCTGCCTCCACTCATAGATGGGAATCCGATGCAGTCAGCTGCTTCAGAGTGCCTTCGATATGCGGCGGCCCTCTATATGCTAATCATACACGGCACCACATACTATTCCCACGCCGGATTGGCACACATCATAATCCTTCAACTACGGTACCATCTAATGGTCTTGGCTGGAACTAGCTACATGCATGAGCCACACATAATCTGGGCTCTTTCTGTTGGCATGGTGTCGACGATGGGGGGAGAGGGCCATCAGTGGTTCTTGAATGAAACCACTGCGGCTGCAGAAACCCTCGACCTCGAGACTTGGGAGCATGTGCTCATGCGGCTGCAGAGCATACTTTGGATAAGAGTGCCACAGGAAGACCTTTTTCACCAGACGTGGAATGAAGTATTTGAGGCTGCTGCGAAACGCAGGCAACAAGTTTCTCTGCTTGCATCGCAATCACCCAATTAGGCAATAGACCTTGTTCAATACCCTTGACCGCTGGCACATCAAAACTTTGCGCTAAAAAGACCCTTTTATAGCATGATTGCTTTGTATACATGGATAAAGACTCTCTGGCAGGGGGTTGTTCATATCAGCAGGGAAAGACAAGTTGTCTCCAACCCTGCGGCTATAAGCAGCATTTCGATGATACGGAGAATCTTGCTCAGGCAAAAATAAGCCATGATCACTCCCGTCGCCATGTTCCGCATCCGAGCGCAGTCGCATGTTTTCCGAGCAAACGTCCAACAAAAGAGTGGACTCTGGTCGATGCTAATGATGACAGGCCAATCGAATCTCTGCCCTGAGCCAGGATGAAGCGAAAAGTCCGCCGGGCTGCCCCGTATCGAGGTACAGAATTCGGGGTCTAGAACTAATCAGGACTAGACTCCGAATATCTTAATCGCAATGGTAATTCGGAGCAATCAGGCTTTCATCGTATGGCATACCAAGCACAATGATATGTCCGGGTCAGGACACCCTTTGTTTTCGGAGTCTAGCACGTAAGCGGCTACTCAGTGCTAGAAGACAGAGTCGGAACTGGAAAAGGATTACAAGTATACGAATACGAGACATCTCAGATAATTCGTAGATGCAAAACGAATGCGCCAACCGTCTGCTTGGTGGTATCAAGTCTGGCCACTTTCCACTTTGGTTAAAATTGGCTGCAGTGAGCTAATTACCCAGTGTGCTGATGTATTTCAAGGCAGCAAGATGTTGGTTGTCCGTATATATTTGGTCCAGTTGCCTCTCTTTCAAAGTCTTTCCCGTATAGACCCATTCGTGTATCCTCTGCAAGACACGTTCTTGTAGCTGCCTCCGAAATCATGGCCACTATTATCGAAAGTGGCATTCCAGCCACTGTCCAAGTCATAACGAATGGTACTCAGAATGATGTTTCGAGTCAAGCGAGTGGTCTGTTATCAAAATATCTGCCTAGTTCGAACTGGCAGATAGCTGTCACGGCGTTGATGATTTTGATCGCATACGATCAGTGTATGTCGTCTAAACCATCTCAAACAATTACAACAACAAGAGCTACTACAATTGCTGACGCATTAATAGTTTTATATATAAAACAGAAAGGATCAATAGCTGGGCCCATGTTCAAGATTCCACTCATGGGACCATTCCTGCAAGCAATCTACCCAAAGTTCGATGCCTATCTCGCACAGTTCGCCAGTGGCCCCTTGAGTTGCGTATCTGTATTCCACAAGTATGTGTCTCGCATTTCCTTCTACCCGTAGCTAGATATGCCCGTTTTCTGCCGTTTGATAGACGTTGGACTGACTTTTTGACAGGTTTGTCGTCTTGGCCACGGACCGCGATCTCGCACACAAAGTGTTCAAATCCCCAACGTTTACGAGACCATGCCTTGTCCCGATGGCGATAGAGATAATGCGTCCTACAGCATGGGTTTTTCTGAATGGAAAAGCACACGCCGAGTTCCGCAGAGGATTGACTGGCCTATTCACAAACAAAGCTTTGAGCACATATCTGCCAGTTCAAGAAAAGGTCTATGGAGACTACTTCAAAAAGTTCGTTCAAGCTAGCAAAAAGAACAAGGGAAAGCCCTCTGTGTTTATGGGTTGGTTCAGAGAGATCAACTGCGCGCTATCATGCCGAACATTCTTTGGAGATTACATCTCCCAGGAGGCAGTCAAGAGAATTGCAGACGACTTCTACCTCGTTACTGATGCTCTCGACCTAGTCAACGTCCCGCTCTCTATCTATATCCCATTCACAAAGTGCTGGCGAGGAAAGCGTACCGCAGATGCCGTGCTGGCAGAATTCACAAAGGCCGCTGCGGCATGCAAGGCCAACATGGCTTCCGGTGCCAGACCTACATGCATCGTTGACCAGTGGGTTGAGCACATGTTTGAATCTCAAAAGTACAACGAAGCAATTGCTGCAGGTGCCGAGGGAATCGAGAAGCCGACCAATCTTATTCGCGAATTCTCACCGGAAGAAATCGCCCAGACACTATTCACTTTCCTCTTTGCGGCTCAAGATGCGTCTAGCAGCGCCACCACATGGCTGTTCCAGATTATGGCTCAGAGACCAGATGTTTTGGACCGCTTGCGGGAGGAGAACTTGGCTGTGCGAGGTGGCGATAAGAACCGACCGTTCGAACTTGGCATGTTCGAGTCAATGACTTATACGCATGCCGTGGTCAAAGAAGTCCTCCGCTATCGCCCGCCCGTCATCTTTGTGCCTTACCTCGCCACCAAGGCATTCCCGATTACCCCAAACTACACGGTTCCCAAGAACGCCATGATCGTCCCGACTTGTTACCCGGCTCTTCATGACCCGGTAGCCTATCCGAGCCCTGATGTATTTGACCCAGAACGATGGATCACAGGCGATGCAGAGTCAAAGACCAAAAACTGGCTGGTATTCGGTGCTGGCGCACACGACTGTATTGCACGACGATATGTGCCGCTTACTCTTGCTCACATGATTGGCAAGGCTTCACTGGAGGTTGATTGGGTGCACCACGAAACGAGTCGCTCGGAAGAGATTCGAGTTTTTGCTACATTGTTTCCTATGGTATGTTGAACATGAAGACCAAACCTCATCCTGGCTCACTATAGATCGTATGGCTAACTATATACGCAGGATGAATGCCCACTTGTTTTTACGGAGCGAAAATAAATCTCAGTCTCAGCATCAAAGTAGTGATCAATAATTAGTATCTAATCGTATAGAGAGCGTCAGACACTCAGATAGATGAGAGAAGGCGTTCGATAATAAGATGACGTGATAATGAATCCAGCTTATATATCTCTATCGTTGTTGAAGATGGGCTGTCTATGAATGTAATAAAAAAGAATTGTGTGTATGTGCTATATACATAAGTAAACCACTGTCTACCATCTCTATAAAAAAGCCCAAGCAGAAAACAAAAGCCAAGACTAAGCCCTATGTATGTAAATACATTACAATGTCCATACTGTAAAAGAAGATGTCAAGTAAAACAGCGGCAGGAAAAAAAACCTATCGGTATCTTGAAAAGCATGGCAGCTACTTAATTCAAGCAAGTTTGGCATGCTCTTGCTCCAGCTTCTTGGCAAATGGCTTCATACTTTGGCAGAGTTTATCCTGTGATTTCACTCACTATCAGCCACAATTCAAAAGCAAGTTGCCCATGGTTTAAAGAAAGACTTACAATAGCACCTTGAGGCATCAACCACAAGCCAAACCGAGCTACACCAGCGCCGCCACCGACCCATTGCTTGCCAGTCGCCCCCCTTTCCACTCGTTGCAAAACATCCTGGGCAAATGCGTCCGGCTTCTGGCCATAGGGATTCTCCTCTGGGTTTTCCTCAATGATGTCTTTTATGGGCTTATAGTAAGAGTTTTCTGGGAAGATGAGCGTTTGTATGTTGACAAAGAAGTTTGTTGCAATGCCGCCGGTCACGAGAGTCATGACGCGAACTCCAAGCGGTGCCATTTCAAGGCGCCAGGTCTCGCCTCCTTGAATCAGTGCCGCCTTGCTGGCGTTGTAGATGCCTTTTTCCAAAATTAGCTTGGGAACATAGGGAGTGAAGTTGAAAGTGTACATACTTGAGAAAGGAAAATTGAAGACACCGCCCACAGAGGAGTTATTAACCACACAGCCCTTGGCTGCGACCAGCAAAGGACCAAAAGCTTGCATCATAGCCAGGGCTCCGAAGAAGTTGAGATTGAATAAGCCCTTGGCTTCCTCGAGGGATGTGTCGAGGCCTGGCATATTGAGTCCTAGCCCAGCGTTGTTGATGAGGACGTCGAGTTTGCTCGTTTTCTTCTGAACTTCTACAAGCGCTGCTGCAATCGATTCCGCGGACGTCACATCGAGTGCGAGAATAGTAACGTTGGGCGCGTCATGGAGAGGCTGCGGTATCTTGGAGGGCGAGCGTGCTGTTGCAAAGACGTGATAGCCCTTGTTTTTGAAGGCTTCAACGAATGCGGCGCCAACTCCACCGGCGGAGCAGCCTGTGACGAGACAAGTCTTCTGTAGAGCCATTGTTTGGTAGAGGGAGTTGTTGTCCCGTTTTGTACAATATAGAAGTGGTGTATTAGAGCTATAAGTTATAGGCAGATGAATGTTTCGACTATTCCTAGGGTTCTACTTGCTTCTTATATATCTTTCTTCTTCCATTTATACAACGCTTCCGCTTTTAGCTTCTTGTCGCCTATCTCAGCGTATTCTTAGCATAGACCCTCAGCCACTACTCACCGTCTAAGTCAGATTATGGCTGACGATGATCTTACCCACTTCGTTATGATTGGCTGCAAACTCCGGCGGCGACAGTTCATTGGCCTGCGACTCCGGAGATGCTTTAGGAATCTTGCTGGCTCAGCTAAAGGGTCCTGTCAAGCAGCCTCAATCTCCGTCGTCCTTTGCATTTATATTTTTTTTTCCAAAATACCTTGCCTGATTTGCTCCAATTACCGAACTTCCGGATGCCCAATACCCGAGCCAAATCTTGCGACAACTGCCGCGTGGCCAAATCGCGATGTTCCTTGTCATCTCCTTGTTCGCGGTGCGCAAAGCGCTGCCTCCAGTGCCACTATCCGCAGAGCCGTATGCGCGATGCAGGTATTCAGCAACGCAGGAAGGATTTTAGACCAATATTGCCTGTGACGAATGGCCCGATACCCATTGACAAAATTGCAAACCATGGACGTCTACTTTCGGAGAACTCAGTTTCTGTCGCCGAGATTTCAGATGCCGTAGCAGCAGACGCAGCAAACTACTTTGCCAGTTCAGACGCAAATTCTGAAGAGAATTTGTTTGATGCTATGGCTGGGTTACTCGGTACTGGTACCAAGATGCCAGACCTAGCTATCTATCCGAGCGATACATTTTCACCTTTTGACATTTCTGTGACACCGGCATTTGGTCATGAGACGACTCCATCGCCGGATAGACAGGGAGATTCTGACAACAGCTCTGTTTCTCGATACTTTGTTGATCCTTTGCAAGCATCGGATCCTCTTTCTCTTCCATACCCTATGTCGGGCTTTGGACTCAGCACTGCATCTTCTATTATGCCGACTAGCATCAGTTTCAATAGCCCGAATTTCCTATTGATGGTGATGGACTCAGCTGATACCCCAGACAAGCCTCCTCTTTCGATGCGCGAGAGATCATTTCAACAAGGCTCTCTGACAGCCAAGATGATATTAAGCCAGCTCTTTGACTATACCCGCCGAATTGCAGAGGGCAAAAACTTGCCGCCATTTATACATCCCCCGTGTTTCCTTAGTCAAAACAACGAATGCCCTACAGAAGCACCTCATAGTTGCTTGCCTCAGTCTTTGGCTATTTGCAGAAACCTTACCCAAATGTTCTATTCTCGAACCTCAGAAAGCACTTCTTTCATTTGGCGGCAGATATACATTCACCTGCGCGAGATGCGCGCGGAGGTAAGTTGGCCAATTATGATGATCCCGAGCTTGGAGACGTAGCGAGGAGAAGTACTTACCGACTACTTTGTTAGTATAACAATTATGATACGAAAAGCATGCTAGAGGCTTTACAAGCGACCTTGATATATGGCCTGTTATGTTCACAGTCCACAGAGTCCGTGCCGACAGAGGATATTGACTGGCTAATTTCAACAACAGAGGTAAAGACTGAGTCACAACTAAACCTTGTCGCATGAACATCATACTTATCTTGCTATCCTTGCACAGATTTTTGCTCGCCGAGTGTACAGCATCAGCTCATACGACCAAGGGTTAGACTACGCATCCTTGTCTCGCAGCAAATGGGTCTTTGTGGAAAGTCAAAGAAGGTATTTAGCCCAAACATGACATATGCCTCGCCTTTAATACTGACCATACTCAGAATGGCATGCCTCATGTACCTAATGGACTTACTACTTCATGTTAAAGGCCAAACTCCTTCGAAGGGGAGATGCCCGGAGTTTGTCGATCTGCCTTTGCCCTGTACCCGAGAACTTTGGCAGCCTATATCCGACAGAGACTGGAGAAGAAGATATAACGAGGAGAATAACTCAAAGTTAATGAAGGGAAATCGGGGTTTGACAATGGGAAATTTATTTTTGCTGAGGCAGTCATTGTCTCGTGGCGAAAACTTTCTCAAGACGGCTAAAGCTGGCCTCGCGAGAGAATTGGCCGAATGGGTTGAGAAGGTGGACGATTTGTCGATGCTTTTGTGGATGGCGGTTGCGCTAGAGGGGGATGGACAAGCCAAGATGATACAAGGGACGTTGGCAATGGAATGAGAGCGAAAGCATGCCGCTCTAGAAGCTGCACTTTAGGAGCATGGTGTTTCATTATCTTTGTGTGTATCAACTTGATGTACTATTGCTGCAGTAAGAGCTTATGGCACAATCCACATGAAGTTTTATTATACATTATCAATTAGAATGTAGCCGACAGGCACTCTGGCTCAAGATATCATCCAGCTATATAGTATGGATACTCTTTTGGTCTTTGTATAGGACATAAGTTTGATGACGCGACCACCACCATTCCAGTCTCCCATCGCAAGAGAGCTCAACAACTCCCTCAAGGCCCCATTCAGAGCTGCACGGAGTGGTAGTAATTGCAGCAACATAAGGATGCACGTCGGTTCTTCTCTTGAAGCCCAAAAACCATGATGGAGAAATTTCCAAGTCCATTGAAGGACACATACAGTCCAATCGTACTTGTCCAACGCTTTCTCGATGGCCATTCGAGAAATGAAAGAGCATACCTGAGTAGCCTGGTTTGTCGAAAAACTTACAAGGAGTAACACTCACTAGACCAGTCAAGTCGTGGTCCGAGTAAAAGTAATCTTCTATGACGGAAGGAGATATACCCCCTGATGGTTTGGGTATAGGAAGTGGAAATTCGGGGGGCGCAGGCTTGTCGCTCTCGAATGCTAACGACATTAATTCCGTTCCTGAACAATCGAGGAATACTTCTGCCGTCTGGCCCGGTCTGCCTACTAAAGACCAGTTTGTACACCGACCAGAATAGACGCCAGCAATGAAGACTCTTCCTGTACTTGTTTTGATCTAGACAATTATCTCAGCGTGGTATTATCTCAAATACGATTCTTCAACTTACCCCTAGAGCTCTCTCTCGGCGACTTAAACTCTGGCGCAGCCAGACTTCAGTGATGACCTCGCCAGGATCGATTGGCATATGCAGCCAGGATTTATAAGGGCTGGACTGGTACCTGAATCCAGCTTCGCCTCTCCGGTGAGCATATAATTTGGTCAATCCTATATCCCAGAGAATGGAATAACCAACGATGGAAGGGTGGTTGATAACGAGCGACGCCATTCGATCCGGAAGCTTGACCAAATGGCTGGGAGTAAAATGCTCAAATCGGACGCTGTTGGATTTTGGGACGCTCCATGCAGTATCATCCTTCTCCACACCCATCAGACGGCGAAGTTTAATGCCCTAATGAGATAGTTAGACTAGTATTAACCATAGACATAAAGTAAGAGATGGCACACATCTGAGGATGCGCGAATATTTAAACTTTCTTCGTCGATACGACTTTTGCGCCACCATATCCCTTCGACCTCATCGACCTTTGGTAAATTATGGGGGCTAGAGAAGAGCAATTTTGTGATGCCGAAGTGGTTCTCTGCCGCATATACGTCGACAATTCCCGCGTTGGACGGTTGGAATACCAGTTCCCAGTCATCACTTTTGGGCTCATTGGAGAATGTCGATACATATTGGTTACCCTCAAACTCAACGTACTTGCACCATATAGGCTGTGTCGTGTTGGCATAGCAAGGCTTTGGTGTAGGTTCCCACAGACTTTGTAGGTTCGCCGTTGTAAAGTGCGGCAGTAGATACTCTGCAACGATTTCCCAGAGCTCTAATGGCAGATTCGATTTTGAGTGCGCAAAATGTGTCAAGAGCGCTGTACCCATAAGGGACTTGATTTTGCGTTGGCGGATATCCAGTTGCCGAGCACTAGGCATGTAATCATATTTCGACGCGTCTGTCATATCCCAGAGGCATTTTAGATATCGCGGACTTATCATGTTCAGGCACTGCCGATGACAGCGTCTTAAGCAGTGAAGCTCCCAGATAGATTTGAAATATGAATAAGTAGGGGAGGGGCATATCATTCCGCCGTATTTGGTCTCGTCATCCCCTTGTAGCCACAAAGTCAGCCTCTATGACTACCCAATACACAAAGCCGCAACGAACCTGTGATGATATCTTCGTCTGAAATAACAAATTGGCAGAGGGAGCATCGTAGTCCTCCCGCCATGGTGAATTCTGTCTAGAGATGTGTGATGGTAATGAAGCAGGATGGCAGCCTTGGAGAGCAGGTATGGTGGTGTTGTAAGAGAAGCAAGGCGCACGATCAAAGGATAGAAAGGACACAGTTGCAAGAGGTGGCTGATGTGTGCCGAGGAGATTCTGCGAATCCATTTAATGGAATCCTTATCGTTTATATACCTGTTTATCGGTCCATCGGTTACGTGTAGGCACATGTAGGTAGACATAGAATGAAGTCATTGCGAGAGGCGACACGTGACCCGCCTCTTCCCCCAACTGCCACATATAGATCTATGGATCTCCGAGGAGCAAAACCGGCCCTTCTGGACCATCTTTCGTCAGAATGGTCAATTTGCGAGACAAGCCACAGAGATGGGATCAAAAGTCTCTCCGTTCTGTTATCAGGCCAATACGAGACAGTCAGGTGCTCATGCTCTAGATCTCAATTATCATCACCCAAACATGGCAATGAACTCCTTCAGCTTTTGATGCAATGGATGAATAATTGGCAACTGTGAATTTCTGAGGAGCTCCTTGGTATATTTGACTACTTAGTCTTATAATGAGAGAAAAACCACTGTGCAGTTTCGTGAGCCAAACCCAGGATGCTCAGTCCCGCAAACGGTCAAAAGGGCATTTCATCGTTTTCAGGAAAAGTCAGTATCGGTGTATCTAGGCAGCCACATCATCCGGGTTAGATGAACCCACCAAGCCAATATTCATCGACTTGATCCCGGTATCCTGTCGCGAAGTGGTAGGTGTGGGGATTCCCTGATTTCTAGAAGCAAGTCGGCGCGAATAGGCTACCCGAGCAAGACTGTAATAAGGCATAAAACTAATAATAGCAGAAGAAAGCGCAATTAATCTGAGCCACAGAATGAAAAAAAAATCCAAGCGAAAAGTCTATTAGGCAGGAAAGGTTTGAGTGGCGCTTTGCGAAAGTATCTATCGGTGTTGGCAGAAGGTACACACTATCGCTCACTACTAGGTACTTCTACACGTATAATCCGAAATAGTAAGAAAAGATTAGAACTTTGGTTGGATGTACATCTGAATATGCTATTAGAAGCTTCGTTTATATATTGATATTGCTCATGATACCACTGGATGAACGTGTGCTACTGCTGATGGCTTCCCAAAGATACAACTTCCATCCAGTGGTCAGGAAATGTTGCGATCTGCATTTCAATCTACCTGTAGTGTCACAACAGAAGTCACAACTATGGCGAATGATAATATAGCTACTTCCGGACTCCATAACAAGCTGGTATAGTGAAACATAGGTAGGTAGGTACCGAAAGATGCCGGAAACATAAGTCCTCAATATCATACATGGAGGTACACATAGTGCGGAACCTAGACACGTAAGTGTATTATATACAAAGGTAGGTAATGTAGAATTATCTTCTAACGGTACCTACTCAAATTAATACCGCATTAATCTGGCCTGCTGTTTGCACTCGTATCTGCATGGCCCACGTTCACTCGCCACTCGGTTTGGCTTTGTAAATGCACGCAGTATCAAAAGAGAGAACTGGTAAGATCATCATCATATCGAAGTATGTCGATTATTCAATTTGGGGCTCTCAACTGTATTTTCCGGAAAGGCTGATGTAGAGACAAAAAGTTGGCTCTTGTAGGGATGAACTAACATTCATGTTCCTTGACCTACCTCTTAATCGTTTTAATTCAAGTTTACTATAGTTTTAGCGCCCGCGATTTTCTTACCGGACTACGTGTATGCGACCTAGACGGCCTGCTTATAGCGCTTCAATACTGATAACATGTCACCGACAATAAGAATGCAGGGTTTTTAATACTGGAATTTCTACCATTTAGTTGACTGGACTCAAATTTGAATAAACACCTGATTTGTCTTAATATTACGGTTTTATCCATGTGCATTTGAGGCAGTCGAAGAAGCCCTCCAAGATCGGATTTTGTATACTCTTTCGGGCAAGGCATTTGTTTAGCTACATGCAAGCGTGTTTATTTCATCGCCATTTCAAGTTCTACCGAGGCATTTCACATGGCTCAAGTCTGATAAAAATGGCTAGACAGCTGCATTCGCCAACTATAGAATTTTTAGCAGCAAACTCACCATGCAATAGGGAAGAAAACCCGGCTTTTTACGGCATTGCGGCTGGAGCAACATTTTATGCTTAAGCGTCAGCGACCTTTTCTCCGCACCGAACTCTACTCAGAAATGATCTGTAGATTACGCCTTTGCCTCGGATGAGCGGAGTAAATGAATGCTATTTATATAAGCTCATGGCAAACTGAACAGAAGTTGCTCTCAATGCGGATGCATACGATTCTGCATTTTCGTGGAAATTAATCACAAATAATCTCCAGTATACCTCAGAGCCTCACAATGACGCCACCAACCGGAGACGAGAACACGCCTGTGCAAGTTACCAAGACTGCTGACGGCATCACTACCATCACCATTAGCAGACACCACCGCAGAAATGCAGTTGACGGCCCTACCGCACGAAAGCTGACCGAGGCTTTTATTGCTTTCGAAGACGATCCTACTCAAAAGGTGTGCGTCTTCCATGGCGCCCATGGATCCTTCTGCGCCGGCTTCGATTTACACGAGGTTGCCAAATGGAATGGTCCCGGAGACATGGACTACATGGGCCCAATTGTTGATGGCGGTCATGCCGTGACCGGTGACCGCCAAATCGGGCCTATCGGTCCCTCTAGGCTTCAGATCAAAAAGCCTGTGATCTGTGCAGTGGCAGGATATGCTGTTGCAGGAGGCATGGAGCTGTCTCTCCTGGGCGATATCCGTGTCGTTGAAGAGGATGCTGTTTTCGGCATTTTCTGTCGACGCTTTGGTGTTCCACTCATCGACGGTGGCACAGTTCGGCTCCAAGCAATTATTGGTCTCGGCCGTGCCTTGGATCTGATCCTCACCGGCAGACCAGTTGGGGCTCAAGAGGCTCTCCAGATGGGTCTTGCAAACCGCGTTGTTCCCAAGGGACAGTCTTTGGAGGAGGCTACGAAGATTGCTAGACAGCTGCTTGGCTTCCCCCAAGAATGCATGAACGTGGACCGGTCAAACTGTTACTACTCGGTTTATAACGCGACGTCGTTTGTGGATGCGCTGAGAAATGAGTTTGCGAATGGATCGCAGGTAATTACGACGGAGAGCGTCAAGGGCGCGGCCCAGTTTAGTGCCGGAGCTGGGCGACATGGTGTATTTAAAAGTGCAGATAATTCGAACCTTTAGACGTCTATTCTATAGCACGTCTTGATTTATTAGTCTTCAACAGCTAGAGCCGTTTCTAACCTTCCATGTCCGTCAAGTTCTTGTTGCGAGTAACACACTCTTCAACTCTACTTATTTTGAATGTAGATTCAATGGAAATGTCAACTTGGACCGATGTCTGCCGCTTACATTGAGAAATGGAGCGTTCTAGTAGGCATTTCCTAACTGTATGCGGCTGTAGTAAATTTCCATGTACGAATAGGCGCGCCTTACATTTTGCGGAGATGGCGCTTATGTAACTTGCCTGTATAAAAGAAAATAAGAAACTTTGCATTCCATGGATTTGCTTCATGCACGCAAACATATGGCTGTGCTGTTTGTATTCATAACTCGGACGAAAAGATTCGCAAGGCTGTTTTATGTGAAACGCTGAAATGTCGAAGCTCGCAAGCGACCCTGGCGAGAAATCGCTTACCAAGCTCTTGGCCACTCTCACAACTACTCTGCATGACACAACTTACGTCTTCGCAACTCTTACCGACACATCGAAACTCCCACCGTTAGCTGAAACCCAGCTCTTGTTCAAAGAAACAGAGGGAATCACAGTCATTGTCAGCCAGGAATACGCGGAAGCACACAAGATTGATTTCTTCTTCCCTTGCAAGATGATTACGCTGAATGTGACGTCAAGCTTGGAGGCTGTCGGGTTCATGGCGGTCATAGCGACGAAACTGGCGGAATACAAAATGGGGGTTAACCCGGTCAGCGGCTTTTATCATGATCATTGTTTTGTACCTCTGGGGAGAGAGCAGGAAGCAGTTGAAGTTTTACATCGATTGGCAGAAGAATATAAGCAAAAGGCGCTGGTAGACAATTAGTTACCGCGCATGATTAAGATGCCTAGCATGTAGACACAGCGTTGAACAGGTCACTATAACAAATAAAGGTAGTCTACATGTATGATCAGCATTATGGACATGCACCCTTTTTTCTCTTCTTTGAGCTATAATAATGGACCAGTGGGATAACATTTCCACAAATGATCATTCTGTTTCAGATACCCAAGGAAGGCGCCCAAACGGTTTGCAAAACAACTGAGACTGCAAAATGAACATCCACTTACAGTATATTATAAAACTCCATGAAAATGCGCTGAATTAATCCTTTACATATTCACGTCATCGCGTTGTAAACCACTTGGCACCTCAATGTCCATGCCATCTCCAAGATAAAATAAGCTGATTGTGTGTGTCATAAAACTATCAACCTATAAAACAATAAGAATACTTCAATCTTGTGCTAATAAAATCCAAACATGTCATGAGTGCAATCATAATCATAACCTTCAAAGGGTATAAAGGAGCGGCCAGCCGCGTCATATCAATCTGCTACCACGTATTTCGTAAAGCCCTTTCCACCATTCAGGATTCCATGATTGGCTCGTTTGCAAATAGGAACTCGCGCAGCAACTTCCAAGCGTTTTCATAGACAGGAAGGTTGACAAAAGCGCGGTTTTCCGAGACGCTATGGAAGAAACGCTTCAAAAACTCCTTGTCGGCATGAACGTTCTGCGTATTGGCCGCCTGGCCCAAAATCAGAGCGCAGCTGAAAGTAATGTGAACAAAGAACCAAAGCCTCTGGAAAGCTCCATTCAACTTGAGCAGTTCCATGTATGTTTGTAGAGCAGATCGGCATCGGTTCAGGTAGTACTCTGTAATGTCGCTGTCTTGGGTTTCATCGCCCGTCATGGCTGGCCTATATAGGCAGACCATGACCGAGTCTGAGAAGAGTCGGAATATATAGTGTTGGAGATAGTCATTCTTTGATTGGCATTTGGATAAATCTTGTAGATGAGGAACCGATCGGGTCTCGATGACGTTGACAATCTTTCGGAAGTCAAGAATCGTTTCGTTGGGTAGCCGCTCTCCTGAGAACTTGGCCTGATTCTGAGAGTGACTGATCTTGTTTGCAGTCACAAACAAATGGTGAGAGCTGTCGAAGAATGAATAGAATCGCGGCGAAGAAGTGGTCGATGGAATGGATTCAAGGACAGTAATTCCGGACGGTCGATCGTAGCAAAGGGATGAAAGAGTGTCTTGCCAGACTAAAGAACGCCTGCAAATTTTGGATAGCATTAGTCATGTGTCCACAAACAGTCTGATGACAAAGGCTCTTACCATATAGAAGACTTGATAATGGCTTCTTCTCTTTCTTTTGTATTGCTGATAGTGTGTGGATCTGGCGTGCAGTGAATGCCCAGGGCTTGGGCAAGTCGTATTGCTAAGCCTAATATGGCACACGGTGTGTCAGAAAATGACTCGTGAAAGCAGTCAAAGAGGAGAATATGCGGGATTACTCACCCAACATGGACCACGACGCCCCTGCGTCTCCCTGGTTCCTCAGGTAGTTTACCAGCATTATCAAGGTCTGAACAACCTCTATATTTGGGTACGAAGTGAAGTTGCATGATCGTAAGCATTGAAAAGAGCAGCATGCTGTATACGAGTATCAGAATCAAAATTCCGAAACAATGAATGTATTACACCAGAGGCTTACCAAAAACCCATGCTTTCGTGGTATCAAGCTGCCCTTCTATCGAAGCAAGTTGGGCACCGCATGCCAGCATTCCGAATAGCAATCCAAACCACGAGATTGGATACACAGAAAGGGGTTCTAGGAAAGCATCGAGGGGAGTATTTCTTCGCCTTTGAAGAAACTCCTGAAGTGAAGTCTCAAAGTTTAGTAAATTTATAATCGAGGACTCGAGGTGAAATAGAGATTCTTGGTATAGTCGAAAGTGGCTTGAAACCAAAACCATTAGCTCAAAGTCTATAGTGTAATGGAAGAAACAAATCAGGGCTGTATTTACCTCAAGATAACGTCGTCTTCTGGCAAAGCGCTGTAGACCTTTTCAATGCCATCACCTGGCATCCACAGATTCGTAAAGGGAAACGTGGTGCTAGAGTTTTGAAGGCACAACAGTTCAAATATTGCCTTTGGGTCCATCAAAGTTTTCACCGAAGAGTCTTTTCCTTTTTGACCTGCCATTGAGAAGACACCAGGTAGAGACTCCGAGCCCAGATGCACCTTTGTACCGTACGGCAGCGCCAGGTCAACAAAGACGCCCTGAGCCATGGCAGAAGCCGTGGAGTTCACATTGGCAGCTTCTGACTGTTGCTGCTCCCTGCTATCCAGGCTCTGCTCGGAAGTGGATGGATCCGCTCCAGCAAAGGTATTGGTCGTGTAGTCACACAAATCGGGATGCTCCCGACTGATGCAAGTCCCGCATGGCTGGTTAAGGTCACACTTGACTTTTCGTCGTCGACACGGATAGCAAGCCTTTGCGGTGCGGAATCGACGTCGTCTAAATAGCAGCAGGTCGAAGTCTCCCGCTGGGATGTTTCCTGTTGAGTCGCCTCCAGACATTTTGATCGGGAAGCAGCGTGCCAACGAGGTTCGCCTGTGAAACATGAAGCTGAAGATATCGGATCGGGTTGAAGAGGTCGAGTTGAGTTGGGTTGTTATTGTTTTTGGTTTATTCTCCCGAGTTATCTCGCTTCTGTAAGCAATTGGTCTTTATTGACCTCCCTTTGCGTCTTCCCTCTTTTATCACATCTTTGGTGAGCGCCTTCGACTAGTGCAGCCCTCTCGTGTTTCGTATTATATCGAGCTGTTTATAAGTCCATGGTGCCTCATATATCCCAAGCGAAGGCATCACCACTCAATAAGCTAGGCCCCCCCGAGCGGCTGACAAGGCACACGCCGAAGGGGGTGTCCTCGCTAGTCTCCACAGATTAACCGAATCGATGCCAGCTAGGACAGATGCCGAAAGCCACTTTCCACTGGTGGGAATTAACAAGCTAGGCATTCCGAGTTGGAGGCGTAATACCGAGTCTCAATCCTCCTCGTGTAGAGGAAATAGACGTCACGTGAATATCCCGAGAATTGTCGCTTCACAGCTGCATCATTGACGGAAATCGCCGAAGAACCTCCTACGGTTGCTGAGTTCCTTGTTTTGCTTGTTAATTCTATTTTGAAAGCTGAAAACTCGTCACGTTTATGTAATTCTTTTTTTCGCCTCCAGGAAAACTTTTCCTATTGATGCAGGGCAGCCAACGGGATCTTCCGGATTTTGCCATCTTGAGTGTTCAACTAACTAGAGTTTACCGTGTCGATATCTGTAACCTTGGTGTTGAGTCTTGGTTTCCTAGCTTTGCCGTGACTCAAGCTCCCGCAAGCTAGTCTACCAAATCTATTTCCATTAATCCCCGTGAGTGCACGGGCGGTCAGAGTTGCATGTTTCCAGCCCTGTAGTGGGTCGACATCTCTATAATCATCCTGTGGTTCGCTAACCACCATCCTGTCGCCGCGCTTAAGCAATGACCCGGTACGTGATCCCGGGGCCCTGGATGGATAGATTAAGAGTATCGTGCCACCAGGTGGTGGCAACGTGGCGATATAGATTCGGAAATGGATAAAGTGACTGCAGCAGTTTCTAGAAAGTGAAAATCCACGTAGACGTAAGCGGGAACTGTGTATGCCTTGGCGATCGAGCGATAACTGAGCAGCTGATGGAAGCAATACGAGGCTGTTTCGTTGTGTACCTATTACACGTACCTAGTTCTATATGGCATAGTTAGTCGTATCTAATTTGATAGATAGAATACATAAATCTCACTATTTACTATACAAATAGTAACTACTGTCAACTAAGTACCTAGATCTTCTCGTATTAGATGATCTTTTTCTAAATTAAACCACTGCGACGAAGTAGAAGGGGGCTAGCTTCGTCAGAGCGAGAGCCGTAAAACTATGACGAAAACCGACACTGACAAATTCAAGAATTGCCATCTCTTTTGGCTGAACGTATGTCTCCTGCCAATCTGTACAAGGGAAAAAACCCGCCGTGGGCTATCTTGGGTGGCAGAATAGTGTTGTGAGGACTGTTAGTTGAGTGAGTAAAGCTGGCTAGTTTGCCCGCAACGCCCCATCCCTTCATCTAGTAATGCTGAAATTTTTTGAATGCTTTCCCAAAGTAGGTGGCGGACAAGCTACTGTATGGTGCAATAAGAAGATAGCATGGGTACACTGTAATCGCCGAGTGGCGGCAGTTTCGACGGCGATAGAAGGCGGGAGGATCTAGTTGCCAGAAACTCGCACCAGCACCCTTACACTCAGATTATTACGGCTATCGGATCTTTCGATATCGAGCTTGAACATAAGAGCCGGGCATTTTTCCCAATTCGCTGCTTTCATCATATTTTCTCGCATAACTGGGTATGCTTGGCCCTGCAACTTGGATGTTTGAGCTGACTATTCGGACAAGTCGGACGAGGTAACCTCTTTCCGCTAATACCCGCCGCCAACAGGTAGCATTGTTCCTCAGCATATGGCAGTTGTTGTCCAGCCTCTGCCAAGAAAATACTGGTGGCAAGTTGTGGCCTCAGTTGTCCATGCCAAACAGGCTCTTCGCAGTTCCTCAACCAAGCTGTCTTGTCAACGACCCCAAAACGGTCCACAGCTTCTCTCTCCACGGCTAATGCCGAAGCGCAAGCGACAGGCGCGGTGTTTAGAAAGCGACGGTGCCAGCGGCCCCACAAACACCCCCGAGTTGATGGCGAGACCGCCCCGGACAGTGACACAACTAGGTTTCACATAAGGGAGCCTATCAGAGCGCCGGGGAGCTTTGGTGGTCCACTTATAGCCCGCCGAGCTTTGGGCTAAGTTCCACCAGTAATGCCGAATTGTCTGCGAAAGCTGGTCATACATATTGCCTAGTTGGGATGGGCTGGTTGACGGGGATAAGCAGGGATCATCGAAGCCACCCAAAAACCGTAGCTGTGGGCTGTGGGCTGTGGGCTGTGGGCTGTAGCGTGAACCGATCTGCCTGATCTTGAACTGAGAAAGACTTCAAGGCAAAAGCAAAGGGTTCCACATTGAATTGAAGGATTCACTTACTATTAGAGGTTTTTACATTTTACAATCTTACTCAGCCCTACAGACGCTGCCAGTGTTATCGGGAGATCGCAACGTGAATATATGCGTGTAAGTTTGTACAATTGAACGCTTGTTATAGTATGTGTATAATTTTGTCGTGTGTGTTTAAAATCCCTGTATTTCCTGATTTTCTGTCCCCCGCTTGCTATGCACGAATTTACTGTAAGAGCAACTGTATGTCAGCTCACAGGCTCGTATCTCGAAATATTTCCTTTTCGACGCGTTGATCAAAATAGATTCTGTTTCTCGTTTTCTAGCCTATAGGATTGGATTGCCACGTTTAATTAGACCAATTGTGTTCCTGAACTAGACAACCCTTGCGAAATGTGAGGAAAGCAATCTTCAATCGGCAGCTATCAATGGAAGCGAGCATGTCACTACAGGCATATCGAAATTGCACTGAATTACTAGAGAAACACCTTACCCGCCCTAATCTGCATGTGCAACTAGGAAGCCATACCTACTGGCATCAAAACTCGGTGAGAAAATGACTCAACTGGAACGGATCTTTTAGCCTTATCCGAGCTGGAGTCATAGGGCTGGCAAACTTCATGCGCGATTGGTCCTAGAGTTTCCCTCCGGAGAGGTGAGACAATAGTACACATGGCCTTTTCTTAATATAGGTCTTAGTGGAAGAGCCAGGATCGGTGTATATCTCCTTGCTCTGCTTCAGGAAAAACTGGCATGGTTTAGCTCTCCAAGGAAAAAGCTATGCGCAGAGTCCAACAACTGCAAGCTCATGCTAAACACCCGGCGGGTATTCGACTGTGCCGTTTAGCTGAGATAGGAATGTGGTCCCCAACATCCTTGCTTAACAAAGGTTCGCAACAGGGGTGTCGGAACTTTTACCACAAGCCCTCACGAGCAGCACGAGAGGTGGATCAGCCCACGATGAGGAAACAATTCAGGGCTAAGGTGGAGGTGTGCGGCTGAAAATGCACGTACAATGAGATACGGCCGAGTGGTGATGGGGCCCGGGGGAACCTCTTCTCCATGGGGTACCGGCCGAGAAGTGCGTCAGGGGTCTCCAAAAGATATGGCATCTCTCGTGAGAGGAAAGTTGCAGCCATGTCAGCCCTACCTGCTGTCTCAAGCGCATCAATGACAGCCTCCCTGGATGGTCGATGCGTGGATAGTCACTCCACGGAGATGTTCTAGACTGCGGCCTAAGAAGCTATTGTCATGCCTCTCATTATTTAATGCATGAGAAAACAGGCTAGCTCCATCTTGGCTCTCGGCATATCTTGCGTATCTCATCCAGTGTTTCTATTGAAGATCTCGTGATGGGTCCTATTCTGCCTTGTTCACGATGGCAGGTCACAGTATGCCTGTTGCTCCAAATCAGGCGATTAGAGCCCAAAGTGCTGCATTAGCTCTTATAACTGTTCGGCTCATCGCTCTTCTGACAAAGATGAGATTCCCAAAACATACCTAGCGAGTGCGAATACGAAGAGTAATACATACCCCATGTATTGTGGCGTACCATATTTAGTATATCGAGTTATCAGAGATGATCAATGCTGCATAAATGGGTAGTTACTCATACGACTTTACTCTTGCCGTTATTACCAACGCCGTCTTCTATGAGACTGAGAGTGCTCAACGCATGTTGCTCATTATATTATTAATAGCTATATCTATACATTTAGTAAGCATTTAACTCGGCCTGATATCTATCATTTCCAAGCGTTATTCCGTTCCTCTCCAGCATTGCGTGTAGGGTATCAAGCTCATGCTTATCAAATTCCACCTTGTCCTCACCTAAGCGCCCATCCGCGGTATTTCCCGTCAGTGTCACTTCTTCAAGAAACGGAAATTTAGCGACTGAATCTATCAGGCGGATCATATTCGCAACAGACTCGTACTGCGCATCTATGAGCTCAACATGACGGATAGATCTGGGTAATAGGTTGACCAGAATATTTGTGTGATAGTCTGGGTTTGCAACTTCCGGAAACAAGACCGACGTTCCGTCAATTTTAAATGTTTCAAGCCGTGAAAATTCTTTGAGAGATAGAATCTGATCGCCATCATCACACAAGCCAGAGAAACAGAACATGCCTGTCTTCTGCCTTTCTCGGTGTCCCAGGTCAACTGAGATAGAGCGGAGCGTATGTTTATGCAGCGCCAAGATCTCAATCAACTCCCTAGGCGTCACACTAATCTCCTGAAGGCCAGCATATATAGTGTGGTGTTTGAACTCGAAACTCTCTAGCTGTCCACAAAGACGGACTATCGATTCTAACTGGGTCTTGGATATGTGACCGCCATCAATCGTTAGCTTTGTCACATTGCTGAGAGAGAATCGGGTATTTTTAGGCTCCTCGTCGCAATATAGACCGTAGCAAGGGCTTATAGTGAGTTCTCGTATGTGAGGCGCAAGTTCAATAATTCCTCCAAAGTATCCAACAGATATTCTCCTGATATCGCTATGGCCAATTGTGAGCTGTTGTAGCTGATGCAAAGACACCCGTCTTGGAACTTGCGCAGCCATTTGCTCTAGTAGTGTGAAAGCCCCGACACCGTCGTCGGCATAAACCTCGTGCGTAGAAACATCCATAATCTTCACGTTGGGGATCTGTGCGATAATGAGCTGCGTCATGGCCTCGTATGGGTATTCCTCTAGCCAACTCCCGAGGTCTATGCCCAGTCTAGTCGCCACATCGGCAAAGATGCTGAGATAATCTTCTGTAAGCTCAAACCAGTAGAATCTGCTGAATACGATTTCCTGCACGTATCCACCAAGTTCAGGCCGCAGACTAATAGATCTAAGGAAGCTGGCCATCTTCTTCATCTTTTCCCACGAATTAAAGCGAGAGTAAAGAACAGGCGTCGCGATGCGATTAAGGGCTTTCGATGCTCGGCAGACAAAAGACAGTGTCTGAGAGTCGAGATACCGATGGTTCGAGAGCTGCCGACAGATGAGCTGGACAATCTCCTCAGGGAGGGACATGAGCGGGAATGGCTGTGCCATGGCGCACAGAGCAGGGAGAAGTTGAATGAACGCTGAGAGGATGTTGTGCTGCCTCTATGCGTGATAGATAATATGGTCAAGGATACAGTCTTTCGAATTGACAACACAAGAGAAAGATCTGATGCGTCATGCGGCGGCCAGATACGAAAGTCAGCCCTATAAGAACGCGGCAATAGCGGCATGACTCGTACACAGACCCTTGTACGGACAAGGCGCAGCATCGATAGAGCTGATTTAACTAACTGAGGCGAAGTAAGCAAGCGCTACGAGCTTCGAATCGCCTTGGAGAACGCCCAAGTCGTTTCGCGCCCGTTATACAGCTCATAGTCAATGTCTGCTATGCGAGGCTTGACTTGAACGGATGCGAACATTTGGGGAGAAATAAGATCTCAAGTCCATGCACAGTTGTCTTATGACTTGGCTCTGTTAAAAGCTGACAGCCTGGGGTTGCCGGGTTCCACTTGCATGCTGAACTTTGTAAACTCCCCGGACTTGTCCATCGTTGTTTCAGCCTGTTTGCGAGTTGAGAGCCGCATGAGGAATTATCACATGTTTATTTTCTCACCTTTGAGCGTTGTGTGGAATATTCCGTCCATGCATAGCTGGATCCACGCCATTGAGCCTCTGCTGACACCGATATTTACCTACAGTGTAAATTGTAAGCTTTGCCAAGAACTGCAACAATGTCCACTTGCCGGATAGTATACTGCGCTGGATTCGGAAACCGCCAAGTCTAGTCAGCAACCCAGATGCCGTACGATCGATGGAGTATGCTGCCCAGTATCCACCTCTTCGTCTCCAAGCTTACCCCGGGCTCTCCCCCCCGGGCTCGTATATCGACCAAAGAACTGCTTACAGTTTGACAGGGATATTTGCCGAAGCGCCTGTTAATGGGGAATATTCCACATGCAGCAGACGACAGCCGAATTGAAGGATCGATATGCAACGACTCGTCTCAAGTCCCACCTTGGTAGAGCCGCGTCTTCCCAAAAGGGGAGTGAATCTTCGAGAAGGGATGCATCTCATAAGAAAACTTGATTGCTTGTCAAAGCCCTCTCAGCTGATGATCTGCATTTGTCACAAGTTTAATCATCAACTTACTGTTTAGAGTTATTGGAAACGAATAACACCTGTCAACTTCTAACATTTCGGAACATGCCTTATATTATTGGAGCAAAATTTACGAAACCCTTGTTCAATAATACGCCGTAAAAAAAGAAAAGGCCCGGTTGTGAATAAGCTACAGAAGTTCATCAGGGTTATGTCCATTCCAATATGGCAAAAGCTTTGGCCTCTCAATCGCCAAATTTAAACACACCCTGGTAAATAGCCGAGCGGGTATGCATAGCCGGCTTTTCTCTCAGGGTCAAGCCGCTGCAACAGAACTTTTGCGCGGGGAATTTTGGAGAGTGAACTAAGCTACTGACACAACTAATACACAACTAACACATGCAATTCTCTATACCCTGAGGCTCAGCAAAGCCGATAGACCGCCAAGCTTTAGTTTGCAACCGAACGACATGCAGCGCCTCTATTCTCAACTTTGGATTCAATAGGCTCAGGATCTTAATGATTCGAAGGAGTGTATTGGTAAGAAGCTACCTAAGGCTAGATTTTGCATTTTCATTGTGATACCTAATATTACAATGACTGATTGACGGTTTTTTTTTTTTTGACATGTTTGACTGTGTTAGTTTGCGCGCAATATTCTCCAAATCTCCGTACCCTCTGCCCATAGGAACTAGTAAATATCCTTATGATCAGCCTTAATCATATCGGCGCCCTTTTCGGCCACTGCGTACACAGAGTTCTGAATGCGGCAATCAGGAATCAATGGAATGACAGAGGCATCGATAACGCGGAGATTATGAACTCCATGAACCTTGAGCGAGGGATCAACCACGCCCTGCTCGATATTCTTGCTTAGTCGGGCAGTTCCGACGGGATGGAAAGCAGTCTGGCAGCGATCCAAGACTGCACGCTTCATCTCCACGTTTGAGTAAAGCGGCATCGGCCATGGCGACTCTGACAAAACATAGTCCTTGAAGCCCTCACCCTTGGTCAACACATCGTAGGTGAAGCGAATGCCCTCGCGCATAGCAATGATGTCAAGGTCATCGGCGAAGAAGTTGAGGTTGATGTAGGGTTGCTCGAGCGGATTGGCGCTCCTCAGAGTAACCTCACCGGGACCTGACACAGGACGGACCAGATCCACGACGACAGTGGTGTGTTCACCTTCCGGAGGAGGAGGGAAGTGCCACTGGAATGCGCTGCCCCAAAGACACACGAAATCGAGCTCAAAATGCGGCTGTCCTTCGGGTGAGAAGGGATCCCTTCCGCCGTTGGCCTTCTTGGCCTTCTGATAGTCGGGATCTTTCTCCAGGTATTCGTCAATTCGCGGGAATCCCACAACTTCCAAGAAGCCTGAGCCAGCAGGACCAGAATGATCTTTCTTATACTGGGCATGCATCTTCTCATTTTCAGGGCCCTGCCGGAGAACAGCAGTATCCATACCAACTTCGGGCTTAACACGCAAGACAAAAGGAACGGCCGGATGATCCATGAGATTCTGACCAACATGACGCGAGTCAACAATCACGTCAATGTCGAATTTCTTAAGCTCGCGCTCAGGACCAACACCACTGAGCATCAAGAGCTTGGGGCTTTCAAAAACGCCCTCTGAAAGGATAACTTCACGGTCTGCGTAGAGCTTGATGTCTTTGCCGTTTGGTAGAACAACTTGCACGCCGCGGCAAATTCGATCAGCGTAGCTGATGAGCAGCTTCTTAGCGTGAGTCTCGGCTAGAACCGTGATGTTTGGTTTGTTTTTAAGGAAAAGGTAGCTTCCGGAGCGAACTCCCTTATAAATGGTATCGCAGCAGTGGTAGAGACCGTTCATGTCGCCATCATAGATGTTTTCCGTAATAGGCTTTCCGCGTGACTTCCAAGCCTTGAAGATGTTTTCACGGAAGGGCTTCATCTCGTCAATGAGCTCGGCGTGAGAGATATGGATGGGGCCTCCACCGCCAATCTTCTTCAGCTCTGGCAGATACAGCTTTGAATCATCATGATAGGTGGCGCTTTTGCGAAGGTAAGGGACGAGAGGGTCCCAGGTCCATTCTTTACCTCCCCATTCCTCCCAGCGATCAAAAGTAGGCTTGCAGCCTGGAACCCAGGTGAAATAGTTCAATGATGAACTTCCACCCAACATCTTGCCTCGCGTGTTGGGCTTTTCAACACGCTCATAATCGTCACGCTTGACCATGGTAGTCTTATAAGACCAATCATGTTCACTGTTTCGCAGGTTCATGGCGTTGGAAGGTGTGGTAATCTCAGGGTGTTCTTCAGGGTTACCGACACCGGCCTCAATCACCAAGATGCGAGTCTTGGGATTCTCGGCCAGGCGACCGGCAACACAGTTGCCAGCCGTACCTCCTCCAACGACAATGAAGTCGAAGTGGTCGCCGTCTTGAACGCCGGCGTTGCTGCCCATGTTGCTGGATTGAATAGGCACTGTCTTATGAGATGGCATAAAGATGGGTTGGAATAAGCCAAGCAAAAGGGCTACTGAGAGGCTTCTTGCTTTGAGTCTGTTTGCTTGAAGAGTAAAGTTTTTTCAAAAGTGGCAACCAAGGCCTTTTTATACCCATCATCCTCAGCTCTAGTGAAAGTCTTAACTAAAACCCTATCGGTATACCTGATCTGGCTGGAAGCAAACTTTCGAGGCCCCGAGAGGACGGCACAGCAGGCTACACCAAACTCTGCACTCCCGTTAGCATCTCAAGTGAGCGGGATTTCAGATCTTGCCATATTGCTCTAAACCCCGCTCCGAAGAGGGGTTGATGATACCTCCTTCCGTCGTATAGATCTCACCCATGACGGGACGTCGATCTTGCTGGGTGGAACTTTGAGTTTTTGAAAGATATCCAACCATTACACTAGAAGCTGTGAACGTGACCGCGCCGTGTAGGATCGGAGATGGCGATAAGTGGATAGTTCTATATTCCCTTCACCCTTTGGGTCTCCGAAAAGAACAAACTGAACGAATAGGAAGCTGCATTTTTAGGTCCGTGGAGGAAACTGGGTGTTTAGCAATATAAAACGACCTTGAGGGTGCTTTGTGTTTGGTTCTATTGGCTGTGGCTATCACTACGCTTCTCCTGGATTAGCTTGCGGTGGCGTTCACGACAGCTCAGCTTGCTGCTATGTGCCCTGGTGAACTTAATTCGAAGCAGTGCCCAATGACGCCTCCCCAAGCTATGCAGATTTACGTCAAACCGCCGTCAAGTCTTTCTGCTCTCAGCCAAGGCCCAGCGAGGCCGTTGAAGTACTTGATGAGCGGCTGGCGCTATAACGCCGCGTGTGCAATCGTCGATGCATGCCAGCTCGGGTTAGGAAGCTCGCTCACACTTGCTACACTAGGAAACTTAATGCTCCAAAAGATGTATGCTTCGGCCAATAATTGAAGATATTCACAATCAAGGCGGCTGAGGATGGGACGATGGAACGTGATGCCATGGTGGTTCGCAAACGTGTCTCTGTCAGACTCGGCCAAGACCGACCTCAGCCGCATGAACCGAGCCCAAGCCATTGACGAACCTAATTATGCGCGGAATTGCCAGACGTTTTCAAATGACGAAATCACTTTTTTTTATAATTATTCGAAATGGCCTGATAACTTTCCCCCAGTCGCTCTCGCTTGCACATTTTAGGCAATATTAAGCATGCTACAAGTTATAGGACTTTATAGCTTAATTAGCTGTCTAGGCATGATTTGCGAACCTAGATTTCATTATGCGATATAATTGCCAAGTAATTAATCACAATCCTCAGACTGTATATACGAGTTGGCATAGAATAAAAGCTCTAGACTAGGCGGCTAGATATTGCAAGCTGTGGCCGTATGAGCTCGAATGGGGTGGCCTCGGCTGTGATGAAGCGGGATAGTCATATCGACTGCCTTTTACCCTCTTTCTCCTAGAATTGAATTGAGAGGTTTGTGAGTCTCATAAGAGTGACTGTTTTTGTAGAATTGAGCTTCCCTGGAGCTAGAATCATTCTATCTAGTGGCCCAAATGACCATATAACAAAGAAACCTCATGTTTCATATTGAATCACGTTTGTTATTTTACCATCGAAATGCGTTCTACACAACAAGACTCTTGACGAGATAGCTTCTGATTTACACCAATGTAGTTAAAGCACTAAAAGAGGGGACAAGTGGCCAAAAGCTCTCTTGCTTTAATTTTCCAGTGCGAGTGGGCAAGCCCGAGCCAAGCCTCTGCTCATGTTTGCAGCTGACGTATATGCCAAGATGCTTAAACTCAAGTTCTAGCTATTGGTACACGTAGCTTATCGGAGAACAGTCCGATTCTAAGTGAGAGCGAATCCCCAAGCGAGACGTAAAGATTAGGAGACTGCGAGGTGGGAAACTCCGCTACTTACAATGGTGATTCTTAGAGTCAGTCTATGCCCATGAATCCGGCCAACCGAGATGTTGCCACTACGATGGCGGAGCAAGCCAGAAGAGACTAAAGTCGCCAATCATTCCGTATATTTGGACTGCACGCGGTTTAATTTGAATGCACTTAGTAGCAGGTCTCTGCTATCAAGTAATCTAGAAAGCAATTGTTGTTACAACCAGCTGTGACTTGGCTGAAGTTCATAGTCTTCCTTGAGGAGCAATACTTTTTGTTCAAGAACTGATGGCGTAGAAGTCGTTTTCTGCAACTTCAATTCAAAACAGCCAAGTATACAAGTCCACTGTGAAGATGGCTCGTTTCCGTATACAGAGATTCGTATCCAACCTCGACTCTTGGTACCAAAAAGTCTCCACAGCTTCTCTGTGGACCTGTAGTTTAACAATTATACGTAATTGCTGCTTGAACAGGCCGCTTTATCCGTCTCTCAGGGCGCCTGAGATTGCGCCATCTGCAACTTCCGGCTGGTATGTAGTGACTTATCGCGGAAGGGGGGCATTTCCACTCATCACATTTGCAAGAACAAATGCTGTGCTTTGAATCGGCACGCTTGGTCGTACCGATCACTCGTCATAGACCCAGAATAAATCACCAACAACTTGTCTATCCTATTCAGTACGATGATCTTATAGATGGTGTTGCCAAGTGCGGCGATGCCGTAAACTATGCCACCCCCTAGCTTCATCCAATCACTATAGATTAGCAGCAAGCAAACCCACTAGCTTAACGGCTTTTACGGCAGAACGCGAGAAATGAGCGAGTGGGGACCGAAAGCCTATGAGTAGCCTACATTAGTCTGAGAGCTATGAATGAAGAGAGATCTGTTGGTGATATGGCTGAACGGGCGTCTGGGCCGAGCTTTCTCCATCTCAGATGAAACATTGACGGTGAGGTACATAATTTTGCATTCATAGCGTTATAGCATGACGAGGAGCGGTTATTGAGATGTTGTTGGCTACATTTTTCCCCATTTTAGATTCCAGTTTCCCAGAACTGTGGCAGCGCGTTTCTGAAGCGAAATAGAAACCACGCTCAAAATAAGAGTACTGTAGAAAACTAGATCTAATAGATATCTATTACTGAATGAATTATATTGAGCTATAAACTGGGTCCATTAAACTTGATAGCTAACATATTAGTGTGGCTGGGAGGAGCTGAACTATAGCTTGGCCAAGTCCGGCCATCCTTGCCATGCTTTGCCGCTTTCAAGACTAAAATACCAGTTCGACTCCCTCATAAATAGTTACCACTCACATGAAACCAATGACCTACCCCTCTAGTTGTTGCTAGATCGGATGAGGTCTCCATTAGGATCTAAAAGCCCTGGACTCTACGTGGCGTTACGGCATTCAAGAACACAGTTCGCGGGATACCGACAAGGCGGCTCGATCTCCGGACCAATGTAATCGGAATGATAGATCCACTGGGCCATTCGACCAGAGGCAACCAAGATCTGGTCATGGGTCAACCCTGTACAACAAAGAATAGATGATATGAAGTGGCGCTGCATTCGCCTCTCATGGATCCACGCTAAACACCGACCTGTTTCCGAGTACTAAAGTTACTAGACTTATGGAGTAACCGATAAACTTATTCCCTGTTCGTATTCTTTACTCAAGCTTCTCGAAAGAACGTATACGTCCTATTTCTCTGTGCTCTGTTCTCATCCTGGGTATAGCCCACCCATTACTCTTCAACTTTAATCAACCAGACAACAAAATTCCGCCCATCTTCATCGTTTGCCCTGAGCCGATTCTTGAGATCGCTGCTATTACTGTTCTTACTGCCATTACTGCTAGAACAGTGACGTGGTTGTTATAAAATAACTGAAAAGAGTTAGATAAAATGAATCAGTACCTCGCTTAGGATTTTGTCTGTATGTCCTTGAATAGTGGTTAATTAGCTCAGACCTCTGCGGTGCAGATAGCTAAGGCAGCTTTATGGAGACTCTTGATCCTTCACTACTTCAAAGGTCTTCATAACGGCATTGTTACGAGTTCTCACTTACTGTTTGCTGTCATTAGTCCTGTCCCGTCCTATCTCATGCATATGAATAGTCATAAATTGGCACATAATCGCCCAAGGCTTCTGACAACGCAGCAGGATACGCAGTATTGACCAATCGAGAGACAAACTAACGATACTATTGCGTATGCAAACTTCCCCGCTATCAGTTGTTGGATCAACTGGGTCTCTCATTGCGCATATACCGTTACGTTGTTTATTTTCTGGCCTTTTGAATCTAATGCCCATCCAAGTAGAAGTGGAACTGTTTTAAGCGAGCTTCTATGCATCTAATATTGAGGGGTTGGGCTCATTAAATCGTCATGGGTGTGGGATATGATTGGCGTCGTTGACTATTCCGATATTTCTGTGAACGGCCATGGGCTCTCAGGAGGCGCCCCATTCATGTACTGACTCGCAGATCTGTATCTATTCGCTTAAATTTTCAAAGAATCTGCAGGCAGTGCTCCATTTGCCCAACGCCCATGACTGATCACTCAAATAACGCTCGGCGCGCATACTCATGCACAAGCTGAGTAGCTATTTTCTTCGCATACGCAACGCTACTATCTTGTGGAACCTCTTCGAAATTATGGAGCATGTCTACCACAGGTAGGACAAGCTGGATGTCTGCCATTGACTCATCTGCTAGAGGATTCTTTGCGGCATGAGCAACAAGAACTATTAGAGCCGTAACATGGTGATGTAATGCGGCCCTGTTGTTGTGAAAGGGTTAGTTGACAAAACTCCCTGTGGCTTATAGCTTATCACCAGTGTGTATTACTTACAATGAACAAGCATGATCGTAATCAGCAACGCGGAATAGATTCAACGAAGCTCTTGCTGATGAAACACAACAGCCCGGCGGCCCTATATCTCCGCCTATGGCTAGGACCAATGGCAACAGCTGAAGAGTGGGTGGTTCGGATGCCCTAATCTGGCAGCGAGGATGGTCCCAAGCTTGCATCCTCAAGGCTCGGTAGGAAAACCCATGCAAATTAGTGTGGCAGTTGAGATAGGTGAGATACAAGACTCGTAGCAAAAAGATTCCGGCGCCCCCAAAAGTCGAGCACGATATTCCATCTGCGTAAACGCTATCCAAATTGTCCAGAGTAAAACTCAAGTCAGTACATGAAGCTTTCCAGCTGCTTAGCTCCAGTTCCAGCTCCTGGATCGCAGTTTGACGCTCCGTGGCTGTTTGGCGCCTTGCTTTTTCAGATATGAGACGTCGATGGATATGGCCCTCTATGAGAGCAAGGTGAGCCCGCACACGCATATAATTGATATTGATGGAGCCATTCTTGGAGGTTATGTAACCTAGTCCATCTTCAGGGTATAATGGAGGCAGGTCGATACCAATATCGTCCTCATGTATCAAGGGTGGCCGCTCGAGTCTGCTTGCAAGATCATGGTCAAGGTAGTATGCTATCCAAAATACACGATTTCGCTGGATTGCGCGATGCGCAGCCGCAAAGTCAAGCTGATCCAATGGCTGCTCGTCTTCCTGAATATGAAGTCCATGCTGAAGAACCAGCCTAATTGCAGCCGCAAGGATTGTCGATGCCGGATGTGCGTCTGGTGAAGCCTGGAGGAATATGGTCATTCCTAACAGTGCTTGAATGGCCAATAGATCTTCACTACCTCGAATCGTGATTTCTACCGCCTTGTCCAGTGCAGCATGTAGATACTGCCAAGCTTCTTGAGCCCGAGAACGAGGGCAGCCGATAAGAGGAATCATTACCTCTTGACGTAGAGCAAGAGCACACATGACGTTTGTAGCTGTCCAGAGTGCCGCATCTGCTCGAATTTGGTCCATCTCGAGTTCAGAAAAGCGCGCAAAGAAGTCATTTTGGTCGAATAGCGTAACGGTTTGGTTGAATGTACTGAAATAAATTCGAATAAGGGCAACGTACTCCTGCCGCCCTTTCAAGTTGTTATTGTTGTCCTTTGCGTTGTTGATGCTGCAAGATTTCACAAAGGATCTGAATTGCTGAGGAACCCACTCCACAAGCTCTTGTAATAGTGAGGCCCTGATATATCCTGCACTGCCACCGTAGGCAAAACTGAACGGGGGGCTATGTAGAGTCGATGAACCGGCTACTTGAAAGTTTTGCGCCTTGGGCTTTGTTGATACTACTCGACTTTCGTTGGGTTGGCTGTTTGTTGCAGATTCGTGGCTTTTGAGCGCTTGGTGTAGGATGTTTTCAAGTTCGCTGACTTTCCTTTCCAGAGCTTCACGTCTTTTAGGTCTATGAGAAATTAGCCTCATTGAGAGCGTGCATTCTGAACTTTTCCTTTTTTTTCTTTCTGAGTTGGAAAAAACAAAGCATCAACAAGGGAAAATGGCGCGGAGATAAACTCACCTGCTGCGCGTAATTCTTTTCGGCGTTGCGGCCACAATGTATGTACAATCAACGCCAAATTTGACACACTCAGAGCAAGATGGACTGCTCCTGTCGCATTTGACCTTTCTTTTGTGGCAAATATCGCAGGCCTAATAGTGAATTGGTGAATACTGCTTCATGCTTCAAGGGGCGGGCAGAAAACGGTGTACATACTCTGCTCTTCGGCTTTGTAGCCGGGGCGGAGTCTACCGTCGCAGTTACAGGGAGACGTTCTTGATTGCTACCTGAGCCGCTCTCCTGTTGTTCCATCGAGTGACGCCTTTGTTGATTATTCAATAATGTTTCGGGACTGTTAACGTTATGCGTATCGGACCGACGGTGAGCGTGAGAGGGGCCGAAAGAGCGAGAAAATGGGCCTGAGAAACGGGTCTGAGAAACAGGTAAGAGCTTTGCCCTATTGAGGAAGCAATTGCTAATTTTGAAAGTAGACAGCAGTCAACACCAACAATCACGAAAAATAATGATGACTGTTCTGGTGCAGTCTTCAGCTCAGCTATTTTGTCGTCGTAATGCATCCTGGCCGCTCGGCGCCTCTCGGCGCACAGCCGATGCCGAGCTGACAAATGTCCGATTATATGGAGAATGGACTCCGTGGGCAGCCTTTCAAGCTCGAGACGCGGCGCCGGTCGCTCTCGGTGACAGCAGCTCCTTATCGGGCCTGAAGGTATTTACATAATTGGTAATTTCTGTCTCCTGAAGTGTTTACTGTTAGAAATGCGACGGTCAAGGGGGTCCAGCACAGTAGCACGGGGGAAAAGAAGCAGTAGAATTATGAGCTTGAAATGTAGATAAATAGCTTGGAGCCTGCGCATGAAGATGGAGAGTGCCAGCAGATACAATATTCACTATTTGATAAGTCAAGTTTTCAACTTTGCGACTACTTGAGTTCACAAAACGAAAAGGCGGAAAATATATAATTCAACATGACGGCCGCAAACAAGACAGTTGTTTTAATCACCGGCGCCAACAGAGGTACGCCTAGCAAGAGCTCTTTCAGCAGGTCACTGTGAAAACGACAGTGCTAATACATGGCAGGCATTGGACTGGAGCTTGTCAAGAAATTTCTTGCAAGGGACAATACAGTAGTAGTTGCTGCTGTACGAAACCCCGAAAACGCCTCGTCTACTAGCTCTCTATCAGGGCTTCCTCACGGAGCTGAGAGCTCGCTCCTCATCATCAAAATCGACAGTTCCGACAGCTCCAGTGCTCTCTCTGGCATCGCGAGTATCTCGGATCGCATCAGCCATCTCGATATCGTCATTGCCAACGCTGGAGTCCTCACTCATCAAGGCCCCATTTCGGACATGCCTCTAGACCAACTCACCTCTCATATTGCCATCAATACGGTGGCTCCAATCGCGCTTTTGCAGGCCACCAAGCCTCTCCTACGGAATTCTGCCAATCCTAAATTTGTCGTGGTTTCATCCTCCATGGGAAGCATCACGGACATCGTGACCCAATTGTTCGGCGCTTACGGAGCCAGCAAGGCTGCCGTCAACTACCTTATGCGCATGGTCCATCTGGAAGAAGAGTGGCTTACTTCCATGGTTATCTGCCCTGGGTGGACTCAAACTGACATGGGCGATGGTGCGGCAAAGAGTCGAAATTATGGCGAGAAAGCGCCAGTCCCATTGGAGGTCTCCATTAAGGGAGTTGTAGAAGAGGTAAGTCTATTATGAAAAGAGATTAAAGCTCTTCGCACGGTATACTAATCGATGATAGATTGATGGTCTTACAAGAACTGAAAAGTCAAGATTTGCTTCGTACGATCACATTGATCGTCCGTGGTAGCAGCTTCCAATCAGCTCCAACGATGAGTTGGCTTCAACGGTAGTAGCATGAATATGGCGAAGTAGAAATAGAAAGTTTACCATTCATAGAATTATAGTTTTTAACATATTTTTCCCATTAAATAACAGCTTTCGATAACTGCTATGACCATTGTAATCCTAGTCCAGCACTCAGTTCTTTTCCGGCACAAACTCAATAACGACCTTGCCCTTCCTACCCCGGACCGAAGCACTCTTATGAGCCTGCGCCGCCTTGTCAGGGGAAAACAATTCCACATCTATAGGCTTGATTGTCCCATAATCCACCAATTGCGCAGTCTTTTCCAGCGTTTCTCTCTTTGGACTAACAATGAAGAAGAGCCACTTTACGTTGGGAAACTCGTCCACCTCGATTGGACGACCCTTTCCATACTCCCACGCGGCTGGCGCCGGCCCTACGGTGATAACATGGCCATGGCTCTTGACCGTCTTCCATGTCTTGGCCAGGATGGGATCACCAACCGTGTCAATGACGACGTCAACGTCCTTGATCGAATTCTCCCAGTTCGGCGTGTTATAGTCAACGACCTGATGGGCGCCAAGTTCCTTCAACGCCTCGTGGTTCTGCGGACTGGCAACAGCAATAACTTCGGCACCAGCCACGCGGGAAAGCATCTGCACAAGAATAACACCGACGGCCCCATTGGCGCCGGTGACGAGCACTTTCCATCCCTTCTGCACCTGCGCTCGCTCGAAAATGGCCTCCCAACCAGTCAGCAAAGGAATCGGCAGCGCAGAGGCTTGAGCATGGCTCAGCAGCTTTGGCTTCTTGGCCAGCTCTTCGCCTTCAACAATGACATATTCCGCCTGTCCAAGACCCCTAAACGTGTGAATCATGCAGTAGACTTCGTCTCCGACCTTGAAATCTCCCTTATAGTCCGGCCCCAAGGCGGCGATTTCTCCAGAGACGTCGTGGCCGGGAATGCGAACGGGGCGAAGCCATAGTTCCTCCCAGGTAAGTTCATCCCTCGTGACAGCCGCAGCGTGAACTTTGATGAGAATCTCAGCCTTTTTCGGACAAGGTATCGGAATGGCGGGATTGAGGGTGACCTCTGGGTTGGTCTTGGTGCCCAGGACTTCAACGGCTTTCATCATGGTGGCAATTGGATGCTGTAGAGGCGAGATATGGCTGTGATTTTACATGTTGAATATCGCTAGAATTCTCAACTGTTTATATATCCTTCTCAACAAGGCGTACAAAAAGCTTGTTCACCGGGCTGACGGCTGGTTTCGTCATTCGGGTGGTGGGTGGGTTCCCGGGTCGGCGCCCGATGGGGCAACTTTTCGGATCGGATAGCGCCTATTCGGGTCATGGATGAGACTATCGGGAGGCACTTGTCGACTATCATTCTATAGGGAATTGGGTCCTTGAATGCCTTACTAAGCGTTTCAAACATTAATGAAAAGGAAACAAGTGTACATGAGCTTTCTACTACTTGTATCTTGGTTCAAACATGTTCGTAATGGATCTAGGCAGCTACAGGCAACACAGGTCTCATCCTTACGACTAGCGAATCACGCAGCTTACACGTCCTCACAACAGCCACCACAGGCATCATCACCAGCACGTCTTCTCGTATCCAGACAAGAACAGTGCGCCATCTGCCCAAAGCGCTCAGTTTGAGAGCTCAAAGTTGTTCTCGTTGAAAATAGCAGGGCGGCGGCTCGCAGACACTGCACAGCCCTATTAGTTGAGATGCAAAAGGACCTGTTTAGCACATCGCCCCCAACTCTCTAATTAGACCATCCCAAATAGTTGTCTACAAATAAACAGAAACTGCCGTAGTTCACGATCTGTGCGATTGCAAAGAGGGGGAGCTGCGCAATATATCCTCCGGTAGGATTCGTCACCACAGCCCAGCCTCCTCCAGCCGAGACAATCGCTCTTCCCGGCGCTGTGCCTGTATTAGTTCAACAGCCATCCATCCCTGTCCAGCAAGGAATCGCTTCCTTTCGATACAACCATCGTATCATTAGCTCTCAGTGACTCCCTGCGCTACCACTCCACGTGTCTCGTGCCCAATGAGCTCCTTCACCACACGGCAAAGATCGCTGTCTTACTCGAAAGAGAGTGGCTTTGCACAGTTCCCTCCCAAGTCGAGACTATCCTCCGGATGAATCACCCGCATTCCACTTGCAGCATCAATCTTCATGCACCGCCTAGTTTAGATGCCATCTTCTCTGTTTCCCATTTTCCAACTTCCCATCCACTGTAAAACAAAAAAATAAAACCCCAAAAAGCTGAGCAATGGCAGAGGCAGTAGGACTCGCCCTCAGCGTACTGCCAATCGTCATCTGGGCCCTGGAAAAGTACTCGGAGCCGTTCGAGGCCTACAGCGACTACCACAATGCCATTAGCACGCTACAGGCCAACCTACAGATCCAGCGGATGCATCTCGAGGCCACTTTTCAGAGCATTGGCCTGCGGCACCCGACGCCTCGCGAGCTGCATGAGTGCTTGCAGCAAAAGTTTCCGCAGAACCACAGCGAGCTGCTGTTTATTATTCGGCAGATGGATGGCTTGATGCTGGGGCTGATGGAGAATCTGCAAGTAGACATAAGCCGAAAAGTAAGAATCTCATCTGCGGAGCTACTTAATTGCCCAATGGTTTTCCCACCCACCCATCACCGTAACTTGTTGTCCATCTCATCCAACCTCAGGCATATATATGCATCTACTTACACAAACTCTCCTCCCAGCCCCTCTGGACTCGCGAATCTCCCGAAAGAGCAGCATGGGAATGGCGTCGCGTCAAGCGCAGTTTCCGCGCAAAGAAATGCGACAGGATCATCCACGACCTGCGCAACTGGAACGACGACCTACGGCATCTCATCAACAGCGCAGAAACCCTGCCCGATGACGAGAGCTACGCCGTGAGGAGAGTCAGGCGGCTCTACAATCGAAGCAACTGCGAATCTGTACGCGGCACTCTCAGATCCCTCCACCGGGCTCTGCAGTGCGGGCTGAGCGGCGATGGCGCCCAGTGTCATCAAGTCTGCATAGAGCTGAATAGTCTTCATGTAGGAGGCTTTCCGCTACTGACGTTTCGCATCGGGATTCAGCACAATCCAAATGGACCTCAGACCTCTTCTCCATGGAAACTCTTCTACGCCGCTGGCGAGGCAGTCAAAGAGACCTCGGGAGCGATATCACCGCCACTTTCATTATCCAGGCCCTCGACGCTTCGATCACGCCAATCTTCTTATTCGCAGGGACTGCGGGATAGGGCTTATAGTATTTGGAGCAAGTCGCGGGATTCATTTGCCTTTGTTAAACAGCTTCCAACGCCCAGAGCCAGTGTGGAAGACGCTTCCATTACATCTGCTACGCCAATACTACCAGAATGCATCACAACACGCTCTCGACCAATAACGAACCTCTGCAAGAAACTGGAAGCCGCTCCCACCGGAGAAGTATTCGGTTCCATCAAAGATCTCGACGACCCTTCAGCGCCTCATGAGCGAACATTCTCATTAAATCACCTATCTCGAAATCACGACACAGTAATACGAGACGTCTCACTTGAAAAGATCCTCGCCACAGAGTCCCAGCGAGTAGCCCCCGCCATCCAACCTCTCTCCGCAAAGAGGCGATATGGCATCGCCGCATCTCTCGCCTGGGCAGTCCTATATCTCGCAGACAGCCCCTGGCTCACACAAGGCCTGGACAGACGAAAAATCAAACTATTCCTCCAGAAAAAGCAATCCAGCGGCTACATCAGCCTTTCCGAAAAAGCATACCTCTCATGCCTCATCTCAAAACCAACGTCTCTACCATCGCCAGCATCATCCACCACCTCCTTACGAAAAGGCACCCCCAAGAATCTCATATTCGAACTGGGAATCCTCCTCATCGAGCTCGCCGTCAACCAATCCTTCAGCGAGGAATCCCTTTCCGCAATTCTCAAAGACGACTTTCGCCCGCTAAAACTACACCTTAACCGCGTGGAGCAAGAGGCCGGGATTTATTACTTTAATGCCGCGCAGCGATGCGTGTACGGCGTCTTTTTAGCGGATCAGGGACAGATGGACTTTGATCTGGAAAAGTTCCAAAACGAGTTTTATAGTACAGTTGTAGCGCCTTTGCAAGCGACGTACGACTCACGATGATGCACGGAAAGAAAAGGCTTCGATGATGGTTCCAACTGCTTGCACAATCCCATTTACTCACTCAATGGCTGGTTTACGTTTGGCCTGTATCCGTTTTGTATTTACTTTACCTTGATGAGAGACGGGAAGAGGCCAAACGATGAATGCCCATGACTAAGTAGATCAAATTGATCACTGCTGAATGTCAAGAGAATCTAAAGTCCAAACTTTGTAAACTGCATAGCCTTTCATAGCTCTTATATAGCCACGATAAAGCCATCACCAGCATCTCTCTCACATTCAGTAATAAGAGTCATACATCTAACAATGCCTTCACTCCATGAATTGGGCAAGCACATTTAACAGAGCCACATGTTGAATTGTCTTTTCGCATAATCATAACTCTACTATTTATGTTTTCTTATAAAAATAATTAAGAGGACTTGTAGTCGCCGCTTGTGCCTATCCCGTCATGTATCCTAGATGCAGTAGCGAATAATGTCTGAAGAAAAATATAGAGATCAGGAGCCAGCGGGATAGCCTCATGCTTGTACAAAATCGCATGAGAATAAAGTACCATTTTCCACCCTTCCAAAACCCTCCCAAAATTTGTTGCCACACAAAAGTCCCGTCCCCATTGTCTCTCTCTCTCTTTCTCTCTCTCCTGTGTATAGATGAGGAGTCGTAACTGTTTCTAACCTCCTTGTGCCTCTTGATGTGTATTATATTCGTGCACTTCATTAATGGCCAATCCCTAAAAATGGAAGAATCAGGCCGTTCTTTATTCAAATTTCCAAAAGAAGAAGAAGAAAAGGACCCATGCTCCTTTACCCGGTTATGGCGAGGCCCAGCCACCGGCAACGTCCACCCACTCGGCCAGGCATGAACCGTCCTTGCCCTCAACGTCAACAATGTCAGTGTCGCATCGGCAGCGGCATCCAACGCCATTCTCCTTGGCCTCATCCCAGCTCTCCCAGTACTGGTCTTCTTCGACTCGTTTTCGCTCGTCCAAGGTGGTTGTCTCGAGGAAGGGGGGTCGAGGAAGCTGTCGGGCGGGAGCATTCGCGGGGCAGTGCTGGATGGTCGTGTGTCGGTATCCAAAGTCTCGGAAGTAGTGAATATCTCGGGGGGCCAAGAGAGCACCGGCGGCCAAGGAGTGGATAGGAGCGTCTCCCCACTAATAACCTTAGTTAGCCATGCTAAATTCTCATCGTGGCGAGTATAAAAAGATGTAGATATTGGACTTACCCGTTCCATCCAGAATCCACCACTGCGATCCATCGTCTGGAAAAAGTCGTTGTACTCCTTGCTGCGGAACCAGCTGAGCTTTGCGATTTCAAAGTTGGACCAGAAATGGCACATGTTGTATTTTTCGCCCTCCATAGCCTCGGGGTCGATGGGTTCTTGGCTGCTTGGCTTGGGTTCATCGGGCAGGGCATTGGGGTCGTCATGCTGTTCCTTTGGCTCCTGAGGTTCCACAAACATTTCCCACAGGCCCTGTGACGTCAGGTTGTTGTTTCGCTTGTACGCCGAGGCATAACGGAAGATGTTGGGGACGGTCTCGCGAAGCTCCTTTACAGCAATGGTAAAGCCGTACGTCTTGTTATTCTCAATCATCTTTAGAAATGGATCACTGGTGACCTTGTCAGCAACAATATCTTGGTAACGACACATGCATAAGCCCAATGGGTGACCTACTAGGTAATATCGCAGAAGTAGGTGATTTCGGGCTCCACGCGCCAGTACCATTCGTACTTGAGCAGAAGAGGGTGGTTGTAGAAGAAGCTAAATCGCAAAGGGTCAGTCAAACCGCGCGTTGACTTTGCACGTTGGCCGAGTTGCTCACCCAGAGTAGAAACGACACATGAAGTGGTAGCTCTCCATGCCACCGTACATGACTGCAGCATCGCCTTGCTTGGCAATGCCCTCCTTGGCAACTTTCTCGTCAATCCAGTCCGGGAAGCCCCAGGTGCCTGGCTCGACCTTGCCAAACTCGACAGCTCCCGATGTGTAGTTTCGCACAGTTTCCTTAAACGTGTCGTCGAATTCGGCGTCGTTGAGGAAGACGTAAGGGTAGTGGTACCATCGGTTGAAGTGTCGCTCGACAGACTTGATGGACTGGATAACGCCATCAATCTCCTTGTTCCTGGCCAACACAACAAAGGCAGCGTTGGCTCGCGGTTGTGAGGTATCGGGCTCGAGGCAGCCGGTGACGAAGACCTTGTCATGTTTTTCGCTGATTTTGCTGCACACAAAAGAAACCACAGTTAGCAGCCTGACGCAGAAAAGCAATCCTATGGATGCGGTATTCTAGCATACCGAATAGCTGGCGGCGAGCCAGCGGGCATCAATATCCTGCCTGGAGAGCTGGGATGCCTGACGAACAGCACCAGGATGAGCACAACCACCAGCACCGGGAATACGAGCACCACGCCCAGCGGGATCGAAACCGCCGAGTTGCCGCGCAGCCGCAGCGGCCTCTGGAAAAACGCCAATCTTGATGCCAGGCCCTTGTTTTTCGGTCGTTTCTCGTCTGAAGTTGGAAGCCCATGAGAGGGTCCCGCAGACCCCTTTCGCCGGAAGATGTCCATGGCGACTAGCAAACAGCCCGCTTATGGCTGCAGGGACAGCAACAGCAACAACCCAAAAAAAAAAAAAGAGGGAAGGAAGAAGAGGGAAAAATTCGCAGCAATCGGCTCGACAGAGGGGCTGAGTCGTGGCCTATGCTCGCGTCGAATGCGGTGTGGAGAGGCGGCAGTATAGAGAGGCCAGATTGATTAAAGGCACGAAATAGCAGACCCTTGGTAATCAGGGGTGGTTTTGGCGTGTATATTAGATTAGATTGTCGATACGCCGTCAAGAAGCACTCGTGCCAATCGAGCAACAAGAAGAATCGTCTCGTGTGTCTATAAAGGCCAAAACGCTGACACGGATCGTGGGTTTTCGAAGCACAGCGCCGTCTTGCACCCTTGTTTTTTGTCCTCTTTTTTTCTTCAGATAATGGATGCGCCTCTCGCGGGGCAACCGGCCGCAATCGCAATCTCCAACTTCCAATCGCAGAGTCTCGCGCCAAAAGATAAGGCCTCTCGCAGCGAGAAGCGTCGCGCTCGATCGTCGTCCGTCGGTCGAGGCCAGATCAGCAGTGGACGAGGTTCCTGGAATTGCCGTCTCTGTTTTTTTCCTTCCTCGAAAAGGAGGGAGGCAGTTTTTGCTAATTGGAAGGCCTCGCCCTCTAAAGCAGCGCCCAGACCGCTGTTGATTGGGGAATTTGCGTCCGATTTAGCGTGGCCCGGCTAATGAGTCTGGGGCGCGAGGCTTCGATTTTCGGGGACCAGAGGTCAATCACAGGCACTGCCGTTGGAGAGGTACCTGCACTGCTACAGGGCATTGCACCACGCTACATGTACAGCATACCAGCACCTGAAAAGCGAGACTTGCAAGTCAACGGCAGCGCCATGGCCCCATTGCGTCGCCACCACCCAAACAGGAATTTTCCGAGACAACGCCAAACAGACCGGCGGAACATCGATTTTCCCCCCTTTTTCCCACGCGGCACAACGCCGAGTCGCCGCCATCAACGCCCCGTTTATCCAACTACTGAATCCTCTCCACACCGAGATTTGGAGGCGCAAAAAGACAAAAAGTGGTGATCGCGCCCGGGCTCGAACCGGGGACCTTTTCGGTGGTGTCAACTGATGTTGTTAACGAAATGTCATGACCAACTAGACCACGCAACCATCCTATTATCTGATTGGATGAGATCTGGCAGCCGGAAAGGAGTCTATGAAGCATCACCAGAGCTCGACCTCTCTGCTAGAGGTGGTTGACCTCAACAGCGACTAATCTTTTGTTCTTGCACAGAACGGCTCGAACAACCCGCTCGCGCAACAAGTCTATTCCAATATGTCACAAAAGATCAATTCGAAAAACCTCTCGTACAACTCTTCCCTCCCGCCTTTTCTCGCCGCCCTCCGCGCTCAGACATCTGGTGCTTCAGGTCCAGATCCCATCCTTTCGGCACAGCGTCGAGGAGCGAAGAAGAGATCAAGTAGCGAGGAAGCAGAAGATGCCCCGCTGGTTGTGGACGAAGAGGGGAACGCTGTTGATGACCTGAAGGTCAATAAAGACGGCACCGTCGAGGAATTACCGAGTGACAAAAGCAACAATGGGACAAACGACGGAGATGCAGAGACAGCGCAAAGCAAGACAAACAAGAGCGACCTTGAAACGGCCAAGGCTTCAATAGGAGGGAGAAAACGCAAGGTCGGCAAGGTGATTGGCGAAAACGCCGAAAACAGTGAGCCCGAGACTTCTGCGGCGGACAAGAAGAGCGAGCCAGTGAAGAAGGATCAAAAGGATGCTGAGCAACAGGCTACCAATCGGAAGCCTAAGAAAAAGGCAAAGAAGATTAAGCTGAGCTTTGACGAAGAAGAGGGCTAGCTGGTAATTGGATAACACTACGAAAGAAGAACATTCAGGTGTTAGCAGGCGCCAATGTCGAGCATCAAGCATTACCGCAGAAGCTTTTCGTGTGCTCTACCAGGGATCGTCTTGAAGCGAATAGCATTCATCAGGTGTTGGTACATGTTTATGAGTTGCAATTCGTCGAATTGGGGTAAAAGAAGCTCTATACACTCGGCATTCCGAAATTAGGAGCTCGGCGGAACAGCTGCTATTACTGCACGAGCTGCATGATACGGCGCCCTACTACTAATGATTCAAAGCCCTCCTGCGACGGTGCAAGAGTCATAACATCACAATCTAGAACACCAACCAGGCAATGGACGCAGCTTCCAGCGTCAGCACTAGATATATCAAAAAAACAAACAAACAGGCCTCCAGTCTTGTCAATGCTTGTGATACACATTGAAACGAAATCATCGGTATCTACAGAATACACAGCCGCTTCCCAACCTCCCGCGGGCACGGCACTTTCGCCCCTCTTGCCGTCTCTACGCCTTTGATAATACATCTTTGAGTCACCCTCCTCCTGCCATCAGTTTTATATATCCCCCTTTGTTTATCGCCATCGTGTGCATTGCATTTACTGGTAGCGGTACTCGGGCTTGACAAAGTCGGCAAAGGTCTTGGGCTCGGCAATCTCCTGGGCGTGGTGGCCGTGTCCGTGGTCGTGGCCGTGGTCCTCGGGTCCGATGTACTCCATCTTGTAGACGCCGCCGCACTCGGGGCATCGCTCCACGGGACGCTCCTTGGAAAGCTGCGCACATGTCCACCGTTAGCATATTCCATTCCCACGCTTCACAGCGCCCATATATATGTGATTCAATCTGATTCACTTACGCCGAGCCAGATAACGGTGTGGGAGTCGACGGGATAGCCGGTGCAGCCAGCAAGCTGCTCATCGCCGGCGGAGCGCACCAGGATGGGGTTCTCCATGGTTCCCTTGCGGCTGGCGTCGAGGGGTCGCATGTCGAAAACGTCTACGCCCTCCATCTTTCCGAGGATTTCCAGACGCTCAAGACCGGTGGCCTGCTCGAGATCGGTAGGGACGGCGCCGGGCTGGCCACCAGGTCCGATGAGGTCGTCCTCGGTCTTGACCTCTGCAGCCGGTAACAAGCTCTTGCGTCAGCAATTGCCATGCCACGATGGCCAATGTATAGCCATGTACAAGTATCCACGGGGAACAACATACCGGAGATGGTCTTGTAAGTTCCAACCTTCTTCTGGGCGGTGCCGGCAAGAGCAGCAGCCTGCTCACTGGGGGTTGTAGGACCAGCAGAACCTGTACAGAGCTCGACCCTTTACGTCAGCCACGAATTCCATCGCATCCAAAGCCCAGATTCGTCCTCATCTTCCTCCTCCTCCTCCTCCTCCAATCCAAAACACAACAACATGTTGAGGAAAAAAAGTCACATACGGCGAGCAATAGAGGTGGTGAAGCCGCGAGCAATGGCCGGAGCGACGGCGGCGCGGCGAGCCGCAGCAATAGCAGTTCGTTGCAAGAACATCTTGTTGTCGAAATTCCCGAGCGGTGTTGGTGATTCGGAAGGGGGGGGGATCGGATTCGAGGTTTTGAACGTGGGGAAAAAGAGGCTTCGTTTCGTTCGAGGGATTTGCCGGATGGTCTGATTTGGGAACCCATGATGGAGTAAAAAAGGGCCCCAGTTTGGGGCAGGGAATTGGCCAATCAGGAGGAGTGGATTGAAAGCACGTGACTAAGCTGTAGATTGAGCTGTGCTTGTTTTCTTCAGTGAAGGTGGGATTGCATCATTGTGCCTTTAATAGCTTGGAGAAGTGGTATTGAAGCTGTTTCAACGTGTTATTCTTTTTATTAAACATCAGTCGCTTCTGTATAATATATTTTAAGTCTTTTTAACAAACTAATTCGCACGTTATAGGCCTATGTTACTGACCTTTACTAGCCCAGGAAGCTATCTCATACAGGTAGCTCCCAAGTAGCTGTATAAGAGAAAAAGCATTGCCTTGCGGATATAAAAACTTGAGGTAATAAAATTGAACCTTGCATTAGTGACTATTTAAGATTGTTCTTTCTAAAATAAAGTCCCTCCATAAAGCGAATCATATACATCTCCCAAGGACTAGAGGTGAGAGCGCGCCTTCGAAGCCCAGAATTCTCATCACAACAACTTGGCCGTGAATACCAGTTCCGAAAATAAAAGAAAAATCCGATTCACACGGGTCTCAGACCAAAACTAACCAAAAAAAAAAAAGAAGAAGAAGAAGAAGAAGAAGAAGAAATCGCAAATCCTCCAGTAGTAAGTGCGCCTCAAGTTCACCTTTTCCCCCCAAGCATACGTGGCCCTTGCATATTCAACTCTCTGCTGAGCTTTCCTTGACAGATTTCAGGCCCTCCAGACTGCTAAATCCCATGCAAAGCAATTATTGCTCGTTCTCGCGTTGCTGAGCCTGCTGTCGTTGCTGCTGCCTGGCTCGATAATCGTTAACGCCAGTATAGATGGAGGGCGCTGCATTGCGCCGGGCTCGTTGTGCTCGCTGCGCTTCGTTGCGTCTGGCCTGCGCTGTCGACGCCTTTTGAGCGCTGTTACGCACATCGGCACTCAACAGTCTCGGTGCCCGTCTTTGGACGTTCCGGATGACGGGTCTGAAGGGCAGTTGCGTCTGCCGCCCAACGCTCTTGATGAACTTCTTCTTTGGGCCATAGCTGTTGAGGAGATGTCTCTCGCGAGCCGACAGAAGGGCAGCCTGTCTCATTACCGTATCTTCGTATGCTTTCCCCTTGGTGTCGTTGCAGTCATCTCCGAGCCTGTAGACGATTGAGCGAAGGAAGCCTCTCGGAGTGTCGCCGGGCATGACAAGCATGCTCGCTGCTTTCTTGATCACTCGCCACCTAATAAAGTCAAATGGATCCATGCCAAGTTTGCCCTGGTTTTGCAAGCATTGAAGGTCGGATATCTTGCAGGCAAGCTTATACATGGGCTCCATTTGGCACAGCCCTTGCGGAGGGAGACATCGCTTTCCAATAATCTGGTTGGGGTGGTATCTGCCGCCCTCTCCAAAGATTTCTCGAATCTTCTTAAACTTGCTCGCGTTATCGGATAAGTGCTTGAGCTTCTTCAACAGCACCGCATTTGTAGGGTCTAGCCGATGAAGAGCTTGTGCTTCTTGCTTCAGTACGGCTTCCGGACCCTCCTTCTCCAGGAAGGCGTTGAACGAATCCCATGAGCTCTCCTAGTACTCGTGAGATTCGTCGATTCGCTCCACCGGAGTTCCTCGAAGCAGAGGCGGCTCCAGGTAAGTCTTTCCGTCTGGCGAAAGCTTGTATATCTGCTCAAAGGGGGTCTGGAGTACTCTTAGGAGGGTGGCTTGATCTTCTTCGTTGTCCAGGCAAAGATGAGTAATGCCCGTTTCTGGATGGAAAGCTGCCATGATGAGAGATTAAGAGGCTGATGATGTGCTAAACTTTTCGGTGGCCGATTAGCAGTAGGTAATGAAGCTGTGATCAAATGTATTAGTGCGTGAATCACGTAGAGGCGCCCAGCATTCACTCACACTGCGATTTATTCGCTCGACAGTGAATCAGAGGGCAGCAAGGCGTGTGCATAAAACAGAAGAGTGTCAAAAACTTGTAATAGCCCTCGGAATATTGCTAAAATGGAGCTGCTATGACAGTGCTGTCGCTGAAGGTATGTTGAGTTGGGTTGGGCTGAGACAGAAGGCCTTTGTTAAATGTGTGGTAACGAGGCAAGATGATGGATGGGTTGGAGGATGTAGATGAAAGGTTTAGAAAGAGGAATGGGAAAGAAAACAAGAGGGATTCGCGTCTTTATGCTTCACGCGTCCTCACGTGCCTGGCGACTCTGTTTGCAGCTGGCGTTTGCATCGACCAAGTGGCAGGCAGATGATGGCAGGTGATGGCAGATTATGTTTGAAGTTCACTTGCATGGGATCAGGGGGCGTTTGATCCAAGTAAGAAGAAAGACTGTGAATATCGGGACAAGTTATCCAGCACCCCAGCTGTACCTTAATCCAACGGCTAGTCCATACAGGTATATTAAGATGTACAACTGCTAAACACTTTTAAAGTCAGCAGCAGTAGTAGTAGCAGCAGTATTAGCAGTGTAGCATTAAGCATTAGCAGTAGTATTAAGCAGTAGATGGCCTATATGTCGTTGCTACAGCTAGAGTGCTAGATAACAGAATTGGGGCGCTGGATACATGTAACTTTTCTTTAAATATCAATCCCATCCTATATTGTACCAACACAGGCCAGAACTATTCAAAAGGCGGCAAACAAGACATGGTGAACACGATCCTATATTATTGTTATGTCGATTCCTTGTAGTGTAGCATCAGTTATTACCAGATACCCATTCTCCAGATACCCATTCCTGCACCGATGCCTCATCCCTCAAATACAAAGCGCCATCCCCGTCTAAGCCACACAACTCCATCGCCTATAACTCACCCCCTCCAGCAAACCAAACACTCACACATGCCTCACAGCTTCGCCTCAGCCTTCTTCTTCCATTCAAGCCCCTTCTTCGTCGGCAGCGCCATCCCGTCCTGGTACCCGCTCGCCACATGCTTCCCCTCCGGACTCCATATCCTGCTCTCCAACACCCCCCTGCCCGCACAGGTCCTCGGCCAGCACACCTCCTGAATCCACCACCCATCGCCCTTCATCACGGCCTCTTGCGCGTTTACGTGCACGTAAAAGGCATACGACAGACTCGCCGCGGATCCGAGCGTGTAGCCCCAGCCAAGATGGTTGGTCAGCATGATGAGTCCGTTGCGGTCTGCCTCAAACGCATGCGCCACGATGTGCGCGTCGGGGTCGTCTTGGGCAATGGGCTTGTGTGGCCGATACAGGATGAGCTGCCGCCGCTCCGGGACGTCCTTGTCGGCGTTGTAGGCCGTCATGTCGACCTTGTACATGTCCAGCATCGGAAACCCGCCATGGCCAGCGTTGGGAAACAGATCCGTGACGGCCTCGACGTCCAGCTGGGGACTGGCTTCCCACTCGTCTGGCGCGCGCTGCGAGAGGATATCGGCATATCGTTCCTGCGCAGACGTCATCTGCTTCTCTGCGGGAGACGCCATCGGACGCTTGAATGTTGTGAGGCAGGCAAATCGGACGTCTCCCAGCGGCCGATCGGCGTCAGACAGCGGGTAGGGACCTGTAGGCTGGCTTGATGCCTCCAGAGGCTGCCGCGCCTGGACAAACTTGGTTGCGAATGTGCGACTTGAGTGGACATCTGTCACGTCATACACAAACGGGCGGTCCATGGCTCCGGGCTTTGTGAAGACTCCTTGGATAGACTGCTCCGACGGTTAATCATCAAGTCCCGTCAAAAGACGCTGCATGAAACCTTCAAAACTCACATGGATGCCCAGTTTGCCTGCTCCACTGCCAGATTTATCCTCCTCCTGCACCGCCTTCGCCGCAACGTAGGGTGCTTGGGCATAGACATGCCCTCCATACGCCGCGGGCGGAAAGTCCGTCATGTTGCCCTTCTTGAATGCCTCTGGGTTGAGTTTCGCCCAGGGCAATTCTCCCGCGGGTCTCCAGGCCGGCGTATGGCTCATGAACCGCTTGACACCACTTCTAGAGCTGCTGTCGGGGACCCGCGAGAACTTCATCGTTTCGGAAAAGTCCCTGCGGACAATCGCATCCTCGGCAGCGGCCATTGTGTATTATCGTTGCTCTTGTGCCTCTGTAGCTTGGTGTTTGTTGCTCTTTGACTATACGGGCATCCCTTTTTTTTTTTTACATAAACATTCTCCCAGCGTCGTCCGCCCAATCGCGAGTCCACGCGAGTATAAGTAAGGACACAGCCATCGCTATAAGAAGCGGCTTACACTGCGTGGGGAACCGAGAACCGGGGTCGATCTGGTCTCAGATGGAGAGTTGCACTGAGCCTCGGCTCAAGTCCGTAACCGCTAGCTTGCGAAAACCCGCGAAAGCCCGCAGCGCAGAGTTGCGACGGGCGCACCAGATGGTGAGCATGTGGATCTTGCCGGACTCTAATGAGTTCTACTGTAGGGGATTTTGCCTCTGATGTGGTAAGCATAGCAGATAGTGTTGTGTTACGCTGTGTCTGGTGGATGCGACTGGCTACAAGCATGGCAGCACACGACTTTAGCTACCTAGGCATCATGGCGATGCTGGCTTCGTTGGCAGCGCAGCTCAGCTTTCTATTCAAGGCTGGTAAAACGGTCATAATAAGGCTGCGGTGATTGTCAGGAATCAACCGCTGTGCTAAAGAGCAAACAGAACAATTCCACTACCTAAAGTCTTACATGGAACTCGTCAGTCTAGACCTATATGCTGCCCAACTAGGAAATACGTATGCCAACCATACAGGAGTCTAGTGTTAGACAGCCCACAAGCTTAGAGATCATTTTGACAGCAAATCAAGCAGTTTAATGGACTAAATTTACTAGTGGCGAGTGGCCTATAAGGGCAAAATGATGAGCTGAGTGAGCTGATTGCCAGTCGAGCTACAGAGGCTAAATAGGTGTGTGTGGTGATGGCATTAATAGTCTTGGGAATTTCAACTCACACTCGAATGAATACACCAATTGAGATCCAACGGGTCGACTTCATCGTATCCAGAATCATCTCAATACGGCTAGCAAATAAAATAGGCGATTACCTAGACAAGAATGCCAAAGATGGGATGGATGAATGCTCGACTTACCATGAAGCATAACTTACCCTAGACTACCGCCTAGAAACGCCGTGCTTTTGTTTTCTTTATTTGGCTTTCCAAACAATAGCAGTCGCAATGATAATGCTATTCATCTGCCATCTTTAATTAAACAATATAATTCACCCAAGCAACCTCGCGGTTAAAATCGAACTTTATTCCTCGCAATCCCTCTCCTGTGATTCGCTGCTGAACGCGGTTGCCCATGTCTCAATGCCAACGTCAAGGCGTCGTCATAGATTCTCGCGTGCAACTTGTTTATTATGAGATCCCTACAAACGCCCACTCATTTGCTCACAACAACTCCCATCTCAGAACTTCACTTTCATCGTCGCCATCGGCACCTAATAATTAATTCTTGACTCACACACATCACTGACGGCGCAAAATGTTCTCGTGGAAGGCCCTCAGCAGGCCGTCCCAGATTCGCCATGACGAGGAACACCAGCCCCTGCTCCCTCAGTACAACGAGGCGACAGCGAGACAGACTCGCCTCCACGAGAAGCTTCACACATACCAGATGCTGCGGGCCCTTTCCAACGGCTACATGCCCTCCAACGAACAGGTCATCACGCACCTCCGCACCCTGCTGGCCGCCGACGTGCTCAATCCGCAGACGCCGGGCCTGAGTCCCTCGGGCAGGGCGCTGGTTCGCACAACGCGCATATGGCTCGGCGAGCTGATTGACCTGATGCAGTCCAAAAACTCAAAGGACCAGATCCAGGATTTTCTGTGGTACTTGACCAAGGCGAGGCTGGAAGTAGACGTGGACACGTCGCAGATACACGCCAGGGCTACGATGGCGAAATGGAAGGCTGATGCGATGGCTGCTGTCGACAGCCTCAAGACGGTTGGATCGCTTTTACTTACCAATTCTGATTTCCGGATTCTCTTGACGGATCTATCTACTGTTTCACGGGAAGTTTTTCGGGACACGGCCTTTTCACTAAGAGATGTCGCCCATGATACGGGCAAGAAGCTCGAGCCAGCAGAGGAAGAACAGCAGGCTCTGAAAAAGCCCGGCGGAGATGACCAGCCCGCGCCGTCAACGGAAGATTTGCAAGAAGAAGTCATGGAAGTGGCTCAAATCGTCACAAGTGGCGCTGGCGACGTGGTGGGCACAGCGGCTCGCAGTGCTCGGGATCATCTCCAGGGAGAAGAGCAAGAGGCCCTGACACATCGCCTCAAGCAAGCAGTGCTGAAGCTTCGCAAAAGGCCAAATTACTCAGACTCCGTGTCTACGATATCGCTTCTCCTCAGGCAGTATCTCAAAACTTACGCCCGTGCAGCCGCTACTACGGCCGAGGCTATTGACGCTGATATCAACATCAACCCAGAAGGCAACGAAGCCCTGCGTGATTTCTGGCAGCTGATTACATCATTCGGCAGCAAGGACGCTTGGGATCAAGTCGAAAAGTCGTTTCATGAAGTTGCGGAAATCGGCGAATCTGATCCGGCGTTTGAAGATCTTGTAGACCAGGTCTCTAAGCTGGTGCAGGATATCATGATGGATCCAGACTTTTTCAGTAATGCGGAACAGCGTTTTGAAGAGGTTCGCGATAAGTCGAAAGAGCTCGCCACGGAAACTTCCATCAGAGATAAACTTGATGATCTGCTGCGAAGCATAAGCTGGGCCTTGCGCGCTGTGGGCGAGGATGCAGAAGTCACTCAGCTGTCGCGTAGTTCAGCTCGCATTGCGCGCCTCATTTCGCCACCGGGTCAGTACATTAACCAGGAAATGGTCTCCGATTTAATCAACGTGTTTGTCCCAGTGTTGTTACAGGCAGTTCAGTATGTGCCAATCCCGCGGCTTGAAGTTTCGACTCCGGACGTTGATTTGCTTGTTGAAAATTTAATCTTGGAGCCTGGCCGCACAGTCAACAATTCTTCGTTTTTGCCGTATAGACTACAGGTTTCGACTCGGAATGACGTCGACATTCGCAAAGCCCGCTTCCAGATCCTGTCAACCGTCACGTCCCTGGCTACAATCAAAATCTCGGGACTGTCCATTGCGGCAGAGGAACTGGGATACTGGCTGCAGCTGCATTCTGGCATCCTGGGATTTTCGGACAAGGGCCTTGCGAGCATCGAACTGGACGAGCGTGGCATTGACATCATTCTGGATATCGAAATCGGCCGAGACCGACTCGAGAAGATTGTCTCCCTGCGCAAAGCCAGTGTCCGCATCCACCATCTCAATTACACCCTTCGCGGCTCTAGGTTTTCATTCTTTGGCTGGCTTCTCAAGCCCTTTATCCGGCCAATCGTCAAACGGGCCATGGAGAGGAGCATCGCTTCCGCAATCGAGGACGGATTGCACACTCTGAACCGAGAACTCGTCTTTGCCCGAGAGCGTCTGCGCGCAACCCGAATTGCCAGCCCCGAAGATCTATGGACGTTTATCAGAGCCGTGGCCGCTCGACTCGTTCCCAGGCCTCATCCAGATGTCGAAGCCCGTATTGGCGTGCGTCCGGAGATATTCCGCGGCCGCTATGCTCCGGGAAGCCTGGTGGAGCTCTGGGAGCGTGAAGCCCAAGATGCCAGTCAGAAAATCTACGAGTATGAGCGAGGCGGATGGCGCAACGACATTTTCGGTGTGCGAACGCGTCCGGCGTAGTTGGACTTGTAAAGAAGCAACGAGTAATCAAAGGGGCCTGCGGCTTTGCGTGACTGACTCGTCATATCCGGTCGTGGGTGTACGGCATAAAAAAAGGAAAAAAGGACCTGCGGCAACGGCACAGCTCGCTTTTTGCTTATACAGAGTAGGTATCCCGAATGGTTACGTGCAGTGCAAGTATTGGCTGACTGACAGCTTGGATTGAAGCAGCGAATGGGAAAGGATGGTGGTGCGAAATAGCCACCATCCATAATCGGATGTAGCGGATTGCTTGAGATGCGGTTTGTTGCTGATCAAGCGCCGCCTCATCGGTCCAGATCCCGCAGGAATCGCCATGCTCGACTCGGGCAGCGAGTAACCCCGCGATTCCCCAAATGTTGGGCCGGAATATTCTTGGGCGGGCGGGCACATGGCCAGATCGGCTTCTCAATAGTCTTGGGCGGCTTCTTGGAGGCAGAAATGAGGTTAATGCAGCGCTGAGTTGGCGGGAAGGGCTTTTGGGTGACACAGCAGCCTTGTTGAGGGAGTGGCTGGATATACTATTGGATGAGGATGCTGGCAGATTCGGGTAACGGCTTGTTAGCTTGAAGGGGTCGAGGACGAAAGGGCCGGTAGATGCCTACCTTGGTACCAGTAATACTGAATATACTTGTCATTCTGTGATGCGATCAATAATATGATGAACGACTGCTCCTATGAGCGCCGTCTCTAGGCTTGTGGGTTAAATTAGGGTGCAAAATAAGGTCAAGAAAGGCGGAAGATGCAAGATGGGGTGAGAATAGGAGAAAATCAAGAGCTAGATTGTCCAAGTGCTGCACCAGTTCCCTTTTCCTAGCCATGGCATGATGTGACTGGGTTGACAAGGTCGATATGCAAGTAGCACGATGGGGAAAGTCGAGGATGGAGCCTCGCGGACAAGCAGACAAAAGGCCGCCACCTTTTTGGAAACAACAATTCGAGGAAAGAAAAAAAAAAGGTGATTTATTACCGAGCCGTGCTCTTTGAGTGGCCAGAAGGCAGTGTGGCATTCACCACTAGTGACTAGCCAGGGTCGTTGTGATGAACGTGACCAACTTTCTCAGCTGCACGGCTGATGCGAACGAACGAATCCCGTGCTTTTTGACGATGAGGGCGACAAGTACACGTCTTTTTTTTAGTGGCGAACGGGGTTTGCTGCTGCTGATGTTGGGATAATATACATACAAGTACAGCACCCAGGCCTGGAACTGTCTCAGTCCGTAAATTGGAGATGCAATGCAGTACGAGCAGCCTATCATGGGAAGCAACATGCCAGGGCAGCGATCCGATTCGACAGGCAAATGCGTCTGTTGGTGTGTACGATGCAGTAGGTTGAATGCTCGTTACCCCCGGTTTCATAGAGAGAGTCAGATCTGTATGGTATACTGTACCTGTGCTAGCCGACATCAGGGCAATAAATTGAGTTTTTCTTTCTCTTCTGGACGGATGTAACCCTTGGACAAGGCATGGATGATGTCAAGAAGCATACTTGGTAACCCTACCTCCTAGTGCCCGCGTAGCACAGCTGCTAATATCGACTTCTTTGGCGTGGTGTCTCTCGTGATGCCGATGCCTTTGTGGCCTCATGCTGGCAGCAAGTAGACTGTAAGAAAAAACATCGTGAGACATTATATGGAGAAACTATCTTGTCTCGCGCGGATATATGCACGCCGTGTCTCATCCCATCGTATTCCGTCCAACGCAGCTGCACGCTCGGTACTGTAAAAGCGATGCTGGCCGCAAAACGAGTGAATCCCGGTCGCAATAAAAAACCCCTGCCACTTCAAAAAAACCGCGGCTTTTCTAAGACTCCCCCGTTGGCTGCAACAAGACGGGACGATGATGTCGTCTTGCAGCAAGAATCCTGAACCTGGGGAATTTCTCTTCCTCTCCTCTCCAGCAAAGGCTGACACACACTGTAGTGTTCGTACGATGGATGCATCGCCCAGCGTCCATCCAGCTCGCAGCCCGCACCTCCAACACGCAGATGGTGATCCCTGCTTGTTAACTATAGCCAGCCCGGGCTCTGCGCTTCGCTCTCGTCCTTGTGCTTCCCCGGACCATGGAATGGCCAGATGTGGAAATCCGCTGCGTTGGCACACACCACCTGTTATAATCCCTGTGATGTGCGTTGGTCCCCTTTTTATTACCAGTCAGTAGCTTTTTTTGGTCTTTGATATTGCAATGTAGCATCTGCTTTTGGGCAAATTCAATTTTTGGAGGCGTAATTTCCTGGGGAGAGAGACCAAAAAAAAAGAAGAGGGGCGAACCCGTGGCTTCGGGACGGCTGGATTGAATTCTGGACTTGTGCTTTGCATGAGTCTAGCTTTTCCCCTTCTGGGGAGGCACGAAGATGAATGGAATTCGTCGAGAGACGGACTTTGGTCTAGCTTTAGCTCGTTTCGAGGCTTCGGTCAACAACCGCCCCGTATTCATTATTCACTCCCCCAGCAAACTCCCCGCTTTATGATGCGGCAGTCTCCCAGCATCTTGGTCGCTTGGAACACAGACCTCGCTCTTGTGGGAGACACAGCTGGCCATTCGACGGAAAGTGAATTTACAAGAGGAATACCTGTTTTGTTTCGGCTAGTTCCTGGAGCACGGAGCACAGAGCCGGGTCTTGAATACTCGTTTCATTATTGTTGCTGGGCAGCAGATTTGGAGAGCCTGTCTTCTGCTCTCATGCCGCTCGGGCCTCACATTACACATTCTGCAGGAAACGCTACTTAGCCTGCAGACGAAGCCAACTTGTCAAGTGATTAATGAGTAATAAGAGCTGGAATTGCCCACCGCTACTTGTTTCGAACAGCTGGCAGTATGCAAAGCTCGCTCGAGCCGGTGCAAACGCTACGATGTCATGACCCTCTCGAGGCCGGCCGCCATGTGCGGAGGCCAAGACAGCACAAGGCACTGTCCAGGCGCAAGAGCTCCGACTTTCTGCTCGAGGCGGCGCCGCATCGCCAGCGCCTCAAGAGGAGCAGCAAGTGGATGAAGCTCGACCTCGCCCCTCTGCCGGAGAATGTGATGCAGTTCGCCATCTCGAGTCACGGCACGCAAACGGCCTTTGACTTCTCGCTCGACACGCAATGGGCGTACAGGGGAACCAAGCGCTGTCGTCTCGGGTCCGACGTCGAGGGCCCCAACACGGCTACCATCAGCCGCAAGAAGCGGCGCCTGAGGACGCAGCTCATCACCAGCCGGCTGTCCCAGCCCTTCTCCCAGCCTGCCACGCACATCTTGAACCGCAATGGCAGGCAAGTTGGCGACCGGCGCTTCGTCAAGATGGCCGTCACGCTCGACTCCAGCAGGCGGGCGGCGCATCTGCAGGAGACGGCGTACCTGAGATATTCAATCATGAACTGCATGCGCAAGAGGATGGGCATTGCGAAATCCCTGGAATCGGGAAAGACGGGCCACGGGGGCACGGAGCGGCAGAGCATGGACACGTACACCAAGGCGCCGTGGCAGGCTCGAGACGTCAAGGCGGTTCCCGAAGCAGAGGCAAAGACTCTCGAGCCCAGTCTCGGGGCGTGTCAAGGCTCACCAGTGGCGCTGAAAGAGGCCGCTGATGCTCAGTCCGAGACACTTGTCAAGGTCCCGGCATGCCGCTTGTCCAAGCCCAGAGCTCTGCCGCTTCCCTCTGCTGATGCCGACGCCACGAATGAGCGCAGTTCGGCGCGCATCGACTCGACAAAATCACCAGAGCCGAGGCCGCCGTGGATCTATGACGATGGTGAGGAGGACAGCTTTGCCTTTCTTCATCTGGACGAGGAGCATCTGGACGACGACGACGCGGACGTTTACTGCGACTTTGACGCCTTGTTCGGGGCCAAGGCGACTTCGCCTGACACGCAGTCCGCTTCGGAAGAGCATACATATGAGGAGTACATGGATGAATTAGACGGCATATCTTGGAGGTTGGGCTAACATTTTTTTTTTTTTTTTTTTTTTTTTTTTTTTTTTTTACATCTCTTTGCAAACATGTCCTTTGCGTGTTTTCACTTTACTAGAAAGAGACGGCGGAATTCATGAGATCTTGCATGCCCGGAAATCACTTTATAAAGGGCGGGGGAGGGCTGGAAAATTACTGTATATTTATTCGCATGGCTTGGCTGGTGCATAAGCCAAGGATGGGCTGTATGGCTTTTTTGGGGGAGGCGTTCTTTTTTGTTGGATGAGTGTAAAGGCTATGGGCGTTGGCGGCAGGGACCCAGAAAGTATTATGTCCCCCGGAAATGTAATAAGCTAGGAAGTTATGATATCGAATATCCCACCAATGCATATAGTGTATATAATGGCTTTTTTCTTCTTCTTTTTTTCAAAGAATCAGTTGCCGTTGGATTGCTTGCGGTTAGTATCTTCGGGGAGCTTGGAAGCCCTGGCTTTTGCAATGTCGCACATGGCCTTTATGGTTGTGAAGAAGAAAGAAAAGAATTAGCTCGTTGAAAATTACCATGTGAGATGATCCATGCTGGCTCTGTGCCTGGCCGTACCTGTAATGCAGCATCGACTTCCATTGAGTAGTCGCTTCGTTCGATCCGCATCCTCATGTCATCCATGATCTCGGGGCGCCCTCTGCCGTTGACAAAGACGACATATCTGAGTCCCGGGAACGCCTCTTCGTATTCCCTGTTGAGCGTGGCCAGCTCTTCTTCGGAGCCGCCCTGGATGTTTGCCTGTTCAGCGACGGATTGCGCCGACTCAATGTTCTTCTCGCCAAGACGGGGATGGGATCCGAGCACGGAGAGCAGGACTGGATGCGGTTCTGTCTCGGCGGACTTTGCCGCGAGAGCGAGCAGCCGGATCTGGCATACGTCTATCAGGTCGGGATAGGAGGTGTAGACGGCGGTGCGGATCACGGGCAACAGCGTGTTGTGGATGGCCGGGCTGGGCTCAAAGAGCACGTCGAGCACCTCGGTCTGCGCCAAATCCGTGTACGAGTGGAGAGCCGCAATAGGGGGGAGACGCTCCAATGGCATGATGCAACACGTATGCTTTCGCGGACAAGGAGAAGAGGACCGCCAGAAACGCTATTAGGATGAGTTGGTGTTTTGAGTCGAGGGACTGAATCGCGTTGCAGTTTTGGCAGAAGAAGCAGTGAGTGAGCGCCGTCTATAACAAACAATGGCGCCGAGGACGAGGGCCAGATTATATGAGCTTTGGGCGGGGTCTGTGAGACGTGGAATCCAGCCGCAGAAACAATCACACAAACTCGCAAAAGAGCCTTGGGACAAGAGTCACTGAACAAAGGTAACAGAAGGAAAAAAAAGAAAAAACAAACGAATGAATTTGCACAAAAAGCAAGAGTCAGACGACAGCCAAGCTCATCCCCTTAACCCCCCGCATTCCAGTGGAGCGACGAAAAGCAGCGATACCGAGTTGGTAGCTTGTTCTTGGTGAGCGGCGGGCTTATCACTATCAGCGCGTGACGTGCTTGGTCTGTGCGCCAGGGAGCGGAAAATCTCGATCGGGATGCAAGGTCGCGCGCGAGGAGCCGCGGGCGTCGCTGAAGAAGCTGGCAGCCTTGTGAGATTTCACCCGGTATAGCATTCAATTCACAGCCATTGGCAGCTCAGAGGCGATCCAGACCCAGTCGCCATGCTTTGCGGAAGTGAGTGATGCCCTGCCGTCTTTCATTATAGATTGAGATTTCCGTTCATCGCTCGTTTTGATCCCCGCCTGCTTGCAGCTTTGCTAACTGGTGCACAGTCTCCGGAGAAGCTCCCCAAGAGCCTGTCGCGTCCAAGAAGTCGGGTGAGTAGAGGTGGAATTGCAATTCGCATCTGGTTGGGATGCCGGCTAACTGGTCTTTTTCAAAGGCGTTGTATACGAGAAACGACTCGTAGAGCAGTACATCAATGAACATGGCGCAGAACCCAACGGCGAAGTCATAACAGCCGACGACTTGCTGCCCATCAAGTCTTCTCGCATCCCCCGACCCCGACCCCCTACTCTGACATCGATTCCTGCACTCCTTGCCACATTTCAAAACGAATGGGACAACCTTGCCCTGGAGACGTACAACCTGAGAGAGCAGTTGGCACGGACGAGAGAGGAGCTTGCCACGGCCTTGTACCAGCACGATGCCGCCGTTCGCGTCATTGCCCGGCTGACAAAAGAGAGGGATGAGGCCAGAGACTCGCTGAGCAAAGTTACCGTAACAGACGGTGCTGCAGCCGGCGAGGACATGGTTGTGGATAGTGTTGAGCTGCTGCCAGAAGAGCTGGCAGCACAGGTGGACCAAACACATCAGAGGTTGGTGTTTTCCTGTCTTTTCATCCTGGCCCCATGGCTGACCATGCAATCTTTTATAGCCTATCCAAGAGCCGCAAGAAGCGCCCTGTCCCAGAGGGCTGGGTTTCTGCCGACGAGGTGTCCTCGTTTGAGCCGACAACAATCAACTCTTTACCTGTCCCACAAGCCACATCACTAGATCTCGAGGGCAGCTATGCGGTGGCGGGCGGATTGAACGGCGAGGCGGCCATCTATTCTATCGAGGCGGACAACGTGGAGAGAACCGTGCCTGTCAATGAGCCCGTAACAGATACTCTGTGGTCCGGGTCAAAGGTTTTCTTTGCCACCAGTCAGGGAAACATCAAAGTCTACGAGGCTGGCAACGAGATTGGCACCATGTCTGAGCACGCTGGAGCTGCCAGTGGCCTGAGCTTACATCCTTCTGGAGACCTGCTTGCGTCGGTGGGCACTGACAAGAGCATCGTGTTTTACCAGCTGGAGACGATGAAGCGAGTCAGTCGAGCATATGCCGATGCCTGTAAGTTGGACCCATCTCTTACATCCCCCCCCTTTTACTTTGAACTTGATGGGCTAACACACGTTTGGCAGCTTTGACTACATGCGCTTTCCACCCTGACGGACATTTATTCGCCGCGGGCACTGTCAATGGAGACATCAAGCTGTACATGACCAAGACGCTCGAGCAGGCCGTGGTATTCAAGCTCGGTGCCCCGGTTCAGGCCATTGTCTTTTCCGAAAATGGCTTCCTGCTGGCAGCCACAGCCAAGGGACAGACCAGCGTTACCATTTTCGACCTGCGCAAAGAGGGAGATGCGGCGGTTTCCAAGGTGCTCGAGACGGGCGGCTCAGTGCAGTCGCTGGCCTGGGACTATTCAGGCCAGTTCCTGGCGACGGGCGGAGCGACGGGCATTACCGTCCAGCAGTACACAAAGTCGAGCAAGAAGTGGAGCGAGCCGCTGCGCAACTCTGTGGCTGCCATTGCGGTTCGCTGGGGCGAGTCGGGCAAGAAGCTGGTTTCTCTCAACGGAGAGGGTGTGGTGAGCGTGCTTGGCGTCAAGAACTAATGGGCAGGCTGCGTGTCTATGCAAGCCACCCCTTGCCGGATTTTGCTTGCTCTTGGTTATTTTCATTTATTTACTTGTTCCTAATTTTAAATCTGCACGCCGGGACAAACTGGGAAATTGTTAAATGAGGGGTTTTAGATTGTGTCACACGAGCTGTACATTTGAGAAGAGATGAAAAAGGGCACCTGCTTTCTTGCTGTCTAGGTAGCCTCTAGCTATCAGAAAAAGAGCAAAAATGATATCAAGCGAAAGACACATTACACGCATTGTCTTGTTACAATTCTTTTGTTCAGAAGCTGATGAAATGGTGAAGGGACCCTCGGCATATTGCTCACTTCCACACACTGGGTGCCAAAGTCTATATCTGTACGTGCTCCCTCGTTGCCGCGCAGAAAACAGGACCTTTGAGAGCTGAACCCCCATTTCATATGCAAGGGAGGCGCAAAAGGGAGACGCCGAGCACAGGCGGCTGACACTGAGCACAGCAGCGAAGCCAGGCCTGGGCTTGGAGTGAAATGAGTAAAGAAATAGGGGGGCACAAAACAAAGGAACAAAAAGAAACAAAAAAAGAAACAAGAAAGAAAAAGCAAAAAAATACGGCGGAATGTCTTGGAATAATATTTGGTGCTTGGTGTTTATTGGCCGCTCACTTCCGGGCCATGTTGAGCTGATAATAGCGTCACATCTGTGGCGTCGGCTCTCCCTGCGTTTATATCACGCTGCTGCGGCCGCTCTGCTATACGAATGTTTAATATATTGCTGCTCTACAGTGTACTGTGTGTTTTGTACCTACCCAGTGGAAGCATCTGTTATTTCATCTCTTCCTTTCATCTCAGCTTCATTTCCCCCGGGATGTGCGCGGTGTAGCACCAAAGCTCCCACTGCTTATCAAAGCCGAGCGCACATCACGGCTCAGGTGCCTCACAAGGGCAGGTACCTGCTACCTGCTACAATTACATTAGTGCATGGTTTGACTGTCAACAAACAAAGCCACCTGGACTCGACTCGACTCGACGCTCGCCAGCTCCTGTAGGCGGCAAATCCTTTGAAGGGGCTCAAGGGGGAGAAGAAACACAAAAGAAAAAAAGACCAAAAAAAGAACAAGATTACAACAAACAGTCCTTTCTTTATTCATGTCCTTCAGTCCATCGCTTCTTATTTTTCTCGCTCATTTTTCTCGCTGATTTTTTTTCTTTTTGCCCTTCTCAGCTGCCTGTTGCCACCAACTCCATCCCCACTGGCTAACCAAAAGCCGGGCTGCTGTTTGCGTTGAATCGCTCACAAGTGCATCAATCCGAACGGCCGATACTGTGCGGCGGGTCTTTCTTTTCCTCCTCCAGCGCCACCATTCTGGCGAATGCTCTGCCCTCCGACAATCAGGCTGCAGAGACGCCTCCGAGGCAACTCCTTTGACGACGACGACGCTGATTTGCCGCTCCCGTGATCCTCACTCTCGCCCATTCTCTGCCGACGACGCCGCCCTCACAATCTCGAGCCCTCTCCACATCGCTCTCTTCACGCCGTCGACACCGGATTCTTCACAGCCAGCCCACGGCCCGATTCACCAGCACAGCATGTCGCTTGCCGACGACGGGCTGGTGGCCATCAGCGACGACGAGCTGGTCGAAGTCCACGTCACCCGAGCCTCCTCCACGACCAGCAGCCGGCCCAACCCTACAAGCTCCATCTTCAGCAATCTGCTCAACCCGCAGGGCGTCGCATCGCGGGCGCGGGCAACGATGGAGAGCCTTCGCTTTTCCATGCCGGGCAGCGGCCAGTCCAGAAGACCCTCACAGCCGCACGTCCAACTTCGCCCGCCTCACGCACACTCGCAATCCGCCTTTCCTCGCTCGTGGACGACGACACCGGACTCGGGCGTCATCGACCTGACGGTAGAGCCAGACTCGCCGGTGGAACGGAGGAGGCCGCAGCCCTCGCACAACTCGCACAACACTCACAACACACAGCAGCAGCCATACATGCCCCCCAGGAACCCGCGGCGGACAGCCTCGCAGCGGATATCGCCGCCGCACCTGTCCCGGAGCGACAGCACCTTCGTGGGGCAGCAGGCGAGCTTCATAGACTTGACGGCAGACTCTCCCGACGACGACCAGCGACCGAATCGACACGCATGGCGACCACAGCCGCCGCCGCCGCAGCCGCAGCGAATTCACCGGCAGCGTCGCCACCACCACCGCGCCCACGACCACACCACCGAGGAACACCTGCTGGCCCTGGGTTACGACCAGGAATTTGTTGGCATGGACTCCTTTAGGAGATTGGCCGGCCTCATCACCGGGGACATGCTTCCAGGCTTCACTGCGCATATTCCTTCGCCGGCCTCCCAGCAGCACCAAGAGCCCCCGAAACCACCCTTGGAGCCTCTGCCCCCCGCAAAGCCGGGCTTTACTCGGGATACATGCACGGAAGCCGATGGCGAGCAGGTGGTGATATGTCCTGCGTGCAACGAGGAGCTCGCGTACGACCCTGCGGATGCACCGGCCACGCCGTCCAAGAAGAGGAAGCGGGTTGCTGGCGAGCATCATTTCTGGGCACTGAAGAAATGCGGTCATGTAGGTGGAATCTCAAGTCCATGTTTTATTGGCCTACATCGTCTATATCACATTGAAACTAATCGTAGTCGACGATAGGTATATTGCGCCGATTGCTTCGAAAACAGAAGACCGACTAAATCTGCCCCCAATGGCGCTGGCTTTCCCTCCGTACCAATCAAAGATGGTGCCTCTCACGACTTACACTGCGCTGTGGAAGGGTGCGAGACAAAGGTGGCTTCAAAGACGGAATGGGTTGGCATATATCTCTAAGGAAAGGAGATTTTGTTTTTCCATGGAAAGACAAAAACAAAAGGGGAGAAGAAAAAAAAAGAGACGACTTCTCATTTTGGTCTACGTGTGCATATGCATATTTTCTTTTTTTTTTCTTCTTTTTCACACGAATATTTAAGGCTTGGTGGCTGCATGGAAACCAACGGGACTGATTGGATGGTATGGTATTTATATACATATGAGTCTGCATGAACGAGGAGCACACCTTTTACAAAACATCATTTGTGCTTTCAAGGGCATTTAACGGAACGGACAAAGACGGGATTGGAGTTTTAGGGCTAGGGAAGGGGAAGGGAATTCTTGTTTTGTTTCCCCTCATGAGATGTTTTTTTTTTGTTTCCTTTTTTCTTTTTATTTTCCGTTTATAGGCGTTGGGAGGGACATCGACCAAGCACACACAAAGGACGGAAATATGGGAGATATCGAGGGTAGGGAGGGATGGTTTTGCAGGAAACGCCTTTTTTTACCCATTGCTTTTTTTTTTTTTTTCTGCGGTTGCAAATAGACGGACTCTTTATTTTTTTTTTGTTTCGTGTCTGATATTGGTAGTGTTTGTTTTTTTGGTGTTGTGAAAGCGATACCCCCAGGCCGTCTATAATAGGTAATCGAATCCACCGAACATTTTATAAGAGGGTTATTTTTTTCTTAATAATATTCCACTACATGAACAAATAACTTTAGATCTTGAAAAAAAAACATGCTCTTCAATTGGGAGATTGCCTCAATGGAAATAGAGATAGAAAACGTTCTCTTTTGGCCTAGTTGATCCCAAAGAGATGGGATGGGATGGGATGATGCTGATCTCGGGCAGGGGCAGCTAAGCCGGATAGAGTGCTATTTTGCTGAGCAGAGGAACTAATGCTAATGCAGCTTTTTTTTTTGGCATGTGATTGAGGTATGAGGGATGAAGGATGAAAGGATGAAGGCTATTTTTATTAGATGATATCGGTAAAGTAGGCGGTGATAAAAATGCAGAATAGAATAATCTTCCAAGGCTGCGCGTCACGTCATTGGCAAAGTATGTCATTTAATTCTTATATTTGACGAAAATGTATCTACAGAGCTAATCTCAATATCTAAATACTAGTCGAATGGAAAGAAAAAACTCCATCTTGGCTAGAAATGCAATGCAATGTCAAACTACTAATTCCCAGTATGCCCACCCAGTTCATGTCCCGAATCTGCAATATATGCCGCTTTCCCAAGTATGTGCCATAATAATATGCTGCTCCATCTAGCCGCCAAGCAAAGGGGTATGTCATCTCATCATCATAGGTAGGCACTGTGCCAGTCCAAGTTCATGTACATCATAAGGAAAGCTCCGTCGCCAACTCGTCCATCCAGCTGCCGCCGAATTCTGACTCCTGCGAAGCTGGTGGGCACTTGGACTCGCTGGTATCGAGGGAGGTATTGGCATCTTTCGGTTTATTTGCTGGTATGATGGGTGTGTTTGCGTGCTTTGGAGACGAGTATTGCTGCCTTGCCTCTTGGACCATCCTGTTGGTGTTGTGAGGGGTAAAAGAGGACGGAGACGGTCGAAAATTGCTCCCAAGAGAAGTAACTTTTCTGCTCATGTTAGCTACAATGGGTGATTTAGTACCCGGTGTTGTAGCCTTTGGATTTGTTTCAATCAGCGGCCTTCTCTGTGGCGTGGGCTTTACGGGAGTGCGGTTATCATTCATGATGAGTCTTTTCCTCGTCGAAAACTGCGATATCCTTGCAAGGGCTGAGCTCGCTGGATTCGAAATCTGTGCCCCGTCGCGTCCTGTTCTAGCAGCTGTATGATTGGCATGCTTGGGGTTTAATTTGCCAGCCGCTAGCATCTCGTCTCGAGCACGGCGCTCGGCCTCTTTCTTTCTGGTCTTTTCAATTTCGGCAAGCTCCAACTGCATTGTTTGTCGCCTCCGCTCCTCCTCTTGCTCGGCCGTCCGTCGGCTACGAAGCAAAGCTACAGCCATTCTCTCATTGGATCCAGAAGCAGTAAAAAAGGGCTTAGGTGTGTCAGGCGACGACGAGGATAGAGATCCTAGAGAGAACGGGCCTTTTTGGGATACCCGCGGTGGGTTCGGAGTTTGAACTTTAGACTCCAACCTTGATTTGATGGGAGAGGTGAATGTAACTTCTTCTTCTTCCAGCTCAGCCGCCTGCTGCGAGGGCGAAGGAAAGAAATCGTCCATGTTAAAGAGGATTTGTTGCGTGCTGAGAGGCGGTGCTTGCGGTTCTGCAGCTACTGGCGAAATGGGAGAGACTGAGGGTCGCGGAGCAGAAGGTATTGGTGGCGGTGGCATAAGAGACGTTTGGTCATGCTCTTTTTGGCTTTTTGCCCGATGAGTTTGCTTGTCAGGATCAGAGTCAGCGGCAAGCCCGAGATCCAACTCATGAGCGGTCGTCTTGCGTCTCGACTTCTGAGGGCTTCGTGGCAAAGGCATCTCTATAGATTCCTTGGTAGGTGTTTGCTGGAAAGTCGGGATAGCGTCAAGAGCCAGCATTTCCAATTCCAAATCCTCTTGATCGCCAAAAATCAAATCAAATTCCTGGGAATCTCCGAGTTCAGGGTTCTTGATTGACTTGGCAGGACTGACTTGGTGATTTTCGGCCTTGTCCTGTGGATGGCTCTTTTGTTTTTCAACCGGAGTAGCGTCGAGTTCCACAGGAGACTGTGACGTGCCGAAAATCAAATCAAATTCTTGGGAATCTCCTGTTTTAGGGTTCTTGGTTGACTTGATAGGACTGGATTGGCGACTTGTGGCCCTATCGTGTAGATGGCTCTTCTCTTTTTCGACTGGCATAGCGTCTAGTTCCACAGGGGATTGTGGCGCTGCGTCTTCCTTTCTATTATCCACGCCAATATGTGTGGCCGTTTCGTTAAAGGACAGCTTTGACATCTCCTCATCAGACATTATTTCGAACCCATCGAAAAAGTCATCTTCTATGATGAGCCCGTTCTGCTTTTCCTCAGCAACAACACGAGACTCAGCGCAGGGTTCTTCAGGTAATGGAGACGCATGTCTCTCCCTTCTCTCTACGCCCTCGCCAACTTTTCCATCTTGCTCTGTTTCATTGCATAGGCGTTTAGGGCTCGGAAAATCATCTTCCTCTTCATCGTCGTCCTCTACCAATTCTTCCACGACAGGTAATTCCGAAGCTTTCGCAGTATCTGCAGCCTCACCCACGTCCTCACCCTCGCAGCTCCTCTTGTGGCCCAATCCATTTCCTCGGAAGAATTTGGCAATGGTGTCTTGGCTTGGCCGGACCGTCACGAGCGGCAGGCCCTTCTTCTTCTTCTCCTCTTTCTCTGCCTGTTCCTTTGCCTTCTTCTTCTCTCGCAGGAACTTTGCTCTGGCAGCAGCCTTTTCCTTTTCAAACTCCTTTCGAATACGCTCCTGCTCGGCTCTCTCCTGCTTTATGCGCTCTGCTTTGGACAGACGCGGCACGCGATTTGCCGCTTGGTAGGCCTTGCGTACTTGCTTGGATGTCATGGGGCGATTGTCGACGGGGGTCCGCGTGGCCGGCCCGGCGGGCGGGATGACGGTGAATGTTTTTTGGACCCCCATTGCGGCGATTGCGTCAGAGTCAACGGAGGGGGGATTTGGGGTGTGGCATTCTTAGACATTGCACCATGTCCAGTGCGTGGTGATGATGGTGGTGTTGTCGCGGGGTAGGACCAAGTACGTGACGATGTTGACGCGAGGCCGATGCGCCATCACGTGATGGATTATACCGCTGGGCCTTGTCTGCTTGGCCTTTATACCGTGGTTGGCCAGTATTCTATTGATTCATTGAATATAGTAATTTTCAATATAGGTTATATTCAATAGATGAGTAAAGTGTTGAATCTGAGTGTACTCATATTTCGTTGTTTACTCATGTCTCAGTGCTTGTTGGGGACTCATTCTAGCGTCATTACGAACTAGAGCTTCAAGTTCTTAGCAGCTGCGAGTAGATGGCCACTTATGATGAGGTCCTCGTCTATTCAATACTTTGCTGCATTCTTTACAATCAATTCAATATTCACGCATGGAGTTACTATAGTGCATATTAGAAAATGAAAAGAGATGCGCTTTTGATTCTTTCATATAGCCATCAATGGTTGTCTATTTGCCCAAGCACTTTTTCTTCTTACACAAGCCTCGATATACCCATCATGGCTACGTATATATGATCCATCAACACTCAATCTACCTGTCCAACGGTTCAACTGTAGGGTCCCAAGCCACCGGGGTATACTCCGTCGTCGTCAAGTCCTTGACCTCGTCCTCCGTCAGCTCAAAGTCATACAAGCCCGCATTCTCTGCAATCCGGCTCGGCGTAACGCTCTTGATCAAGGGAACAAGCCCCTTTTGCAGACTCCATCGCAGCAGCACCTGCGCCTCCGTCTTGCCGTATTTCTTCGCCACGGCCACGACCTGCGGCTCGCCGAAGCGCTCGCCCCGGACAATGGGGCAATAGGCCTGCACGGCAATGTTTCTCGCGTGGCACCACTGCACAATGTCGTCCCGCGGGAGCCACGGGTGAACCTCCCACTGGCCGACGGAAATGACGCCGCCCTTGCCAGCGCCGCGCTCCGACTCGAGCTCCTTGATGTAGGCCTCGAGCTCGTCGAGGTGGTGCACGCCGTAGTTGGAGATGCCGATGGAGCGCACCTTGCCGGCCTCGACGGACTCGACGAGGGCTTTCCAGGCGCCCTTGCGGTTCTCGACGCCGCCGTAGGGCGAGTGGATCAGCACGAGGTCCAGGTAGCCCAGCTTGGTCTCCTGGAGGGCGATGTCGACCAGGTCGATTGTGTTTTTGTAGCCGAGCGGCTTTCCGCGCACGGGCACCTTTGTGGTGAAGAAGACTTCTTCGCGAGGGACTCCCGATGCGGCGATGCCTGCTGCTGAAGGGCCCTGGTTGTGATAGGCAGAGGCAGAATCAATCTACGACACGCGTTAGAGACGCAGATTCCCGAGGGGGGGTTGACATTTGAGCGTCAAGAGTTCCGATGACTTGCTTACATGTCTGTATCCAATTCTCAGCGCCTCTTTGCACACTTCAGTTGCCACAGACGCCGACCTATGAAAGCTGTCAGTGAAAAACAGCCTCCTTTCAAGCTTGTTCAAAGCTAGACAAACGTTTGATAGACCTAAAATAAGCACCACGCCTGTCAGCGCCATGCCGGCAAGATTTGAGCTAGCAGAGACGACAAAGAGCCATCAGGTTACTCACTCCATAGCCGAGGAGGGGCATGGTGTAGCCCGAGTTGAGCTTCACCACAGACTGGAGCGTGAGTTTCTGCGCCATGTTGCCGAGTTTATTGTATAGAGAAGGAAAGTGCTTGGAGAAATGGTACGGGATAAAGATGGAACAAATTACAAAGCCCGCTGCCTATTTATATAGCCATGATAAATGATGTCAGTTACGCCATTGAGGGGTTGGAGGGGCAATTCCCCGATTAGCTGATAAATCGCCAGGTCCTCGGTGTTTGCACGGAGAATAGAGCAATTCTGCCTGCAAAACCCATAGCATCTGTGGCATCTTTTCTCCCATTTGGGCCTGTAGGGCTGCTTAACGCCGAGATCCAACATCGGCTAATCAAATAATCCAACGCTGTTGATTGCTAGTACGTGGATGTACCTACAAGATGAATTCTGGTATTCTGGCCTCTTATGCAGAGGCATCAAGCTAGAGCGTAGGCAACAGATAGTGCGTGCATCGTCAACATTTTCATCCATCATTCGCTGTTGATTCCAAACATATTTTGCATGCATCCAATTTGACCCTCTAAATGACGCTATCCAACATGTCTATTTCGTCCTCCTCATTCCGTCTATTGGGTGTCGGCTCCGTCTCTGCTTCCTCCTCTTCCTCCTCGTCCAGGTCGTGCATGGGGTAATTCAAGATGGCCGCAATGTCTCCCATCATCTTGAGTCGCTGCCCGCTCTCGTGGTCGCTGCTTAGTATTCGCGCATCGCCGCCGTCGAGCTTAACCTTGTCCACCAGCGCAACGTACTTTTTCCGTGTCGCGAGATCCTGACTCCTAAAGAGGGAGTTGTTGATTAATAGCACTCCTCCGCCAGGACCAACTGCGCCATCGGCAATGGCCTTTTCCACGGCCCTGCTGCCGTACCATGCTCGCCCATCGTCGAGCTTGAGCAGGTCAAAGAAGTTGTCCATGTACTGCGCCTCCTTTGCGAAATTCATATCCTTCATCTTGGCCAGCACCTCGGGGCTCTTGAGCACCTCATTCAAGCTGTGGATGTGCCCTGAGTTGGCGTGTATTACTGTTGCCTGCCTTGCGACAGCTGTGAGCACCTTGTCCGACTTATCCCGACCCTGCTTTGCAATGTATTCTTTAAAGTCCGTCGCAACAAAGCCGGGGCTCGCTAGTAGTAACGGTCTTGACTCGGAAAAGTCAACGGCTCTGAGTAGTGACGACAGTGTCTTGTCGTAGAATCTCTTCATTCCTGCATCTTGGTCGGAAGCAGTATCGCGCTTTTTGGGAACCACGCTCTCCACGCGTGTCTTGAGAACAGTTCGGAACTGTGTAAGGAGGCAGATGTTGGCGAGGCCTTCTTGCATGACGACAGCGGCCATGGCGCCGTTCTTGTCGTCTGAGAGAGCTTGCGCCAGAGTGGCCTTGGCTACACTGTCCCAGCCGTCGGGCTTGACCACGGTAAATGATCTGTTAATCTCAATGTCTAGGGTGTGATGGGCGCCCATGGACACATGGTCGTTCTCGGCCGCAACGACGCCAGACACTCGGAGCGAAGAGACGACGGGATCGAAAAAGGTTGACTTGACCCGGATGGCCAGATTTGTGTGGACTCGCTCGGCGGCTGGGACGCCCGTGCCCGGGTTGATGTTGACGACTTTTCGGATGGCATGCGCATGGACGAGATCGCCGGGAACTATCAGGTTATATGCATGCCACTGCAAAAAGAAAAAGGACGACGGTGTTAGCCGTAGTGGAAGCAAATGTCACGATGCCCTCATGTCGCACTGCGGTATGTGGCGGGGCGAGTGCTGCCGCTTACCATGTCTTCTGGGTCCTCTGGTAGGAGCGAGACCTGCTCGTCCTCAAACTCTTTGGGTATGTGTCGCGATACGAGCTTCATGGTGATTTTGTGATGAGATGGTGGCTGCAGCTCTGGGATCGTGATCTGCAAGCAGATTTGATGCAATGGTTTGTTGTGAACTGAATGCCATCGTTGGGGCGAGAATCTTATCGGACCAGGCCTTGCCGATAAGCTTCGGTGGCTGCGATCGCTGCCTGTAACGGTTTGCGCTATGCGTCATCGCTAAAGCATGCAGTCCACTCAGGATGCAGGCATTCATCAGCCTTGAGCCTCACTACCGATGCAGTATTTGCACTGGTGCCTGGACAGGGCTTCAGGTCGGCGATGCGCACATCTTTGCAGCTGTATCTGCTGGTATTTCGATTTTTGAAAACCCCATTGTATATTTCTTTCCATTTCATGTAGTACTGTTATACACTTTCATCTTGTTTTTATCCTTCTAGACTATGAGGAATGCTGGATGGCGATGCCTGCCTGGCACTTACACTCGGCATGTACTTGCGCACTGCCACGGTTAAAACAGTTCATGTCGACAGTTAAAAAGACGAGAGCTAGTAATACTACCTTGAGTGTTCCATATACGGACTAGTAGAAAACAAGAGGAAAACAAACTCGGCTCTTTCACATGTATTGGTGAGTTGATGTCTGAATCCACAACGGTCTAGTTTGATATCATTGCCATCTTTGGCTGCTGTGTGTTTGTTTCAACAACCCTGCATGTCAAACAATCCTATGATCCCACACAAAGCCTCTCCGCTAGCCGCTTAGAAGCGACCGTCGGCCGGTATCGAAATATCTTTGAGTTCTTTATTCTTCGCTCTTCTGAAACATGGTGGATATACCAAGACAGGCAGCTGCGGGACATCAGAACAAAGCCTCAGCCACCTTGTACTGTATCCTCGCATTCGGCTGCTGTTAATTGGCGCCTCGCTGTCATGTCCCTTTGCGGCGATGAAACTGACTGCTCAGCCGTTCAGCACGCCTTGCCCGAAGAAGCCTCTCCATTCGAGGACCCTCATGGCTTGCGCAAGCAATGTGGCAGCCGCGTCATTACAGGTACGGCCTTGTAACGAGAATGCCGTGTTGGTTGCTGTTTACTGCATCAAAGTAAACAGAGGCTTGGCCCCATGAGGCAGCTATGGACATGCTTTTCCCGGCTAGTTGGGTGTAAATTCCGATTCTAGACTGAGGCAACGCAGCTGTGACAGGTTTGGGAGCCTTTCGGGACGGGGACGGAGACGGAGACGGAGACGGGGGCTGGAATGGGCGCTGCAAGGATCTGGGTCGAGAGTGGATGAGATGAAGTCATTGGCAGTCATTGACGCGCATGGCGGGCTGCACAAGATTTGCGCCGCACAGCAGGGCCCTGAGATTGACAGCAGGCTGTGCCTGTGCCTGGTGGCATTACATGAAGTTGCAAGAATAGAATACAACACTTGTCTAACTGTACATTCTGTGTATCATCACGACGAGACTCATTTCGCTTTTTGCGCTCACGGGCCCCAGCAATTCTTGGCGGGGGACTGGAAGCTGGTCGGACCGAGGCAGCTTTGGGTGGATGGGATGAGACAATTGATGCAAGATGCGGCTTTACGCGTATTTGGATGCACGAGAGCAGCTCCGGAGCAATAGTCCGGCACTCGCCCGCGTAAATCGCCCCGGCCCTGCAGTAGAGAGATGGAAATTACGGAGCATCTGCAGACGGCCAACTTGACCTGGAGCTTGGGTGATGCTGCAAGCACAAGCACATGATTGATTGCTGTACTCCAGCTTCTCCAGGCTCACAGATCCTTCTAATCACCCACTAATCCAAGTGCAGCCCCTAAAATAAAAACGCTCAATGGCAATAGCAGTGCATGGATCATGGGACGGCACGTTCCAAGGGGCGGATAGAATAATAACTCAGTGCAGTAAAATAGAGATGCATCGGCGCAAGGCAGCCCTGGATCCTGCTGCAAGGCATACCGCACCGTAAAAACACGGACAAATGCCATGCGTCATCATGCCACCGGCCATCGGGCTCTCTTGGCAGCGGGTCGTATCGTATTACGGCCATCGCCTTAGGTAGCTCGTTATGGCACTCTTGCTTCGTACAGCTCTACCCGTTTCTGGCCATCGAGATTGGGGGGGTTTGATTGAAAAGGCTCTTGCGCCAAGTGCGACTCGCTTCTAGTTTTTTCTTCGCCTTCGTACTCGGATCGGGCCTTGAGATGATAATTAAGAGCCGGTGGCTTGAAATTTTCTTCTTCATTCCCTCAGCTTCTTCTCTCATCAGCTTCAGCTTGTATTCCGTGCCGCCTGTTTTATTCTATGGGGTGCATCACCACATGATCAAGCGATAGTCCATCCATCGCGCCTTGAACACTACCCACCTACAACTACTCCATCTGGGATATTAAGCTCGCTGCGGCCCCTGGTTCGCCGCTCCACCATTGACGTTTGAGGTTGGACATCTCGAATTGCTCAGTGTGCGACTTGGCCTGTTCAACTGCGTTTGCCACGGCTCCGCAACTGCGCGGAATCAAGGCACCAGAACGAGAACGAGCCGCCCCGAATCCTCACATCTGCGTCCCTGACAAGGTCCCCGGAGCCCGCGGATTGGCTCTGCTTATACCTGCTGTAGCTCCTCTACTAGGGGCTGAAGAAAAAAAAAGAAAGAAAAAAAAAGCATCCCGCTTATATAAAGAAGCTTAGTCGGCCCACTCGGACCCTGGACGTTGTCCGGAGTCCGTTTTACCTGCATTTGATTTGACTTGATTCGGATGTGAAGCCCAGGCCGGGGCCAGCTCGTGACTCGACCTTCTCGACTTTTCTGCGAGGCTCCAGGATTGGCTGCATCGAGCCAGCCTTTCGCTGACTTTGCGGTTCGAATCCTTTCATCTGGCCAGGCCCCCTTACACCGACCGATTCGACCGTCCAGACTCAACTCGACTCAACTCTCTACTGCACCACCACCACCACTTACACCCGCAACTTACCATCATCGCCCTCGGGTTGCTGCGACTTCCCGGCGAGGCGCTTTGTTTCCCGCAGAACCGTTGCCATCACAGCATGGAAGATGCCTCCACCAATACAGACACCTGCGGACAGCCAATTGGCCCCCAAGAAAGACGGTAGCACCAAGCTCTCCGCCAACGGAACCTCCGGCAACTCCGAGTCGCAGCCCGTGCCCATTGTGAGGCGATCGACAACTCGCCTGTCGCGCATCTCGACCCAGCAGCTGCAGAATGGCAAAGACCGCGAGGCCAAGAATGTGTCGGTCAGGACGCTGTCCTCGACCCCGCCGGCCGCGGCGACGCTGGACCCTTTGAGCAATGTAAGCATATATACAAGCAGATGCATTTGTCTTGGACGGTGTCGGTGCGATCAGATTACTGACATGGACGTCATTGGCTGCAGCAAATCTTCCTGAGGACCAACAGCGGCTCTCTTGAGACAGCGACATCCCTAGCCCAGCGCTTGCGCAACTCGACCAAGGCCGACAGTCCCACGACAGAGAGCTTTCCCCGGAAGAGCATAACCATTGAGAACACGGCCCGCTTGGCAAATGGCTCCGCCGACCTGCCCAGAGACCGAAGGTACGTTGCGCCTTGGGCTTTTGACCTGGTTGATCCAGCATGCTCATTTTTTTCTAGGAAAGGAACTTCGTTTTTGAGCCGCCTGGCCATGCGCAGCGCCTTCAAGAAGAACGACGACGATGCGCCCGACTCCGACTCCGAGCTCGGCGAGCTGCGCACTGAAGGGAGCAGCGCTCGTGCTCCCATGTCCGTCATGAGCGATGGCGGCGGCTACATCCCGCTCTACAAAGAACCCCCCCGCTATATTCGCGTGAGGGCGCATAACAGCAAACGTCGAGACTTTAACCGCCTCTTCTTGGCCCAGGAGCTGCTGGGCCCCAAGCCGGACAAGGACGACGAGCCGTCGCAAGGCCGCGCCCCTGCCACCGCGGTGGGAACAAAACTCCTCAAGGCTGGCGATGCTATTTGGGCGGCCGAGTTCAGCCTTGACGGCCGCTATCTCGCCGTAGCGGGCAAAGACCAGGTCGTTCGAGTCTTTGCTGTTCTATCGACCGAGGAAGAGCGCAAGGCGCATGAGCAAGAGGAGGAAGCGGAAAGAGAAGCGCAAGGAAACAGCAGAGGGGAGCGACTCAGCGCGCCCGTATTCCGAAGTAAGCCGATTCACGAGTTCAAAGGCCATACCGGCGAAGTGCTGGCCCTTTGCTGGAGCAAAAACAACTTTTTGCTGTCGACATCAATGGACAAGACTGTGAAGCTCTGGCACATCAGCAGAGACGAGTGCCTTGCTACGTTTACGCACCACGATCTGGTTACTTCGGTGGCCTTTCATCCGACCGACGACCGATTCTTCCTCGCCGGCTCCCTGGACGCTCAGCTCAGATTGTGGAACATACCAGACAAGACAGTCGCCTTTTCGGCGTCTACAAACGAATTCATCACGGCTGTTGCCTTCTCCCCCGACGGAAAAATGGCCATTTGCGGGGTGCTGAATGGCATGTGCTCGTTTTACGAGACAGAGGGCCTTAAATTAAAGTTTCAGATCCATGTCCGATCGTCAAGGGGAAAAAACGCCAAGGGTAGCAAAATCACAGGCATCAAGACGGCCGCTAACGCGGGAACTGGCGAGGTCAAGGTACTGATTAGCTCCAACGACTCGCGCGTGCGAATCTACAGCTTGAAAAGCAGGATGCTCGAAGTCAAATTCAAGGGTCTGGAGAACCAGTCCAGCCAGATCCATGCTCGCTTCAGCGATGATGGCACCTATGTCATCTGCGGTAGCGAAGACCGGAAAGCATACATTTGGAACACAAACACGTCCGAAGCCGACACCAAAGACCGTCAACCTTATGAATGCTTCGACGCTCACCCAGAGGTTGTCACCACCGCTCTGATAGCACCGACGCGGACAAGACAGCTCCTGAGCGCTTCGGGAGACCCGATTTTCGACCTCTGCAATCCACCCCCGGTTTTGCTTCGCAGTCTTGATGAGGCAGCGCTGAGCCAAACAGAGGTATCGGAGACAGGCACGGAGATCCATCACCCACCGCCGAGCATCAGGAAGCCCGAAGAAAGCCCAGCCTACATTGAACGTTGCAAGCACAGTGACGGAAATATTATAGTTACAACGGACAGGACCGGCACCATCAAGGTATTTCGACAAGATTGTGCCTTTACCAAGCGCCAGCAAAACATGTGGGAGATTGGCTCCAAGTCCTTTAGCAAGGTGAGCGGGCTGGGACGAAGCGGAAGCATCATCACGAGAACTAGCGGAAGCTTGTCTAGACGGACTTCGTTGAATCTGAGCCAAGGCCAGAGCGCCCAGCACCCGTCTGACCGGATTATTAGCTGGCGCCAAGATGTGGATGACGAGGGGCGGGCCAGCCTCAATGTGACGCCGGCAAGGAGTGAGCGATCTGCATCGCCAATGAAGGCCGGCAAAACACCTGCCAGCATATCCACGGCGGTCAATCCCTCAGCCGAAGCCCGAAGACGACCTGTTCCAAGCGGCTCGCCGGTTCGTGCCGCGCAGAGGAATAGTCTCGTCAGCCCCGTAGGTAGCGTGCGGAGTAGGCCATCGATTGGAGCGTTGGACGGAGCATCGCAACCACCGACGCCGAGCTTCAATTTGATCAGCGTGGCTGATGCCGACGAGTCCGAAAAGGACGGCAGTTTTTGGAATCTCAGTCGGTGGAGGGGCAGCTTTTCGGGACTACGATACTCGATAAGTGCAAACTCTCCCACTGAGTCTACTCACGATGCCGCCGCTGCCTCTTCTTCTTCTGCTGCTGAAGCAGAACAGCCCAAAGCTGCCAATGAATTGCTGAAGCCCCCTAGCAAGACCGCCAATCGGAGGAGCATTGGGGTTACCGACCTCAACAGGCCCAAGGTCGTGGAAGATCAGACCAACCGCAGAAGATCAATGGGGCCAACAATTCGAGCAAGCAAATCCCAGGAAACAACTACGGGAATGGACGTCATTGATGAAAACAAATCCGATCCGTCGCTACCCAAGAAGCGGGCTGATTCTGGCGTGGGGAGGATGAGTGATGATACGGCTGAATGATTTTATGGGATATGGGATGACGTGGGAGAGAATGGGAAAGGGGAAAAAAGGAAAAGAGTATGGCTTAAAAGTCTCTTGGGAGCAAAACTTTGTTACTTTGGGTATCCAGAGCTTTGTCCTGTTGATTTTTTGGAAATCAAGAGCTGTAATGCTCGATCTGTGCTTGTTGCTTCAGATCCTTGTCTCTCTTTTTCTCTCTCTCTCTTCACTTTTCCTTCTTTATAACGGCTGCATACAACAAGCGTGGAGTTTTTTCATTTTTATGTTATTCAATTATGTCTACATTTTTCTCCTTCTTTTTTCCTTGCTATACCCAGCGGTGTATAAATTCATGGTGGTGGTGGCGAGATTAACACTGGTGTTTTCTTTTCCTTTCTATTCTCTCTCTTTTCTTGGCATTTGGAACACGGAACAAGACTCCTCTTTTGTGTATTATCGGGGCGCACTGTATGTAGAATTTGGGAGTAGAGCAAATCAATGATATCATTAGGTTATTTGGGATACGACGGATGGAATGATGAAGCGGGCTGAATAGAGTCGTTACGATGCAAGATGTCTCTTTCTTTTTTTTTCTACTGAATGCGCTTGTGAAATTTCCCTAGTCACTAGAAATTGGATTGCGAATTCGGATCTAATGAGATTTGTTTTGTATTATCTTCTACTTTGCATTCTGTAGCTTTGGGGTATCCTCTCAAAAGCAAAACCAGAAGATGGGTAGCTTCATCTTTATGTGACTTGTTCTGAAGCAAGTATTTTCTTTTCCATTCCCTCATTTTGCCATGTCAAATTTGTATCCTCCTCTGCGTTCTTCGGTTTTCGGGTTTGTATATTGTTTTTCTTGATTTAAAAGTCCTCGTTGGTAGAAAGCTGTCCCTAAGTAACAAAAGACCCAGTATCAGCAATCCGTAAATCCTTGCTTCTTTTATTCTCCTCTATACTTTTTTTCCCTCTTCACAGCAAAGAGGTCTTTCGTCGCGCGCCATCACCACTCACCTCGCTCTTGGCCTTTTCGCCAATTTCCGCCGTCAGCTTCTCCAGCGCCTTTGGGTTCGCGCCCGTCAGGTTCTCCGTCTTCTCGCCGTTCTCGAAGAAGAAGAAGGCGGGGATGCTGCGGATGCCGAGCTCCACGGCCAGGTCGGCGACGTCGTCGGTGTCGAAGCGCGCAAAGGCATACTTTTCGCTGCCGAGGCTGCCGGCGTGCTTGCTGAAGAAGGGCGAGATGGCCTTGCAGGGGCCGCACCAGGAGGCGTGGGCCTGGAGGGCGACGTAGGGCGTGGTTTTGACGAGTTCGTCGAATTGGGCTTTGGAGGTGATGTCGACGACGGTGGCCATTTTGGTCGTTTTGGCTTTTGAGAGTTTGAGTGTGGGTTTTGGTTGGAGATGGGAGACTTTTGATGTTTGCTGGTGGAGATGTGTGAGAGGAAAGAGGGCGGTTTGTTGGGGTGGAAGCTTTTATGCGGATTTTTTTTTTGTGGTGGAGGAGGAAAGGTGGTGATGATGTAAGTGTAGCGGTTGGCGAGCCTCGGTAATAATTATTGAAGAGGATGAAAAGTGATTTAATTTGCATGGAGACGAACAAATACAAGAGATATTCAGATGGCTTGCATCACTCATATTATATATTATTTGTTATGGCTGTGCATATATGAACCCATCTACTCCTTTCCTCTCCATGGTAATCACCAGCATTACAAATAGCATCATCGCCTTTTACTTTCCAGATGGGCTAATGCGGAGGCAAACCTGCAAGCGGTAAACGCAATGCTGTGCCAAACATGGAATCTGCACGGGCAACAAGCGTCTTTGTCCCTTTTGTATGATTTTCAGGGCTAAAAGATACCTATTGCCTTTTTGGAATTATCGGGAGAGTGTAGGTGGCGGACGAATGCGGAGCTCCTCTGGCGGGGGTTTAGGGTGCGATTGCGTGATTGGGAGGGAGCGGTTGGCTAATTTTTTGCTGACAAAAGAAGGGGGCAGTCGGTGCTTGGGATCGGATGTCGCAGGGGGGTTGATCGGAGTGTCGGCAGTGGATGGTTTGTTCTGGGTATGACGTAGAGCTGGAGCTGTTGATTTATTAGATGCTGCAGTTGTTTGAGATGGGTAAGAGTTTGAAGCTGTTTGCTGCGTAAGGGTTGAGAGCTGTGGTGTGGCGTTTTAGCTATACGGGTGCTTGATATGATGTAGTGCTGCCGCAGCCATTCTCTTGGATCAGGAATGGGAAGTACGGGCTGATATTCGTAGAGCATTAGCCATCTAACAGAACGTTGAGTGAACTTGGCTTATAAACTTGGTTTTGAGCTTTCTATTGATAGTTAATTTACATGTGCGGTTTAACTTGTGTACGCAAGTATTGATGTGTTGTTGGCTGTCTTTGACATTGGCGTATTCCGTGCTCTAGCTGCTCTTCGATATAATACCTACGAACAGCTAAATGTAATTTCCGTATGCCTGAGGAGAGGGCATACTAATGGCAACTAAGCCTATGGAGGCTGCGGGTGATTAAGAACTGTCCATGTCAGACAACAGCTTCGTTCTTCATCTCTTCATCTGCCTTTATCCAGCTCAATATGCCTTTGCACCCCTAGAAATTGGTTCACACACTCAGACAGAAACAGCAGAAGCTGTTATATCTGATGCAAAACTGGTAATGCCCTGGGCTTGCATGTAGATGATGTTGTTCTGTGTTACGGTTTCAAGGCGAGATCGAGCAGCACGACAAATAGCCATAGACGAGAACTATCTCCACAAAGCTTGCCAGTCGGGACAAAGATTTCATTACATCGGTTTTTTTTTTGTTCCATTAGCGATTGGGTCTTATACAATGACATGACCAATGAATTGAGCTTTGGCAGCACGTTGAACATCCAGTTCGACCGCGGACCGCGGCTGAGTGTGCTTCCTCTCCGACAGCTGCTCCACGGTATTGTCGTTTGTCTTGAGTCTTTCTTGTATAGCATATTGAGAATGATCCTTTCCGAAACACTCGGCAGGTAGAGCAACCCGATGATCGTTCGTCGATGGGGAGGAAGGGAACTCACTCAATACGCACGTTTCCAGTCGGTAGCCACTACCGCTACGAGGAGGTTGATGTCAAAACTAGGCATGATAAAATTCTACATTTATGCCAGACTTCAGCAAAATTAGCCTTTTTAACGAAGACATTGTTGGCTTTGACGCTCTAGGGCATCTATTTAGCATCTCTTTCCCCGGGTTGATAGAAGCTATGCATGATTCAACCGCTACGTGCTTCATTGCAATCTCCAATGTCTTTCAGATCAAGTAAACGTGCAAATGTTAACACCGTTCGTTAATATTCATTCTCTATATTCCTTGACAGGCTGAAGAGTTTGCGCCGACCCCTTATCTCCAGCTTCCAATCTAGTTAGACGCATATCAGCAATATCCAGCTGCTAAATACTAAATTAGAAGGATCTCAACACGCAAGCTAAAGATCATCACACCTCTTACGGAATCTCAGATCCCCCGCATTGGATATCGTGTGGGGTTAGGGGTAACCCAGAGCGAATCGTTGGCGCAGTATACATGACCAACATTACGGCACATGTAGTTACTTACTAAAGTTGGCCGCAGGGATGAGCTGCGTAACGAATGGAAATGCAGGCAACAGTGGCATGTGAGACATCTACTGAATATATAAAGCCATGCACTGCTCCTGTTTCCGCCCGCCTCCTTCATCCGCTCCTAATTGCGACTGGAAGACGCATTGTAACACCAATGGCGCCCCAAAAGTCATGCGAGAACACCGAGGGTATTGTCACAGAAGTAAATAATACGCATACGCCTCCAGAAGCAGAAAAGGCCGTCAGTCATGATGCTCTTCTCGCCAATGCTGCTGATACGCAGCAATTAGGTGTGTCAAGTCTCATGCACGCACATCAATGATGTCTATCATCCCTTATATAGAGGGGTTGCAGCGGGGATTTAATGCGTAAAACAGCAAACATCGACTATAAGCAAGAACTCAAGCGACATTATTCCAGTATCCAGATATTCGCTATAGCATTTAGCATTATGGGACTGCTTCCGTCCATTTCAGCAACGCTGTGGTTTTCGGTCCCTGCAGGTCCTGTTGGTATGGTGTGGGTAAATCGCCTTGGTTACTCCCAAAGGCATACCAAGATGCTGACTATCATCAGGGATGGTTCTCAGCAAGTTCTCTTATATTTGTTGTTGCCCTAGCTATTGTTAGTTTGCAATGTCTCATTTCGGACGTCGACATGAGCTGATCTCCGCAGGCTGAACTTGGCTCCTCGTTGCCAACATCTGGTGGTTTGTACTGGTGGACGCATTACTTTGCTTCTGAACGATTCAAAAATCCTTTAAGCTTTCTTGTCGGATACAGCAACACGCTGGGGCTCATTGGAGGCATTTGCTCCATAGATTGTATATGATCGACCCCTTTATGCAGGAACATACTCTGGCTGACGGTGGTCTAGATGGATTCGCATCGTTTATCGTATCCCTGGGCAGTATTAGCAGCGATGGGAAGTGGCTACCCCATCGCGGATACTTATATGCCATCTTTGTTGCGACTGTGCTCTGTCATGGCCTGCTTGCAACCTTTTGTGCAAGAGTCATGCATCATCTTCAGACCTGGTTTGTTGTCGCCAATATTGCGCTGATTATAGCGACAGTTATTGTTTTACCAATCAGTATGCGCATCAGAGGCGTTCCAATCAACTCGGCTGATACTGTATTTGGTCATACCGCCAATGAAGGTACTACTTGGCCGACGGGCTGGGCATTCATGCTATCCTGGCTGTGTCCGATTTGGACAATAGGAGCGTTTGACTCTTGCGTCCATATGAGTGAAGAAGCCAAAAGCCCAAAAAGGGCTGTTCCGGCTGGTACAGTAGCCTCGGTCGGATGCTGCTGGATCATAGGCTTCTTTCTGAACGCGATTCTGGCCGCTTGTGCCGGCAGCGACTTTGGAGCAATACTAGCCTCGCCTTTTGGCCAGCCCATGGCTCAAGTATGGCTTCATAACTACTTATGCCTCTATCTCTCTATATGTATCCGCCATGCAAAACTAATAGTATCATAGATATACCATAATGCTTTGGGTAAACAAGGGGCTTTAGGCTTCATGTCCGCCATTTCCATCCTACAGTTTTTCATGGGCCTCAGCATTGTAAGTCATCCAATGATGTCTGGCTGTCGGAAGTTAGTTATTCATGAAAAAGTGCTTACCTTGCTTGAAATGCCAGGTAATTGCTGCATCTAGGCAAACTTGGGCATTCTCTCGAGACGGGGCCCTACCGTTCTCTTCGTACCTCCGCAAAATCAGCAAATCTTTTGGATACCAGCCCTTGAGGACAGTATGGGCATGCTGTCTTACGGCTATTGTCCTTGGGTTGCTATCGTTAATCAACACTGCAGCTGCCAATGCTCTTTTTTCTCTTGCTGCAGCGAGTAACAATGTCGCCTGGGGAATCCCAATCCTATGTCGTGTCCTTTGGGGCCAATCCAAATTTCGCCCGGGTCCCTTCTATCTGGGCAGATTTAGTGTTGCTGTGTCAATCATCGCACTAATTTACTTGACGTTTGCTACTATTCTTTGCATGTTTCCAACGCAAGGACCAAATCCTGATCGTGAGTCAACAGTTCCTGGCTCTTCTCTTCTATGCTCCATATTTTGCATTATTTGAGCATATCTTTCTTTTATCCACCGCAACAAAAGAAAATTGCCAGCATCTTCCATGACACAATGCTAACTAGGAGGAAGCGACTATCATGAATTATTCTCCAGTTGTCAATGGAGCGGTCTGGGGGGGTGCACTACTATACTATTTCGCATACGCCCACACCTGGTTCAAGGGTCCTATACACAATACTCATAGCGTGGAAGAAGAAGGACAGATTTAAGTTTTTACTGTTTTTGCTATGTGTCTGAATAGCTTTACTATTCTAAACTATGGGCGGACGATGCCCCCCAATGTCAACTACGATATTATAGGACATTGAAACACGTCATCAATTTTGCATGTGCCCTGGTACTAGAGAACCCGTTTTAGCTACTTACCGCTTGCTACCCCGATCTCATGCGGGCGTAACCTTGTGGAATACATCCTCCGACGAATTTAGGCCCCAGAAGCAGGAAATTGAAAACATTTCAAAGTATGCGTTATTTAGATCCTGCAAATAGTCGTTTCCTATATAGTAATTAGTTAGTCGGAACCTATTTAGTTTGCTACTTATAGATAAATTCTTGGGTGGCGAGTCGTTAATTTTGCAGAATAAGTAAACATACAGAGAAAAGAATAGTAATATAAATCCATAGTGTTAAAGCTAGAGCATAGATAGCTAGATCTGCTTCTTAGTAGGCCACACAAACAGTGTAATTCGCTGGTAGCGACATCTGGAGGGCGCATGATATGCGCTACTAAAACTTCATATGTAATCTTCAAGTTACCAAACACAAGATAGCAATACTCACATAACAAATGAACAGGCTAGTAAAACCGAAGTTTGAATGAAGATTTTACAAACGCTTATTACATGATCGCTTGATCACAAGAGTATAGTATTCCTATAAGTGAGATTGTCTTTCTCCCTTGGCGCTAATACGTTGGCTTTCTATCAACAACTTTTAACCGATAAACGGGTGTCGGGCTATAATGGTGGGGGGAAGAGATTTGCGAGTGAGAGTCGAAATGAAGATAAGTAATCCATGCACATGTTGCTAAGCCACTAATACCTATCAACCCGTGCTCGGAGCCTGTTATTTCGTTTTGAAGGAGCATAAACGGGTCTGAAGTATACCAGTAGTAGATTGGCCATAGCTGGCGCAAGATGGTAACATTATCCATTTAATAAGTATTTGTAACTAAGCGAAAAGCGCATAAACTTTTTCTGAATGTAGAAGTATGTCTATGTGGTCAATTCCCTTTTGGATTCCCATGTAGGCCTACGTCGTGACTTGTCGTTTACACATCGTAGAAGCATTGTGTTAAGAACCCGAAGGCCCGGGTGCAACGCTAGGATTACAGCAGGGGCTCAACACATTGCAACAGAGCAGGGGCCTGTTAAAGAGACTATACGCTTACGCAATGTTAAGAATAAAGGGGAATGCTTTTGTAAATGCTAGGTAAGCGAACAGATATATCCTAAAAGCACAACTAGTAAGAATTTTGTGTTCTTCGATCGGATAATAATTTAAGCCTAGGTTGCGTATCAATGAATTAGTTGAAATTATGTTCGAAAACACAAACCAGCATTTAAAGCTTATTTATGGAGTTGGCTGGTTCTGTTAAAGGAGACAACTCGTATGGAAGACGTAGGCGACCGGTAGTCTCTCACTAATTGAAGTTTCCTAGAATCATTTACAGAAAGTACCCCAAGCGGCAACTATCCCGAATAGTAAGTATTGCGAGCATATGATACATCACATCGGAAGGAAATCAATGCTTTGGATGGCAAAAAGTGGACTTTCAGCCAGCCTCTCCATGTCTACGAACCCACAAATGCAGTTTCAACAGGGGCGCCGAGTTGGATTAGTCGTGAAGCGGCCGCAAACCCCGCTTATCAGAAGTGCTGCTTAGATGTTTGATGGTAGAATACAATACATCTAGTAGGTATTAGCGGGTTTGTTTACACTTATCGCTCAGTAGTTATAAAGTAGCTGATTTCCCACCTGTCTCTAAGTTATGTACATAGTTGAGGGCCCAATAGTACTCATTGTTGGAACTCATAAGGCATGATTCTTAGAGAAACACGTCGTTTTACTGTTACTCACTCTGCCTAGTCAATATGGGGTTCATACAAGACTCGAATATTCCTTTGAAGCCTAGTGTGGCACTGCCACTGCTAGCAGTCATATTGGTACGATCTTCAACTTTAGTAACTGCCATGGCCAAAGACTACTTGTTACCTAACACAACAGAATTAGGGAATATTATACATCACATACACCACGATTTACAATCTTTTTTTTCACCCTCTCAGAAACTTCCCAGGCCCAAAACTCTGGGCGCTTCACTATGGCTTTTATGCTCGTCTAGAGCTCTCTGGCGAAGGCCACCGAAGGATGGTAAAAATGCACATAAAGTACGGCCCAGTCATTCGAGTTGCTCCGAATCATCTAGCTTTTTGCCATCCTGATGCGATGAATAATCTTTCATCTCATCGAAAGCCAGGCCAGCTTGAAAATGGCAAAGAAGAATCTCGCAGCTTGAGTGTTCCCCACAGCATCATTGGCGCGTCCCGTACCGACCATACTCGAATGCGAAAAAGCATGACAAACGGATTTTCTCAACAATCAATGATCAGTCAGCAGCCTCTGATCAAAGTCTACATTGACAAATTATTTGAAAAGTTTCAAGAAGCAAGCGAAAAAGGAGAAAAGATTGATGCGGTTGCGTGGTATAATTATACGACTTTTGATATCGTTGGCGATTTGGCTTTTGGTGAACCATTTGGGTGCCTCGAGGAATCTACCTACCACCCCTGGGTGGATCTTATTTTCAAGAGCATAAAAGGTATAGCATTTGATTCATCTTTTAGACGTATGGGATATCTCCATGCTATCCTCATGTCCTTGGTTCCCAAATCGATGAAAGATAAATTTGAACAACACAAGAAGCTATCGGAAGAGAAGGTTGTAAAAAGATTAAAGTCGGACACAGATCGAAAAGACTTTATTGCATCCATGACATCCAGAAAAGGGAAAGATGTAAGTGCTGAAGGAATCTGAGTCTTCTTAGACGAGGCTCTATCTGCTAACTTCACCTAGGAGTTGTCTTTACAAGAGCTTGCTGTCAACGCTGGTATTCTAGTCATCGGTGGTTCAGAAACAACAGCAACGGCGCTCTCTGCGGCAACATACTTCCTTGGTACCAATCCAGAACCTCTGAAGAAGCTATGCGAAGAAGTTCGGTCTGCATTCAACAATGAAGCGGAGATTGACTTGTTTAGCGTTGGCCGTCTGAACTACATGCTCGCTGTTTTGGATGAAGCAATGAGGCTTCACGCACCGGTTCCAGCTACAACTCCGCGAACTATTAATGAGTTGGGAGACACCATTGCAGGCTACTATGTGCCACCAGGGGTACGTGTCACTTTGTTGTTCTTCCAAAAGCCGTAACATCTTCTAACGAGCATATTCTACTCTAGACAAACATTGATATCTGGTACTGGACCATGTTCCATTATCCTGAATATTGGGCGCAAGCAGAAGATTTTATTCCAGAACGTTGGCTAGGAGATCCACGATTTGAGCACGATAAGAGGCAAATCTTCACTCCATTTTCTGTTGGACCTAGGAACTGCATAGGCAAGAAGTAAGTTCATTGCAAAGGCCTCGCTTTTCATCATTGCTAATACATGACCGATCCAGCCTTGCGTATGCCGAGATGCGACTCATTCTTGCCAAGCTCATTTGGAATTATGACATTGAGATTGCAGAAGAAAGTATTGGCTGGGATAAGAAGTGTGGATGCTATATACTATACGAAAAAGGGCCGCTCTACATATGCCTGAAGCCTAGGAACCAGGGCTGAAGGACTATCTTCTTCATGCGTTAAGTTACTGAGTGTTATGATTGATCCGACTCCATTCAGTTTTACAAGATGCCTTGGTCCGCAAATGGACAATACGCCTTGGGCTACTGATATCTACCTACGTGACATTCTACTTGTTGGTTGCGTCTAAAAGCTCCCTTGGTCTGAATGCGCCAGAGCAATCTATTCTTCGTTGACAAAGGGGTACCTGTACAAATTCAGATCTTATAATGCCAACGAAGTTGCCGCACTATCACTCCATCTCGGCCCCAAGTCTCAGTCGCCGTCTTTATCACCTCCTCTGTGATAGGAACCTGGCCTTTGCACCGATCGACAAGTAATTCTATAACTTCTTTGCCTTGTTTCATATTTTCCACCGCCATTTTTAACACCTCTTCCGTAATAGGGACCTGATGTCCACGCTGGTCAAGGAGTAGTTCTATAATCTCCTTGGCTTGGTAACGATTTCTTGCTGCTTGTTTTAGTACTTCCATAGTAATAGGGACCTGGTCTCCACGCCGGCTGAGAAGCAATTCTATAACTTGCTTGCCATGGTAGTGATTGCCTGCTGCTATTTTCAGCACCTCCTCAGTGATGGGGACCTGGTCGCCACGTCGGTCAAGAAATAGCTTTATAACTTCCCTGCCCTGTCCGTAATTCTCTGCCGCTGACTTTACTATACCTTCTGAGATGGAAATCTGATCGCCGCGTCGTAGTAGAAGTAGTTCTAATACTTCCCTGCCTTGGTGAGGGTTTTTTGCAGCCGTTCTTAACACCTCTTCACTAACAGGGACTTGATCTCCGCGCCAGTCGAGGAATAATCTTACTATCTCTGTGGCAGATGACTCATCTCCCGCCGCTGTCTTCATCACTTCATCAGTGATTGGGACCTGGTCTCCGTGTACGGCGAGGAGCAGTTTCAACAATTCTTCCCGAAACGGTCTTATGATTCGGATTACTCCATGCTCTGTGACCTTGGAATAGTCTCCTCTCCGCCCCAGAATGTCAGCCATGATCCCCAGCCCTTCAGCCTTCCGGCCCAGAAAGAGCGTCTCCCAACGCGCGGAGAGTGATGGCGGACGAGTTATCTCGTTTATCGTCTCATAAGTTTGGCGCCATACTTCGAATGTCGCTTCATTAGCTTGACGCCTTAGTTTGTACATTCTTTTGTAAGCTTTTATGGCTTTTTGGAAGTTTTCGACGGCATCTTCATAGCTTTCCGCGTCTTTCAATAGCCATCCAACGTAGTGTAGCCTGGCCGCTTTGCCCCAGCGATCATCTGTTTCCTTCAGAGTCTTCGTACGCATAAACTCTCGACTGTGTAGCAAGCACTCATAGTCAATCTCGCATAATTCTTCACAAGGAGTTTCCCAGTCCCATACGAGTAGCATTTCGCGGGGGAAGGCCTGTATTCGTCGCGAACAATCCAGCCAGTCGAAAGGCGTCCCCTCAAGTCGCTTATATCCGATTGCGGTAACGGCAATTGCGACGACGACACAATAGTCCTCACATGGTCTTATGATTGTGAGCTTTGAAGCGCCCTGCAAAAGGCAGAGAACGTCGCCCTGCTGGATGGATTTTGCAGAGGCTTGGAGAGTCCAGCAGCCGTCCCACCTCCACAAGTCTTCAGAACCGTCATCTATAGCAATACTAACATCTATACTCTGTCTCTCATCCCACGCGCCGGCGTTGGATACCGAGAGTACCTTTCCGAGAACACAGCCTGTATGCTTGATAACTGCGACTTGCTGGTTGTCCCAGGTGTTGACAAGTGCTTGCTCACCGACGAGAGAGTGCACAAGTTGACGAAAAAGGTCTCTCCACAACATGTTATAGTTAGGTAGCAGGCCGCTTAGAGTATCAGAGCTCATACCCAGCAAGGCATAAATCTTGTCCCGCAGATCCTTTGCCTTGCGGGTATGATACATATCCACTAGCTCCCCGAGAGGACAGATGTTAAGAGAAAATCTGTCCGAGAAAGTAGCTAGATGCTTCGGTCGCAGGCCTGCGCCCTTTATTAGGTAGGCCGCCGACCGAATACGATTCTGCGTATCTGGGTCTTTAAAGTCATGGTTTAGTGCAGTTAGACCCGTGCAGAATGCAAGTCCGTCCATGTCCATGGAGTGAAACATCATTAGAACTTGCCGAGCCGCAGCTACCTCCTGGAGTACCTAGAAGATGCCATCAGCAACTGCCTACTGACTCCATCGGATGTCTGGAATCTTACCCAGATACGCTCAAACCATGATCGCTGAAGAAGCGTCTGGATTGCAAGGCGGGCTGCCTCGTGGTCAGAAGACTTGACCGGCTGGCCGCTCGCAGCGTTACTTATTTCTTCAAGCGCTCGGTGGACATCATCTGAGGCCTTGCTGTCCCTTGGATGGCTACCCATTGCCTGTTCAAGCCAAACTATTACACGGCTTGCTTTAGCGTATATACTCGCCATAACTTGAACCTGGTGATTCCGCTCTTCAATGTCATCCTGGTTGATGCAAATAGCATCGGCCCATATGATTCGTTCAAATGAGCGATCTCGGAGACGCAATAGAGCCGCGTGGAGATTTTCCGTAATATACAGATCGCCTTTGTTGGTTAAAATACGTCGAGGCTTCTCTTCAGAGCCCCATACGTAAGATAAAGCCTCGTAGAGGTGAGTGCCTCTGCTTGAGTCTAGGAGAGGATACTCAAAGAGTTGGCAGTGCACTAGAGCATGTTCATCTGAATGCGGCTGCAGCCGAAGTAGACGAATAGAATTGGCTGGCAAAGAGGAATAACGGTATATAGTTGCGGGATTAGAGACCGGGTTTGCCGTCATGGCAAGTTCAGTATCGCGCTCCACAGTCTCTGCCTGAGGCGAAGGGGAGGTGTTGGTGGTGTCGCATTCTATATCAGGAGTTTCGCTCTCCAGGATATCCGGAACTGTCTCCTGCTCGGATTGACTTGGGTGCAGTGCTTTTAAAGTCATGTCTCTGCTCAAAGGCGAGGCGGCAGCGTAAGCCTAAGTCTATTGAAGCCCCCGCAAAGGTATGGAAATAAGATAGAAGTGAGAATACAGAATGAAAGCGAGAATAAGTAGGGTAGCCGTCAGAACATAGCTATGGGGTGATGCGTCAAATAGCGGCTTAGGCAGCTAAGCAGCTAAAGACTGGAGATTCTACGCAGTTAGCCAGCATGTGAGCCTACGGGTACCAAGCAAGGTACATGCAGGGCGGGGCTCTCTGTGCCTTTGAATCGCGAATATGGTCTTTTCCTTGTCACTTTGTCTCCTTTGACTTTGCATCTATTCTCGTACAATGTCCTGGCATTAGGGAAAGGTTTTGGCGGCTGCTTTGCCACATTGCCTGAAAATTTAGGGCTGTAGAAGGCTGGGGAATTAATGTGGCAGGCTATGACTGATAGCTCTATAACAGTGCTAGTGCCTACATGTAAACAGCAATGACATTGAGCACGATTTGACGAGTTGGATACAGTTTGCGCATTCCTGTCTCATATATTTCTATATGAAAAAGTCTCTTTTCGGCGTTTTTTAATTATAACATAGCTGTACGCAATGTCTATGGGGGAACCGGGGACGATGTCTGCCGGAGGAAACATGCGGAAGCTCGTCCAAGTAGGGAGATCGAGTATCCAGAAGATTAACGTCTCAGCCTAATGGAAAGGCATAGTAATTGTACTTGGGACATCATAGATGATTCGACCAAGGTCGTCTGAGGCCGCCATTTGAACGAAGCCGAAAGGCATAGCGAAAAGGAAAATATCTAGGAGGACGAAGACAATATATCCCGAATAAAGTACAGCCAAATGGTAAAGAGGACTGCATCTACTATTTATTCTTTCCTGGCGACCTCCACCTGATAGACCTACAAAAGGCTCTGTTAGATCAAAGTGAAATTTGTAATCTAAGCGACGCGCTTGTAAAGTTCAGCGGAAAAGTATTTTATCGAAAAAGAACTATTTGACAAAAAATACGGCACAAGATGTCTCTGTTAGATCCGTTGCTTAAGATTATGTTTGTAATATAGACAAGTATTACAAATGCATACAACATTTGTCACCGTTTCATGATAAGCCGACACCGGTGATAAGCAAACGTACACACGCCGGCGTTAAGGCATTCCAGCCTCATTCACAAGGCTTATTACGCTGTACAGCCATGTCTCTCCTCCATCAGGGGGCTGAAACTCTCCTGGATTACAAGGCTGAGCTTTTGATGGACCTGAGCTCCGTCACCAGAGCCTGATGGATAAGGCTTACAGATACATTTCATGCGACAGAGCGTGGGGGTAGAGGATTTCTTGGATTTATATGGCTTCTGTCAAAATGAAAAGGCCCCATCTTGTTCATGCTGCAATGCAGTCATTTGCAACGACTCAGCTGTATACCCAGCTGGACCAACGTCCCTGAACATGCGACGTAAAATGGACAGCCACGTTTCATCAGGAGGAATGGTAAAGGATAATCCAAGAGGCTCAGTCAGCTTGACGAAGATCCAATCTTTTATAGGACATATAGCCTGATAATTGTGACAGATTGCTTAGTTGGGATATCCTGTTAGGAGGAATTGAAAACAACTTCCTGTCTTGTGTTTAGCTATGTACTCTCTCTTCATAATCTTCGACTGGGAGTACATGGTATGCTATGTCTATTGGCACCTTTTTACAAGGCGTAACTTACGCCACCCCAAGCCTCTAGTCCACCACTTGGCTTCAATTTTCAAACCCTATATTAGTAACGTGTAACGCAAAGAAGTAGCTGCATTCATCATATACCTGTTGCCTTAACAAGATATCACTCTATTGTAATCGAGATTCAAGTCCCGTAGATCTAAACCACTCTGTTACAATGCATAAGGCAAATGTTCACAGGCATTACTGCTTGTGCTTGTAGCAAAAGGAGAATAGATGCACATCCAGAGAATTATATCAAAGACAATGAAATGAAAAGAATTTACGGTATTTAATATATTCAAGGTTTCTTCCAATAAATCAAATGCCCTCCCTATGGTCACAGCATGAAGTTTGATCTACAACAAATACGCCTCATTATAGAGCTAGATGTAAAAATAACATCATTTGAAAGATAACTACTATTTAGAAACATATTTTACAAGTTTGAAAGGTGTATCATGAGGCTCAGTATAATGAGGTGACTCGTCTAAATGCACTGTAAGTAGTCGCGGTCAGCAGTCATGCCTACCGAGATGCTGACATAGACATGCGCTTTCCTGTCAGCTTTTCAGCCTATTCCGCCGTTCGGCGAACCTCCATCCTTCGGGAGGGCAAAATGGGATGAATCTGTAGATGCGTTGCCCTATTTCGTTCAGCTTGACTGAATTCGGCTTTTGAACGAGTTAGTCACGGCCGCGTCACGCTGACCGGTGCAAGAAGATATAAGAATGGGCTTGGGAATGATCATGTTGGTCCTCGAACCAACAAGCACATCCAGATAACATTCACTAGAAGATCAAAACAACTACATCACTTTCTTTATCAGTCATCTATCTATTAGAACTTTGATACTCGCAACCATTTACAAAATGAGACTCCCTCTTGTTGTAGTCATGGCTTCAGTTGCCGGTAGGTTCACCTCTACATCTGCCCTGATATGTTGCATATAGGCATTTGAGTTTAAGGAATAGCAACTAACACCATTCTCAGATGCCAACGGCACCAACTCATCTGCTGGCCAATCTTCCGGGTCCGGAGGATCTGGGTCTGGAAACACTTCGGGCAGCACACCCTCCGGCTCGGGTGGTAGCAGCGGCGGATCTTCTGGATCTCAGAAGAAGTAGCCCAACGAGGCCTCACGACTTTTTACTTCTACGCCAAACGCAAAACTACATGTGCAGTTCCATGTTTGGATTGTATTCTTTGATTAGAATTTTTTTGGAACAGGGCAACCAAAGGGTTATAGACGCCAATCTTGTAGAACACAGTGTACTTTTATAGACTAGATTAGACCGCAATGTTTCATGACGTTTACTTCGCTCTCGCTCTCGCTCTTCCCTGAATCGGAGATCGCCGTATCGCAATGTGACTCGATGTCTCGAATCAATGTCTCGAAAGGGTTGTGCGTTGTGGCTGCAGAGACGTGCAACGAATGCGTATGTGTCTACGTGCACATCCCAAATCGAAGATCCTTTGGCTCGCCCCAAAGTCTCGCAACGGCTCTCCCCATTGGCTAATTTGGCCTTGGCTTAAATCTTAGCTCTCTATTACCGCCCGGCCACTTATATCCGAGAACAGTCTGTCGGGGCCGCGAAGGAACACGCACAGGGACTGACTCAGGTTTTACCACCCGCTCTTTTGTCGAATCCCAAGACCCCAATTTATGAACTGAATTTCCCGTTTTGGGGAAATGAGACGCTGGAGAGCTGTAAGCTACAGGTAAGACTTGCTGCAGTGTTGCATCGCAACCAAAACACATGGCTTCTTTCTTGTCGGTTCAGGAAGGTGTTCTACTTGCTGTTTCTCCTCTTATTGTTCCTGTTGTTATTAATAAAGCGCGCTGCGCATCGTGCAAGGCACGTCCAGAGTCTGCCTGGCATCTCGATACCATCGGGGCTAAGCGGCGTGTGGTTGTTCATATTGTTCATATTTAGAATACAACGCACGATCTAGCAGCGTCATGTAGGCGCGCCGCAGCGCTGGTTTATGCCCAGCCGCGATTCCCGTGACCAAATCGTGGGAAGTATGCCTTGATGCCAGGGGTAATCCTTCCTGAGATCCTCCTGTATTCTGCGCCTCGTCCGAAGCGCTTATTGGGCCAACCGCGAAACCGACATGGATCTGGCATTCGCCACACTGCTTTAGCTGGAATGGCCCTGGCCAGCAACTGCCGCGGCGTATCTTACGGCAGTCATTGCGTGTCCAGCAACTTAATTTATACCTTTAGAGTTAGGATACTGTCGTCGCCGATAGAACAAACGAACCAGGCGTGGAGTTGTTAGCCGATTTGCCCTCCCATCATCTGACTGCCGCCATTCCTTTGGTCTCCGGAACCTTCCCTGTCCAGCAAAGACCTCGTTGATGATCATCTCCCGTGCCGCCGATTGGCCAGCCTTATGGTTATCCCAATGGGCCCAATGGGCCCCAACAGCCCCCCTGGCACCAGGACTTGGCTTCCTGCTCTGCTGATGCTGCTTCGAAACTAGTTCATGGCCCCAAGGACTTTTGCTCGGATTGGACAGCTTGGCTTCGCCATTGACTATTCCTAGCAGTCGTCCAAGCCGCACCCGCTGCCCTGGGATTCGTTGCGGCAGCCTCGCTAATCCAGATCAAGTACACAACCTTGCAGGATCGCCACGCACGCAAATAAAGGCAAAATGGGCCGCCAAGATTGGACGAATCGGCCGCTGGAGCTGCGACCTGGTAGCGCGTAGGTGTTTATAGCCTTTGCACGAGCGCCTCGTAGAGCCATAAACGATCCGTTTCGAGCCAGAGCGATGGCATCCCGGGTCTCGGCTACGCACACGATGACCGAGGTGTGGCTTGTGGCATTGAGATGCTGCACGCTGGTGTGCCCGCCCCCAATCTTGAGGGGTCTATCACGCAGATTCCTTCGAGACCCTTGTCGGTTGAGATGTGTTTAAATAATGGAACGTCTGTCTTGCTTTTGATGTTCCATGGATGAGAAACCTGCACACGCACGAATTTCTGTCTATTACATGACGCCAATCCACCATCTACAAAATGGCAATGTCAGCGTCCAACTCGGAACGAGCTTCCGGCAATCGAAATGTATTAAGGCTTTCTATTCACAACGAAGAGGGGATTGAGGAAAGGGTTAGAATCGATACCATCATCGATGCGGAAGCGGCTGCAAAAGAAAGACGCAGAGCTCAAAACAGAATTGCTCAGCGGAAACATAGTGAGTAGGCCGAATAGTAAAGACCATCGTCCAAGAGAGCTACGTAAACATTGACCAGCCATTTCAACATGCAGGGCGCCGAAAGGCCGAGAAGAAGCTATCTGCCATGTCCCAGTCACCCGATCTTCGAGTGCCGTCCCACCCTGGGCCTTGTTGTTCTTGTGTCGTAGGGCGTTCAGGAGATATGGGCACAGAGGATTACAGCCAGAGTTTCATGTCCATCACATCGCCAAACTCGTCGTATGGCCCTCTCACGCCCTCGGCTTTTTCTGATTATGAGGGCCATTCCAGCTTGTCCGCCAGGGAGGTAATCGGCAACGAGCTCCCCAACCAGTGGTCTCCATTTTGGTCAGCGACTTCTCCGTTATTCGACACCGACGCTAATATCCTGCCGCCCGGAGACGCTCTTGCTAGCCGTAGCCACAGCCCCATCCCGAGTTCATCATCACTGGATATCCAGCCTTTTCAGGATTCGCAGTCTTCAGCAACAGCCCTGCCGTACGACGGATCATCGGACCTTTTGAGGAGACAAAAGAGCAATTCTCTATCCCCAGAGGGACCTATTGGCGGCCAATTTCCTCTGCATTTAGCCGCAAGGGGTGGGTATATAGGAACCATAAGCCTCCTGATTAGCAGAGGAGCTAGGCTAGACATTAAAGACACATATGGGCGAACTGCGCTGCACTATGCTGCTGAGGCTGGTCAATTCGAGGCCGTGAGCATGCTGCTCTCCCTGGGAGCGAACCCGTTTCTGGCGGACGGCGAGGGATGTAGTAGCTTGCACGTAGCTGCTAGTAAGGGGCGAGAAGACATAGTTCGGGTGTTGATGGAGCGAGGGATGGATCCAAATCTTGGAGTCGGCAGTGACATTGAGGCATCCTGATGATTTTCTCTTCTTTTTTTGGAATGTATATTTCTATTAGATACCAATTATAGCTCCGTCAAGAGCAAGGAGTTGATGTTCAATTTCTTTACTTCTTTCACCAATATTATCATCTGTTTTTCAAAAGATCTTTTGTTTTGTTTAGTTGGTGACCGAATAATCATTACCTAAGATATTGAATTGGTGTGTACATGTACATTTCGAGTTTGATTAATAGATTTTGAATTGACTTATCCTCGTCCATTGAGATAAAACAGGATTGACTTGTTCTTTTCCTCCACTCTTGAAAGGTTCTTTTTTATTATGCTAATTCACAACGGGAATGAAATTTCGCAATGTTCGAATAAATCTTCTCTGTGCTTGAAGCTGTGGGCTAGGAATTACTAGGTTTCGCCACTGACCATCTCCAGTTTACAGGCAGTCTGTAAACCCGCGGCAGCAACAATTTTCTTCGTTGTGAATACATGTACTATCCATTTGGCACTCGCCGCAACATCGAATCTCGGATCACTAAATCGGGTCTAGCGAAGCTACACCGCACCTAGATCCGCAGCATTTCTAAAAATGAACCTATTTGACGGATGGATGATTATTAGTACAAAGCAGATTGCCCAAAAGAGGCGCAGCCACTGCTACCCAGAGTGGCTATAGCCGGCAGCCGCCGCTAGGACTGCCGATTGTCTCACTAGTGCCATCGTCTTTCCTACCGTCAGACAGAATACGAGAGATTTTATTTATGCGAGGATTTGACGTCACGGCATATATATGAGGCTTCGAATCAGTTCATTGTTTGAGAATAATTGAGCTGGAGAAACAAAAGGAGGCGCTTCGTTTCTATAATTGACTTTGCACAAGCACAGCCGCAGGATGGTCTACCAGACGCCCACAGAGATCCTCGAGGTGCTAACCTGCTACCTTCTCGCCGACATCTCTCAGGAACAGCTACAGGCGTTCAAGGCGGCCTTTGAACTCGGCAATTTCGCACGGTTTTCGCCCAAGCTAAGGATTAAAATCGTGCGCCCGCCCGAAGACTACATTGGCAAGTCTCATGAATACATTCGCCGCAAAGAGGATGAAGCCGGCCGCGAAGAGGCCTTTCTCATTGTAGATGACAGGGCCGTAGAGAACGATGCTGTTTGGTACATTCAATGGTTTGCGGATGATGGGCCCATGGATGTTTGCGCTGAGAGCTCAGACGTTTTGTGGAAAATGCTCATCAGAACTGATAAGCTGGCAATGGTCTACGTAAACTACGACGTCGGCAACATATCTCTCCAAGAACAGTTGCCCAACTGCGGCGTGGAGTTTCCTGTAAAAGAGGGGTATGAACAGCCGAAAGTATTCGATTACGACATGGACATGCATAAGGAGCAATATGGCCAACCGACATGGGTCAATGCCGAACCCCACGAATTTGAATACAACAAGGGCGGCGAAAAGTTTGGAGATTATGTCGCGCCGCCAAGGACACTTGCAAGATTGAAAGATGAAGTCGCAGAAGCATCGGGGGTGTTGAACGACTGGGTAAAGCCTTATCCAGCGGGCCCGTTGCGAATGTCGAATGGAAAGATGAAGGAATTTCCAGAGGGAACAATGGTTCTGCAGCTAATGATTAACCCCGATTTCCCTTGGCCGCCTTTCAAATGGCCTAGAGGATCACTATGATCTGGATATTGATATCATACGCGGAAAGGCATATGAGAAGAACTACGGGATTGAGTGCGCATTATTATAGCTATGTGATGAACCTTGTGAAAGGCAAGTTACGAATACAAAGCTCAATGAACAACAATAAGGCTAGCTGGAAACAAGTCTGAAGTTTGATTAGGTTTGTGAAAAGGCTTCGTTGAATAACACTCATTAGCTGAGTACACATTTCACTATGAGACACTTCTACTACTTACATAGCATTATATGGTATTGTACTCGAGAAATCACATATGGTTCTAGTATCATTTACAAGCAATTCCACTCATGCTGAAATAGGAGAAAACCCATCAAAGATCCGACTCATTAGTGTATATACTCTATCTTACTATCTATATGAAACAAAAGAACAAAAGTGGTGATTTGCAATCTAACGCCTAGCACATTTCCCAACTCCATTACCTATACTTCCATAGGGTCCTGCCCCAGTTAAACGCCAACACACACTTTCCAATTACGTGACCAAGGACCAGCGGTAGCCCATACTTGAACCAAGTCAAAGGCTGCCACAGTCGAGAGTTAGGCAACTTTACCCTCTTGTCTTGCTCCATTTTTATCGCCACCTTTCCTACTCGCTTTCCAGAAAATGCTTCGACAGCCTCCAATATGACATGAACAGTCGCTTCCGGCTGGCTGAAAAACGGGGAGTGGCTGGTCTGCAGCTCCCTATGCTCGACAGAAGCTCCCATTCCTCTCGCCATTCCTACATTCATGCGCTGCGCTATCACTGGCAGCCCCTGATCTTCAATGGTACCGAGATAAAATGAAGGCACATCCAGCCAGCCAGAGTATGAGTATTCGCCTCCCTCAAACAACGACTTGAGACTATGTGGTGTGAGCTGGGACACTCGGTACTCTGCCTCGTCGGCTGGCAAGTCGTGGTAAAAGAACTGGCGCGGAGGAACAGCGAGGTCGGCAAATCCAGTAGCTTTATTTACGCGGAAAAAGTGAGGTGCACGGCCGAAGAATGGATCCATAAATGCAAGTCCTGTAAACGTGTATCCAGAGGCGATCAGGATAAGGCCAATGACGTGACCAGCGGCTGGGATTTTTGACGCATCTGCATCCTGAAGACCGCCTCTCTTTCGCGCGAAACCCTTGATGACGCTGTTTCCGACCAGGCCACCGTATGAGTGGGCAATGACTACCACGTCTCGCCCGCAACTTGTTTCGTCGGAAACTGCTTTCCTGGCAGCATCGAGATCATCTTTGAGAGTCTTGGAGGGGTCTCCAGTTGTTGAAGGCAGAGTTACTGCGGTGCATTTAATACCGTGCTTCTTCTGCAGTAAATCGATAACCAGATCGTAGCATAGAGGCTGGTGCCATGCTCCCGGGATAAAGACTAGCGTCGGAAGGTTTTGCATTTCGGAACCCGGCTGACGGATCGTGGCGTTTGTTGCCTCAACTCAGATTCTCAGAGGTGTAAGTGAAAATGTTGTGAATCGCTTTCAGAATGCCGAATATACGATGATAACTTGGAAGAAAAGGAGGGAGAGAAAAAATGTAATTGCTTGTTAGTTCTCCCCTTGGTGGTCAAATCTTAGTTTTCGTGCAATTTTTCGGCCCTCGTAGCTGTTCGGCCTGCGATGCGAGGCGAAGTCCGAGATGGGCCAACAATAGACGGCGGCGCTATGCTCAGTCATGCTGCGCTAAAAAAAGAACTGAAACTGAAGAGCAATATATACAGCTAGAAATACCCATCCTGTGCCTATATACAATACTCGACTCTAAGACAGGTTCCTCTGATAACCTCTAGATGTGTATATCCACGCTCCAATTATATGCGCCAACTCATTCAGAAGCCCCTGCAGTCATCTTCTAAAGCGATGCAAGAAGAAAAAAGGTATAGGCGGTGTCACTGCGGTTCTCGAGGTTGAGAGTTGTATGCCGGTGGTTTGTGGTTTCCTGTTGCTCTTCACACCCTTTGCTTGCCTTGTTTTACACAGACTGTGAGATTGGGCGCCAATCGAGTACGATATAGTCTATTGCCTAATTCCCAAGTGCATTGCTGTTTGCCAGCTACTACCTTCGCTGACCAAATCGTGCTCTTCTCTCGTGCCGAGGTAGCATCTATAAATCTACAGTTGCTACCCTCCACTCAACCCACATTGCTCCGGCCCCGCACAGTTCCGGCTCTGTAATGTAGCTGTATTTCTCGGATGCTCTGCACTTTATTACTGAATCTAGTGAATCATAGTACTACCCCAATAGACATACATACTTGTAACACACATCAATCCGAGGATGAGATATTAGTCAGCTTGTGCTTACCTGCAGCTTACCCGAAACTATCGACTTGAACGCACGGAGTTTATAACTTTAAAGGACGAAGGAATTGCATTGAGATGCGGCTTTTTTCTGCCAAGCGCCTCATCTTATATAAAGAAGTTCCCGTCGCATGTGAATCTAATACATCTTCTTAGATCCAGACTTTTACTAGTAAAGTCGTGCCTCATTCTCTCAACGTCTGACGCCTTTTGCAAAACGCATCCGCCATGGGTTCAACCACTCCTCAAGTGCAAATCATAGACAAGTCGGATCATACAAAACAGTATGTCGTCACCCTCAATGATGCGTACCCGCTGCCCTCTTTAGAAAAGGGCAACATTCGCATCCGCAGCCGTATCATCTCTGTCACTACCAACACATTTACCTATGCCCGGCTGGGCCATGTCCTGGGCTGGTGGAATGTCTGGCCCGCGATCCCATCATTACCAGCGCCCTACGATGACTCCTCCAAGTACGGTCGCATCTCGGCTTGGGGCTACTGTGAGGTAACTGAGAGCCAAAACGACAAGATTCCTGTTGGAACCCAACTATTCGGCTACCTCCCCATTGGAGACTACCCAGAGATCCTCCAGGTGGTTGTTGATGACGAGACTGGTCATATTCTGGAGACTACAGAACGGAGAGCCGGACTTATGCATATATATAACCGATACCTGCCGTCTCCCCCAGGGGTGGACCCGTTATCAGCAGATACTCGGTCATCTGCGGCCTGGGATGCGGTTGCGCGGCCTCTGGCCGAGACCAGCTACCTGCTGAACCGCCATGCTTTTGGCTGGGACAAGACAAAGCTCGTTCATCCATCGGGTGCTCCAGTGCCATGGACTTCAGACGATGCATCTCTGGCAGACGCCGTGGTGGTGCTTTTCGGGGCATCTGGCAAAACTGCACTTGGCCTCGCCCACCAGCTCCGCCGAGCAAGGCCTGCTGAACACCAGCCTCGCAAGGTTGTGGCCGTTGGATCGGCCAAATCACGAGACTTCACCGAGGGGACTGGCCTCTTTAGCGACGTGTTGCTGTACGAGGATGTTTCTGGCGGAACCAGTGCCAGCGTTGTCGCCAAGCTGGGGATCGACGCCAACACCAAGGTGCTGCTCGCCAACTTTGGTGGGCGAGGCACAGCTGATCAAGAGCTGCACGCTGCCGTGACTCGCGTGTCTAAGAACGTAGTCACTCTCATGGTGGGCGGCGATCCGACGGGTAATGGGTCGGGATTTGGCAGCATGCCGAGCGGTAGCGTTGTATGCAGTGCTTCTCACCTGCGAGATGCCGCCTTGAAGCTGGATGGAGCGACGGCGTACTTTGAGAATTCAGCGCGCGAATGGAGTCGATTCAAGGAGGACGTGGCGGCCAAAGCAATGAAACTGCAATGGGGCAAAGGATTACAGGAGTATTCACAAGGCTGGGACGCGCTGTGCAGTGGGAGCGTCGACCCAACTCTCGGTTTAGTGTATGAGATTTAGGCCTGGATGGTTGATCGCGGGCAATAAGGTCCATAAGGTGCATCCTTGTAAGCTTACCCGAAGATACAGCCCACTAAAATTGAAGCACAGAACTATGTCTTTGTACTGGATTGCGGCGTAAACTACGCTTAACAGAGATGTTCATGGTGAAGGATTGGGGAGTAACAGAAGCAGTATAAGCGTTGAAGGCCTGTATCGTGCTAGATATCACCGAGCTCGAAGAGTCAAAATGGCGATAACACGACACGTGCTGTTGAGTCTTTGAGAGTCTATAAACTAGTCATGATAGCCGCCGTGGATGATCTTAACCCGCAGGCGAGGACGAAGTGCTCCGTCACGGGTGGGGCAGCAAATAGGGACCCAAAATGAACACATGCGAAAACGAACCAGTTGTAGCAAAAGGAGAAGTAAAAGCTGCTTATTCCAGAGTATCCGACAACTCTTATAACATATCAACAGTTCGCCTAAGGGAGCTGTGCGTTTATGGTTATATTCTTCTTACAATTTTGTCCCCTGCGTGTCTATGTACGTGTTGAGCAAGGGTGGCATGCGAGGTGATTGTCGAAACTTCTCCCCTCAGTGCATCGCCCACTTCTAAAATTTCCACATTACATTTTTAGTTGTGATTTGCAACTCTCCGCTTTCGCAAGTACTAGTAGTCTTGTGCTTGTAGAATACCTCGCTGATGCACGACGCATAGTCTTGACACAGGTTATGCGACCATCTTCAAGTCAGCAACAAAATGTTACAGGATGTGATAAAGTGAAACCGTGAGAAGCACGTCTTAACCACGAGCGGCTTGCCTAGTTGAGTGCAACAACAGGCAGGGGAGGAACGCCAAGCTTAAATTGTCAAAAGCTAAAATAGCGAGCTAAGAACTCATACATGGGGTTCGCAGAATAAATAAGCAGCATCCATGTCAACTCTGTGCCTAGCTTGTCCGCCTTGCTTATGAACGGCAAATGCCGCCCTTGGCCCTGAAGGGCAAGAGAACGTCCCGAGTAGTCCAACTGAAAACCTCATAGTTCAGTCATAAACGGATCTAGTGTGGTATTGATAACTTGCCAAGGCCTATTTCAGTAGCGGATAGTAGACATAGTATCCGCATGAAGCACAGCAGCTAAATGTTGGGGTCTATTATAAGCAGCGAACCACCCCCAGCCCGTATGGGGTCTGGTGAACTGTCATCTATTGGGTATTTAGCCGCCGATCGTAAACCTCGCGCCTCACTCTGCAGCCTTACAATTGGTGCTTGCAGGGAATCCTGAATCCTTCAGTAACCCCTTTCTGCCGCATTTCTGCCTATCCTTGGTTGTCAACCAGGCCATGGCAATTCTCAGCGAGCTGTGGTGGATTCCGCGGTTGAGGGAGCCGCAAACGGGCTGATTTCGCCTACGCGAGTCTCCCTCTAGCAAAGCTCCCAGCCCAACACAAAGATTTACCTCGGGTGCAGTTCTATCCTTCTTTTCTATTCTGTCTTCTTTGCCCTTTGTCTTCAATCTACCAACGACGAGTTGCTTCCGTCACCTCGGGCTCCCATGAGCACGCTACCCAGTTATGAGTCTGCGGGGCCGGGGGCGCCCTCAGAAGGTGGTTATTCAGCATTGGAGGTCTCCTCCCACAGACTCAGTGGCACCACCGCGCCCGAGGTATACAGCGCCTACGATGGCTTGGAGGTAGTGAACGGCGACATGATCGATGCGAGCAACAAGATCAAGGTCGATACAGAAGCAGCCGTTGAAGAGCCGTTACCACAAAGGAGTACGGGAAAAAAGAAGTTGTGGATCATTGTTGGAGCCGTTGTTCTCGTGGTGGTGGTGGTGGCCGCCGTGGTCGGTGGCGTTGTGGGATCGCGACATCACAACAGTACAACCACAGCCTCAACTTCATCAGATCCTTCTTCAACTTCTTCTTCGACCTCTTCTTCAACGCCTTCTCCAAAGCCTTCATCAACGCCTGCATCGACGTCGCCGAACGCTGCCTATTCCAGTTCAAGCATTGCAGTAACTGGCTGGTGGACAACCACGTCTAGCTATAGCATCCGTCTTTTCTACCAGGGAAAGGATGGACATTTACGCCTGATAGGCTACGACTCCACAGATGGCATGTGGTCAACAGTAACAACCCTTACCGGCCCGGACGTCAAGCTAGGTAGTCCTATTGCAACATGCAATTACAATACCACCGTGTATTTCGGTTCTGCAGTCAATTCTGGAAATGTAAGTCTTCGATCCTTAGAATGTTTTAGGTCATGCGCTCGCTTTCTGATACTTCAAGTTCAACCACAAAGAATTATACGCAAATCGACGTTTTTTATGTGGATAACTTGGGCCAAATACAGGAGTGGGAAGTCCAAGAGCACCCGGGGGCAGCAACTAACAATTTGAACGGAACCATCTCCTCGCTCGGCCTGAAGCCAGGTCCAAACTCGAGCCTCGCAACATACTGGCCTAGTCTCATCTTCCAAGACGATCTTAACCAGTTACAAGAGACTTATTTCACCACGAGTAGCAAATGGCTACAGAATCCTCTGAATATTTCGCCACAGAATCACTCAGCCCTGGCAGAGATTGTCTACTCAGTAAGCTCAGCGAGGAAAGGCGGCGGAAATTTCATCTACCAGGATGGTGACCAGAAGCTCCAAGCTGAGGGGAGAAGTAGCTCGACTACTTCATTGAAAGCGGGTAAGTCGACTGTGAATGTCATCATATCTTTACCAAAATTAACTTGAGATCACAGATGCTCCAGCTGTTGCCATCCCGTCCGAGTCTCCCATTGGGGCCTTTTCCGTTCCGCGAAATTCCCAGACAGATAGCCCAATGAATACTTATATTCTGTGGCAAAATAAGACAGACGGTGTTCAGATAACTTGGATGGATGATGACAAAGGCTGGCAAACTACATCAGCACCAGATTCTTTTGGAAATCCCGACAAAGGCACAGATATAACTTGCCTCATGCCATCTGCTTTCTCCTTCACCCCGTTACAGTCCAAATACGACATGGCCCGCTGCTACTACTTGGTAGATGGGCGAATAAGGGAGGTAAAGTACGATGGCTCAAATTGGTCCGTTGTTGGAAATGTGCCGCTGGGATGATACTCATTACTTGTACAAATACCCTATTTCTTTGCTCAGTTTAGACATGTTATCATAGTTCCAGCGTTCCATTTCATTTAGCTGCAATAGGCTTTAATTAATGCGATGTTTCGAGATCATATTGCCTCTTATTCAAGACAGCTAGCATTTGTTTCCGTAAAACTGATGGCTACTTGACCTTCAAATTGATCACACAGAATTATTGACTTCGTTTACATATACATATTATGTAGATAACCTTTTAAGAATTGTCTAAGCTTATCTAAATATGGACCACAGGGCTGCGCAAAAGAGCAAGACGGTACACGAAACAAGGCAAATGCTAGCCTCAATCATATGAATCAGTGGCATACAGTCAATATTTACTGCAAGAATGACTGGACGGATGCCCATTGCTGGGAAGCTAGTACTCCCGTCATTGTGTCTATGCTATATGTCGACCTACAAAGCCGATTTGTGAGATCGAACTCCAAGCTGGGATTGGAGCTTCACCTAACAGGCACCGGTGTCTTGGGAAGGCTAGATGGAAGTATCGACCTCGGCGAATTCGAAGAGGACGGCATCGAGTTTCTTGCGCAAAGCTAGAGTCTTTGCTAAACATGCTGGTAAGACATTTCATACGCCATCATGATGAGACTAGCTTACCTTTACCATAGAATAATTACGAGATGATGATATTTCGGCTAAGGGGACTAGAAGAAGGATACAGAGTCATTTAATTTATAGTCTGCTGATGTACGAGCATTCAGCATGCCCATCACATAAATGCAACACATATTTCGTCCAACTTTTCTTTTCACGTTGTCTTCTTGATAGTGCGCTTAAGTAAGGAAATAGGTGAAAGGCCCTCTTCAGTCATACATCATTCCAAGTATCCTAACAGGGAATTGGAGTACTTGGACCGTCTACCCTCCTGCTCAATATTCTCTAGCTCCTAAAGTTGCCAACTCTATGTTGGTAGGCATTTAGTCTGAGTCGGAAGTATTGTCGTGATTCTTCGTCTTTTTCCTTGAAGATCCACTGGAATCCGAGTCAGAATAGTCACGAGATTCGTGATGATTTCTCTTCCTATTCTTCGACTCATCCCTCCGGCGCCTTCCATGTTCTCTGTCGCGATTGCTGCGCTGTTGATAACGGTCATATCTTTCGCGGCGAGACTCAGCCATATCCATATCACTTAAATGAGTCGCTTTTACAAGATATCTTTCGAAGTCTTCGGCGATTTTTGCTACCTCTTTGAAGTGTCTTTCGCGAAGTCTGGGCCGTGCCTCAAGGCTCCCAGTCCTGGGATTCTTTGCTTCGTGAGTAGCCATTGCAATCGCTGTCTGAAATGCATTTCGGATTTGCCTAGTTATAGGGCTCTTTGGATTAGTCGTCACTAGCTTATCAATTTCATGGATATGGTAAGATCAACTTGCCTCCCATTCCAAACTGTGAGATTCTCGGTGTCGTGTAATTCCTTAAAATGCGCTTTCGCAAACGCCATAATTTCTTCCGAGTCGATCTCAATCTTTTTGCCCTGCCCATTGAATTCCTTCTTGATCCGTTCGATATTGTTCTCCCACACGGCAATCGTACGCTTCAAATTGAACTTTTTGTAAAATAAGCTGACATGGATCCGAGACTTGAACGCCCTGTCCATTGTGCCAACCCTATTGGTTGTAAGGAATAAAATACCCTGAATGCTGTAAGTATTTTCGAATATCAACTGTGGGTGTGTCATTATATACGCTATAATACTCAACCGACCTGAGAAACACTGTAAAATTATGTTAGATTCCATTTCGATAGTAGCTACGGTGTAGCGGTGCGCTCACCGGAGACAATTGCATTTCGTTCAATGTCGTTTCCTGTACGAGCTCCTAGAAAGATACTAATTCTTTCTTAGCTTCTCCAAATCTTCTCTTCGTTTTCTTCAAGGGCTTTGGTACTTACTCGGCCTCATCAAGCAGCATCACGCAACCCCACTTATGAGCTAGCTGGAAATTCTTTTCTAGATTTCTTTCCACAGTCTCAGCTTTGTCGCCAATGTCGCCACATGTGATAGGGAAAAGTGGCCGTTTAGTATGAGCTGCAACGCATTCTGCAGTGCTTGTTTTGCCAACACCTGGCTCTCCGTGAAGAAGAATTATTAGTCCACGGCCTTTACCCTGAATGAGATCGACTGATGGGAGGACACCACCCGTTCTAGTCTGGGTGTCTCTTGGCCGTTCATGATTTTCTACCAAAGCCAGGATCATTTTCTTGTTGTCTTGGTTTATCACGAGATTATCCCACTCGTTTCCGTAGGTTGGATTGGTGAGAAGGTCAATATCGAAAGTTGCCCATCTCCTCGTTCTTAATACAAATCCGTATACTTGAGGCGGTAACAAGATCATTTGATCATCACTGAGGTCCGCTGAGTGCACCGGAACAGAGTCAAAAAGAGCCCTGTTCCCTTCTCTGAAAGTGTTGTACTCATGCTCATCAACAATATAGTCATTAAAGATGGCGTCATTGCCACAGCAGCCTGCTCGACCGCAAAGAGTACCCATGATGGCCGAATCAGCGAATTCGCGACTATCGTCAGAAACTAAGCGACCTTCAAGGCCAAGCACTGGTTTGGTCTCTGGTTTCTGAATGAATGCGAGCTCAAAGTCTATAATGACTTCCGAATCGACCTACGCCGGCATCAGCTTATTTAAACAAAATAATAGTCGCGCATAACGCAAAGGTTGCTGAAAATTGTCTTACCTGTTCAACATTTTTATCAAGCGTTAAACCTTTGTACTCACGATGTGATGTAGATTTTGGGTTTGACAACTCTGCAAACTTTTTCCCTCTTTGTCGCAGCTTTTCTTTAATATTTTTTTGGTCAGGAAAGCATTTGAGCGGTATGACTGGCAGAGAAGTAATCTTTCTTTCCCCTTGGAAACTTGCAATCTGAAACGTCCTGTTTACAGGCCCAAACTGGGTACCATCGAAATGAATATAAAAGCATTCGATCAGAAAAGAACCTTCCGAATAGCCAGGATCCTTGAGCTTGCTAGATGCATGCATGCTCGGAGGATCGTCTTTCGAAAGAATATCTCTGCCGCCTGTGACTTTGACAACGCGATATCTGTGAATAGATGGGCAACGTAAATTATTTCTATGTCTGCATGCATACTCTCTGTAGCACACATCAGGGAACTTACAGCTGGATTCTAGACTCGCCGGGAGTTCGCACTTCATCTCCGGGCTTGAAAATGTACCACAGGTCACCGAATGTAACTTTATCGACTTCGTGGCCCAAATTAAATCGTAGATTCAACTTATTGCCCAGCCATTTTTCCATCATATCCCACAGCACTTGTAGCTGATCAAGGGCTTCCTCGGAATCAATATCATTCTGTGGGCCTTCGACTAAGCCTGTTGTGCTATGATTGTCGCCAATCTCTTCTAAAACATTAGCTTTTGGCTTCTCAAATTGTAACCCTTATACCTGAGAAAGCTTTCCAGAAGTTCACAGGTAAAAGAAACTGATGAAAAGGGTACTGATCAGGTATACATGCCTTTGCCTTCGGAATGCAGCACTCTCAGTTTCTGGATCTTTTTCTTTATCTGTTCATTGAAGGTAACAAGTAGTTTAAATGGCCGAAAGAACAATAGCCTGTGCTCGTAAGGTCCCAAAGTAGTGTTGCATTGAGTTATATTCTTCAGAACCTTGAGCAGAAGTTTTGATCTGATTCTAATGCGATGTGCCTCGAAAGAGGTAGCAAGTTGGTCCAAAAGTTGATCACGCGTCGCATCAGAAGCTTGAACTATGAAATTGTTGTGACGAGGCTGCTCGGTAAGTATCTCGATGATGTACTTTTCACCTTTATCTATTTCCATGCAATGAGTCCATTCGCCTTGACTGGCTTTAAAGTTAGTTTGCAATGAGCGATTAAATTCGACCCATAGAAGTCCGCGTATCTGAGGGATAACTTTGATCTCTTGGGAGCCCTCCTCTTCTTCTGGCGGGGGTTCCTTATTCAGCTTCCTTACTTTATCTTCCAAAGTAAGAATTCTGCGCTCTAGCAGTTCTGCATATGCTTTGCTTTGCAATATCCTCTTTCTTGCCTTTACTTGTGCTTGTTTCACGGAAAGCCCCGACAGTCCCAGTCCTCGACTCTCGCCCCAAAGAGTATAGGAACTTTCATCGTTATCGCTAGGTGAATCATTTATGTCTCTCTTAGTAGTGTCCAATGGCCTTGTCTTCTTCTCAGATGTTGCTGCTGTCTCTTCTTTCATGCTCTGGTTCTCTTGGCTGTCTGTGGTAGTAATTTCCGCTTCTTCCTTGATCGTCTGCTCATTGATATGGTTTAATGAGCCACTCGTTGATGATGCAGTCAAAGACATCTTCCGCTCCGGAACTGGCGGCGCCATAGTTTTCGTAGCAGAGTGCTTGCGTTCATTTACATCCATATGGGAATCAGATGAAGAAAGCGACGTGGTCCGTTAAATTAATGTTACGGGCTCTCGAAAGCATATGAGCAAGAAAAGGTTAATAAAGAACCGCAAACATTCAGATTCCAAAAGAGTTGTAAGAAGCCTGTCTGTTTCATGTTCGGCTCAAGAACAAAACGTTAAATAGTCGGATTTGCTTTTTGGAGCCTTGTTTACATGGGAGCAACTGGTGCAGTACGCATGTACAAAATTAGATCCTCTCAAATTCAGCAGGGGTAGCTAGAAGTAATCCAATTGGTGGGAAACCCCTCTTTCTTCGGTGACGATAAGCAAAATATATTGGAGATCGCTTAACTATTGGGTTGCAAGCCCCTCATTTATTCGGCGACAATAAGCAAGATATATTGAAATTTTTTGGGGGCCATGCGTCCGGATACTGTACACCTCATTTTCCGTACTATGTGCATCAGAGCCTATTGATATGATGACAACCATACATGCCTCAGGAGATGATTAATCATCATGTATTTATGGGAGTATCATTATGTTTCCCTTCGATATCATCGACCTATTACTACTCTTAGCTCTACTATGTCCCCAACACATTGCACTTTCTTTGCCTTTCACCATGCATATTACATGTATTTAATACTGATCTAAGCGCGTACATTTCGAATACGCGTCTATTATGTCCCAACTAGCTCTATTTAATCCCCAAGATTCCAATGGCGCTTCTATGGCAGAGAAGAGCGTCCCCATGATGTCCTTTCAGTCTGTGGTAGCTAAGTGTTTGAACGCATCAGAAGATACGGCAATGCTTGGCGCCTGTACTTATACGCTTTAATGATTTCCAGACATAAACTTCTCTCATCAATGGAACTATGAAAAATATTTGTAAACATGCAGGAAATGTGGTTCTCGTAAGTGAAGATATTGACAGAAAGCGAAATAGGGCAATTTTCATTTGAGAGTCATTACAGCGTCACATGCTGACTATAGATCGTAAATTCGTCACCAACATTTACAGCTTTTCCGAAGTTATTAACCCACACTCTTTTGCTTGCATACCCCTATAGTTTCGAGTGGAAGCCAGTTAGCACCTTTATGTGCAACATTATTCACAAAATGGGAGTATTAGCTTCCTACCTCTGAGCTCTCGGCGTTGGGAGGCATAAGTATCTTTCTCATAACGCTAATAATGATCAGATAGTCGTCGTCTTTGGCGGACTTGAACTTGCATATGTTTCCGTGATCAGCTTTAACAGGAATCCCATCTCCACAGCCTGGGAGCTGAGCGGATTCTTTTTCAACAATCTATACGTAGTCTATGTTTCAGCACCTGATACTGCAAAGTGGGATGATGCTTGTTTACCTACCTGGATGCTCTCGCTACCAATCTTTGTGGGAAGGGCCTCATAGAAAAAGAAGGCATCGATTTTATCATTTGGGTCTTTAGATCCTTGGCGTTCTTTTAGTACACTCGAAAATGCACTTGTCAGTTCATTCAGACGTTCAAAGTCGACGCCAAGAAGCCCAAGTGTTTGTTCTTGAGTATCGACTCCAACGAGCTGAAGGATATTGCTAATACTGCCGGGTAATCCCGGCACGATAGAGTTCCTGAAGGGTGTCCCAAGGAATATTATTCCCCGGATATACTTGGTGGTGGAATTTGCATTGGAATCTTTTCTCCTCCGCTCCCCATGAACGAAAAGTCGTGCCGCGACAAGCCCACCTAGACTGTGTGCAACAATGATTATGGGTCGATCATCCTGATAGGTAAACTAGATTAGACATCTAAAATTGAGGCGGACAAAAAAGACAACAAGGCAAAGAAGAAGAACAGACTCTTTTATATGGGAGTTAGCTTACCGTTTGGGTCTTGGAACGTTCCTCTGCCAGATTTGTAAGGAGGTCGCCAGCGACTCGGTTGACTTTTGTCTCAGTAACATTTCCCACCTCTGTGTGGGTAATGCTGCTATCATAGCCAAATGAATAAATCCTGGCATCAGGTATATCAACTGGGAGTAATTGTCCAGGCCAAAACATGAAATCTTTACTCCATGTAGTTACCACGTCGCCTCGAAGTCCATGTAAGAAAACGATGCTATTACTAGTGTTTCAGCTGAAGTTGTGATAATATTGTTAACATTTACTTACTCAACTTTGGAGTCGTTGCCACTAGTGACCAGCTGCAGCCCAAAGCGATCTGCCATAGCCATTCCTATATCTGACATTGATGCGTCCGTCCCATATAATTTACACGGAAAGGGAGGAGGCTCGGCCCTAAAAGAAAATGCAAAGAGCCAAAAGTTGATTGATTCCTATCCAAAAGCGCTACAGAGAAGATGCGAGAGGATAAATGACTCTTCAAAAGCGTAGTTTCATCGTCGAAAAATAAGAAAAGCCCTTCTAAAGCAGGGATTCTGGAACAAACGCTTCAGCTCATGTACACCTATGGATATGTTCGGAGACATGGCTCTCAATAGGTCTCCACATTTGCATTAACACTGTGTTACATCCGGCGAGCCTTGCTAGAATGAGACGCTGGCTGCAGATTGCGCCTCGTGAGGCTAATTATGAACAATTTAGCCAGGCGCATATGACCCGTGTTCCACGCGGCAGCCTGATGGAGGATTCCGTGACTCTAAATATATCAACATAAGCGTTTTTTACTTGTCAGTTCCCATCCCTTTACCGCAGATCCTTCCATTCTTCTCGTGGCCTGAGAAAGAGCCGCATGGGCTAAGCGAGGACGAATCTGGTCCGAGACTCTGCGTTGCCCCTCTGCTTTCACACATGTACTCGGTCACATATTTCGGCGCAATCCATATTCTAAGCTTCATTACGTCCAGCAACATCATATGAATACTCTAGCCCCCTGATCATCAAATATGGGTCCTGAAAGGCTGACTGCTGTTACCAACAATGAAAAGGCCGTGAATGTTGGCTCCTCACAACGCATCCAGCACCAAGACGCCTCAGTTGGTTCCAATGCTAAATCTGTTCATACGGGATATGAGTCCCGAGATATTACAGTCATCAATAATAAGATAACACATCACTATGCTCCGCCAAGTGAGCTGCCTTATCGAGGAAATCTAGCGGCTGGATACGTGAAGAATTACTTGGTATCGCCAGACGATGACATCAATTGGAGCAAGAGGTCTCAAGATTTTCTCACCCGAAATGAGGCTGAAAATGAGAGTTCTGAGATGTAAGCAACCTGCATGAAAAGACCCAACTATCACGTGGCTAAAAATGCAGTGTAGTGATTTTAAATGGCAGAAGACAATATCGTCTGTTCAGCGCCTCAATGGAGAAGTCGCTGGATTCTCAGATAAATTCGAAAATATCTCATGGTTAGCGTGGAATACTATTGAATGCAGTTTCCAAGATGAGCTGGATAAAGCGATTGATTCTTACAGCGGAATATCTTGGAGACGACAAAGTCCACGAATTGATCATCTGAAAGCTATTAAAACGAACATGATAAGTTTCTCTTCATGGCTAAAGGCTCTGAACACAGATCAGCATCGCTCTTCACTATGTGGTATGTAGAGAGTCCGAGCTGGCGGCTTGTTGAAGCCCTCTCAAAATCTGAGCGTTACACTGGCTGATACCTGCTCAAGGCGCTATGCAATGCATATTGAATGTAAACGTTATCTGCAATCTTGAGTTATAAAATATTAGCTAATTTAGAGAACAACCAGGTGCTAAGGGATCAAGACGAATTAGACGCCTACGCTGTCGAAAAACTGGCAAATGTATTTTGCCTCTTCGGTGATGGCACAGAATATTATCTAAGGGCTATTGAGAACGAAAAATTGACGTCGTCAATAATCGAAGACACAATTGTTATTTATGAATGTCTAGTCATTATACTTGTTCTCCTCTTACATGGAATCAGAATGCTGGAGCGTATGTCCTTTTTCGGGCGAAAATCTCTCGGTCCTCGCTAACCTGTCACTTATAAGCGTTTCAAAACGAAGTCATCACACGAAGAATAGACTATATCAAGGAAAGACTGCTCAGCGCCAATAACGCAGCTAAAAGGCCACCGGCACGTCGAACCAGAAGCAATTCTGGGCACTGTGGCTTGGAGCTTTTAGTAAGATATTATTACAATTTATTAAGTTCCTTTGAACCGGATATCGGTCAGTCAAGTCGTTGTTCTCGATTTAACGACTGTAGTACTAAGATATATTATTTCAGAGTACCTGCGTAACGAGTACATCCAAAAACGACAGATGAACTTGTCAAATAGCTCCATGGCACAGACAGATAAGTCCTGTTGGTAACCCAATCGCAGTGATCTTAATATTTTGTTAGCAGAGCATCAAATCTCATGATTGCTTAGGCCTTAAGTCAACAAACGTGATCCGTTATCTCAACTACAGAGCCACTGGCGACTTTAAGAGGTGTATCACAGTGGGCAGGCCAAATTTTGAACATATTCAGCAGCTGGCTCGATTGACCCATGGAGAAATCTACCGAACCTGGTTAACAGATGAATACAATTCTTCGGCCCTCCTCGTGGAAGGCGGGAGTGCACCAACTGAGTCAATTACTTCGTTATCTTACCTCTGCGCCCGTATTGTACAAGAGTACAAAGATACCGACAGAATCTTCGTTCTGTCTTACTTCGGTGGTATCCGCGGCGAACAAGCAAATGCGACGGATGTGCTCTGTCAAATGTTGGGCCAATTATTGACATACAAATTAGTCGCAAACATCTACTTGCGACATCCAATCGAGCAGGAGTTGAAGGATAAAATAAAGAGAAAGGACTTTGCGACGCTGCTGGATGTCTTCCTCAAGCTGATTAAACAGCTTGAACCATACAAGGGGGTTATTTTCTGCATTATCGACTCTGTATCAATGATTGAAAGAGGAAAACAAAAGAAGAATGCCGAGAATCTTCTTCTAGCACTGAATAAGGTTGTGAGAGAGCAGAGAGGTAGAGGGCGGAAACCGGATACTCGCTTGATTTTTAAGTTACTAGCTACGGAGAAGGCTACATGCTTAGTTGTAGATAGGTTTTTTCGTCCAAAGGACAGAGTTAACCTATCTCATGAGACATTTGATGAGAGCATCCATAGCGATTTATTTATGAAGCTATATCCAGCAATTAGTCTTTAATAACAGTATAAGTAGGTGTTTCAACTGTATATAGAAGAATTAATTAAGAAGAAGGCAAATTCAAGACCTTTGAGTAGATTACTCCTGGCAAAACATCAAGCGTCAGTGTAAAAAACGCATAGCTGAAGGAGGACAATAGTCGTGTGTGGTGGTATGAATCCTAGGACCCGTTGATCCAAGAACAAAACGGTAAATGGTGCCAATTTTCTGTTTTGACAGAAAATCGAGCAAAAAAAGAATGATTTCGCCCGGGCTCGAACCGGGGACCTTTTCGGTGGTGTCAACAGATGTTAACGAAATGTCATGACCAACTAGACCACGAAACCATCGAGTAACCTGATTGGTTGATGACAGAAGGGACATAGCAGCCTCATAAACGCCGCATCCGTGAGCAGCTGAACATGGTATCTCATCAGGCAATGCCAATGGGGCATTACCAAACAGAAAATAACCGAAGCAATGCCAAAAGGTGATGTGAGATTTATTTAGCACTAAGCTTAGCACCTTGTTCTCGAGAGAAAATTGCTGAGACAAGATCTTACTTTGTCCATCAGCAAAGTACGCCTAATCTATCATAGAGTAGCCGCTTTTGCAAGCCACATCCAGTGAGGCTGCTTACGCTTTTCTCATAGTGACGCGCAGGCGAAATACTGAGCTTCGGCCTTAAGTTAGGGTTTACTGTTATGTGACAGATATCCGATCGGAGATGCATCAAAGGCTCTCTGCATATGCCCTATTTGGAAGAGGCTAGCTTCTCAAAGTGGCAATAGGTTAGGTAAAGAGCTCTAAATTGCTCAAAACAAACAAACAGAAAGTTCGCGATTAAGGAGACTTATTCATTAATACCGCACGTCGAAAGGGGCCTTCCGATCGTATCGGAGACAGTGGTTTCCGGAGTAGGAAACCTTATTCTTCCCGTAAGCCCGTTCCCAATAGCCTGGAACCATTGCGTCTAGATATCCCTGGCATAGTAAGCACCCCCTGCTTTTGTCTGACTAGTGAGCCATTGAGCCCATATGTCTTAACCTACGGCCGTTGCTTTCGTATAATTACGAGTCAGAGAAAGATCCTTGTTCAACAAGGACTGATTTGCTGCTACCTGAGAATTGCTGGACTCGAACGAATAAGCGCTAAGCAATGAGCTTGCCCGTAGTCTTTTGTACCTTTTCTAGCGAACTAGTTAGTGGTTGAGAACGATGGATAACATGTGTACCGATATATTTAAATGGGCTGTAGGGATCAATTAGTAAACTTCTTTACGCTACGAAGGTGGACTTGACTATATCGGAGAATTACTATTCAAAACAGACTAGCAGAGCGAATAGAACCACCCTAAGAGATGATGATATAGCGTTAGATATATGGGAAACATCATACCAACATTTCCCATATAGCAGCAGTTCGGCCTATTGCGAGCTTGTTCGTTATAAAAAGCGAATTGGAATCGTCACGCCACATATGTAAAAGCTGTCGAGCATGAACTGCCAGGGGGGATCTCGCTATTCTGATAAATGGCTCCATTTCTATCGCAATTAGAAGCTTCATGCCCAGGTGGCGCGGCTCCTTGCCGTCGCTGCCGCGCCACACAGTTCGTATGGATTAAGGAAATGCTCGAGGCATGTCCCTCTTATGTGGGCCCTGTGAGTCTTGTAAAGAGGTTAGTGTGGCTAGCTACTTATTAGTTCATTAGTCAACAAGACAAAGTTTGAACAGTGCTGACATGGCCTTTGAGAGGATCAATTGGATGCCTTTAAAGAAACACTGTATGAGGCTCAAAGAGCTGCCTGATCCCTTTGGTTCGTTACGGCAACTACCGATCATAAGCTTGTGGAGCTATTTCTGAAGCTCATATATCTAGGTTTCATGAGGCATAAGACTTACCGGCGATATCAACACTCGTTATAAGCGTCGCCCCAGGGGCTCGGATTCGCCTCCAAAGAGTGGAAATGACTTTTAGATGCCGGTTTATAAAGCCCCAATGGGAAAATTGCCAAGTGCTCTTCCAGACGGGTTGCTTCAATGCATATTTTGAGCGATGATACTCAATTTGGGATTCTCTAATGCTAAAGTATACACGGTATACCTTTCTAGCCCCGACCGGAGACTTGTATTAGTGTATGACAAAGCAGAGACTCTCACACTAGCACGAGTTTAAAATGGAATCCGCCATATTCCTGCGCTGTAGGGCTGAGAGGCGGTGGCCACTGCATAGAGCACTAGTTCATGGTGGTGCTAGCTGCAGTGTATACATAGTGATAGCTGACTGTTACTGGAATGTTATCAAGGTCAATTGTACTGCTCTAGAACTAGGTAGTATTTTTTATAGGATTGAAGGTAAATTATCCTTGGCGAATGTAACTGATATTGGTAGTTAAGATGCAGGCTTAGTGGCTGAGCCTCAGTGTCGCATATTGCATACCTACAAAGAGACAATAGACCAACTCCGAGGACCAAGTGATCCAACGTGAGAAACGCCACGGCAGCTTCCATCATGTCGGCTAAGTATACTGTTGCTTAGAGTTGGCCGCCATAAGCCACGTTCTAGATTGAGCATTTGTACAAACATAAGCAACCACTGTGGAACATGGCCCGAATTCCCCTAGTTTAGGGATTTTACCAGTCTACTTGAGGAAACAGTTCTTTCAAGATTCCAAGTATGCCCTTTACAACGTATTTTACATCGAGGCTAGTCCTGACAACAGAATAAGGGAGTCAAGTACTCCTGATCAAACGCATTCAAGCACAGGTTTCGCAATACTCATACAAGTATACATAGGCTGGGAGGCATTCGTTTTCGTAACTGTGAAAATCTTTTGAAGCATCGTGCTTAGGATAGAGCTCTTGGGTGCCATCTACGTCGAGCAGCACATGTCAGAAACTAAACAAAACCCAGGGGTGGAATGAAGCCACCATCGGACGCCGTGGCGTACCGCCCTGGCAGTAGAGTACAGGGTCCGCATAAAGTTACAAGTACATCTATTTTTACGACAACTGGTATGACAGTTCGTCTCTCGTGTACGCCAAAGTGATTCGATACCTCCGCTAGTTCCGCCCAAGGGGCCTAGATCTATCATCGGGGCAGTGAGACATGGGCGGGCTTAAGCCGACCCTCCTTGAGATGGTAGCTCATAAGCAGTCAGCCTCAATTGGCGTAAAGACCTCGGAGTTGATGGATATAACACTGAGATAATGTTGGGATAAAGGTGGAGTGCCGTAGAAACCACAACTATAAAAAGGATGATGAGTCTCCTAGGGAATTGCTAAAGCTCCCTTCCTTCACAAATCAATAATACCACTACCAGTATTATAGCCATTTTCTTAAGAATACTTGATTAAATCAGCAACCATGGCAGGAGTTTCACGCTCAGAATACTACCGTAACCAGTTCAACCCGGAACCATCGGCAGGCATGGCTGCTTATGCCGCGACCTCCCTCTTCCAACCTCACCACGCTCGCCAAGCCATTCGCGATGCTCACAAGAAGAAGATTCCCCCGTTGTTGGGCTACTACTGCGGTCTTGGCTCTCAGAAAATCACGCGCTGGGTAGCACCTCTAAACTTTGACGTCGTTTGGGTCGATTGGGAACACAGCAGCATGAACGTCGAGACAATGACGACCATAGTCCACGAGGCCATTTTCATGAGCCACGGAAAGACAATTCCGTTTGTCAGAGTGCCAGGACATGACCATGCAGCTATTGGATATGCGCTAGATGCGGGTGCCAGTCTCGTTATTCCTCAGGTTCGTCGCCAGGTGGCATTCATTCCCGAACGCTCAAATAGCTTACATGTGACATTTCAGGTTGAGAGCGTTGAGCAGGCCAAACACGTCGTATCGGCAGCCAAGTTCGGATCAAAGCAAAACGGTAGCCGCTCTGCGCCTCCATTCCGATTGTTTCCCGGTGTTACAGATCGGCCATTCGAGGAAGGCAGAGATATCTTTGAAGCTCTCAACCACCAAGCAGCCATCATGATCCAGATTGAGTCGCTAGCAGGTAAATATCTCCTCGTCACTCGAAACCCTCGACACATTCACCCTAGGCGTCTGTTTGCTAATCAATATTTTGTCGCTAGGCATCAACAACCTCGACGCCATCCTCACCGAGGTGCCTGATATCGACATGGTATGGCTCGGAACCCTCGACTGTCGTGTTGAGATGAACATGCCAAGCAACATGGGCATGGGCGGTACAGAGCCCGAATGGTTAGAGGCCCGACAGAAGTTCTTTGATGTTTTAGACAAGCACGACAAGCCCTATGGCGGCTTTGCCTTCCCCAACCCTCCCTTTGGCGGCGAAGAATCGTTCAAGAAGGCTGCAGAGCGCATGTCATTCATTATGGCGGCAGCGGATACATTGGCGTTGGCAGGAATGGGCGAGATCCTGAAGATGTCGAGAGAGTATGTGGCGCCGATGGTGAAGAAGGAAGAGGCGGTTCCCACCCGCAAAGTCGTCAATGGTGAGAAAGGAAATGTTCCGCAGCCCACGTTGAAGGCGTGAAAATAGAGAGGCAGAGAGCAGAAGGCGGAGCGGAGACGGTTGGCAGAATGAAATGGGGTGATGTAAGCAGCAATTTGTTAGTTACATGTACCTACAGTTACAACTTAATGAATCCATAACCTATTGCAACAATATCGTCTGAATAGAACAGAAAAGGCATCAACCCGTGATTTAGAAGCAGTTCTACTCCGCATTCAACTCCTCATCGCATCGACACCATTTACATAACAGCAACTACTAGCGCTCCTCGAGATCTGGGGAAGCTCGACGCCGTTATCGCGCGCCATGTGGGACTCGTTCGACAAGAATCTGCAATCGAATCAGCGCCGTTGCGCCTCGAATCCCCAGGATGCTTATCTCTTGTCTGTACAAACTGACTCGGTCGTCTCCCCGCAAAAGACCCCCTACGAGCGCTGGAGATAATTGGCTCAAGGCGGAAGCTGCAAGGCCCCAATCCCTGGCCAGCGACTGATCCTTGACTCATGCGGTCCGATTTCAGCCTGTCCAGCGCCATTCTTATCTCGCCTCCATGCATCGGACCATCGCCTGTCGCCAAAAGCCCGGATGGAAAACAGTGACCGATGAGAGGTGGCAGTATATAAGACAAAGCAAAGCCAGAGGGCCTGAGAATGTGAGACACCACGTTATCTTGGCCGTTTTTAACTACAAGTAAGCCCCTGCGGCCACGGAGGCAGGCCAAACAAGCTTATCGTCAGCAGCGAATGCCTGGCCCAGAATCGGCGCCGCTGTTACTCGTTCCAGATGAGGCGTCGACTAGGCCTCAGGCTAAGCACCAGCTAGCAGCACGCGACAGCCAGGAGGGCGCCTCAAGCAGGGGCAGAGCCGAGGCCGTCGTCATCGGACGAACCATTGCTTGCATGCGATTCCTGGTGCCAGGTCCTCGAAACGAAACGGCAGCTTCTTATCTCTCTCTCGTCCGACTTTGTCTCTTCAACCTTCGCCTCTCCCTCACCTCTCACAGCCTGCCTCACGCTGCTGCTCCTGCAACTCCTCCGTCGGGCCGCTGCTTGGATGGTGACACGGGACGACTTCAGACGCTCAGCTACGCACCACCGATAACGGCCAATTGACATCACGGACCGTCGACCGAGAGCCTCACTTCGCTTCATACAGCCATGGATACTCGTCGCCGCCGCTCCTCTGTTGGCAGCGGCGCCCAGACCGCCGACCAGGCGCTCGCGTCGCTGGGCTACAAGTCCGAGCTGCCTCGCCATCTCTCCATGATGTCCATCCTGGGCCTCTCCTTCGCCATCATGGCCGTTCCCTTTGGCCTCAGCACCACGCTGTACATCACCCTCACCAACGGCCAGTCCGTCACCATTCTCTGGGGCTGGATCCTCGTCTCCCTCATCTCCGTCTGCATTGCCGCCTCGCTCGCCGAAATCTGCGCCGTCTTTCCCACTGCAGGCGGCGTCTACTACTGGTCTGCCATGCTGAGCTCCCGCGAGTGGGCGCCTCTGGTCAGCTTTGTGGACGGATGGCTCACTCTTGTCGGCAACTGGACGGTGACGCTGAGTATCAACTTTTCCGGCGCGCAGCTTATCTTGAGCGCCATCAGCATCTTCAACGAAGACTTTGTGGCAAATACGTGGCAGACTGTCTTGTGTTTTTGGGCCGTGATGCTGGTATGCGCTTTAGTCAATGCGTTTGGGTCGCGATACTTGGACCTCATCAACAAGGTCTGCATATACTGGACCGCTGCCAGCGTCATCATCATCATGGTCACCCTGCTTACCATGGCCGACCACCGACACTCGGGTGAATATGTCTTTGCTCACTATGATGCCTCAGCCAGCGGATGGCCGACGGGCTGGTCCTTTTTTGTCGGACTCCTCCAAGGTATGTTTGCAACATCATCCCCCTTTAGAGTCTAGGCTGTATTCTCCTCTTTCTTCTTCTTCTAACGAAACAAAAGCTGCTTATACTCTCACCGGCTACGGAATGGTTGCCGCCATGTGCGAAGAAGTGCAAAACCCCGAGCGCGAAGTCCCCAAAGCCATTGTCCTCTCCGTCGTTGCCGCCGGCTTTACTGGCGTCATCTACCTCATCCCCCTCCTCTTCGTGCTTCCCGATGTCCAAACCCTGCTCAGCGTTGCAAATTCCCAGCCAATTGGTCTACTCTTCAAGACTGTCACCGGATCCGCAGCTGGTGGCTTTGGTCTCTTGTTTCTCATCCTTGGAATATTAATGTTCGCTGGCATTGGCGCCCTCACGGCTGCCTCGCGTTGCACATATGCTTTTGCTCGAGACGGTGCCATTCCCGGATATAAGCTTTGGCGCAAGGTGAATAAGTCTTTTGACGTGCCCATCTGGGCTCTTGTCCTCTCTACGGCAGTCGACTGTATCCTCGGATGCATCTATTTCGGCTCGTCGGCTGCCTTCAACTCCTTCACTGGCGTCGCCACAATCTGTCTCTCCACCTCATATGGTGTCCCCGTCCTGGTCAATCTTGTCCAGCGGCGCAAGGCCGTACGACACTCACCTTACCCTCTTGGCAAAGTCATGGGCCCTATTATCAACGTCATCTGCATCATCTGGATCGTCTTCTCCGTCGTCATCTTCTGCATGCCTGTGTCGCTGCCGGTAGACCCCACGACGATGAACTACGCTTCGGTGGTGTTTGCCGGATTTGGAGCCATTGCCTTTATTTGGTACTTTGCGTATGCGCGCAAGAACTTTACAGGTCCTCCGGTTAGAAGCGGTGGAGAAGACGATGCTATTACGACAGTGGGAGTGGCAGTGGGTGAGCCCGGAAGAGGCTCGGAGTCACCGCAAACGAATATGGAAAAGGATATGAAATAGGCTAGAACCTACGATGAGTAATATGAGCATAACGAGTAATTCTTCTTCTTAATTCAATTGCTTTAGTAATTCATGAATCTATTACATACTCCTGCTATCTATACCAGCGAAGCATGCCCATAATCATAACAGGTATATACAAAAAAGGCAAAAAAAGACATTTTATTTTCCCATCACACCCAGGTTTTCCCCTTTAAACACTGATAGTCCGGAACACGCTGAATTCCTCACCGGTAGCAATCAAGCTGCCCGGAATCTGCGGGTGCCAGTGCACCTCCCTGACATCCTTGAGGTAGTGAACAAACAGCAGCTGAGGCGGCACGTCCTTGACGCCAGCAGTGTCCTTGCTCTCCTCGTCGTCCAGCTCGACAGCCAGATCCCACAGCGTAACGGTGTTATCAGCCGCAGCCAGCGCAATAATAGAATCGTCCGTGGGATGCCACTCGATACTGCAAATTTGCTCCTTGTGGTAGTTGAAGCTGGCCACTGGCTGGGGCTTGCTGTCATTGCCCTTCCATTGTCTAAGATCCCAGACAGCCCAGGTTCCGTCGTCGGCTCCGGAGGCGAGCAGGTTGGTGGTGTGCCTGGACCAGGACATGACGTTGACGTCGTAGTTGGAGACTTGGACCGTGATGGCGGGTTTCCTCGACTTGGATCGAACGTCCCAGATGCGAACGGTGCCGTCGCTGGAGGCAGATGCGAAGACGGACTGCTCGGAGGGAGACCACTGGATTTCCTCTACGCTGCTGGCGTGGCCCTGGAATGGTCTGTTGTCGGTGACCCAGCCGCCGCCATCAGTGCGCGTCGTCATGTAGATGAGGCCGTCGTTGTCGCCAGTCAGGAGCTTTCCACCGGGGACGAGCGGTGACCAGTCCACGGCATAACCCTCAGACTTGTGTGCTCTAATGGTAGAAATAGGCTTATTCTGCTGGGCCGTAATGACAGTGCCGGGCGTATCGAACGAGGTGAGGTGAGGAGTAACGTCGTGGATGAAGACGCTCGCGGACTCAGTCATGGTTGCCGTGAGCGTCGTGGGAGGCAGAGAAGGATCCTGGTTGGGGATCTGGTGCGTGCGGATGCGGTTGGTGCAAGAGTTGAGAGGGATCGACTTGCTCTCCAGGATGGGGTCTGAATCTTCGTCGTCGTCGTCGGAATCAGAATCCTCGTCGCCGCGCTCCATCTTGCTGAGGCCGCTGAACTTGACGACCAGCAGCTCGTTCTCGTGGGCCTTTGCCGACTCGGCTTGCGTTCCCGTGACGGTGTACATGGTGTGGGGGTAGGCTTTGCGGTTGTCGCCGAGGGAATCCTTGACAATGTCAAAGGACAGGCACGGCCAGGGCGTGTTGAGGCGGTGCAGCATTTCGTAGGTGGTCAAATCCGGCGCCAGGGTCTGGCCAGGCTCGAGCTTGCTTCGTCCGACAATAAAGGTTCCCTGGTCAACTTCCATGGCGTCTGTTTCAATCATGTTTGTTAACAACGGCTCCCAATTGAAACTTTGCGATGGCGCGCAAAGTGCCGATGCTGCTGGATCGCAGAGATGGGTACTCACGCTCTTTCTCTTCGGCCTCTCTCTCGGCGTCTGGCCGTCCATCCACACCGGCCTCGATGATTTCGTCTTCGCTCTCAAATTCGTCTTCAAACTCATCTTCGAACTCGCCCATGTCCTTGTCCATATCGATGTCCATCTGCTCGGGGCGCTCGCCGCCCTTGAGCGGCGCATCGTCCTGGTGGTCTGCTGTGCGCTTCGACATGCTGAATGTATGATTCAGAGAGTCTCTAAACTTCCTAATAAAGCTTGTTAGAAAGATGACTATAGATGGCAGCTGAAACAATGCGCAAGATACTCACTCTAAGCTGGGGCGCCGTATGGAATAGCAAAGCTGAGACCTCAGTCAGTTCAATATTTTTTTGAGCCCCTCTAAAATTTCCATCTGCAAAAAATCTTATCGATTGTTATCGGCAAAGCCACACTAACCCCGCTGTGTGGCTGGTGCTCTTTTCTCCAAGCCTAGCTATGTGGCGCAGGTCTTGTTGGTTCCACTTTTCGTTGTCCTCCATTTGTTAGGGGATTGTGTATCCGGTATCCGTTGATGAGCAAACTGTATCCGTTTTTGCTTAGTAAGCAGGATACTTAAAAAGAAATAGTAATTATACTATTATAAACTATAAAAAAGTAAAATAACTTAATATAGTATATTAATTATTAAGTAAAGTTATAAGATTTATTATAAAAAGTTAAGTTTATAAAAGCTTAATATAAAAATTAAGTAAAATAAGTTATAAAAAGTTTATTTTATTTTTAAAATATTAATAACTTAATACTTAACTATTATATTTACTTAGTAAAATAGTATTATAATTAAAACTTGAAGTTTTAATATTTTTATATTAATATTAGCTAAATCAAGGCTGTTGTAAATAGTTATTTTAAATTTAGTTTGCTTACTAAGCAGAAACGGATACAGTTTGCTCATCGACGGATACCGGATACACAATCCCTTTGTTAGTTGACAACAACTGTATATAGACCAAAAGTTTTTTTTAAAAAACGGTACAGTCCTTGGGTAGGGTTAAAATGTGCGCCATGATAGATTTTTGACTTGATAGTTGTAAGGGACCCTATTTATCTACCTACAGGCACCTGGTTCCTTTGTAACGGCTTATTCTCACCCAGTACCGCTGCAGTGTGTCGTGTAGGACGTTTTGATGCACCTAGGCCGCGCTATCGCGATTAATCAAGAATCTGCCGTCAAATAAGAATCTGTTGGCAGGCTACTATCTTACGGCGTTTATTACCGTCTTTTCTCAAGAAGCGGCCTCGATGTGGATGGCAACACCAACACCAAACTTCGGCAAGCCGGGCACAGTCCGTCCTGATGCTCCGGAATTGCGGGGCCGTCTTCCGGCGTCTGGCATCAAGATTCACGCAGAGATAGTGAGTGACTCACATTCGAGATACATCATTTAACATGCCCATCTGTAACTTTAAACCAGCTTCTTTGTACAACATTCAGCACATCACCTTGTTTTGATTGTTTTATGCCAACGATGTTAAGGCAAAAAGTGGTAGTATCGCACAAAATATCAGCAAGAATAGCAAGAGACCAAGAACATCTTCATCGGGTGGGTCGGCTGTACTCGCAATCTCTTCGAGCTTGTCAGCCCAGCTCATATCACTCGCAGACTATACATAAGAAACGCAGAGCTGGACGGCGAGCTGGAAAGGTATAATTGGAAGACTCGCTTTCAAGAAGGAGGCCCTACTTTCCTTTTGAAGTTGATGCGTCGACCAGTTCAAGACTTCTTGCTTCTCTCTATTTCATTGGCTCTATCCTTCGCTTTTGTGATATTCAATCTAGTTAGGTTCCTCAATACTACATCGATCAGCATATATTCTGCGCTATTCCGGATGATGCAGGCGGCCCCATCAAAGGAAAAGACAAACCTCGACGTCTTAGTATGTGGCCAAAGCCAGCCTTATCGCCTGTTCCGGGGAGTATCGGGTACATACTCCGTCACCGCCAAGTGCCAAGCACTTCGTGGATATCATCAATATGCCGCATATCCACAGATGTCGTGGTGGGATGCCCTTCATAGGTGAAGACCGGCTCACGAAAGTGGTTAAGAAACTCCACCCGGCGCCTAACGTAATGAACAAGGTCCATTGGCCAATACGCTCCATTGATAAATACACCCCATGAGCGAATACGCTCTATGGACGAATATGAATGTACGTTGCGTTTGTCTCTGAGAGTGTCGGTGATATATCAGAGAACAGGCCATCTCTCAGGGGGTGCTGAATTTCCCGTTACGCGTTAGGTTTAACCATGCCCCCGTCATCAGAGCAAGAAATTGGACTAGTGGTGTTCTGCTTGGTCACTCGGAAATTAAAACGGCGTGACTCCGTCCAAATTCTCTACATCGCGATTTTACCTGCAGCCGAGCGGGAGTGTAAATAGCACAACGTATTAGACATTGTCATCTCCTCATACTGGGTGTATTCTCGCAAAGCTACTCGCTGTAAGGCAGTAAAAGAATACAGATACAGACTCCAAAAGTTCCCACTGGTTAGACTTATTAACAGAGGCCCAGAATAATGCAAAGCAGAAAGACAGGTAGCTCAGCTGCTTCAGGGGTAACTAAGGCATCGTTTTGGAATTATTTTCTCTGCCATTTGTATCATACATCATTCGAAACTCTATCAAAGTATTGTACAGTTAATGACAAATCCAATTTATATTTGAACAATTGCCTGATTCACGGTTGAATCATGCGTTGATATCGTTGTGAAAAGCATTATTTGTCTTGATCTGGCCTCGACGTTGGAATGAGGCTATAGGCACTGTATCAACTACCGAAAGACGGGCACTCAACTACAACAATCGAAGCCAATCTAGTGTAAGTTATGATACGCATGATACCGAGATGGAAAGTGAAGTTTCACCAAGCCGGAAACCTTCATGCGCAAGACACCAAAGGTGTATATTGAATCATTGCCCCCAGCTACACAGCCTACGCTGGCAGTGGAAGAATAGCCGGATCAGACCACAATTTGCTTCCCCAGCGAATTAATTTATTTTGAGTTATGATGTAAACTCTTTTGCAGCTTACTCCCTCTTTCTTGCACATTTTCATGGACATAGTGGACGAAAGACTCTAATGATGTCAAGCCTAGTGACTGTTGCTTTACACTTTACACGTACTTACACAAAGGGAATGATCTTTAATATATATCATGTTCCTATCTCGGTTCTCCCCATATTATAAATTCATATCAGCAGTAATCATCCCATAAATAAGTAAGAGGTACGCGTTACGCTGCCTGTCTACGTTGAGCGTAGCAAAGCTGAACGTTCGTAGTGAATCCTAGTTTACATCCCATCTATAATGAACTCCCTGGTGATTTAACAGATAATTTGTTACTAATCTCTCAGTCGCAGATCAGATAGATATTACTTTTTCGGGGAAAAGTGTTGACTAGTAGTATGCATATGTTCACATATACCTATATGGGCAGGTCGCCTTTTTGTCATTGTCGCGTAAGCTATCTGCATGCCAAGAAAACTCTCCGACCCCTACAACGAGAGTACCTGTGACAATGAGGCTACTTGTGTTTTCCAATGCTCATGACGAAGCATTCGCCGACTGTGGCCAGCTGTGATGCTGTGGACGCGTCGTCACCAGCTGAGAGCTCAGGTAACTGAAAATCCCCACACAATGCATCTCACCCACTTGATGAAGTGAAGTTTCTGCAGATCGAGCACACGCGGTTCGTTCCAAATCAAATTCCCCCGGCCTATTAATATAAAATTATCCACAGTATAGTAATCCCAAAGGTTGCCATAGAAGGCGTACGAATCCGGGCCCGGTACCCGGATACGAGGCGGGGCCGTGCCAAGCCCGAAAACCCTGTGTAAATCACAGAATTTTCACCAAGCGTGAGATCGTCAGTAAGATACACGACAATAGAAAATCTTGCTTCGGCCGCTTGCTGCTCCAAAAATTGTGACATGATCGGTACTTCTTGCTCTGGAAGCGTGATTTAAACCTTTGCTCGTGGCGGAGCCACCATATTGAAAACTACTTCTAGTTACATCAGCATAGGTATTGAGAATTTACCTTTCCAGCGGACATTTCTAGAAGAGAGTTGATTAGTGAATAAGGGATAAAATGAAACAAGCCTATACTGCCGTTGAAGATACTGTCCAGGATAAAAGGCTACTGCCAGATGTCTTAAAAGATAACACTTACACTACCTCGCAGTAATTGACAACTACCCATATTTCACTTGACATCTCGCGGTATATAACCCACAGTTCATACATCATGTAGTAGCTCACAAGTACTAGCAGAATAAAAGTTTGCATAGAACTATAAAGACCCCTGCCTGTCTTTTTTACCAATTTCTTCGATCTATGATGTAGTTTTAATACTGATTTTCGCCCCTAGCCTTTCACCAGCCGCTCGGGGTATATCATAAACGCCGCTCCCTCCTCACTGCTATCTGCTATGACTCGCCAAAGTCCACTGGCTCGTCGATACTTTTCCACGTTTGTTGGTTGTAGCTACACAGGAGTATTGGACAAATAGTTACGCATCCGCTGTCTTTCTTGCTTGAGAGCTTCTCGCCCCCCTCCAGAAGCACAGCATATCAAAGTGCATATATAAGACACCCGTAGATCACTTCACTGCACCCCTATACATTTAACGCTCCGAGGCATAGCCACTCTGTAGGCTTCCACTGGCTGCTTCGGGGTGTTTCCGATTTCGATGCTAGCATTGTGGCGGAATCCATCTTGATAAGTACTAGGGGCTGTTTCATTTTACTCTGTTAAATATTTGAGTTACTCAACAGATTCCATACAGCAGATATAAGATATACAGATCATGAGAAAAATGGTTAGTGTTAATTTTCTTATAAGTTGTTCAAGTCAAATCTTTCTCATTTTTTGAGGGAGCTTTCATGTTGTTTACTAGAGCACTGTCCTCCACTGCATTATAGACTGCGCCTCGCTCGAGAATATACAGTAGCTTTAGGTTGAAATTAGCTTTATAATTTTAATGCTTTGCCACGAGCTACCAATGCAACGGGGGTGTGTGCCCGCAATCCTGGCGCAGGCCATGCATGAAGTACTGGCAAGCATCGTGTTCCCCCTTATGTGGATGATCAGCCTGCAAACTTACTCCGCTTCTTCCACTATCCGAATCGTACCTCGCCAAGAGGGATAACACGGCACAGAATCATTGGATAAAGCAAATGTATTACTTAAGTACATACTAATATAGAAGAAGTTTACCCCCGATCCATGACGCAGTGATCAACCAGGGACTTTTTCTAATCGAATGTTCATCCAGGAAAAGTACAAGACTAGCTACGAAGGGCGTATAGAATACAAGTAACTGCAAGGTTGTTTGTAGACGAAAACAAGACACCTTTTCTGAAACTAGAAATTTAGAATGTAATGTCCATCATGAGAGTTCTAGAGCACACGCCTTGCCATACTAAAGGCTCGTTATATATGCCAAAACCAGAATATTTCCAGCATCTATTCTTCTTTGATACACACAATTTATAAACAGTATAAAAAGCATATGTTTCAGAATATATAAAAATCATTCCGTCAAGTAGAATCGTTTTATAGAGGCGCCAATATGTACCGTGATTATGTGACCCATTAATTGTGTGCTAAAGCCCGCGTTTCAAAAGCTGTTTCCATACCCAGTTACGTCTATAAAATAAACAGCCGAGAGTCGTAATTAAATCAATATTAAAAAGCACGTAAGAGATCAATATGTCGCTGAAAAGAAATCACAAGGTAATTCGAGAATGCGTTGTCGGGACTTTGGACCAGTCTTTGCAGAAGCCAAATGCGGTCCTGCAAAACTTGCCGTATTCGACTATCAGATCGAATTTTCTCCATGAGCCCAAGGCACGATGGACAAGTCGAGCATCAGAGTGCGTAATAGGTTTAGAGCCCATATTTCCATACTTTCCCCGACCAGGACTGTGAAAAACTATTAGTCATTGATCCATGTGGAAGATACAAGGCACATGGCTTACCTGAAGCCTGTTATGGGCAGAATCAAAGCATCCTCCACCAACTTTGATTTCCCTCCGTCCTTCAGACCTGTCAAGGCGCTCCATCTAAAGCCAATTGTGTTCTCCAGCCACATGAGTGTGGCAAGAGTAACAGCAGCAGGCCCAGTTCGGGTCAGGGGGTCAACTCTATTTGAATCATACGTGGTTGCTTCCTTTTCCAGGCGCACTTCGTCGCGAAGATTCTCCATGAATTGCTTCAGGGCCGGGTGGTCAGGGGCAGCTGCCAGTGCCCACTGGGTTAATTGGACGGGATAGGTGTATCCCATTCGCCAATAGGCATTTGAATTTGGATCTGTGTCAGCCTCAAGCCCCCAGATAAGGTTAACTGGCTGCGTGCCATTTGCCTCAGCCTCCGGGTTCTTGAGCCCATAGCTCTTGCCAGTGATATCATCGGTCCATCTCGAGAGATCTGACGGGCCGAGCCAATTGGCAGGGTGTCGTAAGGGCTCTGTATCTATGTCGGCATACTACTAGGGTTAGACAAGGCAGAGGTAAGGAGAAGAGTTGTGAGAAGACATACAACGCCACCAAAGTGTTGACACACTAGGACACGAAAGATGTCTGCCCTTTCGACGGGAGTGAAGATGTTGTAAAAGTCTTGGATGAAATCCTTTTCATATCTCTCCATGAACAAGTCGATCCCTTCGTCATCCCAGAAGAAATAGGCCATGGGAGCGGTATTGTTTGGAGCCACGGCATATCCAAGCCATTGCTGGACCCACGGAATGATTTCAGGTTTCCATGTGTCGACCTTGGACGAGGCTCCGGTCTGATGCATCAGCAGGGGAATGTTGGAAAAGGAAAGCTGCCGCTCGCGCACGGAAAGGGCTGCCTTGGACGCAAGCACAGCAGCTTCGACAATGTCTCGCGGCGGCTCATGGTCGTCTGCGACCCAGCTCGGAGGAATGAACCACGCTGCGGCGTTGATGTCAGCATCAAACTCTCATCAAAAAGGGCTTTGAATTCTATTCGGGTTATGTAATGCTGCCAGATCCGAACGCCACAAAGCCAAAGCTGCTTACCTCCTCCCAAGCCGTCAAACGACTGGATGTGATTCCATACCAGAGGGTAGTTGAGTTGTACCAGCTCGGCATCAAACGGCGGACTTTGCTCCTGCTGCTGGCCGTCGGTGAGGACCCAAACCGTTATCACGCCGGCCAGGGCAGATAACAGGAGGAACCGTAGCCGGCGGCGGATTAGACCATGCGGGAGTAGCATGGCTTATGTGATTTTGGACGGGGACCGCGGGCGCCCTTTCGTAAAAGACGCAGTCACGCACGCACGCAATGGAGCATCAAGAGACTCGCGCACCGAGCAACTGGCGATGCTACAGTACTTTGTCCGCTTCCTGCAGCGGCGCTCTCAATCAAGTCTAGCCGCCTCTCTCGGGGGGTTCCCGATTGCCTGTTGACAGCACGAATTACGGGACAATCGACGGTTAGCTCTCTTTGCCATGTACAATGGGAGTTTGTACCGGTTTGCTTTGTCCAGATGGAGCCTCCAGGCCTGATATTTTCTTCAAGAGCAAGGCAAGGCCAACGCAGCACGGCGCAGCACAGCACAGGCCATTAACCAAACACGCCAAAATCCAACACGTCGCAGAATTCGCACGCCAAAATCCTTAGGGGGCGGTAGCTCGGCGTTCTCGGCCGTTCTCCGAGCTGGGGTTCTTTTTTTTTTTCCTTTCTCAATTCGCTAAGCCCCTGCGACCAGTGATCCGTAGGCGAGCAACACCGTCCAGTCAGATTCATTGTTTGCGGCAATAGTTGGGCGCCAACCGTGGCGCAGCCAAGACATGGAAGCCGGGGTGGGCTTCTGCATGAGGAAAAAAAAGGCCACTTACTAGAGACGATGACGATGTGCGTGGAGACAGACGGTGAAAAAGGGAAAAATAGAAGAAAGAATAGAATCGACTCCTGAGATAAGCAATCAACGATAAGGTGATACTTGCCTAGTACCTGGTCATCACGAGGCAGGTATTCTGCCTTCTTCCTTCCCTGTTTCAGCGCAGCTTCTGCCAGGCAAGTGCTGCTGCTCTGCCCCTTCCCACATTCCTCAGGCGTGCCTCGTGTGGGGCCGGGTCTCGATTGCGGCGGGAAGGAGGGTCACCCGTAAGAGCTCCTTCCACTCTGGTTGGTGCAATTTACAGGCCTACCGTCGCCTAGTACCGACCCGGTAGCGGAACAGCGACTAGAGACTTCGTCCCTGTTTGCTAGGCCAGCATAGGCCAGCTCCAGGCCGCGACTAGGCCAAGGTACCTCCATGGCGTGGTTCAGCAGAGCCTCGACTTGGCCGTGACTTGGCCACGGCTAGCTCCAGATTCGAAAAAGCTTGGCACTGTAGATCCAAAAGCTTAGCCATGACTGCTGCGGCTGGAGTACCCTCGTGGTACCGGGTACGAAAAGTACGCCGGCTGCCGTTTTCCCTTGTTGCTGCCCGTATTTTCACGCCTCAACAGATGGAGATTCCGTTTAATAACTCTCCCCTCAATCAGCTGTCAATACGAGTAAGCAATCTGAATCACTTAATGCCGATCAGCCGAGACACACAGAACGTCTTAGTAGACCAAAGATGGAGAGAAAAATAAATTCAAGGCTCTATTAACGGGTATTATTCAAAAAAGGCATTAGAAGAATTTGTACAAAAAAAAGTGAATGAGAAATTGCGAGAGGCCCTTTTCTTTTACAGGCCCTACATGATCCTCGCGGTGTGTTTGTGCGCTGTTTTGCTCCTGTTTAGTTGTTGTTATACATAGGAAAAAAATGACGAGAGTGTGTTTATACAAATGAGCGATCGCCCTTGAAGTTCCACCACACCCTCCGCAGGATCAGTCTTCTCCGCACAATAAGAGCCAGCACGACGCCGACGCAGAAGAAGACGATTTGGTGCAACCGTCGGCCCAGCGATGTGATGAAGCGGGCATCGTAGGAATGCCACGATGAGCTGCCGAGGTGCTCAAAAATGGGCGTTGTGACACGCCCATTGAGGCTGTGCAACGGTCCGGGGAGGATCTTCAGGTCGCTGCGATCCGACTCAAAGGCGTGGATGACCGAGGCATAGTGGCAGCCCGTGCTGAACATGACAGTCGCGTAAGGGAGGCCCAGCCAGTGTTTGTTGTAGGTGGCGAGATTTCTGACAACGTCGCCGATGAATTGGTTGCGCTTGCTAGACATCATGAAGCCAACGGAGAAGCCGACGGGATGAGCTTCGGGAGCCACAAAGTCGAATCGTCGCAGGGGACCCAGAGCTCGTGTGCACTTGAGATCCATGTCGAGGACAACGCCGCCGTATTCATACAGAAGCATGTAGCGCAGGGCGTCAATTCGCTCCACGGGGTAGGTGTAGCTATCCCACATCTCCTTGAGGTCGGGGAACTTTTCCTCGACAAACTTGGAGGCCTTGTCATCAGTCCAGATGTTTGCCTCCCAGCCTGGGTGCATGTCGACGCAGCTCTGGACCGTCTCCTTCCACTCCGTCCTCCAGTTCGTGCTGTGTTTGCCGAGGGCGATGTGATGTAGGATGGGGGGCACGACATCTTCGTAGGGGGCAGCTGAGACTTGGTTTATGCTGTAATTGGAGAATGTGACGTCGAAGTTATCTCTCTCTTGTGAGAGGATGAATGTGTCGCGATGGATGGGCCAGTAGGCGGGAAGGGCGGCCAGCGTCCATGATGTGTAGAGAAGATGGCGGAAGAGAAAGACGGCCGACGCGAAGCTCACAATCGTTAACCAGAAGAAGGTCCGGGCTCTTTTTTCGACAGTGTCGCCAAAAATCGTTGCGCGTTCTTTAATCATGATGTCGATGCTAGATGGCTAGCACTGAAGAGAAGAAGAAGAAGAAGGAAAAAGGGGAGTGAGAAGGATAGATAAACGGGTGTGGAGCGGTATAGTATCGTTTTTCTCTCGGACTCTTGGTACCAACGACGGTGACACTCTGTTCGATTTTCAACCACAATGGCAAAACGGATGAATAAGAATAAGAGGGTTATTATTCGAGTATTAAAGTTTAGTTGAACATGGCTCGTGGCGAGATAAAATAGGTTTGTGGGGGTGTAAAGAGAGAAATAGAGTGGTCAAGAGAGAGAGGCTGTGTGTTTCAAAGTTGGAGATTGCGGCGCGGTATCTCGACTAGATTTTTATTCTCAACAGCCTCAGGGTGTCTCGTAATTCCGCTTTCTTTCTGACTACTGCTCTTGACAGCATAGCCTCCCCCCAGTCAAGAGTACGTTGGATCTCCAGTAGCGCGTAGGTGGACTATGCCAATGCGCACCTGGCGAAAAGGAGGAGCCTCCACCACTGCAGCCATCCTTACGACAGAGCTGGCGTGGATCGCTAACCGTACCCGGCCTTGGGTAGCGACACAAAGCCACCCCCCTGCCCTTCCTTCGTCTTTTCTACGGACACTTGGAGGGGGCGGGGGCGTTTGGTCTGTTACAGTGGCAGTGGTAGATACAGTAGTCGACGCAGATGAAGGCTAGAAATAGAATCCTGTTGAAACATCATACCGGTTCTAGCACTGGCTGCTTCAACAGTGCTTACGACCCAATCTATTTTTTTCCTCCCTATTCAACATCTAGTATATACTGCAGAGCCTCAATACTAATCAACATGTTGCTCTCGAAAAGGGCATGGACCTGCGGGAGAATTCCACTGGATAGGAACCCTGTATGCGAGAAAGAGAACTGAGAGATGGGGAGAGAGAGGAGCCGCTAATAGACCACGAGTGCTACGGAGTACAGGCATTTGTATTTGCACCATGTACTACAAGTATCTTTTTAAATAGCCCTGCACGTCTGACTCCTAGCATTGGCTCGTCAGAGTGACATGATCTAAGGCACGCTAACCCCCGTCGCTTAGTATTCCGCCTCAGCAGCTTAATTTGCTTTTAAAGCCCAGATGGCCTGCCACGCGCATTGAATGGCAACTGGTTCGCCATGATAGGGCTGGCTAAATAAGCCCTAGAGCGGCTCGCCATGCCCCAAAACAACCAAGCAAAAGCATGTTAGCCAGCGGCCATCCCGCAGGCAAAGCATACATAGCATGCGGCAACATTACACGTACCGACTCGGCGAGCTGACCTAGACCCAGGCCAGAGCTGCGCTTATAAGGGTGCCTGTTGCTCTCTTGTCCCACGCCAAGCATTGCATTGCCTAATTGAGCGGCTCTACACCGGGAAATCGGCAAGGTTTGTGGCTTCTTTGGTCGGAACGCTGGCTTGGCTTGGGCTTGGGCTTGGAATGGGCCACGGCATATTTCACACAATGCACGGCTGTCGGCTGAACTCATGTAATCGGTACATTAGTGCTACTAGTAGTGTCGTTGCCGTCCTTGGCACAGGACACCATCTTTTCGGCGGTAGAAGAGCTGCCGGAGAAAAGCAATTGCAGCTAGAAAGTGCTAAGGCGCCATGATGCGTTGAGTGCCTAGGTACCTAGGCAAGCAATCGTATAGATACACCGGATGATTCATCTGTACAGCCTCAGCAGGGCCACGGCATAGCATCACCGCGTCGCAGGTCCAATTTCAAAGCCCGCCGGGGGAAAAGTACCCGGTACTCGTACTTGTACATCACATCACATCACATGTTATGTCACCCTCTCTTGGCAGGGATCCGCAGCTGGTTCCGTCGTGCTAATCTTACCTTGACCACGGGGTTCGCACGCAGCTCTCCAGAGGGCGTCTGCCGTTGGCGTCTGTCAAACTCGTACCTCGTCCCTACCGCGTGCTGTTCGGTACAAGGCCGGTGGCGTGGCACACCCCCCTTAACTGCTTCTTGAACTTGCACCACTACTTGTTGGTGGCTCTGTGCCTCGCAGCCCGCGGGCTCTGGTCAAAGCGCCAGTCAAGCTTTTTGAGACATCGAGCCATCTGGTTCCAGAACGGATGCTGGCCGGTAGTGCGTGTTCTTGTGCTTGCTTGCGTGTACCAGGTACGAGCAGCTGGTTCGTCCCTACCTACTACCGAGTGCCACGTCGTTTCGCTACGTTGCTACCTAGTTGGGCACAGTTTACTCATCAAGCTTATTCCATTTCCTGGGACGCCAAGCACAAACACGGGGCTGAAATATTGGGGGCTCTCGCCATCGGCTTCCTAACTCGAGGGTCGCTCTTCTTTATTCCCTTTTTATTGTATCTCTTTCCCCTCCCTTGCCTGATTGACTTCCGGGTTATTTTTATCTCTCGTGGACCGAGCTGGCTAGCTGACCATGGCTCGCAAAATCCGCGATTCTACCATCTTCAAGACGTGCCATTGGTTTGTTGGGACGCGCAGCCGGCGTCGCACCTTGCTTCGGCTCGCCGTTGCTATCCTCGTCATCCCTCTGTTCTTACAGTGGCTGCTCGCCTACGTCGTTGGTAGGGATGCGCGGCTGCTGCCGCCGGAGCTGCTGCAGGCCAAGAACGTCTTGATAGTCACGGCCCATCCTGATGACGAGTGCCTGTTCTTCTCGCCTGCCATCCTGGGCGTCCTTGACAGGAACCGGGCCATCAATGGCGGCTTGCTAGTTATGTCAACTGGTTAGTTTTATTTTTATTTGCTTTTTTCTTGCCTTGATTCTTGTCCTTCTCTTGGCTCCATTTTCCCCGCATCCGCCGAGGCTTACAATTCGTCACCCTTGGCGTACACAAATAGGAAACAACTATGGCCTGGGCGAGACGCGCAAGCAAGAGCTAAAAGGCTCGTGCAGTGCTCTACGCATCAATCCATCGAGATGCGAGGCATTGGACCATCCGAGCCTTCAGGACAACCCCAAGGTGTGGTGGGATACGGATCTCATCAAATCCAAGGTCAAGGAATATGTCGACAAGTGGGAGGTTGACGCCGTAAGTACACACTACTCTGCTTCTTGCTTTGCCCCTCTTTTTTTTCCTTGTTTGCTTTACATTAGTTCTGCTTTTTTGCATCTCCTGTGTATGAGGCTGACACACTTCACTGTATAGATCATCACCTTTGACGAGGGCGGTGTGTCTGGACACATCAACCATCGCGCTGTGAGCGCAGCCGTGAGGTACGCCACCTTGTATCCTGCATTGCATACTCGCCTGGAGCGATGTAACACGCACACTATTGATAGTTCCTTCAACTGACTCGCCCGTCTAGTGAGTACGTGGCCGGTGATGAAAAGGCGCCGCCAGCATACAAGCTTGTCACCACGGCAGTTCTCAGGAAATACACTTTCTTGTTCGACTTGCCGTTGACGGCACTGTCTTTCTCGTGGAGAATCATCGCAGCCGTCTTCTATCCGACTGAGAAAGCAAGCTCCGAGCTTAGCTCCGAGGCGCTAATAGCCAATACCTGGCACCGGTATCAGAGGACGCGTAATGCCTTTGCAAGCCATGACAGCCAGTATTCGTGGGACCGCCACTTGTACATGATTCTCAGTCGATATGTGTGGTTCAACGATCTCAAGAGGATACCGGCCAAGGGAATGGCTTCGTGAACTGTATCCTACCATAGCGAGGCTCAAATTGACTTACTCATCCAAGTGTGAATGCAAGGTAGGGGTGAGCATGTATATGTGACATTCGACTACCTCGAATCTAACTTTCTACGGCGGCTACGGCAAGCTAAGGGACTTTGAGATCGAACTGCAATCCATCGTCAAGTCCACAGCTTCATAGCTGCTTCATGTTCGCCTCAGCCAACATCGCAGCTTATCCTCTGTGGCGCAATTGGCTAGCGCGTCTGACTGTTAATCAGGAGGTTGGAAGTTCGAGCCTTCCCGGAGGAGACACAAAAGCTAGACTCTTCTTTTTGGGTGACGTCCAATAGTCTTTTCTTTTTGCTCATGTAAACGTTGAGCTGAAGTTTGCATGCGACTTGTTTTGAGTTGTCTAGTCATCGAGATGCATGGTGTTGCCACCAGCTAGCACGACAAGACCTGGGTAGTTGACGAAAGGATTCGCTTAACACTTTGCAGCAAGCTATGGCAACCACTAGTTTGCCAATATACGTGTATCCCTGATCCTTACAACGGCAAGGCAGAGCTACCAGCAGCCTGGCTGTACTTTTACAAGAGTCCACTCCCTATTAACGAACCACGCTATTGAAGCGTCGGCACTGATACGTCGTAAACATCCTTAATTCTAAGATTAATTTGTTTGCCGGGCTCCAGGATTCACAAACCACGCCGGTCTTCAAGCTGAATACCAAGAGAGAATGGAAGCCAAGTGACATCCTTGGTCATGCATTAGTCACAGGGCTAGTCCCACTTGGACGAAGAGAAAACGCTGAAGCTGAAAAAAGGGCTGACAGCAGTTTGCTACGGGGAGCAAGGGTTAGGACTCAAGCTAACGCAACACGACGACGCTTTCTATAATTAAATAGTACTAACAGCAACGGACTGAGTCCAGCCCAACAGTCGAGGGCGTTCGACGTCAGGCATGAGCATCACGATCATTCGGCAGTCATAAGACTATTGCTCCATTTTGCTTCGTGTCACATATAGAGCACGGAGAAGTAGACGCCAGCTCAGTGGGCCCCCTGTTTTTACCGCCTTTGTCCGCAATCAGGCCCCTTACTGCAGCCCTACATATGGAGTTGTTGCTTTTTAGAACTTTTCATGGGAGGTAATCTGTGACAGAAGCGGTAAGAGTTTCGTTCTGCATGGAGTAAGGTCTTTGAGATGCCCAATAAGCGACTTCTTGGCCTCTCCACAGCCTTATCAAAGTGTTTAGCTTCGAAACTTGTATCTCAAAGTATCAAAGCTCGATTTGGCAAGAGTTGAGTTGTTGGTAAGCCCCCTTTAGTTATGATTCTCGCAACTACTCAACAGTTTCCAAAAAGAGAAGTGCCTCGAGAAGACTCTGTACATTCGTTGTTCAAGTTGTTTGAGGAAGCGGAATTCCGCATCTTGGTACTCGCGGCTTGGATAGGGCATTTGGTTATCAAACTTAGAGAAACACTTAAATCAAGTAGACGATGGACAGGATCTTCAATAGTAGCAACTTTCTCGTTTCACAGGTTCACTCTGGTACATGTACTTCTGTAATGAATACAAAGAATTCAGAACGATGCCTAAACAATGTATAGCTTTCAACGGAGTGCGAGTCAAGAACCTTTTGACTCCCTATCAACCAATGATCGACATCATCAATCCTTCTATTCCAATGGATAGGCACCAGCTAACTAAAGATCTGACTGAAGCTTGATGTATAGACTAGCTGAAGTTGGCACCCAGCTCGTAGACGTACCCCCTCATATGCAGCATGCTTGTCGTTTTCAAGTTGGTAATTTGTGGGCAGCAAGATCCAATGCCATGCCATAAACCCACCCCCTATGTAAGACGAGAATAGTAATCACACTCACGTTATCATGCAATCATACCTTGTTCAAGATAACTACGCGTATCATGTTAGTTCCTGTAAGGGGAAAAGATAAAGTAGTAGTAGTGTGGGGATGCACCCCAAATAACATGGTTTCATTTCGACCATACCGCCACACGAGGACCTAGCCTCGATGCATCTTATGCCCCTGCAAAGCAAAAGGCATCAAGTTGCTCCAGAGTGGAGCTATCAGAGAATGCTGACAATCATGGTCACCGAAACAATCTTAAAGACGCCGGAGAGGATCGGTCAATGGGGCCGGAGAAGACAGGTGGGGCCGGAGAAGAATGACAGAGCCGCTCACAACAACATGGTAGAAGTACAACATGAAAATTACACGAAACAAGCTGACTTTTAGCGTGCGTGATCATAGCTTGTATGATCGTGGTTTCTGCGAATCATCGATGGGCCAGTAAAAGAAGCAATACCGCCAAGCAGAGGTAATCTCGGTCCATGGGTTTAGGCAGCCCTACACGAAGCAAACATGAATAACTGGTGGAACTGGTGTTCTAGAGCGTAATTAATAGATATTATGGCTAGAGAAGGTCAAACATCTTGAGCAAGATCGTCGACATAAGCGATATGGAGATACAGGTAGACTTTCGCAAATCTTTACACATACATTGGGATGGCATTCAGTAAGCAGCAAAACCTGTCTTCCTGAGAAAAGGGACAACTCAAATACTTTCAGAGTCCGACATAGTGACCCTGAACTGAGTCGAGCTGAAAAGGGGGGCATTTTATGTCGTATTGCCGAACTACTTAAAGTTATGTTAGAACTAATAGAAATCTCGCAGTTTCTCAGACGGTCGAGGTCTCACTTGACACCGAGTGAGCAGCAGATAAAACAGATACCAACATTTCAACAGCGCTAAAATAGTAAATCGTACAGGTGTGGCTGTATCATTCATTGCCACCAGGGGACAAACAAATCAAGAATATCAATACTGTATACAGGATAGTGCTCTGGATACTGGGCATGGAGAGGCATGCAAGCCCAGGTGCCTCGTATCTAATATTTGATCCATACTAACACTTGGACTTTTCGCGGAAAGAATTCCGTGTATACTAATCTACTTGATTTGTCAACACAGGGACTGCTTGACGGAGCAGCCCCTTTAATGGACAGAGAGTAGACTGTGCATTCAGTCAAGCCCTGGGATAATTGCTGAGAAGAGTAGCCTGCCTTAGTCTCTCCAACTATGTGTCAATCTAGCTCATGCAAGAGTTGATTTGTTTGCGTTCTTTCTGAATCACGACCAGTTATACGGCGAGAGGCTTCGCATTAAATTTCGTGATAGTCAAGAATTGCTTCGCTAATCTGCCCAATCGTTTGTCTTTTAAATCCTCAGAAGTAGTCAAGGAGTATACATATAGAGCTACTAAAGCATCTTGAAATTAATCGCCAAGAAGAATTAAATTCTGTTTCCTCGTCGTTAATTTATGTTCACATTTGATGGCCTCTGGGTATTCCGCACAAGAGTCCTTACCCTGCAACAATTGGATATTCACACTCTCGACTTCTGCTACGCTCTATCAGTGTCAAATGTATGCTTTGATGCCTTGTAGCTGGCAAGAAGATGGATTCGAGCCTTGAGCAGACTTTTTTATTGAGCTCCATTACTGGATTGTTTCAGAGCGGCTTTACATCCTCTGGCCGCGGACAATACCGCTCCAACGTAAGGCTCGTTTTGTCATTGGTGGAGCAGACCATCAAGTTCTTGGTCTTACAAGGTCATTTGGGCAACCATATTCTCAATTGAATCTTCAATCTTTCCAAACGCTGTCAAATTTGTCTTTTGTGCTCTGACTGCTCTTTGACACCTATTACCCCTGTATATGACACACCAGCGTCAATGAACCATGCGTCAGTAGAATGGTCAACGAGAATATTAATAAGCTTTGTATTGTTTTAACCACTCCCTGCGTGGTGCAGTTGGGGAAAGAATGTCTCCAACCTGGTCGGTCCCCCTCCGTAAACATGCGCCTCTGGGCTGACGGCACAGTCTGACGTGTTGCCATAGTCGACATCCGTTAAAAAGCAAGTGAGCATCCGGTTGTGCTCAATCTGTACGATGCCACGAAGACGGGAGATTTGTAGAGACTTATCATCATAGGCGTCACGAATTTTGCTATACGAGCCATGGTCGCATAACAGAGATGTTTTATCACTGAGGCGCATGAACTTTGTGGCTGCGTTGTTCTCATCTAGTAGTGGAACTTTGGCCAATATAAATAAAAGGGGGCCACTAGAACTACTATTTATAAATGACTCTTTAGAGAAGGCTATATCGAATGGACAATCTGAATGAATATAAATCGCAAACAACGGACCATCAGCCTCTTCACTTTTGTCGTAATATGGGATAGCAATAGGTGACTCGCCGTTAACCTGCAGTGTAAGAACATGAGATACAATGAAAAAGAATTCTTGCAGACTCATAGAATGGTCAAATAAAGCACCCAAACGACTGAGGGTGGAGAGAAGTGGCTCTGTAATCCAATTACCATAACCCTCGACGGTGTAGTTGTAACTCGAAATCTTCTGCTATTTCCTTCTTTATTTTTATAAAAGAAAGGAATATTACGTTCATTGAAGATGAGAAAGATAATCCTTCAACTAAAACATAACCGATTAAACGATGGTCATTACGTATGATAACCTTCACATCAGTATATTCGCTGCTGAAAGTGAACTCGAGTATATCCCATACCAGAGTCGGGAGATCTGAGCTGCCGATGCCTCGGATCTGATGGTCACGAAATCCATGAGAGCTGATTGCCTACAAGGTTTCTAAGGGTGGTTTTTATTAAATACGCAGCGCCCCAGGGCAGCTCAAGCATAACAACCGCATTTTCGCCATTGTTGTTCATATCTTAACAACTACATAACCTCAGCATGAATTCTTAATTAGGAATGCTCTATTTTCTGGGCGTCGCATTGAGCACTATCAATAGAGCGCGCGGTCTCGACGGATACAGAAACAACTTCTGACTGACAACGAATCAGTGGCAAATGAGAAAGATTTTTTTTTTTAGTAAACCTGGCTCCGCAGATGGTTGAACTGTCGCAATCGAGGAGCGAGAGGCCCAGCAGAGACGGAGATTTCTTTAGAGAGAGTACCTTTGCGAACGCCATGTCACAATCTAAAGCTTCTCACATCTGCTGCTGTTGTTCTGATCCCACTCAAGCCTGCTGAGAAAACTAACAGAGGGAATGCTAAATGACTTGGAGGATAACTGAATAGCTGTTCACCCTCAGCCTAGATCAAGATGACAGGCACATGCGTAGGAAGGCCTCCGTACGCGAAAAGAACGATGATAGTGAGACCCCTCCGTAGTGGAATGAGGGAGAGATTAGACAAAAAGGTCAAGCTTGGTCACACAATCCTTCCGACGCTATCTTCACTCCTGGCATTCTAAGGGAAAGTTTATAAAGACCTCGAATAGCAAGAGAGGAGATGATGCGACTTACTTTCCCACTGGCTATTCTAAAAATCTGTATATCGCAGAGCCGTCACAAGTATTGACTAAGTCTTTTATTTGTTATTGCAGTGCCTGGTGCTAAGAATCTTGCCACTATGGGAAAACACTTCACCCCCAAATCTACAAATGCAATTCTAAAAGCAACTGCTTCTCACTCAGAAATTCACACCTTTCCATTTCAGAATCCTACAGCCAGGTTACCATTGCCATCTATTGCCAACAAGTCTCAAAACTTCCATTCTCACCACGAAACCTGCTCGTCGGAATCCCTTCTGACAGGAACTAACCCTGTATATATATCCCTGATATATCCTTCATCAAAGCTACCAAAAACGTAGCATACCGGAGAACGATACGAGCCTCTCCTTCAACAGCCACATCAAGGGTTAGGTGATTTGTCAATGTATTCAAAAGTGCAATGTCTCCCACGCGCGAGAAGTTGACAAAGACTATCAATCTGCTTAAAGTATAACAATTCCACCAGACATGGGTGTCAACGACCCGTAAGTATTAATCTTTGTCACCACCAAGACCTCAACTTGCATCATATCGCACATTCTCAAGTCAGAAGTCAAGCCAAGTAGACAAGATAAAGCGCTCAATCACGCATCATTACTAAAAACACACTAAAAGCTAATAAGTATCATCTAAAAATAATCCCATAAACAAAATCCACTCTCCAAAAAACCCCATAGTCAAAAACTATCCAAGCCCAGGGTATGTCTGTCAAGTATGTATATAATAATATCATTTCCCATCATTTCATCTCGTAGACATGGTCCTCGTTTTTGTTTTCATCCTATCCATATACAAAACGCCTTCATCCGTCGCCATAAAAACCCCTCTTGTTGAGATGCGGGTAAACATCTTTCATAATATTTTTTTGTCAAAATATGAGTGAATAAGAGAGATTGTTCTCTCGAATACCATGGCCCCCATCTATGATAAGTACCCAAACGCGTTGAGAAACTGATAATATGCTCTGCCGTTTGAGGGTGGCTGGAAATGATAGAATATGTAAATAAATCGAATTAAAATCTTTAAAAAAAAATTATACTTGTTGCGCTTGCGCCTGTGACTGGACCTCATCTCGAACATAGGTAGATCGCTGGAGCAAGGCACTAATGTTCAGGTCCATAGGTGGCCGCTGGATTTCCATGCTTCGACTAGGCATCCTTCTGCCACCAGGAGTTCGTGGGTGAGCCACGTTGACACGGCCGCTTCGGTCTAGGATTCTAGGAGGCGACTCATCACCATCCGATCCTGAACCCTCATGATCGTCAAGGCCATACTCAGCTAGTCGAGTAAAGTAATCGGCGAGACCATCAACGGTACTGGGTGTGCCGACAATGGCGTCGTACTGAGGAGGCGGTGTCATGATCTGAGGGATATCGGCATGGTCATAGACGACGGTGCTTGCAGGAGGCGGTGCGGTATCGTCTTCAAAGGCGGGTGGATTGAAGCTGGGTGCTCGTAGCAAATGGATAGGCCGGCCGGGTCTCTCAGCTGATGACCAAGCTGCTGGGCTTTGTCGACCCGTGGCGGCCGGAGCCCCTGATTGTAAGTGGACGGCTTGAGGCGGAGCGGGCATGCTGTCTGCCAGTCTCTCGGGTTCCGGAAGAGTTCCTGTCGAAGAGCTCGGGGATGTTTCCATGGCAATTGTCGCCGAGTCGGGGCAGCCGCAAGCTGATTGATAGGGAGAGGGTCGGTTCATCTCGCCAGAATAGGCGGGCAGATACGTGTTGGCCTTGGTGGCCCGGCAGTTGAGGATGGTGAGAGGAGAGTCGATGCTGATTTCAAAATGACGACGCTTAGTTCCTGAAGGATCTTCGGCATCTAGGCGGCTAATTCGCATAACGACCTGTTTGAAGTCAGTGTCAGGTTCTACAGCAGGACATTATTGATTGTTTTGAAACTTACCTTGATCCAGTGGAAGACATTAACATTCTTCCAGCTGCAGTCAGGATGTAGTCGAAGAGCCTTGTTCTTGGCCATCATCTCACACGTGGGAATCTGCACGCTCGCCTCAATCTCAGTGGAACCCCACATGTTCTCAAGGCCCAGATCCAAGTCGCCGAGGAGGTTATCCACAGGCGCAGGCAGTGGCTCTGGGGCTTGATGCCTCCTGGCAGCATCGTGAGCTCGTCTTCTTGAGGCGGTATCCCGAGCGACTCGGCGCTGCTCTTCATTGAGTTCGCCACCGCGAACAGTGATGACTTCGGAGTCGGCCCAAGAGGGGTCGAGCTCTTTTCCTGCCGTCTTCTCAAGAAGCAGAATCTTTCGGCCCGGGTCTTTCCTCGTCACGCGCTTATCGCTGGTCCAGTACTCGACAGACTCGGTGATGTAAACCTTGAGCTTGTGGACTTGGACCTTGGCCAAAGGCGTGAGCTTAAAGGCGATGGGGATCTTGGCTCCAATGGGGAAGCTCTTTCCGGAGACCATGATGTCGTAGTGGAGCTGGTCCTCCCATTGACGGCTGATAGAAATGGGCTCGGACATTTCCAGCGACATCTGATCCGGTAACCGGATGATTGGGACTTCTTTGACACCGTGGAGGTTGGGCTTGAAAGCACCGGCACGATCAACGGTGGCGTGGAGCTCCCACTTGACCGAGGCATACTGCAGCTTGGTCGTCTCGAGCTGGTGGTGGTCGATGGGAAGCTCAAAAGAATAGTCGTAGACGCCAGGGTAGAAGACCTTGAATCCCTTGGCCTGAGTGGGAGTGACGACTCCGCTGTCGCCCTTTCCAAAACTCCGGGACTGGACATTTTGAAGAGAGAGACGCTTCAGTTCCTTGGCAGTCAAGTTGTTTCGCATTGACGCAGATGGAGAGATGCTGGGCGAGCTGTTCAAGCCAGTGCTGCTCGAGTTTGCAGAGCCACCCTTGAGCTTGTAAGTGCACTGGTTGCCATACTCGGTCTCCCATCCGTCGTTTAGGGCATTGAAAAAGGTAAGGACTTGCGTCCGTAGGCTTTCTTCCTCGTACAAGTCTTGTTTTAATGGTGGAATTCCCTCGGGCCATTCTGTGCGCGCGCGACCAACCAGCTTCAGCTGGACGGCCTTGATCTTGACGTTTTTGCTAATGGTGAGCTGCATGCGGCCTCTGAGGAGAGCGGTGCCGGCGCGGGATTCCCGGCGCTCATGGCCATTGTGGTCGAAGCCCGAGAGAAATAGGTTGGGCTCGGCGAGGAGGATGGAGCAAGCAACTCCGCTGCCCGTGGCGACGGGCTTTGTGACTTCAGTAACGATGGCGTTGATGCTTGATTTTGAGCTGCGGATGGAGGAGAAGCTGTTGTGATGGCCCAACTGATAGGTGCTCATGGGCACCACGCCTCTGGCTGTAGCCATGCTGTTTGGGGGGTATCGACGGTGTTGAGACGAGTTGCGAGGACGGTTTGTGCGGTGGCCGGCGTGGCGGCTGGAGTGGCGGGTGCGGCTATGGCTGGTGCCGCGATGCCTATGCCTCGATCTGGAGGATCTCGAAGCCGCTCTGTGCCGTGCTTTGTCTCGTGGCTGTTCACGGCGGTCTCGACGATCTCGGTTATGAGCAGAGTCGCGGTCTCTGGAAGGCGGCGGGGCCGGTTTGGAGTCACGATTCCTGCGGGACGACGATGAAGTTGGCTCGCGAGAGTGGTGTGAGTGGTGGCTGCGAGAGTGATCTGCGCGGCTGCTATGGCGAGAGGATCTGGACTCGGGGCGAATATACTCGGTCGTCGGGAGAGTCTGGACACCAACGGGGAATGCGTTGTGCTCCGGGATGTCGACAGAAGATAAAGAGTTGCTTGCCAGCGACTGGAACAATCGTGTCAATGCCAGGCGTACAGGCAACTCGGGCGGCCGGCTGGGGTGGGCCAAGGCCGAGAATCTCGACGAGGACCGCGGAGTTCCTGGGGCGGGACTGCCGCTATTGCTGCTGATACGGGTCCTGGAAGAGCCAGGCGAGGTTCTGGTTCTGGCGCGAAGCTCTCGTGGCACGTAGCCGGCGGGATAGCTGACGACGTGGATGGAGTGCGGCCGCGTCCTTCTTGGCCCAATGAGGGGCGGTGGGAGCTGCTGGTCAACGGGGTCGGCCGGATTGTCAGCCGGATTGTCAGCGGCGGCTGCGGCGGAGGCGTCGGCGACAGGGGCGTCGAGTCGGTACAGGATGTTGCCGCTGCTGGTGCGGACCCAGTCGTCTCTGCGGCGGCGTCTGCGGTGGCGGGAGTCGGACTCGCGCGAGGCTGGCATGTGGTCATCAGTATAAGAGTCTTGGTGGTCTTGGTGCTCGGCGGTGCTGTTGCTACGGCACTGCTCCCGGCGATGGGTTCGCGATGGTGGCGGCTGCACTGCAGCTCCCGCCGGCATGTTTGCTCTGCGGATGACGGCGATGCTGATCTGGGGGAGGGGGGGAGGGGCTTGCTCAAGCCGAGGGCTGGGAAGGGGAAAGGTGGGAATATCTCGTCTGCAAGCTCGACAGCGGCATCAAGGGCAGCGAACAGGGCCATTCAGACCGCCCATTCTCAACCAGCCGGGTGGAGAGCCAGAGCAAGCCGGGCGACAAAGGCCACCGGGCAAGCAGGCAATGATGTGCGGTGGTGCAAAGAGATGAGGGGAAAGCACTGAGACTATGCTATGCAGGGCTGACAGAGAAAAAGAGGAGAGAAGGGGTAAGTAGTACACAAAGCACTAGGAGCTTAATGCAGCGGGGGTAATGAAGCAAAAGGGAGAAGGTGAATAAAAAAAAAAGGGAAGCTTGAGATGTGCTGGCAGCAAACAAGAGGGCAGAGTTGCGTTGACGGCGATGCCAGCAGGACTAGAGTGCTTTTGTGTCTGGATCTGGGCGCACTCGAGGCACAACCACCAGGGCGAATGAAGAAGCTGCTGGCCTCACAAGATATGGAGAGGGGGCGTTGAAGCTGCAGATGAGGAGACAAAGGAACAAATGAGCGAGGAGGGAGGAGGATCAAAAATTTTCTTTCTATTATAATTGGGCATCGAGAGACGAGGCGAGCTCGCCTCCTCGTGATTATGCGAAGCGGCGATAAGATAGTCTGATGTCGACCCAAGAACGATGCAGCCGGGGCAGTTTGCGGCCGGAGCGTGGCAGAGGCCCATGAGTGGCGCTGCCGCAGGGCCAAGCTTCATCAACAAGACAGGACCAGTTCAACGAGGCCCTGCACGAGCATCCACAAGTGCAGGCTGGACACGTCGATGGGAGGGTGACGTTGACGGTTGGGCCGCTGGAGCCCATGGAGCATGGAGCATCGAGGCCCCGCCGCTGTTGCGTGTCCGCCCAACGGGCTGTAGCCACAGGCGCATGCTGTGCAAAAGCAGGTTTGGGGGAGAGGCTTGAGCGAGTGTGTGGCCAAGATGATAGGTGATGAGAGCAGGGGGAGAGAGACGCGGTGGAGATGAGGGATGGGCTTGCAGAGCGCTTGCAGCAAGAGGAGCAGGCATGGAAATAAGAAGCAAATAGTGCCGGCATGTAGATGAAGTCCAAAACTCAAGAGACAATGCCTGGGTAGGGCAGCCATTGAGACCTGCACCGCTCGACGTATCATCATCTCTTGATACGACGCAGCAGCGGCAGGGCCAATGGCATGGGAAGCAGGACGACAGACACACAAAAACAAGACTCACTCACCACAAGTTGGGGCCAGATGAGATGCAACTCAGATCGGCAAACGCGATTGGTGACCCTGCTGCAGGCGCAGACAAAGCAGACTTTTGATCTGCTGATCGCTGCCGAGTTGTCGTTTTGCCTGTGCGTGAGGCGGAGATGTGATGCGAAGCGATACCGCAGTGGCTACTCTCGACTCGAGCTATGGAGCAAACAAAAAGACGTTGCGTGACCAGGGAGTTTTAGGCGAGATGCAGCTCAGAAAACGGGATGCTGGGGGCGAGAGCGCGCGCTGAGAAGATCAAGACGGAAAAGGGTATCTGCGAATTGGATGCGAAAAGAGACTGCGTTTATGCAAACAACCAAACAATCAATGGAGAGCGGCGTTTCGGCGTCTTTGTCTGCGCTGGTTCGTGTCGTCGTGAAACTCGAGAAGAGAAATGGAGCGGATATCGACGAGGCAGAGGAGAATGAGATGGATGAGGAGAGAAGGAGGAAGTTGAGTTGTGTAGAAAAGAGAGAAAAGTACAACCGGCGTTTCCTCAGCTGAACCGAAATGGCAACCCCAGAAAAGCCTCCCCCAAAGCCCTTATAAACAATTGACAGAATAGTCTCGTGGCCCGGCAAAAGGTTAAACGGCAGAAACAAACAGACTCAAAGCCAAAAACCTGTCAAAGCCGGTGGCAGCGGCAAAAAAAAGAGAAGTTGTCAAGCCCAGCGCTGGGTCTTGCTTTAATCAGCGCTTGAGTCTCCCCCCGATGGCCGGGCGAACTACGTAATGCCGGAATCACCCCCCTAGCTGGCGACGCTTTGATTTGCATTTGCTTTTTTTGTATTTTTTGTTTTTAATCCCTCTTTAATTTCCTCGCCGGTCTAGTTGGGGCCTGGATGTAGATTAGCCTCGCTTCTCCATCTTCCCCCCTCCCCCCTCGGCAGTGTCTGTCCGGGGCTGATGGCGGGCCAGGCTCGGGCTTGAGGCGTGACGGCCATGCTAACGAGGCGGTAGTGCCCCTTGGAGCAAGGCGTGTGGCAGCCTCTTAGTACATTTGGGGCAGTAACTTGGCATAAGGCTGGTGATGTCAGAGCCCGAGGCTTGGGGCTAGCAGGAGTCGAGCCCTTACTAACGTAGGTACATTTATGCGCAGCAGATTGCGGTGTTGCGGGCATGTTTCTGGCATTTCCACGGCAGAGAGGAGGTGCCTGTTACGGACAGAATGGCCCTTTACGGCAACACGCTCTGCAGCATCTGGAATAGACGGGACAACGAGAGAGCGACGCAGGGTATCTCGGCTGATGCTAATCATGGGTCGCGTTTCTGCACTGCCCGCGAGAATAGCAAAACAACTGGTACGTGCAGACATCATTGTACAAGTATTCAGGCCTCAACCTGCTGCCTTGGCACCCGTTCAATGCCCTGTCCTGCAATCTATTTCAAACCCGCTAATACGCACGCGCTTTTGTCTCACGCGCCCAAGCTCAACACTTGAAAACAAACCAAGAACGAAAGATGGAAAGGAAAAAAAAAACAGACAAGCCAAGATGATCGACGTCACTGCCACGCCAACCCCCTGGTCGTTTTCTCTTTAGGAGGGGGCCAGCACACCAAGGATGCTTCAGGCGTCCAATCAGCCTGGCCTACGGGCATTTCCGTGGAAGTCTACCATTCGCGTTCTCTTTGGAAATCTCATGCATCAATGTATACTCGTACACACACTATCTGCCATGGCATTCTTTACTCGTAATAGCTGTCAATTCATTCAGAGCGAGATCCCTTTTTGGCCATCCTCTGCCTCGTGACCGCCACAGCCAGGACCGTTTTGCGCCTCATCCGCCCCATCATGTCGATCTCAAACACAAGATGTAGAAAACGACATCTCATATTCAACCTGGTCTTGGTTTCTGCCAAGAGACAGAAGACCTGGGCAGAACAGAACCACCCCAAGGAAGTACCCGAACTGGCGGATAATGCCGGGCACCTCTCCCCGCTGCCTCTCACAGTGTCTATACGCTCCATACCGTACAGCAACACCACGCAGCCACTATGTCGCAGCACATGGCATCAAGACACAGCTTCCAGCCGCTGCTGAAAAGCTGAACAAGCCCGTGGGTTTCTCGCATGGCCCTGCGTTCCAGTTCCCAAACCATCAGGCCACCATGGCGCAGCCGTTTCAGGAACATGCGTAAAATAGCTCCAGCTCCCTGACCCAGCTGGCCGTCTCCATTCCAGCTCAAACCATGTCTTGCATCCAATGCGAAGCTTGCCCAATGGTCAGCTCATCCAGTCTCCTCGGAGCTTTCATGGAGCTTTCATGGGATTGTCCCCAATCCCAGATCGCGGATTCGGCAATCGGGCTGGCCCCATTAAAAAGGGGGCTCCATATTCCCGAGACATGCTTTCAATGCCGAGCCACAGCTTTTCTCTGGACGAGCTCTTTCCCCTCGCCTTTCCTTTTTTGTATTTTCCCGATTTTATTTTAATTGTTTCTTATTTTATTTTATTCATATTATCTCAGCGCTTTTTTTCTTCAACGGCTCGCTGCCGTAGCGAGAGCCCAGGCGTGGATTCGCTCCGGCACACCCGAGTTTCTTCACACCCTCCGGATCTGCCGGATCCTTTTTGGAATAGGCCAAAATCAAATTTCACAAACCGCATCTCTTTTTGCCCATTCACCATGATGCTATTACTTAGTAACACATATACCGGCACTGCTATTAGCAATGTGTAGTTGTCGTTGTTGCTCCATCTCTGCCTACACGTACCCTCGCTCCGTTCTAGAACAGAGTCTACATGCACCCTTGAGGCTCAGATGGGCTCAGGAGATTTGAGATCTCACCATGTGACGGGGCTTGCGTCCCAAGACCCTCGGTCCAAACTTTCCCAGACGACCGGTTCCGTGACTCAGCCACCAGGGCCGCGCACCAAATCATCTTGATGCTGAGTGATATTCTTAGTTTTCCTGTTTTCCCGTCCAAGATAACAAGGTTTCGCCGTGGTTGTTCGCGCAGCTCAACTCGGCGGTCAAATACATCTTGGCTACTTCTCCCCCGCAAAATAGGTGAAGGATAATATAGATTTGGCAACTCCATATAGCTCAACCATACCGCAAGTCGCCACCTCCAAACGCCAAATCAACTCAACCAGCTCTGGCGCATCAGCTCTAGAGCGTAATACATTGTAAAATTCCTAAGCCCATCTCAGCTCTTCAACCTAGGTGTATCACCAGCTCGGATGCATATCAGCTCTGCCACCGATGAATGATCTCACCGACCCGTGAGCTAATCTATCGCAACTGTCAGAATCAGCAATTACAGATTATCCTCTTCGCTGAGCTGAGCTCAAACGGCTTTCTCTTACGCGTCCAGCAGGTCATCTGAGGCTTTCCCCTCTTCAAGCCAACTTCTTTCCGCAATCACTCGTCACTCTATCCGCTGTGAATGTTTACAAACGTCTGAGTCTGCAGCTGCACGAGTGCGTCATCTGCCTCTGCAGACAACGCCCGCATCCGCTTTGTCCCCAACATATCCGGACAGTAATACTACAAGGTAAAAAAAAACTCTCCACGCAGTAGAAAAAAAACCTCCCGATTTCCCTCGCCCGGTCCCCCTTTGCAATTAGTCAAGTAAAAACACCACAAAGTCCCTCCCCATTTCCCTTCTCTTTACCAGATTCCGTCATCGAGAATTTTTCACCTTGCATGCTTCCTAGGTGCCCGGTTACACCGGTTCGTACCAAGTGAGCGTCTACTCCCCCCACACCCGCTCCAGCCACCGGATCCCCCGGCCGACGCCGTGCCGACGCTGGCTTCTTTTGAAATCTAGCCGATCGACATGACAAAGGCTGTGCCCTGTCTGCGAATGGGGTTCAAGGGTCCTAAGGGTCCTAGGAACATGGAACGAGTGGTGGTATGATTGGGGCCAAAGGATCCACTTGCCTGCGGAGGAGACATTGGTGGAAGAAGCAGCGTGACATGTTCATCCTCGGAACTTTGCGTCTTTCTATATTGATGCTATTGAAGATTGGTAACCGTATATGTGATTGTAACCATCTTTTGAAAGCTAATATGGCCTGTATCAACCAAGTGCATGACTCTCGTTAAGTGTAATACGTCATTGAAGAATAGTTAATACAGATCAAGTAGAGCAAGTTTATTGCCGGTATGCAAGTTTTGTATTCTCGGGTCGTCAGGATTTGTGCTCTTTTCTGATCTGCCTAATGCATTTCAGAGGGAAGAAAACCATGTGCGTCAAGTCCAAATACTTTGGTCGTGCAACAATGTTCCTAAACACCTCATTCTTACAAATCATTCAAGCACAAGAACAGGTAATGATGTGAACAAGATGATAATTAAAATACAAACACGGCTGTATATAGGATTATACAACTGTCGTTGGAAAAAGGCTGAATCATTTACTGTGACATTCACGAGCTTGACTCACTTCCGGCCTATCTTAACCTACAGCATATTCTTAACTTACTTTTGACTCAGTCGAGCTTATTAAATGAATCAAAACAGCAATCATCTATCATTCTATTAAATAAACCTGCTGTTTTCATCATGATACATTGAGGAGAAGTTGAGTATTGGGTGAGTACACAAGTTCATAGGTTCAACTTCAGCACACACTACTTGCTCGCAAAGATACATGAGCTGTCACAAAAAGAGCAAAACAATCCTAATCAAGGTGTATAGGACTCAGCTTGCATCAAGGAATGTATTCTATTGCCGATCAGCCTGGTACGACTCATTATAGCATCACAGCTATCTCTCTCTTATACTGGTCAGTAATCAAGCCAATACCACTCAACTCATTAAACGGTACGTTTGTATCTTTATCATCCAAGACGCGGCAAACAAGCAAAACGATACATCAACAGACCATATATCTAAACGCTGAAGCTAAAGTCTCAAAGTCAACTCTCAAAGTGAGTTCGCACTTACAACACCAGCAAGTCCAATACCTCATCACCACTCATACTCATCCTGCAAATCATTCCACCACACACACTCTCCAGCTTCTCTCCTCAGTAATGCACACGTTCTCATACAAAAGAGTAGTATAGGTTCTAATCAACATGTATGGGACTCAGTCTCCATAATGGAATTCATTCTGTAACTGATCAACCCGGGACGACTCACTATATCATCAGAACCTCATTAGCCCTTCTGTAGGTACCATTCCCTTGTCATATTTCTGTCAAGCAATCGCTACTCAAGTGACGAAACTATTTTTAACTCATACAAGCAGAAACTATTCCTTGAAATAGCAACAAACAAGTAAACCAAAGGCCAAACGACCATCTAACCGCTCAGATTCTAAACCCAACTCTCAGTCCCATCTCCGCCCTCACTCTCATCATCTCACACATTCTCCCCATCCTCTCTCCTCAATCTAAACGCCTCCAGCAACTTCCTCCTCATCATCATCCCCGTCAACTTAATCCCCCTCCCATCCCCCATCCTCTCTCCCCTAACCTCCTCCTCCCCCGCCCAAACCCACGCCTGATGCTCATTCTCATCCAGCACAACACTCCCCTCCTCAACCTCAACCTCGAACCCAACCCCGCAAATAATCTTCGTCCCGCTCCTATTCGTAAACACAGACCACCTCTCCTCGCTCCTCCCCTCCGTAACAAGCCTCTTCATCCGCCTCGCCACCAGCCCAACCTCCTCCCTCAACTCCCTCGCGCATCCATGCAAAACGGACGCATCCTCCGCGTCCACCGCCCCGCCGGGCGCCTCCCACAGATTCGGCATGCTGTCGTGCGCGGCGCGCTGCACGAGCAGGACGCGGTTCTGCGCGTCAAAGACAAAGCCTGATGTGCCGATGCCGTCAAAATGCTTGTCGTGAATCCTGAGCCAGTCGGCTGCCGGGACCGTCCATTCGACAAGTGACTCGTCAAAGGCAAAGTCGGCCGTGGATCCGCCTTTGGAGTTTGCGTCTGTTGTGGTGTTTTCTTGAGACATTGTTCAAGACTCGATTTTATAGCGGAGTAAAAAAAAATTGACGCTTATGCTTATGCTTGAATGTCTCGTTATCCAAGACTGAGGGGAAGAAGAATAGATCGTATTTTGTATCGTAAGTTGGCTTGCTTCAACTCAAGGCAAGCCAGCTGAACTCGATGAAGAGGGGAGAGTAACAAGGCAGAAACGTTTGTTGTTTGTTGTACATCTGGCCCGCGCACCAAATCAGCCTTGCGTACCTTAGTCATTCTTGAGGCTCTTAACACGCATTAGTTCGCTGAAACTCGAAACCGCCAGGCAGCATTCGGGATTGCGTGTGTCACCAATTGAGTCATGATTGGACACAGGTCATTTTTCTCTGCATAACTGCGTGACTCCATTTTTGACAACAATGCACAAGTAGAGCCGCAGAGCCGAGATGCTAGTCTTTCTTGGCCGCAGCCGAAGGACTTCACAGCTAGGGAGCAAATACACACACGCAAACACAAACACAAACACAGGCTGATGGTTCAATGGTTCAGTTTTTCACAAACACAATACAAGCATTAAAATAAAACATACAAGTCTTGAATCATTCACAAGTTCCCTATTATTATAAAGTTATCAAATACAAAAGTTCCTTCCAACTCCCATTGCGACCCAACCCATACTAAAAGAAGAAGCAAAGTATATAGATATAGATATAGATATATATAAGGTAATGCCTTTCAGGCAAAAGGAGGCATCCCGCACACTCTGGCTTTGAATATGAAAAAAATCTTTCAGCCTGGGGAATCAATAATACAAGACCAAAAAAATAATAATATCCGCGTGTCTTTGATCTAGCATGAGAGGATCGCTTTTTTTTTCCTCCCCACACCTCGAATCCAATCCGCATTAACCAGATATCCTTTGTTGTTTTGAATGTTGGTTCTGCAACACTTGCGGCCAGCATCCCGACTTGCGATGCTTGGTTGAGTATAGAGCCTCGTCTGTTAATGCCATGCCGCAGGAACTCAATCGCCCTGATATCATAAACTCGTGTGCAAAGGCCTTTTCTCGTATCTTGTTTTGGACAACCAGCCAAGCCTCTTGCCAAATATCTTACAACACATTAAAGACATGACCTCCAATATCGTCAGTTCTAAAACCAGGCGCCCCTGCTCTGGATTGAACATATATATCATCCACAATCGTTAGACAAGAATAGGGTCGTATAACATGAAACCATTTCGTTCGAAGATGGGAAGGTAGTGTGATGATTGCGCCAAGTTTGGTGTGAGCCAAAGGCGCGTTCTTTCGCTTGTTGAATTTGTAGCGAGCAGAAAGATACAGGGTTGTTATACATTTCTTTTTTTTTTCTCTCTTTTTTTTCTTTCTTGGTTTTCCCTTGTTTGTGGGGCACCTCAAGTGTAGGACTTTGAACAACTCGTTTTGATCAAGTTCGCAAGTCCAACGCGACAATGAACGGCCGTGGTGTTGTCCAGTTGTACAGACACCCAGAATCGTAGAGTCGATTCCCTGTTGAAGGACTGGCTGTCAAACTCTTGAGGGCTCCAATCATTTTCCTTTCCTTATTTTTTTTCCCTCCTCTCTCTGGTCGACGCATCCTGAAGTGGCAGGCATCGAGGAAATCGGATACCCCAATCTCAAGCTGCAGCCCATCAGTTCTCTCCTTACTCCTTACTCCGTTGCCAAGACCGACTTGTCTGTCCTGACTCGCATGTGATTGGCGTGAATGTCAAGGCATCGGGACATCAAATGAGTAACTGGCCAAACAGCGGCCTTGTCCAACATCTGAGAAGTGACGCGAAGGATCTTGGTCGCGAATCCGCCATTATATCCGTCGTCAGAATTTAAGCTGCCCATGAGATCCAAACTAATCTTCATCTCTGCCGAGGACAGCACTGCATGTATCTTTTCGATCAGTTGGGCATCCTCTTCTTCCAGCAGCATGATGGCAGGCATCGATGTGCCATCAATAGGGTCTCGGCCGAGGATTCCCAGATAGCGGCCAACTCTGTCCTGTACGGTGGCAACCCACTCGGCAAGAACTTGCGCGCAATCGAAAGCGCACATGGCGGATTGTAGGGGCAGTTCACGACTGGTGAAATCAGCAAAAGTTACTCCAAGCTTATCCGACATTGCCAATGAATCGGCCGCATAAAAGGCAGCTTTCCGCAAATGGCGCTCGCGGCGAGAGATGGTTCGAGTAGCAAAGGGAGAGCCGCTGGCAAAGGGAGACTTGTTGTTCGACAGGTCCATTGCTGATGGCGGAATCGAAGGAGAGCCAGTAAAGAGGGTGCTGTCAAAGGCGTCATTGCCGACAGGTTCCACGTTGGATGATGGGGAGTGCTCGGCATGCTGCACAATCTCCGTCCCCCGGGCCAACTCCTCTGCCATGCCATCCCAATCTCGTTGCCAAAACTTCTCCTTTGACCTGGAGAGATTGACAAAGAGCCGCACGTATGCCAAGTCAAGTAAAGGAATTGCGTCGGCGGAGAGTGGTCCCATGCCGAATGGATTTGGTCGCTCCACGGAGTGCTTCGGGTTACTGGACCAGGCTGCTTGCCACGCCTTCAAAGCTGGCTCAATGTGTCGGTGCATCTTTTCGGTCTCCTCGTTGGTCCAGACTTTGTTGTGATGCCTCTGTCGGGTTTCCCAGATGTAGTTGTGCAAAGCGTTGATCAAGATCAGGCAGCCAAAAGTGCTGGGCTTCAGATTCGACGGCGGAAGCGTCGCTGGCGAGAGCCGTCCGCCATTCATCGCAGCCATGTGCTTCTGTTGTCGCTCATTTGTGCGCAGGAGCTCTCCGAGAGCATCGGCAAACTTGAGTCTGTTGTGGTTGGCGGCCTCGACCCCGCCCTTGGCGAAGAAGGCAGAGCTTGATTCGGCAGCGAAGAATTCTTCGTCGCAAGGCAGGTCCAGCATGATTTCTGAATTGGTCAGCGCCGGAGTGTGGTTGTAGGCGGCGACGAGGAGGCTGGACATGATGAAGACGGCGTAGAGCGTGCGCTTGCGCTCCTCTTTCCGCTTCCAGTGCAGCCACTCTTGTCGCTCCTCGGCTTCACTTTTCCTGCTCCAAGCTGTTGAGTCATCATTCATCCGGGCGTCTTCGGAGTCGTCTTGTTCAGGGCGCAACAGATCGGCGGCTTGGGCGAGGCTGACGAGCGCTGCACAGTGAGTCGAGGCAATATCACTAATGGTCTTGTCGGCGCAGTTATGGCCGTACACGACGTTGAGCAGCATGGCCTGGACGAGCCAGACGGGCGTGTGCGCCGAGCTATCCCTACCTTGAGATGGCGAAGACTGCGTGTGCTGGTGGTGATCGGATTCGCTGTGCGAGCTGCGTCGGATATTATCTGCTTTGCGGACATCTGCTTTGCGTCTTTCTTCGAGGTAGAAAAAGATCATCTTCTTAGCCATATTGAAGAGTTCCTTGGACTGAGCGTGCTCCATTTCATACAAGGCGCCAATGGCAGCCGTCGCGAGCACCAGACATCCACTACCGCCTACACCATTCTGACGCCCACTCGGGGAGGACGCGGACATATCAAAGGACAACGTGGGCAGGTGCAAAAAGGGGAAATGGGGATGGAAATAAGTAATGTAGGCTGAGACATAACGCTGTAGATTCTGGGTACTGGGCACGTTGACAGCCGGGGCAGAAGGGGTGGACCCGGCGGATGACGACGATGGGAACTGCGGCGACTGCGGTGAGGTATGAGAGGTAAAGGAGTATTTACGGCCTCCAAAGGGCAGGCACTGGGAGAGGATATTCACAATGGTAGTCCTAGTGGCATCTGTGATTGTGGTTACGGGCGAAGCGCCATGGTTAACGACGCCGTTGAGGGACGATGGGGTTTCCGGGCCGGCATTGAAGGCAAGGGTGTGGTTCATGCTCTGCGTGTTCAGTCCAGATACGACGTTTGGGCTCAACGAGCTCAGCGATGGTGGGGGCGTGGAGAAGTATGGGTCATTGATCTTTTGAGTAGCTGGCTGAGGTGATAAAGGAGCTCCATTGAGGAGATCCGGGAAGACTGAACCATTCAGATCCATCGCAAAGGGATTTGGCATCTGCGGGGGGCCCATCACGGAGGGTTGCCACATGGTACTCGTCCCGGCCGGAACAGGGTGATTTGATCCATCCACCATGACATCGCTAATCCCACTCTGGCTCGTCGTGCTAAGCGCCGACGGGCTCGACTCGTCCACCACGTTTTCGTTTGTCTGAAAGGACATTTGATGGTCGAAGCCGCTCAGCCAGTCAAATGTGTCGTCAAAGGTTGGGTTCGGCGGCACATCGCTGATGGCCGACGCGAACGGGGAGGCCTGCTCCATTACCATCGAGGGAGGGGAATCATTATAGTGAAGGGCGTTGGGGTTGATGGTGGTGCCCGGCCCAAACAGGATGCTTTCGAAATCAAAGTCGGGGTTGAAGGCCGCGAGGGGAGGCGCTGTGCGGAGGGCGTTTTCAAAATCGGTACCGCCGATTTGCCCCGTCTCCAGCTTGGGGAGGCCGTGCATCATGGCCCTCTGGCCCATGGCGGCCATGGTCATGCCCGTAAACATCTGGTCAAAGTTGTGCATTGGCAGGCCGGCCAGGCTGGGGTGGCGGCTGTGTCCGCCGTGCATGCTCCTAGCAACGGATGCATTCGCCGAGGCGATCATCTGCATGGCGGCGCCGTCAACATGGCTGATGGTGTTTGCACGCGGACGCATGGTGTTGGAGCCGGGGTTGTTGTTGTTGCTGCTGGCCGCCGCGGCCTGGCTGGCGCCCGCAACGCTGTTCTTGCGAGCCCGGCTCTGGCCCGGGGGCACGCCGCTGGTCGACTCGCGGCGGTTTCGAGGCCGTGCCGAGGGCGTCGACGTCTGGTGCAGCTTCTGCTGGTGGCGGAGCAGCAGGTCGCGGCGGGCAAAGCATCGCGAGCACTCAGGGCACTCAAACGGCTTCTCCTTTGTGTGGGAGCGCTCGTGGCGCTTCAGGTGCTCCAGTCGGGCAAAGGAGCGCTGGCAGGTGGAACAGACGTGCGGGCGCGGCTTGTCGGTCTTGGGCGGAGGGAAGTTCGGCGCGGCTTTGGGCGTCGTGTTGACGGTAATCGTCGACGCTGGAAACAAGCAGCAACACGGTCAGCTGTCAGACGAGAAGCTTTGCTAGCTGGAAGGGAGGCTTTTTGGAGCGGGTCTGTCCTTTGGAAGGGGAGCTGGAGGGGAGCTGGAGGGGAGCTGGAGGGGCACGGGCAGGCGCCGGCGACCAGAGAGAGAGATGCTCACCAGAGTCGTCTGCGTTGGGGGCAGCGTTGCCGCCAACGCTGGCGCTGGCAGTGGTTGAGTTGGACATGTTGGAGGCGCGCGACACCCTGGGGCCTGAATCATTCATCACCATGGCAAGACACCGCCGAAACAAGGCCGCCGTTCGCAGACGGGGGAGCGAGGCTGGCGACGGCGAGAGCGAGCAGAACAGCTGCTGCAGGGCGCTTCGCGGGGTGGTTGAGCCGAGCTGCAAGCTGCGCGCGATGACTGTATTTTTGGCGGGGAGGTCGTAGCAGGACAATGGAGGGGCGGAAGCTGCCAGCCTCAGCACGACAGAAAAGCGCCGAGTCACAGGACAGAGCAAATACCTGATTAACGAGAACGGGGCGTGAGGGCGTGGCGCGTTCCCGCGAGAACCACAAGCATCCCAAGCAGAGCTTTGCGCACAGAACAGCGGCTTGGGCGTCGCTCAGGTCGAACGGCGAAGCAGAGATAAAAAAAGATGCTGCTTGAGCAAGACGGAGCAGAGGAAGAGTAGGAAGAGGTTTGGCGACGGACGAGCGACGAAAGGGCACTTGCGAGTCGCCCACCATGCGGCGACACAGTGGCGGGACTGTGCGGTCCAGCGTCCAGCCGCCTGTTCTGCTGCGCCCGCTAGCCCGGACCAGGGCCTCACAGTGCGCTGTCGGCGCCGGAGCAGGCTGGAGACCGCTGGAGCAATCGCCGCAGAGGCCTGGGACGGGGCAGCCCAGGAGGGCTACAGCGGGCCGCTGCTTGCCGTGGGGATTGGGCGGGGCTCGCACGGTGCGTCGCCTGCATGTACGAGTACTCACGAGCTACGGGCCTGTACGGGCCTGCACCACTGGGCGCTACCGCGAGGTACGTACCGCGAAGGCGCCGAACGCATGTTGTTGGTCGAACGGCGCGCGGACCCCAGCAGGCTCGACGGCGGCCAATCGGCAGGGGCCAGGGCCAGCTGCTGCAGAAGAGGGAAATGGCCTGCAACGAACGGTAAGGATCAATATGTATGTACAGTACTGCTGGGCTATTAATATGTGCGCATATGTAGGTGCTATTAGCACTGCTGTCCAGCAGGTGTTAGCTCTCGGTGCAAAGAGGCATGCCTGCAGCAGAGTCGCACTGCTAGAAACATGTACGACGAATGTCGCACGCATCAGCTGCCCATCCCATCCTGCATTGGTGGGATGACGGCAAGTACCTGCGCTGCGCCGGGCCCTGGGAAGATACTCGCTGGGCTGGCGCTAGCGGCTGCATGTACTGTACACGCCGTGCTCTGGCGGAGCCACTCACACTGTCCTGCACTGTAACCTGCAGCAGGGTGTGGCCGCCTGCGCTGGATGCGCTCTGAAGTCATGCTGCCGTTGCCTGATGAAGCCCTTTTTCTTTGCACAATAAATGCACTGAAATCTTTTTTTCGAGTGGCCACGAATTAATGCCTCTGCCGTGTGTCGTATTGGGCTGTCTTTTGCAGCGCAGAGCCATGGGTACCCGCGGATGACGCGGATGGACGCATCGCATCAGCCTTTTGGGAGGCAAATACACGGCAGTACCTACTCGCATGGCAAGATTGGGCATTGGCAGCGCTTCTTTCACTCGTCAGGCTCACGCAGCACGCTAGACGGCAGCGGCCACACACCCATTCGACGCTCGACCATTTGTGCCTGGCCGCCACAGCGCGAATACGCAGCAAATCGAAACCAGCTTCCGTGCCACGGCGGAAAAAGGCTTTTCATCCTTGTCCTGCGTCGCTGCCATTGCATCAAATCAAATCATATCATGGGAGATTCGGTGCAGAGATAAGGTACATCCAAGTAGTGCAGAGCCGAGTTCTGCTTCCGTATCTCGCACTACGGCGAATCGGTCGAATTCAATCCCATGTACCGCCGCGCCCAGGAGACGCCTGCGAGTACAAGAGCCTGCGGACTCGTCCTGTCGCATGAAGCAGCCTTATCCGATTCCGGCCTCATTTCAATACCCGACTCTTGCCAAACGCCTTGTTCTCATTCTCTCTCGCCCATCCAATTGCCTTGTAACCGACTGTTCCAAAGTTCAGCCAGCTCCACCCTGCCTTGCTGTGTTTGACCAGCTTCCGGCTGACTCTTGCTATACTTGCTCTACAGGCACGGAGCATCCAAGCTGCCATGTAAGATGGAACCCAGATACCTGTGCTAGTACTTTGTCATCTCGGACAGTGTGAGGCTCAAGAGCAGCCGCTAATAGCACCGCCTCCGGCATGGATCTGGCCGGATCGAGACTCGGCGGCAGCTCAGGCTCCCCGGCGCTCATTCTTGTCGTATCATTCCATCTTCTCATTATTTCGCAAGTGTTGCTACCAATGCCCTGACTGTATAAACTAACAGTTTCAATGAAACGTACTGCGTACTCTCGTGTACATGCAGGGAACATCCTGGTCCAGCCACTTCCAGCAGCAGCAGCTCGTCGACTTGTTCGCATCCCGGGATGACTCCGACGAGGCAATTATCCCGCTCGGCGTACCATTTATCGCCAGCCCACCCTCCTGTACGTGGTTTGCTGGGCACACTGTACAGGATACAAGCCGGCAGGGATGCGCTGCTGCGTGCCCATGGCGCCCAATTCCCGCTCGTACAAGGTCGCGAGCACAGTGCCGGGTCGCATCCAACCACCGACGTCGCCTGCACTTCTGTACCTACATATCGTTCCAAGCGCAGCCTAATCCTCGACGCATCGCTGCTAGTGCCTGTGCGGTAAAGAGGTAAAGATTGAGTCGTTTGCCAGCACGCACCCTTGCCGGGCTCTGCCATGTCCATATCTGGAGCGTCGCAGCCAATGCCTTGGCCGCTGCAGTGCACGCATGAGCGAGCGGAGCTATCCGTGGACCTCGTTCTGTGGGCGTTGGTTCCACCGGCGATGTGCTCAGTTCTGCTTCAGGATGGGATGCGCCGCAGAAGCCCAGCGAGCAGACAAGACGCACGGCGAAATTGCGACCCAAGCCCAGGAATAACCGCTGGCGCAATCCATTGGCGTGGAGACGGCAGCGCTCGCGAGTAAGTGCTAGCTGGCGCTGATAGCGAGTTAACAGGCGATTAGTCGACTATCGATACGTCGCTGTGCCCAAAAGCTGACTAGCGGCCAGGCTAGCAGCCGCTGAGCGCTGCGCAGAAGTTCTGGCTCTAGTGGGCTCTGATCACGCGCTTGGCCCCTCTGGCTCTAGGCCATCTGCAGCGTGGCTGGTCAGAGGGCACGGTGCGAGCGTGGCCGACGCTTGAGAGGCTCCTAACGCCAGGTACCAGCAAGTACCTGAGCCGAGGAAAGCCTCATGCAGGGCTGCTGTTGGGGGACTGGCACGGTGCCACCATTCTGTAAGCGTCCAGACTCTGCACTGAGCCTGCTACGGAGTATGATGATTGCTTCACGACTTGGTACGTAGAGGCAATGCTTCGGCCCCAGGATATGCCAGCGAAACAACAATGCTTGTCAGAGATGCCAGACTTGCTGGCGGATAAGCTTCGTGACTTGTATACGGATGCTGGGAAAGGCTATCTATCCGCAGTCTCCACAGAGGAACCTGTTGATAACGCTGCTACCTAATCGTACAGGCAGGAGGTATCTGCCTAGGTACTTGCCTATACTACCTGCCTTGGCACATTGCGTATAGCTAGTGTGCGTGCTCTTGCCAAAAGGAATATTCGATGGAGCAACAGATACGGAATGCGATGCAAAGTTCGGCGGGCCTTTCATTCCCATTTCGTGGCAATAAATCATGGAAGGAGCACCGAGAATGAGGCGGACATCGATACATGCTGGAAGGAGCTAGGGACACGGCCGCTACTAGACAGTGTCGAAGACACCATCGACATCAAGCCACGGACTAACCTAGAGCCTGAGCCTAAAGCACAGTTGGCTGCTTCCACCGAGTCTATAATGGTGAATTATTAATTGCATCTTCTTGCTTTAGTGCTTGCGTATCTACCAAACAGCTTTATACATCAGAATTTAGCAGTTCCGAGCTCTTGATGCTAGCTTATACTTGGGTCACCACCTTCATAGCCCAGATCGCTGCAACGCATGCTGCATGTACTTGTACAAGCACCTACAGCTCGATACAAGCACATGCCACCACCAGCATTGCACTCGCTTAACCCAGCCATCTCTTGGCCTACATTGCTGCACCTTATTTACTGACTTACATGAAATGATCTTCGCCGGTCCCACCGCAGCCGGCACTCCGGGCTGGTTCGAGAGCTGCTGCGTTTTGCGAATCGAGTCCGTTTCTGCGGTGGCTGTGTTTGCCTCTGCGTCTCCGTCTCCATCTCCTGATCAATGCGACGTCGTCTGGCGAGCCAATCTGCGGCCTGAGGCCTCGTGCATTGCATAAGGCGCGCCACCAGAGAAAGAGCGCATGTTGCAATGGGCGACGATGCCACGGCCCAACTGCAGTGGGTGGCTGTTGATCTATCCATCTGGCACCTGTTGAGCTATTGATGTTGGTTGCTACCATGTATATACGGAGTGCCAGTGAAAAAAATGCACAATTCTCCAGATATCTGCTACCAGGGGCTGCGTCTCTCTCCATCACATGGTAATCGTACGAAGCCAATGCTCTGTGCATAATCTTTCATGCATAGCTACTCTTTGCCGCGGGCTTCGGATTGCTCCATATCGTACGTTGATGGCATGGTTGCGTGAAAGATCAAAAAGACGGCTGGCTGCTCGATATACAAGCCAAAGCCGAATTCAAGTCAATTGAGCTGGAGCTGATGGCTCCAAAGAGCGATTCTCCTTCTTCTCTTGGCTTTCGAGACACTGGCACTCGACTGCTCGACCTCATCTGCGTGTAATTGCGCTAGAATGGCAGACATAATTGACCATCTTCTCTCAGTCTCCCTGTATGTCGGTTCCCAGAATTGAAATCTCGACATCGATTCTCTGCTGTTGCTCGCTATTAAGCCACGTCCGCAGAAGCGCTCGAACCTCGAGATACAACTGAGTCGATTTTTTATCAAGCCTGAACACTGCATATTGTATTGACTCGATATGTGACACTCGCAGTCATTCGATCTGGGGACACTCGTCTTTCTCATTGAGTGGAATATATTGCCTCGATTCTTCCGCTATCAAGACCATGATGCTCTGTTGGCTTGATATTGACTATTCGATACGTTCTAGAAACAATTGGAGTTTCTAGCCCCTGATAGCTCTTGCACCAGATCGTCGAGGCTCGCTTGTGCCTGAAAATTGGTCTGTGAGAATCTAGTGGCTAGACGTTAATCATGGAGAGCATCACGTACTTTGGCCAACCAGTGTTTTCGCTTCATCACGACACCTCGCCCCTACTTCAACATAACCATCTCCAGCACACTCATTGCCATGAATATTTGCGCCAATGTCGAGCTATGCCGTCAAAAGGGGCCGTGAATCAGTATTTGGAGAAGCTGCCGTCAAAGCTGGTACCTGAGAGTCTGTCCCTGGTACTACTAGGAGCGAGCGGCGAGCCGTCCATCGTACGTGGGTCTCCAAGCTGTGATCGACTACAGTGCTATTAACACAGTCACACATACACGCGCAAGCCATGCCTCCGGACAGTGATCCGTTATGCGAACTAGGCCGCATGACGGAAGAGAGCGCGCTGTACCAAGTAGACGACGAAATAGCAACATATTCATGTCATATTGATTCCATCCTGTTGCTAGGAAAGATCGATATTGTGTAGGTTTACTTGTAAGCAACGCCGGCTTCAACACTAACACAGCCGCCAAGCGCCAGATACTACTTGAATCGACGCATTTCCAGAGACATCGAAAGCAAGACAAGACAATGATGAGGTCACCGAGAAGAAGCAGAAAATATTGACAGAGATCCGAAGTAGAACCTGCTCCTGCGACCCAGGATCCAGAAGAGCTAGCAAAGAAACGCACCATCACGTCACTTGTTGGCGAAAGAAGCAAAGACCTTCCAGCCCCAGCCAAGCTTGTGTGATTCCATCAGCCGTGCCCTTACTGGACTTTGCTTGAGCAACCATACTGCACTGTAGACCCTTCACCACAAGCTGTTCCTGGACCCATATCAAACGAGGTCAGGTGCACAAACGTCCCCAGGGCCCACCGCTTCGTTGCGGGTTAGAGCGTCGCAATTGATGCATCAATCCTCGGAATGCATGTCGGCATAGCGGCTCTGCCATTCGCTGATTCGCCCGTCTCCCATGCACGTTAACCTGACCGACATGCTGCTAGCAGCCTAGAGATGCACCTTGACCTTGAGTCACAGATAATACTGTATATGGAGGGATTCCCATCTCTGCTCAACCCTGAAACTGGAGCACGAGTTTCCGTCCGGCTCCATCCGCCTAGTGGTGAAAACGACGAGGACTAACTCGCTTTCGTGATGTTATATAACACGTTCTAATAGTTTCCCGCGTCGCTAGGATTGCATATATGCACGCTAGTCCTGTGCGTGGGAGGCCGCCCATGTGATTGAATGAAATGGCTTCTTCATCATTCCGATATGCAAGGACTTGTGTGTCTTTTTTTTTTTTGTTTCCTCCCCAGCAGCCCGGGCAGATTTGCGCGTTGATTTTCCCTTCAGGGATCCCCGGATGCCTGCACCGGCTGTGTCGCTTGTGCGTGCTCACGCTGCCGGACACGAGTCAATCAATCTACGGTATATGCTTAGTTCTCACGGCTAGCTGCCCAAGACTTTGTGCTTGCCATCCAGCCAAATTCTTGTCTCAGACTCAACAGCCCTATGATGCCACTTACACGGAAGAGCCTGGCCTATAGAAATCTCCCTACATGACGAACCCCAAAAATCCCCAATCTACACAAGCTCCTCGGTTTACCCCAACTTCTCTGATATGGCGGGGGAGACAACCCCCGGCCAATTTTCTTTGGCGAACTGTCCCCCCCGGACTGTGAACCTCAATCGGGGCTCAAGTCGCCTGCTGACCAGGAACCCTTGAGTGTGTGGGCGGTCTGTGGTAGCGCTCTTCGTACACCATCGTGATGCTCTACCCCTGTTTCCCCAGATTCCTTAGCTCTGGCTCCACGACCATGGGAAGATGGGAAATGGAGCGGGCGACGAGCCGCCGTAGGCTGGGCCATAAATTTCTTTCGGCCGTGAAACTTGAAGCAGGTCGCGATTAGTTCGGAGATGTGGCAACCTTTTTTTGTTAAAACTGTAGCCGATTTGTCTTATCTAGCACTGTCTGTTTGAAACATTGCAAAAGCAGAGGCTGTAACCATGCCGGCACCCGGATTTCTCGGGTCAAAGCAGAGCTGCTTACACCTCTATTCGGGTTCGACAGGAGATTACTGCGAGGCCAGCCAACCACTGCGCTGTGATTATGGCAGTATTATGAAAGATGTACAAAGTCCGTCGCACATCCACTTAGACCGCCTTTCAATATATACAGAGGCTCGCCGAGGGAACCGGCGGACAGCGGCATGGAAGCCGGCATTAGCTTCTCTCCAGCTTTTCCAACGGAGCTCGCACTCGCTTTCACCTTGGCACCAAGGTTCTTGCGCCTCAATGGGTCCTGAATACCCGCCAACTGATGTGGTCCCCTGAAAAGCGGCCAACAAGTTGAAGAAGGAATTATTCGGGTATTGGTTTAGCCGCCTGTTGACAAAAAGGGGAATCTATCTACAAGTACGGGCGAGTGTCGCAAATGGCACAGTGCCCATCCTTCCACCTCTGCCCTTTTTCTCTTATTCTTTTTTAAGAAAGAGATGGTGTTTAGGTGGGCTCGGAACCAAGGGGACAAGAAAAGCTCGCATGTATGTATTGCGATTTGCAGCCAATAACACCTAATTGAAATCCACCCTATACATTGCCTCAACACCATACCATGGAATTTCAAGCTCCCAACTTGGTTGAAAGCCAGGTTGATTCCCCCTTTGGCGTCATAAGGCATCTCCGCATTAGCGCTCCTCGAGTTCCGCAGCAGCGCCTTGCATGAACCAAAGGCCAGCGAAGGAAGTTGGAGAGTCTGAGTGCTGCCACGCCCACGTCCCACGTGCTCGGTACTGCTCCGGAAGCTGCTTCTCCTTTGGTGTTTTCCGTGGATGGGACACCAACCAGCCCGTTTTCAAAGTGCTCGCGTCTTTCAAGCGGCCGACACCACGCCGTGCCTTAAAAAAGTTCAAACTCTCCGCGGCATCAATTTTCGGCTGGGCATTTTACATTACGAACGCCACAGCACTTGTTTAGCAACGCCGTTCCCCGTGGAGTGCTGCAACGACCCACAAACGGCCTCCGGTACTATCTATGGTGGCGCCAGGGGCAATTTGTTCTGGATTCTTCACCAACAGCGCAGTCTTCCTCGCTTCCGGACTTTGTTGCCGCCTTTTTCTTCTCTCGCTTCTCCATGGTGTGATCGGCGCTTCACTTTCCACATTCTCGGGAACCTGCTTCTCAGCCCGCAGCGCTTTTATACGGAAAACCGGGAATGAGAAGGGCGTTACTACCACCACCTATACTAGCATCGTGGCAAGGATGCAAAAGAGCGAGAGAAATGAATGGCCGTGGCCGGAGCAGTTTTGCCATACTGTAGGGGAACCTCCGTATAGCAGGTCCACTCGCACTTCGGACCTAACAGCAAAAGCGCATCCGTGGCCCGCCACTTGAACCGCGCGGACAAGCGGACCATCCGCAAAGGGACGCACGAGCTTCCGGCTTGGTCAATTACTGCACTTTGTAGGCTTTGTAGAATTCCTAATTACTGAGCTTGCGGCTTTTCTATGATGTGGATAGGCATGCCTAGTTAGGAACGAGTAATTGACTGGATCAAGTATGTAACAAGAGTGCGCCGAGGTATATTTCTGTCAAGGCTGCCGAGATGCCGCTGGTAGACTTGCCTAGATGGGAGTTGTGTTGATAGAATGTTACAGACGCTGAGAGCTTAAGCGAGCGGTTACGGAAACAAGCGACAGGGAAAGTGACTCAAGCCGTGGAGTTTCGAGTCAGGATTTGGCCAAAACGGCATTGTTCTCTCTGTCTTTTTATGTAGGAGATTGTAAATAGCGCTCAAGATTGCTGAATCTTTGAGAAGTTGCACTCTCAGTTTATTCAGTAGGTGTCTAAGAAGCAATAGCGTTGATTTTTTTTTTTTCGTTTGGTAGTTGATATCTTGAAAAAGCATTGTTTAGAAAACATGACATGTAAAAGCATCAAGCTTGAATCAAAATTGTTTAGTACAAGACCATTTATTGAAGCATGTCGACCTGTGTTTCAATAGTATGTATAAAGGTGCCGATTGATACAAAACAAGATTACCTAGTTGGAACCCACGCGGGACGGTTTTCATGTGCTAACAACCCGGTGGTATGTCACTGTTATTTTGGATCCAGTGTAGTCAATTCGCGACGTGGACTGCACGTGGTAAATCTTCGATGTTTTTTTCCTCCAATGGAGAGTGTAGAACGGGTACCACGTTGATGTCAAGTTCAGAGAGATATATTCGGTGTCGCTGTATAGGATCCCAAGGCAGCTGAAACATTTATTACTATGTACTCTACAGGACAGCATTGACTGTTCTTCTCCTCGTACTTGGGGATAGGTTGAACCATGGGAAAAGGCAGCTAACCTCTTGACCGGTATTAATGCATTTAACCGTTGATACATAAGTAAGCAGAGGAATAGTAGTTTATTCTCCGATTCCGAGTGCTATTACGGAGTACTCTGTGATAGTACAATGTGAAATGGTGGCCTGTGCGCTTTATGTCCTGATTCAGGGTAATTACGAGATCTATTACCTGCCAGAATTGGACATTGAGACTGCCATGGTTGAACAAAAGATAGCATGCTGGTAGACTATTAGTAAATGGGTAAGCTACACGTGCGGTAAAAATGCTTGGATGATATAGCATGAGTAGGCATCATCATATGATGTGATTGGTACGATTCTTTTCTCTCATCGTATTATGCTAGCATCATCAAGGGCCATGACGCAATGACGGTGCCTGTTTGATAAGCCTCCCTGGCTAGGCAGAATTTTCTTTAAAACAATCTGTGTTCCGATGTGGAAGGAGAGTTTGTTTGGCACTTTGGCTTATAGGTCAGCGGCGAGATACCAGGCTGCAGCACCCTCGATTATTACCCTGAAGCACTAGGCACAACCAGTGATAACAAGAGTATGATGACTAGTCTGAAGCTCGAGGATACGGCAAAGTTTTTATGTCCAAGTTATAGGGCGTATACAATATGCCGTTCTCCACCAAAATGGCAGTCAAATGTCCAATGCTACATATTCACTAGAAATAGTAATATGATGGCCTAGATCTAATATCTTTTGGTGCGTGCCCGCGCGCTTTTCTTCTCCAAAGCTGTAAGCGCCCAGGATCGCCAGCGGGCATGTAACGCTGGATCTACAATACAATCCTCAAGCAGAATACCTTTCCCTTTTTGCGGGCGCTGAAGGGATGGCACGCGCCGGATCACCGCTGCCAAGGAACAAAAGTTGACAAAGGGCGATTGCGTCCTTATCCACCCCATGTGCTAGGAGTTGCATCCCGCCGTGTGAATAGGATTATCTTTCTATTAACTATTTCGATAACCTTAAATCCGCGATGAAAGCAGCCAACCACATCTGTTGCTCCTAGGGGCCGTGTGCCGCCTGTGGGAGAATTTTGTGCGAGGGAATGCGCATATACGCATATTAGAATATAAAACACTTGATCCTACTACTGTTTGTTTGGCCATCTATTCCGGTGCTGTCTCACGCCTTCGTACGCCGTCCTACCAGACCTTTGAAGCTCGCGGAATCTAGGCCTTAATAACGGACGAAGCCGAAGGATCAGGCAAGGGGCACGGCAACTGATTCCGTCAATTAGATTGCATTCTTCTAATCAGATATAATGGCGTTTTCAGATCGGACTTTTGTTGCTGAAACAGACAGCGTTGTCAGATGGATCCTACTGCATCGCTGGCCCCACTGTGCCGTTGATGCCTTTTATCGCCAATGCCATGGCCCGAATCGAGCTTGCTCGTGTGCTCTCTCAGCAATATCTCTTTCCTAAATCTTGCAGAGATCATCCGGAAATATGCCCAAACGGCACCGTCATCATGATACAACGTAGCTTCTAGACGCTGCAGTTCATATAATAAAGTGTGATGTTTTCGAGCCAGCTTCGGGCCTATTATGAACGGGGCAGCTGTGCCAATTCAAAACGGTCTACTACGGAAGTTCGGCACCCCTGTGGACGGGTATTTCGGCACTCATATTACGGGGAGACAGGCATTGAGACCGCCCCTAAATTTGGAGATCTAAAGGGCAGGTCTGCTTTACGTAGGTCTGCAGTACCATTCTCTGGAGAAATCGTAAATGGACCGTTTTGCTGGGAACTTGGCCTGCCCATTGGTGGCAGATGAGTTGCGGCTCCGCCGTCACTGATGAACTAGGTATTTGCTATGCCCATGAATACGTCGACTTGTAATGCTCATCCTCCTAGTCGATGAACATGCTAGGACAAATGAGGATGGTGATTATGAATTGCTGGGTCTGGATGATCGCTTCATGGAAGAACTGGGAATGAGCTGGGGCGCTGAATCGGTACAGGGAGTTGAGGGGGGGATATCGGCCGAGAGTCTTATAAGAAGACGTTGAAGCTCGAAGTACGAGTTTCGAGATCGGCAGCCCAAGCTCCTCAAAGTTGTAAACTCCAACTCAAGACAACTCAAGACTATCCAACAACAGACAAAGAAAAAATGCGTGCCTCTCTCTTTGCCTCCCTCGCCGGCCAGGTGGCCATCAGCGCTGCTCTTCCAGAGCCTGCTGCCCACAGCCCCCGTGCGGCTGGTGCTACCGCCTATGCCTCCAACTCGGGCGGTAACTACAAGCTCAGCTCGATTGCTGCTCCCGTCCAAGGCGCTGGATCTCCCGGCTCAGAGTCTACTTGGAACTTGAGCATTGACGACACGAGCTCCGGTTACAAGCAGAAGATTACCGGTTTCGGTGCTGCTGTTACCGATGCCACCGTCGCTTCCTTCAACGAGCTGTCTGCCAGCACTCTCAGCCAGCTGCTCAACGAGCTCATGACCGGCGCTGGTGCCAACTTCGCCCTCATGCGACACACCATTGGTGCCTCCGACTTGTCTGCCGACCCTGTCTATACCTACGACGACAATGGCGGCAACGCTGATACCGGCATGACTGGCTTCAACCTCGGTGACCGTGGTACCGCCATGGCCCAGATGCTGGCTCAGATGAAGGGCCTCAACTCCAACTTGAAGATCTTTGGATCTCCCTGGAGCCCTCCTGCTTGGATGAAGCTCAACAACGCCATTGACGGCAACACCAACAACAACAACCTCAACGATGGCTACTTGACCGGCAACGGTGCTCAGTACTCCAGCTCCTTTGCCCAGTACTTTGTCAAGTACATCCAGGCTTACGAGTCCCACGGCGCCACCATCGATGCCATTACCATTCAGAACGAGCCCCTGAACAGCCAGTCCGGCTACCCTACCATGTACATGTTCTCGTACGAGCAGGGAGACCTCATCCAGAACTACGTCGGCCCTGCGCTGAAGGCCGCTGGTCTCAACACCCAGATTTGGGCTTACGACCACAACACCGGTATGTATCTCGCATCAATCAACGTCTCTATAATGAAAGCAAGCGTTCTTTATGGCTAACACATAAACTATGTAGACGTGCCCGATTTCCCTGAACAGGTCCTGGGCATTGCCTCCGAGTACGTCCCTGCCGTTGCATGGCACTGCTACGCCAGCAGCCTGGACTGGACCGTCTTGACCAACTTCAAGAACCAGTTCCCCAACGTGGAGCAGTACATGACCGAGTGCTGGACTCCCTCCACCGGCTCCTGGAACCAGGCCTCCAGCTTCACCATCGGCCCTCTCCAGAACTGGGCTTCCGGCGTTGCTGCCTGGACCCTCGGCACCACCGCCCAGGACGGCCCTCACCTGTCCGAGGGTGGATGCGCCACCTGCACTGGTCTCGTCACCATCAACAACGGCCAGTACACCTTCCAGACCGCCTACTACATGATGGCCCAGTACAGCAAGTTTATGCCCGTCGGCGCCACCGTCCTCAGCGGCACTGGCAGCTACACCTACTCCGGCAGCGGTGGCATCCAGTCCGTTGCCTCTCTCAACCCTGACGGTACCCGCACGGTCGTCATTGAGAACACCTTTGGCAACGACGTCTACATTCACTTGACTACCCAGAGCGGCCAGGAGTGGAGCGGCAATGTTCCCACTGAGTCTGTTACCACTTGGGTCCTCCCTGCTGTTTAAAGCTCCTATGGGGGAACGAAAAGAAAAGTGACGGATGGCCTAATGGTTTTTGATGTATATAATTTATCCATGGTGGCAAAGGCCGCAATACACGTGTATATTTGCAAGAGCGCCTGCTGATGATGTAATCGAAATGAATAACGACGCGCCATTGATATCTAATTTTGCCTCTGAACTGAATGCTTGATACGGACAACCTGTGAGATGTGAAGTTGAAGTGCAAGCGCATAGTTAAAGGGATGCCACTGCATGGGAAAAGCGTATGCTTTGAAGCCGTAAATGAACTTGATCGAGCTTTGGCGAATATTTCCTGTACAAAGCTTTTTAAACATGGCTCTACAGATTCGTTATTACACATACTGTAATTGGAAGTATCCTCATGTTTACCGAAATAACCATTTGCTGCTACTCAATGTTTTACTATTGTTGCTATTCCTTCTACTACAGCTAATTGGGCTATTTCTATCTCTTCTACGGTATATAAAAAAAGACGTGGCTTTTTGTTGCAATCATTAAATAATTGTTCGATCATGGTAGTACAAGTTATTCACATGGTATCGGACAAGATTGTTAATTCGAATATTATCATTATATGCATTACGCTATGTCAATATCTATCATACGCTCATTCATTACTCATCCACATTAATTGAAAGGATACTCTACTGATGCCTTGGGGTTGCTGCCGTAGCAAGAGTACATAGGATCCTGGTCGCCAAGGTAGCCAACACACTTGTAGCAGTTGAGCACGGTATCCGGATCCCACTTCTTCTTAATGGCGAGAAGCGTGCCGTAGTTTTCACCGAAAAACAGGTTCTGCCAGTCGGGCTCAGCTGGATCAGCCTCGTTCATATAGGCAGCCTGGACAGACAACGGAGCCTGGATCTTGTCAATGGCCGCGCGGGCGCCCGACATCATCAGGTTGGCGGTGGAATCAGGAGTGCCAGGCTCGTAGCTAACACCATAAACCAGGTGCCACAAGGTCTTTCGCCAAGCGGGGTGGGTGCTGGTTGCGTTTGCTGCGTCGGGAGTGTTGAATGGGGCAGTCTTGAGGAGGAAAACGTTTGCTCCACTTGCAAGTGCCTCGCCAAGTTGTACGCGGGCGGCTTCCAAGCCGTTGAGAATGCTGGTCACAAGAGTATCAATCTTCTCGGAGCTTTCGAAGTTGTCGACGGTGATGAGACGACTTGGGACCGAAGACGACAGACCAACTGCGGTGTTTGGAGTGTAAAAGGTGTTTTGACCGATGAAGAAGTCTGTCTCGCTGTCGAACTGTTGGTAGGTGCTCGAAATGACGTTGATGCCGGGGTGGGTAGTCAACAACGTGTTGAATTTGGCAGTCAAATTCTTAAGGGTGGTCAAGGGATCGCCGTCGGCAGGCAGAATCTCCAAGAAAGTGAGAGACTCGGGCAAAATGTTGTTGTATCCAGCAACGCCGGCCTTTGACCAAGATTCCTGGTCAGTTGACATGCCAGTGAGAACATCCCTCAAGACGGTATTCTCTGTGACGTTGGAGCTGGGTGGAGTGATGGTAGCGTTGAACAGCCATGTAGCCCACTTGGTTTGTGGGTAGACCTGGAACTTGTAGTTGACGAGAACGGCGTATGACTGGCCACCACCACCGCGCATTGCCCAGAAGAGGTCGGGGTCGTTACATTCGTTGATCGTTCTGAAAACACCATCTGCCGTGATCACGTCAAATTCAACAGCCTGGTCCACCATCAGGCCCTTGGAAGGACCGAGCGGGCCGTGGCCTGCAGATTGACCATATCCACCGGCGATACCGACTGTGTGGCAAGCTCCCATGGTGATCATCATGCCGTGATTGTTGAAGAATGCAATTGCATCTTCAGCAGTGACACCTGCGCCAATAATGCCGATATTCTTCTTGTTAGAAGCGGCAGAGCAGTTCTTGGCCGAGAAGGAAGACGCAAACGTCATGTTCTTCATGCTGTGAGTTCGCAGGCCGAGAGTGTTGGCAGCAGCACTGCGTCCCAGGTAGTCGTGTCCAGTGTTCTTGAGCACAATGCGGATATTGTGCTGCTTGGCGAAAGCGATGGTGGCGCTGATGTCGGAAGGCTCCAATGCGTCGACATAGAGGGGAGATATTCTTCCGAGAGAGCATGTCGATGCTTGAGGCTGAACCAAGCCAGGATAGCAGTTCTCAGCACCGCAAGACTCCCACTGCGTAAACTGAGTAGATCCAAACGTAGTCTCTCGAAACGTGCCATTACCGTATTGTCCCAAGACCTCGGCACAGACGTCCTTGTTGTAGTCTTTTGAACTCGGGAAGCAGGGACTTCCAAGCATGACTGGAGCCTTGAGGCGTCCAGATACCGTCTTGTTGAAGGCATCCCATTGCTGGAGACTCGGCCAGCAAGATTGACCTGGCTGACATGTAAATGAAAGACCGACCGCCGGGGCGGCAAGATTCGCCAAGGCGAAGAGCCCTGTGCTCTCCTTGATATGCATGCTGAACTCTGAAGGAAAGTCAAAGTATCAGTGAAGAGGGAAGACTTGAGTGCTGAGTAGCCTTTCCAGAGCCATGTTGGCGTTGATCTCTTATATATATATATATGCATGCGCAATGTTTCATTCTTGGAAACTCTTCCGCCCGCCATAACTGAGTCAAGTGAGCAAATATTCATAGACAAGGGCCGGAAGATCACGCCAAGGGAGCCCTTCCTGATCGCCCAAAGCAATCCCCAGTCATACTTCTTGTCAAGTTGTTAGTGCTTATTTGCAGCTTTACTTGGGTTCCTAGACCCTTGAAGCAATCACTTGATATGGAAAGCATAGTCATACTTGTACGAGCACGGATACAATCGATAGTGCCTGGTGCGCAGGGAACAGTGGGTCTAGGTATAATACCGTGCCCCTCTATCGCGATGCCATCCCTGCCTGCCGCGTGTCTGTGGTTGGAAATGGGTCTAGAGGAAACTGCAGCGGCTAGGTATTCTTTCCAAAAGCTACCAACCAATCTCTCTTTCTTGCTGGGCCGTTATATTGATCACTTTGCCGTAAACTTGTAGACTCCTCAATGCAGCGTTGAAAACTTAAGCCATTCATCTTTTTCGCATATCGATAGCTCGTTTCCTAGAAAGCAAGCTCAAGACGACAGACCACAAACTCCTTCAAAAGCTTTAGGGCTTACAGAAGGGTCCAGTTACCCCTGAGCAGGCACATGGTTTCGAACTTCACAAAAGTGATAAGCTGACTGCAGATCGAGCATCAATGGCGGGCCCTGGAGTTCTATCTAGCTTTTGATGGTCAATAGTCAGCCGTTGGCGGCCCGGGCCGGGATAAGGGAAATGTCAAGCGGGGGTTCGGTTGGGGCGGATCGCCTGTTTACACATGGGCACGGGCACTCGGCACCCAGGACTCAAGATGAGTCGAAACTAAGTGCTTACCTACCACTATGCCATTACACCCTGCCAGCATTATACACATTGACTGGGTATGAATCGACGCTTCTCGTACGATCTGAGCGCCGTTTATTCTTGTAGCTAATAAATATTGCAAGACTTCAGTCCTGTTAGAGGACTAATTTTATGAACGTTTAATAAGCCCTCACAGAAAATCGTCTTGCTCAGCCTTGTCAATCACCCTTGGGATTTATAATACTCGTGCGTATGGTCCTAGAATAAATGGGATACACACTACGTAGTTTAGCCTAAAGCAGATTACCCAAAAGAGATTCTTGATCTGCAAATGAATACCGCTTTCAACAATGCATGCATTCATCATTCCGAGGAACGCCCATTTCTGTCCATCTCGGGTTACACGTCATAAACCAGGTACCTGAATGTGTGGACTGATGGTATTGGTACTCAGCAGTTCAAACAGCTTCTGGCAGTAGCTGATCCGAAAGATCATCCGACTGGCATCCCTGACCTCAGCTGATATGTGCATACAGGGCGACCAAACAATTCCTACTGCGCATGGAAACGGACATGAATCAGCTTGGGAAATATTGACCTGCACCGGGCACCTTAGATAAGGCAATGGTACAAAGGGCTGAATAGTAGGTCTATGCTGAATATTTGTAGATGTGTATAAACTGCCAAGCCGCTTTCACCATAGAAGAATGACGGTGCTCTATATGATCCCTTTTAATGATCTTCTACTGGTCATTTGAGGCTGCGGTCGGAAGTTTTGCACGTCGCAGTGCAGTAGCTGACAGGGAAATCCTTCGATTGGTGGCATACGTAGGGATCTCCTTGCGCTATGCGGACCGAATAAGCGTGCAGCTGCATCTTCCAGAGGCGGAAATACAGGGCCAATTATGTATTCCCGGGGGCCGGGAATATTACCCGCATCTCTATTACCAGAGAGCCGGAAATACTGCTCCGCAATATGACAAGGGTTTTTGAAGTTGTAAATACTTGAACATGGCTTACAGGCGTGGACTGGGCCACCTACGATATGACAACTTTGGAGCCTCATTACTATGTAAGGTCGCCATTATATCCTACTGGTGCTTAGTTGACATAATCTGCTACACTTCAAGTTGTAATTGAATGGCTGGAGTAGGCTATATTGGTTAGGCTACTGGGAGAAGTGATCGAAAGATGTCTCATCTTGCTACACAGCGCGATTGAACGTCATTACAACCACCTATAAGTTTATGGACCAACATATCTGACTACAAGTACGAAGTTGACACACAATGGCATCAGGATGGAATAGGTGGTAATAACATTAAAGTCACAACTCCGTAGGAGACAACTTACATTTTCCCTCAACTACGAGAGGAGTGAGGTTTATGTCTTATTTATAGGTTACGTATCAAGTTCAATGTGCACGCAACGTCCGTTCACTTATATAAGCAGATACAAAGCATATCTATTCGTTCAATGCTGCCACGCACTCTATCTCTACATCTGCACCCATTGGCAGACCAGCGACGCTCACGCACGTTCGAGCCTAAAACACGTTAATTATCTTTGTTTGTAGTAGGCAAAAAGCACACTTACAGGAAATGGAGCGGAAAAGAACTTTGCATATCCTTCATTCATCGGTCCGAAGTTGTCCATGGTCGTCAAAAAGACGTTGACCTTGATGATGCGTTTGAGAGATGAGTTGGCCGCTTCCAAAAGCGCAGATATGTTACGGATAGTTTGTTCCTGTGACCAGCGTGTCAGTGCCAAGAGTTCTCATTGCGAATACGAAGGGTTGCTTACGGTACGCTCCGTTACGGTGCCTTCAATGAGTTTGCCTGTCTTGGGGTCGATGCCGATGTTTCCTGAACAGTACACGAGGCCATTGTAGACTTGAGCCTGCGAGAAGAGTGAAATGGGTGCCGGAGCGGCGGCTGTTTGAACAGGCTGTGGGCTAGGCATTTTGTCTATGTCTAAGTAAGAGGTTTGATGAATAAAGTTTATGAAGTTGTATCTGATGAATGAGATATGTGAATGCTGAAAGCTTGTCTGATGCTCAGTCTTTTATCTTGAGAAAACCATTGGCCCCATTTGCGTATTGTTTTTGAAGTAGCAATCAGAGTTGAGCTCTTCTTGTCAGCCCCGCCACAAGGGCGTAGTAGCGTCAATGATTCCATATCGCTCCCTATCTCGGACGCCATTTCAAGATGCTCTTTTCTATCTTAGGTAACCGATTTGTCATCGGCAATGAAAACCCGGGGCACCACCGGTTCCGGTGATAAGGATCTTATTTCTTTAATAATCAAGCTGAATCAGCAAAGCCGTTAATAGCCTTGGCCCTATCCACCGATGGCGGTTACCTTTGAAATGTGCAGCAACTTAGACTAGTCGACTTATAGTTGTCAATTATTGGTGGGAAACCAATAATGACGGAGAATTGCTTTGGTCATGCAGCGATTGGATTGGCGTAGCTCTGCACGGCGTCTAGAATCATCAGGTAAGGTGTATTAGCTAAGTCGATTGCTTGAGGAAGATCTCCAACGACATAAAGTCAAAGTCTTTTTTCATTCTATCCGCAAAGTTCCCTCGATATACCAACACGAGATCAATTACAAATCACTTATTTACAGAGTCAGAGCTTGTTTCACAATGTCAATGACCAGCTCAATGGACACAGCCAATTCTCCCAAATTCGGCAAAGTTTTTGGAGAGAAACACTTTATGTTTAAACCAGGCTTTATTCATTTAAACCAAGGTTATTGAAACGCAGCATAAATTGAATTGCATTAAACAATATGGCTAACGTTGTTTAATAGGATCTTATGGCGGATATCCTCGTCCAGTGCGAGATGCTCTACGTTCTGTCCAAGACGCAGTACAAGCTGAGCCCGATAATTTTGTCCGATACAAGTATCCGGCAAAATTAGATGAAGTCCGTGAGCTCATTGCTGGTCATCTACATGCTGCCGATACAGATGAAATTGTTCTAGTTCCGACCGCAACAGTGGCACTGAATACCGTACTTCGCAATTTGACCTATCAGCCAGGAGACATGATTGCTTACATAGAAGGAACTTACGGAGCAATCGAGAAGACGATTGATTATCTTGTGGAGACTACACTCGTGGAAAGAGTTTGTGTTCCATTTGATCCAACCGTGGACGATGATGATACGCTTGTCGAGGCGTTTCAATCAGTCCTACAAGAGAACCACGGCCGCGTTCGCGTAGCCATTTTCGATACAGTTATGAGCATGCCAGGGCTTAGAATGCCATTTGAGCGCCTGGCGCAGATCTGTAGAGACTTTGGGGTTCTAAGCGCTGTCGATGGCGCTCATGGAATTGGCTTAATTGATTTGAACATGGAGAAGCTCGGAGCCGATTTCTTCACCACGAACTGTCACAAGTAGGTTTTGTTCTCCAATGGCTGCTTATTATCTGAGAGATATGATGGCTAATAACGACACAATATCTAGATGGCTATTTGTGCCACATACTTGCGCCGTTTTGTATGTAGCCTCAAAGAACCAACATCTCATGCGATCTTCCATCCCAACGTCGCATGGCTTCCAGCCTCTTCCCGAAATTCTACAGAAGAAACAATACATAAGCCCGTACGAGCTTCCGGCATCCAAGAACCCATTTGTATTCCAATTTAGTTATACGGGAACAATTGACAATGGGCCGCCGTTGTGCGTCCCCGCCGCACTTCGCTTTAGGCAGGACATCTGCGGCGGGGAAGAGGCTATACGGGCTTATTGCGAGAATTTAGCTCGGGAGGGCGAAAAGGCCGCTGTCGAGATATTGCAGAGTCGCCCGTTATCTATACCGGAGACAAAACGAGTTGCCTTTGCCAACGTTCGTCTTCCCTTGGAAATAGTATCATCTGTCGTGGAAGAGAACGGGCATTCAGTTCCCTTGTCAGACGTTGGCAAAGTTATGGACTTCATTCTTGAGCGCCTTGCTAAGGATTATAATACGTTTGTAAATATTGCCTTTATCTCGGGATCTTTGTGGGCAAGATTCTCAGCTCAGGTGTATCTCGAACTAGAGGATTTTGAGTATGGTGCAAAAGCTTTGAAGGAGCTTTGCGAGAAGGCTGCCAATAAGGAGTATGTAGGATTGTAGATATATCTCATTTCTTCTAAGCGTTCTACTGTGTTTCTAAACTAGAGCAGTTGTCAATTCAGTTACTGATGGAGTATAAGTCAACTTGCTTGTGTCTATCAAGTCTTTTTGTTACTTCAAATTGTGCTGCGTGTTCCAACAAACATATCAGAAATTGTATTTATTCAAGAGCTATACTCGTTATACTCGTTCCTATAATTGATGGTGGGAGTTTCGCTCCATCTTTGCCCGCTCGGCAAGTCCGGACAACACAATAGTTGCGCCACTTACTTTGCGCTGTTAGACTTTGCGCTCCATTCGTCTATGGTCAAGACTTCGTCCACAATAGTGGGCCAGACAACTTTCTCAGCGACATCTCTCAGCTCAACTGAAAATCCAGCGGTCGCATCGCTTCTAAAATGAGGGTTAGCATATTAGAACCTTGTAAAGTTTGATAGGCCTGCGAAAATACGCACATGATCGTGACATGATACCCCCTAAGATAGCACGTTTGTTAGTTACTGTATACTGTAGTTTGGGCTTAAGAGACTTACAATTCAATTGCATAGCGAGCGGTAGCTTCCAAACATGTGTTTGCAACCATGCCCGCGCAGACAACGTGCGTAATATCGCGTTGGCGAAGTTGATAGTCAAGATCAGTATTGCCGAAAGAGCTGCACCCTTCTCGTCAGCCTTGGCGTATTTTATACTTGAAAGCATATGAAGAGAGTCGATGGATTACCTGCTATTCCAGTGGCGCGACACAATGGCATCGCCGTTGCTGCGATCCGGCTCAAGACCTTTATAAATTTCCGCCCCGAAGCTCCCTGCTGCGAATGAGGCCGATTGTTGGATTCTGAGCTGGCTCTTTGTCATGTGGTTCCAATCATGATATGAGTTTTCTTCATATAGTTGGTGTTGGCAATAAAAGATAGGGATATGGCTATTTCTTGCAGCCTTAACAAATTTTTGGAGATTGTTCACCGTGTCGGTAGCCTCAATGCTATCCTTGAGAGCAGGGTATACTTTGCCCTCTGGATGCAAAAAGTCATTCAGCGGATCGATCAACAGGAAAGCTGTTTTCTCTTGCATTTTGGCGGTCAAAATATTTGATGTAGTGTTTGTTGGTTGATAAAGAGATAGCGCCTGTGATACTTGTGAAATGTGAATCTGAGAAGATTAGACTGAACTCGTTGGGTTTATATAGAGTAGGAGGGTGAAGCAGATCGACCAAGGTACGCAGAGGAACTGGCCATCCAAGCCCGTGCATGGCTTCAAAACCCCCAACTCTTTTCTTCGTCAGCAAAATTTGTCAGATAATAGAGCAACTTTGTTTAACTATATCGGCAATAAAAAAACAGACTGAGCGGTTTACATTGCTTATCTCCGATTTATTATCCTGCGTGGCATTATTTCGTAAAGTTTCAAGGTCATTAGCTCGTGTTGCGGACTTGTTAAAACACCGCATAACACCGAAGGCCGCAGAGGGCCGCAGAAGGCCGTAAAGAAAGCCCGCCAAAAAGTAAGAATATTTTACTCTTCCAAAAACGGGGTGCTTTGAAAGCACCGATGATTAAAGCAGTAACTGGATGCCTTCAGAACTCACATCGATTGCATCAATGATTATCCTTGCTAAGTATCTTGGCGGCCAAAAATGGTCATCTGAGCTGCTATAATACTGAACTAGCTCCACTGCACCATTCTCAGGAACGTCAGAAATGAGTCTTTGTCTATATTTTAGTTACTAGGACAGTAGATACTCGCGTGTCCTACTGCGTGACCTGAGAAAAAGCATGTGGAAATGATAATCCATCCAGAAAAATATCTTCCGATGCTTGGATATGGTTGACATGTCCTCTCTCAATCAACCGACATTACCACCAATCATTGGAATCTAATAATAAATGAGTGTTTAGATGGTGATGTCACTCATTGACTAGTTGGCCGGCCTCATTGCCTACAATTAGCGAGGTGTTGCGAGAGATGTGAAGATTAGAAGCCGTACATTCCCTCTAACCTATCTCGGCTTACTTTAGTCATCAGCTTTACATATTCACGCCCTTCGCTTCTCCATGTTTCCGTCCTGTTTAATATCTCTGCCGACAATATCCGCAGAGGATCAACAGTCCTGTCTGCATGGCGCGCAGCCATTTCTCTTTTCGGACGGATGACCAATCCTTTAAGTGGATTCTTCGTCAATATCACCAAGTTAATTCCACCTATCGACTTGAGAAAGACATTTGGACAAGCCGATATCGGTTGCAATTGATATACTTAAGAACCTAGTGGCAGCAAGTGAGCAACTAGATGATAATACCAGCCATATACTCCCTGAAACTTTTAATAGCAGCAACTATTACTTTATTATTGCCAAATTATCAAGATGCCTATGTATCATTTTGAACTCGCTACCAAGCTGACTCAGACCCAAAAGTTGGCTCTGGTTCGTACCATCACAGACTGGCATGCAACTACATTCAAGTCACCTAGGTTTATCGTAAACGTCCGCTTTATCGATGTTTCTGAAGGCCTTTTAGCCGATTCCTACGTCGGTGGTACACAAAGACGCATTAACCGCCTCTTTGTCAGCCTTCGAAGTGGCACTAGTCGCAGCCAACAGGCCTTGGAAGGCATGGCTGACAAGCTAGAGAGTTTCTGGAATGAGACTGTCGGCAAAGACTCCATTGCAAAGCAGCTTAGAGGAGTTTTTATCATGGGAGAGCTAGATGTTGCGAAAGAAGCAGGATTCCATCTCCCACTAGTAAGTTTAGAGGCATAAACTCTCAAGATTACGCACTTACCAACGCAATATAGCCGGGCCATTTTGAGCAATGGGTAAAGGATAACACTGAAGAGTTACACCGTTTAGCCGCAGAAGGCGACCCTGATGCGGCACAAGTTGTTGAGGAGATCAAGGTCCGACCGGAGTTTCAGAAGTAACATTGCCGTATTGGATACATTGCCAATACTCTAAAATGACAAAACGTTGGACATTGTATTGGAAGAAGATAGCCTTTCATACATCGTTATATAGTTTTGAATGGTCATTGAGACTGAGTTAAAGTTGTATGTAAAAGATGTCCTTCTGCTCGTTTCAAGTGTTCCATATCGTATCAGCGAAATTTCCACGACACATGACAAAGCGCAATCGCCATGCAATTTGTTTTACTAAGTGTTTTAAATTGTACCATCTACCATCCAAAAAGGACTGAAAGGCTATATTTATACAAGCGACAAAGAAGTGATGTTCATACGGATGGAATCTCTTCCGTTGGTAGCCTATTTCGACAATGCTGCTATATAGGCGGTATGCCCCTCGTATGGATGAGACAATCTGCAGAATGTTGAGACTACTCATCAAAAAGCGAAATCCACCTATTGCCAAATAAGGTCTTTGAATTATGCAGAGATGATTTATCACTTCATTTATTGACAACGCCCTCAGCATTAATACCCAACTGCCTTGTTCATTTTTCGGGGGTTGGCGCTGACAGCACTAAAAGGTCCCTGTGGATTTGTAGATTAGTGGGCCATTGAACGGAGTGGGCCAATGCACATGTCAAAACATGTGAAAGCGATCAATTGAGATCGATCTGGGGCCTTTTGCTCAAGGGCTTGAGCGCCACTTGTTGCTCTGAAGGGCGATTTATTACAGGGTTCAAAATGTTCTACTATATCTCTGTATCAACGCGTTTATCTCCCATTTAAATTCCATTTGAGCCTTTCATAAAATTGATAACAAGCAATACGGCGTAGCACGAACCTGCTTACGAAACTTGTCACCGAGCCGAGGCACGGAGAAGGAATAACGAATCTGTCAATTTTGGCCGACCAGGCGGGTCATTTTGTGCCCAACAACGCGAGTCACATCCCAACAAAGCCAGATGAAGATCTATTATCATTTTGACAGTCTTTATCAATCCCAAGACGGCACTTGAATGCTCAGCCCAATTCGAGTTTGAGCCGAGTGCCAGAAGTTTCAACCTCTTCAATCAATACTACATTTTATCTCAGTCTTTGCCTGTCAGACATATTGGCGCCAAAGAAGTTCGCCATGATTGAGAAAAAAGACTTTTTTCCGGGCTTCACCCCCTTGTCGGCGCAGGTTTACATCCGCCACCCGGATGCACAGAGCGATGCTGTTGAGCGTCCAACTGATCCCAGGGCCGTCCTCATCTACTCATGGGGTGATGGACAGCCCAAGAACCTGATCAAATACGCCGATGGATACAGAGATCTCTTCCCCTGCTCAACGCAGATCGTCGTGCTGGCTCCCATCTCCACAGCCATGTGGTCAAACCTCGACCAACGCACACAGGCCATGCGGCCTGTGATTGATGCCATCTTTCCCAAGGCATCCAACGACGACAGAGAGACTGAAAACAGGGAAGATCGTGTGCTGGCACACATCATGTCCAACACCGGCGGCATAAACTACGCTGCAACGCTGAATGCCTATCGTGCTGTTCATGACAGACCAATGCCGCATCACCTTCTGGTCTTCGATTCCACGCCTGGCAGTGTCATCATGACACGCGAAAACCTGGCTCGCTGGTCGCGGGCAATGGCGCTGGGAACTGCAAACTGGTTCCCCTGGCCGTTTGCCGTGACACAAACCCTTTGGGCCGGCTTTCTCTGTGGAAATCGCGTGCTCGAGTGGGCTATCGGAAAGGAACCTGCCCCAGTCTTTAGCGTGAAAGCGATTATAGACCCGTATTATGAGACTAAAGATACGCGGCATTTATACGTTTACAGCGAGGATGACGACTTGATTCCGTTCGAAGACATAGAAGAGCATATTGCAGAAGCAAGAAAAAGAGGATACAAGTCTGATAACCACATGTTCAAGGGAAGCGGGCATGTGCGACATATGCAAATGTTTACGGAAGAATACTGGGGCGCTATTCGAACGTCTTGGAATAGAGCAACGAGCGAGCCTTCTGATAGAGCGTAAATGTCTCTGTCGAGTGTTATAGACTTAAACATGGATATGCGTTGTTTTATATAGAGTAACTTGCGTTGCAACTGCCTTTTCTGGCATTATACATAATTTCTAGATAGAACTCCGTTTTTTAATTGGCATCTGTTGTTGTGGTTTCTTAAATTGCCTTTAATCTTGCTTTAAGCCTTCGCATAGCGAAAATAAAAAGAGCTCATATACTTTATTTATACTTAGTATTATAGCTAGGAAGCAGCTATATTGAATCTAGTGGATTTTATTTTACGTTTTAGTGTTTCTCTTTGCTCTTCCATAGCCGTCCTTGTGCCATCAGCCTACCGAATCGTACCTCATCAATGTGGTAAGATCGTATACTGTCTTGGGCACGAGACAATAACCAGTTCTCTCTCCTTTCAAACATCCACTTCTGCGTCGTCACACTGCAACGACAGAGCTAGTAGACAGTTACATACATGTTTTTCGATTTGCTCACAGGAAATGTTGCTTATACGATGTCCATTTGCCCTAAAGACACTGGTGATATTTGTATAACTTAATGGCAGAGCAAGCACGAAAATCTATTGACAAGGCTGATATAAGATGTTTCAATGATGATAAATCGTATAGTTCAATCCGTTGTAGTTTGTTTAGTGTAGTATCCTGAGTTATTGACAAGAAAAGGGCGTTTGCCACTGGCTATGTGGAGTAGTGACGAGTAATATGTCCCCTTAGTCATTGATCCAAAACTGATCTCCTTCTGTGTCATGTCAAACAGGTATTTACTTTCCACTGCAATAAAGTAGCGAAATAAAAAGATGCATGCCAAGCGTCTTGCTGATTCTTATGCAGCTATATATGTATATGCTGCCCCTTTCCTTGATGGCGTTTGAGCTATGCATCTCTCATGAATGATTCGTCCTATGTGAGTTTAACTTGGCTTGTCTACGGACTCAAGCTAGCAAATCTCGGCATCGATGAGCTCTCCCGAAGTTGTGGCAAGACGCGGTAATTAGGAGGCAAAGCAAACCAGTGAGCCATAGTGCCCCCGAGCATAAATCTTTTACTTAATTCATATAGCTCAGAAAGTGATGTCTTGAAAGAATTACAATATCTATGATCAATAATACATCATGATGCAAATAACGATACCAATGCTTATTGGTATCATTGACCCACGTACGCCATGCCAAACGCGTGCCAGCTATCCCCTATATACATGTAGAATGGCAAACCTCCATTAGATAATTCTGCGAGTTTATCCCCCCAGTAAGTTTTTCAGCTTCCCTCGTAGCTCCTCCAACTCTGTCTGCTTAGTCTGAGCTTGTGATTTCCAGTACTCCGCATCTGCCTGGTAATAATGAGACCGAGACTTTTCATCAGCCAGTAATCGACGCATATCCTCAGCTTCCTTCTTCAGCTTTTCATTCTCCGTTCGTAGGCCCTCCGAATTGCGCGAATTTGATGAAGCAGCATTGCGCTGCGCCAACCTGAGAGCGTTCTCATTGATCCTGACGTCTTGCTGTAGTCTCACAATCACGTCTTCGAGATGGGTGATTTTTTGTCTGGCATCACCAAGATACTCTAATTCCCTAAGCAGTAGGGAGACTGCATCATCTACCTCGGCTGGTAGGGTAGAAAAGCGTGACCGAGGGCCTCGTGGGCCGGCTACCATCCCGCGGCCTACGCCCGACATGTTGATTACACCCGAAAGAGGCGTTGAAGCTCGCGGGCTTGGAATCGTGCCTGAGCGAGCGATTGGAGTGGTGTACTGGTTTTGGGATAGCCAGGTGAAAGACGACGGTGCCGTGGCCTGAGAATTCTGGACTGCTGGTACAGGAGCAGGAGCCGGAGCCGGAGCAGGAGCCGGAGCATGGGCGGGAGTAGGAGTGAGAGCTGGTGAATTTGACACTGGAGCGGGTGACGTCGAAGGTAGCGAGGTTTCATTATTAGGCTGTGTATTTGGCCTGTGACTGGGTAGAGCCACCCTCTGCTTCTCTGGGGGCGGAGATGGAGGTGGGCTGAGTGGCGGTAGATGCTGATGCCATTGTCGCTTTTGGCAGACTTGGCAAAAGAAATTATCGCGATACATGAAGGTTTCCATAGGTCGATCCAAACAATGCTGGTGGTATGATCTAGGACAGGTGTGGCAGTCCGCTAGGTCTCCCCCTTTATTGCATACAAAACACACGCCTCGACGGGGAGATCCATTCTCTACACACTTGGTTAGTATTATGGAGTTGAACCTGGAGTAGGGATTATTCATGTAGAAGATTCTAGAGCATTAGAATCGGAAACACAGGGGGTTGAACATACTGCGCCAATCTCGATATCTCTTTTCTATAATGCGGGTTAGAAGGTTCTTCACATTACGGGGGCCCTCGACTCACCTGATACACTTATGGGCTCCGGATTCCCGTTTGGATCTTCACTCTCAGGTACTGGACGTATGGTATCTGCCTTATTGGCTATTTCTGATTCTGAGACGCTGCTCTCCATGTCGGATTCCTCAGTGCGCTTCCTCTTCGCTGTCACCGATGAAGACGACATAGTCTAGCTACTTTGCTTGCAGAGGTTACGGGATGAGGGGAGTTCATCAATAATAAGTCGTGTAGCTACTGATAAGGTGGCGAAAGCTTCTTCTTCGTAAGGGAATGCGGATGTAAAATTTAAGAGGCTGAGAGTTCAGCGAGGTCTCTCTCGCTTCACTAGGGACAATTATACCACGCGATGATTCGTAGCATGATTATTAATAGATGACTATGGCTATGAGAAATTTAGTCACGTGACTCTCAGATTGAACCAAATCAAGAAGTGTGATGGCTAAAATGCCCCGTTTGTTCGCCGGACCAAACTCGCGCGCTCTAGTTTAGGCGGATCGATGCATCATCGCCTTACCAAGGCTTTGTAGTAAGCATAGTATTCCATCCATTTCTTACAAATCCGTGTTAGTCCCGGATCCGGGCAGCGAATCTCGTCTCGAGGGAATGAATTGATTTCCCATCACTTATACCTAGCCTCTGCACCTACAACCAAGGAGGACAAGTATTCCACATTCTTGCTGTCTGCCTACAGTTAGGCCCTGGTCAGCATTGAGTAATCTTTTCCGCTTTCGAGACGCCTGTCTTCCTCGGGTTGTTCCATGCACTCCATGCACAACAGTCCACCCGCAAAATACAACCCATCCAGGTTACACTAGAGCGCCTTGCTTGTCCTTCCTGTATTGCTGTAGTACGGGTGGCTTTACCAACAGTTTTGGTGAGGCAGAATACAGGGAGCATTGGCCTATTTATACCTAGTCCTTAGGCATCCATTCCTTCTTGTCTTACTTGCTTTGATTACCAATCCGTGGCTGGGAGTCTAGCCTTAAAAAGGCATCGCGAACATCTCTTCTCAAGCTACTGCGATCGAGAAGAGGAGCAACAAAGAGAAAAGACGCCAGAGTGAAGTTATGAAGACAGCTGCGAATAAGCCATTGAAATTGTAGAAAGATTTCCACGATTTGCATGCGTATACTCCATGCATTGTAATCTATTCATTTGCGCTGGTGAGCTCGTAAGAGTGTTCATATAAGGAATACCTAGTACGCAACAAACCCTTCCATTATTCCAGAAGACGCCTAATACAGTGGCAACAGACACAAGGTTGGCTTGTATGAGCGGTTCCACCTTAACAATCCTGCTGAGTAATGTCTATCCTTACCAGCAATCTGACCAAGACATGCTCTGTTTGGTAAAACAAACGCTTCACAGAAGATACCACCTTTTATAACAAAAATTCTTTTGATAGCATATCTAATTCTAAAGCTCTGCTCTCATGGCTATCGGATTTTGACTTGTTTGCTCTCCTATTGAGCAGGTAGTGAATTGGCAGGTGCTTGGTTAATAGCAGAAAGCGAAAGGATAGCGCCTCAACGCATCAAGTACCGAGTATGTGTGATGCATGTATACCGGTGTATCTGAAGCGTTTCAGCACCCACTTAGTATTTTGACTTTAACAATTCATTGCTATCGATTATAGCGATCCCTCCCCAGATCATTTAGCGAAAAAGATGATTAATATCAACACTTTTTACCTCGGTTGGTAGCCTGTTTTGGGTAAAAGATTTGTCATGCAACCCGAATGCTTCATAATTGCCGAAGGAAATAACTGTGGAGATAATTAGGCCATCCCCTCAAGACTAAAGATGCCAATTATTGCCCATTACAGTAGAGTATTATGTGATTCAGGGCTTGGATTTAGCAGCGGAAATCTGCCGAAGCTCTTTGCAAGGGACAGAAAGAGCCGGCGTCTGTTGTTCCGGATCCTTCACCGCTGGCTTTCTTTTTTTGTATAAAACATATTGCCTTTATGATCTTGGCAAAGCTCTTTAAGAATTTGATTAGTGACCTACGATCCGGCTGCCTTTCAAGTCACGAGTTAATATGGATGTTATAGAGGACATCAAAGAGGATGCACCGCGTGGCGAAAAGGAAGATGATTCCTTTCCCTCGAGCGATCCGGAAAGTGCTCCAGAAAGCAGCCATGCTCTAGAGTGGGAAGATGATCCTCGCAATCCATACAACTGGAGCGATGGAAAGCGGATGTACCATACAGTCTGCGTAGCCCTCTACGCGTTTACGGTGTAAGTAATAAGTAGACATACACATGGCCATGGTCCAGCTAACTTGCCGCTCCGATAGCACTTACATGTCTTCAGCCTACGCACCAGGGGCAAAAGCAACTGGAGAAAGATTTCACGTATCAGAAACGGTTTCATTGCTCGGTATCTCGCTCTTTTGCCTCGGACTGGCATTCGGACCTATGATAGGAGCACCTCTCAGTGAAACGGCAGGACGATTGGTTGTCTATCGGCTGGGCTTACCCCTCGCCACGCTCTTTCTCATCGGTGCTGCGGTCTCCAAAAGCATTGCCTCAGTTGTGATTTGCCGCTTCTTCGCCGGTGTATTTGGAAGCCCAGCATTGAGCGTGGGTGGTGGAACAATGGCAGATATGTGGCCGCCCGCACGTCGTGGACCATCGACAGCACTCTTCGTTATGGCTCCTTTTATGGGGCCATGCATTGGTAAGTCGGCATTCAAAATTATTGACCTTTCAAAAATACATGTTGTACATCTCGTAGTGCTAACTCTTAACAGCTCCAATCATAGGTGGCTTCGTCATAGAACGGTTAAACTGGAGGTGGCTCGAATGGGTCTCTGTCTTCTGGGGCGTCGCGACATGTGTATTTGCTCTTGGTATGAGTGAAACCTACAAAAAGACCATTCTCGAGCGCGAAATGAAGAAAGAAAACCCGTCTTACCGAATCAAGATGCCTACGTTAAGCTGGGGTGCTATACACAAATGGGCAAGCGAGTCCTTGGTGAGGCCTTTGCAGCTTCTATTTACCGAACCCATCGTCTTGTTCCTGAGTCTCTATATTGGCTTCGATTTTGCTGTGCTATACGCCTTCTTCGCTTCCATACCACTTGTTTTCCAAGAAACATACCACTTCAATTCTCACCAGAATGGATTGGTTTTTATCGCTCTAGGAATTGGCGCGTTATTAGCAACGCTGACGAACGTTCTTTGCGACCGCTTCATCTATACACGAAAGTGCGCTGAGGCACGAGAAAGGGGTGAAACGGGCCATATACCTCCAGAAGAGCGTCTCTATCCAGCACTCATGGGAAGTTTTGGAGTTGCCATTGGCCTTTTTTGGTTTGCTTGGACTGCCCGCCCTAGTGTACATTGGATAAGCCCGATTCTTGCTTTGATCCCATTCAACTGGGGCAATCTTTGCATCTTTGTGAGTCTCCTTCTCTCTTGTTTTTATATCGGTACCCCTAGTTCTAACAAGTCCTCTGAAACAAGGCAACCAGTATAACTTATATGATTGACTGCTATGGCGCTCGGTATGGAGCTTCGGCGCTTTCTGCAAATGCCTTTACACGCTACATCTTTGCTGCCGCCTTTCCGCTTTTCATCATTCAAAGTACGTCTTAGTATATAACTGATGTCAACACTTGAGGAGACTGCAAACTAACGCCTAATCTTAGTGTATGATACGTTGACGACAAAATGGGCCGCCAGTCTACTTGGTTTCATAGCCATTGGCTTGATTCCTATCCCCTGGCTACTGTTTAGGTTCGGTTCAAAGATCCGGCAGAAGACACGCTTCGCTCTTTAAGAGTAACCATGATATCTCTTCAAGATAAAGGAGATAGCAATTTGTGTGGTGATGAAGACGACAGATAGAGTTTGCAAACGTAATCATACCAAGAGGCACTTAGAGCTAGAACGTATAGATATTAATAACTAACTGCCAATAATTTGCCTAGACAGCCGAGGATCTTCATTTAGAGGGCCGCGACTGTTACGTAAATTTAGATCAAGGTCATCGAATTTTCGTGAATAAACTAGACCACACAGTTCAGAGCCGTAGACTATATTTGTGCAGAATTACTCATCTTGCTTTGTCATTTAACAATCTTACTCACGATGGGTCAATCAACAATCGTTATTACGACGATGGCGTTTGGAACGATTTATGGATTAGATTGCCATATGCCGTTACTCTAGTTACTCGAGTCAGCCATCCATAGTATTAAATTTCTTGGTATGTGAATCATTTCAGCTATTTCTCTCGATGTAATAGTTTGCTTATGCACGTAAGATGCAAGCCAAGTTAAAAAAACAGACATTGTCAGTAATTTTGTCCCTGATTATTGAACTGGGCCGCGGTAGTCTGGCAATTCGGCAACTCTATTAATACCCAGCCGGCTAGTAAGTCCATTGGTTTCTCAGGCACACTAGCGAAATACCATTAGCAACTGCCACGGAACTCCCAGAAATGGCACTTACAAATCATGGTCTTCTTACAAATTAGTACAAAGTCAGATGCTTTGAGTCATTTACGTAAAATGGATTACAACTAGAGACCAAAAAAGAATTCATCTCCTCCGGGAAGGCTCGAACTTCCAACCTCCTGATTAACAGTCAGACGCGCTAGCCAATTGCGCCACAGAGGAATGAGCTTTTTGATTGGACGACGTCGACGCAAATCAGATTTTGAGTCTCCTTTGCACGAGATGGCATGAACTCGAGCCTGATGGCCCTGATAGGTAGATGACAAAATATGAGATGAAAATAAGCCATCACTTAGATGCTTCCTCGTGGGCTCTTATACCATCTATGATCTCCAGAATATTTGCGATACCAATCGCACGACAGTATCTATTAATTGCATGAAAAGACGCAGATCAGGTACATTAATTAAACAAAACCTCCTGGTCCGTTGACAGCATCACAGCTTGGCAGTTCCAAACCACCAAACCACCACTATTATCACACAACACTGAACCAAACTCACCACAACAGCTATAGCCGCAACTATAGGACTACTCAATCTTGTCCCTCCTCCCCCATCTATATTCCTATCCACCTCTTTCGCGTACTCTCCTCCTACATTTCCCCTTGGCCAATACTCGCAAACCACGAACCAACCTTTAGTCCCGCACAACCTCCTCCCACATCCCACAGTCGTCGTAGTCTTCCAAACCAGCTGTGTAAAATGCCCCGTCTCTTCCGAGAAACCAGGGTCGTTGAAGTTATACTTTGCTTCCTCGTTCCCCCACGCTTCCACCGATGCCGTGGCATTAGGGTACCCTATAGCCAAGTTCTCTCCATAAGGGCCACCTGAATGAGCAAAGCGACAAGTTGTGTCTGACTGGAGGTATGATGTGGCGAATTTCTCAAGCGTAGTATTCCAAGAGAGTGAAGAGGCGTTGTATTGGCGTCGATAGGTGTTTGTCGAATTAAGGATTGCTGATGTAAAAGATGAAGCGATGGAGTAGGAGGGCTCATTGGAGGGAATCGCTGGGGCGGCAGTAACGGTGACAATGGCGGTCGAAGAGGAGGGCCTGGCGAATAAAATGAGAGTGTGTAGCAAGAAGAGCAACCGCATAGTGAAGGCGTGGTTTGTTTTGTGTTCTCAGAGAAAAGTGAATGTCGCTAAGAAAAAGAAGGCAAAAGGCCTATACGCAAGCGCCATCCGCTGAACATTAGAGGTAACAAAGAAAGCCGCTGTAAAAATGCCTACAAAGAAAAAAAAATAAAGGATAAAGAGTTTGGAATAGCAGTGAATTGGTATTATTCTTTGTTTTAACAAATGATGATTTACCCTTGCTCGCTGTATCAATAACCGCCCATTGCTTGATTTGTCGCCGAGCTTCCAGTTTAAGCGCCGCTCACAGGACGAAACACCACCCAGCAGCCAATCATGCGCGACTGCTGCTGTCAACAAGGATAATGCAGCATGCGCCGAAGGAGACAACACTGGCAAATATGTAATATGATTGCTCCAAATTATCATGACTATGTATAAACATTCGGTTCATCGTACCACTCTTAGTCTAAGGTATTGCGGACAACCTGGCCTTGTTAAACTTTTGTGCTGTTTTGCCGGTATTTATACGCCATGATCAGGTCAATTTCTGGATAGTATATGTAAAGGTGCAGTGCCCTCAAATTACGTAGAGTAGGACAAAGAGACTCAAAATTTTGGGGGGTGGATGATAGTTCACTCTATAAGATTAAGGCCGGGGATCTAGGCAGTCTAGTAGATCTTGTTCCGCCGGGGTCCATCAACTTTAGATCATACCGACCAGTGGATGCAACTTAAAATATAGTAAATTATGTGTCTTGAGGCATCACGGCTCTCACTTGATTAATCAGTTTAATAATACTTTACAATACTCCTATTATGGAGCGCTCAGACTGTTATAAAGACGGCTCCAAGTCAATACCATATCTCTCTACGCCCTTCTCATTTCGCCACCACTTCAAGCTATATTGCCCATTGTGAAGCAAATCATCCATATCCATCTGTTCGTCACCAATTCGAGAGATCATCTCTCCGCCAGCCATCAGCGTCGCCGTTCCAGCAATCGAACAAGGATTATGCGGCAACACGTCTCTCACTGGCAAAAGCAACCTCGTTGCAATAGCGCACGCCACCATCACTGCGAGTACAACCTGGAGCGCAATCTTAGACCCACGAGATTGCTGCAGCCTCTGATTGCCAGATGTTGTAACCAGGCCGTCATACGTAGGCAGGTCTTTAATAGTACTGTTGTCTCGCATATTTAGAGAAATGGCCTGAGCCATATATGTCCCGTAGAGGCGCTGAGTGGCGTTTCTGAGATTTTCGACATTTTCAGCTCCAGCGAGCTTACTTGCCGGTTGGCCGTCTTTCGTCAAAACTAGGGCCTCAATAAAATTATCAATGTAGTTATTCGATGAGTTGGAATTGCTCGGGCCAGGAATTGTCTGGTTAAATCGCGGATTGCTGAGAGTATCTAACCAGGCATTCGGCAAAAAGGGAAACCGTTCACTGCCGCGGCTTGATTTCAAGAATCTCGCCGTACTCTCGTTCGCTATAGGAAGCTGGGCGGGATCAAAAGACAAATTGGGAAGTTGCCATGTTGCATTGGTCATGACCTGCTCAATATTTTGGTAACAGATGAGCGTCGCGAGATCTTGCTCGAAGCCGGAAATTTTGCGCTTGGATCCCGTGCCCGATTTCTTCACCTTCATCTGACCGAATGTTACGGCAAATGTTGGGCACCCGTTGTCGGTTTGATCGAGCCCGCTACCCATTTCTCCCGACTGTGGGTTTGTGTCTACCGCTCCATCACCGAATATTACACCGCCATCCCACATGAGGACGGAGGCCTTACCCACATAGGCCATGCTTGTATCGTTGGGAAGGAGGAAATACTGCATCCATGGTTCTTGGCTCTTCAGATCCTTGGGAGCAGTCTCACACCACTCGGCATGTTCCAGAGTAGTGTTAACGCCGACCCAAATATAGCCATCCTCGGGAGACACCATGGCGTTTTGCCCAGGCATTTTGAACCCCATTGAACCACTTTCTTCATTGTCTTGATCGAATATTGTGATTTCACGAAGGTAATTGGGTATCGAGGTGCAGTTCAGCGATGGTCTCACAGCGGGTACATTGACTGTTAGTGGCACGTCTGCGCTTGAATTCATCGTGAGGGTGGCGTTCTGCTGGAGTACATTGAAGGCCAGATTCCCGTGCGTCCACTGTGTGCTATTCAAGCCCAGATATTCCACCAAGTTATCAATGGCAGTAGCTTCGTTATCCGTTAGAGAAAGGTCAACGTTGGTAAAGTTGAACACATCGCCTTGCTGAAGTGCAACAGTTTGGACAATTGGTACTTCGATGACGCTGTATAGGCCTGATACAATAATAGTTAGAAAGCTTCCAACAAAGCTTCCAAATAGTGCGATGGCTACTGCAAAGTTCCTTGTTCTCAGCGATAAGAATAAAGAATGAGGAGGTAGCTGGGCAACGAGGCTCAGCTCAACTGTCCTTTTCGCATTGGCTGTTCCTTTCTTTAAAGGAGCAAATGGCGCAAAAATTGCCGTCATCATTTGCATAGCAGAGTAGAGACCAGCCACCCCAAGTGCGACGGCTGAAGGGATGTACGTGGCGAATGCAAGTGCACTCGATTTGTTAATACTGATAAATCCATTGTTTGTGTCTGAAAAATGCTGAACAATTTCCAGTGAAGCAATAACAGCCAGCGGGAGACAAATCGCAAGAACAAGAAACCAAGTGGTGCTGGCCATTGGCATCCATGAAGGCACTTGGAGTTGGCTTTGTTCTGTCACGTTGTTGACGTATGTTTGCCCTTCATTCCGTCGGATTGGTTCAATACATATACCTGAATGAGAATCAGGGACATGGTCTGCTCGAAATCGGTAGTCTCTAAGATGTTGTTGTAACTTGTCATTGCTCAAATGCCCCATAGGTGTTAGGATTTTGTCAAGTTCAGGGCTCGATGCGAGTATAGTAGCCGTCGAAAAGGCTGCTACTGGTTTGGCGGGTGCTGAAAAGCTGGGGCGGACGAATATCATGGTCACAGACAATATGACCAGCAGTCCAAGAAAGCTGCACATGAATCCGGTCGAGAGAGCTTTCGCATGCAATCTCTGCTCTGTGTATGTAATACTTCCGGTAGTATTACGCTTCGCTGGCTGAACGACAAGCTCGTGCAATACTTGAGCGGCAATCCCCTCGAAAACTTGGGTTCCTGTACTGATGAGGAGTTTCGGATCCATGAAGCTTCGAATGGATTGGAACCCAGCCTTTTTGGTCATGAGCTGAAAGAATGTGGGCACAGTGGTCGATAGAACATAGTCGATTCCCCCGGTACCCAAATCCCAGCGATTAGTAGAGTATGTGACTGCCATGGCCAGTGCTCCTGGAGGGAACGATTGAAGCATCTGTTTCTTGGCAGGTGCTTTCGAGACAAGAGCTTGAGCAGATCCATTGACGTTGCTTGGAACACTGACATTGAATTGGCGGAGCTCATAAGTAGGTTTGCAAAGAGCAGTCGTGACGTTGTGGAGATACATGTACATGTTGGGCCGGTCGGATGGCGAGATGCGAACATCAGCCACCGACATGAACACGCGATTGTCGTTATTGGGATTGTATATCCGTTCTTCAAGAGTCATATTGTCCGGTTGTATATAACCTGTGCTAAAGTCCCAATCCATGTTGCAGGGATAGAGGTCGAACCGAGCCTGGTAATTTTGTGTTGCGTTTGGGTCGTGATAGTAGCTATGATCAGCACCCTCAGCCAGAGTTACTCCTTTAATTTCGCAATCTTTGGTGGTAACGTTGGCAACGATAAAGGGAGCCATAATGCTTCGCCATGGCATGTACGCTGTTGAACCATTTGTAATTGGGAGAAGTTCGCAGTCATAGTTGACTTGGAGGCCATCCGTAGAAACTGAATAATCGAAACCAGTTGCGGCGCCTGACAGCAGTTGGAAGTCGGGTACAACGAAATTTTGGCTAGTTCCGGCTGGGAAACGCAGTCCGTAAAAGTTGATCCCATAGTACGTTTGCGCTGGGCCAGCGCCAACGGCCCAAGCGTTTTTTGGGTCTACAGTTTGGCTAAGTTGAAACTTGGACGATAACTGGAAATGTTCGTCGGTCTTGGTCAAAGTAGTCGGTTGCAGTATGAGAAAGCCGGTTGAGAAAATCGTCTGGCAGAATGGTTAGCAACTGGCCAAGAAAGAGGTAGAGGGGGAAAGAAAATGAAATACGGACAGTGCCCAATATCAGCAACTGGCCAACCATAGACATCACCACAGCCCAGTGTCTGTTCTTGATGGCTATCCAGAGGCCAACCGGTAGTATTGGAGAGATATAGTCCAAGAGCAGCGTCTTATCAGCTGGCGATGGGCCTGCCTTGAGCTCTTCCCAGGGCATCAGTATCTTGTTTGCGAAATCGACCTGCCGCCACAGAGCTCCCACCACAACAAGAACTAGTTGGAAGTATGAGAGTCAGCGGTCAAAAGTATTAAACAGGGTTCTCTCCCTCGCGGGACTGTCTGCGCCTTACCTGCGGTAGGGCCATATTTCCAGCCATAATGGTTTGCCTCTCGTTGTATACTAATACCATTGCCCAGCTCAGAAAAATGATACAGCAAAGCGGTGGTTAACAACATCAAAAGAAAGGTGATGGCAAAGGCGACGAGAACGCCTCGGCTAAGCCATATCGGCATCCACAAATTCGAGCGAGAGGTCTGTGGCGGCTTAGCAGGAGGCGTCGGTAAATACTGAGTGGTAGTTGACGCGCTGTTTGTGACCACTCCAGCATCAGACCCATAGGGTGTTAGAGCTGACACAGTATCGTCTTCATCGTCAACTTCTGCTTGGTCGTCGGTTTGGGCGGCTATAGGCCCGTCAGTGCTTCGTCGTTCGCATCTCGTATAACACCAATCCGCACCACAGCAGGCGCACCTTGATGATATGGCCCCGCCCTGGCCTGAACAGGCTTTCTTTTTAAGGATACGATCTGTTGATACGTGCCAAGGCGCGGGGGTCGTAGGCCTTGCCCGTCGAGATCGGACATGGTGCTGGTCGATAGCAAACAGGCGTCGCAAAAGCTTGCCTGAAGCTGTGGGAGCGAAGAAACGGAAAAGTAAGCTTCGCCATGGTTTTTTCTCTCCTTTGGTCTTCCTAGGCTCACAGGCAACAAGTCCTACAAGTACTACTAGTCACACAGGCCACTTGATGCTCTAATAAGTCCTCGGATCCAGCTCACGCACCACCTAGGATGTGAATCCTTAGTGTCTCTCTAGCAAGTTGCGATGTGCGCCAGAACTGGTTTCGCTAGACGGAGCAGGCCTTTTATTGGCACAGGTGGCGCTGCTGTGGATGCGTGGTTCGACCTAATACCAGCTCTAAGCAGGGACGTGCCGAAGCCACCGCGGCAGAGAGACTGTGGTACCTTTTTCTTGGCCAGAAGGTTATCTCTTTTTTTTTTTTTTTGCCCCGGGAGGCTGGGTTTGGCGGAGGCTGTTTCACATGAACTCGAGATGCGTTTCGCATTGATGACGGATGGGACGAGTCTTGGGGTAAACGTGGCTCCGGCGATTGTGGAGGCGTTCTTTGTCTTTGCAACAAGGGCGATTAGAGGGGCTCATTGCATTCCTAGTGTTTTCGCTACAGAGGATTGTATGCCGCATTCAACTAACACCATGTTCCAGATTGCCTATATGCTACCGCCCACAATTCATCCCGCAAGTACCAGTAAGACGATAGAAAGCAGCTCATTTTTTTCCAGAAGAGTAGTCTATTTTCTTTATTGAAAATTGCCAGTTCTATGCGGGCTCCATCATGATGAAGAGCACGTGTCAAAGCTTTGTGCGCTCGCAGGTACAGGTGACTTCCATGCATCCGTACGTTTGACCCCTGCGTCACCATCGCCATTCCAGTTGTTCTCGCCAAGTTTCCGACATCCTGTCTGCCACGCGACTACCCGATGAGAAGCCCCTGCTGGCAATCGAAACATGTCAAAAGCCTAGGGAAACATTATGCTGGAGGATACGGGAAACTGATCCCAGCGTACGGCTCCAGAAGCGCCAATCGCTCCTGCTATGCCGCCTGGTTGGCGTCATCAAAGAAGGGCCTGAGACAGGTGGTGTTTCGCATCTTTTGCCCACGGATCCGGCTGCTCCATGAAAGCATGACCAAGAGAGAGAGACATTTCGTCATTCCAGAGGCTGTCATAAATAATAGAACTTGTCCAGATCTTTCACGCCGGCCTGTCTCGCTTCTCATCTGCTAAAGCAAGGCAGCTTATAACTCACTGGACGACACATCTTGGCGGCAATTGTTGTGCACACATACACGACGGACGGCCTTGACGCTACCTTAATAAGAAGCATATCAGCGACGACTCACATCTCAATGACGAGATATCGTGCAATGCAGCAACTCAGTCTTACACATCTCGTCTTTCTAATCGGCACGGCATCCGGAGCTCTTTTGACCTTGTCCAGTTTCGAAGGCCTGGCCTCTCCAGCGGCTCTTTCGTGCATATATGCATACAACGCACCGATTCGAGGATGCACCGCAAATGATTTCGCTAGAGGCGCAACATGTTCGGAGACCTGCGTTGAGGGGTTACAAGCAGTGCAGTTTACAGTGCGATCCTTGTGCGCCAAAGCCAACGCTGCCAACAATCCTCTGCTTCAGCAAATACAGAATGGCAATCTAGTGGCTGCTGTCTGCAAGACGAATACACCAGCTTCAACGCCGATTCCTTCTCCTGCGACGACACTACAGACCTCGACGATACAGACTTCGACGATGCAGACTTCGACGATGCAGACTTCGACGATGCAAACATCACCGCCATCACAAGCTTCGCCTACACCTCAGAGCACCTCAGATGGTGCATCTCAAGTGACATCAACGCAACAACCGGTTTCTACCGAAGCGGCGTCAAGTACGGCAGCATCCGTCACACCGGATCACAGCATCACATCAGTGGCTGTTTCTACTTCGGCGATCGAATCCGCTACACAAGCCTCGCAAACAAGTGTTGAGAAGCCCTCTTCATCGAGCGAGGAGCCGTCAAAACCAACACGGCCGATCAATCCCAATGCACAGCCAGGCAGCGGCGGCGGGAGCCCGTTCGACTTTGTCGCAATCAGCAGGGCAGCCAAATTTAATTTTGCCGAGACGTTCACCACGCTGGCCACTGCCGCTGCGCTGGTGACACTAATACTGATGTAATATTGTATTTTTATTTGACTACCACAGCGGTCTCGATGCTGAGGAAGTTATGAATCTTTAATGTCTATGTAATGATGGGGAGGAAGAGCATGAAAAGCGCACCTAGAGCGCCTGTGGGCGGAAAGTTTCTCAGCACGGAAACCACTATAACGACGATCATACCAAAGGGTGTCATGTATAACAAGCGACAGAGAAGGCATTTTCTTTATTTTTCAACTGCGACAGGATCGCAGACACGGAATTGGCTAGCAGTACGAATACATGCTTGGCTGGAATAGGCGCAGGGTTTGTTGGATTTGGGAATGAGAGTTGGATGCTCTTGGAAGAATTTGTACTAAAGTCATGGATGAATGGATTGAATTGGCATTACGCCTCAAACCAATGCAGCTGCCCACCCTTTGACGACCGTTTTCCCTTTTGTTTGTGCATGATGCGTAGATTTAGTCGAGTCGGCGAAATCTGGGAGCTTACCATACGACATGCCAATAGGGCAGTAAAAATTTAATAAACATCAGTGAGTGAGTGGAATTGATTAAATACAGGTGCATTTAAAAAGCAGAACGTCTGTTCAACTAAAGAAAAGTTTGGGTGAAGAACTGGAACAAAAAAGCCAAAAAATAACCGCACCATCTCAGTTGGCAGATTGAATTATAGGAAAAGCCCAACGCGGGGGTCGAACCCGCAACCTTGAGATTGCAATACAGAACGTGTACCTCATAAGAGTCTCACGCTCTACCGATTGAGCTAGCCGGGCAAATCACGTGACTATTAGCCAATCATGAATTGCCAACTGAGCTCGATGCGGCTCGTTGAAGGTCCCTGGATTTATTTCTATCTATGAGGCTTTCACTCTGTACTCTACCCCGATGAAATGGAAAAACAGCACCGCTGGATTCCTGGACAGGGGATGGAAACAGACTTCAGATAAATTGCTGTTGACGTATTCTATAGCTGACTGCTAACTACACCTTATCTGCTTATTCAACTTCCTTGTACCCAGTTACTACGTCAGGTATTCTGGCGCATACCCACGACTAGCAAGTTGTTGCAAAGACGCTCGCACAAGTCTCACAGGTCTAATTCGTATGCAAGCACTATAGGCAATGCATACATGTTATCATATTTTAGCTTCTTCGTGATAATAGGGTATTGAATCTGGAGCCTAAAATTATTCCAAATGCTAAGCAGGCCAGCTCAGGCGATACACGTAGCTCCCACCATCAAGGTCGCCAAAGCAGATCGCTATTCTGATCGAACTGGAATAGCCTTGGCTCTGACCTTTTCCGTAAACTAATACATGTACTCAAATTACAATTTGCTCACATTCTTTCTCTCAAGCCACAACTGATTAGGGAAGTACAGACATTATTATTCACCTCCCTTTACCTTTCAGTATCCCATGCCGAGTCAGCTTCTACACACTATCAGTTAGACGCGGATTCTTTCAGAACAAGTTGCGGCATCTGTTGTGCCTACCTTTAAGAATGCTGGGAGAAGGTATGTCTTTCCTAGCCTCTCTCTTCAGTTTGTAATCTGACTGGAACCTTTCATCTCGGTCTTCCACTCTGGCAAAATCCAGTTGTCCATCAGCGACATAGCTAGTCATAAGTTTTGGCTCTCCAAGCGGCAACTTATCGCCCCGGTCGATCTGCCAGAAGTGGTATGTTTTGCCATAGAGCGTAATTATTTGCTCCATTTCTCTCTTCTCTGCTAGTTCCCAAGCTGCTTGAGGAACAACTCGATTCGGCATGATTAGCATTCCAGATTTGACCTCATAGACGTGGGAGTGCCATAGCCGCCGTTCGTCCTGCGGTAACGATTCATATAGCCTCGGTGTGATCATATACTCTACGCCTATGATCCGTGCATCGGGCTCCGGTGAATCGTATATAAGACATTGACGAACCTCGTCATCTAATCAGTGGTCAGTCTTCTGCATAAGCTTATTTACTGTGCCTTTTTATACCTATGTGGCTGCAATAGTGGTTTGCTTCCACAGCTCGTTTGGGATCGTCAGCATACGCGTGGAATGCGTTGAGATGGGCGCATATGTTCTTGACCGGTTTGAAGTCCTGCATCAGTCAGCTGAGGCTTTTTTGAGGTTGGTCATTGAAATGGTACTTGTGTGAGTGAGGCTGCGCTTGCCAGTACTTTGGTCTCACTGGGCAACACCTCACTAGGCGCACTATTATGCCCTGCGTCTGAATCCATATTCGAAATGCGATGGTTAAGATCTTGGAACAGCAATTTCTGGCCTTTGAGTCTGCAAATTACCTTTAGACATAATGTGGCAATAAATAGATATCTTATATCGATTGTCTGGTAGAAGCTGAATTAGACATCCATGACGTTGGTGTATCATCACCACGGCCGGCGAGCGGCGGCTAACGTGGGGCCATTACACAACTTGTCATCCATCGCATAGAATCTATACAGTATTTTTTTCATTGCTACTTTACACTTTATTATATGATTTAGAATATTATGGGGACTTTGGATGGAGAGCCATATCGGGCGCAGAGGCAAGTTTCTCTACGATCGGGAAGTGGCGAAACCCCATTTTCGATTGTAAGTAGCTTCTAGCTAAACGAACTAATCGCTGGAACTATCGACAACTTCTTGTCGGGATGCTCGCGTTATCTTCTGCATGTAATTCAACATGAATAAGATCAAAAAACTTATATTTGATGTTGGCTATCTTGTCAATTGTAGCTCACCTTTGAACCAACGGCGCTGGTGCTCACTGGAGAAGTCCCTGTTGTTGTGGACTTCGGGTCACCTTGCGCCGTCAAATTGTTCCCCTTGTCAACCGCAAAGTTTATGACATTAGGGGCATACAATACAAGCTCATATTTATGTGTTATAGAACAATTGCCCAAGTCGCAATAATGGTCCGTTTTTGCGCACCTGGATCCCATAGGGTCCATGTACCGGTCGCACATCGTCGTGATGGACCGGGAGAGGCCCTGACTAGAGCTCAAGCTAATGTACACAATATTCTTAAGTAGTGCGAAATTGGTTGAATGAGTAAATGTCATTAAGAAGGCGAAAATCTCAAATATCTAGAATTAACAATTAGTTAACAAGTGCGTCAATTGCCGTCTCTCCGTTGTGGTACACCGATACCCAGCCACGTATAGCCAGACGCTGCAGCCATCACCCAGGCTTCATAGTATACGAGTTCTATAACTGCTCATACACATGTCTGCGACAGCCAACCATTCCATGCAGGCTGTGTACACAATACGTGAGTTTGCAAGGCTCTCGCCCGATAAAAATCGTGCGTCAACTGCTTCTTGTATGAATAGTTGTAACTTGGCCACGCCAAAGCTTCTTTCCTCAATCTCCAGTGGCAAATTTACCGCAGGTAGCAATATACCCATGGCTAGCATCGCTGTCTCATAGTTTGCCAGATACAAATATATCAAAAAGTCGTCGGACGCAAATCTATCTGGCGACCTAGGCATGAGTCGTAACCAGCTGCGAATGGGGAACATAATTGATAGCTGGTCCTCGAGCGAGCCATGCTGTCCAGATAAGGTACGAACATTATGAAGAAAGTTGACAAGTTCTCTTGCGGCACTCTCAAGTTCACCGTCCAGCTTGCACTTACAGAAGCTACGGATGGACTTGGCCACTGACTCCAGCAGTGTGTAAATTTCCTCCGTTAGCCGCGACGGGCCGTCTGAAGGCGTTTCGTTTTGTGGCTTCTCAAAGACAGAACGCTGTGCCTGCATTGTATGAAGCGGCTTTTGGTTCTTCGTCGTAGTATCCTGATGGAGCTGGGCGTCGATAGACATGCTAACATTAGCTCAAGACTAGGAGCCATGGTTGCCGAGATTCTCAACTTACAGAAAGTTTTCCTTTGAGATAGCTACTATATTCGCGTCTAATCATTTGCAATTAATACGTACCCGAATGCCCCAGGCCGTTTGTATTGCTTACGGGTTAGGGCTATACCACGCCATCAATATTGACGATGCGATGAGGCCCTGTGAGATTTCTTCTCGATACTCACAGCTTTGGCGACTCAAACTTTGCATTTCTTCGACCATTCCATGAATTGCAAGTGCCCGGTAGTGACCTTCCAGCGGCACTATGTGAGATGATTTCGTTGCCGTTCTCAAGTGGGCTGCGCTGATGCCACATAAACAGTGTCTCAAATGTTCAAATTTGCCTGCCATGGCAAGAAATCTGATAATTTTTAATTCCATCAATATGCGTGTGAAGGACTGGAGGAATCTGTCTTATTTACCGAGAGAATTGACTAATACCCACAGAAAACCCGCGCTCTGAAACTAGTATCATGTCTTTCCGCATAGCGCAAAGGTGATATAGTAGAATCTTTTCGTCAGGCAGCATCGGGTTCGACCAGCCGAATTGAGATATCGCCAATGGATAGTCCAGCGACAGTGGTGCGACCGTGGCCTCCGAGGATAAGATCCATTCGTCATCAGCTCCCGACAGCGTAATTTCTGAGGCGGTTGGCGGAGGTGTGCTATAGCTGCAATTGACGAGTTGACTACGTCTGAGAAAGTGTCTTTGACACTGAGTACTACTAACTTGGTAAGACGAATTATCAATTGCAGGATGACGGGATGCCGAACCATTGTGGCTTTAGTTCATCGCATTTGACTCTTCTCTTCCGACAGGTAATACACCCACTTCGAACTTTCCGATGCGTCTGCTTCATCGAACTTTGGTGGTCCCGCTGGTCTTGGAATTGCAAAAGAAAAGGGAAGATGCTAAAGGTTGAATTTAAAAAAGAAAATCGTTAAAGGAAGTATAGGCTTTTATTCGACGATGTATACTTGTCTGTACTGGCGCAATCCGTCTTTTCTATTAATATACGCAGCTGTGAAATCGCATCCATGACTGCCACAACAATGCCGAGGCCCCATCAGCACCACTTCGCACTCACCGAACTTTTAGCCTATTCTGGCTGGGCGGTTGTTCCGATCCACTGTGCCTTTCAAGAATAGCGCAGCGCCACAGCACTATAACACCACAGATACAGCGGTATAGCTGAAGATCCACGTTCCCCTTCACGGTAGTCCTCTAACCCATTTACACAACAAAAATGTCGCCGTAAAGAGTTTATTATTCTAATAAAGTAAGAGCATTATTATTACTCAAGATGATTAGTACTGCAACAGGCGTGATTCAAGAGCTAGGCGACAATCTAAATGCCGGGGCGTTGTTATTTAGCTGTAAGTCGCTGTTGTGATATACTGATACAGCGAACAAAGGCTTCCAGATTCCCATGCTGCTACCCTTCCTACTCATTCCTTTATTCCTGCTTGTTCTATTGCTAATATACATCCCTTTGTGTGCCCACTACTCTTTACTCGCTCTCAAATTCTTTAATCACGATTCCCTCAGCCTTAGCTGCCGCCCGCATGAGGCCAACATCATAATAGCATCGAAGGCCCCGAATCTGCAAGCCATCTGTGCCCTCGCCCTCTGCCGCTGGCCCAATCTCGTATACAAACACCTGCGGCACGCGCGTGATAGTGGTATTGTCGTGGCTGTGCAGACCTCGCACGTACTCCATATGCAGAGTGTGCGTTCCCACAGCATCCGACACGACGGTGAGCGTATAAAACTGCTCAATTGGGTTGGCTCGGAAGGCCCCATACATCTGCTTGTAAAAATCCCAGAGGCGATCACGCCCCGTAAAGAATGCTCCGTGGGGCAGATTTATATAGGCGTCGCGTGTGTAGTAGGATTCTGCAGGGGTATTTGCGAGATCTTGGAAGTCTTTCGCGTACTTGGCGTAGAAAGCCAAGACGGGGTGCAAAGCTGGTAGGGAGGACAGAGAGATGGGGGCGGATAGAGAGAGAGTTGTCGTGTTGGCAGCCATGTCTATGGCTTTACTGATGGTAGGTTACTTCGGTAGTAATAATAGAAATATAGCTCAGAGCGTAAACTCGGGTGTCGAAGGGTACGAGAAATTCGTCTGTGTAAATATGCTGATCTGAGTTTAACCTTTAGTTCACATCAGTATGTGATGCCCGATAAATCGATAGTGGTAGTTTAAATGAGCGCGTAGTAGGTAGAAAGAATAACAATAGCAGAATACTTACAGATACTTCAGGTGTGAGCGTGATGTCTCAATCGTCCGTTGTTTGGCAGTCATTGCTTTATAGCCGACAGTGTTGACTGAACTTGACGCCGATTCTTTGCGCGCGGAATGCCGAATAGAAGCCCACAACGCTTGTTTCTCGAAGACTAGTCTATTCACATGCCATATTTACGGCGTCCCGGCTCCATACAGCATGGGCGAGATACATGGAAGCAGTGATTCACGATTGCCAGATCCGTCACGATTTCTTCTTTGGGAGAACATGGCCCATTTTTTACTTGGCGCCGAGCGGGCCGACCCGCTCCAAGGCAAACCAGTGCCTCGGCGTCGGCTTGTGGATCCAGAGCTGCCGAAGCAAGACAATTCACGATGAAATAAACCTGCATCTGGAGCATTTAAATAAACCCCTCAAGCCCCTTCAGTATCATTGCCGATGTCATTATTTTCGGACATTCCGAGTGCTTGATTTTTCCTTAATCAGCTAGCAGCTCCCGTGCTGCGGGCGTTTCACCCCTTTACGGCGGAAAAGATTGCGCTTCTTTAACCGCCTCTAAATTGATACTAAACGCGAGATCATTTGCATTTTTCGCCGGAAAGGTGGCCGACCAAGGCATTAGAAGAGTACTATAGACGGAAATAGCGTTCATACTCCAAATTCTGGACAAAAAACAGTGATGTAAAATGGTAGACTCAGTACCGTATTGTTTGAAGAAAAGTACTGCGTCAGGGAGCGCAGATCCCTTACTAACGCTGTGGACGTCGTGCAAGATTACATCTATGAAAGGCATTTAGGCTCCCATACTATCAAGGCAAAATATTTTACGCCCTGCTTATATAGACAACAGGGTTCGATGCGCCCGTACTATAATCTCTTCTCTGCGAGTAGTGCGCTATGAACTAATCGTGGGAATCTGCATGAGACTACTGTACTCTATATTGACTCGAAGAGTCACTTTATTTACATGTTTGGACGGAATAGTGCAACACCCTTGCACCCATCCTAAGTACTAGAGATTTCGCCATCTGACGAATCTCAGCTACTCCCTGATCATTATTAGCTGTTGCAGAGTGGAACATCTCGGCAATAGATTAGTGACATAGATAACCGAATAACCCGCGTCAGTGACCCATTTACAATAGGAACCCACCCCTCGCCACATCGTTCATGCGCACGCTAACCAAAAATTAAGTCAACTAGTGCCTTCCGCCTCTTCCAGATCTTCTGGAAGCATTTTGCTTAGATGGAGACAACGAGAGTGGCTCTACGCAACAAGGCATTATCGGTTATCAGAGAGGGAGGCTCCGTTGGTCATGAAAATATCAATGAGAGACATAATTGGATTAAATGACGATTTTAACTTGTTGACAACTTGATTCAACTACTCTAAGAATACAAACACGAGATTGTACGGCTCACTCTGAGGCAGCCAATTCATTCTTCGACTTAATTGAAGATAGCCGTCTCGTTAAAGCAGAATGGCACCGGCGGTGATGTCCACTTAGGAGTCGAGTTCTTATCCGCAGGGTTCGTATATTGCACAATAGGTGCCAAAATACGCAAGTCCTTGCCGTAGACGCTATCTTTGAAGTGAGTATAGAATTCCTCGTTTCTCGTGTACGAGTTACCGTCCCGCTCAGCGTATCTGTCCCAGGATTGGACGATGGCGTAATACAGCTCGATGACATGGAGATCGCTTGTCATCGGCTCAAATTGGAACCTATCTTGTATGCGCTTGACGATGTCTGGCTGGTACAGACCGACCCATGACTCCAGAGTAGCGGCATTGTAACCCGTCAAGCTCGAGCAGCCTGACCAACTGCCACCGTAGCGGGCCCGATCTCTCAGCATGCTCATGACGTTGACTGCGGAGAGAATGCCTGTAGACATGTCGCTGATTGGAAGTGAAGGGAGGACGCCCTGGCCATCAGGAAAGCCGTATGCCTTGCCAACAACATAAGAACTGCCCGCAGCAGCGTCGGCGACCTGTTGCCATCCTGGACGCTCAGCATAGTAGCCGTCGGGGCCATAGCAATTTTCGTCCAAATAGACGACGCCACGCTTGCGAGCAGCGGCCAACTCCAAAGCCAACGACTTGCCAAATCCGCGTCTTTCAAGTGATCCTAGTCTATAGCCCTGGATGATGACATCGGCATCAGCTACCAAAGACTCAAGAGTCTCTTTATCCTCGTCTTTGCCGAGGTCGAGGTCGATAGAGCGTTTCCCCGCCATGAGCGTGAGTTGAGCCGGCTGTAAATGCTTGTTAGAAACTTTGTCCTATCAATAATTATGGTATATCAGAGGTGCACTCACTGTAAAGTCCGGGAGATGGCTGCTGTTCACACGAATAACGTCGGCTCCCATTGCCGCCAAGATTGTGCCGCAGGCTGGTGCAGCGATAACCCTTGCCAACTCCAGCACTTTAATGCCAGCAAGAGGCCTTGCATCTGGATTCTCCTGTGCCGTTGGGAATGCAGCTGGGGGGGTTGCCTCCGTAAATTGGGCCTTGTTGTAGTTGACGAGTGGGTGTCGAGCGAGCGAGCGACCCATCATGGTGCCCAGCCAACCCGCGGGCGAGTGCACAATAGATCCCGGGAAACCTCGATTTACCATGAGCTGTTCGAGGTCGCTTGCAGTGTATGTCTGGGTGATTTTCTTAATATGTTCGTATGCCTCATCTCCAGATGCAAAAGTGGCATTTGGGTCAACGCCAATGGATCGGAGAATGGGTTCTGGGCCCAAGCTACCGTGGAGCTGAAACCAGACACCAGGAGTAGCCGTTGGATAGATGGCCTGGGATCGCATCTTAACAGGCGTTGCGACGGCACCGTGATCAAAGACTTTCACCGCAGGATTTTGGAGAATCTGCGGTCCTTCGGATCCATCGATGTGTACTAGAGCAGGTGTCGCAGGGAACATGCCAGCGGCATCAGTGTTGACCGTAGTCTCGCCGGATGTCTTGAATCCACGCAGCTGCAGGATCTCGTGACCGATGATGCCCGCCAATCCATGAAGAGCTGCAGTGAAAGCCTGAGACTTGATGGGTCCTGGTATGCAGGGGAGCTCATCGCCAACAAACTTTACTCCATCAATAAGAGATTGATCAGTGGTGAAACCGGGTGTCTTCTTTGCAAGCTCTACAAGCAGCCTCTTGCTTTCCACGGGCACGGGCGTAAAAGCTGTATCAGTGAATGATCCGGGGCCATACACTCCCTCAACTCTGACTTGAGCAGCCATGATAGAAATATAGGTGAGAGATGAGAAGATGCAAGTTAAAGATGGAACAAAGGTAGCAAGATTAGATATCTTGAGCGTTCGTAAATAACTATATCACTTGATTTGTGTCGATGGATGAGATAAGATGGAAAGAGGAGACATTGGGATGTAAAGGCTATTTATATTTTTCTCCTTACATATTATACCGGATGACGAGTTCTTGTTGTACAGACTATGTGCAGCCAGAATAGCGTTCGTCACACCTACGAGCCTCGGCTGGAGCTAGCAACATGAGGGAGTTGGAAGTGCCGGAGTTCGGACTGCCCTGATCTGGGGGAAACATTGTCATCGAGTAACGGGTATAATAGGGACGTACGAATCGATGTCCATTATGAGTAATCCCGGGTATGGGTCTCAAAGGTGCGTTGCATGAACGAGCAATTGAGGGAAAATACATACCGCATTGGGTAATTCATCAAGAACATGCTGTCATGAAAATCAACGCAAGAATAAGTATCCCCATCATAACGTTTCATGCTTAAACATCTTGCATGAACGAGGTTGCGATATGATTGTGGATCGCAGTCGAGTGGATCGCCTCACTGCTAAAATACCACAATGACGCCGCCCTGAATGCGCGTGGCGTTAGCTTTAATCCCACGACCATAGAGTGAAGCATCTCGGTAAGTGGGGTGCCGTAGACAATCTGCCGAGGCCGCGGCGTCGCCAGCTCCAACTCCTCGGTAGCTTCATTGATGCTGTGGAACCGCCATCAAACAGCTGGGAATGATTTGGCAGGCCTTTAAGTCCATACTTATTGCACTCAATATCAGCCGGAGAGGACGCGATTGGCTATGCGGATTCACCTCTGACGTTTACACAAAATTCGGTGTCGGCGTGTGTGGGGTTAGATGCATAAACGAATCTACTAGAGAGCGGATTCTTCGGATCCAGCCGTTGGCGTTTTAAAAGAAGAAAATAAAGAATTGCAACAAAGACTAGGATATCCTACGCAGGTCCACCTGGTCGGTAGTACGGCAGCGATATGCCCGCCATGAGGTTGGCTACGGGAACGCCGCTCATTGCGACGAGCTGTATTGATGGGTAGCTTATGGTCCAAATAAGTAAAAGCCGTGGTCTACCATCTGTATGCATACAATTCGTATAGAAATGGTAATGGTTGCTGACTACGGTCCATTAGACTTTGTGCGAACATTAGGGCAATATATCAATTGCTTACGCTGACAGCCTTTCTCACTGCGTTGATATCAACTTAACTTATTTTCATCGCCATCATGTCAATCCGGACAGTAGGCGTGGTTGGAACCGGGGTGATTGGAGCATCTTGGACCGGTCTATTCTTGGCTCATGGCTTGAAGGTCATTGTATCCGATCCTGCGCCGGGGGCCGAACGCGGGCTTGCAGACTATCTTCACAGTATCTGGCCAACCTTGGAGAGGCAGAAGATATCTCCCCACGCGTCATTGACCAACTATCGCTTTGTGGGAGCTAATTTTAAGGATCACTTTGCCAACGTTGACTTTGTCCAAGAGGTACATTATCCACAGCTATTGCTATGGCTGTATAACGCTAACAGACATGAATAGAATGCACCAGAACGACTCGAGCTAAAGACCAAGCTATTCGCAGAACTTGATGCGGCGACCCGTCCGGATGTCGTTATTGCTTCTTCGTCGTCCGGGATACCTAGTTCTCGATTCATATCAGAATGCGCGATCAATCCTGCCCGCGTGCTTATCGGACATCCTTTTAACCCTCCACATTTAATGCCACTCGTCGAAGTTGTCCCTCATCCTAAGACAGCAGCTTCAATCACAGAAGCGGCCAAGTCATTCTACAAGTCTGTGGGCCGAAATCCTGTGCACATTCGTGAGGAGCTGCCGGGATTCGCCGCCAACCGTCTCCAGGTAGCGCTTCTCAATGAAGCTTATAGTCTTGTGAGCCGTGGTATTATCTCGGCTGAAGATTTAGGTAAGCGTGACTTTCGCGGATCAACTCGAGACTGGCAACTAATATAGAAACCAGATACGTGTGTGACTAATAGTCTTGGGCCGCGATGGGCTGCCACTGGTCCCCTTTTGTCCAACGCGATGGGAGGCGGAGGCGGTACCGACGGCTTGAAACACGCTTTGGAACACCTTGGTCCGGCATCTCGATCTTGGCTTGAGGATATGAAAGCTCATGCATTCACATGGACGCCTAAAGAGCTTGACGCACTGAGTGCCAGTGTTTCTGAAGAGCTACGTGGAAAGGATACCAAAGACCTAGAACGACAGCGGGATGATCTGCTCGTTGAGATCCTCAGTCTAAAGAAGTAAATATACGGCTAAAAGCATGCTTCTACATTTGCAATTAACACTTATTTTCCTAACTATTATCCCCCTTGTACTATGTAAATGCCAGCCAACTTTTAAATGTACATAACGTGAGCAAACAGCGTCGTGCCCCATTCTTTGCGCAAAGGGAGGCTTCTAATGAATAATTACTTTACTGCTGGGTAGCTTTAATGACCCTCATTTACTTTTAGCTAGTAGAAGCGGAGGCAAACGGCACTCTGAGGTACTATCTGCAAACTGGCTTGATTTCGAAACTTGCCAGCTGTTAGCTGATGTGTGTCGTGTGGCTGAGCGACGTTTTATACGAATATAAATTCTCCACCTTAGTCGTCGTCGTCGTCCTGTCAACGCGTAACAGAAACTTTGTGAAAGCTCCAGCCTACCATGGAAATAGGATAAAGTTAAAATCCGTTATCTGGAAGTTAATTTTAGACCTCCATATATTACGCAGAAATTCCAATCCCAACCACTTCACATTTCGATTCTTTCTTCTACATCTACCCGTTCATTCTCGTTATTTCTTTGGATTATAACGCCCAAACATTACGACACATATACCCTCGACAGGGCCATTTATTACATTAGCCCCAGCAATACCTCAAACGACATACACAGTTAGACTCGTCCGCAAGCTTTACTTTGATTGGAAGCTGCTTTTACGCAACCATAACGGCGACTTTGACAATGGATCAGAAATTCAAGCTGGTAGCCCCTCGTGCTAGGTTGACTGAGGATTACAGCAATCCGATTGAAGATATACTCTTTGGCTCCGGATGGGATCGCGGTATTGGAATTAAATCATCCTACACGGCTGAACGTCTCGTTGACCTGCTTGCCGTTCCTGTCGTGCACAAGGACGACCGAAAGCCTGCATCAGTGGAGCCTCGAAATACGCCACAAAATTACTGCTCCCATAACCAAGATCAGAGTCGCGATCTGTTGGTAGCCGAAGCCATCAAACACGAAGCTAGCGTCAAGATTTTGAAAAGCAATCCTCTGAAGGAGGCGAACCAGGGAGACCAGACAGGACGTTTCCGATCGGCCGCATTGTCCAATCTTCCTACAGAACTCCTTCTAGTTATAATGGGCTATATCGAAGATATTGAAGACATCGTCAGCTTAGCATTGGTCAATGAGCGCCTATGCAGTATTGCTCAAGGAGAACTGCAATCCTATTTTCCCCAATATTTTGCACCATGGGCCAATGAAAACATTGCATGCGTGGGAGATTACTCGGCTGAACACGACTTTCCCCCTGGGCTTTTTTCAGATGCGGAATTAGAGGCCCTGCAGCACGAGGAAATCGCAATTTTTATCGAGGAAGAAGCAGAATGGAAGATCGGGAGTCCGAATAGGCTTGGTGACTTCACCTATCCTGGTGTATCACACATTCAGGAACGGCCAATGGAAATTCTTTCCTCGAAGACCTGGCCACTGAGGGATTGTTTAGGGAGCGTCAGCGACTCCTCGCCGAACCCTCTCATCAAATCGTGTGACATCTACCGCGACTATTTCCCCAGGGATCAACCATGGGTTCTTCGAAACCCTACTACGAAAGAATTTGTTCGTGCAGAAGCCATCGCCCTGAAGCCCGAATTCATCAAAGGTCCGCACATTGTCGGCCTCGGTTTCGGCGAAGTCCTCCTCTCACGGATTTCTTGGACATCAGCAGCCTTGGACATAGAGGATACAGCCGACATCGGCAGAGGAATATGGGCGGGACACCGTTTCGACATCACGACGCTTACCAGACATGAAAGAAAGACAACTGGTGACGCAGAGTGGACTGATGTGAGCGATGAAGTTGTAACGGAAATTGCTATTATTTGGGAAAGCTACTTTGGCGCCGACTGGCGTGAGACACTCTGTCGGGTATTTGAAACTCAAATGTAGACAGTATGCGTGGGGAATAAGCATGGGCTTAGTATCACCGGACTAATGTTATTATAAATAATACTTGATATGGTATGGAGAGAGTAGTGTGAGTATTCTTGGCGTTGGTCTCCGGCAAAGTGTCTGTAAAAAAGACTGCGAGAACGCTCCGGAATCGATCCGGAGTGGATATATATAGGTTACGCAGCTTCCACAATAAACTATCTACTATCATATAACTCGGTCTATCCCTCGGTCTTCTTCAAAATGCGTCAATTCCCCTGGCTCTTATACGTGTATCCTTGGATGCCTTATCCCCGAAGAATCATTATTTACCTTCGAGAGAAAGGAATCCCATCTTCTACTGTAACCATTGTACCGGTCACAGACCCTCAATTAGGCAGCCAGGTGGACTCACGGTTCCCTGCTAAGCCACCTGGGAGCTTACCTATCCTCGCCATTCCACAGGACAATCATGGTGCCCATTTCACATACATTCGTCAGTCGCTAGCTATTATGAGCTACCTAGACGAACTATGCGAGAATGGCGAAGAGGGGTTCCCGCGCTCTCGTTATTCCATGCGTGGAGCCGATGCTCTCCAACGTGCGCACGTCAACGGAGTGATTGCCTTGGCGGACGAGTGCACGACTCAATGGAATGCCATACGTCTCTTCGGTACTGGTGCAGGACCTTTTCCTCTACCAGACGCGTCAAATGAGATGTTGCGTTGGGTTCGACGCTCACTCATGACGATCGAAGAGGCGTACAAAGATCGCGACATGGCACCGCTTATACAGAGTGAGAGGGACGAGTCTGCTACTGGCAGCAGCGTGACCCTCGCAGACATTGTGCTGTACCAGTTCCTCGAATTTACCGTCGACTGCTATGGCGTGGATATGACTCAGGGATCGGGCAAGATAGTAAAGGACGTTTATGGGCGAGATGTCTTGGAGAAATTCCCAAAGCTGGCAGAGTTTTACAACGCATTTAAGACTCGGAAAAGTGTGGTCAGAGATGTTGAGCAGGGAGAGGTACCGCCTTCGACAGTTTTGGAGAAAATGAGAAATTGGCATAAAGGGAGCCTCTAATGCTGAAAAGGAAAGAGATTGTACTTCTGCGTCGCGTAACACAGTCTGGATGAATGTAGCGAAGTAGCTTGACGGCCTTTGTAATCAGCTTTTAGATAGTCAAGTATAATATGTATTATTACTTCTATTTTTTACATTCATAACATTTCCAATCTGCGCCTGACAGCTACGTTCACATTTCCTCTCATATGACTTGTACCAGAGAAAGCTCGTAGAGGCAAGTACCGCACCAAGAGCCTTACTGGGGTCCCATGGTCCAAATTGATGTCCGAAATAGCTCTAATTGGCTTATCAAGAGAGCTAGTCGAGACCTCTTTCTAGCGGATGATCCTCCGCTTGCTACAGAGCTAAGGTGGAATTCCTGCAAGGTCGTCAAGGAAATGTTGCGGGCATGGATCGGAGATCGATCTTCAACTTTCCGAAGCTAAGTTTAGGCTGTTGAACATGAATCGCAAGAAAGAAGGAACGTTCAAGGCAATTACGTATTGCAAAAGCCGTCGAGCATCAGAAGAATGAGTGGAGGGGTTGGGAAGGCGGCATTTTGGGGGCGCATAGCCCACCACAAGCTGCGCTAGTCTGGCTCCGCCAGCCGGTAATATTGTTCATATAATCTTGAAGGCGGATGACTATGTACTATTGTTTAGAGATTGAGCTCGTGAGGTCATTTAGACGGCCGGTCCTGTGCCTGTAGTCAGAAATCTGATGGATCGTAGCTCAAGTTTGGTTGGGAAATCTGTCGCTCAGACACTAGCTGCACCTGCAAGCTTCTTGTACAAAGATGAAGTATGAGGCATCTTATTTGGCGTAATTGAAGAGGACGTGAACAATCTTTTAGGTTTGACCGAAATTTTCTTGCCTACAGTCTACCAAAGCGCCACCGAAAGGCGTGTGGGCGATTTGGAGAAGCGGCTAGCGACATTGGGTCTCGAAGGAGACACCTGAGATTCTTCTACCAGCAGGAGAAAGCATTGGAGTGAACACTAGACTCCATGCTTGGATACGCCACTACAAAAATAAGTAACATATGTTCGGAAAAACAGTAGCAAGCAAGTGATTATACATGATACTTGGAAAAGTCTGGCTGTGGCAAGCTGTGTATTTCTAACTACCAGGTAGAGGAATATGAGCCTGCACATTTCTCCACCACGCGAATTTGCTACAATGAAAGCAATATTCCGCTGGATGTAAAAGCCATATACTCTTCGGCATTAGCAAGCATTAGCAGGCAAATTTAAGTGCCATAGAATATGATGCATTTTCCTCAAGTCAAACACTGGCTCAAAAGTCTAATACGCGTCATTTTGTAAGATAATTGAACATTGTGAGCCTTGAGGAGATACACCAGAGTGCAGAATGACGCGGCCCGTCTCTCCTTGCATGTACTACCTAGCAAGCATGAGGATCTAAACACATGTCAGCCCCCAAGCCCATGCCAGTGAAGATAAAGTGGGAAAACAGAGAGACACGATCTCCAACGAGTAATAAAGATTCTTCAGAGGAAATTCAGTACATTTGTTACTCCATTTGGTAAAACCACCTATTTGACGGTGCAAATATTAGTAAATGAAGCCTTCTTCAAAGAGCAGTGAGCTGGGCAGCTGTGCTACGAACATGAAATTGCCAGCTAGCCCCAAAAAGCAAAGAGGTACAAGCAGCAATATGGCCATAAATTGCGGGAATACAGCCACTGCCACCCCTCCCCCGCTCCCTACGTCTCTATTCCGCTGAGTGCCATCTCCGTTCACTTTGAGGGGCAAACTCCAGCCTCACGAAGGAGCTTGGCATTCTTCATATGTCATGAACACCTCTCTTCTGTGGTAGCTTAGGAAGAGACTCGAGCTATCAATCTCCACCTGAGATGGATGCTTCCCACTTCTTGTCTCCAGATCATTGGCTCAGGCAGCGATGCCTGGCATTGCTGTCTTACTTCATTGGGTCCGCGGTATCGAAGAGATGCAAACGGTCACCAGCAGCGACCTGGCACATTCAGCATTGTTCATTATGCCAGCGGCATTGAATAGATGCAACATTCACAGATTTTTTGGCCTCTTGAATTGAACATGCCAAACCAGAGTATTGAAAAATACCTTTGTTTCTGCTTCTTTTCTTATATAAAAGCCTACCTGCTTCTGTCTTCATCATGGACCATCTCTCATCACTTCTTTCTCATCTATTCTGACTACTTTCTGCGCACTGCAAAACGCACACGTTCCATACCCACTTATACTTCCCCATCCTCAGTACCAAGCCATCAAAATAGTAGGTATAAGTACTAAAGTTGGCCTTGTGCATTTATCTACACCTACTAAGCATCCCTTAGTACCTGTGCCTACTAGGTTATATTACTCCACGGTACCTCGAGATGTCTTCATCATCTGCCCGCGCAACCTACAACGGAAGCACCGCGTAAGTTCATCTCAATGAAACATTTCTTTGCTTGTCTCACTCTCTCCTCCGCTGCTCCCTTAAGCACACATCTGAAATAGAAAAGGAGAGTGTGGAATTGGGCCACTGCTGTACTGTTCAAACCTCGTATCATTACTACTGCATATCTCTAGGTACATGTACATGTACCTTTTACTGCGCTCCATGCACTAAGGACACAATGTATAATCAAGTGCTAACAAAAAGAATTTATTCTAGTAGTCAACGAACCGGCGTTAATTCCGGAAAGGTCCGAGTTTCGCCCCAGGTCCCAGTCCATTTGACCTATAACATGGACCAATTTGCTCAAGAAGGCGGAAAGAAGTCTGGCGATGGCCATTTACGACCTCCACTCGAATTCCGCCGTGCGGAAACTCAAGCCGAGTCGGGAGCTCGAATGCAGGCGCAGCTACGCGAATTGGAGGAAAAGTTCAATAAAAAGAACAGCTCTAGTGGCAAAGGCACTAGTGCTAATAAATGATTGTTGAGGAATTAGTGTACCAGTGGATAGTATGGGGCTCTTGTTCTCTACTCTTATTTTGTTAAGTCTTTGTTTGCCTAGGAAGCTATTTAGCTAGAATTTGATACGGCCGCTTCGTTTGTCCTCACTATCAATTATTTCTCCGTAGGCTTGATTGCCGTATCACATGTGATGCTCGACTGATGGATCCTCATTGAGAATACATACAGGTATGTGTACAGAGTCATCTCACCACTGTTGTTCCAGCAATGCTGTTATCTTCGGCGGGCGCTAGGCAACAGCCGCCGCTAAAGATTAGTCGCTACCTTGGCCACGGGCACTAGAAACGTGCAAAGCACATGCATGTGGATACATGTACCCATACAAGGTGAGATACGTGAAATCATATAGTAACGTCTCACAAGTAGAAATATCCTACGCCTTACCTAGCCTACGCCTGACCTAGCTAGTTTTTTTTCCCCTCTCCTTTTGCACAGGATTTGACGGAGAATAGTGGAATGTTGCTACTGGAGTTTGCTGGGCAAAACTACAAGCGGGGCTACCAATGACTGAGGGGGAGAGGAGGTTGAGTATGGCTATGTATGAAATTTGGGGCTGAGAGCTACCATTCGTAAGTAGTTTTACCATTCTTACTACTATAAGTTTGAAGTCATCGAAGGTAGTCGAGAGCCATAGCACATAAGCTTGTGGGTAAACATGTCGGAGATACTCAAGACATACAAAAATGAATAGATGAATGCATGATGATATTGGAATGCCGTGGGCGATTGCCATAATTGGATGGGGATCGTAGATAGGGTGATGGCGAGTGTAGATGATCATCCATCTCTATTTACATATACAATTTTAGAAGCTATTTCAGCTGCCGCTAATCTCCCCAATGCGTGTATCTACTTTCTTCCTCTAATATTCTATATTAGTCCACCATGCTTACCCACTGATGTGCTATGCCTCGGGGTATCTTATGAGCAACAAAAAACTTGGCCTCTTCTTCCTGTGCTTCAAACAGCCGATCAAGAGGAAGACGCGCTTGTGCGTAAGAGAAGTGAAAGAAGATACGGCCTTCACGCTCTGTGGTGGAAACCTATTATGAAATTTTATTTTCTTAGCATCTGCGCTGTCCCTGTATCTGCGAAATCTGGAAACTGAACCAACTCAGATATTGTCAGTCGACAAACAGCTGCTCGAGCATCTTCACGAGCAAGGGCCGAAGTCGCACTCAGTAGTCGAATCGCCAAAGCTCATCACGCACAAGAGCCCGAATTAGTCGACTTCGCCTTCTTTAATTCTTTTCTCATCTTTATTCAAGTCTATATAGTGTACCAAGAAACGGTGTAGCGGCACCTAGGCCAACTTGGCGACGCCATCTCGGCTACCTCGAACCATCACCTCGAATTTAATGAGCTGCAGTTGCAGACGCACAATATGAGCTTTCAAAAGAGATAACTGTACTAGCGATGGCGGTGCCACAAGCGCCATTGGCGCAGTCACGGATGCCATAGCCAAAGTTGACGTTCTTGCAAAGGCAAGATGGTGCTGGTGAAGCACATCCAAGGGTTGAGTATTGAGCCAGCAGGGCGCTAAAGCACGACTGGCCACAGGATGGCAGTCCTGCAATACCAGTCACTGTTGGTGCTGCAGTAGTTGGGAAAGTAGTGCGAGCTGAAGTAGCGGATGCACAATATGTGCTTTCAAAAGAAATAACTGTACTAGCGACAGCAGTGCCACAAGCACCGTTGGCGCAGTCACGGATGCCATAGCCAAAGTTGACATTCCTGCAGAGACAGGCAGGGTCAGAAGTGCCGCAGCCAAGGGTCTGATACTGAGCCAGGAGGTTGCTAAAGCACGTCTGACCACAGGATGGCAGTCCTGCAATGCCTGTGGTGGTAGGGGCAGCCGTCGTGGGATACGTGGTGCGAGCTGAAGTGGCAGATGCACAGTAAGTGGTTTCGAAAGCCAAGACTGTACTGGCAACACTGGCTCCGCAAGCGCCATTGGCGCAATCACGGATGCCATAGCCAAAGTTGACATTCCTGCAGAGACAAGCTGGGTCGGAGGTGCCGCAACCAAGAGTCGTGTATTGCGCCAGCAGGTTGCTGAAACATGTTTGCTGCGAGGCGAGAAAAGTCAGCACCTTGTATAAGATGAAGGCTTGGTTTCACTTACTCCGCAAGACGGCAGCTGATATATGGCCGTCAGCGTAGGGCTAGCAGTGGTGGTGGTTGAAGTTTTGGAGGTGGTGGAGGTGGTTGAGCGGACAGAGGTAGACGAAGTGGTTGGGGTTTTTGACGTTGTCGTCGTAGTTGTGAATGGTTTACTTGTAGTAGTCGTGGACGGTTTACTTGTAGTTGTGGAGGATTCGGTTATACTTGTAGATGACGTGGACGTGGACGTAGACGTCGTCGGGGTTCCCGTTCCCGTATCCGTAACCGTAAACGTCGCACTCGCACCGTCAAAGGCACTTGCGAGTACCAAGGTTCCATTCACACCAGCCGCCATGGGAACCACAGTTGAAGTTGTTCCACTGTAGCTGGTGACATCCAGCAATATCTCTGGCCACACAAAGGACGTGCAGATAGCGTCCAACCCAGGGCGCTGTGTGTTAGAGAAGTTTGGAGCGTAGAGTCCAAACCCACTAAGCAACAAGCATGGCAAGTAAGCAACTGTCTACGCATTTCATGAGTGAGGTGAAACATACTCTGGGCAGCAAATTCTGTACGTAGAGTTGACATCAATAGTCTGCCAACTGTAAGGACAGACCAACTGCCGAAACGGAGGCAGCGAAACAGTGGCCAAGGCGCTGGCGTAGAACTGGGGCGGATAGCAAGACGTCACAGTCACACTCGGTACAGGCGTCATGATATTCTGCCAGAGCACGTCCGTGTCTGTTGGCACCGCAGTGAACCCTCCATCGCAACCTGTAGGCGGGGTGAAGATTTCGGTGACCACCAAGTTGTACCCTGTGCTGGACGAAGCTGAAGACACGGATCTCGTCGTAGTGGATAATTTTGGGCTTGTCGTGGATGTTGATGGAGTGGATGTGGAACTTGATGTTGTTGGTGGCTTTTGACCAGACGTAGTCAAGGTGATTGACTGGAACTGTCTGGGTGCAATCGACGGTATATCAGGGAGGTCTTGGCCAGAAGCAAGCAATGCCTTCCCCAGCAGCACCAGCGCAAGTCTTGAAAACCGCATCTTGAGCAATCGCCAGAACTACCCTTCTGGCTACAATGAGCTATGGTGAAGTTGGCCGAGGGGAAGATACGATGCCCAACTTAACCATCTTTCGACTCCCACAAGAGTCATTGACCCATCGGACCATTGCCTTTTCTACAGAGTCGTTTGTTTCTACGGTATAAGTGCATGGCCGCATATCGGATGTTGGCGGAACTACCTGTGGTAATTTCGGCGAGCACTTTTGCAAGCTGCACCTGTGGGAATAAGATTTCCAACTGCAACCGAAGAAATTAAGTAGCCTTGTGGAAGTGGATATTGGGGTCTAGATGATCGGGAACGGTGCTGTTTTAGCTTTGAGGAGGATCGAGTCTCGGGCGGCAAGGCGGCTAATCGGCAACGGGGAATCATTGCTCTTTTGGGAGCGCTTAAGATGCTGCATAGACTACTACATGTACCTTCTCTATTAAGCCAAGCCGAACAAACCTCCATTTCGTTGGAAACCTCTCCCTGCACTTTGGTATTGCAGCTTGTCATATTTTCCCGACTTCTCTGATACCTATACCTATCGTATTGATAAGCCATCCCTACAATCGTACTACGGCAAGCTGATTGTAGACGGTTGGATGTTTTCTTGCGTTTCCGCCACTTGACCCAGAGGTGACTCACTTGTAAGACAGTGACCAGGCATATCGAGCTTGAATACCAGAAGACCATGGCCGCCGACGGCAAAGCAGCCGTCTCGCTGCAAGAGTTGCCAACCGAGCTTGTTGCCCCAATCCTTAGGCGTGTTGCCGACATTGCGACACTGGATAGTCTCATTCGAGCGTGGCCCGCTGCGTATCGCGTGTTCGAGTCCAGCGCTGCCGATATCACCGAAGCCGTCTTGTCTTCTGGCTACGTATGCGGGCATATCAGAGTCATTTTCCGCATCATTGCCTTGCTACGGTCTGGAACCCTCCCAATCTCCAACATGGCCGATTTTCGACGACGGGTTATTGTCGATGCTATGAGATACGCATCTCGCGTGCGCAGCTCGCCCAGCGGATTCGCCCCGGCCTTGTTAGCCATGGAGACGCCACCGGCAGTAATACGCAGTCTGTTGGCGACATATCGGCAGATCATGCTGGCTTCGCTTGGCTGTCTCACCTACTATCTTGACCGTTTCAAAACTCTCAAGCCAGAGCATCCCATTGACAGGACGATCAAAAATCCTGCGTGGAGCGAGCACGTCCCGGCTTGGCAATCGAGGCCGCAAGGAAGGAAATTTAACGTCCGGGACGTCGGTCCCCCGTCTTGGACCGAGGAGCAGCGCGTCAACCGGGCTTTCTGGCGTCTGCAGCTTCTCTACGATCTCAAAAGAGCCGCATCAAGAGGTTTATTAGACTGGCTAGACGATAGCAAGGCTGAACTTTGCGACATTGTTGCAGTTAGTCGTCCAATCAAAGAGTCTGCGCATTTATGGCGTCGGAACCGCCGCTACGTACACCAAACCTGGGCTGGCTGTTCAGACTTTTACCATGCCTGGGTGCATAATGTTCCATATGCGCCAAATAATCCGTGCCCCCCCGAGTACGAAGAGCTGATATCCGTCGTTGATTATGTTGGAACCGTTCATGGCCAGGAAGCTTCTGAACGGTTGGTTAAAGGCCAAGTATGCCTAGCAGAGTTACAAGGACCTGTAGAAATACATCGAGAATGGCCGCTAGCAAAGCCTGGCGTAAAGGACTGGAAAACACTCCTTGGCGCATCCGTGGGCGCCAAACGCTATTATTACGGGCAGCAAGGCAAGTCAATACTGGACATGGTTGCCTTTGACGCTTTGGGGCGCTATGGGTTTGCGTTTTGGTCGTGGGAGCGCATGTTTGCGTATGGTCTTGCCGCAAGGAGCGAGTCTGAATATGAAGACTACCGGGTCACTTATGCTTGGGAAAGCATCCTCAGTTCTGAGCAAGTTACGAGGGCGGAATGGGAAATAGTGAACATGATATAGAAAACATGCTTGCCGTTACGTGACGAGGGCAAATATATTGATACATTGAACCCTTTAACTACCAACATGGAATATAATAATAATTATCATAAATGTGCTTAGAGATGAAGAGAATGTCTTTTCACGGCCGCTCTTTAGGATCGGAGTGCATCATGAACAATCTACACGGCATAGTGACCGATTCCTGAGGTAGTCTTAGAACCCATGCCTTTTAACCAAGTGCATCAACTTTCGCTTCTCCATCAATTTGATGTGCCGTTTTGGCGGCTGTGATCTGCACGCAAGGTCACTGCCGCTAAGAACGTTGGTCGAGAATGTCTGCATGTCGAGGACATCTTGGTGAATCTTGGCGACGACATCTGCCGGCGGGAAGACAAGGCTCAGTTATTGACTGCTGCTACTACGCTTTGTCCAATTATTGAGTTTATATAGTAGTGAGGAAGCTAAAGATATATGGTTGAATAGTAATAGAATATCCTAACCTAATAAATATCAGACAGCTTAACGAGCTGCTTACGTACAATTATTATAGATCTAGTATTAAGAGGGCAAATAAAAGGCTACAATAGCCAGCCACAACCTATAAATAGGTAAATATCTATGCAGAGCTAAAAGATGGGTAGATCTTAGGACCATGCCGTGGTAAAACGGGCAATACTGTCCAACGGAACCATGCTCACTGCTAAATAATGATTTAGCTTCTCTAAATTAAATAGCAAGATATCAGTTTTCTGCAAATAATCCTACCTAGCCGCAGGTTCAATTCAGTACAGGCCAGTAGCAACAAGCCATGAACCTCTTTGCTGCGTTATGCTCCGGGCTCAATTATCAACTCCTTTCCTTTAATATTAATCCAAGGTATCCCAAACGATATGAAAACCGCGGCCGCAGACGCGCCTGCAGCGAGATAGAATGTGCCTACGAGGGCCTTGTTAAATGCACCCAGAACAATGGGCAAATCGTCCGGGGGTACCAGTTTTCGTATAGCTCCTGAGCCATTGAGGAGCAGACTTTGTATTTCGACACCAGAAAGATGCCCCGTCAGCTTATCAATGAAGATATTACCAAAGACAGCTTGGGAAACCGCTAGAAAAATAGCACTGCCAAAGAATTGAAAGAATGTAGCTGTAGAAACGCCAACAGGACTCTGTGAAGTTGGTAAGGTGGCTTGAACCGCTACAACAGGCATCTGAGCCATCAAGCCAAATCCTATGCCTGGAAGGATTTGGTAGCCAATCCAGTGTGCGGAAGATGTGGACACATCAAATGTAGCGTAGAGGCCAATGCCAATAACCATGAAGGAACAGCCAATGTATACCCAGGGATTAAGAGGGCCAAGCTTGGGGGCCAATGCCCCAGATACCAAAGCGGCGGCAATTTGCGGAATGAAGGTCGGGAGGCTCATGACGCCGCTTCTGATGGGCCCCGCACCTTTGACGACTTGGAACCACTCTGGAAGATAATATACGACTGAGAAGATTGCGCCGTATGCAAACGCTAGAGTGAGGCTGCTGAAAGCAACAGTACGGTTGAGGAGTATGGACATGGGCAGCATGGCTGCTTCGCCTTTGTAAAACTGCCAGACAACAAAGACCGCACAGAGGCCCCCGAATCCAAGAAAAAGGCCAATGATAGTCGCTGACTTCCAGGGATATGTGGACCCTCCCCATTGAAGCGCAAGTAAGGCCATCAAGATTGCCGGGATGAAAAGAGATGCGCCGATAAGATCGAGAGCCTGGATGCGGTGGGTAATGGGCTCTGTTTCTATCGCTCTTGTGGGTGGATTGAAGACTACTATCAGCACCAGGCCAGCTACCGCACCGATTGGTAGGTTGATGTAGAAACACCATCGCCATGATACATGTTCCGTAAAAGCCCCTCCGATCAGGGGGCCAATCACAGTCGCAATGCCAAAGAATGATGATATGAATCCGATATACACTAAACCGCTCGGGTTAACTTCAGAGACTGGATGTCATTGTAAGAATGTAGCTCTTACGTGGTCGTTTTTTAAGCGGAGCAATAAATGCAACAATGGAAAATGCACCAGACACGATGCCTGCTCCTCCGGCTCCTGCAACGGCACGCCCACCGATAAACATGTTAGAGCTCACGGCCGTAGCACATAGTAGAGAACCGAGCTCAAAGATGGCGAAGAAGCTGAGAAACGTCCACTATAAGGGGTTAGACTAAATCTTGTTGCATAATTGCGACGGTGGAAGCTTTGCTTGCTTTGAGAGAAAATGTGGCATAGAGTTTACCACTCAGCGGCTGTAGTGAGCATCTGGATAGGCCAATATTAGCACTGGTGGATCATACAATAGAGTTGATCCAGAGAAACCAACAGTGCAAGAAAATATGCGCTCCCATACCACCCTATATCCTGCGTAGATCGAAATCGATCGGTGATGTAAGGAATAGCCTGAGAACGAAGCATAAGCTGGTTAGCCAAACTCAACCGTCAGATTCGCTGGTCATGGGAGTGCGAACTGTAGCAACAATGGAAGTGTCCAGAGCAATCAGAAAAACGGGTAAACTCAATCCCAAGAGGATGAAGGCCACTGCCGATGAAGATAGTGATGGCTCGTCTAAAGGCTCTGCTGTTTCGGCTGGCTGTTTAATCTCCCCGTCTATGTTGCCATCAAGGCTGGTTTCCGTTGGAGATGCTGTTTTGGACATGGCAAAGGCCCTCTTAAGTGGATTGTTTTGTAACATGACAAATGAATATCCTCCTCAAGACTGGTCAGCTGGTTTGGAACAAAGAAGGATAGCACAGGTTTAAATGTTGAAGCTTCCGCAGAATCGATGCACATGTCCGCAGCTACGGAGTACTACCATCTGAGCTTAACCCGATATTCGCATCTTAGGATTTATTTTGAACAATTCAGGACACCTCCACTCCGCCGCGGAGTTAGGCAGCATGGTTATCTGTTCGGGAATTCTTTCAAGGCTATTTGTCATCGGAAGTAACGGCGAGTATATGTTAATTGTATTGGCTGCTGGAATCAATGGTATAAATCCGCAATATCAACAGCCTAGATCTATCGATATCAAATCATATATAACTACCAATTACATTATTAATGCAGATACCATCCCAAGACTGCGCATAAGCGAAAGCCGGGTAACAGTCTGAGTGCATACAGGTAAAACACGCCAGAGAGCCCGGTGATGGATGCAGCAGAAGCGGAGAAAAGGAGGCCAACTAGTGATTTGGGGGTTTCCTTGGGATGTAGCGCGATGTGATTTGAACTTGTAGAATTTGTGTAAAGGATTGCCAGAACAGCAGCTCATCTGTTAAACACTTCATTCCTATACAAAGGAATGCCCTGCGATTCAGCGAGATTAGGTAAGCTCAGCTACAAAAGTACAGCTTCCTAAAAAGGAAATAAAAGTCTTGGCGCTCCGATCCGGCCAATAGGTGGCCGCCAAAGTTTGAAGCTTGAAGAACTCAGGGGGGGGCGCAGAGACTCATTTTAATTCTCCGCAATACAGATTCATTGACAAATTTTTAGTGACGGTGGCGTGGTTGGGTGTCTTGATGTATCAAGCTTGTAGCCTGCTCAGAGTCTATTTCCGCTCCGCAGGAATGGCCAACATGTTTAATGATTTAGTCATACAGCCGATGAGGGAGCTCCCATCTGGTATGATAGTTGGTAATACCCCCTTTCAAACATGATGCTCTTCATCAAGACAAGTACAGTAAGCCAAGCAGGCGCTTCGCTTTCTGACTTGAGCACATCATTCGTTTGAGTTTGTCGTCGTCACCTTGAAGCCGTAATAGACCACTCGCGGAGGCCCACGGAGGCTCTTAGCACATATTCCCAGAACGGTAATTTCTCACTCGCTTCATGACAAAGTATCTTTGCAACAGTACTAGATATCTTATGCCTTCACGGTATTAGGCTCATTTTACCTAGGTTTCAAGCAAAGAATAGCGTTAATGTCGAAGTACCGTTTACTTCTGGACGTGGCTTGTCAGCTTTAACCTATGTCTCAACCTAATGATCCCATTGATCTGATTCCCTGTTAGGGCTCCTCATCTTGTGGAAAAAGTTAACCCGTGATTATCAATCTCTTTGGGCTTATTTTGTAGCTTTGAATGGTGCTAATCAATAATTTTGAACATGATTGCTCAGCAGGATAGACTTGAGAAACTGTATCTTTGCGTAGGAGAGAAAAAACGAATGTATAAAGTAGGGGCAACAGACCAGAGAGGAAAAAGTTTTGTTCATCGAGATAACAATATCATCAAACAACCAATCTCACCACTAATTCATCATAAACCTATATCACCATGACTGAACAGACTGCCGCTATCCCCAAGGGCTCCATCGTCCTCATCACCGGCCTTACAGGCTATATTGCAACTCATGTGGCACGGCAATTCTTCGACCGCGGATATAAAGTGCGTGGAACGGTCCGCGACCTTTCCAAGGCCTCTTGGCTCAAAGATGATGTCTTCTCGGCGGAGCATGCGGCTGGCGACCTAGAGCTTGTCCAGGTGCCAGATCTCGGAGCCCCAAATGCCTTTGGTGCTGCCGTCAAAGGGGTTGACGCTGTCGCTCACATTGCAACTGTCGCAAACTTCGATCCAGACCCGAACAATGTCATTCCACAGACCGTGTCTGGCGTGGTTTCGATTTTACGCGCCGCAGCTGCAGAGCCTTCCATAAAACAAGTAGTTTTTACGTCTACCGCTGGCACAGCCGTGATGCCTCTCCCCGGTGCGTCGGGACACATCGGCCGTGATACCTGGAACGATGCGGCTGTGCAAGCAGCGTGGGCTCCGCCGCCATACGACGCCAGCCGCGGTCTGGTCACCTACGTGGCGAGCAAGGTGGAGGCTGAGAAGGCTGCTTGGAAATTCATTCAAGACGAGAAGCCCAACTTTGTGTTGAATGTTGTGAACCCGTTCACCACGCTTGGCGCCATGCTTCACCCTAGCCATGAGAGGGGCACAGCCGGTTGGGTCACCGGATTGTTCAAGGGTGATACAACCCAAGCTAGCATGCTGCCTTCCAGTGAGTATCGCGTCAACTATCCCTGTTAAAGAATGTTGCCCAGTGTGTTAATATCATGAGACAGTATACTATGTGAATGTCAAAGACGTTGCCCTCCTCCATGTCGCTGCCGTCCTTGACGAGGGCATCAAGGAGGAACGTATTCAAGCATGGGCCGCCCCTTGCAATTGGAATGATATCTTGGCTATCATGCGACGTCTTTATCCGAGCCGAAAATTCGTCGACGATTTCCCGGAATCGGAGGCAATTACTGCAACTACGGATGATAGTGTTGGGTTGAAACTGTTGAAGAAATGGGCTCATCAGGATGGCTGGAAAAACTTGGAGGATACGATTCGCGAGAACCTAAGCGGCCTTCCATAGATGCTAAGCTGCGGTGGCTGCATCAGATCAAACGTATGGGTAGCTATCGTATGATTGATGGAGGATGCCCATAGCTAGGAAAGACTAAGAGAGTAGCCAACCGAAGAAAGGATGTCATTATAAAAATACAATATTAGTGATAAACTTTCAATATCTCTCCAACTATATAATAGAGAAATCTCACTCGAAAGAGACCATTTTCCTGTTATAGTAAAGCCTATGTAATACTGCTTAGCTTTCTTTTTTTTGTGCCTTGCAGTTTTCTTATTAAGCAAAGCTGCGAAGTTAGCTTTGCGAAGGTACCACCAGAGCTAATTGCCAGCTTCCAGCTTTGCTTTTGTTAATTAGATTAAAACATAGAACAATCTCATTCAATATAGAGACCAATTTCCTATTATAGTAAAGTCTATGTAATACTGCTTAGCTTTTTTTTTTTTTTTTTGGTCTTACAGTTTTCTTATCAAGCAAATCTGCGAGGCTGCTTTAAGGTACCACCAGAGTCAATTGCCAGCTTCCAGCTTTGCTTGTAATAGTCAGACAAAATGCCAACGCTAGGGAACTGTAAATAATTCTCAACTAGCAATTGGTCGTTTTTACCCACAAGTAGCTGAGACCTTATTTTACTGTTGTTTTAAATACTAAACGCAAGTTTCGCAATGTCGCACTTGTAGTGTTCATGTATTTTTGTACCTCGGATTAAAAATAAATTACAATTTCTGCTTCAACGCTCTATCTTCATGAAATCCTTTTAACATGGAAAAACACAGCACCTCTAGAGCTTTCAATTGATACAAGTAATGCTAAGTAGATAGTTGTGATATATCCTATTTTTAATTAGGACTTTTAAAAGTTCAACAAGAATATAGTACCTAGAGCATTTCAGCTATGGAATTCTGACAATCGTACAGCTGGGCTCCGAAAGAGAAAACAAGCAACAAAACTCCTGGAGTCCGTACAGCCGGGCTCCGTAAACACCAAGTATCGTATACTAACTAACAATTATACATAAGAGCAAACAACGTAACATGACTCCTGGTACTCGTATATTACCAGAAGCTAAACGCATTGCTAATGGCATCCCCAATGTCGCTGGCCACATTCTCAACGGCATGTCCCACATCCTCAACAGCACCCCCCACATCGTCAGCTACATGCCCAAGGGCACTTCCGACATCACTGACGGCATCGTCTATATCCTCTCCAATATCTTCCACAGCGTGCCCGACATCACCCGCCACGTGGCCCAAGGCGCTCCCCACGTCACTGACAGCATCGTCTATATCCTCCGCAACGTCTTCCACAGCATGGCCAATGTCACTGGCAGCATCACCAATTGCTTCCACGGCCTTCTCTGCTCCCTCCACAACGGCTTCGCTCACATCTTCAACGAACTCGACAACCTCCTCGACAACCTCCTCGACGAGCTTGGCAAGCCCCTCGAAGAACTTGCTGAGAGCTTCCTTGATCATCTCCCACAGCTCGCTGAATATGGCCTTGATGAACTTGACAATGTCAAAGTCGGGCTTCCAGCTCAGGTCGATGTCGATGTCCTCGCCGACCAGCTTACCCTCAATCTTGCATGTGAGGGGAGGGCCGCCGTCCCTGAAGCTCGCCGAGCTTCCAGAAAATGAGATTTTCGTAATGTTGATGATCTCGCCTGCCGCCTCGAGAAGCCATTTGGCAATCTTGGCACCGAGGTCGAGAACTTCGTCCCACAAACTGGGCTTGTTCTCTGCCACGAGCTGGCAGGCTTGTCGAGCAAGTTCGACCTCGGCAGATTTTCCTTGGGCCTTGGCTAGACCCTTACGAGCCTCTTCGAGAGCGGCATACTCGGCTGTTTTCTTCAGCTCATCGAAAGCTCGCTGTGCGCCAGAGACCATGGAGCGCGCTGTCTCTTCGCCAGTAACGACGGCGGCCTTGGCTTGCATCGATGCCCTGATTTCGCTTGAACTCCTCTCAACATCGTACAAGGCCTGTGAAGCCTGAGACACAAGAAGCCCCTGGGTCTTCTTGGTATCCTCAAGGGCAATCTTGGCGGCCTCGACAGCCGCCGCCTCGGTTTCCAAGAGCTTCTCGAGGGAGTCCTCATCGACTGCTACTGCAGATTGTCCAGCAATAAAGTCAGGGCCTTCCAAGACTCCCTCGGCTACCATCAAGACCAGCCGAGCAGCTTCGAGCCCGGTGGCGGCGATAGCCTGTTCAGTCGCCTTGAGCGTCTTCTCGGCAACCAGGAGAGGCATATCCCACAGAGAGGCCTCGCTGATCTGACGGTCAATGTCGGACAGATCCTTGTCAAGTGCCTCAACCGTCGCCAAGGCCACGTCGACAGTCTGCTGAGCACTCTCCACATCGGCGTGAGCTTTACCAAAGGAGGCGTTCAGCGCATCCCTCTTGCGATGCAGCTCATCCTGAGCCTGCCGGATAGCATCATCGCTATCGTGATCAGCATGATATACAGCAGACTCTGCCTCACGGATAGCCACCGAAGCATCATGGCAGACTTGTTCTTTGTAGGCGGTCGCGGCAGCCAAGGTGCTGATGTATGTCTTGTCTGCCGCATCGGCCTTGTCTCTGAGATCCTGAAGATGGGCAGCTGCCTGTGCTTTGGCACGCTCCAACTCGGCCTTGACGTCCGTCTGTTTCTGCTCCCATGCTCTCTGGCAATCGTCAACCTTGCTCTGAGCAGCTTGCAAGCTGGAGTTGTATTCGTTCTCCTTTTCTGAAAGTCTCCTCTTTGCGGCTTCGTAGTCAGTGTTCTCGGACATGGAGTTAATCTGCTTGTCCAACATGTCAATAACGTTCTCGAGAATATGCTGCTCCACCTCGCCCGAGACGGCAAAGTCAGCGTTGGCGAGCGTGCTCAGATCCTTGAAGTCGATATCGCCCGTCAGCTGGGCAGCGAGCTTGAACTTGAACCAATCGGAGAGCTCAACCTTGACCCAGAAGTCAAAGGCCGGCTTGGGATACGCTTGGGCTTCAAGATGCAGGGCTGCAGATAGATCCCAGAGCTCCACAGCACCGTCGATGAAGATACGTTGCTTGTCGGCCGAGAGCTCGATATCAACAATGGGGTCCTTACCCGTCGCTCCCTTGACTTTCAGAGGACCGAGATCAAATTGCTCGATTGTAGCCATGAGTTTGACGCCCTTGCCACCAACGGTGCAGTCAAATTTAGCCTTCTTGCCCAGGATGAGCATATCTCCGCTGAGAGAGGCTCCAGCAGGGAAGTAGATCTCTCCAATGGAGGCTCCGGTGGAGAGATACAAGTCGAATTTGTTGAAATGCAGTAGATCCTTGGGCGGCTTGGGGAAGTCTATCTCGCAGACCTTGGAAGCGAACTGGACCAGGTCAACGACCCCGAGGTCGGTCACGGACGCGGCGAGCACCTGATCCTTTGGATTCTGGCTAAGCTTCATGGCCAGCTTGGCCTCCTTCTGGCCAAGCATCAGCTGTCCTGCGAAGCCGATAGCACCAGGTACGCCGGTCGTGAAGAAGGTAGCGTAGACGATGCCAAATTCGAGAGAGCAGCCTTTAATCTTTATCTCTTTGCCCATCTTGGCAGGGTTGGCCCATTCGTTGAGCATGGTGGCATAGGCGGCTGCTCCGGTGGTGCCGGCTTTGAGACCGAGAGAGAATTTGAGCGGCTCGGGCTGAGTGTCGACCTTGACGTTGAGCAGAGCCTTGACGATCAGCACAATGTCAGTCCCTTCTTTGGCGAACTCAATGGCGATAGGACCAGTGTACACATGCTCTCCAAAGGAGATTGTGCGCTCTGCAGGGAGCATGACAGACAGCCGCAGGTTGCCGGTGCCGGTCTCATAGCTGGCGCAGAGGATCATGCCCTTGACGCTGCCTCGCATGAGATCCTCCAGCTGGGGGATCCTGTCAACCACGGCGCAGAACTGAATGCCCTTGCGGACGGGGTATCTGAACTTGTTGTATGCGCCATCGGGGTTCTCCTTGTTGGACGCAATGAGCGCAAGTCCCTTGAGGGAGACGTCCAGGAATGAGCCCTTCAAGTCGGGATTAAGCCTGCCGATGCTCAGATCCCCAGCAACCTCACCGTAGATGGTCCACTGAAGCTCCGAGCCCGATGCCTTCTCGGTGAAGAGCCCGACGCTCAGGTCAATACCGCTGAAGGACACCTCGCCCGCGATGCCGAACTTTGTTGTTCTGGCGCACGACGAGTTATTGCTGCTACTGCTGACGAAGACGTCAAAGCTGGCACGCTTAATCTGGATAGACTCAAACTCTACGTCCCCGATGCCACCGGAGATGTGCAGGCCATCCTGCATGATGGCAATGGAACCATAAGCCGTGGAGTGGCCATTGATCGTGATGGCACCGTCAAGAGAGACTCCCGAGTTGGAGATGACCAAAGAGAGAGAGTTGAAAACAATGTCGTGGTCGAATACGTCGAGATCATGACCGGTGATTTGGTTAAAGATCTTGCCGACCTCTTGGAGAGTGAGATTGCCCACGTAAGCCGCAATAGAATATTCATCTGGCAAACACGGTTAGTTCATTATTATTGTCACAATGCAACAAGTGAAGGACTTGCCTTTTGAGTAAGATCCTGAAATAGCCAGCGTGGTATCATTCAGATGCAAAACGGCTTCCATTTGGAGAAAGATATCGGCCTTGGACGAAGCCTCAGACAAGACACCGACGAATGTGACCTCGGAAAGCTGCGCAATAATATGTCAGCAGATACTCAAGCTATAAAAAGTGGCTGTGTGCCTCTTACCATCAGGTTTTTAATACCAAAGCAATCCTTCCAATCATCATCTTTCAGCGTGACAGAGAGCATATAGCGCTCATCCATCACGCGGAAGAGATACTCGGCCTTTAGTGGCACAACAGATCCGGGCATGGTCATGTCAACTTTTCCAAAGAAGCCATAACCAATATTCATCCCGCCATCATCACCACTGGCTTGGTCGAGAGTCAGCTCGACGCCCAACTGCGTGAAGTCGAGAATATCCCACAGCTTGACGGAGCAATCGTCAAACGAACCGCGGAGAACAAGACGGGGCGGGGCGTGGGGCATCATCCAGTCCCTCGACATGCCGAGATGAGCACTGACGTGAAGGGCAGGTCTCTCTTGGTTGAAGACATCTCGGATGACATCTTGAAGCGGCCGGAGGGGACCCTTGAACATGAGGTCCGTCTCGAGATAGAGTCCTTCAAGCTCGTAAACACTCAGTGGAACAACAGAATAACAGAGTTCAGTATTTTCAAGAACAATGGCGTCAAATAGGCCATCCTTCAAGAAAGGGAGTACAGAGCCAATGGTGATCTGACCTGCAGAAAGCTGGACGACCTCCTGGTATGGATGAAGTTTTGTGATCTGTCCCCTGAAGATGTGCAGCTTGGCGGGAATGCAGCCAAAAAGGTCGACGTCTCCGATTATGACATGGTTCTCTGGTATCTGGGGGAAATGAGGAGGAGCAGCCTTGCCGACATCTCTACCCACAGACAGATCTTCGGTGACGCCATATTGATCCAGAGGGTCTAGTTTCTTCTCGGTGCCAACAGCAGGTGTGATTGGAGGAGACGGAACGTCTGGTCCGCTCTTCTTTTTAAAAGCCTGGAGAGCAATTGGGTCTTGTTCCGTCTCTTGAGCGTCAGGGGAATGTGGTGGTGTAAGGGAAGAAGAGGACGTGACGTGGTGGTCGCTTGCAGCACCCAGCGTGACGAACTTGCCATCCGCATCAATGGTTGCAATAACAGAGTTGCGGACGGTCAGGCCAGCATAGCTCCATGACGGATCTTTGCCGAGGTCATCTTGTTGTCTTGACTTCTTTGTGGCCGAGTCATCCCCTCTGTCTTCGCTGAAGAAGGTAGAGTGAGAGCGCTTCAGACTTGTGGCCTCAAGGGCGAAGCCAAGGGCAGACTCTTTGAGAAAGTCTGTGGCTGAGGATGTGAAGCGGGCTCTCTTAGGATCGACATCTTCGCGGACGGGCGATCGAGGGCGCTTGGTCCCTGAGCCTGTTGTTACGCCCATCGCGGGAAACAAGGTTCCTCAGGAGGTAGAAAAGAAGTCAACAAGAACCCGGGGGGGGGCCACAGAACCAACGTGATTAGATAGGCGAGGGGATATAATAGAATACAAGATGGGGGGAGAATGATTAATAGAGTATTTTATATGTGGCGGGTACCTAAATGTGCGAGAGATGTATAAGGATACTGGATAGCAGGAGGAATAATGTAGTATCTTTATAGGATATGGCTGAATTTTGGGGGAGAAGCGATGGAGTATTGTTTATCAGGCTGAATGCTATAGTAATGTACTCTTTTCTCTACGAGATGGAGGGACATAGCCTCTTACCATATTGTATATCTCAACTCATATCACATCCCATTCAAGGAGCAGAATATCCGTTGCCTCCCAATCAGATAACCATTTCATTCTTAGTTCTGAATGAGGGACTCTTACTGGTCTAGAATGGCCCCAACTACAAGCCACGTTTCTAACGGTCCCCTCTAGAGTCAATAACGGCTCTCCCCAGCGTGGCTGGCTGGGACATTCCAACGCGAAACTGGGGAGATCATCTATTGGATGCGGGACGGATATGGCCGGAACTATTGGCATCGAGCTTGCCCAGCTGAGCTCAAACTATCGATCGTCTTACGAGAGACGTGCAGTTCGGGGGCGCAAAAAGGAATTCACCACCATCAGCCGTTTGGGTTCGTTCCAGCCCTGATAGGGAAACAGTTCCAAGGCTGATTGGGGCCGTGCCGGGGGCGGGATTTCCACTGCGGCACCGGGTGTTCGGCGGCTAAGTATGGGCGTAGACCAGGAAATAGCACCCTTGATTGGGTAGAGCGGTCCAATAGCCCAGACTGAACCGCGTCAATGGTGCTTTTTGGCTAGAGCTGAATGCAGGGGTTCATTTCCAGCCGCATCCAAGACGGAACATGACATCCTGACTACTAACATCCTTTGAGATCGGCAATCAATATCACAGTGGCCATTTTAGAGAATCACATACCAGTTGATGTCCCCTCGTGAGTTTCAGCTGGCTCCTCGAGGGCCTAGGCTTGAAGCTGAAGATGTGGACGCGACGACTAGTGATTAGGGAAAGGGGGCAAACATTTGACTTGTTTGGTCTCGAGGCCAGCCTGACAACAGTTAGCAATGCACATGTACGAGTATTTAATTGCGCTTTTGCTCGGACTTGTATCCTTTCCCTCGCGTCATCACCATCCTTCCAGTTTATATATGTTGGCCACACCTTGACTTACAGCGCCCTCCACTAGTTGTGGCTTATTATTATCATCATCTTAAGATACCCATCACTTCCTCTGTGTCTTTTTGACAAGCAGCATTCCCTTGGCCACTTTCAGGCCTCATCGCTACCATGAACATAGAAAATAATAATGTTTTCAACAACAATAACAATAACAACAACACCGGCGGCTTCATGGAAATGGTCTTTGAGAAAGAGCCAGAACCCGATGAGAGAACGCAAGGAGTGACAGAAGCGGATCAGCGACTGGCGCGGAGGCTCATAGAAGCAGGTCGGGTGCCAAACAACAACCTACTCATCCCAGAGACTGGAAATACGGAGGAGACAGAAGTTCAGGGAAATGCAGGATACAACCCCGCCCCAGGGATTGACGACGAGATGGAAGTCCAAGGAAATGCAGGACACAACTCAGAGAACCAGGAGCGCACGAAGAAAATGACGAGAGCAGAAAAGTATGTCCAAGGCAATACCCTGATACACAATCAGAATGGCCAAAGTGGGCGAGCAACCAGATCCGGCGCAAAGACCGTCCTCAAGTGGTCAGCGCTGGACCAAAGACTGAGTAAGGCCTGCAGAATTGCCGCTTGCACAGTCGAGGAGGTCCAGGGGAATAATTCGATGCCGAGCCCTTATGCGCCGACTGTCAGCTCGGTCGAAGGCGCTGATCCCTCACTGTACCTCAAAGTCACTTGGCAGAGCATCGCTCATCTCTTCTCCTATTACATGGACGGAACCGAAGAAAATGTGAATAAAGTCAAGGGCCAAACCAACAGCGAGAAAGAGGAGATCAATGAAGAAGATGATGACATGGAAGAGGACATCGCAAAGGAGGAGGAGGGCATCGCGGAGGAAGATCTGGAGGATCGCGAAGAGGAACTCGAAACCAATCGCTCTACCAAAGACAAAAATACCTCCAATCGTAACGAATGGCCGGTGATGCCCAAATTCACCAAGGGCAAAGTTGTCTACATCCCTATTGCTTTCTTGCATGCATTAGCTGCAAAGCAAAATCCATGGCCTGAGCTCACAAGGTAAGTTGGATCCTCCTCCCTCTTTCTTCTCCTCAACCTCACGGATTTGCTACCGAAAATCGGGATCCCAAACCACGGCAAGGAGTTCCAAAGCTGACTACCATTATTTTCTTTTCACTCTAGCATGAGAAACGCCCCCCGTGACGACTTGAAGAACGGACCTCTCAATTTCAACGCAAAAAATGTCAAGCTTTTTACTGCAGCGGATAAATCAGGAGTTAATGCTTCCTTCACCCGAGTAAGCGGATATAATCGTCTTTGGGTGGCTCTCCGCGACGGGTTAGGCCGTCTGATCTTCTGCTTGCACGACAGCTCCTGGTCATGGCACCACTACACAGAGGCCAACCGGCTCAAGATTGCGTGGAGATTTGCTCTAGGTGCCATCACACCTCCCTCGGGGGCCGGTGGAGGCAAACCGCCGCGGTACCAAGTGGTGCCTGTGGGTGAGCTGAAGATCAAGATAACAGCTGAAGGCGAAGAGCGATGGCGGCACCGCACTGGCGGGGCTCAGGCTTTGTTCACGACCTTTATCGACGAAATCAACAAGAAAAAGAAAACAAACGTGGATGACGGAAAGGTATCTCTTCACACTGAGGATGGCATCCCGACTGGCTACCGTCTGGTGAGTTTATTTTTCTATTCCCCACTTGTCTCTGAGCTGGCCCCCCCAGTGTGAGATTGTGATGATGGTCCAAGGCTAATAATGGAGCTTTCGCAATCATATAGCTTTCAGAAGATCCATTTGGTCTTTACAGAACATACATCAGTGTCGAAGGCTATAACTCCTATATGAACTTCCTGCTGCTCGGTGCTGTCACGCAAGACAAGGAGGTTGAAACATATAGATCTCGTAGGAAGATCATCGACACTCGTGCTCTCCCCAAGAGATTGGAGAAAACCCAAGAAGAAAAAGAAAGGATTGAAAAGGAAAATCAAGACCCGAAGGATAAGATAAGCCCGTTGGACAGGACGAGGATCAACCAGAACTCGATGAAGGCCAAGGATAAGGTAAACTCAACAATTCCCTATCACCCCCTATTTTCCCTTGCCGTCGAAAAGCCTTCTATTTGATCAGATATTGACAGTCGGTATTTTACAGGCAGATATGGACGTCATCCGGAGAAATGGTAGGGACGCCATCAAAAGAGGCGACACCCGGGCCAAAGTCGAAGAAAAGTCGTCCAGAGACATCCAAACCTTGACCATTATAAATGTGAATGCCCGGAAAATCGAACTGGCAAAAGGTCGACGCCAGTTCGAGACAAAAGATCAAGGAGACGTCATGGCCTCTAGCGCACCAGATGTATGTCCTCGTTGCCGCATAGAAAGAGCCTACGCGAGGACTTTCTTTTTCTCCAAGAGGGTGTATGCTGACAGAATATTTGTACAATAAAAAGACAGCCAGAAAACTACTCGACTGGCAGTGGATCGATCCCAAAAGTCGGATCATCGGACGCGTCAGAACCACCAAACGGCAGACGGATTACCATCCAAACGAGATGTTTAATGGCCTTTACATTGCCGAGGTAAGTAAATATTTATATCATCTGCTTTTTCCCCACCTCTCTCCTGTTCAATTTCCATTACAAGGACTAACCTTTGTTTCTTCTTCTCTTTAACCAAATAGTGGCTGCACCTATCTGCATACTCTTGGGGTGGTCTCGCCGATGTTCAACCAGACGCCACGGTGGGTAAAGAAGGAAGCAGTCAGATCCATCCGAATTTTGTCCTTGGTACCTCGGAGACCAACTCAGCCATGACCAGGTAAGTGATTGATAGGGAAAATGGAGACTCCAAGCTCCCCCTCCGTTTTACACCACACCGAGAAAAGTGTTTTTTTTACCAACAAGTGTATTTGTAGATGGGAAAAGGCTTGGCAAGACCTAATAGAGCATGAGGGCGAGCTACTCAACGCAGCTGGCGAAAATGGCAGAGCGTACGGTGGTCAACTCACCATCGTTCGCCACCCATTCCGCAAAATCTCCAAAAAAGAATCCACGGCTATAGTATCCGAGTCCGATGAAAACAAGGGAGCTTCCAGTACTGGGATGCAGGGGTTAGACGTTGAACAACCTGGGCCCCAGAATAACGGAAACGAACAGAAGCCCAATTTGAAGATACCTGCCAAGACGGGAACCAAGGTGTACGCATCCTTCCTGCACGATGTTGCGCATGAACCTGCTGCGAACAAACCCGGGATTATTCAATGGGCTCCCGAAAGCACGCAGCTGGATAAAACCCTCCAGCGAGCGGCAAAGGAGTTCCGCTGGATCTGCTACCAGTTCGACTACGACCTTCACATCAATGCTGTCAGCAAGATCCTTCGCCGCCGGGACGGCTTCAAGGGCAGCACCCGGTTCTACCCGTTCCGAAGGATGCTGTATCACAAGATTGAGCACGACCTGGACGCAAAATTGTGGAAGGACATGCTGAACGAAGCTCTTACGACAACCTGGACTTTATAAAACAAGACTACTCGTTGACCCAGAGATTTATGAGTCTCCAGACGAGACCCAGTATTCCTGGGTTAGAGCAAATCAGAAGCTGGACTGGAAACAGAATGAGACATGTGGAAAGATTCTCATGGGTCGGTAATAGGCGTTGCTCTGCTGGCCATGTTCTAATTACAGAAGATGAAGGTGCATGAAGGAGACGTAGGGTATCAATCTTATATATATGATGTTTTAAATACGCTCTGTTTCGGGATATTCCATAGCTCTCTACATGCAGTATTGTGTATCAACCTGCAAATCCCGCCACTAGGCGAAAGATTGGACCGGTATTCACTTTTACGTCCTTTAGTGGGAAAGCCGAAGAAAAGCTCTGCCATTACCTACATTTACCTATCTAGGTAGGTATAGAACTAGTGTACAAGGAACTCAATGCCATATATTAACTCCGGTATTTCGGTATTTTAGGATGATAAACCCTCTTCAAGTCAGGTTTTTTAGGATATTCTCCATATTACACCATTCAATGGCCTTTCTCAAAAACCCACCAGGCCCGAGAGTTGGCAAGCCCCCCTTTAACTTGATCATTTTGCTCATACCTTCAAAATGCAGAGCTGTAGCATTTAAATTCTTACATAGAAACTACAGGCCCGCAATATTTTCATTAGATAATCTTTTCTCGGCAAATTTCCGTGGGGGTGTAGCTGCGTAACTTACTTCGTCTGCGCACAATATCAGCGTTTTCGCAATTGTAGCTTCGCTAATTATGGGCCTCTCGGCGGCAATAGCCGCATTTACAGACCTGATGCACTCGACTTTGTACATCATTGCAATTTGAAAGTAATCGTGGTCCGCTTGTGCTTGGTGCTCACGAAGAGTGAGGTTACGGCACGAGGATAGAAATATGCCGGCTAACAAACCACTGTCTGTGATGATAAAGGGAAGCCAATATTGCTTCACGCCTTGACGGAACAGCGCCTCCTCATCGCCATGGGGACACCAAAGTCCGGCGTTTGGGATAACTGATGTTGCATCTATGGCGAGTTAGTTGGCATACAAGGATGAAAATCCTTGAGTGGCTCGTCCGATGGTCACTTACAGTAGTCGAGGAGGAATTGCTCAAGCTTTGTTATAGGTCGGGCACAGCAATAAAGCAAGCCATTGTATACGGGGATTGCTATATTTACCGGCGAAGCTAAACTCAAATGAGAGTCTCCGCCAGCATCTACTTTCATTCTTATCTTCCTCTCGCCTCCCTTGAGCCGCAAAGCCGACGCGCGACGCGTAGCATGAATATCTCGCGCTGCGTGTGACCGAATGTTGGAAATGGTGGCCGAAGAGGTGGCATCAAGCGGATGTGCAATGTTGACGAATTCCAACTCGATCCCTTTCCTCAATGGCCTTGTTGATGGCGTCTGCGACGTGTTGTCTGCATCCAAATCATTTTCGTAGACGATATTCGACGCCGGCTGGTAGCTTCTCCAGCGGCGGATTCGCGTCGGAAGCTGCAGGCCTTTTTCGGACCGGCTTTCTACCTCTCTCATGATTGGCAATGATCATTAAATTAAAATAAATAAATAGATAAAAACCTCAGGATTGCCAAGGAGATGTTCGTGACGGATAAGTAGGCGGCAGTGGTGGTGGTCACTGGCCATGAAGTTTAAAGTGAGATTCTGACTAATGTCCGTTCTTAGCTCTGACCGCGTATCCACCTACATATTCCGAAATAGGAAATCTCGGAAATGGAGTCCTAAATCCGCGTATGTTGACAGCAGAGGAGCAGCAATGAAGATTCCTAAGGCTTAGAGATCTCTTTAGAAGCATTACCATTCTATACCATACGAGAAGAATTGATTACCAAGCAGGATTGGAGTCGGTATTCTCAGAGAACAATCTCGCCTTCACATGATTATTAATCTGCCAGTAAGTGGTTGTTCATGCGCTTGTGTGATAGCAAGGGTAGAGGAGTGCCGTTCTTTATTATTGCTTTCCTGCAATCATGTGTGCATTCGTCCTATCATTAATTACAGACAGAAGCTTATTCATATGCCTTTCTTTGAGATTTCTAGATACGTATCACAGCATGCGAGATTGTAAGAGTTCGGGGGAGAGTACAAAAGGAACCCCATCTTCACCTGACTCGTCTCAGTCTCGTCGCCATAAAACACCTCCAAGATCGTGTCCACATAAACTCTATTGTGCCTTATCACCATTCTTTACTCGTATAAACAAATATTCAGAGTCGAATAGCAGAGCACTTTTGTTCGTTTTTGCTCTACGACATACAAATTCATCGAATCATTAACATTCACCGCTACCAAGGTTACTTAACAAGTGGTGGGGGCAATATTCTCCCTCAACGTACTCGATGTTTCAAGCCAAGTATTTTGTATCTGTATGTAACAGATTCGCGGCGCCCCGATAGAAAGCATGATACTGTAGTTCAAGTTGTTCCTCCGAATCTTGGATACTGCGAGCGCCTCGATAGGCATACTCTCCATGTCCCCAGCTTATCCGGCTAGCATCCGGCGGTCATAGCACGCTCAATCAGTAGAGCAAGTTTGGCGCCCATCTACGTCTTTGCTACCTATTATCTCGCTAAGCACCGTGAGTAATTGTATGAGCCGCTGGAACAGTCGATGGCGCTGGAGACCTGATGTAGCTACCGCCACAGCCCGAAAGCCTCAATTCCGTGTCCGTGCTGGGCATATCCACCACGCAACGTTTTCTCAAGCCTCTTACCTGGCAACTGGCCGCTCCCTGAACTGCAGTCAACAGTTTGACCGTGAAATCTAAATCTCATGAGGTTACTTGTTGCAGCTATAATTACCTAAATTGACGGGAGTTTGCACGGATTAAAGTTGCGTGTGCACTATAAGTACTAATACACTCCACCTTTGTCCGATTAAGTACACGCCTCAGGATCCTCGATCCATCGTCCCGCTCCGCTCCCGTGGCTGTAGATTGAACCTTGAAACAGGAACCAGATCCTTGGAACCAGCCCTGCACAGATTCCTGTAGAAAACGGGCATGGCGTTGACGGAGGCGTGCCGCGATGCATCACATGCGTTGAGAGCGGTATTTGCATTCGCGCTGCGATGAGCGGATTTTGCGCTTAGCATGTGCACGAATTGTCCAGGCTTTCATCATGTAACTTTTTTCCTGTTTTCAATAAAGCCGCCGAGATTCTCGTAGGTGTAGTACTCTTCACTTTTCGCATTCTAGACCGTGCAGCTGTTAATAGGTACAATAACGGTGGAGGTTTAGATGGCGATTATTCTCCTAGACGGCCTGGTAATCGCTTGAATGATTTCGTATTTCGCCCTTGTGGACACTTGCTGGCCTTGGTTTCTAGCATATCTGGTCACACGGTTTGATGCTTCAAGTCCGAGAGGTTCAAGGCATTAAAAAATCGAGCCTTGAGCGTCTCGATATGCACAATCTTGATCAAGAAGCACCGAAGTGAGCTTGTTTGTTAGTGCGCGATTCATTGCAGCAGGCAGCGCCCGCTAATCTTGATACGGGCTTGTACACATGCACATATATTGACGCTTATGCCCCAACAGCGCTCCATGTTGCACACGCACGCATCTGACGGGGGTCCTCTCTGGCGCCTTTAGCAGTCCAGATGCATCAGTGGTCGCTAATACTATCTAATCTGGTCTTCACATGGCGTCTGTTGATGCCCAAAAGCGTGCAGATGACTCCTTCTCTCTGCGTTTGCAGCATGATCCAACCAAGGTATGGACTTTCTTGATTCACAGAGACGCAGCACGACCACCTTCATACTTGTTCGTTTTATTCCTCCTCGTCCTCGTCTCTTCTTCTCCCTCTCAAAACCTCTCCTCCTCCACCAAGCATTTACCACCATTTGTTCCAACATCGTCACGGTCATTTCAGCCAACGGCACCTGCAGCGGGCTCCGTCAGCAACAGCTCACCCCTCCCACGCTCCAGTCTTCGCTGCACCCTCGCTGCAAGCAACCGCTCACTTTTTTATTCCCCGATCCAAAGCCTCTCAACGCAGAGAGGCACATGCAGCTCTTTAGTACGTCACCAGCGGAGGGACCATTTAAAACACCCAACTTTTTTTCCTACCCAAAAAGGTCCCCCCCGGGAACTGCGTTGGGCAGCTCTGGCATGCAAGAAAGCATTGGCTCTTCTCTCCATCCTACAAACGTCCACATAAATTACGCAACTTGACAACTTGATTCTGTGATTCTCTGCTGGCTGCTGCAAAAACATCTCTCATTCACGGCTTTGCTCTGCTCTCCTACACTTTGCTTGCGCTTTTTGCGTCGAGGCTTCACCACCCACCAACGTCATCTTGTGCCGCAAATTCCCGACCCCTGCTCAACAAACAAGATGGGCGCCGAACCCATCAAATTCGAGATTCCCGACGAGTACCGAGTGTTTCTGCCTTTCAACCGCTTTCCGCCTGAGATCCGCCAGCAGATATGGCATGAATCCGTTTCGACGCCGGGGATGCATTTTGTGAAGCTGGAGAGCCGGGGCCGCCACTGGAGATGGATATCGCTAAACAGGCTGGCGCAGTTGATCACGCAGCAGCAGAATCCCGAAAAGGACGACGACTACGACGAGATAGCACACGAGGTCAAGAATGAAGTGACTCCCAAACGCCTGTGGGACACTCGCCTCGTGCCCGTGTCGCCAAACCAGAAATCCGACATCTCCAGCTACCATGACCTCAACAAGCAGATGGCAGCCCTCACCACCGTCTGCCACGAGTCAAAGGCCGTAGCCGACAGCTTGATGGCCAAGCAAGGCGCCCTGAAGCTGAGCAACGGTAAGCTGGTTGCCTTGGGGGGGTCGTCTGACATTGTCTTTCTCGAATATTTCCCTCCCGAGCTCTTTGAAAGCGGCTGCGGCTACGACATCGATCCCAACTGCCCCAGCCTGGACAACATACGGCGGGTGGCGGTGCGTTATTGCCATCAGTGGCAGGAAAAGCCGCTGCCGACGGTCTGCTCGCTTTGTGGGCTGGTCCACGATACGACTGGCGGCGTCATCTATCCGATTCACTTGTACCATTTCCTGGCGAGACATTTGCCCAACGTGGAGGAGTTTTACTTTGTCGACTATTTCCTTTTGCGCAAATCAGCACAGTCAGGCGCCAGTCCCGGTAAGTTTTATTTTCTGGTGTGAAAACTTGTAGGCTTCCTTCTTTCTTATACGTAGATGTGTGTATGATAGGCAAGTTGCCTACGCGCAAGTATAAGTGCGGCAACCGAACGTTTTACGAGGCGAATGACGAGCACTGGAACGTAAAGCCGCAGGTCACCAAGATGCAGACGTGGCTACAGGACAGATTCATCCGTTATGCCAAGGCAAGCCAATTGAGCCGCCACAAGAACCCGGAAAAGGTGCGGTTCGGCGTTTTGGCCTGCGAGTGGGATATCGTCCCTCCGCTGTCACTCAAGGCGCAGCCCATGCCTCCAGTTCCAAAGGGCCGTAACAAGCGTATGCTTTACGAAGAGCAAGCGCTACGTCGAAATCGCCGGCGAGTCCTGCGCCAGAAGTCGCGGAATGCGCAGCTGATGAAGTCGAGTACATTTACGGCCAATGTGCCGTTTGTATTCGGCAATCCAAACAACTCGGTTGACTTTACCTTTTCACTTGACTGGAGGCAGACGTAATGAGGATCGGATCCGGGGGAGCTCAGAGGTACAAGGTTTTCATTTGTCGGACTGGATTGGTCATATCACGGAATGGGAATGGAGCTTAGAGGACAAAAGGCGCAAAATGGAATACAAGTGGCAATGGTCAAACACACAAAAGAAAAAAAGGCGAGAAATAACGGAAAAGGGGTGCGAGCTGTACGATAACGAGATTGATTAAAACAAATACCCTAAGAAGTGGACGACTAATATTGCTACTATACTTGAACAGTTGAATTACAAGTTTTTTTTGATACAAGGGTAGTCTGAATGATGATGCGTCTATGATGTATTTCTACGAAAAGTTTTACTGTTAATTTCATTATAAGAATCCCTTTACAGCTTCCCAAAATGCGTCTGGGTCCTCGGACATGGGCAAATGTCCTGTGTTGGGAACAATTTTGAGCTCAGTGCCGTTTGGTCCAAACAGGCCTGTAAATCCTTCCATTGCTTTTACCAGCACTCCATTGGCGTCGCCATCGCCAACTACAAATAGTCCTGGGACAGAGCACGACGGCATATCAGGCTTCATGTCATAGTCGGAAAGAGCGGTGCAGCTATGTTTAAACCCGTCTACACTGTTTTCAGTGACCATTTCCGTCATCCGCTTGACGAGATCCGGCTTTTCCATGGACGCCGGGTGGAACCAGCGGGCAATGGTGCGTTCGGCGAGCTGGTGGATGCCGCGGCCGGAATCCTGCTCGGCGATGGCGACGCGGTCTTTCCATGCCTGAGAGTTTGCGGACGAGGAGGCGGCGTTGAAGTCGCAGGCGATGAGCTTGTCTAGGCGCGAGGGATATTTGAGGGTGAAGTTGAGGGATGTGGCGCCGCCCATGGAGACGCCGATGAGAGCGTGCAGTCTTGGGATGCGGAGGGCGTCCAGGACGGCGAGGAGATCGTCGGCGAGAGTGTGGAGCGTTGCCGAGGTGGGAGGCTGTGGGATGGCGTGTCGGCCGCGGGTGTCGTAGCGGAGGATGCGGAGGTCTGGACGATGGAGCTTGAGGATGTCGACGAAGGCGTCCCACATGTGGAGAGAGGTGAGGAGGGAGTTGCAGAAGGCGACTGTGGGGGCGGTTGGCGAGGGATTGCCTTGTAAGCGGTAGGGAATGGCGAGAGAGTCTGGGGTGGTGATGTATGAAGCGAGGATGGGAGCTGGGCCGGCGATTGTAGACGTCTTGGAGTCTGCCGCCGTGAAGGACGCTGCCGGGGGGAGTCTCGATAGGTGGTCGAGATCTCTTGGAGCAGGGCCAAAGGTGTAGAAGAGAGAGTATATGCGCCTCTTTCTGGATGCGACCGAGTTGTCAAAGTCGTCGTTCTTCCAGGAGCCGTCGGTGGCAGCCTTCTGCTCTGCAGCCTGCAAGCCATTGTCCTTGGCAAAATCGTGAAAGGTCAGGAATTTAGTGGGCAGGTCCGGCTCGAGGCTCGAAGTGATAAAGAGACGACTTCTTAACCAGCCGGGGATCTTGGACAGAAATGGAATGTGCTCTTGGATGAACCATTTCTTGAACAGGGCCTTTGCTTCAGGCGTGTCCTCGAGGGTGATTTCGGTAGCGACCGCCACGAGGCCCTCTGCTTCTTCGTCCGTCAACTTGTCGACCGGCATAAAGAGGGGCGATTCCTCGCCATGCACAAGGTCGTAAAAGTACCGCGAGACGTCCACCTGGCCAATGGTCGCGGCCTCTCGCGGGGATCGATTCGCGCGCAGCGTCAGGTACGTCTCGGTCTCGAGATGCGCCATGTCGGTGACGTCGTAGGCCGCGAGGAACTCGGGCTGCTGGCCGTCGGCAGCCCGATAGCGCAGGCCATTGGCGAAGATTTGCGGCAGCCGCAGTCGCGTAGGGCCGTGTTCGTTGTTGTACCACTCGTGGAACTGGTCGAGCGAGAGACCTGGCCGCGGCTGCATCGTGACGTAGAGGTTGCCGGGGGGAGCCATTGCGGGGGTGGTGTTTTTTTTTTTGCCTTTGCTGGAGCTGTTTTTCCGCTGTTGAAAAAAGAAGAGACGAAGAGAGAAACTGAAGCCAAATGCTATCTGCCTGTTATATAGGAGTGTATAGAGACGAGAAAATCGCCGGAGCAGCCTGTTCTGAAGCGAGACATTTCGTCCGGGTAAACATTTAGCTTTCGGTGCCAGAGTGAGATGTGGCGCTCGAAAAAGGAACCCCGCGATGTCTCGGCAATTGGAGTCGGAGCTGGAGCCCCACGTGGATTCTGGAGCCGGACCGGTAATATGGAGCTCCAGCTGCCAAACGGCGTCGAAAAGTGTCAAAAAGGTCCCTGAATTTAGACTGGTGATTCACTAGGCTAAGATCTATGCACGTCTTGACCCTTCTCCTCTTCATCTTCAACGCATCGTCAAGACGACGCAGCAAACACTCCAGCATCGTTGCACCACCTGCAGCTTCGCCCCGTCGCAGAAGACACAGCGCAGAATGGCACGGCATCACCAGTCCCGGCGATTAGGCACCAGCCTCTGTCGTCTGCATCCACGGCCACCGCAAAGACGTCGAGCGGGCAGCATTCTGGGCCTCTAGCCACTCACCACCTGGACCGCAACGTACCACGCGCCGCTCCCATCAGCCTCTCAGCCAACGGTGTTGAGCGTACAAATCCATAAATCCCCGTCTGTTGTATGCTGTATGCAACCCCACCTCACGCCTGCTGCCGTGGTTCGGCCAATGGCGCCGTGGTGGAGCTCGCGTGGGATGAGCCCGGATCAACCCCTCAATTGACGCTATCACGCTGTAACGAATTGAATCCGCAGTCTCTTCACATCCTGCGAGCTTGGCTGGCCTCCCGCCTTAGTGTCGGCTGCTGGTTGTGAGGTGGTACGACTGGGCGCTGATAAAGAGAGGCAAATGCAGCCGCTTCCCCCTCAGTTTTGTTTCTTCTTTTACTTGCAGGACATTCCTCTCTTTTGTCCTCTGGGCGAGCCCAAGAAACATTCTGTCCGTCACAGCGTTTCTAAGAAACGTCGCGATGGAGCTGTTCTTGACCAATGTGCCCGCTCATCTGTCCGATGACCGGCTCAGGACCGAGCTTGAGCCCCACACAAGAGTCTTGGGTGTTGTCGATTGGCTCTGCGATAAACCCAAGGGAAAGGCTCATGCCTGGATCTCTTTCGTTTCCGAAGCTGAGGGGAAGAGGTTTCTGCAAAAGCACGAGAGCGTCAATACTCCGACGCAGCCAAAGATATTCCAAAATGACAAGAGGTCGTCTCAGTCCAAGGCCAAGGGTGTGGCAAGACTACATATACTCAAGACTCCTATCTATGTCAAGAAGAGCAAGAGAGAAGTCGATAAATTCACGCTTCAGGCTCTAGAGTATCAGAAGGACCAGCGAAAGGAATTGGCTGAGGACCTCAGCAGAAGGGCTTCAAAAGACTCAAACAACAGCAAAAACAACACCAACACCAACACCAACAGCAGCAGCAACACCAACAACAACAACAATAGCAGCAGCAGCAACAACAGCAGCAGCAACAGCAACAGCAACTCCACCATCAGCACGCCTATCCGTGGCATCTCTTGCGGCAAAAACATATTCGCAGGCGAGTCTGATACTCTGGTGTTTGTCCAGCAGAGCAGTAGCAATGTTAAAGGCGTTGCAAAGTTTGGCCGCCGCGCCTTGATCCTCACACTCGGACAGGAATTCCGAGTCGACATTGCCTATGACACCATTCAAGATCTCATAGCCGGAGTATCTGATAACTCGTTGACTTTCGTCTTATCCGAGACTCCTAGGTTCTACGAGGTGCAGGCAGCCACGCCAACGCAGCCTGGACATGCTTCACATTTTCCGAAATGGGAACGGCAAACGCACATAAGCACATGGCCTGCTCACGATAAATATGTAGCTCATTGTCTAGTCTACCAGATAACACTGGCTTCGCATTACGCGGAAACCCTCGAAACGCTAAAGTCTCGGAATGTCATTGCTGTCACGAGACAAAATTTGCCTGTACTGAGGAACCCTAAGCCCTTTGACCAAGATTACACTACTAGTATGAGCAGGTTCGAAGGCTCTATTGGGAGTGCTGGTTCAGGGAGAACAAAATTGCTGCCATTTGCTATCCTGTTCCAAGTCCAGGCATTAGTGTGGAACAACTACTTACATCCAGCCATCGCGACCAAGCTGCTTCACCTCATGACTTCAGTAGCCAGAGACTGCAAGAGATCGGGCACTCCGCTACCATTCACTACCGATGCCATGAAACAACTGTATCAGAAAATCCCATATCCTTGTCCTGGAACTGAGCCCCAAGATCTTTTTGAGGGGGAGCTGGCATCCATCGTTGTCGAAGCTGAACGGGCTCTCCGTAACGAGGACCAAAAACGAACCTTACACTACGGCGCACAGCTACCTAGACACCAAGCTTGGATTTTGAAAGCAATGGTCACTCCAACTCGCATTACGCTGCATGGTCCGGACGCCGAGAGCATGAACAGAGTCTTGCGAATGTTCCCAAATCACTCGGATTACTTTATGCGAGTCATATTTGGGGATGAAGATGGCCAGGACTTGGCCCTGACCTCAAACGTCAAGAACACATTAGTCTTTGAGCGATACAGAAAGATCCTCAAGGACGGAATTCAGGTTGCCGGTCGAAAATTTGAATTCTTGGGCTTTTCACATTCATCTTTGCGTTCACATTCCGCATGGTTTGTTGCAGCCTTTGTTGACGATTCAATGAACCTTCAGAATAACGACACCATCATCAAATCACTCGGCGACTTTAGCGATATTCGCATTGCCGCAAAATGCGCAGCGCGCATTGGCCAAGCTTTCTCCGAGACTCCTTACGCTGTGCCAATCTTGAAATGTGGCATCAACATCGAGTACATTGACGACGTCAAGACTGCAGATGGCAAGCGCGTTTTTAGCGACGGCGTCGGAACCATCTCGTGGGATGCCATGGAGGAGGTATGGGACCATCTCCCGAAAGCCTCGTCAGAAGCCACCTGCGTTCAGGTCCGCCTAGGGGGGATCAAGGGCATGCTCTCGCTTGACTCTCGTTTGAACGGAAAAGTCATTTGTGTGCGGAAAGAATCCATGATGAAGTTTCCCAGCAAAGACCAGACGGAAATGGGCATCTGCGACACTGCCTCCAAGCCGATGCGCACGTATTTGAATCGCCAAACCATCAAGATTCTAGAGGACATGGGAACAAATTCTGAATGGTTTATAGATCAGCAGAACAAGGCACTCAACGTACTACGAAACGTCACTACCACAGCGGCAAACACTAGCACTTTTTTGAAGAATCAGATGGTCGGTACCACTGCGGGCCTTCCCAGGCTCATAAGATACCTCAGTACAATTGGAATCGATTATCGCCGAGAAAGGTTTATGAAAAAGGTCGTGGATCATACCATTTTGCGAGAGCTGCGTCTGTTAAAGCACAAGGCCCGGATTCCCGTGGACATGGGAGTCACTCTCTTTGGTGTTATGGATGAAACAGGCTTCCTAGAAGAGGGCCAGATTTACGTTACCTTTAATGAAAGCCATGACCATCTCCAGGGTCGAGTCAAACGGTCGCTCAAGGATGGGACCGTTCTCGTAACTCGCTCGCCCGCCCTTCACCCTGGAGATATTCAACTTGCGCGAATGACGACACCACCACAGGGGCATCCGCTTCGCAATTTAAAAAACTGCGTCGTCTTCAGCCAGAAAGGGAGCCGCGATTTACCAAGCCAGTTGAGCGGAGGAGATCTTGATGGAGACTTGTACAATGTCTTTTGGGATCCTTTTGTGATCCCCAAACAATATTTTGGCCCGGCAGATTACCCAAGAGTGAAGCCGCCGGAACTGGATCGAGCGGTGACGCGCGATGATATTGCCGATTTTTTTGTCAAATTTATGGAAGCAGACATCTTGGGCATCATTGCCAACAGGCATCAGATGCTGGCTGATTACCAGGACGAAGGAACGCTAAGCGCAGACTGCGTCGACCTCGCGGAGATGCATTCGACTGCGGTCGATTACTCCAAGACCGGTATTGCAGTCAGGCATCAAGACATGCCAAAGCCACCACGGATGCGGCCGGATTTGTGAGTTTGCATCTCCTACTTCTCTCAACCTCACTTGCCCTTCTCTGCCTACTAACTGTTGTTGTTTTTTTAATCAGTCTCGCCCCCGCACCTCCGACTCGTTTGTTTGATCGTGGTGAGATTGACCACATCGGAGATCCAAATGAAAACGAAGATGACGAAGACGGAATGGGAATGGCCAAGCACAAATACTACAAGTCGTTGAAAATACTGGGCGAGCTGTACCGCGGCGTGGACGAGAAGAAAATCTGGGCCAATGATGTCCAGCGCCCTGTTGACATGAGCGGGCCGCCGCTGTGGGATCAACTAAGCATCCATGTGCGGAATGCCTTGTGGGAAGAGGGATATTCCACGTTGGATATTGACTATAGGCGTCAGATTGACCATGCGTGGAAAATTCGCGATCTGTAAAGCTCCTGTGGATTCATTTTACGGATAAAATAACTAACTTGCGCACAAATAGGTACGAATCATCCGTCTCCAACAACATGTGGCAGTTTTCGTCCAACCCCCGCGTCCCCATCACAGAAGTGGAAGCTTTTTGCGGTTCAATCTTGAATCCCAAGGGTAGCCAGACCAGGCGAGAACGGGACTCGTCCATCAAGCTGAAAGATGAGATGGACAATGTCATGAGCCATATGGTGAAACTCATCAGTGATCGCAGCGGAGGGGTCACAAACGCAGATGACGCCTTATCCGTCATGAGCGACGACGATGAAATAGGCGAAAGGAGGGCGATGAATGCGATAGAATTGTCCTGGGCATGTATGATTGTGGGCAACGATAAGGCTCTGGACAAGAATTATCGTCAGGACGAGTTAAAGCTGGAGAGCTTTCGAGTGGTGGCGGCGTGCTGCCTGGTGAAGGAGCTGAATGAGCTTTTGACGAGGAAGAACTGGGGGCGGATGTTGAAGACGAGCGGGGGGTTTGTTGGGGTGTCGTCGGGCAACCGCAATCGACAGCATGGGCCGTTGCCGATACGATGATGATGAAGGTAGATTGTTTTTTGGGTATTCTGATGAAGTTATGACTCAACGTACTCTGTACGTGATTGGAGATGTGTGGCTATGTTATGGTATGTACTGAACGGGTAAGGAGATTATGGTACAGAATGACAACAACAACTTGACAGTCTTATTTCTAGCCAGTCTTTAGCATCATGGCTACTAGTGAAAAGAATAAAATTAAAAATAGTTTAGTCAAAATGATTATCGGTATAAGACGGAAAAACACATATCTCGCTTGGGGGGGCGCTTGGCTTAACTCTGGTCCAATTTACTCTGCAACCTGGACGAGATTTACGCACGTGAAGCGGCTAAATATAGGGCCTAGACGTGATGTTGCACCAGATGAAGCCTTCTACAGATGTTTGAGTATCAATTGACTTTAAGCGCAACTTATGCATCGGGCACTGCGCTGCAATGCCAATGAGATAGTATTCTACTGAGAACACCGGGGGAAGTTCCCAAAGTAAACATCGATCATAGCATCAGTGACTACTAAGTAATTGTCTCCGAGCGGTGTCCGGGCGGCTTTTCGACTAGGCGAAAATTCCTGCACCGCGTACGAGTATGTATTCTATAGTAGCTGGGACTCTATTCAGCAGATGAAGAAGTGATGTTAGTTGCAATGCTTTGCTTGTCCCTTTAGATGCAATTGACTAATCATGACGAGATTCCATCTGACCTAGCTGGTAAAGAGCCAAGCTATAGTCTAGGAAATGGAAGATGAGATGCTTTTTCTTTTCTCTTCCTTTTTCTTGTGGCTTGCGTGGCTGTTTTAGGAGCAACATTTTGGCCTAGATACTCGGCGTGGGCGATAACAAATGATGTCGGGGTCTGTGGGGTAGCATTTAGTCCAGTGTTTGAAGAAGATTTGTTTAGGTTACATGGTGATGAACTATTCAGTGAATCTCAACGAGTCTTTCGATCACAACGTCCATGATACACCCATCTATTCAGTATCTAACTCTGTGTTTCCTGGCATATTAACATCTGGACTTGCAGCCAATTGAGAGGCAAAAAGTGAAAATTCAGAGTAGCCAGAGCGATCTAGGGTAGCAACGGAGTGGCCGGCACGTGATGAGCTCAGCAGTCGCCACGCGCGGTACGTACCGGCAGGCGCTATCCAGATTTTCTTAGCGCCAAAAAAAACTGCAGGTAAGAAAAAAAAAATATCTTAGGCGCAGACCGAATCCCCCTGCTTTCCGATTTCTTTCTCTTCAACAAACTCTCCAGACGGCATTCTCTGGCCTCTCCTCTCTCTTTCTTTCATTCCCGCGTTCATCGCACACCAGAGACTACTCATCAGGACTGTCTGTCCTCGGTTTCGCTGACGCGTTTCATTTCATTCTCTCTGCTCGCCTGTTGACCCCTCGAGTATTGCCCTGACAACCGCGTTTTCCCTATTTCTTTGTCCAGAGACCCTTTTCTTCACAACCACCACAACTTCATCGACAGCATGTCTGGCTACGGCGGCGGTCGATCCAACGGCGGCGGTTACGGAGGCGGCGGCGGCGGTGGTGGTTACGGTCGTGATCGCGGTGATCGCGGCGATCGCGGCGGCGACCGCAACGGCCACGGAGGCGGTGGATATGGCGGAGGGTAAGTTTGACCACCTAATTCTGATATCATCCCTATCTTTGAATCGCAAGGGTGTGGAATGGCGGGGACTCAGGTCCCTCCGCGATACACGCTTGTCGGTTGGAAGACTTGCTTTCTGCGGCTCAACCGACAACACTCTCTTCTCTCTATTGGAGGCAGCCAGATGCTAACATCGTTTTGCATAGCCGTGGCGGATTCGGCAATGGACACGGCGGCGGATTCGGAGGCGGTGGCTATGGTGGAGGTGGTGGTGGTGGTTACGGAGGCGGCGGTGGTGACCGAATGGGCCACCTCGGCGCTGGTCTGCAAAGACAAGAATGGGGTATGTCTTTCTCTGTGTTTCTCACCGAACTTTGGTGTTTTTATTTTATTTAATTGGTTTTCTTCGCAACGTCTCGCTAACTTTTGAATTACCAGATCTATCCACTCTTCCCAAGTTCGAAAAGGACTTCTACAAGGAGGCTCCTGAAGTCGCCGCTCGCGACGCTGCCGAAGTCGAAGCGTTCCGTCGCAAACATCAGATGACCATTGCCGGCTCAGATGTTCCCAAGCCCGTCGAGACCTTTGACGAGGCTGGATTCCCTCGCTACGTCATGGATGAGGTCAAGGCTCAGGGCTTCCCTGCTCCTACCGCCATTCAGTCTCAAGGATGGCCCATGGCTCTTTCTGGACGTGATGTTGTCGGTATTGCCGAGACCGGTTCCGGAAAGACTCTCACATACTGTCTTCCCGCCATTGTTCACATCAACGCTCAGCCCCTCCTGTCCCCTGGTGACGGCCCCATCGTCCTGATCCTCGCCCCCACTCGTGAGCTTGCTGTCCAGATTCAGCAAGAAATCTCAAAGTTTGGTCGCTCATCACGCATCCGCAACACCTGTGTCTACGGCGGTGTCCCCAAGGGTCCCCAGATTCGTGACCTCTCCCGCGGTGTCGAGGTCTGCATTGCCACTCCTGGCCGTCTCATCGACATGCTCGAGGCTGGCAAGACCAACCTTCGTCGTGTAACTTACTTGGTCCTCGACGAGGCTGATCGCATGCTGGACATGGGTTTCGAGCCCCAGATTCGCAAGATTATCGAGCAGATTCGACCTGACCGACAGACTCTCATGTGGTCCGCTACATGGCCCAAGGAAGTCCGTGCTCTCGCCTCCGACTTCTTACAGGACTTTATCCAGGTCAACATTGGTTCCATGGAACTGGCTGCCAACCACAGAATTACCCAGATTGTGGAGGTTGTCACCGAAATGGAGAAGAGAGACCGCATGATTAAGCATCTGGAAAAGGTCATGGAGAACAAGGAGAACAAGATCCTCATCTTTGTTGGCACCAAGCGTATCGCCGACGAGATTACCCGATTCCTTCGCCAGGACGGCTGGCCCGCTCTCTGTAAGTCAACTCACACAGACAAAGTCTTGTCTCTCAAAATGATGCAAGTACAACATCAGCTAATATTCGTCTAGCAATTCACGGAGACAAGCAGCAAAACGAGCGAGACTGGGTCCTCGACCAGTTCAAGACCGGAAAGAGCCCTATCATGGTTGCTACCGACGTGGCATCCCGTGGTATCGGTATGTATCAGTCCCCCTCTCCCCCCATCTCCAGCAACTTCCAGCAAAAGCACTTGCTGTATACTTTACTCTCGCGTTTAGGGGCTATCTTTATTGTGCGAAACTGCCTGACCAGACGGTATCCGTATGGTTCCCATTATGTGGTGGAGTCTTGATCCGTTGTGTAGCTTTCCCACCGCACTGCTATACTCGTATTTCCATTCTTGTACCTTGCTCACTCCCGTGGTACAAAGGGTGGAGGTTGGCATCTCTTGACCCCGATCAAGCTGTCTCCCCAAGGCTCCTTGAAATTCCCTTTGAGGACTCCTGTGATCACATAATATGTTTCTCCCCCCCAAAGGAGGATGGATGGCATTTTGAACGCACTTGGATTTGGCCCTGGTCTACCAAGGAGTGAAGTTGCACAGATGGACGTTAATATATAATTACGCCGTCTCTTCACGTTCCGAGCTGGAGGTTGCTATACATACCCGTATTTCGTTTGCTAACCCTTTCTTTTTCTTTGTAATCCAAAAGATGTTCGCAACATCACCCATGTGTTGAACTACGACTACCCTAACAACTCGGAGGATTACATCCATCGTATTGGCCGTACCGGTCGTGCTGGCCAGAACGGAACTGCCATTACGCTCTTCACCACTGACAGTAAGTTTCAATCCTGCTATTCTCATCATGGGGGAGAAGTGCTAATCATATTGCCAAAACAGACCAGAAGCAGGCTCGTGATCTCGTCAATGTGCTCCAGGAAGCCAAGCAACAGATCGATCCTCGTCTGGCTGAGATGACCCGCTACGGTGGTGGTGGTGGCGGCCGCGGCTACGGCGGTTACCGTGGCCGTGGAGGCGGTCGCGGTGGATATCGTCGATGGTAAATTGCGCCAAAAAGCCCCTCTAGGAGTGACAACGGTCTATCAGCCAACTCCAACAACTACCCACTGGGCAACCGTCGGTGGTAAGACAGAAGAAGACCTGCGCGCATACCCACGCAGCGGACCGGACAAGTGCAACTCATCAGAGTTTAGAATGAATGCGCCATGTCCTGGATCGCATGATACAAAAACGTGAACGGCCCAAAGCACTCAAACGGCGTTTGATAGAGGACAGGATTGGTTTCAATTAGACACTGGCTCGCATCCTTGCGTAGTCACCGGTTATTTGGTTTTTGCTGTGGACGGATATTTTCTTGCTTTTGTTTTTGCTCATTTTATTAACCCTTTTTTCTTTTTATTTTAATGGTTTGAACGTATATCACATAAGGACACGGAAGAAGGTGCTCCATGGTTATCGGTCACTTACTTGGCCATGATGTTTGATGTATCTCTCGACATCAGCTATATGCCTCGGGGTTAACAAATGTATGTTGATAGAAAAAAATATGAGGTCTGAGAGGACACGCATTTGGGCAGAATGTCTTTGTTTTTGCTACAGTGAAGTCAAGACTGCACATGAGATGTGAGATGTGAGATGTGTTGCCGATGCATTCAAGTTGCAGTAGCTGGCGTAGAGTTTATCTGATTTGGTGTTCCTGTTGGAGTGTCTTTGATGCTTGTCCATTCGTCAGCTACCAGTAGAGTCGAGTTCATGACAGGCTGTCCATCTATAGTTGTAAGATTGCTTGTGTTTGGAACATGGAACTGGCTCCAGTATCGCTCACGTCCTTATTTGCGCTAGCCTTGCACATGGATTGATGGTATCCAAAGGCCATCCATCACAACTACCGTTCAAACATATCACAACTCACCTTTTGTGCAAAGACCTTGTCGACGCACCTTGCCGATTCCAGCACCTATACACACCATCTACGTGATCCTTTCCGGCGTTGAATAGACCAATCCCATTTACGGAAGATATTAACCAACCTTTTTTTTTTTTCATCTTTACACTTTCTCATTTGTTACGGCCTTTAATCCCTGTGTATGTTTATGTAGTGTGATATACGTGAATACAGCACCTGGTTATTCGCCTTGTTTTTTTCCCATTCGTCTATTCACTCAGCCACCAACTTGCCTTCCTTCACTCAACTCTAAACAAAAAAAAAATCCTTCTGCCACACCAACAAACAATTGAACTGGCACACAGTCACACTCTTCTCTCTCTCGCACACACGCCCCCCCCCCCTTTCTCTGCCAAGCGAGCGCAAAGACGCGTCCGTGCGGGCGTGTTGGACGGTCGTTGCTTTGAGCAAAAGAAAAGAAAAAAAGGAGCAACAAAAAAAGCCACATGCACATGCAGATGCAGACGTTGGGTGTAGGCATATTTTGCTCCTTTTGTAACTCCTTTTGTTTTAGGGGGTTGGTGTGTGTGCGGTTTCTTTTTTTAGGAGCGGTTGTTTATCCAAGATTGGAAATGAGTCTATTTTGTATTTATATATATGCATGTATATGGTTCTTGATAGGTTCATTCGTACTTTTTTTTTCTTTCTTTTTTTCGTATAATATACCCTGTTTCTGTCTCTCTATTCCTCTCTTATTTGCTAAACATGCAAGGGGACGCATCCTTTTGCTAGTATTCAATCTGCTCTAAACCTCAACAAGCAAAAGGAAAAGAAGTAGAAGAAGAAAAACAAACTAGCATCGCAATCCTTGCCCGGAAGGATCGAGATTCCTTCTTTGTTTTTTTTCTTTTCTTTTTCTTGTTTCGCCTTTCGCCTCTTTCCCCCTGCTATGTACCATCGGGCCTTTTGTCTATACTGTAACTAAAACTTTCCGTTATGCATGCTCACTTTTTGCTATTATTGTAAGACTGGATATTTGTATTCCCCCCTTTTTTGCTGTGTCTTTTTCCCCATTCTTTCATCTATAAAAAAAGAAGAAAAGGAGAATAGGGCGAGGCTGAGCTAGGAGCTGAGAGCTGAGCTGCATCAAACAGGGATCAAGCAATATAACCTTGCCTAGTAGGCACTACTGTACGAAGCGCATGCCATCATATGTATTCCAATCATTGTTATTTATTCCATTCCATCGCCATGTGTTGTTCCCCCGACCCCCTTGTTGCTTTTATACTTTGCTTGCTTGCTTTCCTTTCATCTACACTCTTTGTTACTTTCTCCGTCTTACATACAAAACAACAAAACATCCCAGTCGTCCAAAAAGAGAAGAAGGCGACAAAACCCTCCAAAAAAATGATAACTGACATGAAATGGAGATAAATAAAAAAAAATATAAAAATAAAGCAGACCCCAGCCCCCCAGATGTCATGCAACCCTCTCCTAAGTGGTTGAAGCTCTTCACACACACAAGCGCACATGCACCCATAAATAATACCATGTACGAAAAATCCTATAGGGCGGAAGGATTCTTTCCCATGGCTTCGCTTCGCTCTACTGACTGGAATAGTATGCTCGTACGAGCTGGCATTACTACTACAGGCGAAAAAGTATAGCCCCCCCTCCCTCGAAAACAAAGTGAGGAGACAAAATCCGGTCAGCAGACGAGAAAAGAACAAAGTTGTCATCCCATATCAGTCCATTCTTGTCAGTGTCAGGAGCTTGAGGCAACATACTCCAATGAGATGAAAAAAAAAAATGTATAATGTAAAGTATACAAGTAAGACGACGAGGCGGCACAAAAATAATAATTGCTTGGCAAAACTCACTACCTTGTTTTACTGTTTACTTATCACGTCCGTGTCATATATCCAAGGGGGGGGGTTCTACCTACAAAAGAAAAAGTAAATGTACATTTACCGAGCCGGTCATAGCCAAAGGTCCCGCAAAATCCTTCCAAGACATCGGCGAACTGAAAAAAAAAAATCCTATAAGAATAGACAAGGATTCTGCTTCATTGTCTCAACAGCTGTCAATAGTTACAGAAAGAAAAAAAAAGGCCAGTTGGTCGGCCACGTCCGTGTCTCTGTTGGTTGGAACTGCAAGCCGGTGAGCTCCGACGCCGAGGAATTTGAACTATTTCCTCCCTGCAGAATTTTATAAATGCTGGGACTAGGTTGAATCAATGCTTACCCGGTAATCTGGAAAGCCGCGACGATGATTCTCTTTTTTTTTTAAAATAAGAAAACTCCACAGATAACACCGACATCAAGCCGCCCGAGTGACATACACGCATTTCTGCTTTAATGATACTAAAACCCTCTTCGTTTCAATTACAAACAAGATATATATCTACAATACATAAGCAGTCCCTTGTAATCCACCCTTTACATTTGGAATCTTCATCCAATAAAACGCATCACATCAAATCAAACCTTGAAATCATCCAAACAATGACTCGTACACACACACACAAACCACATCTCTCTCCCCCCAAAAAAGGAAACCCCCATCATTCGTTCTCCATTCATCTCAAAACCAATACAAAAAAAAAACACAAAAAGTAAACCAAGCAAACAAGGCAACTTTACCGCAGCTGAACAACTAGTCCCCGACCATCCCCTTTTCCCCCATTAGGCATGGAACGAACCAACACCACAAGGCGCACAAAATTGCCCAAAAAACGAGGCGTAATACTTTTCTCTCAAGCCCTCCCCATAATTTATTTTGGGGAGGCCCCATTTCTCCATTTAGTATATCAAAAAGAGGGAAATGGCAAGACCCCTCGAAATGGGCAAGTTCTCCAGGGAGGTGAGATTTTGAGCCTCCTCCTGCCTGGGGGCAACCGTAATCGGAGAACCAACTTACTTCAACGCCCGCTCGAAGAATATCTAACGTGTGTGAATTACCCGATATAGAAAATACATGACATATGAGCATTCTAGGCCTACAAAGTGGATCTGTACAGAGTACAGACACAGCGTTTGGCAAACAACAGTTCCAACGCAAAGGGGGCGTGCCGGCAAGATTTTGCAAATATTGAACAATTAGAGATACTATATATGGAGCAATTCCAAGCAGGTAGAAAACGCGATAAGAAGGGGGTAGTAAATGTTGGAATTTCAACCGCAAAAATTCATACCCTCCCAGAGACTGGAGACATCTCCATCTCCTCCTCTCTCTCTTCAGTCCATAGCCGTCACACGCAAAGCATTCACCTACAGGATACCTCACTCCGTAGGACGCACATATACAGTAACCACTGCCAGGAAATCCAAGGGTATTCAGGAAAACGCCCGTATGTCAAAACAAACATACTGTAGCGTGCAAGTAAAAGCCTCCATTTTTTTTCCCTTCACCGAATCGTATACTACTACTATAATAGAACAGCTGGGAGGGGAAAAGAAGAAAAAAAGCCCAGGCTCCCCCCTCCATTGTCATGCACGTCTTTGCCCCGATTTTGAAAAATAAATTATGGAGAGAGAGAGAGAGAGAGAGAGAGCCACAATTTTTTTCTTCTTCGTTCTCTCTTTTTCAGCCTCTACCCTTGTCTAACGCCCACAGTGCATTCAAATCTCATTTCAAATAAGAAAGAGATAAAAACAAAACACACATATACACACACACACCCTGGTCAAAACGATTAATCAATTTTCTATTTTTTCCCTGAGGCTGAAAGGATTGGTGATGGCCCGATGAAGAGAGGGGAAGCGCGCAAAGAGACAAAAAATACCACCCTCAAAGTATATGGTCGCCGAATGGAAAGTCAGTCGAATGCACATGTAACAGGGGTGACAGGCAATCACAGAGACGAGACCCAAAGAGACCCCAGTAATCCCTCCTCCGCTTGCTCGCAGAGAGAGTTTACCTGCCTCCTCATCTGCGGAATGTTCTCCGCTGTCTTATCCTTTGAAATCAAATCCATGCCGGGACGGGCGTAGTAAGCACGTGGTCAAAAGTGGCGTTATGCTGTAGGAGGAGAGGGAAGAGAAATACAGTATATGTTGAAAGGAGGGGGAGGAGAGACTCTGGGACCGAGGATTCAGAAGGAAGCTTCTTCATACGGCATTTCGTAAAGCTTTCCCAGACAGATGGTTCCTTCAGCGTCGCATTGGAAGAAATGAACTGGCAAGGGAGAAAAAGACCCGTGTGTGGGCAAGGCATGTGAAGCGGGATCTCCACGCTGAGACGAGACGCGTCCGAAAAGCACAGCTCTCTCAATCGAGCCAGGGATGAGCCGAGCTAGCTAAAAGCCAAGACACAAGGAAAGACTGGCGACCAGGTTCAGTCAAGGGGTGTAGCAGTGGCTAGCCAGCATCGCGATAGCCATGGCCCATGGGTCAGATGCCTCTTAATCAACCTTATATATCCAGTCACCAGTTTATGAATCTCTCACACATCCATCCACGCTGCCTCTGGCTTTCTATCACGTACTCATACATCTGCCTCTCACTCATGCCACTTGGCGTGTGATGTGCCAAGCCCAGGTCAAGAAGTGTGTTGTGTGTGACTGGGGGGGCTCAATGCAGACAAGGGAGAGGAGAGAGAATAACATGTGTGATTCGTCGTCACAGCACAGGTGGAAAAAGACGGTGGTTGATATTTTGATCCTGAGCTGCACATGTAGGCAGGATCGTTATGCCTTGCTCGGTACCGTCACATCCCAGCTTGTCAACCTGGCAAGCATTACGAGCAGTCCGATGTCCGTACAGGATACAGGGCAAGGTAGCATTAGTCGAGTTGACCGTCTTTTTCGCTTCCGATTCCTGACCCATGGGCTGAACTACAAGCCCACAAAAAGACAACCTGAATAGAGGAGAGAGGCAGGCGCGAGAGAAAATAAAAGGCGCGAACCTGGGCGACCCCAATGACCCAATGACTGGGATGAAAGAAGAGAAAGGAAAAGGCGGTAATGGACCAATAAGATTAGAGAATATCCCCAGAGAGAGTCAAGGGGACCCATAACACAGATAACTGGGTCGGGGGTGCCGAGATGAGTCAAACAGGAAAATGGGGTTTTAGCACGTTCGCCGACGAGCTGCAGGTAAAGTATCTATACAGTGTACAATAAGAAACAGCGCGTTCCCCACATTATGAAAAAAAGAGGAAGAGAAAAAAAGATCGGATGCTACAGTAGCTCTTGGACGTAGCCCTCCGTTAAGGCCAGGTAGGTAGTAATTGCCTTCTCCATAATGCTGCAGCTGCAGCTGTGGGAGGGGGGGGCTGCGAATGGATTGGGGAATGTCACAGTCGCCGTCGTCCTGCGGATGGCGCTCTCGTCAAGGGTCAGATGCAGCCAGAGACAGGGACTTCAAAGTACAGTAAACCAAGTTTTTTTGAAGCCAAGGCAAAATCTCCCATTGGCGGCGGCGGGGATGCTGAGGGCTGGACAAATGAAGAACCAGCAAACGCGACTGGAAAATGGAGGGGTGTGTAAAAAAAAAAAAGCAATCGTGGACGCGAGCCTCTGTCTCTCAAGAAGAAAAAAAAAAAGACGGGTCATCTCTTCCCTCCCTTGCTGAGTCTCTTAGTCATGGGGATAGAAGAAAGAGGGGGAGCGAAGGGCCCTGACTCGGCAAAATGATATCCTTGAAACGTCAAGGGAATCCCTATGAGAACAGCCGCACAAGGGTCAGTATAGGTGAATCATTGAGGTTGGGGAGAGGTCCGGTTCCCACCAGCAGACGTCATAGGATTTGGTAAACAAGCAGAGCAGCCCAGTGCCAATCTGAACGGCGAACCCCGGCCGAGGTGGCTGAAACAGTTATCAAAGCCCAAGGACCGAGGCTTTTTGAGCTGTCCTCCTCTCATCTTGACATATGCCTTGGGGGTATCGTGTCCTCCTCGCTCTCGGCTCCGTGCTGTCAAGGTTGCTGTGTCCGGGAGCATGTGAGCTCACTTTTTTTTTCGTCTCCATCATCATGCGCATCTTCCCTCTTCCAACCAGAGTCTCGATGCGACGGCGGGCGGTGGAGGGAGGGCGAAAAAGTGGACGGCCCAGGGTCGAGCGGCAGTAGCTGGACGAAAGCAGACATGGTTGGCCACGAACCCTGGACGGCCATCGTCACGTCCATATCCATATCCATACTGTAGCGGAGAGGCTGAAAATTCGACTGCAGGACGAGGAGAGCAAGAGACGCGCCAGCGGTCTGCGGGCAAGTTGGTCGCGCTGTCGCACCACTCAGCCCCGGACATCACTTGAGCGTGCACTTTTGTTGCTGTCTCCCCCTCTTTTTCGCATCTCGCATCTCGCTCCAGCAGACGGGCGACCTTGGATGAGACGTGAGCAAGGCTTGGACTGTGCAATGTGCAGTGTGCAGTGGTGCAGTGTGCAAAGGCGAGATGCCCCGACTGGAACCTCGCTGGCCCGTCTCTGAGTGCATGTCTCAGTTGCAACGGCGTAAAGTATGCAGTACCCTCTGCCTCCATCGCTGCTGGCGTCTGGGTACTCGCGTCTGCGCCCCAGCGCCAGCACCGCGTCGGTACCGCGCCAGGCCCGCGAGGGGTACCGGCTACCGCATAACGTGACGAGCCGCCCAAGCATGTCATCCAGCTAGCGGCCACGCAGCCTCAGCGCCCCAGTGGCCGGCCATTGCTGTGCTCGCAGTCGACAGAGCGCCAGTTCGCCGTCCGCGCGGCTGAGCACGGCGAGGGCCACTGCAAGAGTCTGGCGCTGGCTCGCACAAGTGCTCCCGTATTGCTGGGACCGCAACCGGCGCCCAACGACGGCGCCCGCTGGCTGGTCAGAAACCCGCCGTTGGTGTGTCGCACAACAGCCGCCCCCTGGGCTGCTTAGCGCTGTGCCGCTGCGAATGCCCACTGCGGCAGGCCCCAAGGCAGAGGCAGGCCCCCTACGGCGTTGGCTCTGGCGCTGCGCACTAGCACTATCGGCGCCTCTGGCTAGCATGGAAACCACCACCCCCAGATCGCCATGCGCTGAACTGGACGCTTGGGAGATCCCTGGACCAAGGATTTGCGACTCCACGGAGCCCTCTCACTAGCACTAGCACAATACCGACCACTGGGTTCCTGGTAAGCTCGCGCTGGCAAGATCTGAGATAAGTTTTGCTGCTAGCACACGTTGGTCCTGGAGGCTAGCTCGGGGCTGGATGTACCGCTACCAGCGCATTTGCCTGGACTGTATAGTGCTGTGCTGTAAGCTGTCGCTCGCTCCATCTGGCACGCATTGCAGCGCACTAGTGCGCTGCCAGCATCGTCGCCTATGGCGCTCGGTGTATCGACGCCGAGCAGGCATCGCCAAAGCAAAGCCGCATCGCATAACAGCCAATGATAATAACGGCAGCAGCAGCAGAAGCACAAGCAATGCTGCAGCAGGGACATGCTTGCGCGCGCCCATGTCGCACGCATATAGCGAGTGGCTCTGCCAGGAGCTCTCTCTCCAGGCAGTCACGTTTGCGAGGCAGCACTATGCTTCATCCAGTATGGAGTGCGTGCAATCATCAGCATGCTCGCTGCGATGGCCATGGCAACACCGGCTTTCGCGGGCCACTTCATTTCGCATCCCAGCCAAGGAGAAATGCATTTCGGCAAGGCGAGCCATCCATCGTATACCCATGAGCTGCCGCCGCGTAATGGCTTACTGTACCATCTCGTCGGCTCTCGCTTCTCCCCCCTTTCTTATACACATGTCGTGCTCCTATCTCGACATGAATCGTTTCCTGTTCGGCAAGGCTCTAGTGCAGGTCCCAGCTCTCGCAGAATTTAGAGTTGTTGAACCAAGGCCTAGACATCGGCCGCCCTAAATCCAATCTCTCTTCTTTAGCTTGCTCCATCTCATCAGATCTTCGCGATTAGTTTGGGCGGACACTTGTGGTAGTGGTAGAAGTACTGTACAATGATAAGCGCACCAATATGGGGTTCTGTTTTTCCTCTGATTCCATTAGCAGAGCTGATCAGACCCTCTCCAGGCTAAAGAGCAGGTTTTGAAGCAACATGCTGGGGCAGGCACACTGACCGCGTCTCGGCAATCGGCTCGCATATGGGATTGTGATGGGAGTAAGACTGGAGCCCATACTGAAGCTGGCGCGCGGCCGTCTCACACCGAGAGGGGAATACGGAGCACCTCGCCAGCCCTACGGACATTTGGTGGCACTAATACCCTCAGTAGCCGTAAGCACACCGTGATCGTATCAGATACCCTGTAGGTCCTTGATTTCGAAAATCAGGTGAGATCGGTCCCTTGGATTCGTTAAACGAACAGGAGCGACACACTACTCCCCATATGGCCGTTTCAACAAGCTGCCAAGCCAAAGTCGATAACAGCTGGGTGACAGCGAGCTTACTGTGCCCATTCACCTCCTGCACCGCATATTGCCATCACTCCGAATTCCGTGCTGGTCTGGGTTTCCACAAGAATTGCAACGTCGAATCAGTTCTGCTCAGCCCAGCAGAGGATCATTTAACACCGGGTAGGGTAGCAGCAATGGCCGAATCGAGAGGCCATCTGCCGTTTAGACGCCCTGCCTTGCTTACGAACCCAGAGCAAACCTCCAGCTCTGCGAAAAAAATGCTCCTGACAGCTGACGCTAGTCTTAGCCCAGCGCGCGCTGGATAGTCTTCTTTTTCGACCGGGCGCCGCTCCCTTTGTCGATCCAATTAACGTGGAATTCGCCCTTTGTGCTGTACAGTACTGTCCTACTAGTCGTAGTAGTGCTTTGCTTTGCTCCGTCCTAGACGTCTCCACGGCCGCCGGTGTCGCGAAGTGGGGGAACTTTTCCGAGGAGCACAAGTCGTTCCCAGGAAATCGGGTACACCTAGATCAACACGTTCAGCATCACCTCAAACCCCCCCTTTGCCCCAAGTAAACAAGAATGTGTTTCAGCCCGGTTCTCCAATGAAATGAGTGCGAAGAAAGACCGCATGCAGTGGTACTTCCTCTCTAGCATTGCAACCTTCAAATCCAGACATCAAAGACCGCCATTCGCCTAACGCAGCCCTCTTTTGCCTCAAAGTTCAGCTGCCACGCCCCCTTGGCCGAATACGACAAGGTCCAGTCGTTTGCTCGCTAGGGCGTCCCTCATCTCACGCTCTGGTCCATCTCATCCCAGGGCCTAGAGCAGCCACCGTGATTAAAGAAATGACGGTGGCTTGAGAGCAAAAGGGCAGCCACAGCACTGTGAGCTGGCGTGCTAGCGCGTTGGATTACCACCACATTTGCTGCGCCATGCAGCAAAGCTGAAGGGGGAGGGTGTTGGAACCCCATTTGCGGCTGTCTTAAGAATGCCCCACCGCAAACCATAGCGCCTATGCGATGAATCGTTTATCGCAATTTGTCAATTGTCAATTTCAAGCAAAAGGGCATGATTGGATAAAAATACGACACGTCTTGTGTTGTGAGCCATCCAGACGTGCAGCAGGCGGGCGTGCCGATTGGTAGCAAAGGGCCAGACAGTGAAGCTACCGCTTTGCTGTTTGCTTCATCGACCGATCCATTGATTGCGAAGCAAGTTCAAGTATTGAAATTGCAGCTGAGGTTGAAATCCCAGTAATGCCCAGAACTAATACTTGGTACTAGCAGTAGATGGTGAGCTTACTGGTTCCGCTGCTCGCCCCAAAGGGCTGATGCAGTAACGAAATTAGATCGCCGTTGCTTTCTAGTGTTCAATCCCGTCCCCTGGTGTGAATGGGGGACGTGCCAGTGCGGCTGACTTCGTCTTTAGCCCGTAGAGCGACTGATACCATGCTAGCCAGGTTTCATTCGTAAGGGGGGGGGGGGGGGGGGTTTGGTATCTTCGATCCTTTGGGCTTGGAGGCCGAGAAGGGCCCTTGTCGGCCTAGTTCTACTCAAGCTAGCAGTTCTTCCGGTGATAGTCTAGCGGTCAGTGGTGGTAGGCAGTACGTATTCCGTGTTTCTTCCTCCTCATCGAAGATGCTTTGTTATCAGCCAAGTATGTACCGTCCATGCTGCGGTGAGAGGGAGTGAAGCACTGTAGCGAAGCACTGTAGTGCAACAATCGTTTGATGGTCTCCCTTTGATCAAGGTTTGATATATCATCGCTGACCCTTTGTTTCGCTATCTCGACAACACTCAGCCCTGTCTCTTGTACAAACACACTTGGCAACTTCCAGACTTCATTTGAAACTTGTGAAAAGAGAGCAAGAACAAGTTCAAACATATACACTGTTCCTTCTTGTCGAAATGGGGGTCAAAGGGGGTGTATCAAACAGGGTGCCACTGCTGAGGCATTTGAAATTCCAACTTTTGCTGCCTGATATCACCTGAGCTTCATCCCACAGAGCACATCATGCTTTCCCGGCCGTGTCACCAGTGTGATGGAAGCAATGTTCATCACTTGATCTTTTTGTCGAGTGTAATTGAGGAGAGGACCGTTGCTTTGAAATTCCATCGTATTAGGATAATGCTCTTCTTTGGTTTTCAATATCAGTTGGAATATGCATAGACGGGACCAGACGGTAGCTAGCCGATGTTCGGCTTGGACACATGTCTCTCGAGTGTGGGAGATATGATGGAACAATGACTACCATAGTAGGTGGCGAAAAATACCACGTATAATGTGTATGATCTTCAGATTGCATTTCGGTACCCATATGAATCCGGTCGGCAAGATATCCATCTGACGTAGAGCTTTCATATCATCAAACAACTTGGCAGTACTCGTCCTACTTTGAACGATCTCGTTGGAGCGCCACCTCGTTTGGATCGACGCTAACTCCTACTTAACGCCGGCTGCCAGCTCAGCAAGGGAAGACGAAGGCGAGGACGTCTAGCCGCCTAGCCTACTACATATCAAATGAGAAGAAAAAAGCATTGTGTCCTTCGGATGCAGTATCTCATCCCCCAGTGGTGATTGGATAGCTGCTCATGTGGCTGTACGGGATAGAGTGGCTGCAATCAATCCCCATCAACCAATTGGTGCCTCAGATGGTCGCCGAAGGGGTGCGTGCTGCAGCATAGGTAGGTCAGACCATGCAAGACGGATGCAGGATTTCACGCAACTTCTTTTTATATTGCATTCTCATTCTCTTGCTTTTGTTCCCTGTATCGCCCTGCGGCTCGGCCGTGGTTGGTGACTATCGGATGAGCTCATGATAGAATGTCCTTCAACTCCCTGTCTAGTTATCAGGTGATGGATTTGGTTTTCCCCAGAAAAGTCGAACAGTTAGGCGAAGGCCGGTGGAGTGTGCGGCTGGATCAGTGACAAGGTACCTTTGCCAGATTGGTCGGTACGTGCATGCCAGAAACGCGCAACCTGGGTCAAGTGCGATTTGATTGCCGCCAAGAGCCAAAGTGAAAAACTGTCCAGGTGCCTATTAACTTGTCAGCTGAATATTGCCGCGACATGCCTTTGCCCATGACTCCGCGACTATCCTCGGGCGCGAAGTGCTATATCCCATGCCGTGTTGTACAGTGCTGCCGTGAGGTTTCCATTGGCTGTGGTATCGTCTACGCGGCCCCGAATTGGCCAGCGTCGTACAACGCTTGGATCAGACATTCATCATTATCAACATTACCCTGCCCATCAGTGGATCTACCACGTGAGGCCACGCCCTTGGTTGCATCGCAGGTTCGAAGGAAGCACAAAGCTCAGCCATCACACGTGGACCCTCAAGAGGGGCTTCAATTCGAGCTGCGTGCGACGAAAGCCGCCTTGCATGGGAGGGGGACGTCGCAGTTCGAGAATCCTCCCCCAACGGCTGAAAAAACTTGATATTGCGGTGAAGGTCGACGAATCTGGACTTCTTTGGGCCAATCTCTGATCAAGGAACTGCATGCATGCATCCAGATTCACCTCGGCATTTGGCCGGTCGTTTCTCCAGGCGTTTGCTCCAAATAGCAGCTGTCAAAATCCGAGCTAGCCTGTTGTTTGGGGCACAGTGTACATGTAGCCAAGAGTACAAATTCGTAGTAGCATTGGCGAGAATCTGCAAGTAGTCGGCGACCACGGTCACCCTGCTGAAATGCTGCACTCCAACTGCGGTTATACAAGATGCCTTTGTGGTTTGCATTCTCTTAGTAGCCACATTGCTTGCTGCTGGATTGCACTTTTGATTCTTGCTGGGGGGCGCGGCTTTGCAGGTCTGCGGGACGTCAGGCATTAGTGCTAGCATGGTAGAGTGTAAGTATGTAATCGCAAAAGTCATATGCTTTGGTGTCTGAAGCCTGCCGGGATGCAATCCCCTCCTCTTTGTTTCTGTCATTCACTAGGACAAACTCAGAGAAGCATGGACGTTAGCTGGAGCATCGTTCTGACGCCGGCGGACAGGCCATGATTTTGGCCCTCGGCACCTTGACCAACGAAACAGCGCGGCCGTGCCAATTCGGGGCATAGATGGCCTGAGGGGCGATTTTAGTCTCTACCGAAGACTCGGGTCGATTTGATCTGTTTAACGCCTCCCAAGGCTGAAGGCCACTCCAGCCAGGCAGGCAGAAGCGATGATGGCTACAAAATCAAAAGCAGTGCACAGTTATAGCTCTCGCACAATTTTGCGGCTGCGGCTGAGACCTGGGCAACAAGAGACATGAGTCAACGGCTGAAGAGTATGCGTGATGGCTACCTAGTGGGTTCATTATTGCGTTGCCGCCGAGCTCTCGACTGTGCGCTGTAGCTTGACGTGGTCATGAGTATTGGAATGCAGCGGTACAAGTACGAAGTAGGGATATCTATAGATGTCTTGACTCATGAGAGACAGAGAGGGAAATGGAGCCAGAGAGAGATGGCGAAGCGCGAGAGGAGCAGGGAGAGGAAGAGAGAGAGAGAGAGAGAGAGATGAAGATACCTGTCGATATACCTGAGCCTATCATGGCACAGTCCCTCTCTCTGGACACCACTTCTGCATGTATGTCTCAGGTTGGCATACGAAAAGCGATGCGGCGTACCTTGGCACACATTGCTGGGGTCACGGTGTCGAGCCTTTGAGATTCCGAACATGGATGCGATGCTACGTGCACTTCGTATTCCCGATGCCTCTGCGACGATGCCGTTGCTGCCTATTGCAATGCCTTTCCCGCGGTGTGAGTGCAGCTTGCTACTGTAGGAGACGTATCGAGATGCTTTGTCAGTCCTGCCATGGCATCGACTCAACCACACTGGGCAGGATAGACGGCATGGGGTAGGAACGGAGCAGTTAACCCATAGTGGCGCGTACCGTCCGCCTTGCACCCTGTTCGAGCGCATGAATCAAAGCTTATAGATGATGCCAAGTTGCAGGGTGGTTGGCCGTGGTGGTGGTGGCGCTGGGCGTTGAGCGTCGGCGGAAGCGGGTTTAACCATTTATCCGAAAGCGGCAAGGGGACTAGCACAAGAGGGCTGTCAATTGATATCATATCGAAAGGTTTGACAAGCGACCAGAGTGGAGAGCCCTGCAATCCTACCACCTCAAGCACAAGCAATGCTACGGGGTTGGAAGCCGCAGTTCCAGGCCCTCCGCGGGCATCACAACGTCGTCTTTGCTTTATGCGACGCGGCCGGCAAGAAATTGCGGTGCGTGGAAATGGAAGCTGCACAGACGCGAACTGGGTTGGATCTGCGCATCGACTGATTGCGGAGACCAGAGGCGCTCACTTGCTGATGCTAGTCCCCAGGCCCTGACTCGTCCCGCGTACGGTGAGAAGCATTGATCGCTTGTTATCTTACAGTATACCGGACTATTGCTACACGCAGAGACATGCGTCGGGCGGCAAGCAGCGAGGCCGGGGGAGTGACGCCTGGTGTGTGCGGTGTGCATGATGTGTGGTCTCGAGCATCTTCTTCACAAAGGCGGCAGCAGGTCATGCACCGCGCGTTGGCTGCGAGAGGCGACGCGCCCGTATTACATCTTTATGAGAAGGCGTCGGCCGTGCATACGGTACAGTACAGACATCGATTGTGTATCTGTAGGTGTACAAGACGGCCGCAATATGTGATTGAACAGAACAGCCTGCGTCCAAGTCCAGAACGGTGCCTGCATCTGCACACACCTGCGCCCTTGGCAACCTATCGGAGCCCAGCAACGACCAGAGGCGAATCAGCTGATGGCCGCTGTCATTCTGGCAACTCTGATTGCGTCTCGCTGCATGACGCTCTGTTCGAGTCGCCATATCTGCGCAAGACGGTGACTGGCCAGCGTCCCCAGCACAAGTACGTAATGCGTCCAGGCAGGCAATATTTGGCCAGTCTGGTGGGTGATCCGGGCATTACTCGTACAGTAACTGCCTGCACTCCCCTCTCAGCAATCTGGCGAATGTGACTGGTCAGTGGACGGCCGAAATGCTTGTTTATCAGCAACGGACCGGGTATAAAACGACAACATATACTGTACTGTATATATGAGAGACACATGCGGTAACTGCCATGCTAGCGGTAGGGTGCCTTGGTGCTGGGATCAATCCATTCAATAGCATCAATCTTGTGCCCCTCCCCTGGCGCGCTGCATCAGAGCTTGAGGGGAAAAGCTGTCGCATGCTGCGGCAGAGAGATTGCTGGGGCCCCTGGGCTGCGCCTAGAACCCGTTGACAGAGCCGATGGCAGCCCGCAGTCAGACGGCCAAGCACTAAGGCGGTTCACGGCTGCACTTGTTCCAGGAGCAGTGCTTTGCCTCCTGGCACTAGCAGCGCTTGCACGTTGTGCTGGAAACTAGCGGACGATCCAGGGCCAGAGGACCAGTGGCAGGATAGCCACATCTCTATATCTGATGCTCTCTACTGTACACACAGAGAGACATTGCCATTGGACCTGTGGATGGCTTTGCAATAGTTTCAAAACATACATGTAAAGGAGCACCTCGCAATGGCAAATGCGCCCGCAGTTGGCAGCTTACGAGATACGCGGCCAACTCTTCTCTCTTCTTCCATCTCGCGCTCTCTCTCTCTTCTCTTGCATATCCCATGGCCCGGCTATCGAACGATTAGTCGCTGTTACACAGGCGGCTGGGTGGAGCGTCGCACACGCTGGAACGAACGCCCTTTCTGCGGAGAATATCTTAGCAGCGCAACCTGGACTTTGGTGCTCCGTCCTTTTTTTCATCAGCGTGGGCCGCTCGCTCGCGTGCGACATTCGCTAGCGCCACACTGGAACCATGACGCTGGGCTCCAGCTCTTGGGTCTTGGGTCTTGGGTCTTGGGTCTTGGGCCTTTTCTTTGGGACCAGGCGTCGATGCTGGTTCGGCGCCGAGCCGTCGTCTGTCCTTCAGCCGTCGATGCTTCCTTTTCGCCTCTCCGCCTTGCCTACTTTCGCCTCTCCATCGCGACATGGACATGAGACGACACCGCGGCCAGGCCACAAGGACGACACCGCGCCGCATTGGGAACCAGAGTTTTCTCGTCCATTCCCCCGAAAGAGCGCAAGTGGATGTGGAGGGGGGTTGGGGCTTTTGGGCTTTTTTTGCCCGTTTGCGGTGGTCTCGCCCGTGCCATCTGTACCAGTACCGTGCGCTTTTCTTTCTCGTCGTTCCCCTCTTCTCCTCTCCTCTCCTCACCTCTCCTCTCCGCCTCTCTCCTCTCTCTGCTCTCTCGTTCTTCCTGCTCGTTGTGTACGGCAGGTACATGCTCCTCCACGGCTCGTACATGCGCGGCCGCCTGCTGTCAAGACCAAATTCGCCGTTATTGGCACTACCTCCGGCGGCGTAACATTGGATCGAAGCGGCCATGGCCTCTGCGACTAGGTTTCCCTTGAACCCACCCCCCCACGAAAGCCAAGCCGCAAGGACGGGCTCCACCAGTGACATGCCCTCGCTATTGGGTCGAGCTGATCGGCCGCTGATTGGCCATTATTTATCGCAAGAAAAAAAGGCGCAGATCTTCTAGTATCGGGTGGGTAATAAAACACGCAGGTGTACAGTGCGGGGCACGGAGTACCGGCGCGCTGTTGCAGGGGGGGCACAATCCATTTCATTCCATGCTGGCATCCACCAGCCTTCAGCTGCGTCCCGCTTGGCTGGGATCGAGGTACCTGTACTTGGCCCAACGCAGCGTAGCACTATCTGGGCGCGAGGTGGTGGCCTCCACCGGGTTTGAACCTGGTTGTCGGGGCTGAAGGCCGACTAAGCACAAGCACCAGCAGAGCGAGTGACACTGCTAGTGGTGCGTGCTATGGGATGGGCATCAGCAATCAGCATCCGAATCCAATGCTCGAGGGCATTGGGTGGTTGCACAATGGATTTCGCTGAAGACAACCATTAGAATCGTCTCGTGCACGTATCTGTAGCAGCAATAAGCAGTCCGCACGCGGTCACGATGCTCACGACGGATTACCATTACATCACCGCCTCAGCTTTGCCACATCTGTCGTGTCTCGCCGATGCTGAGCCCAGCCGGGGGCGTGGTTTATTGCTTGCTTGGGAGGGGAAGAAACTCGCCTTTTTCTTCTTCCTTGCTGCAAGGACAGGGTTTCATTCAGTTTAATGTGCTCTTTTTTTTTCTTTCGCCTTTTGCCCTTTCGGTTTGACGGGGTGCTGTATCAGTTGCGCATGTACGAGTACTTTGCTCATGTATCCTATACGTATACGGAGTGCATGCTCTGCAAATCACCCGCCACACACACGCCCCCATTTTTTTCCAATACTGTATTTTATTCTTCTATTTTTTTCCTCCTCACAATTTCCTTCACCACTTACCGCGCTCCCATCCTCACCACCAACAAGAGCCCTGGAGTCTTTCCCCCGCCCAGCAATCAACGCGCGCGCTCTCGCTGTCTGGGGCGTGAAGCGGCCATCCGTGCAATTTGGCTGAGATTTAAGAATAGCCCAGCTCGTCGCCCGCGCCCAAACTGCCGGCACCAAAATCTGGCCAAACCAACCAGCTCGGCCTCGCGCTACGACGGAAATAATCCGATTGCCACACGCCCCCCCCCTCACTCAGGCTCCTCGCTGCTGGGTCTAACTTTCGGATCGTACTCGATACGTACCTCGAGTGCTGCGTCGAACTGCAGTGTCTTTAGTAATAGGTAAGCATCGTCTCCAGACTGCTCTGGGTCTCGCCTTTTTTTTTTTTCGCTCGCAAAATACGGAGCTGGCCCTGGCCCTGCTGCGGCTGCGTTTCTCTGGCCAAGCCAGTCCCACCCTCCGATACTTGCACAGGCACGCTCTTTGCTTTTCTTCCCCATCAGTCCCCGGCACAGATTTTCTCTTCCTGCTCTTCATTTCTTGGGCCCGTATAAAACTCTTTTCTCGCGCACCACTCTGCCCGCGCAAACCTCGTCGCCGTCATAAACTGATCCGTGAGCCTTTCTCCTCTAGCGAGTCACCACAATCTCGCCCCGCCACATTCTCTCTTTGGCAGAGTTCGCTTCTAGAACTACACAAGCGCCTCATTTCAGCCAGCAGCCTTCGCCGTCGCGCCCCGTGTCCGTCTATCAAACAGACGCTCAGCCAGAGGCCAGCAGCGTCCAGACAAACTCGCACCCCCTCGGCCTTGCCTCGAGTCAGTACGCTAGACTCTCTTGGAACTGGCCATCCCGGCCTGTTTTCTACCTGTCGGCACTATATTAGTCGGCGTCCCCAATTCTGTACGACCGGAAGGCCTAGCTTTAGCTTTAGCCCCCTTCCAGACTCTGGCCTTGATCGCGGGCCAAAGCAAGACATCCTAGCAAGATCAGACTCCTGGCCTTTGCAACTAGTGCGCATCACATCACGCACCCCAAAGAACCCCATCAACCGAGCATTTTTAAACAACTTTTGCTATACGCCGGTCCCCCAGCCCGCGCTACTATTGCCGCCGCCGGCGATATTACATATACTAGCCCTTCCACCAACTCGCGCCGCCGCGACACCAGTTTGCCCCGGAGCAGCCTTGGCTTGTCGTCTGGTCTCTTACTATTTCATCCTCCCCCTGCACCAACCTTGGGAAAGAAATCACACCAAGCCCCGACGCGAGTGCTTGGAAACTACTAGACCTAGTTCTTGTCTGGACGCCGTCTCTTTTTTCCCTCTTGTCCCTCTTCTCACTACACGCCAACCTCGTGTGGAGTCGGTAGCACGTTCCTGGAACCAAAACGCAAAACAACTACATCGCGACTTGAGCCAAGAAAGACATCTCTCTTTTGACTGTCTTTCTTCCCCATACGTCGTCGCATACAGAAACTTGTCTTGGCAAGTTGTTACGCATCTTGGGCACCGCCTTTGTCGAACAACTCTCTGCAAGTTTTTATGGACCGCGGTGCAACTCAGTTTTCGCAGTCAGGTTTGCCTTCGCCCTACTCCAGCAGCTTCGGCGACCACCACTCTGAAGGCTCGTCGGCAGATCACGCGTCTGCTGCTCAGTACCCAGGGAAACAAGACTATCCTACCTCTGTAACTCCCACCTCGGAGTACAGCGTCTATCCTCCCTCTGCGCGATCAGGATCTTACTCGGAGCATATCCAGCGTTCATACCATCCATCCAGCAGCGCCAGCAGCGGAGGTATGGCGCAACAACAGAACAGTCCGTCTATGCCCCAGCACAACGGGCCAAGCCATCAAGCCCACCCCGTCAATTCTGACAACGATGTGCCTATAGATCCGTCTATTGCGGCTCCGAGTCCTACCTACCCTTACGGGCAGCACTCGCCGTATGCGCCTAATCCAGACATGTCTCATGGCTACTCCCATCCCAGCGGTGGCATGTACGCGCAGCCTCGCCCTGACTGGGCCGGCTACAGCCAGCATGGAGCTCCTCCTCTGACTCCTGGCCACCCCGTTTACGCTCAATCGCCCGCCTCGGCGCCGCAGCAGAGACCCAGCCAGGTACGTATAGGTGGCGATTATGGAATCCATTGAAATATGAAAAAGAAAAGGAGAGAAAAAAAAAAAGGAAGAACATACGAGTCAAAGAGTCAATGAAGGAAGAGAATGTGAAAGAAATTCTTGTCAGCCCTCATCGTTGAAGACGAGGTGGTGCGGCTGTGATCTTGGCGCGACGTCTAAGTGGAGTTGCGCGCGCGCGCGCGCGCGAGTTTGCAGACGCGAGAGCAAGAAAAACAAAGAAGAAGAAAAACCACAATTTGTCTGGAGACTCTAGCAAAAGAAGAAGAAAAGGAGTTGATTTGGATATATTATCAAACTGCGACGCGCATTGGCTAACGCAAACTTGATTCTCAACAGGTTTACTCTTTCGTGCCTATCCCCGGCGCACAGCAACACAAGCGCCCTCGAAGACGTTATGAGGAAATTGAACGCATGTACAAGTGTGGCTGGAATGGTTGCGAAAAGGCCTACGGCACTCTGAACCATCTCAATGCCCACGTCACCATGCAGTCTCATGGTCAGAAGCGAACTCCCGAAGGTACGTTGCGAATATCGCACCTCTGTCTCTTGACTCACCCCTTGCTTTGCGGCGTATTTTGCGCTTGGCAAAACTTTGTGTTTTCCCTGTATTATTTTTTACTTTCCTTGCTTTATCACTTTCAAAAACATGCAAGCTCGAATCTTGATGGCGATTTTGGGTTCAGTGTTCAAGGTTTGATCACGTGAACCAGCCTTGAGCCTCTACGAAAACGTCAACTTTGACTTCGAGATTAAGCCCCATTTACCGTTCGCGAAAAAAACCCAGCCATGTGGAGGAGAAACAAAATCAAATCATCAAGTCGCTGACAGCCCGTTTATAGAGTTCAAGGAAATCCGCAAAGAATGGAAGCAGAGGAAGAAGGAGGAGGAGGCCCAGCGAAAGGCTGAAGAAGAGCGACAGAGGGCTGCAGCCGCGAGCGTCGCACAGAACGGCGGTGGCGATCCTCAAGGCCCCGACGGCGCGCCTTCATCTGGCTATCCCGGACGAGCTGTCCAGCTGCCTCCCATAGGATACCAGCCTACCCAGTACCCGGCGCCGCCTTCAGGCAACGTTGGACAGCAACCCATGCCCGAGTATGGCGCCGGCCACATGTATTCCAACTACCAGCCTCACTCCCCTTACGCCCAGCCCAGCCAGCAGAACATGTATAGCCAATGTAGGTCATCGACCCGAACATGAAACCGATGGAATATGCTTCCGTTACTAATCAACTTGTCAATTTTAGCAAACGGCGCACCCGCCCCTAGCCATTAGGTTTACACTCGTGGTGGCCCTGATTCGGACATATAGTAGTTTGCTGGTCGCAAATTCCCCTCTCCTTTTCCATGCGTTGGACATAATGGGTTTTTTCTTTGTGTTTTTTTGCGGCAAGAGAAGAGTCTACGGCGACCTCTCAAGGAATAATGTCTCAGTGGGATATATATCACCCGAGTTTCCCTTTTTTTGGGTGCTTCCCAGGGAGTTGGGTACCTTTGCTGACCAGCAATCTTAATAAGGAGGCACCCGTGTTTGATTCTACAACAGTTATGAGGTGGTTAACTCGTTTTTCTTTTTCATCGTTACGCTTGTTCGAATTCTTTTCTTTTATTGTCTGTTTTCAATATTTCCTTCGGCTTTTTCGCACTCAAAAGTGCATTGGTCTACGGTTACTGGGGGGGTTGCATTGGCAGAGGCACTCCGGGGATGGTCGGCTCTTTCATGGCGTGATGCAATTATCAGGGGCGGTTCGGCGCAGAGGATACGGAGTACTGAAACCACGGCGGGTGAAAGCACCATGGGGATAGGTAGCTTTGGTCTGGGGGGAAAAGAAGCTGCTTCTGTATCGCCGCAAGGCGGGGAAAAAAGCGATACGACTTTTTGTCAAGTGAAGGGAACGCTCAGAGCGCTGGAAATGGGAGCGTAAAGACGAACTGACTTGGACTCTTGAAAGCCCTGTATAAAGGCCCCCGTGCGGACTTGTTTTTTGTCTTGTTTACTTGTAAAAGAGTTAAGCAGGACTGAAGCTAACCAAGGGGGGACGACGAAAGCTTTTGGAAAAAAAAGAGAAAAAAAAAAGTGAAAGGAAAATGAAGGAGGAAAAAAAAAATACCAGGTTCGGAAAGAATGGAATTTGTGCTTTACGTGCGCTAAGATATTGCGGCGAGAAGAACGCTTTGTGTAACGTTTTTTTTTTTTTTTTTGCAACGAATTTCTTTTCTACTTTTTTTTTTTTTTTTACTTACTCGTTCCTCTTCTCATTTTTGTGCTTGAGAGAGACGAGAGGAGACTGTATACGATTAGTAGCAAAACCACCTTGACAGTCATTACGGGTTATAATAAGAGTGTTATGAGCTAAATGGAGATTTGAACGCTATGTGTACATGTATTGTGTGAAGAAGCTGCGATGTCGACGAACGCCCGCAACACCAACAAAGTTTGACCCATATAAGCAGAAGCAAGGCTACGAAGATGCAACGCCAGGACCCTACGCACGTTCTTAGCAAGGAGATCCTGCACATAGCTATAGTAAGCTTTAAATGTTGTCTCTCTTTTTTAGCTTCGCATGGGGATGAGAAACAGACTAGCCGTGTTGCCATGCTGTCGGGACAGACAAGAAAGAAGCGGCGCGCCAAGATCAACCCCCCTAGATGAAGTGCCTTAGTGTCGAAGACTAAGAGATAAAATGAATAAATAAAAAAAGAAACCGAGGATACTAAGGGGATCCGTTCGGGGTGTGACGGGGGGAACATGAACACGGTGCGATTTTTGTTTGTTACACAAGAGACATGGGGTTGGTGATGATGGTGGTGGTGGTGGTGTTTGTAACTTTTTAGCGCGGGGGGAATGGATTCCCGTTGGAGACTTGGTCAAGTACGGGTACATTCCATGTTATTAATATATGCCTGTATATATATGTACGTGCTAGGTTATATTGAGATGGGATTATGTGCGCTAATGCTTTGTCTTGGATGATTTTTCCTTTTTTTTATTAATTTGATTGGCCTTTTTTTTATTCCTTCTCGACGAGAGGCGTACAAAAGTTTCTTAGTTTGAGACGTGGGGAACCCACATGGCATGGACATGAAGCTTAGGTAGTTTTTGGGTTAATCTGCTGGCTGTATATGGCATGGGCGAGGTGAGATTTACATAAAAAAAAAAGGAGCATGGGGGAATAAAATGAGAGAAGAGAGGCAAAAATATGAGGGCTGATTTGGTTTAGTACGGAAAACGGTGGCCACGCGAGAGTGAGACACGACAATGAGTGACGATGGAGGTTTTTTTTTGTTTGTGTTACTGCGGGAGATGGTACTAAACTACTGCTGGAACTTGGAAATAGTAGCGCTAGAATGCTTATGTTGTGTGACAATAACATTTTTGAAATTTTGCAGCAGCTGCAACGAGGTTATAGGGTGAAGAAGAAAAAAAAAAGGTGAGTTCAAGATGGGAATTGAACTGTTGTTGTTGCATTTATTCTAGAAAGGTTAAGATCCACGCGGGAATGGCTTGCGGGACGATGCGCAGCGATGGGCGATGCGAAAGCCGAAAAAGGCAATAATTAAAAACAAAAAACACCAACTGAATGGATTAGTTTGGATACTTTACAAGGGGGGATCATGGAAGATTTAAACTAAAGAGGGCGTGTGCAGCTAAAAGAGCATTAAATAGTAAAAAACTTGTCGTACCAACCGTTTTTAACCTTTTTTATTTTTTTCTGGTTGTTTTTTTTTTTTTTTACTTTCTAAATCGTGCTATTCCTCTTTGTCTTGTTCTTTTTTTTTTTTTTTTTAGTTGCGTCTAAAGTGACCGGGGGATGGAAGGAGACCGGGCTTTTTGGAACTGGGCTGCAAATAGAGGGGACCCGGCACTTTTTTTTTTGTTTGCTGAGATGGCACTAGTGGGACGACGGGAGAGCGGAATGCTACTCTATGGATTTAGTATTTTGAGAGGAGGAAAGTGTGTGCGAGATGGAGGGGGGTTGATTCAAGTATGATGGAAGCGATGTAGAAGGTTTGAAGAGATGGTTTGCTTTGTATGCATCGATGTGATGTGGCCTGTCTTTTTCTCTTGATATCTAATGGTGTTGATGTCACAAGCAAGCGTCCATTCAAGTAAACGACGGCGCGCAGCGGGAGCTAAAAAAGAAGAAACAAGCACTTAAAGTTCGCAGAAAAAGCCCTTTATTTTAAGCTGTTTTAGTTTTTTGTACTTGCGGATTTAGAAAGCCGCTCGTTTTGTTGGCTTTTGTCCGGCCTGCTTTTTTTTAGTGGGTGTGTGGTTTTGAAAAAAAAAAAGATGGTCTAAGGAGGAGACTAGGTACGGAGAAATAAAACATGCCATGGGATGCCATGCCGTGCCTTGTTAGCTTGTGATGTAGAATTGGCGGGGCGATGTGATGGAAAGAGAAAATAGGTGTATATATTAGGAGTAATAGCAGCAGCAGCAACAGGTGGTTTCCAGGTGCTGTGTGATCAATGGTCGATTATCAGGTGAGACTTCTTGGCGAGAGGCTTGTCTGGTGCTGAGAATAAGAGACGTGCCGTAAAGCAACGATATATATCAATCACCTGCATTGTCAACAACTGAGCTGTCGTTAACATAACCGCAATTGTCCCGAGTCATGTTCTCGCGTAAACACCACCATCTCGCAAGGCAAAAAAGACCAGGGCCACATCGACATCGACGATGCTAGTGGCAGCAGATACCACCAACCCACGCAAGCTCAGATCTGCCTTTGCCTAGGTAGCTGCCTAGTAACGCACACACCCTCCCCCTATACCTGTACATCAACTCCTGTTAGCGGCCAGACGAGCCATTACCCACTCTGGACGTGGACGGGAGGCCAGATGTGACAGCGGCGACGGGACTGGAGGGGCCGTCCTCGGCAGGTTAAAGCGCGGTGGGAACAGCGACTCCAAGGAACGTCCGGCACCCATGCGACTTTTGTGCTTAGTAGCAGTTAGTCAGTGTGATGATGCTGTAGATGCTAGTATTAGTCTGCCGTCTCTCGCCCTTTTTTGGTGAAGCATCCTGACATTGTCGATTCGTGCCTTTTGTGCACCCCTTGCTTAGCGCCTTGCACTGTGTGCCATGGTCATGATCGGGGGGGAACAAGGGGACCAGGCAAGAGGACGATGATGTGAGTTGCAGCTTGATCTTAGTGCGATCCCGGGGATCTGGGTCGGGTGGAAGAGGCGCTGATGCTGTTGTATCCGTGGGCTGATGCCGTGTTGCATAAGGTAGCTGTTGGTTCCGTATGTAGCATCGTGCTTGGTGTTTGCGTGCGACGGGCCAACTCGGATATCAGAGATTCGGCTGGATGCCGCTTTTGCTCTTTCCGCTCAGATGGTTGCGTAGACAGCATACAAGGATTTGATGTCGTGGCCAGGCAACAAAAGGGTGATTGATACGCAACCACCCCCTTTTTGCGCACGATACCATGCTGTTAGTATTTGATGCTCTATTATGGAGTCGATGCCGCTCCATCCGGTCTCCAGCGCATAGCCAAGAGGAGACGCATGGGCTCCGGGAGAAGAGACATTTGCCAGCCTGGTTGTTCGGATGACCTTGATGGAGAGAGAGTGCTGACATGACGAAATCTTGAAAATTTCATTGTAATAGCCTTTTTCTCGATAAGGCCGGCAGGTGGACCCATCGCCCATGTAGTATTGAATCGTCATCAACTGTAGCTTGTTATTAGCGAATATGTTGCCTTGTCGAATAATGGTAATGTCTTCTTTCATAATCGGATAAGACAAGTACTTGACGTAGCGAGCCGACAATGCCGGATATCACTCACATCACTTGTATATACCAACCATGTCATCAACTGCAGTGGAGTTGCGCTCTTTGCCGCAACCATCTCTACCAAGCACCGTATCAACCATTCTAGAATGAAGAGAGGAAAAATAGCTGTCCCGTCCAGTAGCCACAGCCTCGTGGCATTGTCCCATAGTTTGACGCAAAAATAAAACGCCTACCGGTAGCAGCAAAGCTAGACTCGGCCCACGACTCTCTAGTGCTGGGGGGTGTCTGTCCATCCAAACTTCGCTAACTTTAGGTCGACAGATGGAGCTTGTCTTTTTTTTTTTCTTCTTCTGCATCTCGTGCTAAGGTCGTAGTGCGAAAGCGCTTTGGTCGAGCCCGATTAATTTAGTGCAGAGGACAGAAGTTTCTTTGACAAGTGCGTGATGGTGCGAATCAAGGCTGCGGCAGCTAATTTGGGCGCATGGAAGTTGAAAATGCAATGTGATGGAAATCACAGGTTTTGATGTCCCTCTTTGGACTGGTGGCATTGGCTGCGTCTCTCCCTATGATAGCTACTTTATACTTGCTTGAATAACTTTCCTCTTCTTCGTCTTCTTTTGATTCGACCGATCCTATATGCTCACTTGCCTCTCTTCTTCGCTGTGCCTTGAACGGTTGTTTATCTTGCTGTTGTCGCTGCATATCGATAAAGTCGCCTTCCACCTGCACTCTGCATATCGGCCCTAACACGGATACGGCGCGATTAGCGCCACAGCAACCACAGCGATTGCTCTGCACGTCATCTTCAACCTCGCACCTTGACGTCTTGTCTCATTTCAACTTCAACACAGGCTCAAACATTGGCTTCTATTATTTGCGCTGCCACTTAATCCTTAATCAGATGAGAGTCAATTCACCCGATCGGGATTTTGTTGGCAGCTTTTCAGGATAAAAAGTTTTCATCCTAGGCTGTTACTCGCTCTGCATCAAGCTACTGCAACTCCAGCTGAAGAAAAAAACACGTCACAAGAACAGGGCAAGGCTCGCAGCCCGTCATAAAAGCTGGCAATAGAAATTTATGCAGAATGGACGCTGAAAATGCACAATCTCCAACGCCTTTGGCTCTAGGCGGACTCAAAAAGTCCAACTCAACAGCCTCCACGGGCGCCCATTCAGCAAAGTCTCACACTTCTATATCAGTACTTGGTGCACACCCCTACGGCTCCCTTCACGTTCACCAACCTACCGATATACTATCTCACAATGAACATGATATAGAAGAAGAAGAAGACAGCCCGCCGCCACTGGATCCTCCTTTGAGCCCCGGAAGCCAAAAACGAGTCATGTTTAGTGCTATGCCGCCAGAGGTCCTCGGCAGCCAGTCAAATCTTTCTACCGCACACGAGACCCATGAGACTCTCACTCATTCCATGGGTGGAGGAGACGTATTGCTCATCTTGGACCTACCTGAGGTATCTCTTGTGGGATACGACGCCATCTCGTTTACCGCCAAGCACTTTGGCGGCCTCAGGGATATCCCAGCAGGGCCGCATTTCTTCTGGGTAACACATCCCGATAGCGGCTCTGTCCGGACCGGGTTCTGGATCATATCATCCGGTATCAACCAAACTCACGTCTTGCAATGGGACAAATTTACCGAAACCATTCTTGAGCCGTCGCGGGCAGAGGCTCGGATCCAAGCCGATAATCTCGAGAGCTTCCACGATAAGCTGGTGCCCTACCATGACCCATCATCAGTCAACTCAGACCCGATCAAGATGGAGAGCTCCGTCGATCAGGATTCAAAAGAGAAACTGAGAATGTGGAAACAGCTGACTGCAAGTGTCACCGAAAGAGTGCTCAACCGCGTCACTGGACAACGGGCCAACAGCTGGCACGTCGACACGACAGACCGCGTCAAGGGAGCTGTGCTTTTGGCGGCAGAAATGGAGCTCGAAAGGCGATTGTCAAATCATCTGCTGCAGTCAAGAGAACTCAACTTTAGCTTTCCACAGAGTTCAAAAACATATACCGCTGAATCCCTGGGGGCCGATCGAACCCTAGCGGCTACGGATGCGACTCCCTACATGGAGTTCATTATGACTGCTCTTGGCAAGGAGTTGACTGACGACGATGTTGTTGGCGAATTACAGTTTGCGTTTATTGTTGGCGTGCACCTTGGGAATGATGCTTGCATCCAACAGTGGTGGCATATGGTGGTCAAGCTCATTCTCAAGGCCTACCTCTTGCCAGAGTATCTTCCGATCCTTGCTTCAAAGCTGCTACTGGCCATTGCGTCACAGATCCGCTACAGTTCTGAATGGCTGGGTGAGTCTATCCTGGACTATGGTAGCTCAAACAGCCATGATCTGAGGCTTGCCCTGATCGTCTACAAGCGGCGACTCGAAGAAGTCCTCGAGAGACTCGGCAAGGAAGCCACAATCGACCAGATCAAAGTCGGCAACTCGTTTGCCAAGGTCGAGGCAGAGGTGGTGGGCCTCGGATGGGACCTGTACGGCGATTATCTCCGAAAGGGCAAGGTAATGATGGAGGACGGCGAGGAAGTGGAGCTGGAAATGGCCGAGCTGCAGGCGGAGGATGAGCGCGGCGAGTGGGCGCCAGAAGTCGTGCAGCTCGATGAGCAGGGCCGCCAGACGGACTTGGTTTCGTGGAACGACTAGAGGGCGGACATGGGCGGTCGGAAGCTGGTGGAGGCGGCTATTTCATCAGACGGTCGACAAGACGGATTGACGCCATGGCCATCTCCATCTCCTGGGAAGACGACGGTCTTTAGAGGTGCCTGGAAGATGATGACGAGGAGCAAGGTGAGGAAGATGAGCGTGTTGAAGAAGGCGAAGAGGCGGATGGTTTTGTCCGAGTAGCCTTGGCTGGCTCTGAGCCTTTGATAATTTCATTCTCTTGGTGTTTAATGTTTAATGGGTTGGATACAGGTTGAAAAAAAATATGGTTATTGGCGTTTGGATACGAATTTGGTTACTCAAGAGGGCCTTGAGAATTGCTTTATAATAGTGTTTACGATTACTGTACTGCAGAAGTTTAATCATTGGTGTTTGGACATGTGTATTTGGTTACTCAGATTGTTTTTTGAGAAAAATACTATTATAGTGATGGCGATTACTGATGGTTTACGGCATCATCACAGTTCAAACACCGTCATTCACATCACACACATGCACAGCAATGCGTTTCGTAAACGTTTGAAGATTTCATTAGCCTGCCAGACCCGTTACAATCCGCCCAAAGCAAGGCCATGCAAATGCCAATGGGAAACCTATCCCCATGCCAGGGGATATGCGACTCCGGCCCCTTTTGTATTCCACATCCTGATGCCGCCAAGGACCGCCGCCCAGACGTGGCAGCAGCGCCATCCTCTCCAGCAGCCGCAAGACGCTTTGTTTTCGACCAGTTTCTTCTTCCTCTGCAGATTCTCGTCCCTTGCTCTCTCCTCCGCCAGCGCCACCAAGTAAAAAGTAAACGCCTTCTTGTCCTCCCCCAAAAACCAAAAAAGTCTTTGTCGCAAACCCTTTATCGGTAAGACTTCTGGTACCTGGCACGAGCGCCGGGACCACCGAACTTCTTGGGCTCGCAGCGGCGGTTGTCAGCGACCAGCAGGGTGCGGTCGAACTGGACGAGGGCCTGCTTCAGCAGGTTCTTGGAGTGCTCGTCGACGAACTTCTGGTAGTAGGCGATGAGGGACTTGGCAATGGCCTGACGGATGGCGTAGATCTGGGAGGTGTGACCACCACCAGTGACGCGGACGCGGATGTCGACGTTGGCGAACTTGTCGAGGCCGACAACCAGGAGGGGCTCGTAGACCTAGAGACGCGAAGAAGTCTTAGTACTTTTGGGGTCTTTCTTCGTTTCACAGCAGTGACCTTCAAGACAAATTTTGTAGCGCCATCTCCAATTCTTTTCTCGAAGTTGAACCCCCCTGTGGTTTTCGAATTTGACGGGGAGCGAATTGGACAGGCTACAAAAAGCATCTTGGAGTCGGCTCGGGAGGAAGAAGAAGGAAGCGTACCTTGAAGCGGAGGATCTCAGGCTGGACCAGAGACAGGGGACGGCCGTTGACCTTGACGAGACCACGGCCAGCCTAGATGATGAATCAAACGTCAGCACTTTTGCATGTCTTAATCATCTTGAAATTTATTCCTTGTCGCCAAAAAATCGAAGAGAAATTTTGCATGACTCCAAGTCCAACAAATTCTTCCCCCACATTGATTCCCATTCTCGAATTTTCCCATCTCTTCTTCCCAATATCCCGCCAACGACATGGACATGTCCATCCCTCATCATCTCCGTCCACTAACCTTGCAGTGGGCGACGGCGGTGGCCGTCTTCTTCTTGCCGAAGCATTGCACGCTCTGAGTCGACGACATGGTTGCTGGTGGTATGTGAAGGAGGGTGAGAGAGCGGGTTTGTTGCTGGCGGTCTCGCTTCGCTTGTCGTCGTGATGGACTTTCGCGGGTCCCTTTTTCGCCTAGACGGATTTTTTTGCGTCCCGGGCTTCGAACTCTGGCCGGCGAGGAGGGAGGAGGAGGGTTTGTGCCCTTAATGTGCGCTATGCCGCTTTGGGCCGCACGAGCGAGGTTCTGCCGCAAATCTTTTCGCGCTGCTCTGGAGACAAAAGTAGGGCGTCTAGCGGGTTCAAGGCATAGCGTCATGTTAGCGGGGCGCTGTATTCTGGTGCGCATGCCAAACAGCAGCGCAGGAGAAAAAAAAAGAGCGGATCCACGTGATGCGTGCCCTAAACCCTTTGCCTTAGTGTTCCAATTGTGGCATCCCGCCAAAATTTCGCATCGAGTGAAGCATCACGCCGGACAAACTAACCACAGCCAGAGTAACCGTCAAGGTACGTTTTTGCCGTCGATCCAATCTCCGTCGCGAGACTTTTCTTTGTTTCACCGAATCTAACATCAATCTGCTTTTCAAGATGGTCGCCGCCAAGAAGCACGTCCCCATCGTCAAGAAGCGTACGTCTTTTGATCCGAACAGAATAAGAGCTCTCCTCTCGTCGAGATACGGTCGCCGCGCCTCATTTTGCCTTTTCAATTCTTAATTTCCGACTGCCTTCGAACGCAACACACCCGACGAATTTAAAAAAAATTCCGAACGAGGAAAAGTCTTGAAGCGCAGTTGGAAATTAGTTGAATCAGGGCAAATTGGACAAGGCGGCCGAATCGAACCTCTTCTTAACTTTTAATGCTGGAACGAGCATGTTGGACGCATAATTAACTGGAGATGTGCAGACAAGGCTTCTTTCAACCGTCACCAGAGTGACCGGTTCGACCGTGTCGGTGCCAGCTGGAGAAAGCCCAAGGGTATCGATGGCCGTGTCCGCAGACGCTTCCGCGGTACCATCCGTATGCCCAAGGTACGCCAAACTCTTACCTTGACAAGATGACCCAGGAACAATGTGCTGATGTGGAATGAATCATTTAGATCGGCTACGGCTCCAACAAGAAGACCCGTTTCTTGACTCCCTCCGGCCACAAGGCTTTCCTCGTCAACAACGTCAAGGACCTTGAGCTGCTGTTGATGCACAACCGAACCCACGCTGCCGAGTACGTTATTCCTTGAGATTATGGATTTGTATGCAAAACGTTCCCCCCGGCTAATACTTTCCCACAGGATCGCCAGCGCCGTCTCATCCCGAAAGCGAATTGACATCATCTCCCGCGCCAAGCAGATCGGTGTCAAGGTCACAAACGCCAAGGCCAAGGTCACCACCGAGGTCTAAATGGATTAAAGTATGTGTACGAGGATTTGCGAGTGGGAGTCGGGTTATTTCTTCGGATCATCGGGTGTGTGGATGGGACGATAGAATAAAAATAAAGCATTTACAGCACACACACACAACAATGGAGAACAAAAAAAAATTGAACAAAGTCTACAAAAGCGCGATTTTTTTTTTACAAGTTTCTCCGGGTTTATCGGTTTATCATATCTCTGGAAAGGGAAAGGGGGCGCCTGCGGTCTTTTGGGGCTGCTGTCTTTATTTTTATTTCGCAAGAGGTGCTACGGTTTGCTTTTTTTTGGCCATGCGTGCGTGCATGCTGCATACGGCTGGAGAGAGAAGACGGCCTCGGGCATTTCCATGTATTGTCGATTGCTAGGGAAATATGACGCACCGTTGACGAATGACGATTTGATACCTGAAGAATGAGTGCCGTGACTATTTGAAGTGACATGGGGCCCGTCATTTTGGTCTGTTGACTCGGAGGCATGTGAAGAAGCAGCTGGACTAATAGGAACTAAGACCGAGCATGTCCGGGCTATACCACGGATAGGACGAACAATATTTGGCAGAATTGAGTCTTGGGGAACTCAACATACTGAGAGCCCCAAGTAAGGCTACTCTTTAACTTTTTGTCGCTTTGCAACAGTACGCATCACATGTTCAACTTTTTTCCAACCATGACCCCCAAAACAGCTTACCTAGGCTGTATCCATACTCAAAAACTCTGCCTCGTTACGTCTGGCCCTTTGCGCTGAATATCGAAAACTACAGCTCGAAAATTTCTTTTCCTTGCTACAAGAGCCGAGACACTCGTCATTAGGACCAACCGAGTCAATGAGCCATCGGTTTTGTTGTATACGCATAATCTCGGCCATTACACCAAAACGTAATGTCACGCTTCTGACCGATATATCAACCAACTATAACGAAACGAAATACGTTTGTCAAAGTTGTTGGTTAGCTAATATAACATCTAGGCAAAGCTAGCACGCATCATTCCACAGAAAGACACAACATGGGCCGCAAACATACATTTCAAGTTATAATCTTTGGCATTCGCGCCTTGGCCAAGACACTGGATGGCTCTCTTATAGTCCAACGGGTTATCAACAGTTCCCTCCAACATATACGTGGCCCTTGTGTCGTCCGGCTTGGGCATCAGATATCGGGTTTGTATGCGACTAGGGGAAAGTTGGGTTAGGACGGCAAGGGTTATATACATCATCTTCCTTGAAGAGGAAAGAGGGCGTGCTTCCCGTGGACATGGTTTGGTGTTATTTGCATTGCTGACAATTGGTCTGTTAACTATTTAACCCTTTGTGGTATTGAAACAATCGGGACTCTGTGTCGATACGGTGAAAGAGGTATTGTGTAGGTGAGTAATCTCTCCAGCCATGACGGCGGAACGACGGGCAACATTACATAGGTATGAAGCACCTCGTCTCTTTGCCATCATCAAGCAAACGTTACGTGCACGCCCCGAGCTCGTGGCTGGCCAAGCAAGTCCAGCCGGTCACTGTCTCGGACATGTACCATCCATATCTCAGCTAAATGCCACGTATTACGGGAATTAGTAGCGGTTTTCGGTTCGAATGATATTTTCCTCTTACACACATTCAGCTGTAAATAGTGCAATTAAATGGGTAGGCAGATCAAACTCACAGAATTCCTGTTTACGCAGATTACGATGCTTTGCAATGGCTGAGCCGTCGAGGCTGAGTTTGGAAAGGCCAAGTTTACGTCTTGTATTCAGGCGAGTCCGTACGGTCACTGCAAATATGACAAGAGAGCATTGTTAGTAAATTACATTCTTCCCAGATCCATCTCCCAGTGATGGGCCACATCATTCTACGAGGTAAGCCTACTCGGGGCTGCGAATCTGTTGAAACATTGTAGATGGAATAGCAGGTACGAGTATGTGGGCGCATATACACAGTCCACGAAGCTTTCTTCATTGAAAAGAAGCAAGTCAATCGATGTTGAATCTTAGTATTTTGCAGCTATGAAGTTCATCATATATAGATCAAAGCAGTTTCCTCCGCAAAACAAAAAGCATTATAAAGATCCACCAACAGTATGTACTACCTACGGCCAATTGTCGAAACTCGCATCCTCCTTGAATCTAAAGAATAGCAGTCGCCCTGATTCACATCCAACAATAACACTATGATCTCGCACTTGTGCAACGCCTCCACGATACAACTTTGGCAAATAGAAAACCTCCTTGCCCTGCCAAGTGACGCTCCCAGGGGTATGCCAAATGATGCCCCTCACGATATGGTCCTCAAAGTTAGTGAAACTATATGGGCACCATGCCGTAGGTGTCGTATTCACCAAATCAAACTCTTGGATATCCTTGATGAGGATCGGACCTACCCCTGTCACCACATACTCAGGATAGGCAGGATTGAGCTGCAAAGTATGGAGTGGAACGCTGCACTTTGCTGTAGCTTCCTGGCCTGTCGCGGTATCCCAGATCCAGATTTGGTTGGAAGAGCAAGCAATAAGGCTGCTTGCATCAGAATTGAAGACCAATGAGAGTATATCACTGCCAAACTGCTTTTTTTGCGCGAGGACCTTCATTGATTGGATGGCGCCACTCCCGGGTTCCTGCAGTACAAGGTCCCAGTATAGAACTCTGCCGTCGCGGCCACCAGCCGCGATGTACCTCCCATCCTTGGAAAATACAACTGACGTGACGAAAGTGGTATGGCCTTGGAGTTTGTGGCTATAGTTGTAGTTGATGTCATCGTTACTCGCCTCATTATTGCTGCTCTCGTGGACTAGACGCTGCATGTCCCACACGCGCACCATTCTATCATCGCACCCCGATGCCACGAAATTGCCGTCTGGCGAGAAGACGGCAGACCATACCATCTCAGCATGTCGAATCGAGAATAGCTGTAGCCCGTTCGTCACATCCCAAACTCTAACTGTGCGCTCTCGAGCTGATGAAAGCAGATACCGAGAGTCATGCGAAAACTCTAGTGATGTGATTTTTTTGCGGTGTTCACGAAGTTGGCCTCGAAAGCTCCCTATATCCCCACCCCAGAGGCAGATCAAGCCGTCTTTCGAACCCGAGGCAACAACCTTGCCATCTCTTGACAAGGCCAAGCATGATATGGGTGTTTTATGGCCTGGAACCCGTTGGTCAACCTCTCCACCAACGTCGATCGATGCTCTAGCAACCCTTTCTACCTCATGCCGGCCATAGTCCCAGATACAAAGTGTATGGTCTGCGGAGCAACTGACGACATGTTTCTCGGACTCCAATGGGGAAAAAGATAGGTTGTCAACTTCGGAAGAGTGTCCGCGTAATATCAATTGAGCTTGCTTATGATCATCGTCCCAAGGGGCCTCCCAGATCCTGACCGTTCCATCCCTTGACGCAGATGCCAGGCAAGAACCGTCGGGAGAGAAGGCGATTGCGTTGATGCCGGATTCATGCCCGATGAGAATGCTTGGTTTTTTACGGGATCGTACGTCCCATATGTAGATGACATCGCCGGCTATGGTAGCAATGTATTTCGAGTTGGGCGAAAAGGCCACATGAAAAGCCAATCCCAGATGCTTTGGTAGAAAAAAGAATTTCTTTTTTCTCAATACTAGGGAGTTTCCGATGGCTTTTCCCACTGTGTTTACCGCACCATCCACTGCCTTGTTGTTTACATTCTGTGCCGGCTCCTCCATCAGCTTGCAGAGGGATATACGATTTCCAGACGCCGAGACAAGCAGGGCATCATCATTAGAAAATGCCAATCCGCTAATCAGAGAGTCTTGGTAGGCAACTTCTTGCGAAACGATTATGGAGTGGGTCGACGTGTCCCAAATCTTGATTTGTTCGCCCACTGCCGCAGCGAACCTGCGTCCGTCATTGGAGAAGCTGATGCAGCTCACACGTTCCCCAGAAAACCCATTCAGAGTTGTGCTACTTGTTGCCGGTTGAAAAAACTCATTTTTAAAATTCCAGATGACAATGCTTCTTAGAAATGAAATGGCGATGAGACCGCGAGAAGAAATAGCTAAATGGCTTATGTAGGCGTAGATCGTTTGGGAAATGTACTGGATTTTGCCCGTTTTTGCATCCCAAATGCGAATCAAAGAGTCACTAGACCCAGAGGCTACATATTGGCCATCGTGTGAATAGGCACAGCAGCGAACCTTGTCGTATTGTACTCGGAGAACATGTACAATGGGATTCCAATTGCTGTCGATATTTGGTGAGATTGCCAATTGTGGCATCTCTTGGTGAAGAAATTGTTTTCGCGTCGTGCTGTTGCGAGGGCAGAAAAGAAGAGTATTTTTGGCTCCAAATATGGCCGGACTTTCCATGGACTTGTGGAAGTTTAGGAACTTTCGTGCTTCGCAAACATGGCTAATATAGCTCTGGATATAAGCGATTTCTAAATCCCCGCTGCCATTTTTCATTCTGGTTTCCAATTCTTTCTACGAGCAAGTTAGCAATAGAAGAAGCTAGAAGCTGATGAGGGAAACGTACCTTGAGATCTGCCTCCAGGTCAAGAATCAAACAGCAAGCCCGAGACAACCAATCTAATGAGGCCAACACATCTGCCCACTTCAAGAGGTTTGCGGTCATCATATCGATCGCCTGGTCCCTTATCTCTTCATCATCAATTACATGAACAAGATGCTGGATCCAACAAACTGTAGGATAGTAGGTAGGTATCGTCAAATATGTGGCTCGCTGTTCATGCAAGTCGTCACCTGCAGGCAGGTTAAGCCATTGGGAGAGAAAAAGGAGGCAATTTTTGACTATCCATCGGTGCCGTTGAGCCGACGACTCATTCACATAACCAATGTAAAAGTCTCTGGCTGAGCGATGTGTGAAGCATACCGAGCCACAGCATACTTCTAGAAACGAGAAGCAGCGGGTTGTGATCAATCTCTCAATGTTAACCTCTGGCGGTAGATTCACGAGCACTTTGAGCTCTGCAAGTTTGATAGGGTAATAAGTCTCGGCCATTGCTCCAAGAATTTTCAAGCAGTAGTTGTTGTCTCCGAATGGTAGCCTGTTGATATTATCTATCATGAAAGAATATGGGCAAACCTTGGAGTTGAGAGACTTTTGATAATCCAGTAACTCTTGAAGAATATGCCGAGCGTGCCATGAGTCTGTCTGTATAACGAATTCGCATACTACATCTGCCCAGAAGAAGTTTCCGAGCGATAGGTTCCGTAACAATTCCGTTAGCTGAAGTCGCAATTGCTCACCGTAGCTTCCATACTGTGCAAGTTCTCCGACTTTGAAAGGGATATAATAGGCGTTGAAGATTGTTAGGTTCCCGGAGTAGTTCTGATCGAGGCTTATGTCTAGTCCCATGCTTGCCTCATCCGATAATGGCAAGTTGTCAGCCGATAGTAGCCATTTAATTTTAGATGAGAGGCTCATGGTAGTTCTCGCTAGCTCCAAGAAGCGATTGAACTCAGTGCCGTCTCCTTTAATTTCGTCAACACCATCAATAAGAATCAGAGTAGGCTGAAATCTTTCATCCCCAACCATTTTCTTGAGAATTAGGGAAAGGGCATAAAAGTCATTCGCATGGGAGAGATGTCCTCTGCCTATGTGTTTGAGCCCGTCGACCAAAAGATCAACTAAGCAGCTCTGTTCCTTTAGTATTGCGTAAATGAGACTCTTGATCGCGGATGCAGCATTTTCTGGCTTCTGCTGTCCGTTACCATTCCTTGAGAACGACAAGAATAATGGGGAAAAGGTTTTGTTTTCTCGCCGAGAGTGAGCCCACATAATGGCTGACATATAGATCGACTTGCCAGTGCCTAGAGCCCCAACGATCCATAGCATGCGAACTTCATTTGCCTCAAATAAATTGTACTCATTCAACGAAGATATCCATTGGTAGAGCTGTTCGTATAGCGGAATCAGAGCCTTTGTTCTCGCGCTCCTAAAACCTCGATGATGCTGTTGTCGGTCCACTGCAGAGAGGTCGCCTAACAACATATCCCCTCTTGTCTCATCATTGATCAGTGGGCTATCCTTCTGCATATGGTTCACTGCAGTAGCACCCCTATGACCAATGTGAGAATGGGTGAAGCTCCGTATTTGGTTCTCGATGCAAACTCCAAGAAAACATTCCAGTGCCTTCTCTGCATTCACAATTTCGGTCACGCTCAAATCGGCATTGTTGAAGGTCAAGTCTTGATTGGCTTTGGCAAGGGAAATCTGCGCGTCTTCATTTCGCTGGGAGCAAACAAGGCGAATTTGGTAAACCAAAATTGCTTTGTAGAGCTCGCGTATTCGCCCTCTGAGCAGCCGTTCTTGTGTGCCTCCTTGGCCTTTTCCGTCGAGGAGTTTGGGGAGGAAATTGTACCACGTCAGTCGGGATAAAACATGACTGATTCCCGAGGCCTTTTCTGATTTGAATTCATGATAATCAAGATACTGAATATTAAGTTGCGGCATTAGCCTTGCAATGTCCATGACTCATGTCAAGCATAGTTGTTACGCACCTGTAGGCATAGCCACATTCCTAGCCACGGTAGAATAGAGCTAGGTACACTGGGATGTGCCAGTTGCATGATTGCTTGTACTCCAGGTTGAGACCCTGCTTCTTTGTTATCGGTCGTCTTGGTGGGACCATTGCCATCTGGGTGCATGTTAAGACATGCGGTAACGATTCCACTAATTTGCTGCTTCCATTGCAGAGGATCTGCTGGAGGGCCGTCTTCTAGGGGCCTTCTAACTGAGAGCTGATGCAGCATAGAAGTTTCTGAATCTTCTTCTAGCCATAGTTTGATGGTGTCTTCGTATCTCTTCAGCTGGTTCGGCTCCTGTGATTTGAGATCGTCATATGCTTCGCCCCAGAGGCTGGCAGCTAGCAACTGGGATGATTTCTCCAAACCTGTCTTGGATGTCGGCATTTCAGGTTCAGACTCTGAAAGAGTACTCTCCGATTCGCTTTCGAATTTGACCAATTCTGTGAGGGTAGAGGTAGAAGATGAGAAATCTTTGGAATGGATGCTTTCGGCATAAGAAGCAGCGGGGACTGGTGGTATTTGCGATGGTCCAACGTCGCGTGCGGTCGGATCACCACCAGGCTCATTTTGTTGGTTGTTCCAGATGGGGTTCGAAGTTTGCTCCCCGCCTTTATTTTCGCTTTCGGCGTGTAAACCTGCGTGGGAATTTTCTCCTCCAAAACGTCCAAAGAAGGATGTAGTATACCCGCGCTGAGGCTCCAATGTAGAGATGCTGGGCTCCATCATTGCAAGAGGTAGTTTGTGATGATATCTATTAACGTTGGACTGTCAATATACAATACTGACAGCGCAAGTGGGATGTGACTAACGCTGTAGAAGATAGGGCTATGACTCGATCTCGGAGCAAGATGGATGAATTGAATGGCTGGGAAAGAACGTGGTGGGCGGAGGTATGGGCTGGCATTCATCCGAACGATGACAAAGTATCGTGTACGAAGTATTACATCAGCCCTGCATCTGACGATGAGTAGATGAGCAGAAAATATAGTCAGCGGCTCCGCAAATGGGTGGACAGGGTGACACTCAGAAGTCGTACGGATGAGGTATATTACAAGACCTTGCTTGTTACACAAGCTCGACGTGGTAGGATATGACTGGTGCCCTCTCTGTGCCAGGTTGCGCTGGTGGCACCAAGCTGAGCTCACGCATACCCAAGGCAAGATAAATACGTGGCCCTGCTGCTGGGTGTAGTAGCAAACTTGGTCTGATGTGAAGAGAAAAACAAAGAAACAAACAAACTCCATCATCTGAAGCCAACACGCACCCTCATCTAGCATGGATGCGGAACATTGTACAAGCTTGGACGACATTGGTCAGTCGGAGCCGCTTCCCTTGGATCTCTACCACATCGACAATCATCCAAGCACCGTCGGATCAGGCTCTCTCAAGTCGTACGAGGCCAAGGAGGGCGGCGGCGCAGTTTTTGCCCGCCAAAAGTCGGGGCATGCCATAACGGTGGAACGGCTGCTTTGGGTAGACGGATGGAGAGAGACAACTATCGAACCAACCATTGATGGGGACAAGACTGTGCACGGGCAGGAGATGACGCTCGTCGTTCTCAAGCTCGTGCTTGCTTCGAGTGATGCCAAAAGGAAGTTTTCACGGGCAGAGATCACCGTTGCATTTGAAGACCCAGAGGCAGGGGGCGCAAACGAGCCCAGAGTGGAGGCCTGGGCGCCTTTCTCCAGTCGAGAGAGGTGGAATGCGTCACAGGCCCAGCGCACAAAGGCTGATAAGAAAGACGGGCACGCCAGCCTCGGCTATTCCGGCGTCGAGGTGTCTGGTGGCTGGAGCCGGGAGAGCACCATCTCGTGGGATCAGGTGGCTTTCGACCAAGGAGCAGCCTATGCGCACATCAGCGACACCACTCGGAATCGCAACGGCGTGACCTGGTCGCTCCAGCAGAACAAACTCGAGAACGCCGGTGTCAGCCCGGAACTCTGGGCCACGGTCCTCTTGTCGCGACCAACGGCGGAACCGTATCTGGTCAAGTTCTGCATCGACGCGAGCGTGGGCACCATGGAGGACGTTGCAAACAAGACCAAGAAGTTCTTTGGCTTGAACCCGGACAAGACCAAGCCGTTCCTGGTGACGCCGTGGAAGAGCGTGGTCTGCAACTATGAGGGCAAGGATATCGAGAAATGCATCGATGTCAACAACCTGGGGAAGCTGATAGACCAGCGTACCAATACGCAGCTGAACGTGAGATGGGGGCCGGACCACCACATTGACGTCCCAATGCCATCCGTCAGTCAGCAGGCTTGGGGAAGACTGAAAATGGCAGAGGCAGAGGCAGAGGCAGAGGCAGAGGCAGAGAGCCTGGCCAACAACAAGACCGCCAAAGAGAATGCGTTGCCAACGCCATTTTCAACGGCCTCACCAGCAGCTGCCACGCAAGAGCCAGATCTTGTGTCCGTGCCATCCTTTGCCGATGCTACTACCTCTGCCCCTGGTCTGCCGCAAGCGCAAGTGTCTCAATTGTGCCTGCCGCCTCTGGTCGTTGGCTGGCAGAATGCTTGTCCCCATTCCCCAACCACCAATGCCGACGCGACTCGTGTCACAGAATTAGAATCACGCATGACACAGCTAGAGGGTCGACTTGCTGGACAAGATGTTCTGATACTGCAGCTGCAGCGTGCGTTGCTTAATCAAGAAGCCTAGGTGGCGGGATCCGAGTGGAGGCTTCATCTAAATCGTACACGTAGCTTGCATGCAATTGATTTTGTTTAATGCGCTTCCTGCCACGTTGTGAAAGAATAATGCATATGATTTGAACACGTCTCGTGAAATGTTGTAAAAACCCTACATACTGTATTACGGCCCAAATGCATGATGATGTAGACACTATCAGGGACAAAATGTTGAAGTCGACAAGTACATCCATCTATGCCAAATGATGCATCATGACGGCGTTTGGCCTTCACTGACTGTATGCAGTCAGCAGCAACGCGGCGCCTGATCAAGAACAACGCATCTTAGGCAGCTATACATCTACTTGTTTCATGTATATATGAATCGAGGCACGTTGCTGCCTCGTTCAATGTGATCCAAAGCATGCCAACAAGCCCATAGTTCCGGTATGCTCTGGCCTGCTTCCTCTTTTATACTTGGATTTAACCCAAACTTGGCCCCCTTTGTCTTTATCAATTCTTAATCCTCGAGTATTCGTTTTGCATAAGTTCCAACAGTCGACTCGAACTGTGAACGAAGGGAGAACCTTTCACTCCACCCGTACTTGAAGCGCTCCAATCCCTACATCGGTAACGAGAATAAGTTCTGATACGACAACCATGTCAGACCAGCGGCAAGGCTCAGGACATGTTGATAAACTGATGGAAAGCATTGATGTTCAATGGAGTAACGTCTCAACGGAAAACCTCGATGAGAGTATTCCATCAGTTTACTACGCAATTCGTGAAGCCTTAACGACTAGTATCGAGTCTGAAACCAACGATGAGGGCGAAACGTTACGGCAAACTGAGAAGCGGATCGAAGGATTTCTCAGAGGGGAGGGGAAAGCACAACAAGGACAAGCCCAAAGGCAGGAAAAGCATGATGAAATTGATGGCTGCATACTCTGGATAATTCTTTGGAAAGCAGTGGCCAATGTTTCTGATACCAACCGCGAAACTTCCAAAAGTCGGGCAAACATGCGAATCATCCGCATGATAATCGACATAGCACCATGGCTAGCATTCGACAATCCCAGTGAACCCATTCAGGTCGATGAAACCTGGGTGCCGTATAATATCAGAAATCGGTGCAAGTTCGGCGACAAACATGCCTACACCGACAACCAATTTGTTTCGACGCCTTTCCACGAAGCGGCCGCAAACAACAATTTCGAAGCGATAGACCACATGCTTACAATGGGCACGAAGAAATTGATACTGGCTAAGCCCGGCGCGTCGCAGCGACAACTGTTCATCCAAGTGTTGCAAAAAGAAAACACAAGAGGAGAGACCGCGCTATCGTTGAGTACCAGGCCCAGGCATGGCAGAACAGAGGCGTTGAAGGTCATTCTAGACTTTTGCAGAGAACATCTTGATCCCGACAACAAGTGTTTCCAAGACGCCTTACATGCAGGGCGTGCAGACGTTGTAAGGGCCTTCCTAGACGCCGATCCAAGCAGTTTCGTAAGGCCCGGCAACATTCTCAAAGCCGTCACTGCTCTCAAAGAATTTGGACCCAACCATGCCAAATATCAGAGTCAAATGTCCATCGTCGACTTACTTATTTCTCACACTACGACAGCAAAGGATCTGAACGAGGATGCCCTTAAGCTCATCATCCAACTCGATTTGAAGGATATGCTAAAGGGAAAGTTGGACAACGCAGACTTCAAATTGGATGATTTAAAGCCTCTTCATCTTGCTGTCGAACAACAGAGTCCTGATTTTGTGGAGATGTTTCTAAAGTATTATCCACACTTGATCACAACGAAGTGCGGCGGAAAGTATCCCCTATGGCATAACAACTACGAGGGCGAGAATGAGCGTCGCAAGTTTAAGGGGCCTAATGTTAACAACAGAAAAATACGCGACATGGTAGTGACTGCTACCATCAGGAGCAAAGAGGCGGGTAAACTAGAGGAGTTGCTCGAGATTTTTCGTCAGTCTGGAGGTACGTGTATTCTCTTCATTTCTTCCCTTGATGAGTAATGGCTGCCAATATCATAGCACGTTAATTAACATTGACAATTTCTTGCTGGAATCGAGTAAGCTGATTCGGTTTCATCAACTTGATAATGACATAGTCTCATCATTCATCTAGTCAATGAGATATGCTTTGATATTTCTCGAATCAATTCAAAGCTCTACCCGGTGTCTGATTTCATTCGATCTCTCGTCAGTCATCAAGATGATCGCAACTTGCTATCCTACGAGCAGACGATAAGATACATTGAGTTTCCTGCCCTGGACCTCAGGGTTGAAGAAAAGGAGACATTTGGAGACAATATTCAATCCGAGCATTTCGAAGTTTTCCAAGCGCTAGACTGGCTGAAAAAGAAGGGCGTCAAGGAGATTATCGAGTTTGTCATCCGTGACAGGCTTGTGAATCCGCACAATGAGATTGGCATAGGTCAGTACGTCGAAAGGTTCAAGGTTGAAGTTCTTGATTGGAGGTTTTTAGACATGTCCATCTCCATCTTGAAAATAGGTAAAGACAGGATCAGAGAACTTCATCTATACACAGGTGGCAAGCGATCAGCAATCATGCACTGGCTGAGCGAAGATGGAGTGCGCTCACTTACCAATGTATGCTTACACTTCCCTCCACCCACACACATTGGAGATGCTTGACATGCACAGGGGTACTAATATAATACATTCATAGCTTCAAAAACTTGAGATTCATATCATACAGGTTTGGTCAATGAATCAGGGAATTTGGTGCCCAAGTTGGCTAACTTGAATATTTGAAGGAGCTAATGTCAAAAGAATCCCGCCAAGTCACGACGCGATTCATAGACAAAAATTTCCAAGCTCTATGTGACGATATTAATGAAAGAAGGAAAGAGGAACAAGGGGAAGAATACGACAGACTCGAGAAAAATGTAACGGTTGGGGCTTGGAACCCAACAGTCAAGCGATTAGCAGACTTGGAAGAAATGTCGGGTGCATTCTATGTGAAAAAAAAAAAAAAAAAAAAAAAACGAAATCACAAATTACTAACTGGTCAACTATAGATCCGACAGGGCCGTTCCTAAGCTATCTAAATTCATTAGAAGCTATAGCCATTACGTGGCGGAAGAAGCTGTCGAATTCCGCGCGACAAAGGTGGCCCTCATTGATAATGGTATCCTCAGTGTTTCCGCAAAAACTGACGGCTCATGGGATCGTCCATCTGGCGAATGGCGCTTTGATGATTCATCATACAACGCTACCTACCCAGCAGAGAATACAAATCAAGAGGATCAAGATATAAAGGATGACGATAGCAGCAGCTCAGTGTCACAGAGGCAAAAAAGGCCAAAGGAGAGCAAAAGCCTGTGGTCTCGAATCAAAGACGACTGCTCCTTTGTTGATGACAACTCTCGACTAAGCTCATGGCTATTTGCTTCCAATCCTCACGGAACTCAAATGGCAAATTTAATATGCGCCATTGACCCATTGTGTGATCCACAATTTTTACATTTTTCTATTAAAAATTCTTTATAAATTAGACCTCTACGTGGCGAAAGTGACGGAGGGGAGATACGGTATCAGCCCAGGAAGAGTTACCAAGGTGAGTTTATTAATTTATTCTTTCCCCCCTTTATTTAGGGGAGATGTTTTGGAATCTTTTGAAAAGCTGTTCACTGACAATCTTGACCCCCCATATTTGCAAGGCAATTCAATGGGCAATTGATCAAAAGGTCGACATCATATCAATGAGTTTTGCCATTTTGGACACAACCGAAGAGTTCCAAAAGGCGTGTGCAACGGCAGTAGATGCAGGCATCGTCCTATTCTGCAGCACCCACGACGAGGGAGCAAACATAGCCACCGCGTATCCGGCCAGCTTCAACGACACCATCAAGTTGATGGCCTGCGACGAATTCGGCGCGCCGACCAGGAACATGAAAGACGGCTACGACTACACCATCCAGGGAATCGACGTGGCAGCGGGCGTCGTGCCGTTCCTCGAATCCGACGATCGCATCTCCGGCAGCTCCGTTGCCACGGCCATTGCCGCCGGGCTGGGCTCCCTGATGCTGTCGTGCGATCGGCTCGCCAACGGGGGGCCGTCGAGAGTCTACTCTAGAGGCGGCAGGTCTGAGCTCATAAAGGCGTATTTTAGAGACATGTTGGCAGAGAATAGCGACAAATATATCTTGCTGGAGAAATTTGCTGGTGTTGACAGGAAGCTCAAAGATTGGACGAGCATCTATGCTGGAGCCATTATAGAGGAGTATTTCCAAAAGGCACCAAGATGAACGGGTCGACTTTTTGATAGGGTTACAATGCTTAATTAAGCAGAAGGTACGATTGTTAAGGCTATCATCTCTACAAGTAGATCAAGTTGGATGGGAATCCTCACTCATTGATGATGGATAGTGGTGCAGATATCCACTATAACAGCTCGCGTATTGCTTACATGTAGTACAAAAGAAGCAAAAGAAGCAAAAGAAGCAAAAGAAGCAAAAGAAGCAAAAGAAGCAAAAGAAGCAAAAGAAGCAAAAGAAGCAAAAGAAGCAAAAGAAGCAAAAGAAGCAAAAGAAGCAAAAGAAGCAAAAGAAGCAAAAGAAGCAAAAGAAGCAAAAGAAGCAAAAGAAGCAAAAGAAGCAAAAGAAGCAAAAGAAGCAAAAGAAGTAAAAGAAGTAAAAGAAGCAAAAGAAGCAAAAGCCTTAATCTATCTGCCATTTAGTAGATCCAACACCGACTCAATCATAAATCTACCACTACATCAAAAATGCAGTCGGCAATTTACACGCATTTACCAATTCATCACCACCAGCCGAGCCACTCTCCATCTGAGAACTCGCCCATTGTAACAACAACACTCCATCATACGCAACGAGCCTCTCGAAAAGCCCAGTACAGAGTCTTGCGTGAATTTACTTTCATTTCGAGATGTAAACACCTCATCCAGTCCTACCTAGTGTCCATGGCTAAACGGGCATCCAGTTATCCTGCCACGCTTAGATAATGAATGGCCTCTTGCAACTATGCATTAACTGGCACAACATAGAAATGACCCTTTCACTTACTTTCAAGTACCGCTTCACAAAAGCTTATACAGAAATTCACTTCACTTCACTTCACTTCACTTCACTTCACTTCACTTCACTTCACTTCACTTCATCTCTTTCCCCAAGAAAGAACATCACTCGAAAATCCTCTCATCATTCACCCCTCCACAGTATAAAAGGGCAAAAACAAACAATATACAAAACAAAAATGGCAATCGCAACATCATGTCTTTAAATAATAATAAGAAGAAACGGCTAAAATGGGTATCTCATCAACCCTTCACAAACTCACACACACATACATCTCCCCACTTATCCTCTCTCTATCGTTTATCCTTTCTACCTCACCAAACCACACACCACCAAGAACATACTGCAAAAGTAAAAGAGAGGGGAAAATAAAAATTGCTCCTTTATGGAATATCTCTCCATAAAAAGGACACCACAAAACTGAAAAGAAAAGAAAGTTAAACCACCAGGGTCTAATCATCAAATATGTCGGTTTATACTCCGTTCTACCTCCCATCTCGCTCCTTCAAACCAAAACAAAAACGAGAGCAGACCAAGAAAGTCAATGACCTCAGCAGCCAATCCATATGGCTGGAAAAATAAGGGGGAATAGAAATCGGGAAAGAGAAAGAGAAAGAAAACGACATCAATAAAAGTGGAATACCTGACCAGGCAAAGCAAAAGAAGAAGAAAAGTGAAAGCGAATAAGCCCCATTCCATCCCTCCAAATCTCCCAGGGAAAAACAACCGCGCCTCTGCAGTGCCTTTGCCAACCACTAACTGTGCGGCAAGAATGATGTATATATCTCATCATGAACATGACATGACAAATGAAAGAGGACGCCCCAGCTTCGAGCTCATACGAAGTCAAGAGAACAAGATTTGAGCAACAAGAGCTAGAAGAAGCATGTGTGACATGCGTCATCGCATTCAACTCGATCGTCATGCCCAAAAAACAACCCCCTTTTTTTGTTCTCCCCGCTGGACTTCCGCAACGCCCATCATGGTTGACTTGTTCCGGCAATAAAAGACGACAAAAGTTTCATGTAAATGAAAAAAACGACAAGCCATGCGCTGCGTGATAGGATGAGCGTGAATCCAGCAGCTGACATTTTCTTTCAAAAAAACGGTGATCAACGTGCGGATATGGAGAAAAAAAATCTATGGAACCCCAAGAGGCTCTCTTAACAAACATTATGTAAAAAATCGTAGGAAAGGCTGTTTTGAATGGCCACGCTCACTCAATGAGATCCACGGGTTCGTTGCTTTCTTGCCAGCCAGTCTCCAAGCATGTTATCAAGTTGCTATAGCAGCTGTTAGTATATGCAGCGCCTAAGAAGAGAAAACTAAACACTTACAGTCGTTATTTCAGCCAACTTGGCATTCTGCTCTCGGAAGAGACCACCTACTACGGGATGATCGCTGCTTGCAGGTACCACATCGGTCTTGTCGTACACTACAACCAAGAGGTCGCGAATATGCTCGGGCTCGTCAAAGAAGGCACGTAGCTTCATGTCGTCCCAGGTCTGCTCTTTGCTGCCAGTGGAAGAAGAGCTACTCTTGGATCTACCCTCAGCAGACTGAGTTAGCTCAGGAGAAGGCGAAACAGAGGGCGATCGATCCTCTGGAGACGAAGTATCAACCATCAGAGCAGGAGGGTCCGAAGGCGCAATGGGTGACTCGGGAGACGCCTCTGCAGGCGCGCGGGCTGTAGATTCGGCCAGAGGCTGTTGCTGAGATGCAGGAGATTTGTCACCAGTAGATGAAATGTGGCCCTCGGGGAAAGAGCCAGGAATAATAGCCTCTTCTTGTTCTTCCTCCTCTGGTGCAGCATTGGTAGCCGCAGGTGTAGACGATGATTTTGGCCTGGGCATCTGATCCAAGATGGCTTCGCCATCATCTGAGTCGTCCGAGTCGGATACATCCAAATGGGCATACGGGGATCGCGGCCCAGTAGCGGCTCTCGGGCTGGTAACTACCTCGCCACGGCGTGCAGTAGGAGACATTGGCTGCTCCAAAGACGGGCGGCCCCGAGGGGGCTGGTGCGATGGAACCTCTTGTGTCTCGTTTGTCTCGGGGTTGACGATGCGCATTGACGGTGGAGGAACGTTGGAAACATCGTTGATGCGGCTCTCGGCCAGATAAGAGGCAAGCTCCACGGTGGAGTTTGGAGTCTTCTCGTTGATGGATGGCTCGACTCGGGCTTGAGGCTTCTGCAGCTTGGCCGGCTGCCTGACCTTTTCCGGAGACGAATGCTCTTCAGACTGGCGCTCCTCGCTGTCGCGGGGCTCGCCGTCCGGCCCATCGTCATTGGGCGACCTCTTCTTGTCTTTCCGTGAGAAGAAGCCTCGGAGACCACCAGGTTTCTTGTCCTTCTCCTTCTCCTTGCTCTTTTTCCTGTCCTTGTCAGACATGAGCTCCTTCTCAAGCTTGTCTAAGCTTGCGCGAGACTTGGATCCGGCAGAGTCAGATGACTCCCGAGGGGGAGCGTCATCCCGCAGCAAATTCGGCGTAAGGGTAATCTTCTTGGTCTCGGCTGTATCATCCTTAAAGAAAGAGTCGGTGTTCCTGATGTTACCGTTACGAGATATGCTGGGGCCGTTCTTCTCCACAATATCGAGGCTGCCCCGAAGATCTTCATCGTCGGATTCTTCATCCTTGTTTGGCTCAGATTGTTTGGCAGCCTTGGACTTGGTTTTGAGCGGTTCCACCTTGGCGGTGTCATCTGCAGCATCGTCGTCTTCTGACAGCGCCTTTTTCTCCTGAGTTCCCTCTAGCAGCTCATCGAGATCTTCCTCATCTGAGGAGTAATCAGGGTTGTAGTTGTGGTAGGTGGGCTCTGCAAAAGCGACAGTGGCTTTCTTTTTGATGGCGATTGAGAAGCTAGTTTTTGGCTTCCCATCGGCTTGTGTATCGGTCAACATGGTTGAGGAAAGCTATTGAGCGTTAGTAACGAGAAGACATCATTTTATTGATGAGAATTGTACGCACATCGATATTCCTGTGTTTGTTAAGTCGCGCTAATCTTTCGGTAGGCGTCTCGATGTGCTCGGCTGGCAGGTAGCCTACGTATTGACATATTAGCGAAAATGTTGATGGAAGCTGAGAAATCACAAGGAAAACATACCAATGCTACTATCCTTGACTACTCTTACCAGCCACCAGTAGCTGTTGCTATCGTCGAGCAGAACCATGGTATCACCCTTGGTCGCGTTCGCTTGGCCCTCGACGGTGGCCACAAAGGTGTGGAGGGCGTAGACGAAATCGAAATCGATGTCCTCTGGTTCATGTAAGCACTCTGCTGCCCAGCCATAGTCAATGAAGCGTGGGTTGTTGGGGAGGGAGAAATCAGAATCATCATCTTCTTCAAAGGATTTGTTGTACGGTATCGTGAGCGATGTATCGGCCTCTTCGATGCCGGCTTCGGTCTCGTATACGAAGGCGTCTTGATGGGTGCAGCTGCAGCCACAGCCACAGCCACAGCCATATTCTCCATCATAATCACACATGCACGTCTCCCCATGCTCGATAGCGCTGAGTTCCTGGTGAGCTAGAGCTTGTGATAATGCCCAGTCACCATCCTCGTCCACCACAGGATCCTAGCCTTTGGTTTCCAAGTCTTGTTCATCCGTCTCATCAACATCGCAGCCGGCATCGTCGTCGTCGTCGTCGTCGTCTTGATCGCCACACTTGGCATACTCACCCGAAAGAAGATGATGATGCCCGCTTCGAATCTGCTGCAGGAAATCTGTGTCTCTTGTGCTGGGAATTGGAGGAGATGGAGTGTTTGGGTGCAGGTGCAGTGATGCCCAGGGAATCCGAGGGATGGAGGTCAGGGAAGACACTCGCCGCGGCCAGGCCACGGGAGTGACGGTAACGGAGTGGCTGCACGCACCATCTTCGATTGAGGGCGAGCTCGAGATGCGATCCATCATGTCGTCATCCAGGTCGCCGTCGTCCTCGATGTCGTCGTCGTCGGCCATGCCGCCGTTCTGGGCCACGGCCAGCGGGTCCTGCTGGTGCTGATGCTGCTGGTAGACGTCCATGTTGCCGGCGTCTGTGTCTGTATCTGAATCCGCGTCCGAGTCGGTGTCGGTGTCGGTGTCGGTGTCGGTGTCTGGCGAGCCGTTGTATGTGGCGGTGGAAGAGGCAGCCCGGGGACTGCGCGATTGCTCCTGGGCGGACTTGTGGGCGGCGTCGCGAAGGGTCTCTGCCTGATGCGGAGCGCGGGCGGTTGGGCGTCGATCTCGGCGGGCGGATTGGTCCTGCGCCGAGGGGGCGTGGTGGTCTTGAAGATCGATGGTGTCTGTATGTCGAATCGAAGGGAAAAAGGAGGAAGCGCTCGTCAGTCTCGAGCAGTCAATGCTCACGTGTCTCGCGTCGCGGACTCGGAAGTTGGGTGGGAAAAGAGAAAAAGACGACGTGAATTGGACAAGGAGAAGGAGAAGCAGAAGGAGCGTCAGAAGAGAGCGAGTGAGGGTCGGGAAGCTGCCCAAAGTTCAGAAAAGAAAGAGCGCAGGGAGCGCGATCGAACGAGCGAGAGAAGAAAAGGGCAAGGGAGAAAGAAGAGAAGATGCGATGATGGCCACTAGATTGTGCAGCAACAGCAACAGCTACAGCTACTAGAGCTTCGGGCAGATGCAGATGCAGAAGATCAGGACGAGGCAAGAAAAAAAAAGGCACAGTATGGACGGCCAAAAAGATGCCCCTGGTCGAGTTTAGGCACTCTCGTGTGTTCGTCTGTTCGTCTCGCTCTCGTCTCTTGCCATCGCAACGTGCCAATGCTATGCAAGGCTAATCACAGCGAAACGGGGGTGGCGCGCTCTGGTGCTCTTTTGCTATTCCCGTCCCTTTTTTTTCTGGAGCCAGTGACAGGCACAAGTCCCGGGCCAGGGCCTGGCTCTCCAGCAGGGGGGTGGAATAAAAGGTGGAGGAGGGGAGGGCACCAACCAGAATTCTCAGTGGTGGTGATTCGAGATGGAGGGACTGGACATACAGTACAGCAAAGGCATGAGAAATACAGGGGCAGGGCTTGGGCGATCGCTTGTTTGCATGAGGACAGAGCACGGAAAAACAAAGATGGAGAAGCGAGGCCAATCAGCGCCCCGTAGTGAATGAATGAATCAAGCAATCGGGATAGCAGTCTGTCATCGTACAGTAATACGTACCGGCTCTGATGATGGACGGCCTCGTCATGGCGGATGAATGGATCGCAGCCCGTCTTCTATTGTTGTGGATGTATTTTGCCGCTCAGCTTCGTGCCAGACTGGTTGATCAATCCCAGAGATTTCTCTCACTGTATCTCAATGTTTTTGTGAAATCTTTGTTTATTTTTTTTAGAAAAAAAAAATCCCTCTCGCGGGCTTGAGCGGGTTTCCGGCTAGCTGGCGATCTCCACGACACTAAGCAATTGACTTTTGGCCTCGCTCCTCTATGCGAACACGGTTGTCACTCCAAGCGTTATCTCTCGGCTGCCTGTTGGCTGTGCTTGCTGCAGGAATAATAGGATCGCGTGCCTGTTGGCTGACTGTGCTGTGCTGTGCTGTGCTATAATTGTGGCGCGTGCTGCAAGGCGCAATAGCAAAGCAAAGGGCTGACACTGCGAGTATCAATATCAGATTGGAAGCAAAATGACAAAAAAGCTGAATGGAAAAGTGAAAAGTGAAAAGAGGCTTGACGGGCTTTGGTAGGTAAGCGATCGGGTCTGGCAACCAGGTGACGACAAGAGATGAGCAAGTGAGACATGCGTCTGGTACGAAGACACGGACACGGTTCCTTTAGCCAGCTTCACAAGAAGATCAAACAGTAGTATTCTCTGCCATCATCCCACTGTAAAACGCAAAGTGCATGAGAAATCAGCAGATGCAGCCCATCCATAGCGTCATCTCCCACGATACTGTGCATCAATACAATCAAAATCCTACGATCCCCCTCTCCACTGGGTCCTGCTAAAAAACAAGCGCGCCCAATGTTTCTACCGACGCACGTCCACCCACCCACACACAATAATAGCATGTCAACACCAAAACATTCCTCCAATACCCGGTTTTCTCCAATACCCCTCTTTTCTCTACCAAAACACGTTCTTCTCATGCAACAAAGGACCTGATCAAGCAGTATCAAATGCTATAAAATGGTGCTATTAAACCCAAAGTCCTTCTTCAAATCTCGCTCACTCAATCCCCCCAGCATCTCCCTCGGCACCATCTCATGCACCAAATCCACTCCATGCAGGTGCAGATGCAGCTGAGATGCACCTCGCCCGGGTTCCTACATCCAGGACCATTTTACATTTGATGTACCCACAAATTCTTCCCACAGCTCCAATGCCTTATCCACCCATGTATCTCTCGCTCTCTCTACGGAGTACCTCTGGTCATGAACTGTGCTTTTCACTTTCATTTTTCAAAAAACCTCAACACAACGCGTAATCAAACACCATCTTATAAAACACCACAACATAACCCGGCATGACACGGCATAAACACCAATTCAATCCTACAACATACGCATAAACCAATCGGACTCTCTTAGCGAATCCCACCTCAGCCCAGGTACCTAGTAGGATTAACAAAAAATGAACAGGCCAAGGTACCTAAAGCTGAAACAACCCCACGCACCCTTTACGCAATCTCACTGGTTCTTGTACCCCCTGGATCCGAAACATGACCATTCCGGGTCTGCATTTCTTTTTTTTTTTGTTAAAGCGTTGTACTTGTAGGCAATCGCGCTTCATCCACAAGATCTTCAACCTACCTATTCATGGCATTGTGCTGACTCACTCACTTGGATGAGATAATACAGTAGATACTAGTAATACACACTAACATCTCGCATGGATCTATTTTCAGAAACAGACATACCTAGTAGTATAAATAGATTCCTTCAGCCATTAGTGCAAAAAGACCATACTTCACAAGACAACTAGACAGCTCATCAATTAATCGAACAAATCATCTTTTTTTTTTTCTGTTCCTGAATCCCTATCAATAATCCCGTAAATCTATTTCTTGTAAAGCTACTCCATTCTTGATAATGGCAGCACTTGAAAAGCCGTTTGGCCTCTTTTTTCATTTTCCTCCATTCTTTGTTTGACCCAACTGAGAGACACTTTTTTTTGGTTGTCCTCTATTCAATGCATCGTAAAAAAAAATACTTCAAAACGCGCTCGAAAGCAAAAAAAAGGCAGAATATTAGTTAATGCAAATCTCCTCCTCTCTCCCTCTACTGGTGGATAGACATGCGTCGAACCTGCTCAGTAGGGCTGCCCTGGGCTGCCATCTCGGCCAGCTTCTTTGTCATGCTATTGAAGTAAATGTTAGCAGCTGGTCATCATATTGAGTCTTGAGACGAGGTGTGCAAAAAACTTACAAATCAAAGAAAGCAAACTGGCTGGGCTGGCTACCAAACTCGTAGACGAATCGGCTGGCCAGGTAGCTGCCAAAGATGGCGCGCAGGTAGTTCTCTGGCACGCGGGAGATGATCGTCTCCAGGCCAATCTTGTCCAGCAGAAGCTTGGGGAGGGCGTTCTTCAAAACACCCTTGCGGATGTTCTCGTTTTCCCACAGGTCAGAGTGCTGCAGCTTCTCGTCAAGGTCGGTAATGGCCACCGACAGCTTGTCAGACAGAACGGATCGGGGAATGCCAGTCTGCTCGTGCTCGCGCCAGATGGCCTCAAACTCGAGTCGAGCGTTCTCCTGGATCTTGGTCTGGACCTCTCGGACGTAGTCGTTGTAGAACTGGGGTGCCTGTCCAGTCTTGGCATCGACGCACATGTGCTCGATGAAGCCGTCAGTGTCAAAGGACAGAGAGGCCAGGACTTCCAGAGACGAGGAGGTGACACCTCCCTTGTTGGCAGAGGCATCCTTGTAGAGAATGCAGCCGGCAGCCTCCAGGCGCAGCTTAGCGTCCTGGGTGATGAACAGGTTGGCACCCTCGACAATGTAGGGGATGACGCTCTTGCCGTCCTTGATGAGGCGGTTGACAGAGATGAGATCAATGGACTCGGGCCGGCCACCACAGGGCACAAAGCTGTCCGTCATATCGGTCTCGCGCAGGTGGTATGTGTTGCGGAAAGACGTGCCGTTGTTGACGACCTCTCCGCTGGGCAGGGTGACGTTGTTCTCGTCGCAGAGAACGCGGTATCCGTCCTTGGACAGCTTGGACAAGTCGTACTCGATAATCATGGCTCGCTTCTTGGCCAGGCGAATAAGCTCGTCCTTGTCCAGACCGTTGGGGTCTGCCAGCACACCAGAGCCGTCGACGACAGCAGTGTACTTTTCGTTGCTGAGTAGGATTTCGTTGCTGCCCAAGTCGCCGTCGGGACCACCGGTCTGCATCTTCCGGACCTGAGAGGGGTCCAGGTCGAGCTTGCGGTAGATGCCCTTGACGTACTCGCGCACAGACAGGGTAGTCATGCCATACTTGTCGTGGGGGATACCACCAAGCTTGGGGGACTTGCCGGTGAAGAAAGACTTCCACCAGGGAGCACCACGAGCCTTGGCGTGCTCGGTGGCCCAGTTGACCAGGTCGGCGGTGTTCTCGTCGGGACCCATGAACAGGATCTCCTCCTTTCCATACAGATCGATAATGGGATTCTTGATTCCAGGGGTCTCTGCGGGCAGGAGGAGATCGAGGATACTATCAATGTACTTTTCAAACGCCTCGGTGGCCTTGTCCTGCTGCTTGGGGTCCAGGAGAATGACACCCTTGGATCCACCCTCGGGGATATCCTTGTTCTTGCGCTGCTGGGTGCTGGCAAGGCCGTAGTTCTCGTCAAAGAGGTTACGCGCGTTGATGCCATAGGCCTCCTTGCTGCGCGACTTGACGATACGGATACCACCACGAGAAATGTCTCGGAAACGGAGGTGGAAGCCACGAGACTCGGCACCAATGACCAAGAACATACCGTACAGGGGCTTGGGGTACTCGGCCTCTGGCAGGAAAGAGGGGTCCAAGCGGAAGCTGAGGGCGACCTTGGTGGGGGTGAAGTAGTTGGTCTTGAGGATGGCGTTGTTGAACACGCGGAAGGCAGTCATGACCATCTCGTCGTGCTCGTTGGCGACCGTCTTGGAGATTCTGTCTCGGAGCTTGTCGTCAGACATGACCTCGACGGCGGGGGTGGCCAGAACAGCGCCGTTCTCCTGCTGCAGAGGCGCGGGGAAGTGCACGTTGGCAAAGGCAGCATAGAGCAGGCGGATCAGCTCGGGGTACGTCTGGATGATCTCGACAATGTAGTCGGGGGTGAAGGTCTCGGTACGAAGACGTCGCTTGAGCTTGGACAGCAGAGCCGCGTGGGCGTTCTGCTTGGCGTCCAGGATCTCAGAGAGAGAAGCGTACTCGGGGCCGAGACGGTTCAAAAAGTGCTGGACAAACACCCAGGCGCTGTGGGCATAGACGGACTCCTGCAGACTCAATTCACCAGCGGCAAAGAGGTGGTGGAACTTGTTCTGGGGCAAGCAGTATAGCAGGGAGATTTCCTTTGTGATCTGGTGGATGGAAGCATCGATCGAGGGGAAGTAGCCCTCCAGGTTGGCGGCGGGGCGGAGGTAGACGGACATGACGGTGATGCCGTTGGAGAACTGCTCCACATACTTTCGCGAGGAGGTGACGCCGTAGTGGTGGTACAGGTCACTGAGAGTCGAGAAGATGCCGCGGGCAGTGCGGCTGCGGAAAGCAACAACCAGACGCCTCTCGGCCGAGCCCTCAATGTCAAAGACCTCAATGACGGGGCCAGCTCGGGTAACGGCCAGCTCGATGATCTCCTGGTAGATCTGCTTGGTGTTGGCGGTGGCCTTTTGCCAGAAACCAACGTCGGAGATGACCTCGATTCTGGTCTCCTTGGGGTCGGTAGACTCGGGGCTCTGCTTGAAGTGGCACTGGTACACAAAGTAGCAGCGCAGAGTGGCCTTTGAGCTGGGGCTGGCGCCAATAGCAGCAGGCGATCGGAAGGTCTCGACGCGGTACTTGCTCTTGCCCTGGTGATCCAAATACTTGGACTCGAGACGAGACTCGTACCTAGGGCCGCCGACGTGGGCCTTGCCAGGCTCGCTCGTGTCGATGTAGATGGCGTGGTCATGGGCCTCCATGTCCAGGCGGATCTCCTCCTGCTTGTCCTCTCTTGAGTGGGCAGCAACCTTGGCGGCGTAGAGCGAGGTGATTTGGTTGGCAATGACATCGGGGGTCTCGATGTGGAAGTAGACATCGTCGATGCCCAGCTTCTCGTAGAACCACTCAATCTGCTCGTCAATCAAGGCATCGGGGAGCCAGCCGCCCTGCTGGATGATGGCCTTGACGGACTTGATCTGCTCCGTCTTGCCCTCGAACTGGGGGGCAACGTAGCCGACTGTGGCAGAGCGCAGAACTCGGTGTCCATTCCTCAAGCTGTGAGGAACCTGGGGAACACTGACGTGAGTGGGCTGAGGTGAAGGACCACGACTTGAGTCTGATTCAGAAGTCTGAATCTGAGCCAAAGCCTTGGGCCTGGGGGGAATTGCGGAAGACATTGTGGATGGTAGGTCTAAGGGATCCGTGTATTCAGGGAAGCTGTCCAGAGGAGAAAAATTAGTTTGGAGTGCCAAGGCCATTGCGAAGATATCAAGTAGCAAGAAGGTGAAAACAGGGAAAAGTATTAAAAAACAGTGAATACAAATGGCAAGAAAATAAAGGGTGGTATGAAAATGGGAAGAACAACAGAACGCTGGTTGCAAGGAAAGTCGCTGCAAAGACGTATATCATATATATACTTCAACGCCACGACACCCCAAGCTACAACGTCAAAGATAAGGATTTTCTTTGCATTGACAGCCAACCCGACGCATGAATCAAATGACATGCACGATCCAAGCAAGGGTAGCTATCAAACTCCGGGTGAGACACGCCAGAGACGCAAGGAGAGATCAGATGGCAGCGCCACACTCGTGGTGTTGGTGCCGTGAGATATTGCAGTTGCCAGGGGCAAGGAATGCGGGTGCTCGCCCAAGCTTGGTTGGCAAAAAGCCACGGTTCGATGTAAAACACGATTCGTGCTCACCGCCGCAGGCCACAGCTCAGGCATTGTCACGAAGCCACCACCCCTTGGGCGGCAACTGCAAAACTGATCTGATGCCATATTGATTCGACGGGAGCGGCGGAGAGCGACGAGGGGCACAGGGAAAAGAGACAAAAAAGCCACTAACAGCCCAATCGGAAGGCTCGCTATCACCACGTACCTAAAATGAAGACGGGGTAGGAATAGATGGTAAGAATAGCAGCAATCGCAGCGGATCTCGTGTCAATCCTAGAGCAATCGCAAAAAGACCACCAGTCAGCAAACCGCTGTTTGCAGAAAAAAAGGAGATTTGTCTTTTGTCAGATCCATCAATCAGACGTACCAGATAACGCTATTCAGAACAAGCAGTGAAAGAAGCTAAAGAGCTGAGGCCGTGGCGGGGCAGGGGGCTTCAGCTGATAGTGGTGCTCCTGCGGTCTGGATGGCGACAGGAGGAGAGATAAGAAGACCCAAGATCGGTGAGACGGGCTTCGTATTTATGAGGTCGGTGCGTGACGAGAGATAAGAAGAAATTCTGTGACGAGAAGTTTCTATTTTAGGCGCTGCGTCTAGAAGCACCAGAAGTGCCCTCTGTTAGCCAACACTGTTGCTGCTTGCAGCCGGGTGTCTTTTTTTTTTTCCAAAGCGGATCAGAAGGAGCTGACAGCTTCGGCAGTGCCGAGCTGCCGCTGTTCGAGATCATTGGATCGCCTGGGACCCTTTTTGCTGGGCTGTGTTTGTTGGAGCTGGACTCACCGTATTGGGACGTGTGTCTATTGATATTTGTCTTTTTGGTATAATCCCCTGAAGATGTTGTTGGGGAAGGGATGCTGGGAGTAAAGATGCAGATAAGGGAGAAAGAGGATAGGTAAAGGTGAATTATAGCTGGCGGCTCAGAGGAATTGGGGAGCCAATTGGCGCTGCAGACAGGCCAGACGGGATGATCTAAGAACAACAAGTGAAGCTGAAGCTCCTCAGCAGCAGCAAAACGCACCCGGCGGCGCTGGCTTTAAGTACTCTGGCGATTCTGGCTCCGACGAGCTCGTCGACGCTTCGTGACTCTTGCCATCGTCACGGTACACCACGGTACAATGGCGCTGGTGACCTCGTTGCCCCTCCACAGTGGGCCTGCCAGGCCCAGAACTGGAGCCCCCCTGCGCTGGCCGAGTGCCGCTAGAGCGCTGTGGCACTGTACGTCCGGTACAGCGAGTACAATGTGTCCCTCCGGCACGCCTGGCCCGCAGAGTCCGCTTAAGCTGCTTCTCGAATCTTTTTTTTTTCTCTCTTCTCACTTCTCAGTTAGCCCGGCACAGTGCCAGCCGGTGATCCGGGCCGGTCGAGTTCGCTTTCTGCGTCGCCCTATGACCTGCTTCAGGGCCTCCCCAGCGCCTGTGTTTTAGGGGGCCTGGCCGCTAGCAGCACATCACGTTGGCCGCTCTGCTGGGCTTCTCGACTTGCCTCCGGCTAGACCGTTGGGCTCGCGGTCAGATGACTGTTGCTCTCATCTCAATGCGGCTGGGGGGCCAGATTCCTTATTTTCCAGAGGATGTGTATTACAGACCGAGTACGAGCGAGTCCAGACGAAAGGGGGAATGAGTATGAGAAAACCGTGCACGGTATGCGATGTGTCGCATCGATACTGTGCTGCACGCTCTACCTGCGGCCTCGTGCTTTGTACATGCAAGTACCAATTGTCCGGTCCCAAGCAGAGCCCAATGAGGGCAGAGGAACGCTCAAAGGACCCCAAACGGAGCGGCGGCGCGCAAGTTGCGAACAATTCATGCTTGATGGCGATATGACCTCACGCCGTCGCTCTGCAGGTCTGCAGCTACTCTCCAGGCACTGTAGGCGGTGCGCTGTATGTAAGTATTACCAAATAGCAACTGGCGGCTAGGCCCCAAGGGGCAGTATCGCTGGTCCGGGCGTCCGGTACCTGACCGTTCAGCAATCAGGAACCAGCGCCGGGGGCTGCAGGGCAGGCGCAGGCGCTGCAATGCGGCACCTGGACGCAAATTCCGCCAATCCTCCGGGCCGGTGACACCCACAGGCGGCCGAGGGTACCTTTGGAGCAGCGCTGGTAGCCCGCGGACGGGTATGTACCGCAATTGCGACGACCGAGTACCGCTGGTACGTACCTCTGCTCTGGCAGCCGGCTATTCGAGGCTCTGCGCTAAGCAGCCCAGTTTTTTGCATTTGCTTCGTCGTGTCTTCGCAGAGCTTCTCCAGACGTCCTCTGAGCTTTTCCCCTCTCTCCACGAATCGAGAGGCGGGCTAAGCCTCAAGTGGTGGCTCCCCGGCTTGGCCAAAGCAGAGTCTGTCTGTCTGGTGATGACTCGCAGGATAGACGCGGCCATAGGCAGGCCAGCAGCCAACCAGCGATATTCGTTCTGGAACAGGTACAGGTACAACCAAACAACAGGCAGAAACACCATGGCATCCCTTGTCTCAGGCTGACAGTCTGTCTCGCGCATGATGCAGCCCCAGCTTCCTCTCGGGTCCTCCCAGCAATTGCAAATGTGATACCATGCTGACGTGCGACGACTCCTGCGATTTGCAACATTGTAGCCTGCCTCGACGTCGATTCTTATCTGCCGCTTATCCGATTTGTGAGAGGCAACGCAAGACCACTTGGGCCATTCTGCGCACATCAACAGCTGCTTCAATGTCTTATTGAGCAGCCAGTGTTACTGCCTGCATGTAGGTACCTGCATGCGGTATACAGACTCAAGAACAACTTGTACACAAGGACAAGCACCTGTACGCCAATTACGAAGCTTCTTCCATCGACTTTCCACAAGAGTCAGTCTACAAGATTGCTGCCCAAGATGATGCACATCCCAGCGCCTCAGAGCCCCAGGAATCCAAATCCCGGGCTCGTCAACATCGTTGTCCGTTTCGAAAATGCCATCGTGACAATGCAAGGTTGGCTAAGACAGCATCTAGACCTGCCCGTAAGGAGCTGTTTGTCATAGGTAGTCAGCCAATTTCGCCTCCAGAAGGGAAACGAAAAACGAAAAAGACCACCTGACAAGCGCCTCCACAACGCGCAGGGCCTAGTCTAATTTCTTCTTTTTCTTCCCTTTTTTTTTCTCCGAATGCTACGGTACATGGACTACATGGACTACATGGTCACGATGCAGGTGGCCGGCCTGCATACCGCTTCTTTCAAGTTATCCAACACTTGTACCTGCAAAACACTTGCCAACGGCATTGTTTTCTGATACTTGAACCAGGTAGATCCGGAGTATAAGCAGCTCATTTGTCGAATTTTTCCCAACAAAAAGGGCGTCTATGCGCTATGCAGGCAGGGGCTCGTATATACCTTACACTTTGCATGCAAGTCGCGATCCGGCTACGGGTCCATCCCCGGTATATTCCAGCTAAGCTTCCCGCAGACCCAGCGGCCAGCCGCGGGGATGCTCTCCTTTGCCTTCTCCATGAAATACAAGTACTATTGCCTGGCGGAAGCGGGTAGCGGGCCAATGGCCCTGTCTAGCTGGCCACGAGGCACCTCACGATGGTCCAATCTGCGGCGGCGACGAGATTGCGTGGCGGCCCCTATGGCCGTGCTGCCACGAGAGAAAAATTTTCAGCCCCCTGAATCCATTCAGTCAACCGACAGCACATACTTGTAAAACAAAGGAGCCGGTACAGGTACCTGTACCAATACGTGTCCATACGTGCTGTTTGCGGATGCATTGGCTCAAATTGAAACTCGACAATTGCCCACTTGCAGCAGCAAATACGGTGATGTGATGGAGCCTAGACAGCGCCAGCAGCCAAACACAATGGCGGCTCGACGCCTCTCCCCAATATATTCGGCACGGCCTGGAGAACGAGGCTCCACACCCGGTCTTTGTCTCCGCCTCATCGGCTCTGATCCCCACAAAGAGCCAAGAGACAAGCCGATGGCCCCAGACCCGGCACCACCGAGCCACGACTGTCTCTGCATTTAGGTTTCCATTACCCCCAGGTTTTCCCATCGCGGGTTTCTATTACCCCCAGTTTACCTGATGAGCTGCTTGTGGGTGAGGGCTAACGCGAGCTAACTGTGTGCGTTTGTCGTTTGCTGGCTTGAGGGGATTTGTCTGCAGGAACATGCCCGTTTTGTGTCTTCCGACCTGGTAATGGCGTAAACCAGCAAAGTCGAGCGGGTGGCTGCCTCGCATTTACCTCTCAAGGTACCAATCTGAACGGTTTGCAGATTTTTTTCCTACGGTATGCTTACTTGGGCAAATTAGATATAACTATTATTGACTATAGAGGTATTTACCTCTGAGTATATACACGCTTGTATGGATCATCTAACAAATTAGCATCTCAGGTGCTTGAAACACAACTTGTCCAACACAGTGCGGGCAAATCGATCGTCTCAGAATGGAAAATATGCGGCCGAGACGCAGCAGCTTCATTCCTCTATTAGCTCATTGATTCATGCATCATCTCCCGAGACTGCTTCGTCTACACTCGCCTCGTCTCCCTTGCACGGCTTCGCTTCCCCAGGAAATCACGAAAAGAGAAAAGCAAGCTAGATGGGCGGGAGCGGCAAGTCTCGAGCGGTAAAAACAGGAGGGTAGCAGCAAGACCTGGAGAAGAGGCAGTAGTCCCGGCTAGAGAAATCTGGGGGAAGCCGTCCGCGCAAATCAATCTAGTCAGACTATCGACTGCCCAGACCGGGACCTCATCCGCTACAGTAGTCCTCAATTTTCAATTTTTTCTTCACTCTGGCCTTCTGGCGGAGAAAACGCTGTGGCCACCTGTTAGTAAATCGTGGGTCCTCCTGGGCAACAAACTCCATGTCGTCTCTTTTTTTTTCACACCCCGCTTATTTTATTCTTTTCTTTTCTTTTCTTCTTTTCCTTCTCTTCGGTTGCCCTGCCAGGCATACGCCCCCTTAGTCAGGGGGGGCCTTGAAGACCCATCTAGGCGCCGGCACTGTACCATCACGAGGACCGCAAAAATTAAAAAAAGAAAAAATTGCTTCAGGATGTTTGTGTTAGAGCGAGGTACCTATGTATCTTTTTGATGCGTTTCCCTGTAAAAGTGAGAAGGACTTAGACTACGTTTCTCCGTCCTGGGATTTTCATGTCATGATTTATCTATTTTATTTTATCTTTTAGCTCCTTTTTTCTTAGTTTCTATTACTATTATTTTGACGAGTCACGATGGTGGTACCTTGAGTACACGTAGGTCATTTTCAATTGCTTTTTTTTGCACTCCCTCTCTCGCTCCCCGTCTTACGTACAAAAACCACAGTGCCTCAATTGCGTGCTTTGCACGCCACCGCCGGCAATTTCTCATTGGTCTTTTTCCTTTTTTGACTCTTTTTTCGTGCTCCTTCTTTATTTGTTCTATTCGTTAATTTGAGCTTCCCCGTTGGCTTCCTTCCCTTTCCGAGTGATTGGCGTTCCTGTAGATCTTTTTTTTTCTCACTGGCCGGATTGTGGCTATTTTAGGGATGACTGTACGAATACGTTCCGGGTGAAGATCTCTTGAATCTACATTTCACTTCAATCTGAATACAGTGGTTCACATTGCCGGTACTGTAGAATTGGAATCATGAAGAAATAATGTTGCAATTCCAAGAAGAATATAGCAGAAGTTGTCAGCCACTGCTACACGTTGCTATCATCTCCTGTGGCGCTGAATTGATCCCCTGATCTTTTTTTACTCAACTCGCACCGCCACTATAACGGAGTCAACGGGAGAAGAAAAAGCTGGGGATCTGTCTCGGTAGCTCGTACCGAGAGGGCTTCTCGCCGTGTCATGTGGTCTCTCTTTTCTCGCTCGCCGCTTGGTAGGTTCATGCTCCGGCTGACTGGCGGCTTTGCCCGACCCCGGGTTTTCAGCCGTAGACTTACTCTCGGGGCTAAGTAGGCGTATATTGGGTGCTGTACTCCATATTGGCGGTCACGATGCTTGTTACTCTGCGGGCTTGGGCTGAGTCGGTAGTGTCTTTCATAGTTCCGGCTTCCGGAGCCCATCTAGCGCTGAGACATGACTCTCTTTTTTAGTCACGATTTCCTGGAGAGAATCCTTTTTGTTCTCCTTATTCCGATGTAAGTAGTCAAGGGAGTAAGTACAAGAAGATACTTGCTTGTCTTACATGTCGCATACAATTCCGGTGCTTTTTTTCCCCAGAAAAGCTGTTTGCGGCTCCGGCTTCCGAATCCGAGACCCAAGCCCGGCCTCGTCTGTTTCCACCCCCCCGGCATCTTTTTCCCCCCTTATTAGAGTTGTTGGCGGGAATAAAAGAAGAAGAAAAGGGTGAGCGCAAGGTCGATCGACCACAAGACGACTTTGAATAGGAAAGGCTTTTCGTAGCATTCATCGGTGACCGGGGCGGTGTAAGGGCAAAGTGCTTGTTTTTTGGGGGGATTCGTTTGAGAAAAGACAGGATCGGATATGATCCTGGATACTTTTTAGGTAACATGTAGTATTCATTATTTCTTGGGGGCTGCGGTGAAGAGAAAAGGGATGGGGATGGCCTCGTGTGTTGATTAGGTGGATCATGGTGTGTTGTGTTGTGCTGCGTGTTTGAGTTGGCCATCGTGACAGGACGGCTAAATTGTGATTTCGCTGCAGCAATTGGACTTTAAGGGGTATGCAACTGAAGCCGCATATGAAAAGGCAAATTGGGGGATTTTTTGATCAACGTCGACACGTGCGCGTTGATTGAGCAGCTACCAAGAGAAAGCTGTGATAATTCGCGTGATGAAGATGAGACAGCTTATGGCTGTTACTTGGACGTTGTCTTTGCTCTTGCTTAGACAGACAAGGAGACAAAAAGACAGGGGCCGCGATACGGAGATGCACGTACAAATAGATGCACATACACCAAGGACACTTCAAAATCATATCTAAACAATAATAGCAGCGGTGGCAATAAAACAGGTAACAGTATGTACAATAGTAACGCTGTATGCTTAAGTTTGTAAAATCCCTTTTGGCGGCTTACCGCTTGATAGAATTCTCAATACACACATCAGAGTAAGAAAGAGGTGAGGTTGAACGCAGATCAAGATGACATGTAACATGGAATTCAACCCGTGCGGGACTATACGGTGATCAGAGACCATGAGTCTCAGGGCAACTGACGGATCAGCGCAGCAAAACCTGTTCCTCTCTCGTCACGACAGGAGAAACTGACGGGGAATTAATTCAGCCTGTTGGAAAAGCATCATGCAGCAGGATTCGCATTATGTTATGAAAAAGTCTCTTCTTCTCATTTCCTCACGCATGACCATGTATAAAAAGGACATGTTGCCTATACGGTAAGGTAAGTTTGCCAAAAAAAAAAAAAAAAAATGCAGCCGTTCAGGGTAGGTGTCTTCATCTATTTTTCCATTCCGAGACAGGGTCGGGAGGCCGCCATGTGGTTACAGTTTGTAGTGGCGGCAATTGACGGGAGGGACAACTAGCTGCGAATGGCATCTACGTGACAACTCTAGCATTTGCGACTATTTTTTCTCTCTTAATTCTGCATTTTTATTTTATCAATTTTTCCTCCGTTTCGATCCCATGTAGCATACAGTGTACCTACCACTGGGGGCCGATTTTAGTTTGGCAGATGATGTGCTGCGGCTGAGAAGATTAAAAAAAAAGTTAGTGTCCATCACACGAACTTTTTTTCCCCTTTAGTTAGAGAGCCGCGAATATGCGATGCAAGCGAAGGATTTACTTTTGCAGAAAAACCCAAGGATGACAAAATATTCTGCTTCTTTCCCCCTGTCTTTGCCGCTGTTGCACGAGAAACTGACAAGTGGCACATGTGTGTATTTTGTCATTTTCTATTTGAATTTGGCGAGCAATGACATCATCGATGAGCCTCGCCTCGCTTCGGCTATGGAGGAATGCTTCAGATGGCAGTGGGAAAATGCTGTGGCCACTTGCTGTAATGCATTTTTTTTGGTGCATGTTTCTTAGCTCATCCGCTGCTGGAGCCCGTGTAAGTCAGCGGCTGGAAATTGTGTGACGCTCCTTGCAATGGCGTCTTTGCCATGGTATCTGGGTATATTCGCTTTTTAGGTATTTTTGTGGTTTTATTTCATTCTACGCCGAGAATGCGGCAGCCTCACCCAAAATGACTTACATAGAGAAGTTCTAGCAGTTCCCATTTGTTTCCTTGAGACGCCATGCTGCCTGCATCAAGCTGTAGACGGCACGTGACCATTGCGATATCTTCGGCTAAACCGCCAGAAAGGCGACCCGTAAATCGGTCTCGGCGAGCATCGAGACCAAAAAATTTGAACCGCTGTATTTGTAACTGCAGCCATTGAGCGACTAAATCGCATCTCGTCCTCGCAAAGAATCCTCCAAACAGGGATTCATCTTTTCGCATCTTCTCCTTCCCCTCCGGTCTTCTGCTCCGAAAACAACTTTTGAAAATCCGGGAATCGCATTTTTGGAGTTCTGTGTCCCTCCCCCGCAAACGGAAAGCTTTCTGTTATCGCCACTATTGATACATCGGCTCTTCACATCTCAATTTGCGCAACTTGCATTCTTTGCCTACCGCAGCATCGCATACTCTTGATTCATACATAAACCGCCAAAATGGTTACTCTCACAGAAGTCGAGGACGAGCACTTCCAGCACGCCCACCTGGGCGCCGAGGTGGAGGATGACGACTTCACTGATACCGGTATGCTTTTGTTCCCATCCAGCATCGCCCGCACGCACATCCAGTTCTAACAGAAGGCCTGCTCTTCCAGAATCCGAAATCTCCAACGAGTCCGACTTTGACCCCTCAGAAGAAACCCTCACCGAACGGCTATACGCTCTCCGCGACATCATCCCCCCCACCACCCGAGGCTGGGTCTCCAGCCGCGTCAACGCCGTCACCAGCGCCGCCTGGAGCGTCCTGTCCTTTGGCGGCAAGGGCGCCTGGGTCATCACCACCTCTGCGCTGTTCCTCGGTGTTCCGTTTGCGCTGTCCTTTGCCGAGGACCAGCAGCTGACTGCCATGGAGCAGGAGTACAACATGCGACAGACTGGCAGCGAGCTGCTTACCGCCGGAACAGAGGGAAGCACAGCGGACCAGATTGGAGCTGCTCTGGGCCCTGAGCAGACCAAGGCTGCTCTGTGAAGAGGGTGATACACACGAAATAAATTCGAAAAAAAAAAAACAGGATGTAACAAAAACAAGAGGGAATGAGATTTGGGGCGCTCATGGTGCAAACGTAGGCGCTTGGAACTGGAAAACAACGATTGGTTCTAATGTAATGACTGGCTTACAATACCAAATGACGGAGGAGGATGATGGGACGATATATGTGGTTAAAGGGGTCCTACACAAAGCATTGTGGTCTCCCTCTCCATTCGTGTACAATACCTTTAAGCAAGGGAAAAGGATGTTTCTTGCCTGCTGTTGGACGGCTTATAATTAGCCGGGATATTCCTTTTTGCTATTACAGCTCGGACGCAGGAAGAGAAGGGCAAGGGAAGCTTGTACGATTGACGGCCATCTCATCTCTGGAACGTGGTAGCATTCACACGTATATGTATATTTTGATTCTTGGCCGTTGGCTAGAACTATTGATGACAATTGCTGACGTGACCATGCTCGCTATTACACCTAGAAAAGGAACATGAGAAACGATGTAAACTGTGCTCCTTGTAGTAGACTTATGGCTTGATTATGGTTTGCGCTTGACCTGTCAAAGGCGTGGCAGCCATGCAAGATTGACATTTTGCATGTGCTTCAACTGTGGGGCACTTTTCAACCTCACCGTCTACTAGTATCGTGATGACAGCTTCCACCTTTGTCGTCTTCTCCTCATAATCTCACTTGGCAGAAGAGCTAAACATGGACTTTATAGCTCTGCCAAAGATTGAGGTTTGCTCGTCGCCCCATGTCTCCTCAATTCTATAGGCTTTGATGAAATCTCATCTGACATGAGCGTCTAGCTTCACGCCCACCTCACGGGCAGCATCTCCCGCCAGACCCTCCACGAAATATGGCTCACCAAGAAAGCCGCCGGACAGACCGATCTTGAAGATCCACTGGCCGTCATACCAGAAGGCAAACACGACTACAACCTCGTCGCGTACGTAAAGCAACATACGCATATATAAACATCTTCTCAGATACATATATAAAAAAAACAGCTTCTTCCCCCTCTTCAGCAAATACATCTACGCCCTCCTCACCGACGAAGCCTCCATCCGCCACGCCACCACCGCCGTCCTCCAGTCCTTCCTCCAAGACGGCGTCGTCTACCTCGAACTGCGCACCACGCCTCGTCCGACGCCACTTCTCTCCGCGGCGCAGTACGTCGATATCTTGCTCTCGACGATATCCGGATTCGAAGAGCAGAATCCGCGGCTTCACACGCGGCTTATTCTTTCGGTGGATAGGCGGCATGATTACGAGATGGCGGCTTCTGTGCTTGACCTTGCTGTCGAGACGTCAGAAGGTGGCTACGCTGCAAGGCATGCAATGGTGGTAGGTCTGGATCTATGTGGAGATCCATCTGCGCGTCCCTCGGGGGAAATATCCCTCTTCACGCCGATATTCGAAAAGGCCCGCGCTGCAAATCTCGGCATAACATTGCATTTTGCAGAAATCCAAGCGAGTGCCTCCAAGGCAGAGCTCGAGACGCTATTATCGTGGAGGCCCCGGCGGTTGGGCCACGTCATCTGGGAAGACGAAGAGACGAAAAAGGAGATTGAGAGACGCAAAGACGAGCTGTGTCTTGAGCTGTGCCTGAGCTGTAATGTCCACGCGGGCATGGTGGAGGGCGGGTTCGAGGGCCACCATTTCGGGGGCTGGAGGCGCGTTGAGGGTGTCAAGGTGTCGCTTGGGGTGAGTTGTTTCTTTTCATTTCAAAGCCATATATACGTGTGAAGGCATATTTACCGTTTTCTATAGACAGACGACGTGGGCATCTTTGGCAGCCCGCTATCCAACGAATACCGCCTCGCTGCACAACACTTCCACCTTGATAACCGGCAGATCTGTGCCTTGGCTAGAGAAGGCATCGATTTCATATTTGGAGGCGAAGTGGAAAAGGAAAGGCTACGACGAATCATGTGGGATGAGCACTCTTGTTGAATAATAGAGCAAACAAGTGCCATTATTGATAAGCGTTCTTTTCTTCTTCTTTTTCTTTTTAAGTCTACTTCAATTGCTCTCACCAGTAACAACACCATCACGTAATACCATCATAACGCTACTTTTGCATCAGGCTATATATAGGTAAGCTAAGAAAAAGAAAACCAGCTACAACAAGCGAGAGGAGTAGAGAACCACCACCCAGAACTTCCTATTCACTTTTTAATTTTTTGTTTTCCATCTCCAATTATTTCCTCCCCCTTTTTCCTTGTTCCCGCCATAGCCACGGCCGAATCAAACTATTTTGCAACTTTGTAGCGGATATTTATATATTAAACGCCAGCAGAAGAGAAGAGAAGAATGAAAAGTCTCATGAGTCCCAATCTATTTTTGTCATCAACACGTTATGGAGCACTGAATTCGATTTGTCTTTTTTTTTTTTTTTTTTTTTTTTTTTTTGTATCCTTTTTTTTTTTCAGTGCAAAGTTTGCGGAGGGGTATCGAGGTCCACTCCCTCAACCATGTTCTTCTGGACCTGAGTCTCGCCAACCAGTTTGCGGAAGAACTTGGAAGCCTTTTCGCTCTCGCTCTTGACCTTGACTGTCTCGTCGCGCTTCTTGTTGAGATCCTTGACGCTGTGGTCGAGGCCAATGCGCAGGTTGTCGGCGGGCATACGTAAGACGGTGCGTACTGCTCCTGAAATTCGGGTGGCATTGGTGTGCACGTAGTCAATCTCTGAGAGCTGTGCCTCAATCTTTCGGGCCAGCCGATGGGGAAGAGAGGTTGGGATCTGCTGAAGGACATATGCCGAGGCGGCAACAGCTAAGAATATCAGTTAGTAAAAGGGTCAAGATTAGAGACGGGAAAAGAGAAACAGGGCTACATACCGGCAATCACAATTCCAGGAAGGATGAGCTTGCGAAGATTATCATTGCCAAGGATTTTCGTGGCGGTTATGGCGTGGTCCATCCACGAGTTCATTCCCAGCATGCGAGGCACAACTGCACCAGCAATTGTCAGGGCCATACCTGTGCCGGCAAACTTCTCTTGGCTGTGTAGCAGAGTTGAAAAGTCCACAAAGTCGGCAAAATCAGTAGGGACATCTACCTGGCGGGCAAACGCATCCTTCTTCCGTCGGAACATGACGTCTGGTCGGAAGTGCAGGTTTTGAAACTCATCGCCCACATGAAGCAGGCCGAGCTGCTTGATGGCGTTGACGCCCCTGACAGTCTGGCCACGGGCGTGGTCCTCGCAGGTGCTGACGGCATCCGCAATGTGGGATAGAATGGCGTCTTTGAGATCGTCGGCATAGCCAAAAGCGCCAAAGAGCCCGGGGTACGGAATGTCGTACTTGGTGCTGCCGGCATAGGTGATGGCGGCGTTGAGCTGATTTCGAGTATGGTCGTAGACGCTCTTGCAGGTCTCTTCGATGTTGTGGACAACCTGCTCATCAACCTCGGATCGGGCTTTCTTGCTGGCCAGAATCTGCGGCTCGAGCTCCTTGAGCTCCCGGGTGACTCGGTCAAACTCAGACTGGGCCACCTCGTGGTTGACGGTAGCCAAGGTATTGACGTCATTGAGAATATTCATAAGATACGTTCTTGCCGGAGCAAGCTTCGATCTTGCACGCTTCTCCAGGACGAATCTCCGCAGCGACTGTTCGAGCTTCTCAAAGTCGCGAACCTTGTCCAGGTCCTTACCCTTGCCGTTGTCATCGGGGTCGTCTCCACTTCCGCTGCCACTCCCGCTGCCGCCTCCGCCGGGTCCTCCAGGAGGCGAAGGTGCCATGGGGATGACATTGCTGGAGACGAAATGGACAAGTTCGGACGCTTCTTTGTGTGTCCGCGGGCTGAGTCCGGCAACTTGGTCCAGGATCATCTTCTGGCATCGCTCCTTGTCTCGAATGAAGTCGTAGCCATTGACGACGATGAAAATGTAGGCCTTTTCGGCGGCGGCGGCCCAGATAAATTCTTTGGCAGACTGCGTAAAGTGATTTGCCGCGGAGACGACAAAGACCACCACGTCAATCTCCTCTTGGCGAGCAAAAATGGCCGTCGTCTTGGTCGTATCTGAGTTGAGACCCGGAGCGTCGATCAGGGCAATGTCCACGACACCGTTGCTGAGTAGAGACTCATCAATAGTTCGGACATCCTTGACGTAGACCTTGCACTGAATGTACTTTTCATTGTCAATGACGATTTTCTCCAGCTCCTGGAGAGAGTAGGCGTCATAGGTCGATTCGTCATTTCGGTTGTAAGTCACTTCCCTGTGGACGGCATGGACTTCCTCAATTCCTGCATTTTCCCGTGCGTCCAAAACCTCACAAAAGATGGCGGTGCAAGGTTGCTGATCCTCGGGCAAAACTTTGCGGCGCAGCAAGGCATTGCAAAAGGTCGATTTACCGGCATTCAAGTCACCGGTGATGAGCACTTTGCTTGATGTATCCTCGATACGTTCACGGAGCGATACAAGATGCTTAATGCTGGAGCCAATTTTGCCATCAAGGAGGGATGCAATGGAGCCCTTTTCCAATGAGTGTACGAGCTCGGTCTGGTGGAGAGCTCCTAGCTTCAAGTCGAGTTTCAAAATTGAAAATTCCTGAGCAATCTGAGGGGAGACAAGACGTGGCTCTGCCGCGGGCCGGGCCTCGGCTGCTTGGCTGGACTCTGCCGACGCATCCTCGAGACTGGTCATGGCTCTCCTAAGCATGGGAGGCGGCGGCGTCTGGCTGGACCTGGCCGCAATATCCTCCATGGTGGATGAGTGTAAGATGCCCGGACGAGGCACATCAGCTTCCATCTTCTCGGCTCGCTGAACGGAAGGATAATGCGCGGGCCATGTAGTATTCATCTCTCGAAGGCTATGCAGCAGGTCCAGCACCTTGTTGATTGACCGGCCCAGCGTGGCCCTCTGGGAGTTGTACCACATCTGGTGGATGGCATGGGATTGCCGTCGGTCGCCATGCGTCGAGATGTCCAGCATGCCTGGTTCGTCGCCCATCATGCTGCCTCCATATCCCGAATCAGCCTCGAGCATGCCCTGCAGGCGCGCGGCGTGCTCGGAGGCCATGCCGTTGCCAACCGTCATGTAGTTGGGCCGCGCTCCGGATGCACCCGCCTGGCCTGCCATGTTCGGGTCGAAGTGAGCATCGTCGTCGTCCCCCGCGGGCGATTTGCCCTTGTCGTTGAAGTATTCCTGGCTCATGCTGGTGAAGGCGAGCTTGCCCACAGCATTGTCGAGCTATGGGATCAGGGCGCAGAAATGCCGGAGATGCAGCGCTGCAGAGGTTGGGTATGTAGGAGGAGGGTCAGGCGTAGAACGGGGTTCGTCGAGTAAAAAGGTTGCATGATGTTTAAGCAAATTGCCTCCCCGGCGGTCACGAAGCTCCTGTGATTGGTCTAGCTCGCCGGCACAAACTCGGCAAGCCTGCAGCTATCTTATCGGTGGCCGCGAAAATCGGGTCTGCAGCAGCAGGTATCCTGCAAGTACCGCTGCACCGGCGCGTGCTGGTGGGGGTACACGGCCGAGTTCTGGGCAACGACGTAACGCTTTTAGCGACAGGACAGGCATGGCAGCCGGGCGCTGGTGCAGGACTGCAGGCGTACGTTGCTCCTCGGGCACTCCGCTAGGCAGATGTCATCAAAGCCTTTTCTTCCTCTGCGCTGCCATCTCGCGACAATCCATTTCACCGCGCACTTCTTCCTCACTGCTGCATCTACGGCATCGCACAACACTGTGGCTGCTGCCTTCTGCAAGAAGATCCCTAACCCGTCATGAATGTGAGGCAATGCAATGGCTGGCATCACGGCCTTGTCCCCCACCTGTGAGAAACGGCATCTAACCCAACGTGCAAATGCAGATCCTAGAATGGGCGTTTGGCAAGCGCATGACGCCGGCCGAGCGCTTGCGCAAGAACCAGCGCATGCTGGACAAGGCCATTCGAGAACTCGACCAGACGCGTGTCAAGCTGGAGAAGCAGGAGAAGACGCTGATACAGCAAATCAAGACGAGCGCTAAGAATGGGCAGATGGGCGCTTGCAAGATCCAGGCCAAGGATCTGGTGCGCACACGGCGGTACGTTGAGAAGTTTTATGGCATGCGTAGCCAGCTGCAGAAGATTTCTCTACGGCTGCAGGTATGGAATGTCCTGTGTTAGCAACTGCCCTGATGCCGGCTAACAAGTGGATGACGACTAGACCTACCGAACGAATGAGCAGATGATGCAGGCCATGAGGGGTGCTACGATGGCATTGGGCAGCATGAACAAGTCCATGAACCTGCCACAGCTCCAACGGATTGCGATGGAGTTTGAGCGAGAAAACGACATCATGGAGCAGAGGCAAGAGATGATGGATGACGCCGTTGACGACGCCATGGACGTTGGAATCGAAGAAGAAGGCGACGAGGTTGTTGAGCAAGTTTTGGAAGAGATTGGAATAGACCTGAACCAGGCTGTAAGACTGCACTTTCCCCCCGTTAGAGATCATGAAGAACGGTGGCTGACTGTTGGATAATAGCTCGGGGAGACCCCAACCGCTCTGGGCAATTCTGCTGTGTCTGAGGGCAAGATTGCGCAAGCTGTTGGCGCTGGAGGCGGAGGCGGAAGCGGTGACCCGGTCGATGACGATCTCCAAGCCCGACTCGACAGCCTACGAAAGTGAACAGGTCACGACTCATTCACGAGCGGAATAAGCAAAGAGGAGATCTATTAATAGAATCAATCGTGCTTGATTGGAACCTGCCAAGCCAAAAGGACGTCTCTCGAGAATGTTTCTTCCTGAAGCATTGCATCCCGGCATGATGCAAGAGAAACATTCGTAGAATGAGGACCCCTAAAGAGGATCGGAAAGTCTGAGGATGTTATTGATATATATACGCGGGGGGCTTAGACGGGAGTGAGCCATGTCCGTTTTCTTGTTCGGCGCAAGAGGTGTTGATGGCGAATATGATTTACGAATACACAAGCACACATTTTTATGCATGCAAATTCTAGTTGTTCTAATGATGCAGAAGATGCCCGTCTATCCCAACAGGAATAAGGAAGAGAGAGCATGGCTGAGGCACCATTGGACTTTTGTGTGTCTTATTTGGATACACGGGGTAGGTAGGTGTTTTATAGCGACTGTGTTTCAGGCCAATATGTTCAAGTTGTTTGAACAAGAGTATATCTACACATCCATTTTTGGTCTCTGTGTTCTCAGAGATTCTCGGTTGTGGTCTTGAGAAGAAATGCCGTCGACTGGAGGAAAAAGCAAGGTAGCATTGAACACTGCGAGATCGAGATCAAGTGGACAGGCAAGAATAGCATAGACGGGGGCGCTAGAATTCCCCGCGTCCACTAAACAGCGCCGCGACCGCCATCTTGGATCTGGAGCCTTATCATACTCGGTGCCGTCATTCCCGACTTGTTTCGCTGGGCCGAAGCAAGCCTAAAATTAGACGGCGACGTAGTGTAGTATTCCGGGCTGGATGCTGGATGCCCCTACATGACATGAGATTAGCAGTTGCATAGTCTAGCGAGCACATGATTTATGAAGGATTACGTTGCTTCGTTTCGCCGGTGACGTGAGAAGAGGTGCGTGGAGCTCCAGATTCGACCTGGACCCTTCCCTTGTAGTACATGTAGTAATACCGTAGCAAGGCCAGCTTACTTATAGCGCTGCCATGTCCCGGGCTGCTGCGCTGGGTCGAGACGCTAATTGGCGCCTTGCAGTTGCTGCTACTAAGCCAGCCATTGCTCTCTTCGTCATCTGCCTTTGTCTCTACACTGTCTCTGCTTCTTCTGCCTTTCTCAACAGCCTGTTCGTCTCAGGCACGCTCCAAGCCGAATACCTTCTCCATTGCCGTCTTTTCCGTCGTGGTATGTAATCAGCCTCTTCCACTGGCATTCTTTGTAAACCCCATTCCTGTTGCTTGTCCGTTATCCCCGTCCCGTACCCTCATCTTCAGCGGACAGAGCTGTCCCCCAGCTTCGGCCATCAATTGAAGACTGCTCGCCTTCAGCCAGCGCCCGGCGGCAAGACCACCAAGTCTGCTGCCAAATCACAGCTCTGCTCGCATTGCTGGCGAGTGCGTTTCAATGCGTGCTACCTGGCATCTATATCCAAGGCACTGCGCACGTTGAATACAGGTCCAGCAGCTTCAATCTCTCGCCAGGCACCGGCCCCAGGCACGCAGCACGCAGTACGCACTGCAGGCCAGAAGCAAAAGCGCCAAGCCGCCTGAATCCTCCCCGCTATCCCGCTGTTGTGTGCCCGCCGATGTCATCTAGTCCTTTCATGTTTCTATACCGGCCCCCTCGATTGCCCAAACACCAGCCCGTTTGATCTTCAGCTTGCTCGTTTGCAAGCCACACGCCGTGCAATAGGCTCACTGACCGGTGCAGCTTTCCCCCAACTCCTCAGAACCGTCGGCCATTCCCGAATCTCGCATTGCGTCCGCTGCCGTGCCACGCCAGCGCAGCAGCCTTTCCCTCTGCTCCGTGATCAGTAAGCGCCGACAGCGTCCAATCACGCAGCGTCCTCTTTGACGAGAGCGCCGCCGACCATCGAACCCCGCGACGACCCTTCGGCTGCGACATCGACCGGCTATTCATCACCGTCAGTCCATCTCGAGGCCTGCCATCCCATCCCATCCCCGAACGGTCCCTTTCGCTCCACAAAACTGGCAGGAAGCAAGCGCCGCAGTCTCTCCTCTCACGGAGGAAGTCTGCTAAATAGAATGTTCGGCGGAGCTTCCAAGCCTGACAGCGATTCCAAGAGCGATGACAAGTCGCCTTCTCCCGAGCCAAGCCCCACCGCTGCGTCCGCCGTGCCCATCAACAACGCCGACCAGGTGGCCAGCGGCGAGAAACGCAGCGGTAATGGCAGCCCGCCCACTCGACAGGACGTCGGCGAGAAGAAGCGCAGGAGTAGTGGCGTCGGCAGCAAGGCCAGCAGCCTGCTAGCCTCGGCCAGGAACTCTCTCAACTTCTCCCAAGCCACCCGCTCCGGGTCGGATTCCGGCGCTCAGACACTGCTGCAGAAGCTCGGCAAGCACGACCCTGCCCTCGGTGTGCCGCAGGGCCAACACAACAATTCGGCCGGCGAATCGGCCCCCGGGCCCAAGTCCACCTTCTACGTCGGTGTTTGCGAAGAAAGAAACAGGAGACACCGCCGGACGATGGAGGACACCCACTCCTTTCTGTACAACTTCCTAGACACTCCGGCGCCGGGCGCTGATGGATCTGGCGGAAAGGACAAGTCAAGTAAAGACGACAAGGACGTCGCTGTATCTGAGTCGGACAATGGCTACTTTGCCATCTTTGACGGCCATGCCGGCTCATTTGCTGCGGACTGGTGTGGAAAGAAGCTTCACATTGTCCTGGAAGAGATGATACGAAAGCACCCCAGCATGCCGATCCCGGAGCTCCTGGACATGACATTTACATCTGTTGATTCTCAGCTCGAGAAGCTCCAATACCAGTCTAAAAGGATTAGCGGCTGTACGGCGGCTGTTGCGGTTCTTCGCTGGGAAGACCGTGTGCCCAGCGATCGATCCATCACCGGCTCTCTCGCCATTGCTCCGGCCGCCGCAACCGCCGCAGCCGCGAAAGCGATGGCCACAGCGCAAGAATCAGAAAAAGAAAAGGATGGGCCTTCAGAAGCACTGCAAGCTGGTTCGAATGAGTCGATTGCTTCGAAGCTCAAGGGGCTCTCCAGTCGACAGCGCGTCTTGTATACCGCCAACGTGGGAGATGCTCGCATCGTTTTGTGTCGTAACGGTAAAGCCTTGCGCCTATCTTACGACCACAAAAGCAGTGACGAAAACGAAAAGAAACGAATCGCCAACGCTGGCGGCAAGGTCGAGGGCTACCGTGTCGGTGGACTGGCTGTTAGTAGAGCGCTTGGAGATCACTTAATGAAGAAGCTCGTGACTGGCCACCCATACACCACAGAAACAGTCATACAGCATGACCTTGACGAATTCATCATTATTGCTTGTGACGGGGTAAGAAGTTTTTGATACCCTTTCGCTATCATATGAGGCCAAAATATGCTAACAAGTAAATTACAGTTGTGGGATGTCTGCAGCGATCAAGAGGCCGTCGACCTTGTCCGAGAGATTCACGACCCGGGCGAAGGAGCAAAGATATTGGTCGACCATGCCCTCGATCAATTCAGCACCGACAACCTATCATGTATGGTTGTGCGACTGGATAAGGAGGCTCTCGCACGAAGCCAGGCCAGCCAGGATGCTGAGCCCGAGGCAAACCATGGTGCCGCCTCCAAAGTGAGCGAGGCAGACAAGATCGTCATGGATACAAAGCAGAAGATTGCCGACGGTCAAACCCCCGCGGTGGGTGTATCAGCTAGCAACTCCGCAAACGAGGGGGACTTTGTGCCTACGACGCTGAGCGATGCGCTTGTTGAGGAGCCTATTGCCATTGAGGACAGCGACAGTCCCGAGCTGATTTCTCTTGACACTTCCATTGGCAAGCCAGCTGCTGCTGCTGCCCAAGAGTCAAAAGACGAGTCAAAAGAGTTGGCAGACGTCTAGGACTCGGGAACCCTTGCCATCCAGCCAAAGGCCGTCTGACTGTACCTCAAAATCGCCCAGACGAGCTGGCCAGCTAGACTAGGCAAGGATGGGGAAATGAGAGGCATGACATGATTAGAGCATACGACGATGCCTCCATGTTATAGGAGGAAAGAATCCCGGTGGTGTTTGGCCCAGGTTTGAGTAAATCACACAGTACTACAGAAGGGACAGAGACAGGCGATGAGGCTGGTATCTCATGGAGGGGTTGGGCATTGGGGCGCATGTTTGGACCAAGATGATGTTGGCAAAGTATTTGTTTTTGTACGCTATGCTACCTGTATCTATATGTACGTGGGCCATTTTAATGCAATAGTTTAAGAAAGCTGCTTGAATTCTTTTGGCTTTGGTTCGTTTAGTATCACTCAAGGCTTTCCGCTCCAGGTTATTCGGGTACATGTTAATGAGGAAGAGGCGATTGTGGAATATAAGCAAGAGCTGATGACCGGGATTCAGCTTTAAGGGCTCTATGGCGGCGCCAGGTCAACATTTGCTACTCTATATTTGGGTACGAAACGGATGGCAGCAATGTTTACGAGGTTGAGGAATCCTACACTATCCAAGGCTGATTAAATAGTCTGAAACTTATTTACGCTTTAGTTTATTTAAGAGTATATAAAGACATTTTTTAATATAATGCTGGGAATTTACAGCCGGTTTAATTCTACTACAGCTTCTACAGCTTCTTAAGTATAGTATTCAAATACCGGATTTTGTACTGCTTATTTCCCAGGTAACCCGCTTTGCCAACTTAAATGTTGCTAAATAACCATGACTTACGACATATACAAACTACCTTTACATCTCCTTCAACGTTTAATACTACTAGTAGTAGTTTGCATTTGCTTTAAAATAACAATGAGACAAAAGAGGAGCGTGCCATCCTCATCATGTACCCCTTACAGAAGGATGGTGGAGACGGCGCAGATGTGGCGTTCCCCGATGCTGCAAGGTATTTTAGTTGGATGACTACAGAATCAAATAAACTTTTGATAGTTCAATCGTAAATCGAACATCAACTGGACCGCGACTCTATCCCTTGCTACGCTCGATCTGCGCATCAAGTCGCCAGTAAATAGCCATAGAGCCCGCTGCATTAAGTATCCGGAAACTTGGCCGGCCTCCACTAGGAATAGGCTGCTAGTAAAATGGGTAACGATGGGGCCTCTGTGCAGACAGCTGCTGCACGACGTGCGTTTCAGGGTTAGCCACCGGCATTTGGGCTGCATGTTGGGACGAACTGCGGCCGCAATGGAAGTATAACAGCAGCAGCAGCTCTAGCAAGACAGGTAGGTAGCCGTGGCATGGTGTTGGATTCTGCGGCTGTCGCGTGGAGCTGGACGCTGCGTCGCGTATAACAGCACAGCGACCAGACAAATCTGCGGAAACCCAACGAGCGATTCGCAGCTCCTCATCGCCACGGCGCCGCTGGTGAAGCACGCTATGCGATAAACCATTGCGACTCTGTTCCTGGCGTTTCGCACTACCGCGCGATTATTGGAGGGGACGCAATTCAGCCAAGGGGCGGCCCAAGCTTCAATTTCGACGAAACTAATGGCATCAATTGATCCCCCAATGGCTGGCGGACCGCTGGTGAAGACGCACAAGTGCCCATCCGGCTCACTGGCAGCGGAACTCTCGTTGGCTGGCAAAAAACCCCTGTTTGCAGATGGAGACGCCTTTGACAGGGGGACAGGCACCAATGCCCCTAAGAAACGGCCAGCTAAACCCCCTTAAGATTGCCTAACCAGAGAAGTGGAATGGAAGGCCGGCTGTAGACAATGTCTTGGCTGCTCTTCTCTCGTCGTCTTCTGGTCAATGGATCTCGTGTTTGGCTGAGCAAGGGGTGCTTATTTGGACAGCTCGTGTTTGCCCGTCTTGATTCCCAGCAGACCGCGGGCTACAGCCAGGAATACATGCCGCGAAAAAAGACCCGTTCTCGATCTCGTTTTGGGTAAAAACATCGAAGAGCTGCTTTGCTGTGTGGGTGGCACCAAAAGCAGGTCTTGCATTGCATGGGATTCTTTGGCGCGCCCCCTTGCCTCCATGCATCTACGGCGCGGCGCTTAGTTACGCAGGTGGACTCTTGTCTAAGCCAGGTCCCGTTCGATCTGTCACGGAACTTCGTTTGTTTTGTGCCGCAGCCAACAGGCGTCGTAAGAGCGAGTGAGCATACGAAAGTGACAGAGGGAGGGAAAACAAGCGTGTGTCGGGCCAGATCCTTGACGAAAAAAAGCTGCAGCTGCATGTAATTCCGTTCCGGCGGGCAAAGACCACTCAACTTCTCTCCATCGTTGGACCCGAACCGAAGCGTAGGAGAAGCATCCGAAAAGGCTGATTCTGCGTATCCCGCCTTCCCCCACGTCGCGATTTTGCTCGTCTCCATGTCGACGTCGTCGCAACTTGCCCCTGAGAATTGGTGGTGAGACAGACAGACGCTCGCTCGCACAGCCGGCGCAGCGCGTTGGGCATCTCGCAGTCCCTCGTGACTATTTGCTGTTACTCTTCGCTCGTTTTGCTGTCTCTCGCTACTCGTACCCTCCATTCATTTCGTTCTTGTTTTCTCCCTCGATATCCAGCTTGGTTGAGCTGGACTTGGCTGAGCTGGTTGGCGCAAACGATCGAAACATAGATATCCGCGCTATATCGCAGACAGTATGTCGCTGAACGGCTTGGACGATCCTAAGATTGTAGAGGCGCATCAGGCTGGTGTTGCGGAGCCTGGAGGATGGTATGCATGATTCAACTCTGGTCTCTTCAAGTGTGGTATATAAGATGCGATTTGCTGAGACTTTCCTGCTCTTTTTTTGCTCAATCTATAGGTTCTTGATCAAGTATTCGAGTCGCGACGAGGTCGAGCTGCTGGACAAGGGAAATGGAGGCATTGCCGAAATCCGAAACGCCGTCGAGGGCTTTGACGAGAACAGCCCATTGTATGGCTTCTTGCGATACCGGCGAAGGAATGTCATTGTCAAATATTTGCCAGAAGACTGCTCTCGACTTATACAAGGTTAGCTTTTCCTCTCATGTCCGTTCTTTGATCGGCGGGCGATCTGCAATGTCGCGCAATGCGATGCGACGAGATGCGAATCATGGTTTACTAATTTGTCCGCAAACCAGCTCGAGTTGCCGTACACTTCACCGCCGTCTGCGAACGATTCTCTCCCTACGATGCCATATACGAGATTTCCACCGCCGCCGAATTGAAGGATACGAAGCTATCTGCTGCCTGTTCTTTGCACGCCGCATCTGCATCTACAGCATCATCTACGAGCTCTAGAAGACGACGGTTGATGGAAATCGCCGAAGAGGAGGAAGTGGTGGAACAACGGTCGTCGAAGCGACAGTCCATAGGATCGGAGCCCGATGGCGAACGGCCGCAAACACCTGGCGACAAATCTACAACTACAGACGAGGTCAAATTAAATTCTGAACTGGCAGCTTCTCCAGAACATAGCAAATTTTCAGCCTCAAACACATCTGAAGTGCCCAAATTCACGGGCATTCACGACAGACCGACTTCACCTACCAAGTCAATCGACACGACCGACAGCCGGTCAGACATCTATAGCTATTACCCAACAGGTAAACCGAAAGTGAAGCTTGCTCCTCGGCCCAAGGCCGATATTACGATTAGACCCCAAGTCGCCGGAAACTTTAGGCCCGTTTCGTCGCTTCCGGTCGGATACAAGTTATTTGGAAAGGGAGGGAAGAAGAGCAAGAGCAAGGACACAGACTCTGCGTCCTTGATTCAGGAAGAGACTCCAGAGATGGAGCCGCCTACTGATGCTGCCCGTGCGTTAAACGATGCGTTGGGAATTAGTGGTGATGCATCGCGACCCTCCACAGCCACTGGCGCTGAGACGCTGTCCGTACCAGCGGCGCCGGCGAAGCCTACTATTACGCCTGAGAAGGCTAGGCTTATGAAGGCCATGAAGCTGAGAGAAAAGAGGAAGAAGCAGCAGGAGCTGTTGAAGCAACAGTCTGCAGAAGGGGCAACACCAGGCGCCGAAGAAAAGGTTATGGTGTTGAGGGGGGGAGAGGATCCAGACTTTGAGCACTCTTCGCATATTCATGATGATGACGATGACGATGACGATGACGACGACGACGACGAAGAAGAGGATGAAGAGGATGAAATTCAGAAGAGCGAAGAAATCGACCATCGGGCAGCATCCATTAGCCATACGGATTCTGGCGTCGTTTTGAGTAGTCTCCCGTCGTCGTCCCCGCTTGCCCAAATTGATGAAGTCTCTGAGGAGACTGCCCGATCAGAATCTCGCGCTCAAAGCTCAAGAGTTGCCTCCTCGGAGCACGATGAGTCGACTGCTGCGTCTTCACTTTCGGATCCCACAGATGAGACTGTCCATGGCGCTGTCACTGCGTCAAAGCCAGGGTTTGTTGATGTTGAAAAGTCAAAGGCAAAAGAAGAGAAAATCCCGTCGTCATCATCGTCACCATCATCGTCGTCTGCTGCTGCTGCATCATTGCCAGAAGAAAAGAAATCGAGCGCGGTTCCAACCAGAGATAATGCCATTTCAGTCGCATTGGAATCCACCACAGCTATAGCAGCTGAGCAAGCTACTGGGGCCGCTAATAAGGGATCGGCTAACCCCGAAAATGAAAAGGAGAAAAAAGGGATTGCAGAGCCAATTTCTCAGTTCTCGGCGCATATTCCGACGTCAAAAGCCCCACCAGCTGCATCATTAAAAGGCATGGGATCTGGTGCAGCCGAGATTCCACTCAGCGACACCCCCGGCGATGTTGCGCAGGCAGCAGACAAAGGGGAATTACCGCCAGTAAAGTCTGCTCCACTGCCTTCTGGGCCTAAACTCTCAACGCAAGATTTGGTCGACACTGCAGACTCGGCCGCCAAAACCACCGTAGCGACGACGCCTTTGATGGATCTCCAGCGCGAGGGCCCATTGTCCGCGGCGCAGGAATCGAGTCCAGCAGCTGGGACGGCTAATGAGGCGGCGGCCACTCCCGACGAGCCCAAGGCAGGATCCAAACCCTCGGCTAGCAGTCCACCGATCCAGACAGATCGGACGACGGAGCCAAAGCAGCAGGCCGCAGCGGAAAAGCATGACGATCGCGATGCCGCTGCAGCTGCAGCTACAGCTGCGCCTGCACACGCCAGCAAGGAGGCGACTCAGCGCGGCGACGCAACGGTGCAGAATGATAATAAGCCAATGAGTGCCACCAAATCTCCGCTCACCCCTGTCTTCCCCAGTGCTACAATTGCGAATGGCCCGCTAGGCGCAAGAGCTCCACAGGCGCACACTGTTCGAACAGTCTCTAATCCTGTCCGTGGCAACTACATCGCTCCGACAGATGTAACTCAGTCTACGGCGCGTTCTTTGAGCTCCGGCGCAGCTTTCCTACACAAAATCACGCAGCAGCAGTCGGCCAGCCTCGCCACCATGAAGCCCACCGTCGGGTCGAGCATCTCGCAGCGCATCAAGGCGCTCGAGAAGCTCTCGGCGACATCAGGCGATCAGGCTCGCCCGGAAAGTCGAGAGCGCCCGCAGTCGACCTTTTTCGCCGTCCAGAAGAGGGACACGTCCCGGCCGCCGTCCGTGATGGACAGGACAAAGTCGCTCAAGGGGAGGGCTGCATCGCCAACGCCATCGCAGGATGAGTTTCCGCTGCCGCTGGACACGGGCAGAGTACGCCTGCAGAGATCCGGGTCCGTCGTCAGTCGGGTTTCCATGTTTGAGCCCCTCGGCGCACCGTCGAGCGCAAACAGCCTAGCACCGGGACCTCAGTCGCGAGGACGACCGGAATCGATAGCCGTTACGCCGAGAATGTTGCGAGACCCAAGCCTGGCCTCGAGGCAGGATGTCTCTGAGTACGGCTATCAGCAGCAGCAGCTCGCGGGTGACCACGACGACTCAGGACGGAGGTCGAGGTCTCTCGAGCGCGACGGCGAGGATGACATGGGTAGGCGATCCTCGCTGAATACGGTTAAGGGTTTTTTCAAAGACCCGCGGAAGTCGGTGACTGTCTCGACTAACATGCGCCAAACGATAGTTTCTAGGACAACAACACAGTCGCCCAGCAGCCGGCGCTCAATCACGCTTGATCGCGATAACCTAGCTAACTCTAGTGTGACGGAGGATTCGTATTCTGGCGATGAGCGGGACAAGAAGTCGTCCCGCGCCGGGCGCTTCATGCGCAAGCTGTCCAACTTTTCCACGGGCTCGTCCAAGAGCAAGACTTCTTCGGTAGAAGACAGCATCAACACCACTGCCACCAGCATCACAACCGCCACTAGCACCGCCACTCCTGCCACACAGGCCCGCAAGGCGGCTCCCCCCACCGCCTCTGGCGATGCGGCCATCGTATCGGACCTGGGCGACGTCAACGTCCAGTTCCCGGATAGTCTCCTGTGGAAGCGACGAAACCTGTGCCTCGACACCCAGGGCTTCATCATCCTCGCCGCGGGGACGCAGAGCGGGCGCGCCGTCGTGGGGCCCAAGCGGTACTTTTTGGGCGAGTTTCGACAGCCGTACACGCCGGACGTGGAGGTGCAGGAGCTGCCGAATAGTGTCGTGTTGGACTTTGTGGAGGGGACGGCGATCCAGTTGGCGTGTGAGGATAGGACGGGACAGCTTAATGTGCTGCATGGTGGGTTGCCCGTCGCCTCTGTACATGTGAAGAATATGCTAACTCTACTTTAGTTTTGCAAGCTGCTCATGCTAACTATAGCCAATAAGTGCTGAAACTTACTCACCCTGTTTGAGACAAACCTGTTGAAAAGGCAAAGTCCTCTACTTTCATGAGGACCCAACATACTCTTTCATGTCTGACGATGTCGGAATATCTTCTTACAGCACCTTGGAGCTGAACTCTACTTGCCTCTTTTCCCGTATCCATCCTTTTTCTCTCTCCCTCCGCCTCTCTCCTTTCACTCAAACACTACGCTTAACATATCTACTAGACATAGAAGGTTGGGACAGGAAAAGGAGGTTCTAGAGCGGGAAAGGGTGGTCATTTGAACTTTTGAACAACACAATATTCGTTGGAGGATGGTTTTATACCCCCACAAGCGAAAGATGCACTCTTCAAAAAGAGTGTGCTTGTACAACCTTTTTTCTTGTCTGTCTGCCTTTCCCGTTTGCCCTCTTCTCTACACTACCTACACATACACGCACACACCTCGACGAGCACCAAACCATTTCACTTGTTATTACTCATCTGTTTTTCCTTCAAGGAAAGGGAAAAAGATGGAACACACTCACATGATACCACTCCACAAAGAAAAATCCTTTTTGTCGCTTTTTTTTTTTTCTTTTATTTCGCTGTTTTTTTATTTTGCTACAACAAACTGTTCTTTTGCTGTTTAGCTAGCTAATTTCTTCGGGTCACTTTTTTTCTTCTTCTACCTTTTCACACATTTGTACTACACTCACATATATACACACCGCACACTTCTTTTTATGTTTGTTTATTCTATTTCTTCTTCTATGTCTTTTTTTGAGGGCTGGAGATTAGGGAGGTGGATGGTGGTGGATGGAAATATTTAATTGAAAAATAAAAAAAATGGAAAGAAAAAATGATAGGATGACTGTTCGTGTTGTCTCTTGAGTGTGTCAACTTGTTTATTCCTTTGCTTGCTTGTGGTCAGAAGGCATTATTATAAGGGAAAGATTTCCCAGCACCCCCATTTTGTTATCCAGCACCCCAGCTGTAGCATAGGCTACCTGTACTACTGCTATCACTGCTATTACACCTACTCTCTCGAATATCTCTACCACATACGCTTTTACTACCTATCTCTACTACTGCTACTCATACTATAACTTCTCAACATATCTAGCAGTCTGGTTGCATATTCAATACGTGGACCAACTGCCTTCATGTCGTTAAGCTGCAGCAGGGGTGTTAGAAAATGAGATTGGGGTGCCGGACAGCTTCCCCCTACAGCGCTGTGTTGTTATATTGTACCGCAGCTGTAGCCTAGCAAACCTAATTAGGTACTTAAGTCAAAAGCTCAGCTAAGTCAGCTCAAGCTACAGCATAGACTTTAGGTCTGATGAGAAGAGATGTTCAACTGCAGGAGATTTGTTGTTTCTCCTGAGTAGTAATTTAAGAGTGCCAGAGGCCTGACAGTAGCTTAGTATCTAGAATTAGAAGGAAGACCAGTATTCAATGGAGAGAAAGTAGACTTCAACATTCTGATGTAGAACGGTGAAAGGCCTTTACTCTCTACGCGGTGTTACCTGCATGGTATGCAGACACGTGTGCGCCCCCAGAGCCTGCTATGATGCCTGAATTTTTTGGAGAACCGTTGGGCTGCTATACTTCAGGCATCAGTTGGGCACATATAGACATGTAGCGTCCAATGCCCCTGCTTCACCTACTTACCTATGTAGGTAGATACCTATATATACTCTGTCCTGACCTACTAATCTGACTGACAATCAACAGATATACTCCCTCACGACTAAGTTTCATATGCAAGCAGAGGAGTACACCATGAGTTCCCACTCACCAGAATCTCCCGAGCTTGATACATTTCTTGCAGACTGTAAAGTTTTGTTTCATACCATATACAGGAATAGTGTCATAAAAAGTCATTTCACTGTCGCAGATCTCAAAAGCGAGGAGTTCAACATTCACAATGAAGCCAGAATTCACGATGATGAGATTGAAATTCACAATGCAGCCCAAACAGAGTCCAACCTTTCCAAGCTACGGTGGTTTCATATTCCGGCGAACAACAGATCATGGGTTGACATGTTCATGGGAAAATGGTTCGAAAGAGCTGGTGGTCTCGACCAAAAAAACTGGGAGCAAATGTGGGATCTTAAGGTACGGCCAGGGCCTCGATATCGAGGGAACAAACCTCCTCACTCCCAACACATGGAGCCTTCTTGTACTATGAGCAAGGAATTAAATATTCCCTCGAGACAACCTGGAAATATTGAGGCTTATGGATTAGATGATAATTATTACCCGGCGCAGCTCCCGGGTAAAGATTTCGAAAACTCTGATGAGCTGAGACAACCTTTACTCGCACTCTATGTAAGTCTTCAAACTCCCCATATCTCAAAATAAACTGTAGCTAACGGAAACAATATTTTTATTAAGCTTCCATTTATGAGTTGGGATATCTTTGGCCAATTTCGCTTACTAAGTCCATCTTACAAACCGATTGAGCAAGCTGGTTCCCAAGAGCAAGCTGGTTCCCAAGAGCAAGCTGGCTCCCAATTAATTTCTTCGCGCCCGTCCGATAACAGGACTAGGATGGAAAATTCCTTATCACGTTTTTATTTGAAAAAACCTCTTTCCCTTCACACAAGGCGAACTCTAGATCAATTTTACTACGATTCTCTGGACGACACGAGTTCTAGGGACCGTGATCAAGTAATTTCGAAATGGACAGGAACACAGAAGACTGATCAGAGAACTGAAGCTGCGGTAGATGATAGCTTCATGATCATGATTGACCAGCTTTGGTGTTGGGTCCTTGATGATAGTATGCAACACCAATCATGACACAATTTTGAGCCCATGACTGACCTCAAATTATCTTATTTTAGAGACTATCCTATCATGCTTCCCATCCCAAGATTTTCAGTACAGTCCCGACGGGTTTACTAGCATCTATAAGAGCATGCAGGAGTCTTGCGGTAATTCTGAAACCGTTTGGGACCTATTCTCAATTTTATTTAAAGAAGCTTCGTCATATCTTTTTCGTCAGGATAATAAAAATATTATCGACCTCATAGAGATTTTTAGGTTAGTAGTAAGCAAAAAGGTGAGAACTATTTCCAAAGCGTGCAAGATGATTCTCTTAGCTAAACTGTTATTCAGGCCGCCGAACAGGTCCAATCTTTTGAAGACTTCCACATGAGAGCATACCATCGACCTACGGCAGCTGCTTACGAGCAAGACTTAAAGCTAGTTCTTCAGGTGGTCGATATAATTGACGAATTGAAGATAATTCTTAATCTTGCTGATAAACAAAGAGAAGTTCTGAAATCTCTTATATTGGCTCTACGTCGTTGTCAAGCTTCGGAAAATTCACTCGCTAACAGCGGCCGGGCGAACATGTTAACCGTCTTCAACACATGCGTGTTCCACGGGGGGGCCATCTTTGTCACCAACAATTCAGTTGAAAGGAGTTTAGAGGATTCTATTGAGACAACCAGAAAATTAGCTGAAAAATTGGAAGGTGCAACTCGTGACACTGTTGTGTCAGCCGACGAGACTCTACTGCTTCTAATCGTGGAATTGGAGAAGTTAATTCGAGAAGGGGAAAGGACGCACAAGATGGTAGGTGGTGGTCTTATTCAAATGATTTATCGCCAATATTCTAACACAATTACCTCCAAACTCAGCTACTTAGTCTTCTAGATCTCAAGCAGCCGACAGCAGCCCTAATGGAAGCTCGCTCTACAACACAACAAGGGCATGTTACTATGCTCTTTACAATCATCACTATCATCTTTGTGAGTCAATCAGGGCTTTTTATCGTAAAAACTGAAACCTAACAGATGTGCCTATAGCTTCCGCTGTCCTTCTTTACCTCTTACTTTGGCCAGAATGTTTCTCAGCTTACTGGTGATACCAGTAATCCAACAAGCTGGGAACTGTGGCGTGTTGGAAGTACGTTATGCCACCCTTTAGCCTTTTCCCGAATGCCTGATTTCATGTTATTAACAGTCCGTAGCTCCTATAAGCATTGTTGTTATTGTCTCTGCATTACTTATTGCTTATCGTATTGGTAATCCATCTAGTCGCTTATGGTTTTGGCAGAGGTCCACTACCGACTCCAGTGCGTGGAATTTTGTTTTAAAGAAAAAGAAACTATCAAGAACTTCATATATATAAATTTCAGACTGCAACTATAACTTTGAATATCACTGTAACGCTGGCCAGTATGGTGCGACTGGATGCACCGAACAATACCGACGCGCGTAATAGAAGGGTATTTGTTGAAAGCACCTTTGCAGGATCTGTAACTGTGACTGAAACTGAAGGCTGGAATAATATTAAAAACTTAAACACCCCCATCCCCCCGCCCGGCGCCCCCGGGGAACTGTCAGAACTTCTTACTCTTTTTAATAGTATTCTAAGGGCTAGATCTCAACGCAACTCCTACTTTACTTCATCAAGTTCAAGCTCAAGAGCTGGTGATAATAGCTTTACTACCAACCAAGTATTGAAACACGACCGTAGTTATGAATAAACCGAGGTCTACATATCTAAGATGCCAACGTAAATGATGGTAGTACCGGGGGAGTATAGAATGATTCGCTCACTGCCCTAAGTATTGACGTCCAGAACTTTCCCCTTACACACCTACTAGTATTAAGAAAGTGCTACTCTCTGACTTAACCTTAAAGCGATTATCCCTTATAATAGCTTTTATTAAAACTAAAATTCAAAGAGATCGCCAAGCCTCGGGAAGCCCTAATAAAATTACAACCAAAACGCCGCCTTCACCCTCACCCGACCCAATTTTCGAAGACGCGGCAACGCCATCTTTAGCGATAAAAATACTCCAACAGCGACTATTGCCAAACCGAACGATAATATAAAAAAAAAATTAAGATGATTGTTCTGTGTTGTCTCTTGAGTGTGTCAATTTGTTTGTTCTGTGTTGTCTCTTGAGTGTGTCAATTTGTTTGTTCTTTTGCTTGCTTACGGTAAGAAGGCAATGTTGTAGGGAAAAGTTGTCCAGCACCCCAGCTATAGCATGGGCTTTTACGTCGATCACGGCTCTCACATCTATTATATTCACTATATTAACCATCTATACTCTATACACCTTTACTACCTCTACTAATGCTACTGATGCTCATAAAGCGCTATTCTCTGACACGGCCTCGAAGCCATTATCCAAATTGAAAGCCTTCTTGAAGCTGAAAAGAGAACACTAAGCCCCCACAATCTAAAACGAAGCTTGTATCCGCAACTGAAATCCAGTTCCTGGAGATAACAACGTCATCGTCCATGTCCTGCGTTACTTGCTGCGGTTACATCAGCTCCCCGGTTTACCCAAGAGTTCAAGAATCTCGACGTGGCCATGGGTGGATGCCACATCATAAGGCGTTTGTCCCTCATTGTTGGGCGTCATATCCGCTCCACTGTCCAGGAGTAGTTTGACAATCTCAAGATGCCCGTTGCTAGAAGCGTGAAATAATGGTGTCCGTCCCTCATGATCCGCGCTGGATACATTGGCGCGGCTATCAACCAGCAGCTTAGCTATCTTGGCATCACCTTCACGGCTCGCTATCAAAAGCGATGTCTGGCCATGAACATTTTTGGCATCAATATACGCTCCACGCTTGAGGAGAACTATGACCACATTGGTATTGTGATAGACGGTTGCCAGTATGAGCGGGGTGTTGCCATCCTCTTTGGCTACCGAGGCATCGGAGCCATTCTCAATCAAAAGGTCAACAGTTTTGGAATGGCCGCGCTGGGAAGCCACATGAATAGGCAGCAAGCCCTTCACGGTCCTGTGGAAGATGTCGACGCCCCGTGAGAGGAGCAGCCGGAGCACCTCTAGCTGGCCATTTTCGGCTGCCAGAAACGCCGCATTCATCTCATCAATGTTCAGGGCGTTGATATCGGCACCCTTATCTAGCAGCAGAGCTGCCAGATCGACATACATGTGGCCAGTCTGGCATGTTGCCATGAGTGGCGTTTGTCGTCTCTGCGTAGCCGTCGCATTGATGTCGGCGCCTTTCTCGATCAGTAACCTGGCCACCTCTAGATGGCCATTGCGGCACGCTTCGTAAAGAGGCGTTCCACCAAACGGGTCGGGACTGTCAAGCTTTGCGCCGTTCTCCAGCAGCAGCGATACAACGCCGGCGTGGCCATTGCTAGAAGCATGCATAAGCGCCAAATTCTTGGAATCCGGCTCCGTGATGCCCTCACCGTCACGCCACTTGATCAACAGCTCGACTATGCCAACATGGCCCCCTGCGGATGCTCCAAGTAGAGCGGCGTGATGGTCCGCATTGGCAGCTGCTCCCTGTTCAAGAAACATTTGAACGATTTCAAGCGCTCCTGCCAAGGCAGCCACGGAAAGTGCTGTTGTTCCCTTTGCATCAACATTCATGGCATCGGCACCGTTGTCAACTAGTAGTCTGGCCACTTCCAAGTGACAGTTGGCACACGCAGCATGCAGGGGTGTTCTCCTCTTCTTATCGGGTGTCATTAAGTTGACCTTGTGCTGGATGAGGAGCTCTGCAATCTCAGTACGTCCATATGAACAGGCTACAAAGAGAGGCGTTTGTCTGTCTGCATCTTGCAGCGCAAGGTCCACACGATCGATGAGCAGCTTCGCAATATCGGTTTGCCCTTCGGAAATCGCTACATGCAGAATTGTCTGTTTTTTGCTTCCAATCTTGACATTGAGATCTTCTTCCTGCTCGAGGAGTAGTCGAGCCAGGTCAAAAGAGCCGTTCTTCAACGCGGCCAAGATTGGCGGAGTTGTGGAAGTTGAGAGATAGCTTGATAACTGGCGGTGAGCGCCTTTTTCGATGAGAAACTCGACCGCCCCGATGTGTCCATTGGAGGTTGCTTTGAAAAGTGCATCGTTACCATCCTCGTCTAACTGGTGAATGTCGGCACCATTCTCAATCAGTTGCCTCATAACGCTTAGATGACCGTTGGCGCTCGCAGCAAGAAACGGGGACACGCCATTGCCATCTTGGAGGTTGACAGCAGGGATCTCTTCCATGGCATCCTGGACCGTCTCAATTTTAAAGTACTCCCTGAGCTTTATGTCATCAGCAAGGTGCTGGTACGCTTTGCGGTCTGACCAGAATTTCCATTCGTCTTGAATATCCACATCATCACTGTGAGATGGATCATCTTCAAAGGCAGAATTGTCCAAGGAAGAGTCTTTTGCATCATCTTTGCAGTCGCAGGCATCATCAGAGCATTTATCTTCGGGTATAACACCTATTCCATCGAGGTCAAGTTCGCTGCGGTTGTCTCTCTGGGCTTCCGAATTGTCGTCATCGTTTTCGTCATCCGGTTGATGCTCCATTTCTATTGGAACCAGAATGAGGGCCACAGTGATGAAATGCTGTTCGACGTGCTTCTCTAGAGCTTTGCGTGCCTCTCTGCAGTCCCGATCTGTGTACTTCTCCTCAAGCTCCTCTGGGAATCCGCCACAGAATGGACAATCCTGCAGAGCTGGTTGATCGTGAAGCTTGCTGTGCTTCACGATTGTAGGGCGAAGTGATTCGGCAACATCGTTGCTATGGACATTTGTTATGTGTTCTTCCAACTCTGCCGGGTTTAAATATAATCCAGAAGTAGGGGAGAGAGATTGGCACTGCAAGCATTGCCAGCGCGGCTGCGAGTGCACTTCTCGCATATGAATGAGCAAGCTCTTATATGTACTTGCACAGTTGAGTGGTGACGAGCAAGAATCAGCTACACAGAAGAAAGGTTCAAAGTCATGAACTAAATGGTTCCTTGTTAAACCGAAGCACTGAATCAGTAACTGTTATTGTACACAGGAGGCATACAATGTCAAAAATCATACTTACCACCACTGCTTCTTTCCTTTGGCTTCTTCTGCTGGGCAGATGAGAAAACAGAATGGACAAGTAAATGAAGTGCCCGTAGAATCCATTTTCGGTATTGAAGGGAATGTGCCTGTAGGGATCACCACGGATGTAACAGACTCTGCTCGCTTGTTCTGCGCCGGATGAAGGTTTTTTATGTCGAGCTTAGTAGCTATGGTGTTTGACAATATAATACTTGGATTGATGCCCGTCCTTGTTCTAAGAGAAGGGGAAGCAATATCCCTTGTTTCTTGATACCCAGCGGGAGACGCTGCTTGGGCGGGATCCGCTTCTATCGGCTCTGGCTCTCGTTGCAGCACTGGTGCTGTTTTCCCCAACGTGGAAATCTTTTTCTGATGCCGATTGAGGTACAAGAATCGGATTCGGCGAGTTGCAACTGACCGAGCCATACGTTCTTGCAAAATTATGCTCGCGTTGGGAAAGAGATGTTCAACCTTTTGTCTCGCGCATCTCTCAAACAACTGATACAGTTCTGCGTTATTAGTCTTGAACCTTTCAGTGCGCTCTTGACGATGCTGGTTCCCCGCTCGCTGAACAGTTATTGCGAGTTGACGAAGGCTGGTGATGGTATTTTCGATGGACGTCCAGGTGCGCGAATGTGACGGGGGTGCTGCATCGTCATCTTCCGATGGCTCAGATGGCTCAGGTGGCTTGATTGGCCTATAAGAGGAAATGGAAGACCGATCAGACGAGTCATTGGACTGGCTATCAGATGAGCTTTCTTCTTCGCACTCCTTTCGGGAGAGCTCCTTTTCTACACCAAAATGTTAGTCTCAACTATTTGAGCTCGAGTAGCCAAAGTCTTAATTACCGACGTCGCGCTTGAGCGTCTCGAGAAGTTGTTGAATCAATTTGCTGATTTCTGGTGCGCTACTTAGACGAGAGGCGATGGACTGCCGGCCTTGACGGAAAACACCCATATTCGCAGCCCAGATGTTGAAGCTCGCCATTTGCTCTCTGACCCTGGCGCCATCGTGGATAGATAACTGATGGAGAAGTTCCCTGCATCGGACAGATGATTCTCGAAGATCTGACAGCCTCTCCTCTGACAGCTGTGGATAATGCTGCTTTTCGTCCTCACTCATCATGTGCGATTCGCCGTAAAAGATGGAGAGATGATTGCAAAGGTGCCAACCGGAGAAAATCGCGCTCCCAGCTTTGTTTCTATTATTTCCATTAATGGGCAAAAAGGCCAACGCTAAATGGAGCTTAAAAATGGCAATTAGTTCGAGCAGAATCTTTTACCGCCTTGGCGATGTAAAATATACCTGTTTTTTAGAGTTTTATATGCCTTTTTTTAGTGTACTGCGATAGTTGTTTCTGCCACGTTGAAACACTCCATAAAAGCTACCTACCTTCTTTTAATGCCGCTTTCATACAAAGCAGCCTATTACGTTACACCGCTCTAATCAAATCTTGATGCACTCTGTACAGGAGGAGGTCCTGTTTTCTATCTATAGATTAATATAAATTTCCTCATAGAAGAAAGTAGCTGTTAGAAGGAGGCAAAAGGAACGCGCCGGAAGCAAAAGGTAACTTGCCTGCTTTCCTAGGTGGCCTCGATCAAACAAGGCGACTTCAAACGATGCTGTTGACCTTGATCACATCGGCTGACAACGATCAAACTAGGTGGCTTCGTTCAAACAAGAGGGCTTTGGTCAAACAGGGTGGCTTTATTCGACCAAGGTGACTTCAATCAGCGCAGCACAGCAGCTTTGCTCACCACTATAAACGCTTTGAGCGGGCATCATGACATTTTGCATTTTACATGCATCCTGCCTTGTTGATATCAGGCTCGGCCGGTACATGTACCTGCATTATGTACACAGCGTTCCCCGCACTGAAGTCGCATCGCAATCTCTCGAATCCATTGGACAATCCTTGCGCCTTTTTAAACGCCCAACCTTTGGGCGGAACCCATTAAGTCAGTCAGTATCCGCCCCTGACCCAAACTTAGACGATGCGGCTGGAAGCCTCTCCAGCCTCAAAGTCGACACTCCAAAGTCTACACTCCACAGCCGTCATGTTTTTACCGTGGCCCCCGTTCAAAGCCCCAGCGCCGGTTTGCAGCATAGAAGACATATATGAACTCCTCGTCGCGGTGCTGCCTACTTTCATTGCCCTGGCGGAAATCAACTACTCGCTCTTGGAGGCCGCCGGAAACAGCGAGGCGCTGCTGAGCTTCTACATTGGCTTCAAAGCCGGCGCCTTCAACCTGCACAGCGCTCTTCACATCTGGGGCGCGTTTGAAACGCTGCAGAGACTTTCGGCCGACGAGTATGAAGACGAGATCCGGGACGAGCTCTCGAGAGTCCTGCACGAGCTGGAGACACGCTTCCTGTCCTGGAACAGCAAGAATGCCAGAGTATGCAAGCGCCTCGGTCTCCAACGAAAGGAGGGCGAAACGTATCCAAAGCTGCGCGCTCTTCGCAGGATTCTACCCGATGATGACAGATTGGACGAAGAGTCCGTGACGGCGCTGACTGCCATCGTCCGTATCGACAGCAGCAGCTCCTCTAAGCGGAATCAGCTGCTGCACAGTCTTCAATCAGCGTCGTCATTCTTATACGATTTACAGCCATCTTCCATCGAGGACGGCTCCTCGTGCACCGCCAGATTCACAGATTACCCGTTACAGCATATCAAGGGCCTCACCAAGACACTTTTCGAAGTGCTGAGCAGGAACTGGCCGTGGCCATGCCAGTGCCTCGGCGCCTCGCATTTGCCCCAGTGCCCGGTTGCCTCATACATTAACCGCAAGACGCGCCTGAATCTGACTCAGCATCAGCGCTTTGAGACGGCTCCGAGGCATGGCCAAAGTCTATCAAGGACCAAGGCACTTTTCCGAATCTTGTTCCCAACTGATATGCCGAGTGAACATTGGCAAGACACAGAGATTGTTATCCATAGCAGAGAGTAAGTAATGTTGACATGTAGCTGAGCCCGAGTTAATGGGGTAGTAGGAGTGTATACGCCGACAGCAGAGAAGTGACGCATGGTGTATATGAAATCATACGAGATGTCAGGACTGGAATCCGCCCAAGGATGGCCATCTTTTCAAATAAGCTGTGGCAGCTAGAAGCCGACGCTGAGACCAATCCTTCATGCTCCCCGCGAGTACATGGCAGTGGATTCAAGTCACTGAAAGAGCTCCTCGGGCCAAGCCAGTATAAGAATCAGTCCATATTGTCGGACACGGAGAGAAAGGACCGTTTGATCCTCTCATTCATCTTGACCACGTCTCTCCTGCATCTCATTAAAGGGCCGTGGCTACAGGCCAGCTTGAGCAACGAGAACATTTGTTTTCTCGCCTTGCACTCACGCTCAACGCCTGATATTACCAAACCTTATTTAACAGCAAGTTGTGCTTCTGCAACTTTGAGAACCGAGTCGAGAAACTTGAACCAGCCTCATCGCTTCCCCGACATTCTGTCCCTGGGTATACTACTTCTCGAAATAGCACGTGGCCGTCCCATAGACTTTAAAGAGGCCGATGATCGCTGCTACACTGCCCTCGTCTACTTGGACAAATGGAAGCAAAGCTCTATAACTGTCCCCGATGGCCTCTATCGGGCAATCAAGGCTTGCATCGAGCCAAAAGAATTCAGGGGAAACCAGTTCGATAGAGCGGTACCAGATGGTGATTTTGCAATCAGGGAGTACATCTTCAAGAGGATTTTGTTCCCACTTGAAGAAGAGCTTTCCAAGGGGTATGAGATTTCGCTGAGCGCTTTGCACGATGGCATAGCAATAAAGAACGAAACTAGCAAGACTGGATCTTTTGACCATAATGATGAACATCAACTTCACAAGTATGCCAACACTTGCTCCCCCTTCAAGCCTCTAGCACACTAATACCGGGCGCTTTCACAGGCAGCAGGCGGCAAAGGAATGGAAAGGACAATTGGACGGCGTGCACGATCTAGTCGAACGCTGCATGGAGCGCTGCGAAAATATGCCAGACAGAGAGTCAACCCGTGTTAAGATTGCCATGCTTGACACAGGCCTCCAATTACCCGAAAGTCTCCAAGAAAATTATGAAGCTGAAGGACGGGTAAACGTGGGAGCATCGGAAAGCTTTCTTCCTAGCACGAAAGATGATGCTGATTGCAGCTGGAGAGTTGATCGCAACGGCCATGGCTCACGCGTGGGCCAAATCATTCTGGAAGTTGCCCCAGAAGCTGACCTGCACGTTGCGAGAGTGTTCAAGAGCGGAGACAATCTGGCAAATCCTAATATGGCTGCTGAAATCTACAAAAGCATCGCCGAGGTAATCATTCCCCAACAACTAGGCAAATAGAAATGCTAACAACTCTAGGCTATTGGCCGAGCAACCAATGAATGGAAGGTTGACATAATCGTCATGTGCTTCGGCTTCGACAAACCAATACCTCTAATCCAAGACGCAATGAAAAAGGCCTCCAAAGTCGAAAAGCCACCGCTGTTTTTTGCAGCCACCCGCAACGATGGCGCTCACAAGCTCATGGCGTGGCCCGCACGGAATCCCTCAGTGATTGGCATCAGCTCGACGATGGGTGATGGGTGTAGGTCTACATTCAATCCCTCGGAAAACGATTTCCACCCTATACTGTATGCTCTCGGTGAGGGCGTTCCGGTCAAGATACCAGCCTTGGACAACCCACGAGGGTATGTCATCAAACACGTCTCTGGGACGTCGTATGCCACGCCCGTGGCCGCGGGCCTGGCAGCAAATCTGCTAGGATGCGCTCGCATGGCGGTAAAGGCCTCTTCGCGTGAAGACCAGCTCGTATACAAGGACTTGCCCTCGCGATTGCAAGAAATGGGCGGCATGTTGGCTGTTCTGAAGCATCGTATGTGCGCAAAGGATCTTGATAACAAAGAGAGCTTGCTCCCTTGGAGTTTCCTGACGCTTTCACGGCTGGAGAATAATAGGCTCTTGGAAGATATATCTGAGACTTTACAACACTATTAGCATAGTACAATTCTTCTTATACAGCAGTATTTTAATAAGACTAAGTGATGTGGCCTCGCAGATTGCCTGGCCAAAGTAGCAGGTTCAAACTCGAAAAGTTTCACCTCCTAGAGGTTATATCATTCGCCTGGAAAAGGATGAAAGAAATGCAGAAATTCAAGATCAATAACTCAAAATTGTAGAATCGATACAATCTATTGCTCAGTCTCAATGCTTTCCCAAGTGTCGGAGAAACCGACATCCGTCTCCTCTTCGACATCATAGACGTCCCGCAAGGCTACTTCTGCAGCATCGCCGCTCTCTTCCTTGTCAAACACAGCTCCCCTCACATAACTCTCATTTGTCGATCCGGCACCTTTCCTCTTCGGCTTCATCCTCATAAGCTGGTAGGCAAAGATATAATCCGTCGATCCAGCAAACGATATGCCACTCTTCTTTTTCGATTCCCACGCTGCTTCTGGTCCCACCTCCACAGGCACGCCCAGGCCCGTTGCATCGACCTTGATCTCAGCCTGGGCCGACCTCTCAGTGTTCCTCTCGCTGGTAACCTTGGAGCCCCTTGCAATCTTGATGCCAGTAATCAGATACACGGGCTTTCTCCAGTTGCACACTTGGAAATACGCCTGCACGCCCGGATCATTGATGGCCTGCGCGAGATACTCATCCTCCGGCAGGAAATATCTAGTCTCCAAAACGTCGAATTCATGATCCTCCGCCGCTGACTGCAGCTGGGTGAAACTGAGCTGGCCCCCAATCGCCTGCAAGCACTTGGCCCAGATCCCAATCTTGCCCGAGTGAACCCGCTCGAGATTGGTCCGCCAGTCGGTCTTCTCTCCTTCATGTATCTTGGGTGGGGGGATGGGACTGCTGCTGCTCTTGGGGATCTTGCTCTCGGGGTTTTTGGCGTCTTTAATCAGACGCCCGAGAACGACGATGTCGCTATCTGCGGGAATGTCCCAGTTCGGCGACGGAATATAGGTCGGTGTGATTGAAGACATTGTTACCACTCATCAAGAGAAGAATTCGATAAATCCACTATACAAGGGCTGTTGACTGAAATTTGGTCACAAGCGAGAAATAATAGCCAGAATAACAACAATGTAGCGACATAACAGCTGGAGAGTAATGATTATTAATCAACGTTTTGGGGATATATGTCGGCCTAAATAAGGCAGCACAAGGGTCGCCCTGCTTTTTAGCTCAACGGACCACAAGGCTGTATGTACTACAACAGTAGCTGCAGCTGCATAGACTCTTCTATATGGAACTCCGTCTAAAGACAGAGAAATAAGTCAGACACAGGAGCATGATGGATTTGAAGAAGGATATTATCCAAAAAGAATAGGTATACTTGCTGCTTGAAATACAGAATCGCCTTTGTTCCTTGGAAGATCAAGACCCTCTTCTCAACCTGTTTCCAGCTATATATTAACTTGCATATTCTACATTTGTTCTACATGAAAGATCAGGAGCGCAAGTAGCTTCTTAGAAATACAACAGGGGTATACAACAGCCCAGCTACAAGCTCATATCCTAGTTTAAGGGAAAAGGTTTTCAGCAACCCCGTTCTATTACTTACTGCTGCTGCTACTACTGCTACTTCAATACAACGCAGCTGATTTCCAAAATCCCCAATTCATCAATAACTTAACCCAGAGGTCAAGCTCTATTTACACGTTCAATACATTACCTTGTTGTTTATAGTAGCTATATCCATCATCATTAAAATCAGACACCTCCCTTACCTTTGTTACGCTTCCGGCATGGGCATAACGCAAGTACCATCACGACTTAGAAGACTGCACCGCTGGAGCATTCCCAGCATCCCATAGATTAGATGGGCGAAACAGTGCAGCCAGCTTCCTCCCACAGCTTTGTTTAAATCAGCGCAGTTGCAGAGCAACGCCTTCCAAACCGGTGAGGATGGCCTCTCTGCCCACGTACAACATGGAGAAGTCGACTCTTTCCGCGTTGCCCCCCCCCCCCCCCCCCCCCCCCCCCCCCCCAGTGGCCATTGCAGACGCAGGGACGGTCTTCTTGGCGAATTCCCTGCGCCTTCCGGGTGGTATTGTCGTCGTCTTCACCCTCAAATTCCTCGAGAAGACGCTTTCGCTTTCTCGGGGTGGAAGCCAGGGGGAAAAGCTTTCGTTGAGTATTGAAATGGTCACTTCAGTTTGTCAGATACTGTTCGACAATATACAGAAGCTCCCGCCCCGTTTCTCATATGACAAGACCAGTGACCATACACGAAAACAGGATTCAATAAAACGCGTCTCAAAGACAAAATCGTCATCAAGATTTTTAAAATTAGAAATCTGAACTATGTCCATCGTCTTCGATGGTAGCCCAACTAAACAATACTAGTAAAACGTAATAAAATGCCCAAGACGGCTTGTCTCCATATTCCGGTACCACATCCATAACTTTTTTAAGATTCCATGCACTCCAAAAGTCAACCAAATTCATCGCTCATTGTAGTTAGCATTAGACCGCCGCTTTACTTAGCTGGCCGTTCCGCTGTTAGCCCCATCCAAGCCGGGGAAATGCACGGGGTCCATGGCCATATACTCCAGGAGATCCAATCCGCCAACGTTGACACCCTCAGCAGTCATGGCAACAGAGCTGTTCTCCATGTTCTGGAAAAAGGCCGGGCCAGGAGGCAGATACCACATCTCGCTCCCAGCATTGTTCCATTCGTCAAACAAGTTGACGTCCATGTTAGCCGATGTGTTGTTTTCAGCCGCAGGGGTAGAGGGGCCAATTGATGACGCCCCATGGTACGGGAAGTTGCCACCAGAGATGTCAAAAGGCGTGGCAGAGATGTTGTTCGCCTCAGCAGTGGGAGTTGGTACTCGGTCTAAGAATGCTTCATATTAGTTTCTGGAAATTTCAACGTGATAGAAAAGGTATTTTTCAACTTACACTGTCCGTTGAGGCCATCTCTAAGCCTCTGCGCGTGGCTGCCCACCCAGTTTGCATTCTCTCCATTCTCTCCATTCTGCACTGGCGGTGCGCCACCAGCGCTGCCCGTCTCTGGAACAGGACTCTGTGCTTTCGCAGATGCCTGCGGCATCGGTGCTTGGATGAAGCGGTTCCGCAGACGGCTCGTCAAAGACTCCAACAAGTCGGCGAAGCGAATACCCAAGTGGACGTCGTCAACAATACAGTTGCGCAAAGCCTCCACGGTAGCATCCATCAAATCAATGCTCATCTTGACGTCGGAACGAGGAGCACCGAGGGCAAAAGTCTTGAGCAAAAACATGGCACCGCTGATGATGCGAAAGTATGTTCGTACAGGTGCGTGCTTGAGATAGCCACCGGGAAGCAGACCCTCAACAACCGTTCGGAGCAGATTCCGGCTTCCCTCCACGACCTCGCGCACATACTCCTGGTCATGGACAGTGAAACCTCCCAGCTGACCGAGAGGCAGCTTTCCGTAGTTGATCATTGTCTGAGGAGAAAGATGCATCGGCTGTACCCCGTTGCTAGTGTTACCCGCGTTACTAGTACACCGCTCGACTACAGCCTGTAATGACAGGGAGTTGATGTAAATCCGCACATATTCATACTCAATGGTAAGAATATGCCTGATATACTGCGGCAGGCGGAACAACTCAAATTCTCGGTACCAGTCCTTCAGAAGAGGCGTAAAGTCTCTGAGCAAGTCAACATACTTGCCCGACTGAATGATTTCCGTGGTGTGCTTGCGGGTTTTGAAAAGCTTCTCGTTGCCAAGATGCATGGCGTTGCTGATACCTGCCCAGCAATGGATGATTTGGTCATCGAGCTCGAGATCAGGGACGTAGTTGAAACCGTTTGCCAAAGAGGACGGATTCGTCGCAGGCGTGCTGCTGCTGTCGGTGGTCAAGGGCCTCTGACGAGCGACGGCCGGGTCAGCCTTTCTAAGGTGCTCTGGCGTCATGCTGGTCCAGCCCAGGCGTCCGGCAAGCTGGCTTGTGTAGATGAGCAGAAGTCGTTTGATGCGATTGGCACGTTGACGATAGACCTCATCTTTATACTCTGGTCGGGTGATGGCATCATCCTTGAGAAGCTCATCAATGTCATCAAAGACACCGAGCTCATACGCCAGTCCCATGGCAGTGCTAAGAAGCATCCAGCACATGCGATCGCTCCTCCATGCCGGCTCAAGCCAGCTCTCGATCCTCTTGCCGCCAATGCCTGGTCCGACTGTTCTGTGCAGCTCATCCTCAGATGCCATCAGCGGGGAAGCTTCGGCTATGGGGAGGACCAGCTCATCGGTAGCCTCATTTGGGGGAAAGTGCAGGGCACGAGGGTGCCACTCGGTCAGGATCAATAGCGACTCAATCGTGCCCAGCGTCCTCAAGCTGCCCTTGCGAAGTCCCCGCCAAGGCGCCGTGCTGCTTGTTTGGGACTCATCGGTGAGCATTGAAGTGGATGCAGATCCCGAGCCGCAGAAACCACCTCCAAAGGCTTCCTGTCCCCACAAACATCTCTCAATCATACCGCGCAAATACGTCCATAGCTGCTCGGGCACGGCGTGAGATCGACAAATGCCACCGGCGCCAGGAAGTTGGCAGTATCTTGAGGAGATTGTAAGCAAAGTGACTGTGAGAATAGGCTCTTCGGTCAAGAGTGTCAAGTGAGATGAAGGGTTGCTAAAGGTCGGAGGAGAAATCGGTGTAAGTGGAGAAAGGTATTTATAGTAGCTAGCAGGGAGAATAAAAGTCAGTTTCATCGCTTTGCAACAGATGTGATTAGAATTTCGGCTTACTAGTCAATGTACTCGATGGCTTCCTGCGCAGTGAACCATCCTGCACGTACAAAACGAAACCTTGACCAAGCTCTTAGGGCATCTTCATAGCCGGGCTGGGCGCTCAGAGTTGGTCGATCCAGATTAGGATCAACGGGCTGCTCTGGCCGGACAGACATGGACGGCCCTCTTGACCTGGCACGGTTGTTACGCTCGTCTGCAGCCTGAGCCTGTTGTGGCGGCCCTGCAGCAACCGAGGCCATGCTTGGCTGGCGCCTGTGTGTATCGGCAGCCGGGCTGGACTGGCCGTTAGCAGTACCCAAAGCAACCGAGGATGGCATGACAAACCTATCCGTCGCGGCCTTGTAGAGGAGGTCGAGAGCATCGTGAGGACCAAAGACGCCCTGCCTCATGACGGTCTGAGCCTCGAGGTTCTCCAGCGTCTGGTTGGAATCGCCATCGCCAAACTCGCCATCGCGCCGGCGGCCGTTGTCCTTGGAGCCATCGGGCCGTCGCAGCGGTTGAGACCGGCCAGTCGATCCTCCGGGCGTCAGCGGCGTGTCGCTGTATTGTCGCTTATCGAATCGTGAAAACGGAGGGCTGTCGGCGGCGTGGAGCTTCTTGCGGCCATTGCGGATGACATACTCGTCGGCGTCGCTGTCCTCCTCGTCCGTCTTTCGCTTGCGCCTGGTGGCACTGAAGTAGCAGTCCTTGCTCTCGCGACGGCAGCGCACGCACGGCGGATCGTGGGGGTTGTCAACGCTGCCGAGGTCGCATCGCACCTTGCGGCGGCGACATGGAATGCACGCCTGGTAGACGCGCTTGTGCTGCGAGTTCTGCGAGTTGCCCGCGGCGGCCGCGGCGGCCTGCTGCTGGGCCGAAGACTGCGCTGAAGCTGCCGTCGCAGTCGACTGGGCGGGACTCGCGTTGCTCGTGTATTGGGCCATTTCGTCTCTATTTCCGGGGTGCCCAGAAACCACCAACAAGGTGGTGAGATGTTGGGGCGGTTTGCGGCGGGATGGCGAGCGCCAGAGGCAGAGCGTAGGCCGAAGTCAAGCGAAAATCAAACGCTGGCGGGGGTCGCGCGCGCTGTCTCGGTGCACGCTTGGATGGCAAATCGAATCCAGTATAAAAGAAGGCAAGAAGAAGGAAAATCGAACCACCCTCTGCAGGTTAAAAGGCAAGCGAATCCGTCGACGGCCCTTTTCTTGCTTTTTACCTTGTTTTCCCTTTTTTTGCCGAATCTGCTCCCCTACTCCTTGGCTGCAGAAGAAAAGATAAGAAGAGAGGAGAGGAAGAAGCAGAGAAGAAAGTAGGTGGTTTGTAAGAGAAGAGGAGGAGACGGCCAATTGAAGTCAAGCGCAGACAAAAAGAAGACGTAACAGTAACAATTTTTTTTTTTTGCGACTTCTTTCCTCTCTCCTGTGCTTCGTTCCTTCCCCCGGAAAACTTTTAGCAGCAAGCACTACGGGTACTTTTTTTCCTCTGATCCAGAAGTACCTGCCTACCTACATGCTCAATCTAAAAAGGCCAGAACCCTTCCTTTGGGGGGGGGCCGTCGTCTCTCCTTCCCCTCTCTGATTATTTGTGTGCCAATGGTCTCCCAGACGGCTGCGCCTTCGCTTCTTGCCCGCCCCAGAAAAGCCAAAATAGCGATAAGGCCAGGCGGGAAAAGGCACGTTAGTGGGAATTTCTAGTGGAAGCCGCAGCACAGCAGCAGCGACGACGCAGCAGCTCTGGCCCCTCCTTCCACCCCGGACCCGCCCCAGTGCAGCAGCCAATAATCGCCGCCCAATCAAACGTGGCTATTAGCCAATAAGAGGCCCCCGTCCAGCCAATCGCAAGGCGCCAGACGCTGCATCCTGGGAGGTCACGTTGGCGGAAATGAAAAAATCCATTGACTCGTCCGCCACCTATCGCTACTGCGCAGGTACTTGCGCCAAGCTGGGAAGTACTTGTTTGTCATTAGCACCAGTCCCAGAGTCACGAGCCGTATAGTAAAGCAACGGTGCCGGTGGTCGAGGGATCGATCGCCAGAGCGCCACTGGCTGCCGGCGCACACCGAGAGTCTCAGGTACTTGCTTCCGCAGGCATGTGGCGTGTGAGCTGGCAATTGTTGGATGCAAGGGATGGGCGAGCTACGTGTTGCGTTGCGCGCCCAGGCATCCGCCATCAGCATCAGCATCAGCAATTGGTAGCGTCATGTGAATTGGATTATGCGTCTCACTGAAAACACCAAAAGTCAAAAAGTCAAAAGCACGTCACGCAAGCAAGGCTCTACTTCTGATATCCGGGTCAAAAGCTACTTACTGTACGATGAACTGCTACTACGGAGCTCCATGTGTCTCAACCTGCAGCTCAAATTGATCTTGGCACAAAAGTGCTATCGACTATAATAATAGTCCACCTGCCAAGCAACTTGACTTATATGTAACCCTCCTATATATGCCACCCCAAGACGATTCCATCCACAAAAGAGCATCTAGTGCAGGAACCACAACCAACAGAAAGAGGCCCGCTTACACTCTCCGCCTCTATATCACAGCGCATGCTTACAGCAGCTGCTCGTAAATGCACCCGAGGAACCCATCCGCCCCCATGTCCAATAAACGGCGGTCTGGTGAAAAAGAGAGGCTGCCCTGCCTAGTCCCTCCTGCAAGGGGACAGCCAAATGGTCACTTTCACTTTCACATGCCGGCTCGACTCTTCCGGTGGTGTAACTCCACGCCTGCACAAGTCATCATCTATCACAAACACTCACTGGAAAAGTCAAATAAATTATCCGCACTAATACAGCATTATTCACTTCCAACTAGCACTCATCGCCTTGTAGACTACCTGACAAGAAGTAAAAGCACCCATATATGCTCTCTTTTTATTTTATTTTTTTTCCTCCTCCAGCGATACAAATAGAGTCCGGCACGCCTCATAATAAAAAGGACCCGTTTTGATGGATCCTTCCGACAGCCTCATTTCACTAGAACCAGATAGTGATCCTCTTTGACGTTCCTCTCTGCTATCCACACTGCAGCTCCTGGGAGCAAGAAAAGAGCAAAGATGAGTAAGGACAAAGTATAAAAGAAAGAGAGAGGGGAGAGGGGAGTCTTTCAGGATCGAAAGAGTCGAGAGAGAGAGAACATTGCGTCTGCCATGGCTTTCAAACGGCTGTGTGCTTCATCAGGCAGATAGAATCGCAGTGAAGGAGCCTTCAAAAAACACCCCAGGTGCAGATTCCTCCTTCGAAAAGACAAAGGCATGTAAAAAAGAGGAGTGGCAGAGTAGCAGAGTAGAATATTCTTTTGTGACAACCAAAAAAAAAAAAAACAAGAATCGATTTCGCGAATTCGTGTTTTTTTTAAGCAAATTCTTCTTTTTTTAAATGCCGGGCTTGTAGTCGTTCTCGCTCCCGCTTTCTCCCTCCAGTGGTGCCCTTTGCGTTACAAAATAAAACCACAATTACTTCCGTCGTATCGGTAGTTTCCTTTGCGCGTATTCTCATGATTGCTCCTTGCCGTGATAAGTGAAAAAAAAAAAAAATTAAAAGGACCAAAAAAGGACAATGTGTAGCTCTCTCTCCCTCTCAAACTCAATCGACCATTGCCTCCAAGTGGTTATAGCTCGTATTCGGGTCGTCTATCCCAATAGCGCGGGCTGCTGCAACTTGGAGGCGCAACACACAGTTTCCTTAGGCAACAAGACCCTTTTTAGTCTACACATTGTAAAGCTGTCAGAAAATCGATTCCGTAGCCAGTAGCAATTACCAAATTAGGCTCCTTCATGGCTAACTCACCAGGTGCTCCCAGAGCTTCGTCGTCAACGCATCCGGCATGGTATATAGATCGATGGAAAATTCGCCAGCTTCAGACAAGTTACTCACTACAATTCCGAAAGAAAAGCATCAACACGGGGTGTGGACTTGTCCAAAGAAGAAGAGAAGAGATATTCAAAATTGGAAAGAAGATACACGCATGTTGAACATCTTTTGGGGGGACATGGCGGGAGGGACTCACCTTCAACATCACTCCGGATATAGGTCTCTGGTCCCTTGTTCTCATTAATCAACTGGATGACGCGCAGAAGATCCTCTTCCTCAAGCTTCTCCAGAGCCTCGGCGATCTTTTCGTAATCATACTTTTGGGCTCCCTTCTTGCTCACGAGGCCTTTCTTCTTGGGTCTGTCTTCGTCAGAGGGCAGAGGGCCGGTCTCGCGAAGCCGCTCTTGGAGTGCCTGGGAAGGGTTTTTAAACACAACCGTGTGCGTCACCTCGTACTTTTCCTGCTGGAAGTTGAGGTCGTGGATGATGGGAGCCAGCTTGGTCTTTTCGGTGGTGTAGAGATCGATGCCAATCTCAAACTCACCCCAACCCTCGTTGGAGCAGATGAAGGGGGGCTTGGTGAAGGCTGAACGTAGATGGCGTCAATAATGTCTCGGAATCGGGAACCGGTAGGCGTGGGAAGAAAGATGAGACTCACTCTGGGTGGGATTCTCGAATGTAGGGTGCAGGTTGTAGACAACCTTGGTGAAGACGTCGCCAGGCCGCTCATTGCCATCCTCATCTAGCAGAAAGAGCCGCAAGCTCCATTGCCGCATCGGAAACTCCTCCACGGGCGAAGGCTTGTCGCTGCAGCATCGGGTCAGAAAGGAGCCATAAGATGAGAGTGTAGCGAGATTTGAAACGTAAAAAGAAGGAAAAGCCAGTTCATCAAATAGTCTCTCCTCCGAACAATAACGCAAACAAGAGGCTGTATCTTGATGAAATGGGTTGTTGGCAGAAAAGGCGAGATACCGAGCACAGAAAAAAAATACTCACATGACGTGTTGGTCCGTAACGACCTTGACTTTCCTCTGCTCATCGTCAGTCTCAAGCCTCGCATGAATCGCCAGTTTCTTCGCAGCGCGCGGCGCTCCCCTGCGAATCGGTGCCATCGTAAAAAAAAAAAACAATCAACAATAAAGAAATGATGGGCAAATTGAAATTCAGAGCGTGAATGGTGAATAGCAAAGTGACGGAAATATCAGTGCCGTTCAGGGATCGGAGAACGCGCTTCCGTGAGGCTCTTTTTTTTTGCGTTTTGTGCGTTGATGTGACTTCACACAGCGAAAGCTGAAAGAAGGCGTTGAGAGAAGAAGAGAAAGAAAAACAACATCGCGTAAACAAGAAAAGAGGCTTCCATCATCTTTTCTTAGTGAATAGGCAATCAATCCAGCCGGCTGGCAGACATTTGGCGAAACCCTCCCATCCAGCTGGCAGCTCCCGTCTTCCGTCATCTGCTTTTTTTTTCCGCAGCCTAGAGGCGTCCATTCGCCCAGTTTCCCTCTGCGTGTCTGCCAGCTGCCATCCAGCCGGCATGGATATATACACCTTTTCCCTTAATAAAAGAGAAGAAGAAAAAGACACCCAGTTGCTCCGATGAATTATATAAACGTTGTCCGAACAAGGCGTAAAAAGGAAACCGGAAAAAGCCGAATTGCAGGAAAGGAACAATGAATACGTGTGCGTGTGTAGTAGACTCACCTCGACCAACATATTGAAAATGTGTCCTAATTTTCTTCTCCTCCAAGAATTAAAAAAAAACCAATCTATACGGAGAAACAGTGAATTGGAAAAATGGTGGCAAAAATCCGAGCGGGAAAAAAAAAGGTAGGTAAGGATTTCAATAGTACAAGGAAAAAAGGGAATTAATTTTAGAACAAAAAAAAGCAAGCTCGCGGCTGCTGCTTTGGCTTGGGCGGCCCTTGTCCGGTCCTACACGGCGCTCAAGACAAAAAGGCAAACACGCAAGTAGAGCAAAGCAGAGACGCCAGCACCGGCCAACCGAGACCGGAAACGCGAAAAGAAGAGCGAGTTTGAAAAGGGGGCAGTGGAAAAGGCCTTGCTCCGAGCAAGAGGGGGGTTGTGCAGCGAATTGGTCTTGACACAGCAAATGATGAGAAAATGGTATCTTGAAGCAAATTGTCGCAAGCAGCGCAATAGGTAGATGCTGTCCGGTCGTAATAAGCAGAGCAGGTGAAGGGAGAAAGCGCCGTGTAAAGGAAAAAATGGCTGGGGGGTTCAGTCACGTAAGAGTTGGCGGGAGGCTAGCTCTCACTGTGCTTCTGCCGTCTTCCACTTCAGCTCCAGGAAAAAAAAATCGGGTTCCACTCTCCTTTGAAATGGACAGAACAAGACAGCAGACGGAGAGACAAAGGGCAGAAACAGACGGGAACAAGTAGAGAAAAAAAAAACATTTTTTTCCCAAGCTTTATGCCCGGTAGGAGCCCGGCTATCCGCCGCCATTCGGGGCTAAACGGTTGTCCCCCTTTGACTGAATACCTGCTCTGCTCCTGTCCATCTCCGTCTCGGCTGCTATGATTGTGTACTTTGCCCGTGCGCTGCGCCTTGGAGGCGGTCAGGGCCAGCAAAGAGGTACCACGTCATAGCGTCATGGACGCCAGATCGGACGGAATCTCGCTGAGCCTCTTTCCGCGCTAACCCTATAGCTGAGCCGGAAATGCACGCATCGTGGGATGCTTCTATTGTGGATGTTGCTATATAAATACTTGAATGCCATTTTATCGATGTTGCTGTTGCTTTTGCTTCCGTCACTTTGATTCAGGCAGTATGGCGCGTAAATACATTGACGTGTAGACGTAAATTGTGGGCTTCTCATGCCGCCATCATCACGGCCAACGCAGCTGTATACATCGATTTGCCATGCTCAACTACATACAGCGCTCGGTGCTCATTATTATTTACAAGGATACACAACATCACTGAACCATAATGCTATCTTCTGGTATCAACTTTTTATTTCTTTGCGTCAGGGTGCTCTACTATCAAATGCCATTATCTGCTAATCCCCCCCAAGCCTTGCGCCACTTGGTGCTTACTTTCATCCGGGGGGACCTCCTCCAGTCTTCATGAATCCAGATCGACTGCCTCTGTTTACATCAACTTCGTACAGGGGCCTCTTATATATCGATGTGCTGTATTGCGGAGTGTATTGTGTTGCGTTGCGTTGTATGTGTTGTGTGTTGTGGCGTGATGGGGCGTGGGATGGTGTCGTGGTGCTAGCATCTTTTCTGTTTAATCAACAGCCGATGCGAGGGGGAGGGGGAAAATTATGGTTCGAGAAGCGGCAAGCACTGGTTTCGGGTTATACAAGTCGGTCGAGAAAACTTCAACTTAAGCAGTCTTCTCCTCCTCCTTGGTCTCCTCCTCGCCGGCAGCGGCCTTGAAGAGGTGCTCGCTGTCCTTCTGGGCCTTCAGGAAGGCCTCCTTGAACTGGTTGGCATCTGCAGAAAAAGTGAAAAGTTCATGTTAGTGATTGTAAAATGCATCAGTCCAGCGGTCTTCACGTACTGTCAGAGTTGGCGAATCGAATAGCAAGGGTAACAGCCTCGGGCTCGCCCTCGCTGACATCAGCGGCAGCGTTCCACACCCAGCTGCGGTCGGAGCCAACGTTGGGGGACAGGGTGATTTCGGGGACAACTGCGCGCAAACATGTGTCAGTCAAGCTACGAACAAGGGTCAGGAACATGTGGGGAAACGACATACTGTAGTGGTTGGCGCAGACCTTGAGCGTCTTCTCTCGCCGCATAACCAGGCGGACCTTGTCATTCTCCTTGTGCTTGAGCAGCCTGACATCGCCAGTTCCTCGCTCCTTCCACTCGCCGGTGGAGGCGGGGGCATCCTCGCCATCCTTCTTGACGGCCTTGACGAACTTGAACAGCTTGGCGCGCATCTTGAAGAGCTGCTCCTCAGACTCCTCGTTGGTCTTGACGTCGACCTTCTCGGTCAGCTTGACGACGGGCTCGAAGTGAACGTCCTCGCTCTCGGGGGCCTCCTCCTGTACGACAGATATCCTCGTTAGCCTCGTCTCCTCTAATGCCCTGCTCTTATGCCATAAAGCATCTAGAGCCTTGTTTCTCCATCTCTCCCCCTCTTGTATGATAGTGCTTACCTCATCGCCCTTGGCATCGCGCTGAGCCTTTGCGCTTCCAGAGTTGTCGCCACGGTCCTCGTCCTCCTTCTTCTCCTTCTTCTCACCACCGCCGAACATGGAGAAAACAGAGGAGGCGGTCACGGAGGCAGCAGGGGCCTAAGCAAAGCCGGCGGGTCAGTATATACAAAATGAACAAACGCAACGGGGTTCCCCCCTCCAGCATCGATATATCGTCAGACAGCGGACATGTCGCGCAGAAACCGACCGATCGATCGAACCTGGAGGGATGGAGAGAACCGCACGGAAAGTCGTCGCACCTCAGTGTTGGTCTGCTCGACCTTGGGCTCGGTGGCATCGGCGGAAGACATTTTGAATGTGTGTGTATGTCGAAAAATCTAGTCGAGAGAAGCAAGACGCAAAGATTAGTCGCCTGCCGTTGTAGCAAAAAGACAAGAATAGAATACGCGACGGGCTTTTTTTTTATTGTTGGAGAAGAAGAGCTGGCGGCGGGGCAAAAAAAGAGGGAGAACAAAAACAGCATGCAACTTGTTTCTCCACAAAACCTCTGCGCGCAACCTTCGTCGACGGACTCACCGAACAAGTAGGAAATATCGCTGATTATCTAGAGACAACAAAAAAGAGAGGCGTACTTTTTTTTTTTTCTTCTTCCCTCGGGTCTGCCTAGCGGGACGGAGTTTATGGTTAAAAAAGGGCGAGTGGTGGTTGGTTTTGGTTTGGCGACAAAAGGAGGGGCTGTGTTTGGGCTGGAAAGTGGGAGTGGGAGTTTGCTTTTTTTGGCGCTGCCCCTCCAGTGGGTGGCGGGGGCCCTGTTGATTTTTTTTCTCTTGCTTCTATTGGGTTCTTGTAGCGCTGCACGTATTTTCTGCGGTGGGATACTTGGATTTGACGTGCTCTGAAGATCTGGGCGGCTAATAGCTGTAGGGCCCCTTTTTATGCACTTGCATGCAACTCATAGGTGCCTAGGCTGCTACTCCATATTAGTCTACAGCTATTCTCTGCAGCAATATACGGCATTGAGTACGAAGAGAATTAAATACAAATAATCTTTTCGTGAATAGCTGAGCAGCACGTGCTTCTCTGAGTGATTTAATGGCTCTCCAGCGAGTAACGTGGGAAATCACGGGAGATGGACCAGATTGATCAAGTGATCCCAATATGGCGTGAACAAGATGTATAGGAGCTAACGCTATCTTAGGACTACCTGCTATCTATTACCATGAAGACGTTCTACAGGTACTGTCTATAATTTGGCCTCGTCTACTTGGATCTGCCAGCAGCTGTTTTACGAGGCCCTTGAACAAGTCAAATACTGCACGTAGGTGTTGACAGCGTGGTTTGGTCATTACTCAATATTACAGTATTATTGATGTATGCGCGGACAAAGTCTGAGAGATAAAAAGCCGGATCCCTCATTAGTAGCAAAGAGATACACAAATGACGAGTTACACAATCACTGTAAACCAAGACGAAACACTCAACAGACATCCAGCCAAACACAGCAGTATATATATTTGCAAACCATACACATCCACAGTCACCCTCATTACCATTAAAAGCACCAAACGCCCAGGCAAATAAAGCAGCTTGTATATTTGCATTTGCCATACACATCGCACATATAATAGTAAAAGCCAACATCTCCCTTCACAAATCGAGTAAAGTAGCAATGGCCAAGTAAACAGACAACAAATAAAATAACAACAAACAAAAGAAAAAGCCCTATAAACTCCATCCCATTCCTGTTTCCTCCAATCCATACCTATTTCCTGCCTCATTTCAAAATAAAAGAGTTTTCATTAAATACATACCAAACCAAATCCTCGCGGATTCCATAACTCACAAGAAAAAAAAAAGTAAAAAAGAAAGAAGGGAGATGATAAAATAGAGAAGAAGAAGAAGAGATACTGGCATAAAAACAAAAGATATATCCCATACCCCTTTATGCCGCGTTCTTGCAAGAATTCACATCTCCACACGCGAATTTGTTCTTCAACTTGGACCATTCGGACCAGAGCCGTGAAGCTGCTTCTATCGGCTTCTTAGGATCGTCCCTTTTTGCGTTCCTCATCTCTTCAGCAGCTGCGTGCTTCTCGGCCGAAAAAACCGCTGCCTTGCGCAGATATTCGTCATGCTCCTCTGCGCTGCCAAAGACCTGCAGCCACCAGAGCCTAGCTGAGAGCTGTGCGTCGATAAGTTGGAGGTGAAGCTGATTTTGTACATCTTCGACGGATGGCAGGTTTTCGAGAGCTTGCTGTGCAAAGTCATCAATCCTAGTGGTAAACTCCTCAGCGGCTTCTTCAAACTGGGCCTTGGCTGTCGATACGAGGTTGTCGAGATTCTGCTTGGCATCTGCAAAGGTGGCGCCAAATGTCTTTGATACAGTCTCAGTGACGGTTTGGCAGACGTTTTGACATGCCGAGTTGATGGACTGCTTGGCGTTCTCAATGCATCGCTCTGCCTCCTGGGCAGCAGCAGGCACGAGTCCGGACAGGTCATGGGCTAGGTGTTTGGTGCGTTCCAAGGCCTCTTCCATCAAGCCCTTACCAAAGTGGACCTTGACCACTTTGTGAATCTTGGGACGGCACTTGGCTTCGAGCACGAGGCTGACAACACCGTGGACCTCCTTCTTGGCAAACTGCAGGCGGAGGCCCTCGTCTACCATGGACATTGTAGTATCGACAATGTCATCTCCTCTCTTGACAGATACAGATAGACAGTCCTTGGCTAACCACGTCTTCTTAATACTCTTGGGGATGTGTATCAAGATATCGTTGTGCGCTTCGGCCGTGAAAGATACAGCAGGCTTCTTTGCGCCGAATATCCAATCGTCAGACTGTGGCTCACCAATAGGTACCAAAGCCACGCTGTTGGTGGAAGATGGGGTCGGTTGACTACTAGGAGTTGATAAAGATGAAGTGGTGAGATATGAAGTGGTGGTGATAGTTGCAGTGACGGGCGGTGGGGCTTGGACATTTGGTACAACTGGTTCGGATGGCGATTGGATGAAGATGGGAAGCGCCAAGAGCACAACCAAGACGAATGCGAAGCCGGGGAACCCTCCCCATGTTGCCTCTGCGAAATATTCCATTGCTTCGGTTTCGAATGGCCAAAATCCAGCCATCTTCTGTTTCCAAGACTTCTTCTTCTCGGGCTCAGCTGGGCCCGGTCTCTCAATCACCCGACTGGCCTCTGGAGTCGGGAAAGAAGGAGTCCCCAAGCTCTGCTGCGTGTATTCAAGCGATGAGTGAGAGTAAGCCTCATGCTCAAAGGGCGGAAAGGGCTCAAGCTTGGCAGTCTCATTTGTGAAATGCGACTCGGCCAGCACACTGTCTTCGTGGACAGACTCTTCGTCATCCTCTTCGTCTTCGGTATCATCACGGTCAGACGCTGCTGTGCTGGGCATGTCGGCCTCATCAACCGCAGACTCGGTCTCGTACGAGTCTTCTGTGCCCGCCAAGCTTTGGACATCGTCTGGGCGATGAATGTCGAGCGAGCCGATGGATTCGCTCATGGACCCGGTGTAGTTGTCGTCTTGAGACTCTTCGGTGTCGGTGTCGGTGCTCGAGATGAGCTCGTAGGTGGACTCGGACAGGCCGTTGTCCTCGGCGAGCGGAGCCAGATCCATGATGTTGGGATTGCTGCTCGATATCCAATTTGCAAGCTGCTTGTTGCCCTGCGGCCTGGGGAATCGGAGAGTGGGCTCTGAGGAGGCGAGGGTCGCGCCGGCTGTGGGCGAGGCGGCTGTCAGCGATGGCGAAAGGATCGAAGGCGGCGCTGGATAGGAAGCTGATGGCCTGTTAAGCCGAGGGAGCAGAGTATCGCGACGTCGAGGCTGCGGTGGCGGCGGGGATGGCGATGTATCAGGCTGTTCCATCACGAGGTGACTGCGGTCAGTCCAAGGACCATCTCACGCACCAAAGCGACGACTCGGCGGCAAGCCCATGAATCAAGCAGGCGGCGGGAATGTGAGTCTTTGCTGCAGTGGCAGCGGGGTGGACGTGAACGTGGTGAAGGTGAAGGCAGATGTGAATATGAAGGAGGGGAAGAAACGCCGCGGGGAGGGGCTTTTGGCCCGGAGGGTTTGATGGACGGAGGATGATACGAAAGTGAGGTCAGAGCCAACAGCAGCTTGCAAGACGAAACAACTAACCACAGTCCAGACGGAACAGAGCAGAAGAGGAGAAGAAGGCAGAAAAGATTCGAACGCGAGTTTATAAACCAGAGACGAGAATCATCCAGCCCTGGTCGCAGCACGAATCGGCCGGGTGAAGCTTGATGGTGCAGAGCCGTGCCAGTGACATACAAGGGTTCGGGGCCTCTTCTTTTTGAGGCTGAGTTGCTGCCTGCGGGCACCCGAGGCTGCCTGATGGCGGATGGGCCGCTGGAAGTTTAGCTGTCGAGCGCCTGTAGAGCATGCAGGTTAGCCGCTGAAGGCGGGACGGTGCAGTGGGGTTTCAAGCTAGAGGTACCCAGCACGGACGCTATGGTGAAGTTGAGACTTGTAACGGCAGCTGCGCGTGACCCCAACCTGAGGTATTATTGCTTGACGACGGCCGTGGAAAAGACGGAGAGAGATGGCAAAGATGGCGCGGCTCGGGGTGGGGAAGCTGATGGAGTTTGGAGCATCTGTCGAGACCCAGACGGTTTGATAGGATGCGGAAGATCAAGTCGGTGCGAGGCAGAGTCTCACGTGAAGATTATGCAGCCAGTTGAGGGGATTCTCTCGACCAGTCGGAGTGGCCAGCGTTGCGAAGAGCCATGCAGAACAAGGTTCCAAAAAGCGAGGCTTTATCTTCTCCGGACACGGCCAGTAATCTATGGCTTCTGTAGAACTCTACGCCAGCCAGGCTTTGCCTCTAAAGTCCAAATCTAGATAGAGGCTTGAATGGGATACTCGGACAATGGGGCTAGTACAGGCACGGCTTTGCAGAGTCTCCGTCACATGCAGGATGCGTTGAAGACGGATGTGGCAGACGAGCAGCTACAATAGTATTGGATACTTGATTATGGATTCAATACGCACCTACATCTGCAATAAACGTGCTTCAACTTGGAATCTACATCACAGCAGCCATGTCCCGCTTACACTCTCTTCTTGATATCGTCATCCTCCGTATCCAAGTGGATCCTCCCATTCCCGCCCTCCCGAGCTTCCTCGGCGGGTCCTGTGGGGATCCCGTAAAAGAGCATATCCAGAGTTAGCCCCAAGATGGAAACTTATAGATGGCCTAGATCGGAGTCGATGGGTACAAGTAGATTCCTTTGATAGAGGTAGATCTCTCTGATAGAAGTGGATTGCACTAATAGAAGTAGATCTCCTTGATAAAATATTGATAAAAGTACATCTCCTTGATAAGAATAGATTCTTTTGGCCAAGTCATCAAGCACTGCCCAAGTACATACTGGTTCAACGCCGCTCTACATGCACATATCCATCATCGTCAACCAGCCCAGCTTCATCTTGCAACGCATCTCCCGGCGGCCGTTCCCATTCAATCACCGCTCTCCCCGCCTCTCGCTCCCTAGCCCGTGAGCAGTCATACGTACCGCCCACCGCATAAGAAGCCCCCGATTCGTCCCTCTCCCAAACCGTCTGCTCATACGGAAACTCTGGCCAATCGATGCATTCACGGGCTTCAATATGAACGGCCCGCCTTTGCCTCGTCCACTCCTCAAGGACTGACCGATAAGCTGACACTGGGTGATCGAGCATCATGCCCGGAGCTGGCACCCATTCCTCAAGCTCCGTAACAGCAGCAGCTTTGGATATTTTCTCTGTATAATGGGTATTTTGTAAGCTTTTGTCGCCAGTAATTATGCTGTAAACAGTCAATATGACCAGTGCCATTTCTTGTCCCGAGATGTCGAAAACAAGTAGATAAACAGGACCAGCTATTTGGCGGGCGAAGTTGAAGTTTATTAGTAGCAAGTTATCTGTGTCGGGATCGATAAGAAGATGTCGGGGAATAATATTGTCATGAATGACTCCATATCTCAGATTTAAATCATCCACGGCCTGAATGAGCTGCTTGAGCCACTTGAGTTTGAATCCTCGTGACGCATCATCTTCCAGCGAGCCACCAGGTATATAAGGCGTTGTAAAGCCAACAATCTGACCGCGTATCTCGTCGACCACAATTTTATCAATAGGAACAATATTCGGATGGTGGGAAAGCCGTATCCAAACATTCAACTCTGTCCAAAACCGCCAAGAATCTTGAACGATGAGCGCATACTTGAAGACGACTCTTTTTGCTTCTTCTCCAGTGCCGTATGAAACAAGATCAACGCCCCAGGCCATGCGAGACAATTCATACAGCTCAGTTCGGATTACAGTTTCCACACCACTCAACGGCTTCTCAAGCTGGAGATGCTCCATCTCAAACCGCCAGATAACGATCCACGGATCGTCTTTTGGATCCGTAGAAACTCGAAGTAGGTCACCGCTCTCAGACATGTGGATCTTATAGGTGTCGAGCGGGAGAGTTTTGATGTGCTTTTTGAAATGCGCAACAACTTGGGCTGGGTCTTCTTGATACTCTGCATCTGTGACGAGGGACATCATCCGGCGTCGATCCCAGTCCATTATCTGCCAAATGACTGGTCCGCCAATCTCAATCAAGCAGCCAAGGAAGCAGTATTTGTCGATATCCTTTAGCATTGTGTCATTTGGTGTATGTGGCAGATGGGTGAGAATCGATGTATAGAAAATCATTGCATGGATCAAGACAAAAGACCTCATTCTCTCTTCTTGAGCAAATATCCGCAAGTTAGAGTTCAGGTTGGCTGGAAATGGCAAAATTTATAATCTAGCACCAGGTGCAGCTACATGGCGAGTAGGAATCTCTGTCTGCAACGTTAAATCACAACATTCACCAAAATGAGAAAAAAAAATCATGTAGAATATTTCATATTGGAGCCGATATCATTCGGCACTTATACACACCCAGCCCCAGGCACCTAACTGCCTGTTTACAAATAAAAATATGTCATGAAAAACACCCTCCGGTCATGTATCCCAAACAAAAAAAAAAATAAAAAAAAATAAAGGGAACGTTAAAAGGCAAAAAAACCGTTCCGACATTCCGACATTATACGTGTGTCGCTTCCCATCTAGTAGTAGTAATACTTTTGTATATCCCCTTCCCCGTATCTCCACAAACTCCGTATGAATGACAAGAAACAAGGCAAAAATAAAGCCGAAATGCAGACCAGGCAGCAGGCGCTCCAGGTACAGGGATTAGGTCATGTGTTGGGCGAGGGTCGAGTCAAACAAGCCCAGGCCGGAAAAAAACCAAGGGTCAAGGAAAAAATCCCACCTCAGGTCCGTAATCCCAGTAGCCAAGAGAGAATTCGAAGAAGTGGGGTATCTTCACACAAAAAAGTGTTGTAGCACGGATGTTGTTGCCGGCAGCGGCGGCTGCTGGTTCCAGGGAGGCTGAGATAATAGACTGTGGTTTTCCAAAGGATTTTCCAAAGGATGGTGCTATCCAATTGTAAATGCATCTGGTTGGTCAAGCCCGAAGCAAGGTCATCTGTTTAATATGGTGTACAGAGGAGGAAGAGGAAGCGAGGTGTTAATGATTTATAGAGCGAGCAAGTTATTTTGATTGCAGATTTTTTTTTTTCATGATAGCACGCCGTGCTTCTTGAGCACCTTTTGCAGGGACTCGGGGCCAAAGTGCTCGTCATCTGGCATCATCTCAATAATGCCAGTGAGGTTGGCGAACAGGTCGCCCTGGTTTCGGTAGGCCAGGATAGCGGGCACGGCAGCATTGTCGAATTCAATGTCTTCGTAGTGGACCTTGACGAAATGAGCCGACGGGTTTGCCTTGACCAAGGGCATCAGCACTGATTCGATGGCTGATGAGACTTCGCTCTGGACAAGTAGTGTTAGAATGCGGTTCGCGTAGAGGATCAAGTAGAATGAGCTCTTACCTCGTGATCATAGACAAAGACAACAACAGTAGTGTCTCTGTTCACCTTCTCAATGGCGTCCAGATAGCCTAGGGCATCCACCTCATCCATGCGGCCGTAGATGCGGGTGCTGGGGCTTGTCCGTCTGGCGCGGACGGATTGTCCGGATTCATTCTCAAGCTCTTGCCTCCGCGCTTCCCGCCACATGCTCAGGAACTCCTCTTCATCCTCGTCATCACCGCCGCTGAATATGGCCTCCTCGCTCTCGCTCTCGCTCTTGTTGCTGCGTGGGGAGCCAAAGACGCTCTTGCGAACGGACTGCGCGCGGGCCCTCCACTTTGTCTTGCGGGCAGATTCATAGCTTCTGGCGTCGGCAATGACGCCCTTGACGCCGGTAGAGCGGCCGTTGTCAAAAGACACGGGGGGCAGCTTGAACTCGGTGGCGGCGGTAGGCATTCTCATTGCCTCGTCGATCCTGGCGTTGCGGTATTGTTCTTCTTCAGAGAGATCGGATCCGTGCTGGGAGTCGACGTCGTCACGATCTTCAGGGTGGACAGTTTCACGATGGGCGTTGTTGGCGACAAGCTTGTCGAATTCGTCTTGGGCTTCAGTGGTCATGGTGGGCTAGAAGGGCTCGTCTCACGAGCGGGAGGCTGCGGGTAGTTATATAGATGGACAGAAGAGTGGTGTTGAGGTGTCGTTGTAGTTGCAAGCTCCAGCTGGCAGACAATGCGAGGTGTGCAGCAAGAGATGTAGTGTCTGTCAAGAAGATGTGTGAGGGAGGGGGCGTGTGGGCTGTCGTTTATGCCGTCGACTGGCCCTCGGGCAGCGTTTCTAGAAGAAGCGGAGCTGGGCGGCAAGGGTGTGAGACGATTGAGCTGGTGAAGCCTCTGGTCTGTTGAATTCGTGGATTGGGCTGCAGTGGGTTTCGCGCGATTGGCACCAGGGACGAGGGACGCTCGGATCGAGAGACTGAAGAGGGCAGAATCGTCGGCGAGAGCGAGAGAGAGTTGGCGAGATGGCAAACGGGGGCCCCTGGAGAAGTCGCACGCCCCCCTTTTTTGATGCGTCGAGCCGTTTCAGCAGGCAGATCAGGGCATGTCAACGGCCAGGGGGAGGCTTGAGGACAGGCGGTAGTTTCATGAGCGAAGAAAATGATGACGGGCTGGAGACGATGCGAGCCCGTGATTGGCGGGAGCTGGAGCAAGGTGGGTAAAAGATGGACAGGGCCAAAGTGGCGCGCGGGGCTGTGGCGCACGATGCGGTACGTCGTCGAGATACAATGGGCCGGCTTCACGTTATATTGTGGCTTTGCTGTTAGAAGGTGTTTTCTGCAGCGCCAGATCAGATCCGATCACCGCTGCTGACGCAACGCAGCCAACTTTGCTCTGGAGCTGATGCCAATCTCTGCTGATCAGCTGAAGGGCAGTTAATATCTATGAAGCAGAGACTGTCCAGCCGCATTGCCTGATGCTACATGGCGACCTGCACCAGCAGTATTCGTACTAGCACAACGCCCAGATTCCTACCTCGCTAACGACGTGAAATAAATCACAGGCAATACTCTGCTTCGCGTGGAAACGTCGATACGACGTTGACGAGGCTGAGGCCCGGTCCAAACGCCCATAATTTGAGCCCAGGGGTCGTGGCCTTGTTCTTCGTCTTGGGCTGCAATGCAGTCATGCCAGCGGGCAGGTGTAAGTGGCGCCAGCAAAGCAAAGCACGACAGATGCATGGACAGCAATGAATCCAGCGGTCCTGCTGCGGGCCCCAGGAACTGACTGCTCAGCTTTTCAATTTCGTCTTTTGAACTCCATCTCGGACCAGACCCCCAAAGAAAGACAGAGAGACAGCAAAAGCTGGGGTGATGGGCCTGTGTGGTTCCTCTGCCTCGGACCACCGACGCTAGCAAAAACGAGCGACTGATGGCTGAGCCCTTGCATCAGCTCTAATTCACGAGCACACGACGAAGATGTCATTCTGGCCAGGCGAGAGCGGCTCTTCTCAACGCCCACCGAGTCACACACGTGGTGAGAGGTCGGATCTGTGACAAGCCTGCTCCACCACCATTGCACCCAGGGAGATGACAATTCTCCGCTCGATTCATGCAGCCCAGGTGCGGCTGATTGGATACGCCGTTTGCAAGCGCTTGGCCCTCTCCCCCGCAATGGCGAGCGTTGTGAATGCTACACATCATTTTCTATTCATAGGGCAGGACGAGAGGCGTTGCCAATATCAAGTCTGCCGGGCGTCGGGCTGGGCCGGCCTTTATGCGCATTGTCCAGACGATTCGCTCGTGTCCAATTACTGCAAGGCGTGTTCAGGTCGGCCAGACGAAGGAAATACCTACTTGTAGTAAAAGGCTTCGATAGCCAAGAAGACGGTGAAGACAGGGGGCTTTACACGACGACACATGGCATGGCTGACGTGGATGAGTCGGGATGAGGGCATCGTGAGCAGTGCACGGCCATGTTTCCTTTCCAGAAGGGTAAGCTGATGGCCACGCTGCAGGATGCCGAAGGCCTGGTTGTTCTCTGAGCTGGCAGTGCCGTCTCTCTCGTCCACCATGTACTTGTAGCTGCCTTGCCTCTGCTACAGATCCAACGACAGAGCAGTCTCCAAGAGCCGACATCCGAACTTCGTACTCGCGTCTCATGCCCGGCTCAGTCTCGTCCGGTCTGTCCTCACCGCCATGTCCATCTCCAAAGCCCTTCATCCCACTGCCGAGCCCGCTTCCAGTCCCAGTCCCAGCCCTAGCAGACAATGGCATTAGCAGTTCTCGGCAATACAGCCGTGTCAGGCGAGACGCCAAGGTGAAGAAGGAATCAAGTCACGGCGTCTCATCTGACATGCTTAATCCATGGTGTGCACAGACTATCCCGCATCAGGCATGGCCCATTCATGCTGCTTGTTTCAGGAGCTGTTTCATCCTTCATGTGCGCAGATCGGGAAAATGGGACAAGAGAGCAGGGCCTGCTTTATATTAAACCACCCTTGTAAATACGATTCCTTGTCGGCTGGGTGCGCACGGCAATTCTTTGCGGCCCTGCCATTGGCTTGAATCACACAATGGCCTTGTCTTTCAACAAATTAGCAGAGGAATAGTAAGCCAAAATATCTCAAGCGATGTGGCGCAGATTGCCAAGTCCTGCGTTATCTGAAGAGGCGGCCAGCAAACAATGTGTAATCATCAAACGGTGAGATTTTGCGATTGAGGGCGCCGGATACGAGCTGAGGTGCGGCTGAGCGATACGGTGATGACGAGTATCTGGCAGTGCGGTTGAATACACGTATACGGCACATCAGATAACGCGTTGGCCAAGGATTTACACATCGTGCCATGCATGCTGGTTCTATTTTTGCAAACCTTGTCTCTCAAGACGTCCCTAGTACTTGAGTTCGCCTCTCGGCGACTACCGTCATGTAGCTGCAAACACCCGTTTGCGTTACATCCTGCTGATTGCTGCCACCCTACCTTTATGCAATCATTTTATTCTCTGTCCAATTCCTTTGCTAGTCATATCCTTCATATCCCCATTAGCATTTGGACCTTCTCGAAGGTCCTTGTGGTTCTAGGCCTCTCCGCAATCCCGCACCAGCTCCCTCATCATGACACCACCAGTACCACAAAAACAAACAAGCGTGATATGCAAGCACCATCCTTTTCTAGAACAAAGAAATAGAAGCAGGTTAAGAATCGCTACATGGCATGACCGATTTGCTAGCTGCTTGATTCACTCCCGCTACCGGAGTTGCCGTGCCACCGTTTCTAGAACGGCGTCTCGAGCCAAAACTTACACGGGCCATGTCCATTTCTTCCAGCTCTCCACGTTACAGCTGCTAGAAGCCGCTCTTTTTTTGCTCTTTGATGACGGAGGATCCTGTCACAGATGACGCTACCATTTTTAGACAGCCGTAGTGGCTGTTGCTCTTGATACTTTGGGGCTGCTACATCATTGTAAAGTCCAAAATAAAACACAGACCATGCGCTGGCGAGAATGTTACAAAATCGCATCCCAATGTCTGTCACCATGACACGCAGCGCTTCATTGCTGGGTCCACTAATTCATCGTCATCTTTTCATGGAAAAATATGAATAAGCTTAATAGTGGAAGTTGATATATTTATTTAGGCTCTAGCCGTCTTACTTTGTTCCAAAACGAAGAGCCGCGTTTAATCCATCGTCAAGCTAACCTGCAGCCTACCAAAAAGGAGAAAAAGAAAAGCCATCTTCGCAGCAACATCAGTGTTTAACATGTCTGCATCTTTTGATCTCATCAGACGATTTCCTATACGTGAGTAATACCAATGACATAAGCAGTCCTCTAGGCCTTATTTATTCACAGACGAATTGCTACTAATAGCGAGCAACATTTGCCATGAATGACGTAAAAACGAAATTTGGGCCGGTTTTATGCTCTTCCTTTGCAAGGAATTTTATTCCTTCTTATTTATAAATTCACTCACATTCCTAGGTGAAATTGTCTTGACTTTATTGAAACCTATACATGGGGGGCAAATACTGCCTGAGAAGCATGAGAAGGGTTGCTGAATCACCCAATCGATCGCGCCTTTCTCTTCGCTTTCTGCAACCAGGGATCAGAAGCCTAGTTTTTACTGTATCCTTTCGCCAACTGTCAATAAAAGAAGGTGAAGAAAATGTGATTGAATTGAATCTTCAGTAGTTTCTGGAAGCTTTTTGCGAATACTCGTAAGAAATAAAAAGGGCTGTTGAACCTTTCAACAAGCGGCCCTCTTTGAATACTTCAAGATCAGAAATCCTGCTTTTCGTGTCCTTAAAACAAATGGACCATAAGCGGGATTAATGTTACCAGCAGTAAATACTCACCACGTTTTGACTTCTTTGCAAACTACATGTATAGAGTGACAGGTAAAACCATCTCGCATGTATAGCAAAAGACAATGAAAAGGATATAGACCATATATCTCACTCTTTCAACAAATAAAGCAACATGTATCAAAAAAGAGTAACTAAAAAAAAAGAGTACAACCCGTAATTTTACCTATAACAGAATGCAAGATAAAGAAGAGAAAAAGAAAAAGAAAGCCAGACAAAGCCTCCTCCCAAGGGTATTGTATCCCTTCCAACAAACTCATTCTAAAACACCCATCACCGCAAACAACACGTCTCTCTCCCTGTGCTGTCTTGTTTCTCGCGCGTCTCTTCCTCGTTTTATATGTGCTTTTGCATTTTCTTTTTTTGCATGTGCCAAGTCATTATATATATCCCAAATGAAAAAAAAAAAAACGGAGGAGCTCAAGGAGAAAGATAAAAAAGGAAAAAGCGGCCCGGTCTTGTTGAATCATCGTACTGTATTATCTGGAAGCTTTTTGAACTTGTGCTCCTCCTTTGTTATAAGCCAACCAACTAAAAAACCCACCAACATCCCATTTCCCATCGCTATAATCCCCCCCCTCCCTTCCCCTTCTTCCAAGTGAAATCCTCCGCCCTCCTCTCTCTCTCTCTCCCATCTCTAATCTCCAGGTTTTTTTCTTCTTCTTTTTGGGTTCTCATGAGCTCTGTTATTATGCGTTGTCCTTCTAAGAAAAAAGAAAACAAAACAAACAAACATGTAAACTCGCTCGACCGCGGCATA